CTTTATGCGTTAAACTTCTCCGCGTTGGCTAGTCGGACTGCTGTGCTGTTAGGAGTATGTACATTTGAACAACAAGGCTTTGGATGTCACACATATTTAACAAAAAAACACAATGCCCCGATAGCTAAACAATGATCCTGATACAATTCCACCACCACATGCTGCACCCACCAACATTTTCGAAGCAGTCTTCCGAAAGGAGTCAGTATTGCGTCGGCCAACCACACTAGAAGAAGCTGAATATTACAGGAAAACATTCTACTCTATATTCTGCAGGGACAGGCTCCTTAGTTTCACCTTCAAGAAGCCGCCATGCATTTCTCTTGTGGGGTTGACAACACGGTTTCCACAACCCACCAATCCACCGCAAATAACGGCCGACGACTGCTCGTCCGTCTCTTCTACTACTAGTTCTTCCTCCGGTACCTCCTCATCGGTGTCGTCATCTTCTCTTTCTGACCTGAGCAGTTATTTTATTGGCATGCTGATCCAGCTGGAGCCCATTATGAGGTTTAGTATAGGTACGTTGTCTGTCGGCTTTATCTGTAAAGTGCTTGAGGCTTCGGACCAATATGTCGTTCTTTGTTGTTTTGCCCATGACCAATAGATCGAGCATTTCTTGGATTTGTCAACAAGGCAAACTCTGTAACTCAATCTGTCAGTCTTAGGCCACAAAGTCGTCTAGACAGTGATGTGCTGACTATAAGCTTAAGCAACTTTTACCTGTCACTCCCTATACACGCTCGTGATTTGAATGATGTGAATTGTATGTGCTCAACAGAGGATCAGCTAGTAAAACTGGTCCTCCATAATTGCTATCATACTGGGAAACTTTTGCTGGCACGGAGCATGTAAGTGATGCACTTCAAAGCATCTCCAAGAAGTGCTTGAAAACACGTCCACTGAACGATTTTTCGTAACCTCTATAGATACCTGATGTCACTTTGTGAGAGCAATTGGTGGGCTGAAGGCAACACGTCAACTACCGCTATCTTCAAGGAAGTGTTTGAAGAGGCAAGATTTATAGTGTCTGGGATCAAGCTCGCCAAACAAAGGGGTCGGCTCCGTCCGACATGGGGGATTATATGGCCGATAATGCAGGCGGGATACGGGCTTCGAGAGACGCACGATGTATTCGAACAAGATTCGAAAGAGGGTTTGCTAGTGCTGATGGAGGCTCTTGCAATACTGAGTATGGAGAAATCGTATTCTGCTAGAGCAGGATTGAAGCTTTGGGAGTCGTGGAGGAATATCTTTGAGACATTTGACGAGAATGATCGTGTAAATATAGACGGATGGAAGGATGTGTTTAAAAAGGCAATGAAACGGGCTAGTGCTGTTCAATGACCTCACTAATTAATGTACAGTCTGGTCTCTCTGGTTATAACTGGAACCACAGTATGTTTGGATTTCAAGGCATATTTAAAGCATTTGTAACGATAGGGAGTAGAGCAAACGCAGTTTGGATAGAATAGTAGTAATAAAGTGGCTTCACCAGTACTTACAGGTGGTGACGCTCTATTGGTCTATGCTTCGCAATATTCCAACGAGGGGCGGAATTTTCCTTAGCCAGAACTGGAGCTTGGAAGCGAAAAGTTAAACATAGGATCAAATACATACTTTCATGCGCTATCCCGCAGAGAATGGTCAAGACCTGTGTCTGTGATGTGGCCACCATTGACTGGAACGTTGGAATGTTTGCCCAGGGGTTACGCAACTTGTTGCTAGGCTTCCAGGGACCAGGGACTGACTTGAAAACCCCAGAAGTGATGGAATATTACGTGTATTGCTAGATTCTCCACTTTGTTTGTTGCGTCCTATGGAGAAACTGCCCACAGTTATTATTAGAGATTTGCATACTGGGGATTTCCTCTTCAGTATTTGTCGCATCCGAGACGGTAGACGGATGAGGAGCTAGAACCCTAGGACGCTTTAGGCAAACGGCAAAACAGCACCCACCAAACATCCGAGGCCCAATTAAGGAACTCAAACCCTCACAGGGCTCCAGAGCGAACGACTTTTCCGATAGAAAGAAGTATGAAAAAGTTTCTGAATCTCCAGCGTCTTTCCGAAACGACGTGAACAGAGTGTCTCATCGGGAGATAGCGTGTGAGGTGGTGGTTTCTTGATGGAGGAAGATGCGGCAGTTAGGAGATTACGGTATCTGCTTCAGAACAAGCTGACCAAGTTGGAGCTATCCTTGTTCCAGAGTTGTACAGGCTGGTAAGCGCATCCTGCCTATATGTATCCATAGTTTTTCTCCTTATTCCAAGTTGTTATTCCTCACATACGTTTGGAGATTTGTTTTCTTCTATCCGAAAATGGTGGCCTTGTTGAAAATCGCCATTGTATTTGGCAACATAGAGATCCTTATATTGATAATATTCCCGTATTAACAAAATCACGCAACTCCCTAGTCGAAAACGAAGGACTTTTTGTGACGGGAATCATCCGTCATGTTCAACTTGCACAAAGAAGAAGGTACACAAGAAATTAGTCAGCCATTAAGGTTTTCAGAGTAGCAACTTATTACTTCAAACTCCTATAGAAAAAGTGCGCTTACCTTCGACGAAGCTCCACACCTTTACGGTCAGATGGTGAACGTATCAAGTAACACCTCCATCCATGGTATAACATGCACATGAAATCCTAACCACACCGCTTCCCACCCTTTCTAGGTACATCCAAGCACTGGAAGCTAGAGTCGATGAGCTCGAACAACGGTGTACTCAAGTCTTGGACGACTACGAGGCTTCAAGGCCAATAAGCCTCTCTTGCACATTGCCCAAGAAGACAGTTCTAGCTCTCCTTGTTGCATTCTTTGGAAACGATCCATTCAGTTACGCTTTTCATCGGAATTGGCTGATAACAGCGTTTGAGAGGGGGGAACTGCCATTGTTTCTCATTGACGCAGTTTGTGCTATCGGTGCTCTTCATTGCCTTGATCCAGCTGTTATGGAGCTAGTTCCAGGTGTTGCGGGTAATGAAGGAAGCTGCCATAGTCTGCCATGCTGGTCATTGGGGGACTTGTTTGTAAAGTCGGCGAGACGAGGGGTTTTGAGGCAGATTGATAAACCTCCGGGTATTGCTGTTGCTCAGACTTATTCGTTGATTTCCCGTTATTACATTCGTAAGTTCCTTCCCCGCTTTGTCCTCTCTTCTTACGATGTGTGGTTCTGACGGAAAGATCTTCCTCAGGCAGAGGCCTTGTATGTCCTTCATGGTTGTTTTCAGCTATGGCAGTTAGGACACTGGTGTTTCTAAATGCCCAACGGGATCCGGATGAAAAGTCGTTGGATGCAATAGATTTCAGGCCCTCTATATGGAAAAGCACGCATATTCCACCGACGTACGTCTTTGCCGATGCTGTTTCCATTATCTTGCAAGCGTTTTGTATCGGATTTGAATCCTCACCTTGTCAAAAACAGTTCGTTTATTGAAAAAGAGATGTGGAGGCGGCTGTTTTTCGGAGTCCTATACCATGACCGAGCGATCGCCTGCTCCTTGGATCAACCTGGCTACATCAACGTGAGACTTACTGTTTCCATTTGAACGATTCCTATGTTTGTCTGTGCACTGCAAACTCAACTCTCCCACGTTTTGCGTAGCCTGAAAGCATCTCAACCGACCTCCCATGCAGTAAAATCTACTTTGACGCTGCTGATCTACACTCGGATCTCCCACCACCAGAAAGAACTGAAGAACGGGACTTATATTCATGCCTATCTCGCATGATGACCCTAATCGAGCCAGTTCTCCGCATTCGGATTGACAGAAGGCAACCATGTCACAGCAACAACTCCAACCACATATTAGCTTGCAACGGTCACGATTCCAACGACCCATTGAATTTGAAACACGAAACGCCAAAGTCTCCATCGGATTTGAAACGTGATCGGGCAACACTTGATTATACAATCCAGAAATTTTATCAGAGCTTGCCAGAGCATATCCGCCATCCGTTTGATAAGGCGTGCTGCCATGAGTTTGATAGAGGATGTAAACTCATGCTGCATCAGGTGTATCATACTGCAAGGTTGATGATATTTCGGGACTTGTAAGTGTGGCTTCAGCTGTCACTTCCGTTTCAAACACCATTTCTGAAATGATACTCTTTCGTACACAGTCTGTTAGAATCACAAGATGAAACAGATCCACTCGCCATCCAAGTCATTTTAGATTCCGCGAGACATATTGTGAAGGGTGTCTCGGCATCTGTTGAATTCGACGCAAAAGTACAGGCATCATTCGGACTCGTTTGGAGTGCATCGGAATGTGCGCTAGCACTTGGAGAGGTGGTCAATGCCTTGGGCCCTTCAGAGTGTATGGCAGCTTTCAATGCTTCGATCGTGATTTTGGTATGGTTTGGACAAGTTGGCAAAGATACACCCATTGGGTTAATGATTTTTCCTCTACCTGTTCTAGGTACAAGCTCTGACCCGTGCGAGCGGATATATGTTATATCTCGATCATACTCTGTCCGGTGTTGTTGAAATGTGGACACCGATTTTGGAAAAGGGCGGAGCGTCCAGCAAGTCTACTCTAGAATGTCTGAGAGAGGCTGAACGGCAAATGTACAAACGTGTTTGATTGTCAATATGATGTAAACGACACGACCATAGGTTTATTTTTGTTTGTAGAAACGTAAAGTAATAAGTAGCAACTAATATACGTAAACGACGCGAATGAAGGCATTATTTTGACGTTTTGCGATTTATTCTGTTAAGTTAGTATGGATTGATTGCTGATGAGAAATTACTAGTTTGATGCAAACCATGTTCCTGCAATAGATAAATGCTTCTAAATTCTAATGACGTTTTCAGAGCCATGGGAGGGTGCGGGACGAGGCTCACATTTATTTCCCGATTTCCAGGGCCTCAACCCCACAAACAAGACGCCCTGGATGAAAATTTGCAGCATACGTAAGCAGACCTAAATTAGATATTTGCACTTGTGTAGCGAGAATTAGCCACACACCATAAGTTATGATGAATGATGAATCATCTCATTGGTTGTAATTCAAACTCTGACTCTTGATTTAGTCGTGCATTCCTGATACGACGAGCGACCATTCTACGCATCATCCTGGTTTCACGACTTCCGCTGGGCAATTGTATGGGTCCAAATATCGATGTGATGTCTGGTAAAGTATATACGTCCTCCCCGTAAAGAGATGATAACAAATCTTTCTTGGTTATGAGACCTACTAGCAGGCCTCGCTCAAGTACTAGGACATATCGTGGTCCTAGTTTCTTGAAAATATCCTACACGTGTGAAGGTGGAGTGAGCCAAAAAAACGAGGAGACCCAAAGTATGCATTGATTACCATAACGAACTCGAAGGCTACTCTAGGTTGTACCGTCAATGGCGTCTATAGAACACACATAAATTATTTTACTTTTTGAAAAACCCAACATGATAATTACCTTATCAACATATGGTCCAAACTCTAAAAACATTGAAGATCCATCTGCGGCAGACCTTCCAGACCCAGAACGAGATCTCCTAGTTATAATTCCTGAATGTACAGTGGGCGATACAAATTCAGACAATTCGTGCTCTCCAAAGTATATGGCTGTTGAGCCACTAACTAGCATTCCTTGATTAGCGCGTACTCGATCCAGATTGTATTTGATGTCTCCTCGTGTAATAAATCCAAATACACGGCGATCATCTGGACTATGGAGGACGGGGAATCCTTGATAGTCTGAATCGTTTAATAGCTTTTCTAAAGTTAGACAGAGGACTATCAGCCCAGCAAAAAAAAACACCAAAAAAGATATGCCAAAAAGGTATGCATCATACCGATACTGGCAACAGTCGACCCGGTTCGATACAAGCATACAATCTCATCGATAGGAGTCATGACCGACTTTGCGGATTTACTATGACTAGTCGCTCCACTAGGAGAGGCTTCTGAAGCCCCTTCTGTTGCATCAATCACTCGTGCTGAAGCCATAGGAGGACCATGACTCTCAACTCCTTCCTCGCGTGGATCCAAGAACGGGAATCGATTGATACGAATCATGATATCAGCCAATCCACCATGTTCGAATGCATCACCAGATAACTTGGCAGTCATCAACACCATCATGCATGGTAAGATGTATGTCAGTGTTCCAGTCAACTCAAACATGATTACAGTCAACGAGACTATGGGTGGAGATTGATACAGGTTAGGACTTCACACAAAGTGCTTCGGTGCGTGAAAAACTCACTGGTAAGTCGAGTCACGCCACATAAAGCTGCCATTGCTCCCAGAATAGCATATGTGCCAGGAGTCACGCAAGCGACATCTGGATTACAAGCAGCAAATATAGCCCATGATGGTACAGTTCTACAAAACATTCTGTCGGTATGAAGACGAAAAATCAAAACAGAATTTTTTGTGCAATTATACCGTTGCAAGGTCTGTACTCCTATGCCCACAATCCTACCAAACAAGGCACCCCAAACCATTGAAGGTATGCTGTTACATGAAAGCTTGTAAGTATCATTAAAATAGAGAAAAACGTCCTGCAAACTTACAAAATGCCAGCAGGAACTTTGAGTCCAAACGAGACAATTGTGAGAACCATTCGAAGAATCAGCCCAACAAACAGGAGGAAGACATTGTATCCAGCCAGTTTTTTGCTGAAGTAAATATAAGAATCGTAAGGGGAATAATTTTAAGGCGCTGCAATGTGACCGAAGTTCATGCCTTACTCGCAAACTCCAGTCCCATCTTCCCCAACAGCTCCTTCACATTCACGAAACAAGACTTCCAGCAATTCACTGGAATCAATACGTGTAAACGCATTAAAGTAGCAAAGCACAGCGGTAGCTATACTAGCCAAGGCCACCTCAAGCACTGGATTCCTTTTCGACCATGAATCTGGTGGTTTGCGAAGAGATTGCATAACGAGATTCATTCGAATAAAGAAGGCACCAGACAACCCCTAACATGATGAGATCGTTATCGCTGAGTCGCGAATCAATGTTGTTAAAAGTCAAACTCACTCCAAAGACACCGAGTACTAGGAAGGGCAAAAGCTCAAAGAAGTGCCATGGACGTGTGTACTTGACTTCATACATGACACGCTTGCCTCTGTATGGATCAATCGCCTATATGTGATTGTCATCAAAAGCTGTTGCTTCAGCTTCTTTCAATGGCAGATACATACTGAAAGAGTGACAGACGCGACCAAAGCACAATAAAACGACTGTAACATTGTTCTGGCTGGGAAATATGTGCTCAGTTCCTATGACAAGAGTGTGAGCCCAGCAAAAAAGGGCACAGAAACACTATTGTTACCTCCATGGAGAACAAGACACCACCAATTGGTGCTAAGACGAAGCAGTTGATTCAAATAAACGTTGATCCGCATCACTGAGGATGAACTGCATACCTCCGAAAGCGACTGCTACACCAGCAGAAGAGGCAGCTGAGAGAATCTCTCGTTTTCTGGCTATTTGTTTCGTGAGCATACGATTTCTTTGGCATCCCTTCATCAAATGCATTCTACCTTCATTGCGTTCATATGATGAAAACAATCGTGGAAATACGTTTCCAATACAACATGCTACATGAATCATTGGTCCTTCCTTTCCAACTGCTAAACCAGATGCAACAGTAAGGGGCTAAAAAAATCAAATAATTCAAAGAGGCATTAGATCAAAGATCTACACAACGAAACATCCTTGTTTGTTGACGCACAAGACCGAATCCTTTGATCAATAAGGTTCTGAAGCCCAAGAAACCCTTGATGATGAATCCTCCTAGAATAGTCTTGATTTCGACAGTACCAGAACCGGCAGCATATGGAGCTAATGTCACGACCAGATATGCACATGAAGATGCAAAAAGTGACTACAAAAAAATAACGAATCTAAGATGGGGGATCCGATTTTGTAGCGATCGAGTCTTTGCTCACTGAAAAGAATGTATACATGACCACGTTAATGAATGTGATATGAGGTATTCTTGATATTCCATAACTCCAATCTACCCAATCGTCACAAATGCCATCTATTGTCGTCGAATGTTGTCACAAAGGGGGCTTGTTTCTCGGTGAGTTTCAACAAAATCCATACCGGCGTTCTGACTCCCCATACAGCATATCTTTTTGCTGACATACCACTCAGTCTGACAATATCCCATGCGAATATCGCCCAACCAAGCGGCAACGACATCTACAAAGGCAGCAACGACACCTATACATATTCCGACTATTGTGACAAGAATCCAGGACTGTGACGCATCCCATAACTTTACGACTTGGGCAGCTAGACCAGGCGGTTGATCAGCCAGCATGCGTGTTCTACGACGGTGTTCACGCATCATATCTCGAACCCAATCTACAAAGTGGACAGAGTTGGGATTGAATTGACACCTTGACGCGTCTGAAACTGCAAGACGTTGACTGTACCTATGGTGGTAAAGTCTTCGTATAGAGGAGCCACGTCGAGTTCTTGTACTTGTTCATCATTGTTTTGTTCTTCATCCAGTAAGTCATCTCCGCTAGTCGCTAGATTGTCGACTTGTGAAGGTGAGGCAGGTAGGCCGCCAGCCTGGACCAAATTTGTTGTCGAAGCATTCAAATTCAATGGCCTGAAACCTCCGACGTTTGAAGAAGTTCTGCGAAAAACACGAAAAATTTGAAATGTCAATTACTTTGATCAAGAGAGTTTGAACGAGGCTACATCACTGGGATCCAAGACTTACTGAAACCATCCTCTTAGCGTATTGATTGCTGACACGAATGCAGCTACTGGATTGCTCGTGGTCGGAAGTGAAGCTGGATTCTCTTGATCCTTGACAATCAGTTCTTCGTAGCTGGAACGAGGAAGAGGGCTGACTTCTATGTAGTCCGAATCAGCTGCAAATCCCTCGCTAGACGATGCCATTCTATGTGCGGTTTGACATCCTATGCTCCTTTGTGAGCATCATCAAAGTTTGTGGGAATCGAAGCTTCGTGACAAGAGGGTGCAGGCTAGTCTGGCAACGAGTTAAATTTGATCTTTATTGCTTTTGAACACGTACACATTGGCTTTATTTCAGTCTGAAGCTCGCTGGAGTCAACAAACCAAACAATATGTTTGTTCGTGAGATTTGGCTAAACGTCTCTTGCAATCCGCTTACACTGTTCGAGATTGTGAAGTCCTACTAAAGCATTTTATTTCTGCGCACATTATTATCATTTCATAGCAAACTACATTTAAAACCAATCAAGTTATAAAGCTGATTATCAACTACAGAACTACTTTTGTCTCTGTTGTAATAGAAGAAAATGCATTAGAATCGTGTTGAGACAATCAAACCATTTCCCCACTCACGAAGTTGCAAGATCGGAGAGCAGCCCATGCCAAGACGAAGTAGAAAGCACCATAGACTACTTGGAGACCGTACAATAATCCATTAGGGGTGACGTCCCAGTGGTCGACGTCTTTGCCAGAGATCGAGCCGTTAGGATATGTGGTGTACAAGACCATTCCGACGATGGCTGCAAGACCAGACTCTCCATCGGTAATTAGACATGAGTCGATTGTTGGTACTGGAGCAGCGATGAGACGGCCAGCTAATGCCAAGTTGCTTTGGGCCTATTAGAGAGTGGGTCACAGATCTGTAAGATATACTGTCGACTACTGCAAAACAAACAAATTTTAGTAACGAACGACAAAAGACCGGTTCTTACATCAATAGCGAGGGCAACAGATTGAGCAACAGCAGCGGCGTTGGTTCCATCGATACCAGCGAATTTAGCGTAGGCGTTTGATGCAGCAGTATATTGAGAGGTAATATATGCCTGGGTGGTCGCAGACAAGCCAGCAGCTCCGGTTGATGCGGCTTGTGCACTGTTTACATTTCCGGCCAGTGTAAACAATTGAGTGAGAGAGGCGTTTTGAGCTGCTGTAGCGAAGGCAATGTGCTTCAGAGGGGCGATCGTTGAGTTCAAGGCGGGAGCAGCTTTAACGGCCATGGCCATTGTGGTATCACCCAATCCTTGGTATAAGGCAGTGTTGACATCAAGAGGTACCAGTTCATCCTTGGCACAGGTGACTGGGTGGCCGAGATATTCGTTTCTCATGAGAGGGTAGAACCACAGACGGTCATATCTGTATTGGAAAAGACAGTGTAAGGATGAATTCTTGCTTCTTCTATAAATTATAGCAACGGGATACGTACGACAACCAAGCGAAGAAGTATTTAACGGGTGACGATCTGGGTAAGATGAAGTTGTCGGGACAGTATGTACTGGTCCAGAAGAGGAAGAAGAAGTAGTGGATGGTGAAAGCAGCGTTGGCGTATGGAATAGATCCGGCAACGTAAGCACAGATCATGTTCAGGGATGAGACACAAATGGCCTAATTGAACGAAAGTTAAGTATATGGGGCTACACCAAGACTTTTTTACTGCATACCTCAAGGTAGAGGGTAAATCCAGATTCGGCCAAGTTCTTGTTGTCAAATCCAGCCATGGGGAGAGCGATAAATGCAACACAAGCGCACATGGTGCCAGAGAATATCACTTCGACGACATATTGTGATAGCAAATACCAAAGCTTGTTGTAGTAACCAGCGGCCTCCTCATGGTAATATGATTTACGACGTTCGAGCCCTGAGAATTTGATATGTGTGAGGCGCAGCAAGAAGCGATATTTGTACTAGCAGCGAAACTTACAGTATGCAATGGCAGCGGAACCGAATCCAGGGACCATAAGCGTAATAGTGAAACCAAGGGCATCCTTTCCGACGTGACCGTAGAAACCAGCATCTTGACCATAGAAAGCACCACCACAAAAGAGACCAACGACAATAGCGGAGATGAATCGAGTCTGTGATACAGAGTGTTGGTGACAGAAATTGACAATCAATGACGACAAGAAACTTACTGTAGACATAAGAGGGTTTCTCCAGTAAATTCTCAACTGACGCATAAACAAGTGGTAGAACTGGAGACGACTCGAAGCCAGTTGGTAGAAACCCATTGATTCCCACACTGTGGCCTGTTTCAAGTGGAAGGCTTCATAGTTGTTGATCGAGCCCTGACCAGAGTGAATATCGTTGACTCTCTTTTGCAGAGCTGAGCATTCAGAAGATGCGTTCCACGAGGCTACGAGGAAGTCTGCACGTCCGGCTTGTTCGTTGGCATATGTTTCAGCTAAAACAATAACGGTGTGAGACGGGTTTGGCATGTCGACGAGCGAGACAGAGCTCTCTTACCTGGGTTTCCACTAATTGGAATGCCCAATCGTTCAAAGTAGGAGATGGCATCAGCGGTTTTACCAAAGTAACAGGTCTGTCCACCAGGGCAGAGAAGCAAAAGGTTGTCGAATTGAGACAAAATGGTGTATGAGGGCTGGTGAATCGTGGCAACTGCGTTCAGAAAGAGGGATTTAGTATGGAAACTAGAACACGGATTCGAACCTGCTGAAATACTTACTGCAAGCTAATTTACGGAGACGGACGACTTCGTTGACGTTTTCAATGATAGCCCGACCGGTTGCACTGTCCAAACCAGTAGTTGGTTCGTCCAAGAACAACACTGATGCTACTGGCAACATTTCGACGGCAACGTTAACACGCTTTCGTTCACCAGTTGACAAACCACGGACCAAAGCAGATCCGATCTTGTTGTGTTCGACATAGTTGAGCTGCATCAATGTCAAGACATCATCAACCTGAGTGGAAAGAAGGACTATTAGGAATCCATATGGGAAAGACAGTTCAAAATAAGAATATTCGACTTCTCCTTCACTTACTCGTGCTTTTCGCTCATCTGCGGTCCAGTTTTCAGGTAAACGGAGAGCAGCACAGAATTCCAAAGCTTCACGGGTAGTCAATTCTGGTGGTAACAAGTCATCAGATGTAACGTAACCGTTGTTTTGTATGAACTCTCGTTGAGTCAATGGAGCTCCGCTGTAAAACGACAAGACATCAAGTTAGCACCCCGGGAGACTAGCATCAAACATGCAATGAGCTTCAAATACGTACTTAAGGCGGACATCGTGAGTCCATTCTCCAGTAGTTTTTCGGAAAGAAATGACATCCAACAAGGTACTTTTACCAGCACCAGATGGACCCATAATGGCCAAAGATTCACCAGGCTACGTAAACGATTGAGTTTAAACAAGGTCCTCTTGATGAAAAACAGCAAAAGTTGCCACCCACTTTGCAGTAACCGTTGACATGTTGCAACAATTGCTTCCACTCTCCTCGGACCTTCAATCTGCAATCAATGTCCTTGAATGAGAAGAAGGCAGGTCGAACCTGACTATCGTCCGTTACGGCTACAAGTCAGGAAATAACCATTTAACATCAAGAGCGAGTTCAGAATTGGCAAAACACGACAATCTCAGACAAACACCTACCCCAGGACGAGCTATTCACCACTGAATCCTTTTTGATATCAGACATTGTTGTACTTGATAAATGTCTTGATGGTTGGGAGAAAGGTTTTGGTTGTGAACTGAGTTGTCTCCACCCTAATTAACGGTTTTTGCGAACGAGCAATACCAGAAAAATGTGTGCACTGTGGTTGAAAGTCACACATAGTCACGCCCTGTAGGACACAAATTTCGAGAAAGGCTCAGATAAGTCACCACCCTGCCACTACCACCAGAAAAAGAACAAAAAAAAAGTGACACAGAACATTTCCTTTTGCTTACCACTCCAGAAGTCACACCTCGGTTCCAAAGCCATATAAGGCCCAGACTCTTTTTCTGTTTTTCGTTCAATAAAAGCCACCTTGTGTGGAAGGGATTTGGCTCTCACAAAAATCACACTACCTCTCACAAACACAATCACACAAAAGTGTGACTTTGTAATAATAACTGTTCAACCAAAACTTGTCCTCAAGCTCTCAAGTTCACAATTTCTAGTTTGCTACACTGTACAATTAATTATTCAAAGTATAGTAAACAACGATGGCATCCCAAGGTGACGCTGCGATACATCGCATGGGCCAAAAGCTAATGGGTGATGCTGAACACGCTGGGTAAGTTTTGATGCTTCGGTGGCTCTTCCGTGTCGAGAACAAGCTCGAGCTCTTCACTGAGGCACCTTTGCATTCGAGTCTTGGCTCACATTCATTGACCACTTGACGCAGATACACGATTACATGGCGAAACATTGCATTGGACATCGACATTGGTAGCATGTTCACTCAAAAGAGAACCATTCGAACACTCAAGGGCTCAACCGGTTACATGAAGCCAGGAGAGTCTCTTGCTGTCATTGGACGTAAGTGGATACGTGTTGCTGCGTTCCAGTCTTAGTGTCAGCTGTTTTGCTCACCAAACTTGCAATTTTCTAGCATCTGGTGCCGGAAAGACCACATTGATGGATATTCTTGCCAGTCAAAAGACATTGGGCCGCATTTCTGGTGAACTCCTAGTAAACGGAGCACCACCAGATGCCTTCTTCAAGAAACGTGCTGGTTACATTTTCGTCAACATGTATGTTCTGATACCATACAGCTTTTCCTGGTCAGGAGGAGCCAATTTCTAACGCCGCGAAATTACACAGGGCCCACATTCCAACTATGACTGTCAGGGAAACAATCATGTTCGCCGCTGAATGTCGAATGCCTCGTGGTTCTACTCACGCTCAGATTGTCGCTCGTGTCGATGATGTCTTGGAATCTCTAAGAATGACAAGTGCTCAACATACACCAGTCGGTGATGAATTGATTCGAGGTGTTTCCTCCGGTGAAAAGAAGGTATTTTTCGGCACTCGGTTGTTGGCGAGTTCCTAGCCACTAACATGTTCAACGAATCTGGTAGCGTACTGAAGTCGGTATTGAAATGGTTGCCAAACCAAAGGTGCTCTTCTTCGACGAGCCAACATCTGGTCTTGATGGTACGAAACTCGTTGCTTTAAAGGCACTTTTCACCCTTTTATTGACACGCTTCTACAAACTCAATAGACTTTGGTGCTCGTTTCACTATGGAACTTGTGCTGAGTTACGTCCGATCCGAAAACGTCTCTGTCGCAGTCGTCATTCACCAACCTGCTGAGGCTGTCTTCAAGCTATTTGACAATGTCATCCTAATTGGTGGTGGTGGTCGAATCTGCTACTTTGGTGCTACCGCTCAGTGCGAGCAATACTTCTCGGAATACGGCTTCCCATGCCCTCCTCTAATGAACCCTATTGAACACTACGTCGATGTTATCTCGGCCGATACCGTTGGTGCTTCTGAATACTATGAAAAATCTGCTCTCTTCGCTGCCAATGATGCAGAGGAACGACGACTGGCTCAAGCTCATTACAGCGCTGTCTCCCACTCTACTCATATTGTGGAACGTAATTCTTGGGACCAGTTCAAGCTATTGACTGCACGTGTGTTGTTGAGATACCAAAGAAATCCTTCAACTTCATGGGGTCGTGTACGTATATATTGCTTTGTTGCTGAATCTCAGAATGTTGACAAACTGACTAAAATTTTGATTATATTTCTTAGTTTGCCCTCTTCATGTGCTTTGCTCTCTTCTTCGGTGGTATCTTCTTCCAAATCCCTCATGCTGCATCTTACCTTGGTACCATTAATCACGGTGTCGGAACATTCGGTTTCTTGTCTATCTTCGTCGCCATCGCTTCTGTACCTCAGTTCATGGAGGATCGTGAATTGTATATTCAAGAATTCAGCGCTGCCTTCTACACTCTACCTCCATACTACCTCACGTAAGTGGAGGCTTGGGCCCTGTTTTGCGCTAGATTCAATGCTCATTTTTGCCTTCTTTTGAAATTCAGATACTTCGTTGTGGAGGGTGTGTTTACCACCGTCATTACGACTATCTTGCTCACTACCGTATACTTCATGGAAGGCATGCCTGCCAACAAGTTTGGACTTACATATGCTATGATGTTTGTTCAAATGTGGGTCTCAACAGCTGTCGCTCAAGGCTGGTCTGGTACGTTACGAGTAGTACTTTGTTGTTGTTTGTGATGTGTCTAATTCGTTATTCAAACAGCATGGTGCAAGACTTTAATTCAAGCCTACACTGTACTCTGGGCTGCTGGTTTGATCTTCTTCGCTTTCTCTGGCGCTGTCGCTCCCTTCGGATCCTTCAGTCAAGGACTTTTGTGGCTTACTGACGTCAACTATTGGAGATGGACCTACCAATATGTGCTCTACACGATTACGGTATGCGCTTCTTATAGCCTTATTTGACCACTCTCGTTATTGTTATCTCATTCGTTTTTATCCCATAGTACGACTTGGAAGTCGACTGTGACCAAGCCTTCCCATTCGGCTCGATCATCCCTATCTATGCTGGTATTTACAAGGGTGCTGATGCTGGTGGACTAGTTGCCAACGGCTCCGATACCGTCGCAGTGACCGCAGTCTCCGGATACCTGAACGAGATTGCTGCCTTCAACCAGATCTTAGCCACAAACCCTCCTGCTGACGTTACCGCTGAGCTAAATGGTGCAATCGCTTCTCTGCAAACCCAACTGTCAACATCCGCTAAAGGTGGTGCTGCCATTCTCACCAACGCTACCCTCATGTCTGCCCTCACAACCAGCAACACCAACTGTATGTAAAATGGTTGACTCGCAGCACAGCTTACGAACCAATATCTGACTTTTTACACTTAACTAGATGGTGCCACCAACAACGTTGTTGCTGCGTCAACCGCAAATGCCACCAAAGCCTTGTTCCCAGCTGAAGAAAACATTTGTGTATACAGTACGTACCTTGGTCTACTATGCAACATGTTCCAATGACTAACCGTCTCGCTTTTGTAGACCCACAATCCTTCTTGGCTGCCTTCAACAGTATAGGCAAAGATTGCATCGTAAGTCCATCTCCGGCACATTAACTGAAACACGTAATTGACCGAGTTTTTGTCTCATTCAGGCTTGTGGTAACATCGCATATGTCGTCAACGTGTCACTCTTGATCTTCTTCGTCATTTTCACGGTAAGCTTTCAACATTCTTGAATTTATACACGCTTTTACTTAGCTCGTGACGCTTCTCACGTTAATTAGTACACTGGTCTGTGGTTCTCCCGTGGCTACAGAAAACGATAAGCCGCCAGTACTACTAGTCTTACGACTTCAGTTTTAATGAATGTCCTAATGAATTTAATCAAAAGTCTTTTACGTATGGTACTTGAAATAAATGATATGTTTGAATAACAAAAATAATTCGCTCCATGCACCGAGTATGCGTTTCCTCGAACGCGTATCTTCAAAACAATGTCGATTGAGTGAGGTTGACCTTCTTCATCGAAGGTTCGACGGATTGGGTCTACCAGTCTTCAATCGTTTTGACAATCAGTTCCATAGACGGCAACAAGAAAGAAGATCCGTATCAATATAAGCTGATTGGGTTGCGAATGCCCTGCTTTATGATTCCAGTAATACGGTTCTTGGCATTCCTTCTTCCCGACAAGATTTTGCCATTTGATTGTCTCATTTTGACAACAATATGACAGTCTGGACAATGTTTGAGCCTACCACTATTGGTTTCAATCACAGCTCAAGAACTCTATTAGCTCGCCTCTATCGCTTAGACAAAAACACTTCTCATGTCAAACCAACGTCAAGTACTTTCAACAAACTGGAAGAACAGCAGGTTTTTCTTACCGGTCGATCTAACAAATTAGCATTGAAGCTTCTGATTTCAATTCGCTGGAGGTAATGAGTATTCAAAGATTATAGAACGTCCGTTTTGATAGAGGACGTCGTTTTGCGTCGAAGCTAAATGAAGACATCTGCAAGGCAGGCCACGTAGTGATTTTTCGATGATTACTCGAGTCTATCGTAATAGTCTAGCGTAATAGACGTGTTGAAAGTTAAAAGCAGAGAGGAGGTGGAAGTTCTCGTTTTGGCCTCATTTCACTACCGGAATTTCCAACAAGCTCCAACTCCAACTAAACGACGTGTTTGCAAGCTTCAGGATCATAAACAAGAAACCTCGCCATGCAACGAATTAGCTTGAGAACCATCGCTGTAATAGGAAGTGCCGTCGTTTTGGTTGGCTGTGTACTACATACGGTATGTTCATGCTGAGAGTTGAGATTTTAGTTGGATGTTTGCAATATCTGGTTTTTCGGTACCTTGAAGCCTTCAACCTCTTCAAATTCCACTGAGACTAGATCCAAACCAGTTAGTATTTGACTGAACGGGCATCCACATGTAAAGTTGCGAGGACTTTAAAATGGGAGGTACATCCAATTTGAAGAAGTACTGGCGTTGATGAAACCTTGGGGGGATATACGTCACACCGTCAAAATGGAGAATCAAAACGACATTTGAGCCGTACGTTCAATGTACTTTCCATCGAACTGCAGCAAGTCATTGCTATATTTTTTTTTGTTCCACCATTGACGCAGTTCGAGTGGCGTGTACTGCCAAACTACAATTGCGAGACTAGGCCAGCAAATATTTGACACCTTCGTATAATGATATGTAGCGTAATTTAAAGTCTGATTGGCACTGGCGTCCATTCAAAACACCTTGTGTCGGATGAAGCAGCATGTGACAGAGAGAGAGACAAATGCTGTCCGCGAAAAAGTGGCAGCTCCGTAAGTTCGGTATGCCAGCCTCCTAATGCGCCAACATACGTGAACAATTATTGAAGCCAGAATCATCGCTCTCAACAAAACAAGCAGAAGGATTCCCATTTTTCTGGCTACTGATTCGTATGACTGAATATATTTGTGATGCTAAAATTACTAAGGCGCAGAATGTCACTGACGTGTACGTGGTCGTGCTTGCGGCTATAGAATTAGCAGCAATAAAGAGGAAATGCTGCCTTTAATTGAGGCATCGCTAGTAGATTAAAAGCTTCCATGGCTTATGGTTTGAAAAGTGTGCCTTCACCTCCTTGTCCAAGTACGAATGATGTTCTAAAAGTCCAAAGGGAGTTTTCGATATTATCACCAAAAGTGTTTATGTTATCGAGCAAAGAGCTGTTCAGACCGAGGATGGACTTTATCGATTCCTTCTTCAGCTCACTAGGTTCTTGAGATCAGCAATACTCACGACACGACTGTAAGAATAAGCAACATTATTGATAGAAAGGCGTTCATAACCATCTCTTTTGCCCTAGTAGATCAATAGATCAATTTAGACGTTCTCCCCACTAGGTCTGACCTATCAACGATCCCATACTCGGATTCTGCGTTTTGCAACACTGCCAGTAAAGTTGTTGGGGTTCAGTCAACAAGGATTCAAATAACAGCCATGAGTAATGGAAGTTGTCATTCCTAAATTCCCTCTAAAAGAGCACACTTTTCGCATATCCCTGTATTGTTGCTGCTCTTGAGTACAGAAACCCGTACCAGAAGAGAAATGGAGCTAGCATCCAAAATATACGTCATAAAATCGATAAAATCGACTGGGAGATCCGATTCCAACAGATTGCAAAGGTAACGTATCAGCGCACCAGCGTCTGTTACCAATGATGGATTGAGTGTGGCGTGTAGTAGGTCGGCTTAGCCTACTAAAGGAATATAACTGAGTTGCTAGGATCCAATTGGCCTCCTCTAGCGCCTCCCGAGCAAGGAGAAACTGAGTCCCATCTACACTTCACTTGTGACGTACTTTCATTCCAAGAAACTTCTGATCAAGGCGACCTGCTGCTGCGGCAGTAGTTCAACAATGATTGATTGACCTGGCATTCGTTACCAGCAGATAGTTCTATCACTACTGCTCACCACTAGACATAAAGCTCTGTCGCTTGCTCAAAGCCCAACAGCGGTTACTGCATTGAAATGACGACCAGCAAAATCCAGAGAATTAAATATCAATAAACGATTCATGTCTCCCTCTGTCTCTGCTTCGCATCTCCCTCTATCAGTCCTGTTCTTGCAGCAACACTCAAATTTTTGTTGAGTGACACCTCGAAAAGGATATGCGGACTACTGGCCCCTCCAATTTCTCAATAATGGTAAAATTTGCAGATTGGTCCTTGTGGCCGCCTAGCTTATTTCGTGCTCCTCAGTGCTTGCATGAAATGGAAGAACCCACGCGTCGTGAGTTCGATCCCTACGAGTTATGGGCAGATTTTGAGGCAGATGTTGTTGTTAGGTGGGAGTGACGCCCTACCCCAACGTAAAAAACCAAAAAGCTGCACCTTTTTGACCCTTATTTCGACATAGCTAGGCAGTGTCTGTTCTGTCTAAGATCGTTTTGGGTGCTTGGTATCTTCCTTTCGGCCTCGGATGTGTCCCTTTGTTGAGTATTTTCGTCACTTTTGATTTTTGCAGCTTTTTGAGGACCGGAGCCAACCTCCACTTGGCAAAACGACAGGCTGTGTAAGGGACTTTTTAACCCAGGTTTCTATGAGTTTCAAGGTTTCAAACTGTACTTGGGAACTATCAGCTTCATCAAAGTTTTCACAGATTGAGCAGTGAAGTCATTTGCTTCCTTCGAAAGATCAATTCATGTGAAACATATAATATGGTAACTTCATCAAAGTCTGACCAATATCTCGAAAGATTCTTGTGTATGCCTTCTTCCCCTCACGACTTAACCAACGTCGGTCACAAAACTCTGCGTGAAGACACAACCGGCTGGAAACCATTTGGAGTTTGAATTAGGCAGAAATTGAGATCTTTCCAAGCGGTTCGAAGTGCTGTCAAAAATAGCTTTGGGTTTTGCGTGTGTGCCAAAGCCACCGAATTTGGCGCAAATCAGGAATGCGGCATTTTGAGACCTCCTGACAGCAGTCGAATACCACCAATGGATACAAAACTAACACTTTAAGAGACTTGGATTCCTAAAGGTGAGGAGTGGAAAGAAACAAATCAGTGACCGCTCACATTCTTTGTCCTCTCATTTTGACTCGATAACCGACTGGGGCCCAAACTGTAAACGAGTGACTTGGCCTTTACCTGACATGATGTCAGTCGAATGGTTTTGGTTTTAAACGTTTCACGCTCTGGCGTTTTAGTGGCGCCTTTTTATGGCTAGAGTTGTTGTGTCGAATTGTACAGTAAGCTTAACATTGGTCTGCAGTCCGCAGTACGTGGACAAACACGAAAGAAAATTCTGGATATTCATCTTTACTGTTTATATACACTCTGGCTGCCTGTTTTTCCTCTATATATACGCCTTTGCTTACATCTTTCGACTTGAAACCTTAAAGCAGGGAAGATAGCACCGCTTCAGTCTCGAGCTTCACGTGAATTCTAAAAGAATTCTAGAAGACAACGGCATTATTAAGCTCTGTCAAGCATCGACTGATTCAGCAACGTTCAATGGATAGCAAGTGGCCAAACTCCTTGTAAGCAGCCGCAGTTCGAGTTTCATTGGTAGTGACCACCGCTTTATATCTCAGGTATAAACACAGGCCCAATTCTTCTACATCTTGATCGTATGGACTTACTCACATTCTTCATCCTGTTGTTTAAACATTTAGCTCAAAATCCAAGAAATCAACACTCCCAAGCATCTCGCACATTTTCAACACGGCAGAATTGAGACCACAAAGACGCAACGCACGGATCTAGGCTTGGAGTAGGGCTTTGATACACTCGCTGCTCAACTTGGCCCATCTTTCGCATTCTATTTTCGAATGGTGTTGTTCTTCCAGACGCTGCTACCATACGACATATATTGACTAGTCCAGAAAAGGATAATAAAAAGGCAGCTGGATATGCACAAATTTTGACTGTGGATATTCAGAGTTTTTTAGTTTGTTCTTGTGTCTTGATGAGCAAATCAAATACTCATCTTCCTCTTTTTCGCTTAGGTCAATTAAATATTAAATTTGCTCTGGTCATCTTGAAGGGTAAATTTCCCTGCCTTGATCCTTTGCCAGGAAATGGTGTTAATGTTGAACTTCTCTTGCATATCTCTGCTGGCCCTCAACATCAACGCCATCGAAAGCTCTTGCAACCGGCCTTTGGACCATCACATTTACGCGCTGCTCTAGATGCCAGCTATGAGAGCAGCAGGAAACTAGTCAAGATCTGGTCAGACAAGCCTGATTCTGAACGTGTCGTTGATGTTTACCGAGCCATGACAGACTTGACTTCCGATATTGCGAAAATCGCCTTTTCATATGATTTTAGAGGTGCAGCTATTGAGTATCGTGTCAGCGTTGTGCTTGTTATCCTTGTTCTTTGTTTCAACCCCTTTTTCTCTCAGCTTTGGAGCTTACGGTGACAAGGATAACGCTCGGGAGCTCTACTCTCAATGTGATGCGCATAGAATAACAATATCTTCATTTTTCCGTTTCACGCTTTGATCAAGTTCTTCTCAACAACTGCTCCAGCTCGTGCAGTGATTCCAAAGCTCCTACGATCATTTTATGGAATGACGCTACTACAGATCTGGAAGCGTTTGTGACCCTTGACGCACTTGCTCGAGCATTTTCCTCAAGTCAAGCGAGATGCAATCGCTGCTGGTCAAGTCAAAAAGGGTTGGAAAATGGACGTGCTAGACATTTGTTTCGACCGTCTTTAGGCTGGTCATGGAACTTCAGCAAACAGTCTTACATTCAGCTTTCTACGACTTGCTGAGAATCCGGATGTATGCAAGAAGCTTCAAGCTGAGATTGACAGTGTTATTGGCCCGAATGTTAGAGCTACGACTGAAAATGTTGGAGGTCTTGTATAATTGGAACAGGTCTTCAAAGAAACTCAGAAAAAATCTGGCCTTTCACAATCAATATGACCCACGCTCACAAAATATCACTATCGTCATCAGACGAATTGATCCAGTCGTTCTTGGCGTACTGTTGCAGCCCCTGACGTGGCATATTAGATTTAGTCAGCACTGTTGACATCCTCCTCTCACACGCATCATCTTATCCATCTATCATATCCTATTGTGTGCGCAGAAGAGTTCATACTTTGTTATCTTTCACGTGCAAGGTCGAACTGCCATGAACGATGTGGAATTATTAGGACATCGTATCAAGGCTGGAACAAACATTGCTATACCTATCAAGGTTTGAACACTGTACGATATCAACCAAGGCTTCAGTTGTTGCATGCTTACCAATTTGTATAGGCTTTACATTACAGTGAGAAATATTGGGATGAGCCTCGTCTCTTCAAGCCTGAACGTTTCGAAATGGTGCCAGTCCGAGGAAATTTCATTCTTTTTGGTGATTTTTGTATTTTGGATGTATTGGAATTGAAAGTATGATTTGATCTGAGCCAGTGTGATTGCAGGCCTTTTTGCTGACTTCTCTGTCTCATAGTGGCTCAGACAGAGATTGGAGTCGTATTGGCTATAATTCTTCAAACGTTTACTCCTGTGTCGGTCCCTCAAAAGCTGACTATCGGGGACGTTGAACGCCTTACAAACCTGTTGAACTAATTGGAGAAAATTGTAGGTAACAACTGCATTGAAGAATCGACTATATCTCTACATGGAGACGCGTTCCTAGTCACTAGCCAAAGGCGAATCTGCTGTGTGATTTCTGATTTTCTTGTTGGTGTTACCTCTTTCCTGGAGTTTGTGATAACATCAAATAAAAGATACTATTTATTGTTATTATGAAATAAGAGGCTTCTTCAAGTGTAGTGTTGTCGATTGGGTGGCATTGCGACTTTCAGGTGTAATTTTCTCGCTAAATGTCCCAGCGGTCGCTCCAAACGGACAACTCGAGTCGATTCTTCACATCAATTAGTGTCAGGATGTTGCCATGCGGTTCAACTTTGGGGTTTACTTTTGCAGTAATTTCGAGTGTGATTCACCACAAACTTCACCAACACAATCCAAACATCAACCTGGGGCTCAAAGGGGCAAGTTCTCCGGTTATTGAAATCTGAGTATAGCATATTGCTGATCTAGTATAGGCAGGGAACCAATAGCTCTTGTATGCTGTTTGTGATACAGTCATGACGGAGGAGAGCAAATGGACAACAATCGCCATCATTGGAGGTGCCGTTGCATTGACGGCTACTGCAACTTATTACTTCCGGTATGAATCTATCAAAGATCTCTCTCTCCCTTGCTGCTCTGTATGTTGTCAACGAATCTGACACATCACAATAGCTTTGATACTAGAAACTCGACCCTCCCAAGCATCTTCCAACTGGGACGAAACGATTTCAAACCTAAACCAGGAGAAGAGACTTCAACTACAAATCCATTCCAAGCTCACGTTATTGTGGGAGTGGGTGTTGAAAAATTGGGGCCTATATTCCGTATCCCATTCACAAACCAAGTTATTGTCGCCGATGCTGCAACTGTCAGGCATATAACTACTAGCTCTGAGAAAGAGTATGGGAAGAGTGACAATTTTCAACGTATCTCGTGAGTGTGGGAGCGGTTTTTTATGCTGTCGTGTATCTGATTCCTCGCCATAGGTTTATCAAGCTTGGACTGGTCGCTTTGCATGGGCAACAACATCAACGACATCGAAAACTGCTCCAACCAGCTTTCGGGCCGTCACATTTACGGGCTGCTTTAGACGCCAGTTACGAAAGCAGCAACAAGCTAATCAAGATCTGGTCGGAAAGGCCTGACTCTGAACGTGTCGTGGATGTGTATCGAGCCATGACTGATTTGACCTCGGATGTCATCGCAAAAATAGCCTTTTCATATGATTTCGGAGGTCTGTATTAAACTTCGTTTCAATCCTCTTATGTGGTGCTTACTGCTACTTCTTTTATGCATCAGCATTGGATGCTTACGGTGACAAGGACGATACTCGTGAATTAGAAGGTAGAAAAGCGTGAATGTAGCTGTTATGATTGAGTGCCAGTAACCTAATCTTCACCACTTGTTCCAATCGTAGCCGTATTAAAATTCTTCTCAACCGTATCTCCGACCCGGGCTATGATGCCATGGTTCTTACGTCCATTTTATGGAATGACTGTTCCTCAAATTCGTCAACGAGTCAAACCCTTGACTGACTTGCTCGAACACGTCCTACAAGTCAAACGAGATGCAATTGCTGCTGGCACAGTCACGAAGGGCTGGCAGATGGATGTGCTCGATCGCTTGTTACAAACTGATGAGGAGACTGGAGAGAAAAAGTTTGATTCTGCGGAAATTATGGATGAGGCACTGACGTTTTATGCGGTATGGTTTTGCGTCATGGCAAAAAAAGAGAAAGCATATCTATATGGACTGAAGGATCTGCTTCATTGTATTAGGCTGGTCATGAAACTTCAGCAAATAGCTTGACTTTTATATTCTTACGACTGGCACAAAACCCTGACGTATGCAAGAAAGTGCAAGAAGAGATTGATAGAGTCATTGGTCCTAATGGTCGAGTGACGAATGAGAATATCGGTAGTCTGACCTATTTGGAACAAGTCTTCAAGGAAACGCAGTATGTCAAGCGTAAAAAATAATTAGCTCAAAACCATTGACTGATACTTTTACTTTCACTTAGGCGTATCGATCCGGTGGTCGTTGGAGTACAAACACGAGTACCTGCAAAAGACGTCGTGATTCTTGGCCATAAAATCAAGGCTGGAACCAAGATTGTTATGCCCATCAAGGTTTGTTGACTGTTGAGAGCTTACCCTGGCAAAAAACTCGAAAGTCTCATATCAATATATACTCGTGCAGCCGCTACACTTTAGTGAAAAGTACTGGGATGAACCACATCTTTTCAAGCCTGAACGATTTGAGAAAGTGCCTGTGCCAGGCTCCTTCTTGCCTTTTGGTGATGGTGCTTTTGGGTGTATTGGAATGAAATGTAGGTATTCCCAAAGCTTGAAGTGGAATCTCTGTAAATGTGGTGCTCAAATACCTCTTCATCGTAGTGGCTCAGACTGAGATTCGAGTCGTGTTGGCAACTGTTCTACAACAGTTTACTCCAGTATGGATACCTCAGAATCTGGTGATTGTGCACCAAGTAAGATTGTGGTGATTGTCGTTCTTGGATTTTTTTTTTTGGGTGTTCATTGTCGTTGCTTTTCTCCAAAGGTCACAACTGGTTTGAAGAATGGTCTTTGGCTGTATATGGAAAAGCGGTCATAATGTGTCAAAGTGTGAATATCAACGTGATATTTTGGAAATCAAAGTAGGTTTGGTAGTCATTGTAAGTGTGGAATACATTTTGGAGTTTGAATCGAATTTTACATCGTAATATCGAACATCGTCGATGAATCAGTCGGAAACCACTTGGCACAAGTCTCAGAGATGGACACCTTACTTAAAATCAATTTTAGTCCTTCATGCGTAACTACTGTTTCTTATGAAACTACAATCAAACTACAATACTTTGAAACCACAAAGTTGAAGTCTTCCTTCCAAAAAGATGACTATTTTTGCCTCTGTTGCGAGTAAGGAACAGTTGCGAGTAAGGAACATTGGATTGTGTGTTAGATATGTATTGCGGCAATCAAACAATTTAACTAATTCAACACTCACAAAGTTACAATAACGTAGCGCAGCCCATGCCAAGACAAAGTAGAAAGCACCATACACGACTTGAAGAGCATACAGCAATCCGTTAGGTGTGACATCCCAGTGGTCGACATCTTTACCAGAGATGGTTCCGTTAGCATATGTAGTGTACAAGACCATGCCGACAATGGCTGCAAGTCCTGATTCTCCATCAGTAATGAGACATGAATCAATTGTCGGGACTGGAGCTGCAACGAGACGGGTTGCAAGAGCCAAGTTGCTTTGGGCCTACAATTGTTGCGTTTTGAGTACTCCGAGCAAAAAATCGAGACGTCGCAGGTGGTAACAACTGCACGACCAGCTTACATCAATAGCGAGAGCAACAGATTGAGTAACTGCTGTGCCGTTATATGCATCGAGACCTGCATATTGCGCGTATGCCTTCAAATCATTGGCGTACTGGCCCGTGATGTAATCCTTTGTGGCCGCCGATAATGAAGCAGCTGCTGCCGATGCAGCTGAAGCACTGTTGACATTCGCAGCCAGAGTAAACAGTTGAGTAAGAGAGTCGTTTTGAGCTGATGTAGCAAAGGCAATATGCTTCAGAGGAGCAATGGTGGAGTTCAAGGCAGGAGCAGCTTTAATGGCCATGGCCATTGTGGTATCCCCCAATCCTTGGTACAGGGCAGTGTTGACATCGAGAGGGATCAATTCATCTTTGGCACAGGTGACACTATGTCCGAGATACTCGTTTCTCATGAGAGGGTAGAACCAGAGACGGTCATAACTGTATTTAAACGGGAAGAAGAGAACACATGAATAAACGTGTTGGATTTCAGAAAACGAGAAGATTACGCACGATAGCCAAGCAAAGAAGTATTTGACTGGTGACGATCTGGGCAAGATGAAACTGTCGGGACAATATGTGCTAGTCCAGAAGAGGAAGAAGAAATAGTGGATGGTAAATGCTGCATTGGCATATGGAATGGATCCAGCAACATATGCACAGATCATGTTCAGAGAGGAGACACACATGGCCTAATGCAAAGTTAAAGGATGTCCTTATGTAAGAACCCACAAATTCAAAGACTTTGGTACCTCAAGGTAGAGTGTAAATCCAGATTCAGCAAGGTTCTTGTTGTCGAAACCAGCCATGGGAAGTGCGATGAATGCAACACAAGCACACATAGTGCCAGAGAATATCACTTCGACGACATATTGTGCTAGCAGGTACCACAGCTTGTTGTAGTAACCAGCTGCTTCTTCGTGGTAGTATTGCTTGCGGCGTTCGAGCCCTGCAAACAAACAGTACGTTGGCTGCTCGATGGAAATGTCTGGAGCCAGGTTTCCTGCAATTGATGGAACTTACAGTACGCAATAGCAGCAGATCCAAATCCAGGTACCATGAGTGTAATGGTGAAACCAAGAGCATCCTTTCCGACGTGACCGTAGAAACCAGCAGTTTGGCCATAGAAGGCTCCACCACAGAACAGACCGACGACAATAGCGGAGATAAACCGAGTCTAATATACATAGCGTTGGTGATGGAAGTTCTCAATCGACGACGAGAGGAGCTTACTGTGGACATGAGAGGGTTTCGCCAGTAAATTCTCAACTGACGGAGAAACAAGTGATAGAATTGGAGACGGCCTGAAGCGAGTTGGTAGAATCCCATTGATTCCAAAGCTGTGGCCTGTTTCAAATGAAACGCTTCATAGTTGTTGATAGTCCCTTGGCCAGAGTGAATGTCATTGACTCTCTTTTGAAGAGCTACACATTCAGAGGATTTCTTCCAAGAGGCAACGAGGAAGTCTGCACGAGCAGCTTGTTCGTTGGCGTAGACCTCAGCTACAAAAGCAGTGATTGTGTAAGTTTCAGTCGTAACTTCAAACATAGTGTAGAGAGTGCTTACCCGGGTTTCCAGTAATTGAAATGCCCAATTGCTCAAAATAGGCAATGGCGTCAGATGTGGTGCCAAAGTAGCAAGTCTGTCCACCAGGGCAGAGAAGCAAAAGGTTGTCGAATTGGGACAAGATGGTGTATGAGGGCTGGTGAATCGTAGCAACTACAGCAAGGAAAATGAAAAAGAGTTTATCAGTGTTGAAAGCTGGTGTGAATTTCCTGAAACGACCAGAACCTTAAGTAATCGTAAACGACTTACTGCATGCCAATTTGCGGAGACGGACGACCTCATTGACATTCTCAATAATAGCACGACCAGTTGAACTGTCCAAACCAGTAGTTGGTTCATCCAAGAATAATACTGATGCTACTGGCAACATTTCGACGGCGACGTTGACACGTTTTCGTTCGCCAGTTGATAACCCACGGACCAAAGCAGACCCAATCTTGTTATGTTCGACATAATTGAGCTGCATCAGAGTCAAAACATCATCGACCTATTCCAAAAACACGCACATCAGCTTTCTAGCACGACTGGTAAGCCAACAAGCTTTATACGAATGCTCAATTTCGAGACTCACACGTGCACGTCGCTCCTCTGCGGTCCAGACTTCAGGCAAACGAAGAGCAGCACAGAATTCCAAAGCTTCGCGAGTAGTCAGCTCTGGGGGTAGTAAGTCATCAGATGTAACGTAACCGTTGTTTTGGATGAATTCTCGCTGAGTCAATGGAGCTCCACTGTAAGGATTGAAAAACTCAGTAATTAGGCCAAAACTGGTTGAAAAGCTATTCTGAGATCTTAACACCACGTACTTGAGACGAACATCATTAGTCCATTCTCCAGTGGTTTTTCTGAAAGAAATCACATCCAGCAAGGTACTTTTACCAGCACCTGATGGGCCCATAATGGCCAGCGATTCACCAGGCTATCAAAACATTTGAGTTTAGACAAGTTGCGTCATTCATCCAAAAAGTTGAGAAATCTTGATATGGAAAACGACTCACTTTGCAGTAACCGCTAACATTTTGTAGCAATTCCTTCCATTCGCCACGGACCTTTAATCTGCAATCAATACTTCTGAAGGAGAAAAAGGCTGGTCGGACTTGGCTGTCATCCGTGACGGCTATAAATCAAGACATGTAGAAATATTCAAGAGTTAACGACTGAACAAGCTCAAGCGAGACAAGATAAAGACGTATTAAAAAGGATACAATTTTGCTTACCCCATGATGAGCTGTTTACCACAGAGTCCTTCTTTTCGATGGACATTTCAATGTGGTCAAGGTGCTTGATCTCACCAGAAACAAGCCAATATGATGGGTTCGATGCCGTGTCGAGACGATTCCGAGTCACGCTGTTCCACAAATGACTACAGCCGTAACTGTTTCTACAGTCTACACCTTGTGGGACATCACATGTGTTCTCTCGATTTTGAAATGATCACCATTCCCACCGTATTTTGCCAAGAATTCGAGCATTCAGAGTATTTTCTGACTATTGGAAGCACCGTTTGCAATGACATCTCAAGATGACGCCGCGATACACCATATGGGACACAAGATACTGGGTGATGCTGAACACGCAGGGTACGTTTCGGTGATTATGGTCACATTTCGTGCTGGAGACGATTTACCGTTGAACCTGAATCGAATATTTCCTTGCAATGAACGACCATTTTTACTGCAGTTACACTATTACGTGGCGAGATATCGCTTTGGACATTGATATTGGTGGAATGTTCTCTCAAAAGAAAACCATTCGAACGCTCAAGGGCTCGACTGGATTTATGAAGCCAAAGGAGTCTTTGGCAATTATCGGCCGTAAGTTTCTTCGGTCAGCTTTCTCGTCATCGTTTTGGTGTGATTCTTATATCATTTACAACTCTACAGCATCTGGTGCCGGTAAAACTACTTTAATGGACATTCTTGCCAGTCAAAAGACACTAGGTCGCATTTCTGGTGAACTTCTTGTAAACGGAGCACCACCAGATGCATTCTTTAAGAAACGTGCTGGCTACATCTTTGTAAACATGTAAGCCTCGGGCTAAGTATGCCATTCATCCAAATCCAATGACTCACCTCTGAAAAATACGTAGGGCACACATTCCAACCATGACTGTCAGGGAAACAATCATGTTTGCTGCAGAGTGTCGAATGCCTCGTGGGTCTACTCACGCTCAGATTGTTGGTCGTGTGGACGACGTTTTGGAATCGCTAAGGATGACCGACGCACAGCATACTCCAGTCGGAGATGAATTGATTCGTGGTGTGTCTTCTGGTGAAAAGAAGGTAACTGTAAATGTATCCCCGACTTAATCTGTTATCTTAATGGTCAGTCGCTAATGCCCTAACAAATTCAACACTCTGATAGCGTACTGAGGTTGGTATTGAAATGGTTGCCAAACCGAAAGTTCTCTTCTTTGACGAGCCAACCTCTGGTCTTGATGGTAAATAATTCGTCGTGTTTTGTAGCACTTTTCTCCTGCTTGCTACCACGACTTCGCTCAAATCCATAGACTTTGGTGCTCGTTTCACTATGGAACTTGTGCTGAGTTACGTCCAATCTGAGAACGTCTCGGTAGCAGTCGTCGTTCACCAGCCTGCTGAGGCTGTCTTCAAGCTCTTTGACAATGTCATCCTTATCGGTGGTGGTGGTCGAATTTGCTACTTTGGACCAGTCAGTCACTGTGAGAAATACTTTTCTGAATACGGCTTCCCGTGCCCTCCTCTAATGAATCCGATCGAGCATTACGTTGATGTTATCGCAGCCGATACCGTCAGTGCCTCGGAATACTATGAGCGATCACCTCTGTATGCTGCCAATGCTGCAGAGGAACGACGTCTCGCTCGACTTCGTTACAGTGCTGTGTCTCATTCCACTCACATTGTGGAACGTAACTCATGGGACCAATTCAGGCTCTTGACTACTCGTGTAATATTGAGGTATCAAAGGAATCCTTCAACTTCATGGGGTCGTGTAAGTCAACTTTAGACTGCTATTTGGCTGGTGATTGTAACAGTCAACCAAACGACAAATCACTAAAACGAATCTCGTAATGATAGCTCGCCCTCTTCATGTGCTTTGCTCTCTTCTTTGGTAGTATCTTTTACCAAATTCCTCACGCCGCATCGTATCTCGGTACAATCAACCACGGTGTCGGCACCTTTGGTTTCTTGTCTATCTTCGTGGCCATCGCCTCTGTGCCTCAGTTCATGGAGGATCGTGAATTGTACATTCAAGAATTCAGCGCGGCCTTTTATACGCTACCTCCTTACTATCTGACGTAAGCTCAATGTGGTCTAGTCTCTTTGGTCAATTTCTCACTAACTTTTCTAAATGTTTGAATGTAGATACTTTGTTGTAGAGTACGTTTGGCCGTCTTGCTGAAAAAAACGTTTGGTATACTCACAACTATATTTCACCAATAGGGGTATATTTACCACAGTCATTACCACTATATTGCTCACCACTGTCTACTTCATGGAAGGAATGCCCGCCAACAAGTTCGGACTTACATATGCCATGATGTTTGTTCAAATGTGGGTCTCAACAGCTGTCGCTCGAGGCTGGTCTGGTACGAGTAAATCAAATTTCTGTTATTTCAATTGTCGAGATGTCACTGACTAGTTCTTCGATTAGCATGGTGCAAGACACTGATTCAAGCATACACTGTGTTATGGGCTGCTGGTCTGATCTTCTTTGCGTTCTCTGGTGCTGTCGCTCCGTTCGGAGCTTTCAGCCAAGGACTTTTATGGCTTACAGATGTCAACTACTGGCGATGGACTTACCAATATGTTCTCTACACGATCACAGTAAGCTAGCTAACTTTGTTTACATGATTGCATCTGCTATTCGAGATATAGCTGACTTACACATATCCCTATAGTACGACTTGCCAGTCGATTGTGACCAAGCATTCCCATTCCGCTCTCTCGCGCCCATCTACTCTGGCATATACGAGAAGGCTGACGCTGGTGGACTAGTCTCCAACGGCTCTGATACCGCTGCTGCTACCGCAGTCAGCAGCACTCTGAACCAGATAGCTGCCATCAACCAGATATTGGCCACAAACCCTCCTGCTGCGGTTGCTACCGAACTGACTGCTACTCTTGCTGCTTTGCAAACTCAGCTGTCAACAACCGCTCTTGGTGGTAGTGCTATCCTTACAAATGCCACGCTCATCGCCAACCTGCAAGCCAGCAACACTAAATGTATGTTGATATCTCGTCTTTCCGGTCCTCCTACTTTTTTTGCTGCAAAAATTTCAAACTCATATCGCCTCATGCTCTTCAGTTGTTTCTACCAATGCCGTCGTTCTGGCATCCACGTCCAATAACACAAAGACACTATACCCGGCTACTGAAAATATTTGTATCTACAGTATGTGTCTCTAGCAATGGCGTCTTTTAATATAGTTTCAATGCCTGAAAGTTTCTTCTTTGTAGATCCACAATCCTTCTTAGCTGCCTTCAACAGTATTGGCAAAGATTGCATTGTAAGTCTCTTTCATCTCTATCTCGATACCTGTATATCGTTTGTTTCTGTATATGTGCTCATGCTTTTCACTATTCCAGGCCTGTGGTAATGTCGCATATGCCGTCAACGTGTCACTCTTGATATTCTTTGTTCTGTTTACGGTAAGTTTTCAACAGATGTGATTCTGCAAGAGTATCTTGGCTTCTGACACCCTTCAAACTATCTAGTACACTGGTCTTTGGTATTCCCGTGGTTACAGGCAACGATAAGCTCCCACTGCTGCGAGAAGGGTGCTCAATGTCTGACAAGGCTTAGTGAATTCAGTCAAGTCCTTGAAAAATCGTTGTATTAAATTTAAATAGTTTTAAAGTCGAGCGATATTTTATTAGGTCCTACCCAATACACTGTGTTTGTAAACAGAAGCACAACTGGTGCAAAGTGTATATGTAGCGAAATCAATTGTCGCGAATGGTAGAATTCATATCTCATATCTCTACCTATTGGAATGTGCATGGGTGAACTACAGACTCCGAATGCGTAAACGATATGATCTTGGGAGATCTGTACCATTGGAGGTTTGTGAGGCAAGAAAGAGCGTATAAGCAGAATTAGTATGCCTTTAATGATAATTCAAGTTGATTGCGACATCTTTGAACTACACTGGTTGTTTCACTGAATGCAATCTTGGACTTATCGCAAAAACTGGTCATGTCATGATTTTGAACTTGGCAAGGCAACGATACAAAGACAACACGTTCAGTAACTCATATATCGCTTATTTGGTCGAGAGTCAAGAAACGACTTCACATATCCTGAGGTGCCTCTGCTGGAACTTGATTCTGTGCTAGTGTTTGCAAAAGATCTCGTGGCAGCCAATAATGAAGTAGCAGCTGCTGATGCTCTGCAATCAACACTTCTGAACGAGAAAAAGGCTGAACGGGCTTGAATGTCGTCCGTGACAGCTATAAATCAAGACATGACGAAATATTCAAAAGTGGACCACTGAACAAGCTCAAGCGAGACAAGATCAAGATGGATACAATACGCTACAATTTGAGCTTGGCCCATGATGAGCTTTTCACCCCAGCATCCTTCTTTTCGATTGACATCGTTTCAAAAGGGGACCAGGTGCTCGATTCGGACAGAAAGAAGTTGCTCTGATAGATTCGATGCAGTTTCGAGAGGATTACGCGTCACAATGTTCCAAATATGACTATAGCCTTAACTGCTTCTACACTCTACACTTGTGGGACATCACATGTGGTTCGATCTTGAAATGGTCACCTTCCTCTGCATTTTTCCTGAGAAATCGAGCATATTTTGGCTCTTGGGAGCACTGTAGTCCATGACATCTCAAGGTGGCGCTGCGATACACCGTATGGGACAGAAGCTAATCGGTGAATCTGAACGCACATTGTACGTTTCGGTGATTATGGTCAGTATAATTGAGCCTTGGCAAAGTAAGGCTTCTCTCTCATTCATTGGCGGCGAGTGTTTCTACCAATGAGAAACAACGGCTTCAGCCACACCCAGCCACACGGATGGACAAAACTGCTATAAAATTCATACATTTCTTAAACATCGATAGTGCCATACCATAACGCAAAGACAAACATCCAACCAATATCAAACCCAACATGTATACCAACCCAACCCAGACCAACCCAACCGGTATTCGAACTAGTGTACCACTACCTCTCGATGTTTGGATCAACATCTTGGAATGTGATAAACATGGGAATGTATCTCCCATGATGTATATGTGGATGTCTCACATATTACGGAATTCAGGATACCTCAGACAGTCTAGGTCTCTTCTCTCTAAATATGCCCACACGGAGGGATTTAGTCGTCATGCTATCAAGGTGATTGTATCAGAACATAGTTGGTCGATGAAAGTCTCTAAGGACTCTGCTGCTGCGGCCTTTAGTGTCTCTCTGCTACAGCCAGCTCCTCCCGGACGTCATTTAAATATAAAACTAGATCGCAAGGCTGCTAATGCCGTAGAATACCTGGATTCTATGGTTCCGAAGGTCTATACACCAAACGTCCCTGGCACCATAGCATCGCTCTTCAAATTCACCATCATCCACTTGTACGGACAAGCAAAGTATTCTCGGATCCTCTCGAGGCTCTTGGAACACTGCCCAGCCGATCACACTGGTACTTGCCCTATTTTAGATCTGGTGATCCGTGTAGGTGAATTGACGTATGCAGCCGACTTTATGCTACCGAATCTACTTGACCGGACAATAAAGGCAGAGAATGTGGAACTACTCAAATTGTTCTATAGGTACTCTACCAAGATGGATGTAATGCCTCCTAGATCTAGATTCTTGGATGCCATCTTCTCGGAGAATGTACAAACCGTGTACCTCACAGCTGCTATCGTCCGTGAATATCATGATCTAGCAAGGCTGAAGATATCTATAGAAACGGTTAGGAGATTACTATCGGAACATCGTTATGATACTTTACGCTATCTCATGCAATATTTCAGGCTCCATCTTACAGCCAACGATGTCAGAGAACATTGCCTTGCCATCCAAACAGGGCCTATGAACGTCATCTGCCGATTTGAGAAAGTAATCCAATCTATCTATAACCGCCATGAAAACTTGGATATAATCAACAGAGTGGAAGGGGTATTGCACCAACCACTCGAATAGTATCTTTGGAGTCTTTTAAGCAATAGCTGTATTTTTCACATAAATATTTTCCTGTGTACTCGTGATGTTCGTTTCATAAAACCACAAGAAAGACCCAAATTGAACTTCTCTTGTTTCCTTGGGTTTCATAAAGTCCTTGTGCTCAGAGGAAGACAGATCAATTGCAGCGAATGGTCTGATTCATACCTCATACCTCTGCCCATTGGCATGTGCATGGCTGAACTGCAGACTCGGAATGCGTAAATGTTGATTTGAGGTTGGGGGGTTTGGACGAATAGAACTTCTTGAGCCAAGAAAGAAGAGTGTAAGCAGAAGTAATATGCCACTAGTGATAATTCAAGTTGAGTCCGACACCTGTGAACTACATTAGCTGTTTCGTAGTGGACTGCAATCTTGGACTTGTCGTCGCAGAACGTGGTCATGTCATGATTTTGAACGTGGCAATACAACAATATAACGCGTCAAGTAACTTAAATGTCGTAAATTCTCGTTCAAAACCGACTCTATATGCCCAAAGATGCCCCTGGACTTGCTTTCTTTGAAGTTTGCAAAAGATCTCATGTTGCTGCCATTGAGTCTTCTAATTTCTGAAGCAAAGCAAAATTTGAATATTCAATATGATTCCAGTCTCGCTACGCGATAAGCAGTGTATCGAGCATGCATTTTGGCCGTGATTGAGCATTGGGACGCGTCAAACAACGAGCTAATACGACGGGCTAAAAGCGAGAAAACGAGCGAAATACGACATAGATAAAGCAACTCGATTCTGGTCCTCTCTGCGGTCGGTTCTCGACCAACTCTCGACTGTCATCGAATCACCAAAATCACTACCAAACATCGATATCAGAAGAAGTGCAGCGATGAGTTATTTCTTCCAGGCAGTGACCAAGTCATATACAGAGGTGCCCATATCGGCCGATGGAGCCATTGACACGGTTTCTTTCTTGGAGGCCACAGAGAACCTGATTAAGCTGTTTGATTTCATCAACCCAACTGCTTTCTCTCTTGTAAAGGGCGACATGACGGGAAACGTCGCTGTAAGTACTCATAGAATACATATTACTGGTTTTGTAGACGCTGTGTTCGCCCTTCTCATTATAAGAGAGTGGCTCTCCTTGCTTCTCAAACGTATCATCATCTACATCCACCGTGTGATTTTCAAACCACGTTGCAACAACTACACCGAAAGATCTAACCAAGCGTCCATCTCACTAGAAAATCCGAAACAAATTCCTCACAGCTCCACTTGCCCTGACCACTCTACAATCCGTCGTCATCTCCGAAGTCAGCATACAACCAAAAACCGCTACTGAGGGCTTACTGTGGTTGGAACGTGGACTCCTGTTCACCGCACTCGCACTAAGACGTAATGTCGATAACCCTAACGAGGAATTGAGCAAGAGTTTCCAAGAAGCTTATAAAGTCTCGCTTGGTACTTATCATAACTTTTTGGTCAGAACTGGTGTGAATGTGAGTATTCGTGTATAAAGATGAGACGCTGTTTCACTCGATTGCAGAATTTTAACTGATCTTGCACTTTTTAGCTGGCAATGAACGCATGTCCATCTCGCAAGGACTTTTATGCCAAACTATCTCCTGATCCTTCTGAAGTCTCGGCAAAGCTAGGATCATGGTTGGCTGCTCTGGAAGCAATCAATGTGATAATCAACAAGTTCTTTGTTGATGGTGGTCATGATAAGGTAGCGAGCATTACAAATGTTGCGTTCTCATGTCACTGATGGTCTCACCTTTGTTTCTCATTAAAGGGTCCATTCGTCTGAAAGAGACCTGATCAAAGCCATCAAAACCCATTATAAAAAGCCATTGCCTTGCGTCATTATGTCATCGATGGCCCGAATTCTTTTTGTTGAAACCTGAAGGTTATTTATCTGTTGTCAAGAAACATAAACAATTTGCAGTTCCTTTATAATGAAGTTTTCATTAGAATAAGAAAACTGATTACAATGAATTTTAAAATGAGTGCATGACTATTCATAGGATGGATTATATGATTCTAATGCGAAAACCTATCAACTACCACTACCACTATTGTCAGTGGAGGGGTGTCATAGATTCTGCTTAAAGAATTCAGCACCACGTTTACGAGCATCTGTCATTGCAGCCTTAACAACCTCTTCCTTATCATCCCCACGAGAAGCAAACCCATGCTGGACTCCCTCATAGTCAACAAAAGTAGCGTTTTTACCCTTCAGGAGCTCCTCTGCCTTCTTTCTCATTGAAGGAGTAAAGACCATATCATGCTGTGCGCATAACCAGAGAGATGGGACTTTGACGGGCTCGACATCAGTTGGGATTGTGACGGCTGATGGGTGAGCGAGACAGAATGCTTGGATTCGGTCTGCGTTTGCGGCGTTCTTGAGACAGAATGGTGCGCCGTAGCAGTCTAATGATGGTTGGTGGATGTTAATTCAAGAGCGAAAATCCCTCGGTTTTATGTGACGTACATCCTTGCATTCCGATTTTGGTGATTCCTTGCTTCTCGCGAATGTCATCAATGAATTTGTCAATCTGACAAGAGATTCGGATTCGTTAGAAAAGTAAAGTAGTTTGGTTTTAACATTCAAGATGCTTTGATTTGAAACACGATCCTTACCTTGGGCGCGACTGACGAAACCGAATTAGCTCTCATCCACGGAACCAATTTAGGTAATCGACTCATCAATCCGAAATACTACCAAACCAAACGCATCGTCAAAAAACGTGTTGCGAGAGACAACAATACATGACAACAAACGTTTTTCACACACCATTCCGATCTTGGTCATAAAAGGTTGAGGGACATGCAAGTTAATATCTCCCATAACATCAGCAGGTAGAGCCTTCCCGTCGAACATGTCTGGGATGTATACATTGAAGCCAGTATTCTCACAAAAGTAGTCAGCAATGAGGCGGACATTGTTCATCTTCCATCCAAAGATATCGGTGGCGATGACGATAGCGGTTGTAGAAGGTGTTGTGGGTCGTTTGACGTCTAATGAGGTATAACAGATTGGTGAGAAAATTGATGATACACACAATGGTGTTGCAAGATCTTGGACGTGAGGACCATTGACATAATGGTGCTCAAGGCGGTGGACATAAGGATCCAAATGATTTCGAAGAGTACATGGATTCACCACTTACAGTAGTCCAAGCTACCCAGCTTTTCTTCAACACCAGTAGCAGTTCCTAAGATATTGCGTGCAGTATTTAGTGATTGCTTCAGTCAGTCTTGATATGTATAGTATAGTATGTATTGGAATCAGCCTAATTTGTCTATCCAGACGAGATCATGGAGGTTCAGGTTCAAATACCTTCATGTTGGAATCCCACGTCAGCACAGCATGCCTTGGGAGTAGCGGTCTCGGTAGCCATATCTAAATTCCAAAGTTTTCAGTTTATTTAGTTAGTGAAAGGTTCTGGCTTAACACTTGTAACCCCTTCCAGAGATCAATTCAGTTTATGGAGGTAACTTGCCAGATATGAACCAGTCGTGGCTATGAGATATCTTGACACGGTAAGTTTGGTTTAAAGACCAGAGATGTAGACTGTTCCTCCTTTTTATAGGTCTTATCGCTAAAACGATGCTCAGTCGTCAATCAGGAAAAAAGTCAAGAGCGAGTAAGCAAAAAGGACAAAAGTATACAGGTTCAGTTGCCAAACTCGCTCTATTAGGACAAGATAACGTGTTCAAGTACGTGATAGATTATCCCTTTGTTGCTTGAGGGAAATGTCAGAAAATTCAAAGTCCACAAGAACCAGACTAGCGCAGATGGTTGAGTAGTCGCTTCTCTCATAGGGAAACAGTGTAATTTGCTCTAATTGTAGTTGAGGCGATATCACAGAGTCTCCTTTTGCTTCAGTACACCTATTCTGCAACGGTGTTGACCTTTGCGTCAACTCCTTTCGCTTAACCAAGTCGTTTTTGGTTATATACTGTATTTAAGCACTCATACCACACATTATTATAATACTATTAGGTTTTCAAACGGTTGTAACTCCCGTCCATGACTATTATCACTACTAAATATCTCTCTCTTATACTGGAAAGTTGAGGGAAACCCTAGCATTGCTACCAGCAGGCGGTGGCAACAACCCCTTCGCTTTCGCATCAGCACACACTCGATTCCAGTCACTTGGCACTTCAGTATGAGCCAAAGCCTCCTGACCTTCAACCATCGTCATCAATAACCCAGCAGCTAAATGCCAGTCAACGTGACAATGGAAGGTCCATGTTCCTGGATTGGTGGCTTCAAATCGCATCGTCATCCAACCGACTGGTGGTGCAGCTGCAACGTCGCGGATTGGTGGATAGTTGAGGCCGGTGGTGGATTGGATGGCTGCATCAATGTCGGATATGGTGGGGAGGATGTCGGTGCCGTTGATTTGCGGCATGGCACCGCGACCGAGGATTTGTGCGTTGTGGCCGTGCCAGTGGCTATTTGTAAGAGAATGTCAGAGTTTGTCTGGATCAATAACGAGTGTTGCTGAAAGCAAACTTACAATGGATGAGGAACTGTTTCGTGGTTGACGAACGTGACTTCAACGACATCACCAAGAGTGAGAGGGACGGCATTCCATTGAGGTGCAAAGTTAGCGGAACTGGTGTTGGTGACCAAGTTGCCAGATTGAGCACCGTCAATAGCAAGTTGTAGTGCGGTGTTGTTATCTGGGTGCCATGATGAGGCGCCGAATCTCTTGACCCATTGGCCATTGACGTAGTGATAGAGCCAGACGAAGGCATAGTTGCTGCCGGTTGCAACGTCATTGTCAAACTAGGAAGATGGTTTGGTTGGATGTTAGCAACGTTTGAGCAGTGCAGTTCATTCGCTTTCATATGACATTTGACTCACTCGGAATTCAAACATGTATCGTTGAGCTGGTGTAGTAGGTGTGATTTGTATGGCTGGGATGTGACCAAGAGGTTTAGGCCATGTGAAGGTAGTAATGTTTGTTGCATCGGCAACAGAGATGAAGCCTTGAGAGTCCAAAATAGTAGCATTCTTTGCGGCAATTTGAGTCACTGGAACATCTTCTCCGACAATCAAGTATCCAATAACGTTGGGGTTGAGGTTTGGGTTGATGTACTGAAAGAACCAAGAGCTCTGTTAATTTGGTGCTCTCGTGTGATGCTCGCTTACATGGAGAAACACTTACTGGATAGAATTGGGATTGCATGGTAGCATTGATCACATATCTTCCTTCTTGGACTCCTTGATCGGATGGAGCCAAGTAGAAGGTGACACGTTGCGCAATATCTAAGCGTCGTTTCAAGTCAGATATCATCCCAACGAACGTCCAATTACAATTCCAAACTCACCAACGAGAAGCGTATCAACCGGAGTAGGGTGAACATCAGTACCATCCAATTCAACAATGACGAACTTGATTCCATCAATTCTCAAAATCCATGAAGTGAAAGCGGAATGGTTGATGACACGAACACGGTATTGACCATCAGCAGCAACCTTGACCTCAGCATATTGATCGTGGGTACAGACTGATGTGTTTGGAATCAAGCCGGCAGTGAGGAGACCAGAGCAGTTGTATTGTCCTTTGCCATTAATGAGACCGGATTCTGGAACTGGTTCGGCACCGGTTGGATTGTTTATTGGGTCCTAATATGTATGATCTTTTCGTTAGATGGTGAGCTTACATAGGAATAGCAACTGCTGGCACTTACAAAGAATTGTTTCAACAATGTGGAGCCGTTTAAATGGTACCAATCACCTAGAGTAATAACACGGTCTGAAGCACCAGCCGTTATGGTCTTGTCGTGAGCTGGCATGAAAATGATTGGACCACGACTATTTAGGCGTTCAATACTGTGAGCAAAGACCCAGGTGGGTCTTACATAGAATGAGAAATTACCTTCCATGCTCGTACTGAGCGTCGTAGTGAGAGTGGTACCAGTATGTGCCATGTTGCTTGACTTTGAAGGTGTATGTGAACGAATCACCGACAGCAATGGGACATTGGGTAACGAATGTAGCTGAGACGGAAAAGCTTAATGTGAGAAATGCCACCTCGCAGAAATTGGGTCTCCCAATAGTTACCTCCATCAGCATAAGGTGTAACCGATTGGAAGAGACCGTGCCAGTGCATAGATGTTGGCTCACTCAGCTGATTTATGACGTTGATTGAAACAGTGTCGCCCTGTAAATACCAAAGTGTCAATAACTCGATAAAAATGAAATGAAATGCAAAGGAGGAAATAACAAAGTTGTCGTACTTCCGTAGCGACCAAAGCTGGACCAGGAAAGACTCCATTGATTAATATGCCTTGGTTAAAGACAAAGCCATCCGCTGAAACATTTCCGAGCGTGAGCACCATTGTGTAATACTTGACACCATTGACTTCGGTGAATGGGAGTGAAGCAGTACCTAAATGCAAAAAATAAATTCTGTTAGATTTTCATTTTCCATCTGAACTGACTAGACAACAAACTCAAGTTGCGTCTTTCCACACAAAACTTACCACCCAAGTTATACACAACACCACCACCATTATGTTCACCAACACCATTGTGATTATCATCAGAGGAACCATCATCACCATGAGAATTGTGATCTCTGCCACCATGATCGCCGCTGTTATAAGTCGAAGGTCTTTGATCATCGTCTTTGTGCCAGCCTCCTGCATTTACTGAGGCGAATGTCGCAAGTGCCAGTGCACAAAATGTGGTGGCAGTCAACCTCATGGCTTGGTTCCTCTCCCTCTATGGTAATGAGTGTCTAGGACTGTCAGAAGGCGGATACGAGGGGCAAAATTAAGGCACCCCCGCCCAAAATATCCTGATGGTTTGTCCCGACTGTCCCAAAATAGAATCGCAACATAATTTTGTGGAAAACGTCACATTTCGTCATGACAACCGTCTAATGCTTGCAAATAGTAACAGATTGATGTAATGCTGGTCGGTGGCGTGACTATAAATTGTGTGTGATGGTTGTTTGCGGCATTCCCACCAAGCTGTGAATATTTTGAAAATAGAAACGAGTCCAAAACCATTTATCACAGTGTTTCTTGCGTCAAATCAACCAAAATAAAAGAATAAACTAATGATTACCAGCAGAGAGTCCGCTGTGTACCTAGTCGTTACTTGAAAAAATGTGGTCAGTTTTATTATGACACCTGAACTCACACGCTACTACCACCAGCGACCAAGGAAAGGCGTGAATATTAAGCTTGAAACTCTACCTTTCTTAATAGACCATTCTGGTAGTGTCGCCATAGTTAGAACGGCAGTTCGGCCAAAAACACGACACGAAACCAGCTATATAACGGCAAAAAACCAATAATTCTGTCAGGTAGGGTCATACGTCGCAGAAAATACCATATCCCGTCAGCTCTGTGAAGTCAAGCTGCGACCGGCGCGGGCAGTACTGGGGTGAGAGATCACCCAGGAATTCCGCGTACTCTACTTTTTTTTTGGAGTTGTCAGATAAGTGTTTTTTGGCGACTACTTGAGTCTGCTGTGAGATTAAGATACGACGTCTAATAAGCCGAGCTGGGCTTCAAGTCTTTCTCAAACGTTTTTTTGGGACCTGAAGAAAAGACTCAAAAGCACGTCGTGCCGCAAAATTCAATTGCAACAAACAGAGAGATATTCGCAACTGCATGGAAACCGCAATTATTTATTTTTAAGCATAATTATGCTCTCAATTATACTTTTCTGGATAAACTGTTATGGGACTCTCGTACAATGCAAGACCAAAAGGCAGCGTTTGAAAGGTTTCACTTTATTGACTCGTTTGACCATCAAAGAAAATAACTCAGGAAGACTTGTGCACTACCGATACCACCATTCAAAGCTACCAAACCTCTTCAACTTCATCTCATTTAGTGATGTGTTGAAGTTTTGGTCTAAGGTCTATCTCGCTCCTTGTTGCTATTTTGCCTCGCTTCAATCCCATTCTCACACCAGCAAAACTATTCGCGATAACAACAAGCTCACAAAACCAATACTATACAGTGATGGCTAAAGCTACCAAAGGTACGTTGTGTGAATGGAGATACTGGACTTGGCTGCAGCTTCCAAAGCTATTTAATGATTTCCCAAACTTCTCAGCTCAAGCTCACCTTGCTTCGTTCTTTACTAAAGCAAAAGTTTCAAAGAAGGTCTCCCCATACAATCTCTTCATGTGAGTATACGTTGTTTTCGTTGATACCTCTTCATATCCGTTATTCTTTGAAATTGCATCAACTCAATCTCAAGATTTCGGGCTTACACAGAACAAACCGAATAGGAAGAACAATTTGCAAGTAGCCAATTTATCGTTCCGCTTATTCCAGTTATGGTCTAGAAGCTCTATCTCTGAGCGATCGGACAGTTGAGAAGATTATCCAATGTGTCAGACTCATTTTATGCGATCAATATACTCATCTGTCGCTTTTCAAAACAGGCCTACCTACAAGACAGCTCATCCCGACGCGGCTCATCGTGACGCCTTCTCGGCTGTCGCCAAAATGGTGAGTCGGGTGCAGCTGTACGTTCCAAGTTTGGCATTTCATTTCAGTTAGCACGGTCGCTAACAACCATTCTTCAATTGTAGTGGGCTGATGCTCCCGAGAATTTCAACAAAGGAGCTACCAAGACCGAGAAGTCCAAGAAGTAGATCACTTGATAGTCTGCAAAACGCGTTTGCTATTTCATACTGTTTCCATCTTTGATTTTGGCTGTTATTTATTCTTGGGCTGTTGCTATTAGTGAAAAATGTGTCTTGCAAAAATATATTCGCAAGCTACACCTACTCCGAAATGTTTGTTGCGAAGACCAAGGTTAATCTGCAGTCAAATGGATGATCTATTTTTTCAAATGTACCTAATTACGTTTTTTGTGGGGTAAGAGAAGTCTCAGAGAGCACCAGACTTCTCTAATAGGCTCGAAACAGACACCGGAGCAGTAGCATTAGATGTAGGAGTTGATTCAGCGGTAGCATATCCTGAAATACCAGCAAGCACTTCTGCGCCATCGCTCTTCCTCTTGGCCAGATTTCGTAGGATTGCGGCATTTTGCGGTCCAGTTTCGTCTACAGCCTTTGAGAACGCACTCGATGGATTCTCCAATAAGTTTGATGGTGTGTCGAATTCAGATACGTTTCCAGCATCGAGTACGAGGACCTGTTCAGAACGAAGGTGGGCGTTAGCAGCCTTACGTTTGGCTTAACAAGTAACCAAGTCAATACCCTGTCATAGTCAATAATTGTGTTTAAACGATGGGCCACCGTAATGATTGTGCATTCAGAAAAGTCCTTTCTGATGGCAGCTTGAATGAATTCATCAGTTTGCAAATCCACACTGGCAGTGGCTTCTAAGAATATCAAAGCATGTGAGAAACAAAACCAGAAAAAGCAGTACGATTTTTTCTCACCATCCAGAATAATGACTCTAGCTCGTCGCAGCATAGATCTTGCAAGACAAAACAATTGTCTTTGTCCTGAACTCCAATTCTCCCCAGATTCACTAACTTTAGCTACGAAAAGAATCCGTCGAACGTTTTAGTTCCGAGCCCTCGTCAATATCTATAAAGTTAAAACATACCTTCTAACTGATCCGGATTTGCCGTAATAGCACCTTTAAGATCACAGCGAGCCAGAACGTCCCACAAATCCGTATCAGAGTATTCGTTAAAGGGATCGAGATTCATGCGGACTGTTCCAGAGTACAAAACTGGATCTTGCGGGATGATTGCGATCCTAGAGCGCAGATCTCGTAATCCGATGGTGGAGATATCAATGCCGTCGATTGTGATGGTTCCAGACGACAGCTCCACTAGTCGCAGCAACGATACAATGATGGAACTTTTACCAGCACCAGTTCCTGGAGAAGAAAAAGTTTTAGCATTTTGATGTTCAGAACAGAGTACACATAGATGGGTGCAAACTTACTTCCAACAATTCCGACCTTTTCAGAGGTCTTGATGTCAAAGCTGATACCATGTAGAATTGGTGGCAAGTCTGGGCGGTACCGTATCGATACATCCTTGAACGAAATCGTTCCACGATCTGGCCAATTAGCTGGAGGAGTATGCTCTGGAATCGTCTCAGGAGCTTCACTTTCAATGTCGTCGACATAGTATAGCAACCTCTCCGTTGAATTCATGTTTGTTTCAGTCTCTGCTGCTTGTCTAATGCCCCAATTGAATGTGGAGGTGATTTGCAGAGCATAGGACACGACCAAACCAGAAAGATAACTGGGAATCGTATGGCGCTCTACGATGGTAAATAGAGTAGCCAAGAATACCAAGAGGGAGGAAACAACTTCCAAACGGATGGAAAGCTAATTCACCAAAAAAATGTTGAGCAATCTTGCATAGTGAAAGAATGGACTACAGCCATCATGAACCGTACCCATCGCTGAGCCTTGATACTAGGATAATAGCAGCGTCCGTTACTGTCTATCAAATCTCGATTCTTCAAGCGGAATTGATCCTGAAAACAGCATATCGGTGAGATTCAAGACAATGCGAGAGCCACCAAATACTCCAATATTACCTGAACCCCATAAGCTCGCACAGTCTGAAGACCAGTGAGACTCTCAGCAAAGTGAGAAATTAACGGACTGCGAGTCATAGAGTCTAATCTTCTGAGCTCACGAGCCGTTTGTCGGTAGTATTTCTGAATATAGTAGTAGTAGATAAAGGCAGGAAGCAGTGGAGCAAAGAAGACTGAAAAAAGGTTGAGTTGATCAATGCATGTCCACTATGAAACTGTTGACGACGACTCACTAGGGAAGACAATGCCAATGTAAACAAAATTACTCATTGCAAGACTCATAGTTAAACTGAACATTCGCAGTGTTTCAGGTAGAATCTAAAATTTGTGTGAAAATCGTAAGAAAGTAGACCAAAAAATGGGGAAGAGCGAGCTTCTTACATTATCAATCACATCAAGATCTCTACTAAATCGATTCACAATGCGGCCTAAAGGCGTAACATCGAAAAACGCCAATGGTGATCTGAAAATGGCCTTCAATGCAGAGTCATGCAGCTTTTGGGCTGCATTGATACCCAATTGTGCAAACAGCAATGCTAGTTTGAAAGAAATATTCAGGTCAATGGCAAATGCTTTAGACAAGCGCTGTTTCGATTACCTTGAATGGTCACAATGAGCACTTGAACAAGCCCAAATGAGACATAAATGGCTTGATATTGGCTCAACGATAAGGAAAAGTGATTTGAAGCCCACTGCTGTAACCAGACGTCTGTACCGATTCTAGCACCTATTATGACAAGTTAAATTAATATTCCCGGTCTCGACCATATATCAAATTTTTCTTTGCTTGTACCTTGAGCAAAGACAACTGTCGAAAAGGTAAGACCTGCAAGAATCCAACCACCAGCAAAATTCACATATCTTTTATATACATTCCACGATACAGCACCGACTTCACGTTCTTCGTCAAGAATCAGGGCCTTGCCCGCCTTGGACACAATTTTGTCATCGTCTTCTAGAGCGGTGCTGGCGCGACTAGATTTAGCACTCTTGGTTGAGAATTGACTACGTCGACGTTCTAGATTCGGAGGAACCAAGTGGGCACCCAGTGATGGCTCTAATAGCTCTTCTTCATCATCTGATTCCATGCCTCCGTAATCCTTCATCAAGGTCGTGAATGGTCCATTAGAGCTATACAAATTTGCAAATGTGCCTTGTTCAGCTATCTTTTGATCGCCCATTACTAATATCCAGTCACACTGTTGCAAATAGTGTAGGGAATGTGTAACGAGAATACGTGTCTTCTTTTTCAAGGCTCCACAAATACAGTCTTGGAAGAGGCTCTTTCCAACATGGGTATCCACTACAATTCAATGCATTAGACTATGTTGAATTTCGCCTGGAAAGTCTTCCTGCTTGAGTGGTTTCAAAAAAACACAACCCACGAAAACCATTTCCCATACGGACGAGCCAAAAAACAAAGAAGAGAAGATCGAGGAGACCGTAGATCGATTAATACGACCACAAATCATATAAAGCTTACCAGCGCTCAGAGGATCATCCAAAAGCACAATGTCACTATCAAAGTAAACAGCCCTGGCCAGGTTGATCCTTTGCTTCTGGCCACCTGATAAATTGATCCCTCTCTCTCCAATCTCCGTCATATCACCTCCAGGCAAGATCTGAAAGTCGCGTTCTAAACAACACGCCTTGATAACACGACGATACTTGGCCTCGTCGAATGGAAGACCAAAAAGGATGTTATCTCTACATTGTAAAAGTAAATAACAGCTTTAAAACCTCTGAATTCAACACGAAATATACCTGACAGTTGCGTTCTGAATCCAAGCAACCTGACTACAAAGGGCAACCGATCCTCTAAATTCAACAGACCCTGTCTTACGCTTCATTTCACCAACAAGAGCAGACAGCAACGACGTTTTACCACTACCTACAGGTCCGACTATAGCAACTAGGCTACCTGCTGGTACATTCAACTCAATATTTGATAAACGCAAGTCTGGCAATTCAGCCGTTTCAGCAGATACGAGCTTCTCCAGCTGCTTCAAACGTTCCAACTCATCAAGCTGCTTAGCACCAAACACCATCTTCGTGGCTTTATCTTTAAGCCAAACATTAAACGACACTTTGGTCGACTTGTGAGCTGCCTTTTCACCATCCTTGAATGCATTAGAAGCGAATTTATCGGCTTGCTGATTCAGTCCTTTGGCACCAGCGAGTCCATTAGACGGTAAAACCTCCCAGATAAAGTTACCGTTCGATACTACTATGCTTGGTTTGGTTGCATCGTATGGTAGCATCTTTGGTGCTGAATCGGACTCTTTTGCTAACAGCAGACTCTGCACGCGGCGGGCTGCGACAAAAGCATCAGTACATATAGTGACTGTTTGAGGCAGCATGCTTAATGGCATCCTCAGTACATAGAATAATGATAGCGAAGAGAAGATGGTTGAATAATTGAATGGATATCCTAGCCCGGCGTATGTGATGTATGTGAAAATCATGGCACTGTTGTAGAAGAAAGACAGATTGTTAAATCCGTATCTCGGAGTGAACAAGACAGTAGAAGGTTTCCACAGCAACGAAATCGTCCTCCTAGTCATTTTTCCAAAACGCGCGACTCACAATGCAGGTACTACGACAGTAGCTCCAGCGAGAAGATTTCGAGTATTTAAAATGGATTTGACATATTCCAGTTCCCCTTTTCGTAACGAATTGATAACGTTTAAGAAGGAACTCTCCCAAGCGTAGAGCTGTAAAGAAAAAGCCAAGTAAGAGGCGGCGAAGCTTCTCAAAGTGACCGATGATCCAGTACGAACCTTTATGACCTTAATGCCAGAAAGAGCTTCAGAAAAGATTCTGACACGTTGATCTATATTGTTCAGTAATGTCAGAGTTGAATCGTGTTTTGCGGCAAATGTGACAGAAAACCCCAAGCCGTACCAGAAATTGCCATTGCTTTCGTTCTCAGAGACGTTAAATATCCCATGGCATACGTCTGAACTGGCAGGAAGACAACAAACAATGCAAATCCAATAAGAGCAACTGGCCCAAGAGTGTATATCAACAGAGCTGTTGCTAAAATGATTTGATATAAACCAGCCCAAATCCAGTGTAAGCCCCACATACTCATATCCAACCTGGTACAAAACAAGGGTACGTTAGCTACAGTGAAGGTTTTCATGAAAGGGGTGTGACGTGTACCTCGCAGTATCCGAAGCAACAATATTAATAATTTTACCAACTGTCAGCGTCTGGCGTGCTAACGGGGACAGCTTCTGACTCTTTCTATAAAGTGTAGCGACCAAAGCCGATCGCAGTTTAAACCCAATCGTCATTGTAATAGCAAAGTGACGATTCATTGCAAGGGTTTGGATTATTTGAAGAGCTAGAAGCGCACCAGCTAAACCATATCCATAGGCTGGATTATCGTTTGCACCAGGTGTACCAACAGTTTGTAGAAACTTTATAATATTGAGCAAGACAATGGGAGATCCCACTGCACATGTGTCTGCAATTAAACGCCACACAGCAGTGCCCTATTGACGTTGAGACGTTGTGAATATATTTGTGTTTCTGCACGCATTGTAGTAGGACAAACAGGAGGCTCCTGTGCGCGACTAGATCCAACGAAATCACCATCACGCAAAACAGATTCTGATCCGTTTGTTGAATACATACCATCCATTCAGTTCCAAAAGTCTTCCAAATAGCTCTAAATATACTCGGTTTCCCCCCAGTCTTTTCAAGTTCAGCTTCAATAAACCAATGGGCCTCAAAGATCTTCTGTAGTTCTTCAGACGTATGCATCTTGTTGAGCTCATACATGTCAGTCGTCTCCAAAGGCCTCTAGCGAATGGCAAAAGGTGCGTAAGCAAAGACATTTGGCAATGGTTGATAATGTTTAAAGTGATCAATGGATTTCGATCATGTCATCCATGTTTTGATCATTTCAAATGCAATACCTTGTTGCCGAGTGAGAGCAAGGGCGACAAGTACGAATAAGTAATGTTTGATACGATTCCATATATGCCAGTTCTAGTAAACTCTCCGGACTCTATCCCACTACCAGAAAGTAGTCTTGTTCCGGACAGCGACTCATTGTTCTGTTCGTTCTTGGACTTCTCATCGGCAGATGGCTTGTGTTCTGCAAGCGACTTGCCAAGAAGACTAGCTTTGAGCCTCGCAGACATATTGTTCTCCCTCTGCTTCTTGACGATCTCGAGAAATAAAAAAAAACCACGAGAGTTGCTGGCAAAACCGTTGTATCACCTAAGGTGGCTTTGATGCACACGACAAAGATTTAAACAGTTGCCGAGGTCAAAGTTGAGAGGGCCCTCTATGGGCATCAGAGACCTATTGATGCTGCTGGAAATCCGTTGCCAGGAGCAGATCTACACGAAACAGTCTGCAACAAAGTTTCTGAAAATTCACTAAAAATTCATTTATTGATTCCTCACACGATCGTGGCAGTCTATCAACGTTTACAACCGTCCAGCCTCCATTTTCTCCAATCCACACCATTCCGCTATGAAACAAGCCAGCACGCGAGTAACCTCCTAAGTTGTTTGCAAAAAAGCACATTGGCGCTGACACCCTTTTTTTCAAACCGGGTTTCGAAAACTTGCCTTCATTGATTGCAGATCAACATTTTCATCAATGCCATGAATCCTCTCAGCCCTCGGACCGTAACAGGTCGTTGGTACACCTTTGAACAAGAAATCTCAGTTGCTGTAAAGAAGAAATATTGGTGCAACTTACCAGCCTCGACAATAAACGCTCTGGCATCTGTAGTGGCAGTTGACGCCAGCATCGCAGGCACACGGCCAGTTACTCTTTCATGCACAGCAGACAGCAGTTTAATGACTTCCCAATCTGGATTCATCTCAACACCGGGAGCAACAAATCCGCCATATGTAATTCGACATTCAACACCCAGTTGTTTTGCTTTTGCTGAGAGTGCTAGTTCGATTTGTGATTGAATGGTGCTAGGCTCTGTTCCTGGGTAGACACCAACTCTTACATCAAATGTGCTGAGAAGGCGATAATCGAGCCTTAGCTTGTTGCTGTGGGATATGAATGTGGAGACAAAGCACGTACCATTCACTGGGCACTGAAGAATTCCAATTACCCCCGTTAATCTTTCCCAAATTAACATTTATAGGGTGATTCGCTAGTAGATAGATCGCGAGTAAGCAAATGCGAAAGTAACGTGCTGAGAATAAGCACATACTGGTTTGGTAAACAGTAGGTTTCATATGTGGCTTATTCCATTGTTCTTCCAGCACTTGAATTTCCTTAAAAAGATCAAATGCAGCTAGAATGGCATTTGATCCTACTGCCATCTCCATCACGTGTGCCGGCCTTCCACGAACTCTCACAGAGAGCCAAATGACGCCGACCTGAGCCAGTTGCAGTCCTTCAAATGGTTCAGGTATAATACAAGCATCGCCTACGTATCCGCGAGCTACACATGCCAATGCACCGTTGCCAGTGCACTCTTCCTATTACGAAAAGGAGGGGAGAGCTTGTCAGGGTGTATCTTAGCAAAGGCAACCTCTCAATGTCCTCAAACCTCGGTGACAGCTTGCATGATAACTTTGGCGGCGGGTACATATCCTAGCTTCTGCAGGGCCTTGAAAGCATAGTAATATGCTGCATGGATGATTTGGTTGGCAACAACAATCGAGCAAAAGTTCACAAATGATGAGACATACCTACAACACCAGCCTTCATGTCGCCTGTACCGCGACCATACATCTTGCCATCACGGATCGATGGGTGAAATGGCGGTGTAGTCCACATATCATGCGGGCCTAAGATTGTGACTTTGATAAGTCGTGGGAATGCGTTTGAAACAAGGCAAACGAAATTACCTTCGGGTACTACATCTATATGACCATTGAGCACCAGAGAACGTCCATTACCACCCTTTGTTTTGGGATTATGGATTGCTACTACATTGATTTTGTTTTCGTACGACCAGTTCTACGAGTGTGAGCGATGGTGGTGAGGCATAGCGCATTCTGACCTAGTGGCCAGGCATGGCACTTCTGAGCAACACAAGCTACGTATTCAAGAGGATCTTGCCATTATGAGTACTAGTGAATTATGACAACGTACCACGGGCGAAGGATATTTCAGCGACTGTATCTCTTGCAAATCCACTTCCCATTTATCGATTTCAGTGATTCCCAGCTTGCGGAACTGGACTTCCATCCAGTCTTGCAGTTCTTTCTCGTCCGGACCGCCGCGAGTTGAATTGAATCTCACTAAATCCTCAAGCATGGTCACGGCCTCTGCAATTTTGGTGTGATTTGTGATGTTAGATTTGTCTTCACCACACATGCAATAAACGCAAGATTGGGGTCCAGTTTCAGAATTCCAAGCATTATAAAGTGAAATCATGGTCGATTTGAAGCCAATCGGCAGCTTCATCAGCACAAATTGTGACTTTACCGACAACAAGAACACAGATAAACACGGGTATTGCACGTACCAGGGAATAGCGAGTCCACTGCTGCCACTATATCCAGTGCTGTTGGTGTTGCCATGATACTGCTCCGATAAGGTCTATAATTGCTCTTGAGTGCTTGCTTGTAGGTATATGGGTGTGTTGTCGAAATCAAGTCAACGAAATGTCGCAAACTGAAACACGAACACTGCCACTGGACTGATCAGAATGCAAAATCGCGTGAATATACACCAGGGAGATACCGCACAATTTGTGTTATGTGTTATCGAACTTTTTACTTTGGGGAGTCCACGTCGAACGGTCGTGATTTACAAGGAAAGCTTCCACTTTAGAGTGTAGAGCAACGTTGACAAGTCATATTTACACCGTTTACACGTTTCATCGTCTTTTTCTCTTTGATCATATAAAGTCGAAATGGAATAAGCTCCAACAAGAGCAAGCGTCTAGTCACGTACCAAAACATATAAAGCGCAAGCGGAACCATCCAATTCAGTTATAAAGACATATATGTCTCTCATTTACACGTTCTCGTCCTGTTCAACGCCTTCCTTGCGTCCACAGATCGACTCGCATCCATTTTTTTTGCTCGACTTGCACACATTGTGACAGCTAGCAAACAAGTCGCTGCAAATATTTGATCATCAATCTATATTTATACATCTAGAACAGCAATTAGGCATACTTATTGAGTCTAAGGGCCGCTTGGTTTGACTGCTGAAACTATTCAAAACATAAAGCAAAAATGGCACCAAAGAAGAAAGGAGCTGCTGCCAAAAAGGGCAAGCAGTAAGTCCAAAATACTACCTATACTATCCATATAATGAGATCTGATTCAGTAACCCATATACACGTTCATCATAGATTGGATGAACCAGACATTGAGATTGATTTTGGCGACGACTCAAGTCAACCTACATTATCTCTTCCCACTCCATCTGCTCCAACAGACGAATTCAATGTAGATGAAGAAGGAAATGACTTGGGTGGTCTCATGGCCATATTAAACAAGTCTCGCTCAAAAGGTGGTGCTCAAAAGAAATCAAAAAAGGCACGTAGAGGTGACGATGACGAAGAAGAAGATGCTGCTGAAATATTGGCGCGTATGGAAGCTCAAGAGTCTGTTGATGTGTCACCTGCTGCTGCAGTGTCAGACAATAAAAAGAACAAGAAGGGTGGTAAAAAGTCTAAACAGGATGATGATGAATCAATCGATACCACTGCTTCGTCTATACCTATATCATCATCAACAGCATCGAAACCTGGTAAACCACAAAAGAATGCCAAGAAGGGTCGACGTGACGATGACGTTGAAGATGCCGCTGCTTTTGTAAACGATGAGAATGAAGCACCGGCTTCTGTAGAAGCTGTAGTGAAAGCAACGCCTGCTGCAGCTGCTAAAGGTAAAAAGGGTGGTAAAAAGGGTAAAAAGGATGACTTTAATGATGGGATAGAACTGCTAGCTGCTCAAATAGAAGGTAAAGTAGAACCTGCTCCCATTGCTACCTCATCTAAACCATCTACAGCCGCAGCTACTACCAAACCCACTACTGCAACCGCTCCTGCAGCAGATGATAGTGATGACGAGAATGACAAAGAGGCCGGTACTGGTGGTGAAGTACGCATCAAATCTAAAAAGGAAAAGGAGCGAGAAAAGAAGGAACGTGCTAAACTGGCCAAGAAGCAAGAAGCTTCAGTCAAGGCTGCTTCCGCTCCTATAGATAAACCGTCTTCCGATAAACCACCAGCTGCTGATAAAGCATCTGATAAAGTAGAAGCTGCTGCCGATAATGAAGACGCCGAGTCAGAAGATGAAGGTGCAGGTGGTGCTTCCGCAGCTTCGAAAAAGAAGAAGAAACCTAAGAAGAAGCCTGCTGCTGCCGCAGAAGAAGTCAAGCCAGCTCCAAAGAAGAAGGGTGCTGCAATCGGTGCCCTCAAAGAGCTCTTGGCTGCCAAACAAGCTGCAGAAGAAGAAGCTCGTCGTCTAGAAGAAGAGGAACGTAAACGTATAGAAGAAGAAGAAGCGCTAATTGCGGCTGAAGAAGCTGCAAAAGAAGAAGCCAAACGTTTGAAAAAGGAACGGGAAAAGGCTAAAAAGGAGGAGTTAAAGAAATCTGGTCAATATATGACACCTGCTGAACGTGAAAAGAAGCGTCAACAAGAATTGAAGCTTCAGCAAATGATTGCATCTGGTCTCAAAGTCGCTGCTCTTGAAGAAGATAAACCAGAAGGCGAAACAGTGGTGAAGAAACGAGTAGTTTATGCCAACAAGAAAAAGACACCCAAACAACCGAAATCTGGTGCTGACGATTCTGCCTCTGCATCTGTTGATTTATCAGCCTCCATCACTAGTGTTGACGTAGAACATGAACCTGAAACACCCACTGAATCTCCGGAAGACATACGTAAACGTCAAGAAGAAGAAGCAGCAAAGATAAAATTAGAAGAGGCTGCTGCACGAGCACGAGCTGCTGTGCTGGCTAACGACGAATGGGCTTCTGGTGGTCATGTCAAACCACTGGCCAATTCAGCTGCCAAGGATTCATGGGATGCAGAGACTGATGAAGAAGATCTCAAGGATTCATGGGATGCAGAAGATGAAGAACCCGCTGTGGTACCTTCTTCTGAATCTGTGGATGTGAAGGAGGAAGTCAACCCTGTTATCAAGGATGTTGGCAAGAAGACACCTGAGTCAGGTATGTTCTTCGGTCCAAACAGTGCTTTTTTGCCGATCTCTTACCTTCACGTTTCAAATCCAACAGTGAAAGAAGCCGCACCCGTTGCTGCCACGGCATCAACCAAACCACCTGTCAAAAAACCTGTACCCAAGGAAGAAGAAGAAGAGTCTTCAGAAGAAGATGAAGAAGACGACGATGATGACGGTTCAGATGAAGATGGCAGTGATGAAGATGATGATGATGGAGAAGAGACTGTTGCTCAAAAGGTGGAACGAGTGCGTCGAGAACAAGCTGCTGAACGAAGAAAGGTATTACCATCTGTCAAACATCACAGCGCGATTGGTTTCCTCACCGTTTGTGATTTTTTGAATCTAGCAACGTCACGAAGAAGCTATGGCCGCCAGGTCCAAAGACGATTTGCGTAGTCCTATTTGTTGTATTTTAGGACACGTCGATACTGGAAAGGTATATCTAGTGCTATTTGTCTCTTCTTCTGCTCTAATTTTTGCACTTACTCATCAGCGCTTCTTTGCATATTTTAGACTAAGCTTCTGGACAAGGTTCGACAAACCAATGTACAAGAAGGTGAAGCTGGTGGTATTACTCAACAGATTGGTGCCACATACTTCCCTCTTGATGCCATTGAGACCAAGACAGCGTCTATGAGAGCCAAAGACGCATTGTCTGGATACAAGATTCCTGGTTTGTTGATTATTGATACTCCTGGTCACGAGAGTTTTGCCAATTTGAGAAGTCGTGGAAGTAGTTTGTGTAATATTGCCATTCTAGTACGTTGTTCGTTGTGATCAAGTCCACCCGGTCTTATTAATTCTGGACGTTTGTGCTTTTTTCCCTGTCTTCTCACTTGTTTTACGGGACAAAAATCTCTGATCAGCATGCCAACAATAGGTTGTCGATCTCGTGCACGGTCTAGAACCTCAAACGATAGAATCCATCAATCTCCTCAAACAACGCAAAACACCCTTCATCGTCGCATTAAACAAGATTGATCGAATGTTTGATTGGAAGCCACTTCCAAACGCACCAGTCCGGCAATCCCTCGCACAGCAACCACCCCACACAGTCAAAGAATTCGAAGAACGAGTCAAACAAACCCAACTAGCATTCGCCGAACAAGGATTCAACTCTTGCCTCTACTATGACAACCCCGATACCCGTCGTAATGTCTCTCTCGTTCCCACATCCGCCATAACCGGTGAAGGAATACCCGATTTGCTCAACCTAATTGTTGAGCAAACACAAACCAGATTGTCTGGCTCATTAATGTATTTGAGTGAAGTTGAATGTACAGTGTTAGAAGTTAAAGTTATTGAAGGGTTTGGAACGACTATTGATGTTGTGTTGAGTAATGGTATATTGAATGAGGGGGATAAGGTTGTGCTTTGTGGATTGAATGGGCCTATTGTGACGAATATTAGAGCATTGTTGACGCCTCAGCCGTTACGAGAGCTACGTATTAAGGTTAGATTGCAAGCATTTCGGTTTTATAGGACTTCTTTTCGCTTTGACTTGAGTCTCGCATCGAATTACTCACCCTCCATCTTTCCTATCTATCACTCAAAAGGGCCAATACGTACATCACAAACAAGTCAAAGCAGCTCTAGGAGTGAAGATCGCAGCTCCAGAACTTGAAAAAGCTATTGCAGGATCACGACTCCTTGTCGTTGGTCCAGATGATGACGAAGAAGAAATGAAGGCCGATGTGATGGAAGATTTGACTGATTTGTATGATTACATTGATAAGTCTGGTAAAGGAGGTGTATGTGTGCAAGCATCTACTCTTGGATCACTGGAAGCTTTACTGGTGTTTTTGAAACAATCGAGTATTCCAGTCAGTGGAATTAATATTGGGCCTGTTTTCAAGAAGGATATTATTCGTGCTGGGTATGTGTGATGTGTTTGATATCGTTTAATATGCGCAGGAGGTTCAGCTGATATTGTTTTGCTTTAGTGTCATGCTGGAAAGGAGGCGTGAATTTGCTCAACTATTGGCATTCGATGTACCCATTGACAAGGATGCTCAAGAACTGGCTGATGAAATGGGTGTCAAGATCTTCCGTGCTGATATTATTTATCACTTGTTTGATCAGTTTATGGTAAGACACCAATGTGGAAATCGTATGATCGCTTTTTTGGCCAACGTTAAAAAATCGTTGTCCTGATTCTCCCTTTTCAGGCATACATGAAAGAAATACAAGAACAAAAGAAACGTGATGATGCACCGGCAGCTGTCTTCCCATGTCATTTAAAAATGGTACAAGGTGCCGTCTTCAACAAGAGAATGCCAATTATTATTGGAATGGATGTGAAAGATGGATCGTTACGTATTGGAACACCTATAGTGTCTGTTGATGAAAAGGTAAAAAAAATATTCCATCGAGCGTGTACTCTTTGGGTTTTCCTTACAAACACAATCACTAACTCACGTCACATCATTTTCTTCCATAGGGCACCATTACCAAACTGGGTAAAGTAACAGGTATAGAACTCGACCACAAGAAACGAGAAATGGTCAAGAGAGGAGAACCCTCGGTTGCAGTCAAGATTGATTGTGCTTCGTATGAAACACCGAAAATGTTTGGACGACATTTTACTGAAAAGGATGAATTCTATTCTGAGGTAACGTATCAAGTTGTTTGTCGTCGCTCGAAAGAAAAACTTTATACTAATAACGAGTTTCTTCTTTTTCTGCCTCGCAGGTCACTCGTCAATCGATTGATATTCTGAAAACCACATTCAAGAATGATGTTAGTCAAGACGAATGGAAGCTGATTATCAAGTTGAAGAAGATATTAAAGATTGACTAGAATTGTGGATGATTAAAAGACATTTGTTTTAACAATGAAATGATCCCATTTGCACACACACTGCTATTGATTGATGATTTTGGTTAATCCATTTTTCGGTCCGTCTATAACACGATATTCACAATCTGAAAGCTGCATTTAAGGTCAAAGGCCATGAACGGCAACAAACAGAAAAGTGATGTAGAGCATGAACATGCAAACCATTTCGCCAATCTATATCTTTGTCTCTTTACAGCAAGGCAACAAAATCACTGCATGAAATCCGTCCTCATTCCCGAAACTACTGATCCGCGGTCTGATTTCGCACCTTGAAGACCATAAGGAATTGAAACGTATGGTCACCAAGATCTGCAGTGACGCTACTAAACGGTGGCGATGTGTCTTGAGCAGAACACGAATCACAGGAGAGTGTCCGTGTAACTGTTATAACATGTGGTAATAGCAAATTGTCCTCCAATGGTGTTGGTGAATGAGACGATGGCATCCAGAATGGAATGTTAAACGAATCCCCATATGTCGTCTTCATCTAGCGATGTTTGAGTTGAGATTCAACATTCTCGCAGCAAAAACATGATCGAAATGCAGACTTAAGACCATTTGAGAGGTCTCCGTCAAAGACGGCCATTCTCACGTCCCACAGCAATTAAAGTAGAATCAACAAACTTCGTCGTTTTGACACGACATGCAAACCAATGTATTACTTCCTAATTTACACGGACCAAAAAAGCGATGTATCTTGGCAATCCTTATTCAGCATATCCGCCGAGATCAATCCCCATTCCCAAAACAACTGCACTCGTCATCCACACCACATCCAATGCAATTCCAAAGCAAACCGTCCATGCAGATAGAGCAATATCAAAAGCACCCAATAGTTCCGTTCCTTTCATGTCCGGGATAATCCAATATAGTGATCTCGTAGTTGATAGGTATGTTGATGATAATGTGGGGTATGATGTTGGGAGCAATAAGGGTGGTATGACTAGTATTAGACGTACAATCAGAAATATGCTAGCAGAGATCTATGAAAGAGAATGAGATGATCAGATCGGTCGTGGCAGCCTTCAAATCACTGGTTTTGTTTTTTGGTTCACACATCTCAACGATTTACCATTCGTGATTGACTTGTCCCTTTGGCAGCTTCTGGGAATGTGGCGAGGCTCTGTCTGCATGTTTCGATTGCTATACACAGAGCACCGACGAGGACTAGATACAACACGTCAAACCCCATCTGTGAGCAAAAACAAGGTGAGCAACAAGAAAGGAAATGATGGAATTCAAGAAAACCATGCCTCGTTTCCCATACCATGGTGACACATCGAACTCCAATAGCACACACATATAAATTCCATATACGTCTAATTTTAGAGTATTGAGCAAGCTGAGCGACAAAAGAAACTGAACTCTTTGGGCATTATACCTCCTCCACTTTTCAAAGTCTGAACGTTCCTGCAGGAACAAAGCCATGGAACGGTCTGAAGTATCTCGTACATGGGATAAAGCTAATGCATGTTCAAGTCCCAAATGCGACTAGTGGTGGGGAATTGATTGTGGACGTGAGCAAAAAAAAAAAACTTTGCCTCGAATTAAGGACTCACATCATCGACATCATCGACCGCCATCTCGTCGACATATCCAGAATCCGATCGAGTCATGTTTGAAGTATTCTGAAGAAGCAAGTTCAAGTGGGAATGTTTGTCATATTGTGCGCTGGTAACAAGTGGGATTTTACCTGAGTATCGTAATTCAACTTGATTGCTGACTTCTCCTTGATTCGAACAATTGTATATGTTGATATCAAGCCCTATACACGAACAATAGAGGGCTTCAGTCTTGAGAGATCCGGCAAAAAACGACTGCATTCAGAAGGTAGATACCAAGCAGGTCAAGATCAGAAAAACTCCTTCCAAAATAGCATGCATCTTAACACTCCACGTGTGTTGTAATATGTATATCGAAAACAATCTCAAAAAGATCAACTTGGTGTGTGCCCACTACAAAAACTTGTGAGAAGCCGCACCAAAAAAGCATATAAGAAAATAATACCAAGTAAGGTAACTGATTCTTCGTCTCCGATTTCTGATACCGTAACTTGAACAACCATAACGGATTGAAAGGAATGGCCACAAATGAGAGCAGAGACAAGACCAACAGCGACGAGAGAGTATCTTGAGCACAACACGAATCACATGGCCGTGTCGGCATGACTGATATAAAGTTATATAAAGCAGCGAATCGTCGTGCTCCACCTTCTGGGATTGTGCAATGGTGTGGTATGTATCCTGGATGGTATGAAGCTGGGTACATCAAACCTGCCAAACAAACCCTCGTTAAAGGTCTAGAACTCGACAGCAATTGGCACAAGACCACCTACCTCTCGTGTAAAATGATATAGTGAACATGTGAATGGCCAAAGCACTAAACACCAACACGGCCCAAACAATGAAGTACGTGATTGAGAATTTACTATTTCTGCCCTTGTTGTCAGGTCCAGCAGCATACTGGGCATGAGGAGGAACAGGCAGTCCCTTGTGAAGCAACACACTAGCAGATGCTATTCGTGATTTCACCATTCTAGCCAAATCAGCGAGTCGATTATTGACTGCTGGTTCACATGATGAGCATACAGGTGGATATTTAGCTTCCAGTTTCTTTCGGTACGCTTCCACCGATAGGTCAAAGTACTCGTCGTCTTCTGGATCGTATGCAGCGAGGAGCTGCACGAGGATGTTTTGGTTTTGGATGCACTTTCTGCAGAATACGGTCCCTTGGAGTGTTGTTTGGGATTGGAAGGATGATTGGCGAGACATGGATGCTAAGGGATGGGCACGGAAGAAGTGAGTGGACTTGTTATGTTATGATTGGATCTTCCCGTTTCAACCCCCAACAGGACCATGCAGTGCATATGTCCATAACTTCGACAATGCTGAAGATGGAATATAGTGTCTAGATCTTACGCATTGTGTAGGAAAGAGGATCTTCGTGTGTGATGTCTTGGACGACATGAAGCTGTGGCCCTCCAGCCTAACGAATGGCGTGAGCAACATTATAATATCATTTCCAACAATGAATTAAGGTGATTTACTTGATCAAAGTAGTTGATGCTGTCACAAAGTGAGCACTTGAAACAATTTCCAGGAGCAAGGACATGCAATGGCACAATCAATTCCTCATTGCAATTGAAACAAGTAGCCCAGCAATTTCCATTCTTCCACAATGCGAAACGAGTCCATATCCTAGATGAACGATTATGTTTCAGATGGAAACATCAAACCTTCAAGCAGCAACGAAAAAATGAGTTCGCATGTACCTGGAGATTGGCCTATGAGCAGTAGTAGTGACGGCCAGGGCCAGTGCAGCATACAATGCTAGTTCTTGCGGTGGTAAAGAGCTCAAAGGCATCATCTTCGTCCTTGCTCCTGGTATTGAGAAAAGTGGAGGTTTGGTAAAAACTTAAGACGAGAAACGCCTCCTCTCTTACAGGACTTTAGAGCAAAAAATGCCTTGTTTCGAGTGCCTTGACGCGTTAATCGCAGTCGGAACCGCTTCAAGTTGCTCGCGGGGGCTGTTATTGGAAGCTCAAGCTTTGAACTATGAACTGGATTTTGAATGCTTTCGACACATGCAATTCCTAATGAAATAGCTTTAGATGATTCAGACCTACCAAGATGTACGCGCTCTTATGTTGGTCCCTCGCATTATGCGTTGAAAGTCACGTTATTCTCTCAACTTTGAAAAACAACGCAAAAAGAAGAGAGAGAAGAGCGACGAATGGATTACATTGTTAGGCACCAAACACGGTATGTCGTACAGTCATTTACTTCTCTTTACCCGTCGCTAACCGCTTATCCACACAGCGATAAAATCGGGAGATACTTTTACGCTATCACGACCGCTGCTGCTATAGGTGCAGGTCTATACTTTTACTACTCGAAACCTGCTCAGTATTCTCCACCTTCGGCCCCGGAAAATTCAACGCCTTACTATGTCAAGGTCGGTGAAAAACGACACATCTGTTACTCCATCTACGGTGCTGATGCCGAAGTAGCAAAGGGAACAATTGTGTTCTTCCATGGTATACCTGGTAGCCGAGTCTCTGTAAGCTGCAAATTTGATACTGAACGATTACACTGGGGATGGTTTGCAAGTCTCCTATCAGCTAAAAACCATCATCCTATAGGCACTCCTATTGGAAAAGACTGCTAAATCGCACGGACTCCGTCTCATCGGTTTTGATAGACCAGGATATGGAAGAAGTGATCCAAATCCTAGTGCAAGCGGTGACTTGCAATCCCTCGCAAAGGACGTCGGGAAACTCATTCAAACTTTAAACCTAAAGAATGTTATTCTTGTTGGTGTCTCTGGAGGCGGTGGACCTGCATGTGCTTGTGCAGCTTATCTTGGTCCTGATATGGTTAAAGGAGTCATCTTGGCTGCGGCGTTAGCGGACGTAAAGAAAATGGGTGGCAAGTTCAGAGCTTTGAGCGAATGTAGCTTTGGTGAGCTTCCTTGCTATATTGAGGCATAGTTGATTGTTGCTCCAAAGCAGGAGTGATAGCCTGGAAATTTATCGAGAGTCGCTTACACACTTTCGACACTTAGCACAAGCCTATGTATTCCCAGCACTCTTCTGTTTGCCAATGAACTGGGTGACTGGTCTCATGTCAATGATGCCTACCACGGAAAAGATACCCGTGGAATGGTTTCCTGACGTTGATCGCATGGTATTATAGCTAGCACAACCTTGGTGTTTGCTCTAAGACTTGTCTGTAACCCAACTCATTATTTTCATCCATAGGCTGTAATGAAGAATGGTGGCGACGCATTAGAAATCTTCAACACCAACCAGCGTGAATTCTTTGTCGGTGGGCTCGAAGGTCCCAAAGTAAGCATTCTTGTTTCGGTGTTAAAACACCAATGGAATCTGATCCAACTTGGCCAAAAAACCAGGCGGCATGGATATACGCTACTCAAGAACTCTACAAACTCATGAACGACGGCTTTGTCTTCAACCCCAAAGATGTAACTGTGCCAGTCATCGTCTTACATGGTTTGGCTGATACACAAGTTCCAACCGCAATGGCCAAATGGTATATTGCTGAACTGCCCAAAGCCACTCCAATGTTGAAAGAGAAAGAAGGGCATGTGTCTGTCATCGTCAATCATATTGATGAAGCTGTTGATAAGGCTTGTGCTTGGATTTAAATGTTTTTTATTGTAGTTGTTTCGTTTGTTGGGGGGTCCTAGTTTGAGATCAGTTAGCGTAGTTTTGTAAGAAGTGAAGGAATGCTGCTGGTATAAATATGCTGTCCATCATAACGTGTTTCATGGTTTCTGTTTGTTGGAGGACTGTTCAATTTTTGTGTACAAAAATCGAAACTGACGCAATTCGACATTGGATGCTCATTCCACTTCGCAGTTGATACGTGCTAGCATACAAGAACTTTGATTTGTAACAATTACAGTTACCTCTCACGATTCTTTTCCCCTCACAAGTGAAAATAGTTGAACCCTTCCTCTGCAAGACCTTTTCCGTAAGCGTTGCACTGAATTTGCTAAAGAAGTGGTTTATTTACGTTTATGTTTTGACAATGGTTATGTTCGGTTGTGAAAGCTTGTGTATAAGTGATATAAGTTACGAGGTATTATGATATAAGTTACGAGGTATTATGATTGTCGGTCATTGTTGATTTATGTCTTTCATTGTTCCGAGTTGAAAAATTCAGCTACCCCAGCTGTACTTTCCAAGAATAGAGATTTCCAGGCCTTTGCGGCGTCCGCGCTTTGAAATCTGACGTGTTCCTGCCTGCCATTTGAAATAGTGATTTTAACAAAGCTTCCTCTTTCTTCAGCGTCGATGATATCAAGAGCATTCAATGGGAAGAGACCAAATTCTATACAAGGAGTAAAATTTGAAACTGAGGCTTGTTACGGAGAAGACCGTATGTAATGTTCAAATTGCATGATAACTCACCACGACTTTTCTCGTCGTTACAATAAAACTTTTTCTCATCCTTTTCAAAACGTAGAAAGACTGGATGCCATACGTTTCCCTTTTCCGATGGTGTCAATATGCCAGCATATGCCCTGAAAATGTCAACGTACAATTCCTAATTTTGAATGGATGATTCGTTAACATTACAAGCCTCCAACCTGCAATCTAGCTAGACCAAAACATTTCGCATTACCTCATCTGTAGCCATAACACGATTCCACCAATGTTTGTTCTTCAAGTAGAAGGCAGTCTTTTCCAACGACAATGGGTCAAGTTGATCTGTGACTGATCGCCGACACATTGGCGTCCACGACCATTGGGCAAGTTCGGGTGAAACAGCTTCGAAGCCATGCGTAGATACTGTGGATACTAACGTTGCAACTTTTCGGATGGTGGTAGCCGTCGAGAATCGAGTGCGAGAGCGAGAGGTGGTAGAGATAATGATTTCGGGATATCGTACGATGCTCTTGAGTTGCTCCAATTGTACAGGCCTGAATTGGGTACTATGATGAAGATAGGCGTCGTCTCGTTAGTGCTCCCTTTTGCGCCTTCGTACCAACAATCTAAACTTACATATCGATGTAGCCAACTGTATCAGTTCCATAGCGACGAGCCTCCCAAGAACTAATTGAATATGATAATTGAGTATTTGCTGTAAAGCGATAGTCAAATTGAGAAGAACAGCCACTGGAACGTACAAGTAACTGCGATCATCCAAAGCAACAAATATATCGTTAGTCTTCCATCCCAACCAGACTCTTGTTGCCACAGTATCCGAGATAGCCTGTAAGTATACAATATTGTGCTTTGGTTTACTGGTAGAGTTGTTGTGGTATTTGCTCAATCCAAGATGTGCGGCATTTTCAAAGTTGATGTTCTTCGTTTCAAGAGATAGAGGATAGATTTGAGAAGCATGACGTCGGGTTCTGGATGCTCTAGCGAGTAATGGATGTCGAGGATGGGGTGGCAGGGTTCCAAATGGTTGGTCTGGTGTAGTATACCCTGCATCAGTTTGTTGCAATGGTGCTGCGATTTCAGTGTCAGATCGAGAGAGTGACGACAGCATTCTTAGCTCCTAGCTGGTACGATACACGTGCTACTATGTTCTTACGAGCTGCGTCTACTATACAACTGCTGATTTTGCTGTAATATATTTACTGGTGAAGTAACCGCAGTGACAGGAACAAGGATTGTCATTCAGAGAGAAATCAAAATATTTTAAATCAGAACCGCTACTGACGTGTTGCATCTTGTAGATCACGTAGGATGCACCATTTTCTGTTGAACTGTGCACTGGATTTCAACCACAAGAGGCCCTACAAACGAACCTTACCGACCCACTTCTTTCCTGGCAATCGTAGATCTCAAGCACTCAAGCACAAATAGTGACATCGCTGCTCCTTGTTGTTGTTGTTGTCAGATCGTCACATCCTGAATTCTTGGTTAATCCGAAAAAGTACTGCGGCTGCCAACCATTTGCACTTGGAGGCCGCTATTGTGGCTGTATACACCGGTCATTTCAACCTTTAACTGGACGTAGAATGAGTCTCCATCGCAGCTTCAAGCAACTGCATCAGCCTCATAACGGATGACCACACAAATCGCTCGTCAGTTGAGCTCAAATCAAACGCATAACGTTGGCAAGGACTCAAGATCCAATAAATGCGTCATTTGTCGTCGCCACCCGAAACACCGTCTCCAAGCCTCTCTCTTGTATCACGTCCGCGGAGGTCATCTGCTAAGTTTTTTCTCCTGGTTGGTTATCAAGTTGCAAGAGGAAGCCCAGAGAGAGGTATAGTCGATGCATCTGAGCATATCCCTTCCTTCATTGGCAAGTATTTGGAAGTCTCGCTAATGGTTCATTCCTGTTAGGCTCGAAACCATCTCGCTGTAAAGCCAGTCCACCCATTCAAAACACCGTCATCCATAAATCCCCATTGATTGGAAGGCTTCCGAGACAGCCAATTGCTTTAGGAACCGTAGATCAAGTAGCCCTTCGCCAAAGGAGAGATTTCCTACCTGCATCCTTTACATCTTAATAACCGTACATCCGACGAATGATGATGGGGCCAATAATTCCGCCGATAGAGTTGTAAGGTTGAACGAGATCGCAATTCTGCGTCTCAATTCACTGAAATCTCAATGCAAAGCAGTATGGTATATAGTACTAGCATGCACTCCACTCAAACCTCAAATGTTATTGGTGGTGTTGGCGAAGATGGCGCAAAGCCAGCACATAATAGTAGTGTGAGTCTACCGCACATCTCCCACATATGGCAAGATTTGTATCAGCTGCCAAATCCACAACATCCTCATCGAAGTTATTATAATCATCAACAGGATCATTTTCAGCCATACCCAACACCACAACGTGAGCCATATGGTACAACAGTTCAACACTATGAAGCTTATCATAATAGAAGTCTGATACAACAACACCGTGAGCCATACCATAATAATAATCTCACGCAAGGACCATACCATAGTAATAATCTGACACAAGGACCATACAGCGCTCCTGACAACCAGCGCCAACACAACGGAATGAGATACCCACTACGTGATGAGCGGTACGTCGCACCGTTTGACATAGTAGCTCCAATCAAACTCGAGGCTCCTCAAAGTATGAATACTCCAACGCCATCGTTAGCAAAGGAATCACCAGTCCCGTCACCGTCTAGATCAGTGTCTCCAAAAAACAAATCTGTGAATAATCGTAGATGTGTACCTTCAGCTGAAGATCAGCCATTTCAACGAATATCGGTAACGGATCTGCTGCTGCCTGCTATCAGACTAGGATTTGCGCCGCCCGGGTCTCCAGAAACAGCACGCTGTCTAATCAAAGCACCACAAGATGCCATATTGGTGCTGGAAGCGTGCCGGCTTGGCATTCTTCCTCGAGTAACCAAAAGATTGGCGAAGCGACAACGTATATATGTAGTCCCTGGATCTGTCTTTGTATGGACTGAAGAGCCAACTGGTATACGACGATGGACTGAAGGAAAACACTGGGCGCCTTCAAGAGTCTATGGCCACTTCTTAGTCTACCGTCAACTCGAGGAGAGTCGAACCAAGCCGTCTTCTTCTAGTAATCTGTCAGTACTAGATGGTGGACTTATAAAACAAACAATATCTGTAGCTGACCGTCATGGAAATCGACATCATATAGTGTCATATTATACGAACGATTTGGAGAGCACGAGTCTGCCATCTCCGTCGTCGGTACCAGAACTAGCTAGTATCAAAGTAGATATGGATCTGTATCCAGATTGGAAGGACAAGATCGCTCAGACTGCGGCATATGACGGGGATAGTGATGTAGGCAGTAGCTCGACCACAAGTTAATTACGACTTTAGTGACCAATGCAATAGTGACAGTGAACGTGACTTTCACGTAATGGGGGGAAGTAGCTGGGGGAGAGTAAGCTAATCTTGGGCGTATGGTGTCAATGGCTGATATCAAAGGGGGAACAGATAAAGGGTGGGAGAGCGTCAAACCAAAAACACTCACTTGGGAGAGTAGTCAATGTAAAAAACGAGACAATAAACTAATTGACGCCGTGATTTTACTGGTGTTTTTAGTGAGAAAACATTCCTGTTGTGGTCTTGGTGTTATTGGTGTCATGCTCCAGTCACTCGAGTTTTTCAACAAAACACACAACCTTAAATTTCTGGACAGGTGATTCGCTAACGACTGCCACCAACAGATAAAAATGGCAGGAATATTCTCAGAAGACTCAATCTTCTTCAATCCTTACAAGTACGACACCGAACAAGCCCAGCAGTACCAGTTGCAAGCAAAGGCGGAACACGGAGGTCGCTATACAAGAGCTTAAGGAGTGGCGAATGCTATAATTACAAGAGGTTTAAACGCCGAGATGATTGCTCAATGCATCATTATGAATCAAGTACGTCACATTGATTAAGAATTTCATTGTTTCTTTGAACTGCAAATCAAAGCCGTTCGCTTCTATCATGCATCAAGCTACTTAGAGCAGGACCTAATATCAATTCCCTTCAACTAGCTTGCTCCTCCCGTAAGCGCTGGATATTCGAATCCGTCGTAACGAGTTATCGTTTGGCAATAAAGGAATTCTCTATTGACATGAAGCTACATATCAAGTTTCCTGTCATCTTATGAGGTCAGCTTCAATAATCCTTTGGTGTGGTTCCCTCTCCGAATGTTTGGTTTCGCAAAGAGATCCGGAATCTTGAAATCTTAAAATTTAATTCTCTTATGCAGCTCTCCATGACCAGATTTTACGGAATCGCGCAGCTGGATTCGAAACAACCGTCTGGCGTCCTGATTGGAACTCTGTGCGTAGAATGGAAGGCATTGTGTTCTTCCAAGAAGAGGATGCCTTGAAACGAGACAAATCGAATGGTATTAACCGCACCTGAAATCATCATCACTATATCTAATGATGAAGACAATGATAATGATGACAACAATTACGGTAGCAGCACCGATGCTGACGCTAAAATGGGCGTCATCCTTATATTTGATGACGACGTAGAAGCAATCGTCCCTCCACCAAAAATCTCGACTGAAGGCACTTGGCCGAATCATCTACTTTAAATCTAGTTCCAGTATTAAGTAGTAGTTAGTAGAATGTACCTGTGGTCGAATCTGCAGCACAACTGTCAGAAGCCTGGAAAACTATTCCGATAACGGTAGGACTGAAGCAAACTCCAAGATCGAAGTTTTAAAGTTGAGTGGTTGTCGGTTTCTCTGCTGCAAGGAAGTGGTATACTCTTGGTTATAGGCCAGATAGGTTGAAAGAGCTATACACTAAACTTACCTAGTATGCCACAAAATCAACACCTTTCTTGCTCTACGTTTTGTAGGACTCTTGATGACGTTCGAGAAACTGTCAAAGATAAACGACTCAAAATTGGCATGTGGATATGTTCGTTTGTTTATATTTGAACTACAGATACATCTAATATGATCTCACAAGAAGTTCCTCTGTTGTCAGAAGAAGGATCAAACATTGGTCTCAAATGTCATGGCGACTTTGTGCAGGAGTACGTCTTCTTCAGGTTGGTTTATATTTTTTGTCAACACTCAGCCCTCTTTATATTCATTTGGTATGACTCGTCCAGAAGTTGAAGAAGTCTACGCATCTTACGCCGACAAGTTGATAAAATCTCAGCAGAGATTCTCATTGTCCCTGTTGGCTCGTATCGACGTGACACGCCATTGTGTCGTGACTTGGACATCATATTGACACACCCTGACACATCCATTACTGATACTGTGATTGATGATATTTTGGGAATTATGACTTGTGCTGAAATGATCTCAGATATGCTGCGAACATCAAAGACATCATATGATTCAGATCATCATGGCGTGTCGGAGCCCGAGTCCTCTGGCCGCCTCGATAAGGTGTTTGTTGCATTCAAGCATCCTGTTACTGGACGTCATCTTCAACTGGATTTTATTGTGCCATCATATGATATATATGTAAGTATTTCGACTATTCCATCGTCGAAAGATGAGTAAGAGATTTCACACCATATCTCTAAACTGGTCATGCACACTAGCTGGGTGGAGTGAAAGTACTTCTTTCGAGAGAGCTTGTATGAGTTCGGCAAACCATGGTACCTCATACAGCTTCTCAAGCAAAGGCTTGTTTGACAGTCGAACAAGGGCGAGAATCCATGTGAAGATCGAGCCATATCTTTTCAAGCTCTTGGGTATGCAATAGTTCCAACCTGAAGAGCGACGTGCTTGAAGGCTAGTGAGTATATCAAAAGATTGAAAATGAGGGTATTTGCATGAGAATCAGGAAAAGTAAATAGTAAGAAGCAGCAGTGTAAGTAGTTTTGTATCAAAGAAGCAACTATCGCAGTATAGGCCTTCGCCGAAGGATGTGTTTCGATCCGTGTTAAAAACTCGACAGAAGTGGAATGAGATCTTGCTATCTCAAAATGAAAGTGTTTTTGTGCGAGAATTCGTGTTGGCGTCATGAATATCGGGATTGATCATGCAGTATCTCTGAGTTTAACATTTGTCCTCGTGAGCCATGGTTTGCACAAAGTGTGAAAAGAAGCTTGGTACAGTGTTACCTCCAGAACCGGTAAGAGTCAATCTGATCTGCTTTGCTTGCTTCCAAGTTTGTTTCTCCGAGAGGAAGGGGAATTTGAGATGATTGTGTTTTCCGTGTTGTCTGGATAGCCCATTGATCTATGAATTGGAGAATTGAGCACAAGTTCGAGAACTGGATGTTTGGATTGTCGAAGCCTTGCTTCTTCTGCTCGGTTTACTGTGCTACTTGTGTCCAATTGCTCAGCATTAAACATTTTCCAATGAGCGCCGTGCTCCCAGATCCCGGCCAACGCCAATGGGATGAATTTCTGCTCGAATCCTCTGGCTTTCACCTCAATCTGGTGCTCGACTCGGATGTCTCTAATCACTGACCTGGTGCTCTTTCTTCTAGTGGAAGGCCGGATCCTCGAATTCTGATGTGGGATCTAAAGGACGGAAGCTCAATGTGAATCCGCTACTGTCGAAGTCAAAGAGCAAGAATGCTTTCGCTCCATACGACAAGAAGTGCGAGGACTGCAAACAGAGGCTTCATCAGTTGGGATCCAAATGGTGTCAGACGTAGGTACCGTTGCGTTGCTCTGATAGAGAGTCTTTGCTAAGACTGTTTTATATAGATGTGCGTACAAGAAGGGAATATGTAGTATGTGCGGTGTCCAAATGCTGGACGTCTCGAATTACAAAATGAGTAGCAAGTAATGTAGTCTCAGTCGCAAGTTTTTGGATGCATCGCAGTCTATTCGATCTTTGTAAATAGTTCCCATGACGCCTTTTATAATTATAATCCAATTTTGAAAAAACTGGGCTGCCTTTCGCAAAAACAACCCATCACAGTGTGAGATCACGATAACACAAGAATACGACGGTTGATTACATATCAAGGTTCGTTAGGCAACTACCAATACTATGGTTTTCCACTAGAACTGTAGTCATTTACTCGCATCTCTAATAATCATCAGCCAGTGCTCAAGCTTCGCCCAACTTGGTTTTCTTGAACATGGTGGGTTCTACTGATGATGAAGATGAAGAATTTCTATTTACACAGTTACGCTCAAGGTATTGACCGTTAAATTTGCTCGTTTTCATAGTGTTTTCGTATAAATTTCGAACTAATTTGATTCAAACATTTTGTAGGAACCCACCTCCAGATCTCTCACCTCCAGAAGAACCTGATGCAGCTGCTAATATGAATGGAGGTGCTGCACAGACCACTCCTAGGCCAGGATTAGCTGTGTCCGAGGATGAGGATATGGATGTAGACCAACTCGCCGATGACTACCACAATCACAACACCAGCAACCGCATTAGCAACACTAATAATAATGGCAATACCACCTCTAAGTTCAACTCGACACCCTCATCATCATCATGGGTACCAAATACTCAGGTGCCAGCATCACAGATGGAAAAGACTCCGAAGATGAAGAATGGACAGATAAAGTCGTTTGCAAAACCGTCAGCATCAGCGCCACCTAAATCTGACCGCTTAGGAGGGTCACAACGCCCAAAAAAGCCTCCTAATACTCAACCCCCGGCCGCTAGTAAAAAGCATATACCACCTGTCGCATCAAAGAAGGGAAAGGATAAGGAAATAATCGACATATCTTCCGATGATGGTGACGACGATTCCGATGATGATTTCGAAAAGCCGACGAAGCCTACTATAAAGGAAAAAGTAAACCCAGGAGAATCTAATGCATCAGACAAAGTAAAACCGAGAGAATCTAAAGCATCAGACTCGGCCAAGCTTCCGAAACCTCTTACTAAGCAAGCAGATTCGTCTGACGAAAGCACTTCGCCGAAGTCTCTGAAACGGCCAGCAGCCTCTCAGAGAACGCCCAAAAAACGCAGGACTCGAGAGTTTACGGTGGATGCTGTAGACGATCAGGGCGCGTATCAGGTGACGTTGAAAGATACGTCAATTGAAGATCCGTCATTTTCTCCGAAGAACATGAGATTAGACCCAGCAGAGAGGCGAACAACTCGCTCTCAACATATGTCAACTCAAGAGCAACTAACAAATCCTGAACCCCGTAAAAAGCCAGCAAAGAAGAAGGCTACTCAATCGTCAAAAACATTACCGGCAATCAAAAAGAAGGTGGAAGGTAAGATTGGATGATTTGAAAAAAGCATTTAATTATTCTCTTGGTGTTTTCAGTTTTTTGACTACTCGTTATTCATGCTTAACATTTTAGTTTTGTCGCCGACCGCGTCTACTCCGCCGTCTGAACGTAAAGAATCTGAACAGTCAGCGGCTCCCGAACTTCCACCATCAACTCATATGCATCTCTCTTTGCAACGACTTGTGTCTCCCATGTTAAATGTGGCTCCAATATTAAATGCTGACGAAGGTGATATCGATGAGCAGGCAAGCATAGACTTGAACGAAGATCTACAGAATGGCACGGAAGAGTCAGACCATCAAAATATGAAGCTGGAAACTGATCACAATAGTGTAAATCATCGTATGGATCTAGACGAACGTGATAAGCAACCCACTGATAATCATGATACACACCAACAAATGCAACCACCAGTAAAGGGTACAGCTTCTTCCCCAAGTACGCCTCGAAAAAGCGAGTCTGCTTCATCAAGAGATAGCAACCCTTTCGTCTTGATGGGTAGGCCTCAAGGTCCTTCGAGTAGCAGTATGAACTACGATGAAGAACTGGCTTTATTGAGAAATGAAAACCTGGCACTCAGGACAGAAAACGCTAGGCTCAATACAGAGAATGATAGGATGAAATGGCGAATCGAGGTTATGATTGAACGGCGGGAAGAAGATATGAAGCAACATGAGGTTGATTTGAATCGTCTCAGATTGTACCAAAGGGAGGACATGGAAAGGTAAAAAAGAGTTTCCCCTTGTTTGGTACCTCAAAGACTAACGTTCATTTTCGAAATGTTTTAGGTCCATTGCACCATATCTACAACTCCTAGAGAAATCTGAAAAGAGATACGAAGCACTTGAGGCCAGAATGAGCGCCGAAAAGTCCAAGCTGCAGGACGACCTGTGGAGAAGAGAGATGAAACATGAACCTGTCGATGCTCCAGAGTTTCCAGCATATGCATCTCCACCACGTATTCCAACTCCTACTCCCAACCTTCATAGTCAAACAAGTCATAACAGTCCGAATAGAGAAAACGGATCTGCATTAGATTTCCGTACTTTATCCCAAAGGCCTCCAACAGCTGCTTCTCGCCAAATGGATGCCATACCCAATAATCAATATCAAACACAATCGCAACCACAAATATCTAGCCAACGACCTGTATCATATTCTCAAACACCAAGACCACAGCACGAACAACAACCACAGCAAAGCCAACGACCTGTATCATATTCTCAACAACCAGGACCACCGCACGAACAACAGCCACAGCAAAGATTGTCTCCCCAATCGTCTTGGCCAGTGGTTATGCCTTCCAGGACGAGGATGTCAGATTCTGATAATTCTCTGTTTGGGCCACGTAGCGCTTAGATGCTTGAAAATTGAGGTAGTGAAGTTGAAGCAACTTGTACATTGTTGATTGTATTTAGTAGTTTGGATATTGAATGTTGACTTTTTAAGACAGATGCTGTATGTATACATGCATGTAATAAATAAACCAGCTATTTGCGTTAGTACAAAGCCTGTACTCGACGCGTGCATTTTGTGCTCCAAGTCGATACAAATCACATTTCAACCAACAGCGACCGAACACGAGGGAGTTAAACGAAGACGTCGGAAGGGGTTGTGTTTAAAATATCTATGGTAAGCATACCAACTCTCGAGCTTGTTTGCTGCAACTGCGCCTACTTGAAAGTGTTCCTATCTTACCTTGCCGTCATATACCTTTACTGAGTGCGTAGTGCGGGATTGCGTTGAGCTAATCTGTTCTTGGTGTATCGGTCCTTTGTATGTACGCTATGCCAGCAGTCCTAACCCAGTATATACTGTAGCTTAGGCGATTGCACTGCAAATGACACCAGCCACAGTTGACCAGTTTAACCAGCTTGCATCCTTGTTTCCAAGTTTCTTGCGTTCCGACTAGCACAAAAACACAAGAAAGTTGCCTTCACTTTGAATAATCAGTTCGATCAACCACACACCGCAGGAAGGTAAGCTGAGACGTCCATTTGGCTTACCATCATAAGTCGTTCTAGTCGTCTATTCACTTGCTCTACCTACTAAAACAACAAACTTCCCCCCAAAAACAGTAACTTACAACGTGAATTCAAAAGCCTTTGACAAACGACATGGATGCACCACAATCTCCAACCGCAACTACCGCTACCCCACCGGCATCACCTCTTAAATCTTCTGCTAGTCGAGTATCTCAGATGAATGTGATGCCTGCTTCATCATCATTAGCGCCTACACCCACAAAGAAGCAAAAGAGACGAATCGTGCCTGACGAAGAATTTGATGATATTCCCGCCCCATCGCCTAGTATCAATAACAGAAGTCGCCATAGAACACCTAAAAGGACGCGAGCAATGGAGGAGCAGTTTGCTAATGATCTCGCTGATGGCCGTCCATACTCTCTCTCGGTGCCTGTCTTTCAGGACCGGGCATATAGTGGTCCTAAAGGAAAGCCCGACGAAGGAGTCGAGAAGCGTCATACCAGGTCTCAAGGACCGCCAATGGCTGCCAATGTGAGGGCACAAGGTACGTAGGAACTTTTTCTGACGGTGCATCTAAAGTACAAAGACGCTTATCCTTTATTTGTGTCTTTATTCAGAAAATCCTGTAAACTCTGGATCGAGCTCTCCATCTCCAGCACCTCACGCGCCAGAGCAACGCAATATGGAGTTAGACGATGATGCTGCTGCTGAAGGCCAAGGAAAGGGAGAGGCATCCAATTCTTGGAATGCCCGTGAGTCTCCAGTATTGAGCAGAGCTGAGAAGGACAAGACAACCTTGTTAGTCATCGCAACGTCAACTCAAACGGATTTTGATGCAGCTGCTAGCGCTGCCCTCCAGGCCCTTCAGCAAGCACGAGAAGATGATCTGCAGAAGAATATAGTAATCCATGAATTGCAACGTGAAGTAGGAGCTCTCAGAACCGATAATCTTGCTCTGACTCGTCGAGTTAACGAGGGCCAAGCTAAAGTACGAGGTCTTGTAGCTGAGAAAGAGGCTCTTATGGCTGAAAAGGAGGGAGCAATGAAGCAGATGAAGGCTGAAATGGCACGGGCATTTTTGCACGGGCAGGCAGCCATTCAAAACATTCAAAAGATGGAAAAAGACCATAGAGTTGAGATGGATGGGGTGGTCGCAAAACAGAAAGCGTTGGTTGCAAAGCATAAAGCATTGTATAAGGAGTTGGAGGGGTTGTATGCCAAGTCTCTTTTGAATGTTGGCAAGATGGGTGCCACGAAGTAGCGAGTTGTAAAACCGTGTGTGAATTTTGTAGTAGGTGTTGTAAACGTCTGGTAAACCGTGTGTATCTAGTGAAGAATCAATTCACATAAGTAGTAAAAACCCGCAATTTTGGTTGGCGTTTGGTGCTTGCTCTTGGTTTTGATCTATATCATTCCATACACAGCAGTTCTTGATCTCTTTGACAAACCACAAGAAAAATGTCGAGCCCAAGACAATTTTCCGAGAACTTTGGTCGTTTCTGGACGTGGATGACTCCGAGCGTTGACAAGAGACTAGAGCCCATCAAGACCGAAATAGGTGAGTTTGTTATGTTTGGATCTGTTTTCGCAGCCAGTACATCTTCTGACCCTCGATTCGTTTCTGCCATATACAGGCCTGAGAGGGCTGTCTGGACGCATTATAGAAATCGGTGCAGGTGCAGGTACAGCCTCGTCATTGTCAACATTTAAACCTCAAAGTCTGATGTGTCACAACGATGTGGTTAGGTCCCAACTTTAAGTATTACAATCCAAGCAAAGTTGATCATGTCACAGCTATCGAGCCCAATGCTGTCAGTGAGTGTCTGCGTGCTGCTTTAATCGTGGTGAACTGGAGGCCTGATCCACGTTATATTTGTTTAGTGCATGCCAAGCTCACTGAAGAAGCTGCCAAACATGGATTCACAAAAGAAAAGGGAAACTTGACAATTCTATTACAAGCACTGGAAGATGTTGTGATCGCACCTGAAAGTGGTATGTTCCACAAGTGTGGCAAACACGCAAAACGCTGCTTTTGGCCACCAACCTCGTGTTTGACACCAATGCCACGTTCAATGTTATAGCCGATGCTATAGTCTCAACCTTGGTATTATGCTCTGTCACATCTCTACCTGGATCTGCCAAACAACTCGCCTCATGGCTCAAACCCGGTGGAAAACTGTTGTTTCTGGAACACGTCGCTTACAAACCAAACACTTTTGGGCTCTCCTTTCAAAAATATATTCGAGATGGGTGGGCCTATATAGGTGATGGATGCGACTTGACTCGACAAACACATGAAGTGCTGAAATCAGATGGTAATCTGGATGTTACCATCCTCGGGGATCAGAGAGACACGGTGTATTCCATTGCACCTCAAGTGTGGGGCTTTGCTACTAAAAGCAAGCTCTGATGCTTTTTGTAGGAATGTCACATAGTTTTTTATGTTTGAATCAACTGCTTGACTTGAAAAGATATTTCATGGTCTTGAGTGTTCCCGTCGCGGGTTTATGAATGCTAAACAGTTTCCGCTCTGATTCCTTTGCCTGTGTTTTCTTGCAAGAATCGCCACCTCAGTTTTGAATCGGTGCCTGTATCTAGGAACAGCGAGACAAACAGCGCATATGAATAAGACTCACTCCATAGATACAACCATTATTACTGTCACTGCAGTTATAGGCACTGCTTTGGATGCTTTCTAATGGTCAAGTCGTCGCCAGAAGCAGATTTCAAGCAACACGATCCACCCTATTGTTGGAAACTATCTGCAGCTCTCAGTGTCAATACTGGTTTTATTCATCGAAATACAGAATATTGGCAACATCCAAACATTTATATATCTAAATTGCTCATGTCATGTCCATGTTCTTTCTGTGCGTGTCAAAGCCCATCTGTATGCAAGAATGGTTTCGTGTTTGATTTTTCGTTTTTGCAAGAATTGCCACAGCAGCCAAGGTACCTCTCAATGCGACTCTTATACAAATGTGCAAGGAAACATGTGAGTACAGTCGTCAAAGTACTTGCCAAATCTTGCGAGAACGACGAACAAAAATGTCTTTGGTTCACGTTGTTGCCATATCATCCCCCGCACCCTGCTTGACAGGATGTGATGTCTTACAGTGATGCGTATACACCACTGCAAACAATTGGAATGCCTCCGACTTGTCTACACGTTCACGCAGAAAGGCGTAGCAAGGGGTCCATGAACCAACCACAAACTTTGCCGGCTTGTGCAGCAGACATTTTGTCCAGAGAACTTGTTACCCACAGTTTGACACAGAATGGTACTTGTTCTCCTACCCTTTCATATGGACTACTCGGCGGCTGGCGACTCGACCCACGCAAAAAAAGACAGAAACTGTATAGCCACCCAAGTTATTGGACCTTTTGGCAGCCAGCACTAGCGTCAGCTTCTTCGTACGGTCGGGAGCGCTGGTTTAGTCGCTGTTGCTGTTCGGATAGTGGTGGTGGTCGGGGTTGATGAGGCCGAGAAGAGTTGGGTGGCGGTGGTGGAGTGAGTGGCGTTCGTTTATGCTGCTGCATCCATTGCCATCGACTGTGCCGATTGTGACACCAATTTTGACGAGCAATTGAAATGTTTGATCTCTTGAAAGTTGCCAAAAAAAACAATCAGATAAGCTTGCAAGCCTCACCAAGCCTCACATCGTACGGCTATAACCACTTGAAAAGTTCTTTGATAGAGAGCCCGCCGGGACTCTCTGAAAAACATGAAATTGAGTGAATTGGATGTCAATCACTTTGAAGACGACAACTTTTGCACGTTCCGAGAAGAGTGAAGGTAAATATGTGGACTAACTGTGGCTTACTATACGATGCTCGGTTCCAGGGTAGCTATAGCCAGGAATAGTTTGGGGGTGAGGGACACTAGTTGCGGGGATGAGTCAATGAGTCTACTGTTAGTTAGTAATGCAAACCAAGCAACTATACGATACGAATAAAATTGAAATTGTTCGTCTCGTGTTCATGTTGGTATTTTGCAGTCCAACATCCAACATGTTTCGTGTCTGGTTTTTTTTTTGGTAAGAATTGCCACATCAGCCAACCATTCGAAAGCTCCACCAAGAACAAGTAAAGCCAACAAAGGTAAGAAGCTTCCATGCATTATATCTAATTGGATCACTGAGATCTTTCTTCTAATAGGGCGACATGAGGGGGCATTCACTGCTAGCATCACTCTTCCTGTCAATGCACAAAACTAGAACATTGCTAGGACATTCATCGCTTTCCAGCCCTACTCTGTCGATATTTATTAGACACAGGTCATCGTATGGCAAGAGAACAAAGGATGGGAACTCTATGTCATCGTTTCTGCAGACTGTACATGACAAGATGAGGGCTGATAAAAGTGGTGGTGTGGAAGCTGAAGAAGTTAAATCTGCAAGTACTAAAGTGAGATATGGTGGTAAACGGACCAGGGAAGTGAATGCAAAAGCTGTAAATCCAACGCCAGCTCGAGTGATCAACTCCAAGCTAGAACCGAAAAAAGTCGATGTTTTGAAAAGTCAAGTTACTGCCAGTTCAAGCCTGTCGAGAGCTGATGCTAGCACGGATCTAGTCAAGAAACCACGTAAAGCAGCTAGATCCCCCACTCTAAATCCAAACCTGACTGTCGACCAACCAAGAAAGAAGCCCATCGTAACGAAAGAAGTAGATCCAATTCAACTCGCATGGCTCCGATTCGAATCACAATGTAAAAAGTCAGATCATGGCATGACTACAACCAGTATAACATCTTTCTTAACTGTGCTCTTGTCCAACAAAAAGTTGGATTTAATGGTCAAGGCTTTAACGAGAGCCAAAAAGCTCGGCATACAGCCTGATATTAGATGGTATGAGCTTTTATTGGAAGCATGTTGCCAAGTAGAAAGTCCACGACAAGCTCTGAAAGTGTTTAAACGAATGGAAGCAGATGGTATTTCACCTAGTATGGAGTGTCACGCTACGTATATGGAGCTGCTATGTAGCCAGGGCGATTTTGAGCAGGCCAAGGCGTACTTTGCTAGCACTTATCAGCCTGTACCTGTTAAAGCAAATGAAGTTGCGAACATGACGGAGGGTCAATCGACATCTGAATCATTACCACCTACAATCGTAAACCCACCTCCAGACACTCTAGTATACTTGAGGGCAATGATGGGCTGTGCTCGTCGTAAACGGGCTCATGAAGCTCAATATTGGATGGACAAGCTATTATCAGAGCCATTAGTAACTCCCACGTCTGCATGCTTTGAAGCCCTAGGACAAGCATATATAGAAGCTGGTGATTTAACAGGTGCTGAAAAGGTGTGGGATGATATGCTTAATAGAAGTCTAATACCGCCGGAACAGGCCATTATCGCTACCATGAATGCATATATGAAGAAGGGACAAGCACACAAGGCTGTTGCATTCTGTGAGAGACCGATTTACCTATCGCTATATGATACTGTAGATGTTTTAGCTGTACGAGCTGTAGCATATGCCCAATCAGGAGAAGTCAGTAGAGTGTTTGAAATCATGCAAAAACTGTCTGCATTAAAGTGTACCATACCGTCTCGCAACTTGGAGCGAATTGTGGAGGGGCTGTCACGGAACGGATTCACTACGGATGCTGCTAGACTATGCTCTCAAGGTACCCCACTATCAACATATTTAATTCTCATGGAAGGGTTTAATCGAGAAGAGTGTCCTGATGAAGCAGCAGCTATATTGCAAACCATCCGAGACAGTGGTATGCCATTGACCACATCCATGTTCGCAACTGTCATAAAGGGCTTTGCAGCTGCTAATAATGTAGAAGCTGTAGAACGATACTTTGATCAAGCTCGAGATGCAGGTCTTGTTGATGCGCAATTATGGAAGTTGGCTTTGACGAGTTATGTACAAGTATCAGATATAGATCGAGCACTAGAACTAGTAGAAGCCATGACAGAACAAGAGGGCAAAGAAGATGTGATTCCAGATATAGATCCCATCTTCCAACTCTTTGAATCATGTATTCGAGCAAGACGATGGGCTGATGCTGCAACATCATTTGGTATCTTGTCGGGTATTAGAGGTGTAGAATCCAATCCAGAACGGGTTACTCGCTTACTTGATATGCATGCCAACGAGTTTCATCATATTGCTTGTCAGTTGTTGCGAGGGGATTTAGAAGCGGAATCGGATGGCCTGTTATTGTCTGGTCCACCATTAGGTTTAGTCTTGTATAAAGCATTGACTACAGCAACGAAGCCGTTACCCGAACGGTTGTATAGAACTGCTATGAACTTTTATAGTCAAGATCAGGATCTCGTAGCTGTAGTATCAACATGGACGACCATGCGTAATCATATAACTGCTCCGTCAGCAACAACGGTAACGACGCTGTTACAGGCAGTAGTAGCTCAAGGTGGCGAACGAACGGCCAAAGCAACACTAGATATGATGACAAAGGAAAAACTACCACTAGATATTGATGGATATAGAGCGCTGTTGACTTTAATGGGCCGATCAGGCAAGCCGAAAGATGCCATTGCACTGCTCGTTGATATGGACAGTAAAGGGACACAGTTTGGAAGTGTTGAATGGGAGATCTTGAGAGATGCGTTTCGTCGTGGGCATTGGAAGAAGGAGGAACGATATGTTGTAAGGTTTTTAGAGGAACACTACCCGGAAGTGCTTGACATTGCTGATGGGGATGCTGTAGATAGTAATAATAGTAGTAACGATGAGGAGGATGGTTCTGGTGATGAATCTGTCGTCACGTCATCTGTAAAGCCTGTGAGTAAGGGTGCTAGACCAAGTCCCAAGGTGAGGGTCACACATGTTGTATAAAGCCATTGTAAAACACATATGAGTCAATATACACTAATTTATGGTATGTCGATGCGAAATATGTTTTTGAAAGATGTACAAGATGGGTTTAAATGAATGGAAGAGATTACGGGAAACGTTGAAGTATTCTCCCAGTGACGTTCTTTACTGCATAAAACCAGTAAAAGACACTTACAGATCCTACCAGCAAACGAAGCGTTATGACAGCAACATATCATTCATTGATCACAAGCATCACATACCTTTAGGAGCCATCGGCAAAGACAGCAGATACGTAAATGGCCCCAACCATCCATCAGGAATGTAGAATATGGGTTCATTACTATAAATAGTCATGAGAGCCATCTGGAAGATCCACATGAAAATCCACAATCCCCATGAGACTTTGGCTTCGAATGATGCTCGTGAGGATGATTCTGATTTGGCTGATTGTATAGGAATAGAATTGAGACTGGCTGTTCTCTCTTGAGAGCAAAATTCACAGTATGCTCGTACATAGTTCTTCAAAGTCAGCGACCTTCTTGTCGAGAGCTCTTCGTATCTTCGCCCATTTTGCGAATTCGTCCTATACGATGAGTTAAATACACTGGTAAGATCACGGTTTGGTTCCATTCATTAGATGCCTGAGCAGCAACAATTCATCAACCCCAACAAGATGTTGAACTCACTTGAGCACTTGTGTTTGTCAAATCATGTCTGAGAGTCAGTACTTCCTTTTTCAGCGTGTGTATCTTGTTGGACGCGTCAGCTTTGAATATCCTCTTGTAGACTTCAAACGTCTAAGACGTATTTGGTTGGTTAGAACCAGTCCAAACATACTCATGCAAAATCACGTACAGTTTTGCCAATGAGAGCATAACCTATATGCTGAAATATCTGTAATAATACTGCACATATTAGTACGGTTACTATAGCCGCCACCATTTTCTCTCCCTTCCTTTATTTGGTGTTTTGAAAAACACCACAACGTTCCATCAATTCATTCAACCCATTAAGTGTATTATTCAATATTAGTACAGTAACGCGTACAACACGTAAGTGCGTTCCATCTACTCTTATAATTACTAGTCCATTCTCACATTCACTGTAAACTGACGTACTCGCATTCGCAGCGCAGTCGACACCATAACATGGCATTAAAGATACCCAAAACTGGATTACCCAATTTGCTCAAGGATGGATACAAGGTATATTATTATCCTGCATTATTCAACACCGTCAATCATCCCTTCCACCTATCGCTGGTGTCAAAAATCCAAACATTAACATTCAACCACACATTTTTCAGCATTTACAAGGATTGGACGAAGCCGTTTTACGAAACATTGCTGCTACAAGAGAATTATCCCAGATTGTTAGGACTTCGTTAGGACCAAATGGTATGCAGCCTATGATGGATGATGATGATGCGAAAGATCTAGTGTTTGGATGCAAAAAACATGCTAATATGGAATTCTGCATTGCTCACCGCCTGTTCTATTATAGGACGAAACAAGATGGTGATCAACCATCTTGAAAAGCTGTTTGTTACAAATGATGCCGCAACAATCATCAAGGAATTAGAAGTCGTTCATCCTGCTGCAAAGTTGTTTGTCATGAGTTCGCAACAGCAAGAAGCTGAGGTGAAAAAAACAGCAACTAAACACGCCATTATAATATGCAATTTATCACTCACACCATTTGTCATCTTAATAGCAAGGAGATGGAACCAACTTTATGATTGTATTCGCTGGTGAATTGCTACAACAAGCTGAGTACTTGTTGCGTATGGGCTTGCATCCTTCTGAAATCATTGATGGTTTTGATGTCGCATTCAAAAAGACACTCGAGTTACTTGAAAGTATGTTGCTTATCCGAATATTGATCCTATCATTGTTTTTGTGCTCACTCTTGCATACTCTTCAACCATAATAGCAATGTCAGTGGACAAGGTCTCTGACCCAAACTCACCTTCCGAATTGACCAAGATTGTCAAATCAGCAATCTCATCTAAACAATATGGCTATGAAGACTTTTTGACAGAGCTGGTTGTCAAGGCATCGTTGGAAGTCATGCCCACAAAAACTGCCCAATTCAATGTAGACTCTGTACGAGTTGTCAAGATCTTGGGTGGTAGTATCCATGAGTCTACTGTGGTTAAAGGGATGGTCTTTGGCCGTGAACCTGAGAGTAAGTCATTTGTTGCTTTACGTTCGTTCAACAATTGTGCAAAAAAAAAACGAATCGCCCTGACGAATAAACGAATAGGCGTGGTACAGAAAGCCTACAAGGCCAAGGTTGCCATCTTCTCTTGTGGATTAGATACTCAAATCACAGAAACCAAGGGAACTGTCTTGATTAAGAATGCCAATGAAATGCTCAACTTTTCCAAGGGTGAAGAAAAGCAGCTGGAACAGGTAAGCGAAAAAATGCTTTACCGAAGGCCAAATTCACAACGTAGTTGATGCTCAATCCATCGTCGTCCCTTCGAATAAATAGATCTTTATTGATATCGCTGCTACAGGTGCCAAAGTCATTGTCACTGGTAGCACTATTGGTGATATGGCCATGCACTTTATGAACAGATTGAATTTGGTTGTCCTCAAAGTACCATCCAAATTCGATCTCCGACGTCTATGCCGTGCAACGAATGCCACAGCTCTCACACGTCTCGGCCCACCAACTGCTGAAGAAATGGGTTATGTCGATGTATGCGAAACCGTCGAAATTGGCTCCGACCGTTGTACTGTATTTAGACAAGAAGAAGATTCATCCAAGACTGCTACTATTGTTATTCGTGGTAATACCATGAATGCTCTAGATGACTTGGAACGTGCTATTGATGATGCTGTAAATAATGTCAAGGCTGTATGTAAAGATGCTCGATTGTTGGCAGGAGCTGGTGCGTTTGAAATTGAAATGGCCAAGTCCTTGTCTTCATTTGGTGACAAGACTCCTGGTTTGGATCAATACTCTATTCGTAAATATGCTGAAGCTTTGGAAGTCATTCCCAGAACGTTGGCTGAGAATGCGGGCATGGATGTGAGTTGCATAGTTTGAATTTGATTTGATTTCTTATTTTGCTGTCTGGGGTTTACTGACTGCTTTTATTTTTCTTTAATAGAGCACAGAAGTAGTATCCAAGTTGTATGCTGCCCATCACGAAGGCAAGACCACTTATGGTGTCAACATTGAGGTATGCTATAGTCGGTGCCACTTCTCAATCGAAAGTCACCGCTGATAACTTTTTTTTCTCCCCACCTACTCTTCAACAGTCTGATGACAATGGTGTCATGGACTCTGCAGCTAAACTAGTCTTTGATGCCTTGCCAATTAAACGAAACGCCATTCGTCTCGCCACAAATGCCGCATTGACCATCTTGAGTGTGGACCAAATCATCATGAGTAAGCCTGCTGGAGGTCTTGCACCTAAGAAACAAGGCGGAGATTGGGATGAGGACGATTAAAGGTGACTGTTTAGAAAAAGGTTGTATATATTATAAAGGATCGCGCACTCAGAATCTTGAAAGAAAGGTATACAATATATTGCTTTACACATGCAAACAATGAGGGATTTATTTTGGTATGAGTGTTTTTATGACATCCGTGACAGCTTTAGCAGTAGCTAATCCAGCTGATATTGTGTCTGACATTGCTTTCATGACTTTGCCAGTATCCTTTGATGAAGTCGCATTCACTTCTTGCATCACAGCCTTCACTTTGGCGACGAGAGCGTCACCGTCTAGCTGTTTCGGTATGTATCTACTTGAAATCCATTCAGCTTCCCTGGCTTCCTGTTGGGATTTAGTCTCTTCTTTCGCAGCTCGGTAAGCTTCAGCAGCTTCTTTTCGTTTCCTACAGGCCAAAAAAGACATAGACTGAGAAAGTCTGGATTGAACCTCTCTTCAAACCATTGAATTGCCTTGGACACACTCTTACACGACAGCCTTTTGCAATATAGCCATAACACTGGTGGCATTTGATGCTCCAACTGATTTCTGTGAGTATGTAATGTCTGAAAGTAGAGACTTGACGATAGAAACGTTGTGGTCCTTAGCCTTCATCAGGGCCTTTAGATCTGCTTTCAGTTTGCCGACAAGTTCTAAATGTTAAACGTTGGTAGCTCAGTGAAACTCAGGTGCTTCAATTGATGATTCAGATACGATGCAAGTCCTGTGGTGGGATAACACGGATGCACTTCTTGACCACCCTGGTCTTGAAACTCGAGACTGCAGAAAAAATGCAGAACGATCTGGACATACCATCATTAAGCGATCCAGAACTTGATGGACGTGTCCAATTCAGACGTGCGATGAGTGCTAGTCTTGTTAGTGGTCTTGCTGACCTGTATAGTGCAAACATTGTGTTTTTGGAGTTAGTGAAAGCTCTCAGAGCTAGTGAAAATGAAGGGTGCGAGTAGTACTACAAGTCATCGTCAATGTTCCGGACGCGTAATGGGGCCTCTTTGACACGTTTTCATCTTGCCTGTCATAGATCTACCATGGGGGTGCTTGAAAGTTGTAAAATCACGTTCGTTCGACGCGAAATGAAGGCCTTATTTCATTTCAGATTGTAACTATTTAGTGGTGGAATATATTCAACTCTCGTCACCTACTCGCTGTGACTTGGAATGTCTACTTGACACTTGACACTACTCGTTTCATTTGTTCAGTTTTACAGATACAGTATATACATGAGCGCAGCAACATCAATTCTTCTAATTTGTGGACGTGGACGTATGGCATAGGGCGTGGTAATCATCCACAGTAAGGTCCCTTTCACCACATATCTTTGAAAAGAACTGTCGTCAAATGACCCTTTGACATTTCTTTGTATCGAATCCTAGAACTAACTCCCTTTTCTTCGTTTAATCAAGCTGCGATCTTGTTGCTCTACTAGTCAAACATTAGAAACAATCATCTGGGCTCCAGCCCACTTGTTGGCCTAGCATCCCATTTGGAGCATCAAACGAAAAGTCAAATAATTTTGAATGTTCCGTGGATACAAGGGAGGGCGTACGGCTCTAATTGACTCATCATCCAATAACCAATGGTATACAGACCACGTATGTACTCACTCATTCTCCTCGTTTCTTCCCGTCGTGATCCTGTATGCAAATTGACAAAACACTTGGTTCCACTCTTTAGAGAAACGAAGCGGTCGTGGAACAAGACGACTCGGATGACGAACCTGATTTTCAACATGACGATGATGAGGAGGATTTCCCAAAGTTCCGTGACTGGACTGCTGAAACGCCTGCCATGTCTCGGAAACTTGATCATCATGTGGTGAATGGTAGAGATTTATCCCCACGTTTACCTCCGATCAGTAGTATACCGCCCAGTTTCGAACCACCTGCTAGTAATAATTATAATGTATCCTCATCACCATCGTTGGATTTCGACACTGAACTCAGCCGTAGTCAATCGCTCGTCGACTCTAAAACCCACCACCAGGATCATCATATTCAACCACCAGTTCGTAAAGTAGAGGCATATGCTATCGCAGATCAATCACGCGCGTTTGGTAATTATATACCAAATATGACGCCGACATTCTCGGATTTCGTTACGCATGATGATCTGGATGCGTTGCTGGCCTCCTTCCAAAATACAACACCGGCAGTTGTGAATGGAGATAGTGGGATTAGTAGTAATACTAGTAGATCGCCACGTAATGGCGGAGGAACTAGTAGCAGTAGGTCACCACGTAACGGAAGGTCTCCTTTACATTCGCCACGTATCTCACCACGTAGCTCACCACGGGTCGGTCATGTATCGCCCATGGAATCGTTGCTGGCTCCTCCTCGAGCCAAGCCGACGTTTCAGTTTGCTACTATAGATGATCTTCCAAATGTAAATGAGACGGTAGCTGTGGAATCTAGTACTAGTGGACGACGATATGATAGTGCTATAAATCTATATGGAAGTAGTGCTGAATTATCCACCTTCAAGAAAAGTAATAGTCTGCTCGTCGAGAATGTGGAAGACGATGGTATACTGGCAGAAAAGGCAGAGGAGGAAGCAGAGGAGAAACGACCTCTACTTGCTGACTTTAAGAGCCTTAATGACTTAATGAGTCGAGACATGGATGCGATTGCTCCAGTCTCTGAATCTGTTCCCGCTTCTGCTTCGCCAACCCTTGATTTACCAGAAAATCCCAGTCCCAGTGAACAACAACCAGGCAGACTGAAAAAATCTCAAAAGAAGAAAAAGAAGAAGAAATTTAAAGTCAGAAAGCCTAAAGCTGCTAATAGTGGTAACCGAAATGCTGGTGAAGCAGATTCGGATGGTGATGATGTCGAGGGACAAGAAGAGGAAGAGGGAGGTGATGAGGATGATGAGGAAGGAGATGCTAACATGGATAGTTTCGAACAGGATGGACGACCTCCTATAGCACGACAAGGACCAAGTCCAACATCATCTCAAATACCTTTTAGTAGTAGTAGTAGTAAAAGTCCTAAAAGTAATAATAGGCCATCAGCACCTAATAGTAAAACACAGTCACCTCATCATCAACCCAAGAGTAAATCACCACATCACATCGATATCCTGCCACCCGCCAACATTAGCAAATCATCATCAGCATCTAGTAGTAAACCATCTCAACAACACCAACCACACCAATCACAACCTCCTTCGACTTTAAAAATTCAGCACAATCGACTCTCTATTAAAGTACATCCTGATTCAAAAGACTCAGCACCGCCATTATCCGCACCACCATCCACCGTCGCAAACAATCTCCCTATACCGACAAACACCATCTTATCAGCCAACGATGTCGAGACGTGTGAAACCATCTTGCTGACAACATCAGAGCTGGTACCATCATCCTTGTATGGTGTGATTCTAGACACTTTAGTGAACAAACTAGGATATGAAGTCGAGTCTCTCTCACGACGGTGTGTGAGACCATGGGCATCTCAACCGAAAGATCGACGTGACATTGTTACGCGCGCAACATTGGCTATTGTAGTATCTAGACGTAATGATACAATCTCTGTCCCGTTGACTTTGGAGGCGGGACTGTCTGAAATCCATACTAGGTGTTTGGACGTCTTGAATGAACCTGGATTTAGTTATAGTAGTAGTAATAATAACAGTACATCAACAAAAGCCCTTCTTAATTCCACTCCCTCGCATATAATCTCAACCGCCCGAGCACCGAAACGTGACAAGACAAGGAAGGATTTAGATGTCCTGTCTGCTCTACTACCACCACCATCACCACAGAATCGAATAGGTCAACAAAACGTGGTCAATACGTGTATTGAAGTGCCACAAATAGTGTTTGTGATGGCCCGAATGCATATTGCCATACCGCTATTACGCAAACTGATTGAACCATCAATACCTTCCTCGACTACGCGGCCACCAGTCTCAGCTTCAGGAGTACAATATGTATCTAGTAATAGGTTTGAGCTGCTGGGTATTAAATGCATACCTTGTATAACGCCTGCGCATGCTAAACTACTGACACCTTTTGAGGTTCATGAACGGCAATGGGCTTCTAGTTTGGAAGTGTTGACTAGTAGTGGTGGAGGAAATGGTGGTGAGCAGCGTTGGATGGTGCTTGCTTTACGTCGAATTGGAGCTTATGATTATCTTGAAAAAATTACATGTGAGTGGTCATACTCGAGATCAAAAAAACGGGGGATTGCGACGAGAGAATGAACACCAATGTCTTTTCAACTTAGCGTCATTGATTGAATCGCATAAACCGCCAGCTGGAAACAATTTGATCAAGACTAGTGCAGTGGTTGGGCTTTCTGACAAGGATTTAGCTCGACTGTCGATACTGAGCACTTCATCTCCTGACATGGCATTACAAGCTCTGACCTCCTTCTTCCGTGATGTGGAACTGCTACCAGGCGATCCATCGGAATGGGAGGATGTAGCATGTCATCCAATTGAATACTTTTCTCATCCTGTCGTTCTTCAAAATGTTACCCTTGCTGCTCCGTTACTGATGAGTGCAGTTATCATGGACAAGAGAATGGTAAGCGGTCATGGCTTGGAACTTATATATTATTTTGTCGCCCTTTACCAACGTTCAACATTCTCCTACCTAGTTTCCATCACTTGGCAAAGTATTAGCTCGCATTCAACGTGAAGGATTTGTCTTGACTGGTCTTAAACTGTGTCGAATCAGCGCAAACATGGCACAAAAGTTTGTTGCTAATGCAGACGATCAAGAACGATTGACGCCTACTCAACGTGATGACTTTATGCGAAAATTGACTGATGGACCTGTCTTGTGTGGTTTGATTTCTCGAGAAAATGGTGTTAGAAAGTGGTTGGACGTTTTGGGTGAGTTTGGAAAAACCAAAAAACTAAGCCACGTTCCTTTTCATTGCATCTTATTCCATTGGGCAATTTAGATGATGTATATCTGAAATCAGGAGGTCTTCCACTACAAGTTGGAGATGCTCTACCCGATCCCATGCCATTTGGATTGTATGGATCTCCCAGTTTCCGTGCTGCTCTGAATCAAAAACAAGTCTTGTTCCCAGAAGGACCACCTGTGGATGCTTTGAGTCATATTTGCATGAATCGCGTAAGTTCCCTCTTCACAAATCGTGACGCATGAGGCCTATTGAACATCTTTATGTTGCTTTTAGTATATGCGTAAAATAGTTCCGAAAGCTCCAACGGATCTACCACCACCTGGCCGAAAATGTTATTCATTCCTGACTCCTCGAGGTCCGAATGCATCACCTTCTGGAGAAGCACAACTATCATGTGTGCTCCTGTTACCTGTCGAGACGACTTTTGAAAAGATTTTGGCTCAATGGGCCAAGATTGTTGATTGTATTTTAGGCACAACGCCTCCTACAAGTGCGACGGCCACTAGTACTGCATCTGGTGGTAGTAGTGCTGCTTCATCTTCCCGGCCTCCTCGACCACAAGAATCACAACAACAGCAACAGCAGCGTGGAAGGGCTTCAAGAGGAGGAGAACGTGAACGGGGTAGAATACGTGAAACCAGTTCCAGTACTCGGGCTAGTGATGATACCGTACAAGACGATGATGAACAGCAGCAGCCTTTCAAATTGATTGCATGTCGACTTGTCATTGTGCGCGAAAACGTTGCTGAGGAAGTGGCCAAATGGAGTGCGATATCGAATGCTGAATGGGGTGCGGTTGGTGCTGGTGTTCCTGTTGAGATGACGGTATGTGTCCTACTACTTTCAGATTTTTTGTCGATTCTGCTTTGAATGGTGATTCTAACCATTACATTTCCTTAGATGCGAAATGGACCGACTCTCATTCTGGCTCTTGAAAAAGAAGGTGGCTCTGCTCCAGCCATGTTGAATTCCAAAATTGAACGGTAAGATGCCTTGTTGAACATGGATGATCCTTCAGGCATACTGATTATGCACACTTTGTAGATTGGACAAGTCCTTGGGTAAATGTATTATTGCAACACAATCACACGATGAAGCCCTCAAAGTGCTGCCAGATTTCTTTGGTGACTTGCATGGAAGTACATTGTATCGAATCAAAACGTAAAACTGGATTATGGGAGTATATGGGGACTTGTTGTTAGGGAGGTTGCTTTTTATATATAGCACATCTGTAAATAGCAAGGATCTATAGTAAAAGAATTAAGTTTACATGCATTGATTGAAACTCGATGTTCCAAAGACATGTCAATACTTGTCCAATACGTGTCAAAAATACGAGAACTAGCAATTACTGATTTATCAAAAGCGAATGGTGCTTCTTTCGTGCCTTTATGCGGTGAAAGTGGTGCTTTCACGTGTGGTTTACTGCCTTCATGTGTGTTTCCCCTCGTCCCCTCACTTTCGCACCACACTTTTTCCTACCAGGCGAACGAGGTACGAATCAAGCACTACAAAAATACCATTTATATACAAATCTATTATCGCAAACGATCTACCCACACCTCATCACTCTATCTACTAGTTGAAACCGCCTGAAATCAATATTAAAAGTTAATCTTTTTCCGGAACCTGAGTCCCAAATATGTCGACTGCAGCCAACAATCGCTGGTACAGCACCGCGGAAATCGCACGCCATAATACCGAGAAAGATTGCTGGATAATTGTCAATGGCAAGGTGTGTGTCTGTTTTCAGACTCAGACATCTTGCACAATGTTCATGCACCAGATTATGAACGAAGTTTGGAATTTGCTGTGGGTCGAGAGAGGAGGGATCGGGTGGAGAATTGGTTGAAACTTGATATTAGATCAGTTGGAAACATGTCGTGTTGTCTGTATGATTTTTGCGTGTCAAAAAGACTTCAAACTGACCCTTCAATGATAGGTCTTTGATGTCACTTCTTTTTTGGACGATCACCCGTAAGACGTCATTGCGTCTGGCTCTGGTCAAACTTCTGTTGTTGTTAATATGACCTTTTTTCGCATTGTATAGAGGAGGAAAGAAGATCCTAGTCAAAGTTGCTGGTACTGATGCCAGCAAGCAATTCGCTCAATTCCATAATCCCTCTGTTTTGGAATCTCATGCCGCTAAATTGCTTGTTGGGGAAGGTATGCTCCAAAAAAGGAACCTCTCCCACCGTCATATTTGCTTTGCTGACATGTCATAACTCATTTTTTGTAGTGGGCGAGGCTCCGGCCCCTAGCGCTGTTGTTCCAGCTGGCAAAGACACGTCAGAATCTGAAGAACACGATGGTGAAGAGCAAGGGTACTTTGGAAGTTTGGCTCCCTTTGTTGATCCGTAAGTTTGTTGTTTGTTAAGGTTAGAAGGACATTTAATGGGGTTGCTGATATGACATCTTGATGTTTAGATACTGGTACCAAGATGTATGTGATTTCTTTATCAGGGGTATTTTGTCATTGTTTTCGATCCGACCTTTTCCATATTCCTAGTGGTACTCTCCCTACTACAACGAATCCCACCGACGAGTCCGTGCAGCAGCCCGCAAATTCACAGAAACTGAAATCATTCCAAACTCTTTCACGTGGGATGAGAGCAAGCAGATACCCAAAGACTTGTTTGTCAAGGCTGCTCAAGCTGGTATCTTAGGATGTCTTGTAGGTCATCCGTTACCCATTGACTGCTTGCCACCATACCCATTGTGCGGTGGAGTCAAACCTGATGAGTTTGATGCCTTCCATGAGTTTATCATTTGTGATGAGTTGTCACGATGTGGATCTGGAGGTGTTGTTTGGGCGCTTGTTGGTGAGGCGGAATTGCATGTTGAAATGAAATGAACAAATCAGCTCATATGGGGGGTTTTTGCGTTTTAGGTGGATTTGGTATTGGTTTGCCACCTGTTGCTCAATTTGCAACCGAAGAAGTCCGAAAGCGAGTTGTTACTGAGTGCATGTCCGGACATAAGAACATTTGTTTGGCAATTACTGAGGTTGGTTAATTCGTCGTAGTTGTTGAGAACCGGTTGCGTCGTGTGCATTGAACTCTATCGCATTTTTTGGTGATAGCCATATGCAGGTTCTGATGTCGCTCAACTAAAATGTGAGGCCAAGAAGACTCCTGATGGCAAACACTACATGTGGGTGAAAGAACTCGTCTTCATGTTCTTCTTTTACCATTTTTTTCGCCCATACTTGACCAACTCGATTGTATTTCGAAACAGCGTCAATGGAATCAAGAAATGGATTACCAACGGAGTGTTTGCTGACTATTTTACTGTCGCTTGTCGTACTGGTGGTGCTGGAATGGGCGGAATCAGTTTACTCCTGATTGAACGTTCATTCCCTGGTGTATCTACTCGTCAAATGCAATGCTCTGGTGTATGGGCTTCTGGAACTGCTTATGTGAGTTGCAGTATCCCTGGACATTCGTGGTTTTTTTCGCTTGTCTCACTCGCCTTACCCAAAAACACAGGTTACATTTGAGGATGTCAAAGTGCCTGTGGAGAATCTTATTGGAAAGGAGAACAAGGGATTCAAAATCATCAGTGAGTTCAATTTTTCCTTCCGACAATTACAATAGTTAAACTAACGTGCGTCACGCAACTGATAGTGAGAAACTTCAACCATGGTATGCAGCATAGCTGACCGTCTCGGTTTTTTTGTTGCCCTCAATCTAACGCAACCAAATGAACAGAACGTATGGGTATCGCCATCCAAGCTACACGGTTTGCTCGTGTCTGCTACGAAGATGCTCTCCACCATGCTCACAAGCGTTCAACTTTCGGAAAGAAGATGATTGAGCATCCAGTCATTCGTCTCAAGCTTGCCAATATGAGTAAAGGAATTGAAGCTACTCATGCATGGATGGAACAATTGCTCTACCAAACTACCAAGATGCCTGAAGATCTTCAACCTTTGCGTCTTGGTGGACCTATTGCTTTGTGAGTGATTGTTGAACTTTTGTTGTGCCTTTGTTGACCCACACATTCTCGGAGACTGACAATACGAGCAAATAAATATTCAGGCTTAAAGCGCAGAGCACACAAATTTTCGAATTATGTGCACGTGAAGCAGCTCAGATATTTGGTGGTCTTGGTAAGAGCTTTTAGAGGAAAAAATAATGTGGAAGAACTTCGCGAAGATTAACTTGAACCATCACTTAAGCCTACACTCGTGGCGGTCAAGGAGAACGTGTGGAAAGATTGTATAGGGAAGTAAGAGCCTATGCCATTCCAGGTGGATCAGAAGAGATCATGTACGTTTAATGTTATGTTGCTCATATGAAATTGCGGCATATGAAGTCATTACTAACTTTAAAACACTTTTTAAATAGGTTGGATTTGGGTATCCGACAATCCGTTAAAGTTTCTCAAGTCCTTGGCGCCAAGCTCTAGATTAGACTGCTTCCCAAGACGACTGCTGTTATTTGATGAGTGTTTCTTTGTAGATGTTTGTAAGTGTTTTCGTGGCTGGTCAATGGAGTGAAGAGGGCGTCATGTTTTTTCCAAAGATATTTTCAAAATAGAATAAAGGCATCAAGAGTGACATATTGATATGAACAACGCGAAAATGAACGTTGTTTCTCGACGTTAGCGACTTTGATCTGAGTTTGACAATATTGGGTGGCTAGTTTCAAAGACAAACGATTAAACCACGCACCACACGAGTCTAATATTAAAGTCGTAGTCAGTACACTCAGTTGGAGCAAGAGTCACTCCTTTTATATACCTAGTTTGGTCTCTCTCTTTGGTCTCCGAGAATTCACGTATGGACAACAGTCTTCTCAAGCAGATTGAGAATGGCAGGAAACTCAAGAAGGCTGTTACAAATGATCGGTCCGCTCCTATTGTAGATGGTAAGATCTCATAGAACTTGTATATGGATGATGCTGCTTTGAGTGATTTAGGCATTGTTTGTCCATCAATTCATAACATTTTGGGAAGTTGTATTGCGGGGTGGAGAAGTGATAATGGAAAGGAGTGCATGGTCGCAAATATTGAATTGCTGCTCGGAGATTCGCTATCAGTTGGCCTGAATTCGATAAGAAATATGGTCGGGTACAAAGAATATTGGCATAGGCCGTCAAAGTAACGGCACTTCATGAACGAGAGATATTATTCATTCCAGTCTGGTTATCTATCGAGATACTGCTATTCTTCCTATTTGAAATACGATAATTGTGATCTCGGATCTCGTTGTATCGGTCACTTGGTTAAGCTTCCTTCTTCATTTAGCAAAAGCTGCTGCAGCTGCAGTTTCAGCAATACCAATGGGTAGACCTGGAGGGGGAGGAGGAGGCGGTGGTGGAGGAGGTGGAGGAGGCGGTGGAGGAGGTGGCGGCGGAGGAGGAGGAGGTCCAACTGCTCCACAATTAGGAGGACTCTTTGCAGGTAATGAATTGGATTCAATATGAGTTAAGGCAATAGAAGTGTTAATACGCTCACAACAGGTGGAATGCCAACATTGAAAAAAGCTGGTGGAGCTGCTTTAGGTCGAGGTGCGTTCCTCTTGTTCAAGCGTTCTTCTCTTGTCAAGACAAACAGAATTTTAATTCGTAATTTACCCTATAAACATCACAGTTGAAACACCATCATTTACACCACCGCCAGCAGCGCCAAGGCCTTCACCACAACCAACATCAAATGGTCCGCCACCACCACCAAGAATGCCAACATCGAATGCTGGACCACCACCAATAGCACCCAGAGCACCTCCAGCTCCCACACCACCACAACCACCAGCGCGTTCATCACCAGGTCCGTCTATTCCATCAAGACCCTCAAGTAATTATGACGTTGAATTGGATTGCTTGATCTTCATTTCATCGTATACCAACCCTTGTTTTTTGGGCAGCGGGTGCACCATCACCTCCAGTACCGTCTGGATTTGCCACTGTAAGAGGAAGCGCTCCTCCACCACCTGTTAGATCAGCGCCTCCACCCCCACCTCGTGCTTCGGTAATGATTGGCCAGACACTTTTTTTCGCTTGATTTATTTTAATTCTGACACTTTACGCATACCTAAGGTGGCAGCACCAGATAACATATCAATACCAGCACGACCAGGCGCTGGAATGCCCCGGTCTGTATCAGGGCCAGTGACGAGTCCACCATCAGGACCACAATATGAATATGAAATGAATGGACGATGGAAGTTTAGAACAGATCTACCAGCTCCGAGAAGTTGGCCCTCAGGAGCTCCTGCTGGTAGTTATGATAATCATGGTAGTAGTGGTGGATATGGGAATGGCAATGCCAGGAGTCCCATGGGACCACCTCCAACAGCACCACGAGGAGGAAAAGTCGCGCCTCCATCATCTGGTGGTGGTAACAGTAAAGATGTATCTAGATTTGTGGATGAGTCCTTATTGCGTCTGCAGAATGGGTTGGATCAAGCTATTGCTAGGAAAGAGTTTGGGAAGTGTGCTGATTTACAGTCTAGAATCGAGGTAGATATTTGCAACCATTTAAAGTCATTGATTGAGTCTTTGACGTTGCGGGTTTTTTGCGCTTACAAGATTCTGATCGACTCTTTTCCCTCACTCACAGGCAGTAGAAAAGTTAAGAGATTCTCTATCATCTGGATATGATGTCTCTGCAGAGTATAGAAAAGTGCAAGACATGGTTCGAGGATATGTATGATGAGGCCAAGACAGTGTTTTTATTATTGTAGTCTATGAGCTTATAATATAAGACACACTCTATGAAGTCAGATATACGGGTTGTATGAGATGTATGGAACTGTTTCAGTTAAGTCTATCCACGGACATTTGCTGTTTGAGGTTTGCTAGTGTCTTGATCTATGGCTTCTATATGGGAGGAGCACACACACAGTGTGAAGGAGGTCCTGAGTCAGGAAAAGATTGTGAAAGTGGGTTCAATGCCAATTACTGCCGTCTTGTTCTTGTCGGTGCACTATGTCCTGACGAGAGGGATCCGTGTCGTTCAATATCGTCAATCAAGATCCCCACCAAAGGAGCGGTTTTTTCCAGAGCAGCACACAGATCTCCACTACATGATGATCCAAGGAACTTGACGACATTGAAAACGGCCTTGATACGAGGATGTCTTGAGACTGAGTTCGTGCCGTTCGCGTCAAATGTAGGCATCGTTGATGACCTGGCTGAGCGCGTTTTCAGAGAGGAAGCGTACAGATGCTTCAACAATTCACTAATATATATGAAATGGAGATGAAATTTGTTAATATAATGATGCTTTGGAAAACGTGATTTGATTCTAACTTCAACAAAAAACTTACAATGACGATCACAACCAAAGACACGAGGAATCCACACAGGTCGACAATTGGATGATTATTATATAATGCAGGAGCCTATATTTGCTCACGACGTGGTCCTGTTCAATCCTTTTCGATATACAGATGACGAGAATGCTTATGGCTTTTTGAAGCAAGCTATAGAATTGGTTGAAGCTAATGGAGGAAGAGTAGTGACAAATCAGGATGAAGCTACTGTCATTGTCACTCGTGGAACTGCTCCATCCAGAATTGCTGCTTATATGGACATGAGAGGTGTAAGTCACTGCTGAAAAACTTGATCTTTGTCTAGATTTGTTTATTATAGTAGAGTAGAAATAAGTTGATCACTTTTAAATTCATATTTTTAACCCATTTTCATTGCTATATCACTATAGTTCAACCTTCCAGTCGTCAGAGACACTTGGGTTTTTGAATCCTGCAAACGAAACGTTCGCATCCCAACAACTGACGAAGAATACCGAATAGACATGAGCGGACAAGTTATGCATGAGCCAGTGTATTCTGCTCGTGATGATCAAATCCGCAGAGCTCGTGCCAAACGTCATCAACCGACTGTTTGGACGAGCTTCTTGTTGTCTGATAGCAGAATCGATGCTCTGAAGGCTCTATTTGGAGATGATGTGTTGGAAAATATGACGGGAGTCGTGTCTGTAGATGGCGATACTCGCAGGAGTGGTGTAAAACGGAAGAGCTCTGAACAGTCGTCAGGTATCGACTGACAGCTCATCATATCTAGAATTCACAGTTTCTCACCTGCTATTTGGTCTAGTTAAACCCAACCGCAACAATATAGATAATAGTAAGAAATTCAAGTACGACGGTGGTGCCATTGTCATAGATAGTGACGATGAGGACACATCACCTCCTCCTCCCAAGAATCCGACAAGACGACGTACTGAATCCCCCAAGACATCTACGGATGGTATTATGGCTTTAGACGACGACGATGAAAGGGCAACACTCCCACCACGACTACGAAGCATAAAACCCAGTAGCAAAAGCAGCAGACGAATAACAGTAGACGACAATAAACTACCTACCCAAGCGGAACTCCTGGACAGGTTGTCTGCAAAGCATGGAGCTGAACATCCTTGTGTTAATTGGGCTTCTTTTGTCGGCAAGGTACATCCTATCGATCTCTTGCCTCCATTGTCTCCTCAGACGCATATGAATGATGTTAATGACGATGAAGACGATCAGCCTCCGTTATTTGTAGTGAATAGTGATTTACCAGGTCCAAGAACTCAATCGCCAGATCCAGAACAAGCACATTCTGAATCAGACGATGGTAGTGAAACCGAAGATTTGGCTAAACCGTCTACTTCGTCGTCGAAGAGGAAACCCAGTCAACAACAGCACCAACAACGTCATCATCAACATCATCGTAAAGTAGTAAAACACAATTCGGATGATTATGATACAGATCAAGAAAAGGAAGGGCTTGTTGGTAGTGGTACGGAAGAGGGCAATAGTGATACTGACATGACAGACCACAATTCAGACAGTCTGTTGCATCCTGATTATGTCAATGTGAAATGGGTTTGCTGTCGGCCACACAAACTGAATCATTTCAATAAGGGTATTGTTGAAGAATTGAAGGTGAGTGTCTGAAAAGAGCATGGGTGGTGAATGTGCTCCTTCTTTCGCCAAGTTTTGCGTTTCATACATATATGTATATTTCGTGGCCGCTAAGTATCGTCTCTTTTATTAAACCGACCGATAGCTCCTTGAAGACAAACGCAAACTCACCGGAGGACAACTGAGAAATGCGTTGAGCTATCATTTGGCGATAAGTGCCCTAATAGTAAGTTGTACACCCAGAGTGAACTTTGACCTGTTACTCTCTCTTTGCGATATTAGGGTCTCTAACAAGATATAAGGGTCTCTAACAACTCTTCGTTCTCATTAGTCCTATCCCAGGTATAAACACAATGGACATTGGTACACTCTTCAATGTTTTTTTGGCTTTCTAACATCATCCTTTTCAAAGGGAAATCACAAATTGGAGGGAAGCTGCAGCAATCAATGGAATTGGACCCAAGATTGCATCCATGATCAAAGTATACCTGGAAAATGGAAGTATACCTGAAGCCAATAAAATTCGAAAAGATCGAAGTTTCGATGTCAAGAAACTGTTTATGGAAGTCTTTGGTGTTGGTTCTACAGCTGCAAGGAAGTGGTATGGTCTTGGGTTTCGGTATGTATCTCAACAGTTTCGAAGAAGTTTGTGATTGTACGCTATTTCTGAGCTTGGGTTTTTTGCTACTTTGTGTTTTAGGACTCTTGAACAGGTTCGAGAAGCTGCCGAAGCTCACCGTGTCAAATTGGTGTGTGCAAGTTCTCTCTGCTTGTCCTGTGTGTCAATTGCTCGTGTCTTAATAAGTCTTTTTGCCTCACTTCAGACCAAGGATCAAATGATTGGACTCAAGTATCATGATGACTTTATGCAAGAGTAAACATGTTGTTGCATCCTACTTTCTAGTTTTTCCCCCCATCGGCCTTGCAACAAACACACTAAAATATCATCTTTCCACTTTTCGCACCAGTATGAGTCGTCCAGAAATTGAAGAAATCATTCGCATCTTGCGTCGAGAGCTTGACGAAATCTCTGTCGAGATTATGATTGTGCCCGTTGGTTCTTATCGACGAGGCAAGCCATTATGTCGTGATTTGGATGTTATATTGACTCACCCTGATGAGGATATTACTGATACCTTGCTGGTGAGTACTACATGCCTCAATATCCTGCTCTCCTTTTTGGTTCAAATCATAAGGTTCATTTACGGACTGACTGATTTCTTGTTTCTCATTTCCTTACAGGAGGATTTCGTTGCAATCTTGACTAGAGCAGGACTAGTCAGCGACGTCATGAAATTCCATCATGGATCAACGATTCTTGAAGATCAATTAGGAGAAATGAAGTTCGCTCCAGATGCCAAAACGCACAGTTTTGATCGATTGGACAAGGCATTTATTGCATTCAAACATCCTATTACTGGACGTCATTTTCAACTTGATGTTATTGTTTCGCCTTATGAGATTTACGTAAGTGGTCTAAGACTGCCAAGAAAAGTTGAAACCCCAATCAAACAAATGGTTAACATTGCAATTTTACTCTCATAGCCATGTGCAATTATTGGATGGACTGGTAGTACTCAATTCGAAAGGTGAGAGTACCTGTAGTTTCAATTCCTTGCAGTACTTTGAACTTAATTTCTTGACACCGTTTTTCTCTCATAGGTCCATTCGCGACTGGTGTAAGAGGGGCAAAGCCGGTAAAGTGATGCATTTCGCATCTCATGGGCTGTTTAATCGACATACCAACAAGAGTAAGTACTGATTGGTTATGAATAGCCAGCTTTCGACGTTTTGGACGTGTTGGAAGCTTAGATCGAAAGTGTAACACTTGTTACTGGATCGTTTAGGAATTCACGTCAAGTCTGAAGAGCATTTTTTTGAGTTGCTCAAACTCAAGTACTTGACTCCTGAAGAGAGAAACGCTTGAGGGAGGGTGGTTGGAAAGGGAAGCTTCCAAACGACGTCTACTGTATACTGTATATCAATGTTATTGCAAACGTGTAGAAACATATTTTAAAAATGTACATCAGTTAAGCAAATTAATTTACACGTTATTTGATATCTCTTGCCTTGTCAAACACGTGTAGGAAGTAGCTCTTAAGCATCATTGGCATCGCAATTCTTAAAAACACAAGCAACAATATGAGCAAAGCGTCCGGCATAATCGAGCTTCCAACACCAGATGGTCAGCGGGTTATTCCTGCCAGTAGACGCGCAGATGGATCAGTCCGCAAAGAGCTACGTGTTCGAGCTGGTTATACCCCGCAAGAGGATGTCGGTCGCTTCACCACGTCAAAAATCGAGTCATCCAAAGCACCAGCAGGATACATTCCCGGCCGAGGAATAGTAGAAGCCAATGCCAAGGCTGAGAAATCTGTCGGACAACATGTATACCAGTATGATGATGGTGGTAGTGATGAAGTGAAATCAAAGTCTGCCAAAAAGAATGAAAAGAGGAGGGCTGCTAAGGCTATGAATGGGATTACTGCGAGTGTGGGATCTAATGATGGGGATCATGATGATGTGGCGTCAAAGGGGGCAGCTGTAGCTTCAGTGTCGAGTAGTAAACCAACAACCACAACAACAGCAACACCTGGAACCGCGTCAGCACCTACTTCAGCAGCAGATACAGAAAAGAAGATTAAAGCTCTGAAAAAGAAACTTAGACAGGCTGAACAGTTGCGTGATAAAGGGGATCTTGATGCTCTGTCGCCTGAAGAACGTGATAAAGTCGGCAAGATAAAGAGTATGGAAGATGAGATTGGGGAGTTAGAGAGTATGGTGAAGCAGCTTGGGATATAATACGTGGTGGTAGTAGTGGTGGTTGGTAGATCACGTACAAAAACACACTTTAAATATAATAGTACATTTTGCCATGTAGAAGAAGAGTTGACGCGTAATAACATGTAATGATTGCTATGCGGTTCATATAGGCACGTTCCTCTCACATGTTGTCCATGTTGTAGCCTCTAAACTCACCACCTTTTTTCAAAACACCACCAGAAATCACACTTTTCTCCAATTTTGTTTGCGAATGTCAAGTCTGACATATTGGAGCCCGTGAATTAAGCAAGCATGACAGCTGTATCAGAGGCCAACACCTATGGTAAGCTCGTCGCATATCAATTACTATATCATGAAGCCTGTGCTGCTGGTTTCAAGTTCGAAAATCTTGTTTCGAAGTGTGTGATTTGATGCTGTCCTGTTTCGATATGACGATATTGAGCAAAGCATCAAATTCCGTGCTCTAGAAAATATACGTTACTGATAGTAACACTATCGTCCACTCTGCATAGACTTTCTGTTCAAATTTGTGATTGTTGGACACTCTGGATCTGGCAAGTCTGCACTGCTGCAACGATTCGTTACGCATCAATTCAAGGCTGGGTCTTCTCATACTGTATGTGGAGATTGAAGCTTGAATGGTGTTGCTGTTTGGGTATTGGTGTGATGGTTTTGGAGTTGGGCTATTGATCATCACTAATCCTAATGGAGATTTTTTGCTCAAAGATCATAAGAGTTGCCTTCTTTCTGAAACCCATTCTTATTGTGTGTAGGTTGGCATTGAATTTGGATCAAAGGTGACCAAAGTTGGCAACAAGTCAAGTACGACATAAACTGCGTTTTGTGTTTGGCCTGTGAACAAACACTAAATATCTTATAAAACATTCCCTGACATCCCCTTGTACCTTTATAGTCAAGTTGCAAATCTGGGATAGTGCAGGTCAAGAACGATTTAGGTACGAAGTGCATTCCGTCATGGTGCATATCGTTTTTGCTCTGGTCACTCACAACAGAATGTTCTTCCCAACTTTATCAAAACCAGAGCCGTCACAAGGTCCTATTGGCGAGGTGCAGCAGGATGCCTCCTAGTATACGACATTACAAACCGTGAATCCTTCGAAGCCTTATCAATATGGTTGGATGATGCCAAGTCACTGGCAAGTCCTGATGTTGCTATAGGTAATTGCATGGTTTCATCACTGTTAGGTGTTTTTTTCCGGCCACGCCAAATGGAATCACCCCAACGAAAAAAAGACTACAGAATTTTCCTGATAAGAATTACCTGCGCAAAGACTCATCACTCGTAACATTTTCCCTTATATCCCAACTAGTACTAGTTGGAGCCAAAGTCGACATGGAAGAATATCGCGTAGTCTCGGTTATGGAAGCCAACACGTTTGCTCAAGAACATGGACTCATGTTTGTAGAGACTAGCGCCCTTTCTGATGAAAATGTGGAGGAAGCGTTTATGAAGGGTGCTAGATCTATACTACATCGAATTGATACAGGTATGAGCGTACTGTTTGAGTTTATGAATCCGCATTCTGGTCTAAGGTTCATGATTCTTTTGTTGTATTCTTTCTTGTCCTTCACACTATGATGCTTTTGCTTGACGCAACACTTGTTTTATCAAACTATTGTAGGAGAGATTGATCCAGACAGGTTGAATTCAGGGATACAGTATGGCCAAAGTGCCATCAGGACACTGCCAAAGGAAGTGAGCTCGAATCGCTGCTGTGGGGTATATTGATTGTCTGTGTTTTCGAAGGAATCGTACAACCACTCTGCAGCTCTTTTTTCAGCTCGCAACCCCACCCAAACTACAATATAAACTAGAAACCGCAACCACCCTTTGCATATACATCCATTTTTCTTAGAAAAGTCAAATATATTTGAGAGTATAGTAGTAGAGTATACTTAGACAAGAGTTTTTTTGGTAATGTTCTCTTATATTTAGTTATTCTTTGCTATCTAAAACAGCAAAAAAAGCAAAATGACAAATGTGGGGGGAAACTAGCGACAATGAATTTAAAATAACACCCTTCGTTTCATCTTCTCCGTTTTGCATTCCATGTTTGTTGTCGTCGTCTAGCTTTATCTATATTTTACGAAGGGGGTGGTATTTGTGTTTTATAGTACGCATGTGTTGTTGTGGTGGATGTTGAGGTTGGATTTTAAAAAAGACATACGTGTATAACCTTATAGGGCATACTTGTACGCTTGGTAATTATCGGCATTTCTTGACAAGATATCTACTACCGGACCTAGAAGACGTACAAACGCCTTTTTACCCAAGGTAGCACACTTCAATCGACCACTGGCTTTGATGGTAGCAGCTCGTGGTTTGTTGGTCAGCAATGCCAATTCTATTGGGGGTATAGTTGGGTTTTTTTGGTGAGTTACAATAGTCTGAATCAAATGGAAACGACTGCGTATTACGACGATTCTGATACAGAGCATCTATGTCCCATAAAGAGACGACTGTTCTTCCTGCCATCTCATAATGCAGCGCGAGTAATCTGAAAACAAAAAAAGGTCCCAATCCACAGACGAATACTCACCACCAAAGTAATCACCCTTCTTCAGCGATGGATATTGAGACTCGACACCATTTTCATCCAATTTAGAGACAGCAGCTTCACCAGACTCGATAATATAAAAGTTTTCACCGACATCACCCTGTTTTATAACAATGTCACCATCTTGGAAGGTAACAGATTCCAAAGCATCCGAGATCTTGTGTCGTTCATAAGCTTCTAGAGATACAAGCAATGGGACTTCTTCCAAGAAATCTTCATACATGCGACGCTTCCTAGACGTGTTTTCCATCAAGATACGACGGAAGGTGACACGATCGAGTGCCCATAAGATACATTCTGAAGTGGCAATGACGGTAGCGGCACGAGGAGCATTATACATTAGAGCTAGTTCACCAAACGAGCCACCAGGACCGTATTGGTATACTTTGGCAGCTGGCTGTCCGTTACGGGATACGAATACATCCAATGTACCTGTTTCAGCGACATAAAAGAAGTCACCTACAGCACCCTGTCGAATGACTTCTTCACCAGTAGCGACTCTCTTTTCAGCCATGGCGTTAATTACATCGACATATTGTTCCTCGTCCAAGTGACGGAATAAAAAGTTTTGTTGGATTGCAGCTTCAATACGCGATCGTTGTTCAGCGGTTTTGGGGATTACGACTTTAATCCACTCTTCGTTTGTGGGAGTCATTGATTCGGCGGATACGGAGGTTCTGCGACCACGGTTTGTGTATGATGCAGGTATTGAGGATGCTGGGAGAGCACCTTGGGCATCAGTAGCTTCGTCTTCGTAGTCGTCGTCATCGTCGGGGAGTTCGTCGTGGGCGTCGTGCGCGTCTTCGCCATCGTCGTGGTCATCTTCTAGATGCATCTCTGATGAGTCTGATGCACCTTTTGCTAGATGGGTTTGAGAGGTTTTATCAGTTGTTGATTTGAGATAAGAGTTGACCTGGAGGGCATGTTGCAGTTGGCTATTCGCCATCGTATGGTGATGATCCATCCGATTCAATCACGATCGACCGAATTGCGATTCGACAGCATTCATCCTACTATACATACAACAACAATATGTGCATGTATGCATACCTTGTTGATCAGCCAGTTTGGTGGCAAAGTAATCAGCACAGAACTGTATGATATTCTTTGGTTGAGAGCGCAAGACCTCTCTATTCAAATCCTTTAGCAGCTCCGGGAACTCCAATGGCACAGTGTATTGAGAGTACTGATCAGCCATTAAAGTTGGAGACTAAAGAAGCGAGACCCTTAGCCTATGAAGACAGTAGAATTATAAGAAATCAGATCTAATCTAGTATTTGTCTGTATTCGTCTCCGTGGTGAAGTGATTACGCGCCCGAAAGCATGACCACAAAAATTGATGTCTGGCGTTTGCCCACATATGACTCTTGACGCAGGTCTTGTAAGAAGCTACCGAGACGCCCATATGCCATGACAGCTCACTAAAATATGGTGATCCGCCAATTATAGTCTCTCCTCTCCAGCAACATGCACTGTTCTCACAAAACAAAAATACCAATGTGGACACAAGCGAGGCCTCGACCAATTGGCAGTACAAAACAGCCAAATATCCTATATGACGACATACCTTTTTATGAGTATGTAATGAGCAGATAGTTGCCTTGGATATGTGTTGTCTTTTTTCCCTTCAAACTTTGCTGCTTAATTCAAGAGCGCCAATGGAAAACCAGAGACCTAAACGATCAAAAACCCCCAAAAAATGTTGCCATGACCCTCTTATCGCGAGAAAGCCAATCAATTGTCAGCAAAAATCACGTAAACAAGACCACATAGGGCCGAACTGCCTCGTGTTTTGGTAACTCGATCGCTCTTATTCTTGACTTGCAGTCAATACTTGGCATAAACGCGTCAATTCGCTTCCAAACGCTTGGAAATACCTTTAATCATCAATATAGACTATAGACTCTGATTCACGTCTCCTTCCCATCATACTGTACAAGCTTTGCGCAAACTCCAACTCCTACCAAAACAAAAAAATTAGAAGTCAGCTATAACCCGTCTGTTTGTATATTTTATAGACGGATGGAAGGCCCCTTTGGAAACATATTCAGAGCATCCCGATTTGCATCCCTGCCACCATCACATTATAGACGTCAAGTACTCGTAGCTCCAGCACAGTTTAGGAAACGAGGAGATTGGGGTCTAAAGCACTCTGTACCTGTCGCGTCGACTGCTCTACCATCTACTGCTGTATCTGTCAATGCAGTGGCAGGACAATCCCATGATGCATCACTCAACTCAGCATCATCAGTCAACACATCAACAGACCCCCACAATCCAAAAACAGACTACATACACGCCGCATCCATAGACACACGGGACGGCCACCACGACTACAGATCCGCATATAAACAGGTATCCCGTCTCGAGCGCTGGAAGGAACTATTCCCCCTGCAATCCAACCCAGAAGCAATCACCCCACGTAAAAACCTAGACACGCTATCATCTACGGAATGGAAGGCTCTCGTCCGTAGAGCACGCGTCGAGGGCCGCGAATACCGTAAATCACATCTCCCATGGTCGAGATCGGAAATCGTGGCCATCATCACGGGGAAGGAGGAATGGCATCAATGGTTGGGGTTGAGTGATACGACGCCAAAGGGTATAGAGTCTCATGCTGCTAGTATACATCAGCCGACATATGCTGGTCCAGAACAACCGAAATCACAGACGAATGTGCTAAACCAAATAATCTTTCCTGCTACAACTACAACACCATCAACAGCACTCGCATTCGGCAAATTTGGAATGATGGGGATGGCTGAAGCCATAAATCCCACAGTCGTCGTGCCGGGACGTCTCGTAAACCCAATCTACAAGATGGGAAGCAATAATAAAATAGATATGAATAAGCGAGACAAGTATGGGAAATTGGAGATTACGGATGCTGTATGTGTGGGTGGATTTGTAGCTGGACTGGTCAGGTCAGACTTTGCAGGGGATAATGTGCTTGACAAGACGGATCAGAATCATAAGGTCGCAAGGTACAAGGTGCTCGAAGCTAAATGGGATGACCAGGGTAAGCCGTATATTGTCGTCACTCGAGACTTTAGGCATACAAAGAGAAGCTTACATGCGGGCTCACTATTCTGATTTGAGAATGGGATGCGGAGGAGAGGATAACATAGTGAGCAAATACACAGCACATGAGCACTAGTAGTAGAATGTGGTAGTGATTAAACCAGCCACAGAAAGCACTTGCATCAAACACACACAATGTATAAAGTAGTCGTAATTTTCTAGAATTACTAAAAGGGTTCAACATCAACACAAAAGATTCACAGAAATTCACAGATGATTTAGTTTGATATTCACAAAAAAAGCTAGTTCTTGACTAATAATACTTGGAGTTTGTCCAGATTTTAACTACAGGTATTTGACGCCCTACACCCATCATCCTCACACCTAACTACAGATATTCGATGTCCCGACAACCATCATCCTCACACCCTAGTTATACGGATTGATAGCAAACGCACTCGTCATACTCGGCACAACAGGCATACTCATCAAATCCTCTCCTACTGCCCCACCTTCATTATGATACCGATAATGCGGCATATGTATTGTAGCTGTTGAAGCTGCTGTTGTTGGTGCTGCATTCGTCACATTCTGTCCTCCTACTCCTCGTGGCGATAACTGAATAGGAGGCAACGTCATTGGATGCTCAGTATCCATCGGTGGCGGCAGCGTAACGTTTAATGATGCAGGCGTGGGCGTCATGGATTGAAATGGTGGTGGATTCAAACTATAAAAGCCATGATAGAGTTCACCGGGACCAGGTAGAGTAGGTAATACTGGATATACAAATGATTGTGGTGGTAGTATTGGTGGTAGAGTCTGCTGCGGTTGTGGTAATGGTGATGGTGGTAGTGATTGTTGTTGTGGAGGTAATGGTGGTGGTGCATTCATATTCTTGCTATTATTGGAATTGTTATGCTTGTCTCCTCTATTATTACTACTACTATTAGTGTTATTCAAGGCCGCTTCACGGAATGGTGTGATTGAGGCACCACCACGAAATGCTGGAATAACCAGATTGGTAGAGCCATGACCATCTACACTTCCATCCTCCAACAACATTGGGAAGAGATCTATCTTGGTATTTGAGGGACCACTCCCATCTAGATTAGAAGGTAGAGTATTATCCTGATGATGATCACCTTCTTCATCGTCGTCTTCTCCGTGCTGTGTGGCTACTTCTTCACTTCCAGATGCATGAGATTCACCACCCTTGACCGAGTTTTTACGTTTCCGAGATGTTGCTCGTGACCGTCTACGCCGTGGTTGTGATTCTGACGTGGCTTTTTTATGTGCTGCTGATTGAGCACGCGATACGGCACCACCAATATACACAAATCCATTAAATAAATGATCAGTTCCTGGTGAGACCATCCACCAAGCTCCTTTTCTACCGTCTGCTCGAGATACTCTTTTGAAGGCCTTATTGAGTGATAGATTATGCCTCACAGAGTTTTGCCAACCACCAGAACCTTTTTCAAAGCATGGGTACGCGTTCATGATAAAGTCATAGATTTCTACAGGAAAAAAAAATGCTGAGTCTCATGGCACATATAACTTGCTTCGCCTAATTGATAGCTGATTCCTCTCCGTCGTCAAATGGCGTCACATAAGTATTCGTTAAAGCGCACTCTCACCTTTAACAGTCATCTTCCCCAGCGGATGGCTCTTCAAAGCTTGAGCAATCAAACTTGCGTACGACAAGTTAGGTTGACCAGGCAATTTAATTCGTTTCTGAGTTCCCTTCTTCACTCTCTTGCTGCCGTTTTTAGACCCACGAGTGGCACCGACCATACCACCACGTTGTCCCCCACCATCAGGATCAAATTCAACGTCAGCGCTACCGTCCTCTTGACTATTTTGATCACCATCATCGTCATATCCCCCTCCTTCTTCTCCTTCGCCACCTTCATCGTCTTCGTTATATTCTACTTCTTCATCTTCCTGTTGCTCGTCGCCTCCGTCGTGCTCCTCCGGATCTATCGACATCGCCAAGTGAGCGAGAGGAGCAGGTGGAGGATGGAATCCGGCTAGTCCCCCATATGTTGCTGCTGGAGATACTGAATGTTCGTAGGATTCGACAAAGGGGTCGTGATGCTGATGCGATCTTACGTGCGGTAACATTATAGAGTGGTTTAGCGGTATTTGATGTATCGGGTTCTGAGCCATGTGTGATGTTTGTATCATTTCATGGTCTTCTTCGTCGTCTTCTAATGCGGGCATTTGCTGGTGTTGGTGTAGCAATACGCTTTCGTCGTCGTGATCTATTCGTATTCTGCCTTCTAGAGGAGCTCCTGCTGCGACCGCGACAGTTTCATCGTCTTGTACACCTGCATCATCATCTTCTTCTACTTCCAGCTCTACCTGTGCAGTGCAGAGCTCAAAGATCGCAGGAACTGCTCCAACCTCAATTTTAGACTTGTGGTGAAGTATAGCAGTGTAATGCGTGCGTCCATTTTCTGTTGGTTTTCCCAACACAAGTCCATCAACAATAATGCCTCCTTTACCCTCACATACTATTTCCCAATACTCGCTGGCGAAGTTATATCTAATAGTTCCCAAGTGTCGAGATATAGACTTGGATTCAGACCACGGTATATCGACGGTTGAGTTGGCAAGTTTGCGACCAAAAGTGCATTGAGCACTCATCACGGTATATATAAATGAATCGGATATGATTCGTGCATAACCTTGTCCTGATGATGGGGCAGATTCGTTTTCCGCTTCGAGTCGATGGTGGTGATAGTTGCTAGTTCTTGCTTTGTTTGGCGAGTCATTCGATGAATGACTTGTTGACGAGAAGTGAGTTAAGAGCCTGGCTGCATCGTGATCCTGTTCGTCGTGGGCGAGCATGGTGGGCAACTAGATTGAGAAAAAATTAGATTTTGGTTTCAAAACAGATGGATTGTGAGAGACAGGTAACATAGATCAGCTAGTTCTTTGAAGAAAAAATGATTTTTCTGTATGTAATTACCTTGATGAAGGGAACCTAGTTAGCCACAAAAGGTGTGCTTGCCTTCTTCGCATGTACAGTTTAATGTTTTTAGGAGCGATGCGTTTGGAGTCAACTTAACCACGACAGAACGTACGAGTAAACATGATATAAGATATATTTACGCGTTATAATGTACATATAAACAGAAATCGCAGGTGATTTCGGACGGTGATGGTTTTGGTTTCTTAGTACAAAGAAGCTTTGCTCGGATGTCACCCACTGTTAAAACCAATGTAGACTAGTGTTGTTGAAGGCAGCCTTGTCACTAAAAGTGTTCCGTAAAGGGAGCTCTTGGACAAGACCAACTACGCAAAAAAAGGAATTGCATTCAAGGAGTAGGAATGACTTTCAAGCCGTGAAGTCATCACTCACCAGTCTTACGAACATATGAGCCCATCTTTAACCATTGCTCGTCTGAAAGTGTTCTAAAACCGATGAAACTCCTTAGCTTTTTTCTTTCCAGTGATTCTCAGCTCGACTTACTTCAGGTGGTAGTCAGCGAAACTGTTTCCCATAATAACTATTTGCTTTAAATCATCCCAATTGGATTTTAACACGTTTGAATACAGCCACATTTCACAATGAGGCATGTAAAACAGTGTGCAGGATTCAACACGACGATGCCCACTTTCATCCTCCGTCAAGACGAGTATTCCATAATGCTGAAGCACTTCACAGTCCATGCTGGTGTATTCTGGATCGTATGTGTATATTGGAGACTCGATCTAGTGCGGTTTGGAAAAACTTTGTTTAACATCTCTGTGATGACAACAAAAGTCTCATTTAGTAATCTCTTACGGATAATTCATCTTTCAGTACAAGCAGTAGGGCCATCTGAAGTATCGAAGACGATGTCCATGATTCTGTAAAGGACCCAATTCCATATGCCACAATATCTTGCACTTTGGTATTTGGTTTAGATAGCGCATCTTGGTGTTGAAGTGAGTCAGACTCAATACATAAGAGTCCAAGATACTTTTGAGCAATACCTTTGATGTCGTGATAAAATGGAGATGCGAGGATTTCAACTCTACATAATTGGGTATCACGTCACGTTCAGACAGACAAAAAACCACTATGACGCATGGGCTATGCTCACTTTCTAGCATCAACCTCATGAACATGATCCATTAATGTTTTCTCCTTCCTCCTGTTCTTGCCATGTCTCGATTTGTACTTGACATGTGTATTTACTCGCTGTTCGGCAAGAGGTTGAATTGGTTTTAATGGTGTTGATAAACTGGCCACTTTTCTGTTCTTGAGTGGTTTACCACCACGACCAACTAACGTGAATGGTGCATCTTGTTCTGTTGCGATGCTGCCGTCCATGAGATTAGTATTGGGATTTGCGTCTGTTTGGTTATGCGAAAAAAAAGTTGACATTTTAGCATAGAGTCTTTGTATGCAAGGGAAACGCAGATGTAAACGAAAACATCTCAATAAGTATCTTACCTTGAATTAGAGTCCTCTATCCGTCCTTACTCTCGCTGCGCACTTTGAGATAGTGACCTGACGACGACTCAACAATTCTTACTTTTTTAAACATTTTGGGTGAAATAAGAGTTGGACGCACTTCAAACGCATGCAAAAGAGATGATTGCGAATCATGATTCCATGAGTATGAATTCTTACTTTGACTGTCTTACAACGTCCAGATCTAACAACTTTCAATTTTTAATAGTGGAATTTCAACTGAATGGCACGCAAAAGCAACTTTCTCGACCTTCCACGGCTCGATCGCAACGAGCTCCACGTACCTCTTATCTACCCGTATCTCATACTACTCTTCACTCGCGCCAACGTGCTCCTTCATCAACTCCATCATCATTAAATACTCCAAGACCATCAACTGCAATCTCAACAGCCAGCAACAAGTCTCGAATTGTAGTCACGAATAAGGATTCCCATATACAGAAACAACCACCCCGAGCTACAGAGAGACTCGTCTTACGCAGTAGTGCCAGTTCTGCTTCACTGGCGTCCTCCTCATACCAAAGTACTAGAGAACTCACGTTAGCTGAAGTCGTTGACCGTTGGGCTTCTGAACAGCCTCCATATTCCTCGAATTGGAGTAGTCGTGATGACGATGAGTATGCTCGAGATGAAGAAGAACATTGTCCGTATACTCAGGATAATGATCATACCAAACATTTGATTCAAGAACAACCAAGCAAGGCTTCGAGTAGGGCGCCTTCACGAGCATATCCACATGAAATGGTGCCTATGGTGTCAGATCAGTTGAGAGAGAAACTTGAATCTCGTGGAGTAGAATCTAGGCCAGAAAGGAGGAGTCTCTATAGACCACGTATATCAGATGAACAAGCGGCTCAAACAATTCAAGTTTGTGGAATTGTGTACATTTGTCGTCTCAATGTTACGTATTGATGTTTTTTTTTTTTTTGGTCTCGCTTAGATTTGGTACCGCCATCATTTACTGAAAAGGAGGAAGCAGGCACTAGCCCTCATAGCAGAGAAACGGAAATCGCTAGACGCACAACGTCAAAATCATCATAATATCTCAACAACCAGTCTTGGAGTCGATGTCACAGAAGCAGTCCAAGCTCAAGCCAAAAGGCGGCGAGAAGAACGAGCAAAAGCTTCTCGACAAGATGCTGTACGAGAACTCAAATCACGACGAAACAAAATCGGGGAACCCACCGTGGATGTAGAATCATTTGACTTACAATCAAAGCACTCTAGTGTCAATTCAATCAAACCGGTTGAATCATTATGTCATGAGGTTTACAATGCATCACCAGTAAACCCAAATGTGGAAACAGTGGCTCCTGCCGCTGATATTGTGGCTCGTGTCGAGATTCCCGTACAGCCAATAATATCAGCCCACTTAATGCCAGAGAATCCGTCTGTCGAACAACCAATCAAGATTTCGAAAAAGGACTTGAAACCACACCGACCAATAACACCCATACTGCAACAACAGCAAACACCTACTCCTCCGCCAGTCGCCGTATTTTCTGATAACGCCCTTGCTAGTGCTACCATTCATAAGCCAAGACCAAGATCAGCTCGAACTTCTCGCACTCAACCACAACGTCAAAAGTCAACCGAGACACGACCACCAACATCTCAGCCACCGACAACGACAGAGCCACCGCCAATCATGTCAGCCTCATTACCAAAACCTCATCACTCAACACAAAAACACCCAGAAAATCAACGTTTCGATTCCTCTGAAACCCTCATAGACGACTGGAGACCATCACTCCATGACCTACCTCCAATACCACCGACACCCACAGCCGAACTAAATGATGAATCGCCCTGTCCCTCTGTAACAGAACTTGCAACTACCAGTATAATAGACGATGCAGCCAATCAACGGGTTGATCGAATCCTCGACTTTTTGAAAAAGGTGGAAGAAGAGGATGTCGTGAGGACTTGTGAGACTAGTGTTGATGTTACGACGAGTAAGCCTGCCCCACCTAGTGCAGCTGTGTTTGATAGTGTCAAGGCTAAGATTATGGGTCAGCAGTTGGAAATTGAGGAAAAGTCACGGACGTTGGCCATGTTGAAGAAGGAGTTGAAAAAGTATAAAGATCTCAATAAGGAGCAGCTGTCTCAGTAGTGAGTCAATCAGTCATTCTTTACTAATGGTTTTTTTTTTTTTTCGCTGGTTACTTATTTCATTTACTTACCATAGCCGCAAGGATGTAAAATCCAAGTTGAATCTGCAACGCAAGGAATACGAAACCATTGTCAAGAGACACCTATCCTTTGTGGACAAACTCCTAGCCGAAAAGGAAGAATTATCGAAACGTTGTGAATCCCTATCTGAAGAAGTGAGGAATCTCGACAAGCAATTCCAAGCTCGCATCACGACACTAGAGGAATCACATGGCCGTGAACTCGGACGCCAAAAGGATATCTGGGCACAGGGCGAAAAAGCCAAACGAGAGAAATGGGTTGCAGACAAGACACGTCAAATCAAGGACGCAACCGTTCGTGGTCTTGAACCTGAAATCCAACGCATGCTAGCACAACACAAATCAGCAATCCGAGCACTTGAAGAGAAACATGCTGCAGATCTAGCTCGTGAACGGTCACAACTAGCTGAATCCCAAAATCGAGTATCTGAGACGTTGCGAGATCGGTTGGCTGAAGAACGTCGTAAAGCTTGTGAAGAGGAACGAGAGTTTGCGAGACAACGGTTTCAAAAGATGCTTGAACGTGAGGAAATGGAACATGCTACTGCTCGTCGTAAAATGGTTGCTGAGTGGGATGAGCAACGAGCTCAATTGCTTGAGAATTCGAAAGAGGAACGACGGGCTTTGGAGCAACTTGTTCGCCAAAAGGAGGAAGAGTCGAGACGTGCTGTGGAAGCTGAACGAGCTTTGGGAGTTCAGACTGTTGAAGAGTCTCGTCGTCGTTCTGCTACCGAGGTGAGAAAAACACGAGACAAAAAACAACCATCAAGTAGAAGCTTGTATAGACAGCCCAAGTAACTCTGCCTTCCTCCCTTGTAGCTGACAGTCCTCCGTGAAAAATTCGCCGTCGAAAAAGAAGAATGGCAATCCCAACTAATAACCAAATTCGAAAACGACTTCCGAAACCGTGAAAAGCTATTACGTGAAAAACTCGTTCGCGAACGTGACACTGAACTCGAGCACGTCATTGCCCGGCTTGAATCCGAGACTTCGTCTACTTCTTCAGACCATTTCAGAAGACACCGGATTGAAGTGGAGCGAATCAGGTCTGAGAATGCTGATCAGATACGAGAGTTAAGGGATCAGCATGCTATGGCTGTTGATCGTGTCATTGCTGCACAGGCGCTGATGAAGGAGAGTGATGAGCGCTCTAAGGAGTGGGAGAGGAAGGCCATTTGTGCGCAGGATGAGGCCAAGAGTAAGGAAGCTGGGTTGGAGAAGATGAGGGCAGAGTTGAAACGGTTGAGGGTTGATGAGGAGACTTTGGCTTCTACTATACGTAAGTCTTGATGGTAATTGGTTGCTAATCAATTGGCGAACTTGACATCCAGACTATGCTAAACAAAAGACCAAACCCATCATTCTAATAACTTTTTCCAACATCTTTTCACCTCATAGGTCGAGAATTTGAGCAACAACTGGACTCCCTAACAACGGAACTCACGTCTCTTCGCGATCAACTGTCGACTCATCAATCACAAATGGAGGTCTTGAGGCGTCGACATACTCATGATTTGGAACTTGTTGCTAAAGACAAAGTAATCCATTTTCGTTGTAGTTTTTTGCCGACAGACCAACAATGCTGATATCGAAACCTGACGATAGGACGAATCCTTACAAAAACTGGAGGGCCGTGTACGCAAGACTATCCAAACCAAGGACGAAATCATAACGTCGCTACGTTCTCAAGTTGAAGATTTGGGTATAAGGTCTAGTCAGTTGGAGAAGCTGATTGAGAAGCAACGAGAGGTATCAATAAAATTCCATGTCTTTTTTTTCATGTCGTGTGTGCTAACAAGGGATTTTTCGCAGGAACTACTTGGCGCTTAATTTTAAATAACAAGACCTCAATAAGAAGACTGCTAATATCGTACCATCATTACTGTGTATTTGAGCCAATCGAATGTGTTTATGCAAGAAAACTGTGATAAGAAGCTATATGTACAGGGTTGTAGTTGTTTTAGGGATTTACCACTGTCTAGAAGCATTTGTAAGAGTGGTTCTATCTGGCTCACGTTCCTCTTCATATTCAACTTCAACACGAGCTCCACCTATGAAAAAATAGCGTCAAAAGAAGGATCAAAACTCGAGCCTACACAAGTACTCTTACGTGGTCTCTTTGGAGTCGACTTGGCAGCTTTACCAGAAGCAGGCCGTTTACCCTTCTGTCGTATACTAGATGCAGCCGAAGCTGTGGTGGCTTTACTAGATGCAACAGATGTAGCAGTAGTCCGACTAGACCCAGATATTAGTGATTCGCTATCAGCATTCTCATCATCCTCTTCATCCATTTCCGAATCTTCCGAATCGGAATCATCTCGCTGTAAGCGTGATTGCTGTTTACGTCTAGACAATGTCTCTACAAGATCCTGTAAAACATGTAGAAGATCAGCAACCACAACAAACGGACGTGCAGCTGATCAGCCTGACCTACCTCAATTTCGAATTCCTCTTCCTCATCACTTAAATCAGATACATATTCTCGTACAACTCCATCTTCATCCTCCTCTTCCTCTTCTTCTTCACCTTCGGTACCAACAGTTTCAGATTCAGCATCGAAATCAACATCCAATTCCTCTTCATCTTCGGCCATTTGATCAAGAGCTTTTGCGAATGCTTCTTGTTGCTCATTGACAATTCCTTCGGTACCGTAAACACCTCGTTTGAGACGCTCCAGTAATTCTTTTTCGATGGCCTTTTCGAGACGGGCTGCAGCGAGAGCTTTTCGTTCTCGAGTCTTTTCGCGACGTTCTATCTTTGGTTTTACAGCTACTAGCTTTTGTCTAGAGAAAGCCAAAAAAGGATTAGAAACTTGTCTACACGGGTTTTTTTTGGCGATGATCTTACTGTGTCTTTAGTTTCAATCGACGCATTCGAATGAGAGTTTGAGTGATTTTGGTAAGCCTTTGTTTACACTTGTGGACGATAAACTTTGGCCAGAATTCAAGCTCTGAATCAATCTGAAAGAGAAAGAGAGGACATGTTGGATCACCCAAAAATGATGCGCGTGATGGAAGAACGTGGTTTCTTGACGCGACCACCAACCTTTGCAAGTGCTTGAGCATAGTTCTTTGATAGCTTGATACGTTCCCATAACTTGGAAGGAGTATGAGCTCGTTCAATCGTCTTTTGATACAGGTATACAACTCCTTTTGTGGGAAAGAGTGTTATGTTGGCTGGTGCAAAAAACTGAACGTTTACATGTATTACCGTCGATTTCTCTGACAGTAGCATATCTACTGTTTGCCAATGGACATGACTGGCGATTGCATAGACCCGTCAGATTGAATTCATTTCGACAAAAGTTTTGTGTGGTCGTCCTTTGGTGAAAACCAAGATGTGCTGTCAGATTTGAGTAGATGCGAGATAGTGACCTGTAATTTCGAGAGCTTACTTGACTTTGAATGAACAGAACTGATGATTTATGGTGCTCCATATAATCTATGATCAGAAGAAAATGTGATTAGGGCTTTAAATCGCAAAAGAAAAAAAGCTTCAAGCTTTGTTGTTTTGGAGGGAAGGCGATGTTATAGTAGCAGGTCATAAAGCGAATGAATTTTACTCAATGGCAACTTACTTCGTCTGCCTGCATCTTGCCTATCCCAGCGAGATATCAGCAAAAGTCGTTGTTGCTGTTTTGACGAGAAAAAAAAATTTGGAGCAAGCGACGTTAAAAGCACGGGACGTGAAAGGTCGTGTAAACGGCGTGAAAACACCAGATAAAGTAAAAGTAAGCCTTTCTGATCGCTTTTTGGATCAACTGGCCTGCAACTGGCGTTTGAACCCAAAACTCAGATGCTTCAAAGGTCAACGACGAGATCTCCAGACTCGTGATGCATCGTAGTATGTAATAAAAGGCGCAATACGCGTCTTTATACGTAATCAATATCGTCTTTCTCTAGGCGTCACGTCGCGTACGTCACGACATATTATTATCGTTTAACAACTTCATGAACTTCCAAGTACTAGGAGAATCAGAAGGAGAGCTTTACAGCTTTTGATTTTCATAAACATCTTTCCTTACGAGGTTGGAAATTTCTTCTCATTCATTCGCAATACTCTAATCTTCTACACATCCAAAGATACAAACAACGAGTAAGATCTACAGGAACAGCTGTACACATACCGACTCGGATCCGCTTAGCAGTAATCTATCATATATATGTCCTTCTTTGCCTCGTGCAGGCATAAGCCCCGTCCAACTCTCATCACCAGCACCACCACCACCAAGGACAAGACAATCCAAACTGCAGATCCATCCGCCAAAGCCACACTACAATCTCCTATTGGACAAGCCCCATTTAGAACTCCATTCGGACGCTATGCTCCTCAAATCTATCCCAAAGCTGTCGACTTGAAGTACATCAACTTTCAAAATCCCGAAAATGCCGCACAGCTTGGATTGAGCAAATATTACAACAACTACACCAGTAAACAGCCACTCCATGATATTTTATACTTACGGGCTATCTGCGATACTGCTGCTTGCGACCGCTGGGTTGGATGGAATCGTGGAGATATATTTGTTGCTTTGGAACTTGGTCCATTGTAAGTTTGCTGCCCTTGTCGTCACGCCAATGGTGTTTGGTAAATTAAATTTCGTACCATTAGGTCTGGGAAGGCTCGTCGCTATGGAACTGATACAGTTGGCTACATCGACTTGTGAGTATTACGACTCTACAAGTGGCAGCGGTCTATGCTAACTAAAGTTTACTCTAATAGTGCTCAATTCACCCCTATATCATCGTCGCAACTCAAGCGTACCGAACTATATCCCGAAACCATCGCCACTACCATCGACTCTACTAAAGCTGTGCCAACATTATTCTCAACCGAAACTATCCGAAAAATCACATCACCAGTATCTCCCACTGTATCCAAATCATCCACAGTCCACTTTGATGACACAACAATCCCATGGCCATGGCCCGCCTGTCGTCAATCCGTGAATGATCAACTCGACCCAATATCTGTGAGATATACTGCTAATCACTTGAAGAACAAACGTTGGTGGAATCGTGTTATGGATACAGATAAGGTAACGTAACGTTTGCTATTCCGGTCCGTTGGGCTTCACGATTAGTAGACGTAATGATAACCATCCTTTGTCGAATAGGACTTGTTTGCCAATATTTTTCGAACTCAGGCTCATGCATTTATCGACTCTACCTGGCGCAAAGTCTTTATACGCTTTGAAAAGGACGAGAAAATGGTTTATTGTGGAGATGAGAAGCAACGCTGTAAGTCTCAACACGCAGTTTCCGGTGATGCAATTGTGTAAAGCTAACGGTTCTTGTCCAATGCTTATAGACATCTTGCCATTTCCATTGAGTCTTTACGCCATCGCAGAAACCAAATTTCACTCTTCCTTTGTCACCATTATCTTGGTTGATGAAAGTTCTGTAGCCTTCAAGTTTCACGAGGCGCATACGGCAAAGAAGTGGGCTCGGTTGTTTCAGGACTCGCCTTTTCTGAAATTCACTGGCTGATTGCTTACAGAAAAACAGGACGCTAACTTGTAATAACGTTATAATTGTAAAGAAACTTCACTTTTAGCCTCTCAACGTAAATATTGTCACACGATTTATGGAATAAACCTCTTTTATTATAAACAGCTTTGATGACACGCGGGTGTTTTGGGTCTTGGCATAATTTCGACTTGTGTAATTTCACACCACAAATGTTGGCGCTTGGAGCAGAACCGAGCGGATTTTTCACATACAACCAGAATAGAGGATTTGACTGAAGAAGCAAACAGAGGGATGGATTGATGGATACAATGGCTGCAGCTAGCATACTTAGTCGTGCTTCTGATGACATGTTGTGCTTTTCCGATGTTGGGAGTTGGGATGGGAATATGCGTCTATTTATAGTGAATTTTTTTTCACTTTGAGATCTGGTAGGAGACAGTGCAAAATAAATAGGATTTCGACCAATGAGCTTCGAGCTAATAAAACATCACAAACATACAGACATGATTCTATTTAGTCTCCTGAATTCCTCTGCTTGGTGCGTCAAGGATTCGGTTTCGTTTTGGTGCCTCCTTAAACATTGCCGCATTGCAGATTCACTCTAGATCTAGTGCGTTGAAGCTAGAATTTATCAAATATATCCAATAATTACCTATGAATTTATTCGATCCTGTGCTATGCATTTCCATTGAACTCCCAGGAGTCGTGCTAAACATCAGCAAACGACCACCGTTGCAGTTTTACACCATGAAAGAAACACAATTGAATATTTACGAAGCCTTTATATTACCGACATTTCACTTCTTCGGGCAGTATTACAATCATTCACAATGCTTTAAAACCAAACTTTAAAACTCTTTCAAAATTCAGTAGATTAATAGTAACCATAGGCATAAGGAGAGTAGTAGTTGTTGTAGTATCCCTTGTTGTAGTAGTTGTCTTTTTTGTAGTAGATTCGGTCCTTGTCAGTGAATCGGTTGGCGTGTCGACGATGAATTTGGCCAAACCCAGCGAAAGGTCCACCACCAAGACCACCAATGCCGCCAACACCAGATCCATAGACATCGGCATTGACTACAGGGTAACGTAAAGCATTTTAGATTGCAGTGGTGAGCCGACGAAACAGGTGTTGTGTGTTGCTTACAGTCATTGTAACGACTAATGTGTTTCTTGCGATGCAAGTCGAATCTGTCGTCATAGTAGTTGGTGTCACCACCATAGCCGCCGTAACCACCATAATCACCGCCATAACCACCTATGATGTATGCGAATAGGAATTTAGAGGAATGTAGTCAAAGAGAGAGTTTAACCCAGCAGAAAGATCAAATCACTTTAGATTTCAGCCACAACATACCAGCAACACGAACACCTTCAGGACCTTCTTCTTCTTGTTGGGCGATATGGAAGGCCTCTTCAGATTGCTCAGGAGACATGTGTTGGCCACCCATACTACCACTAGATGGCGGACGAGAAGGAGCTGATTGAAAACCAGGTGCAGGCGAGAATGTAGCTGGAGGAGCGTTTCCTAATATACAAGCGAGAGACAACGAATGTGAGGAGAAGTGGTATCCACGAGGTTGGAGCAAAAAACAGACTCCAAATACCTTGTTGGGCAGAAATCAAGGTAGTCGAAGCCCACAAGAGAAGAGCGACAGTCAGAGATTTCATGTTTGATTGTGTTGTAGTATTGTGTTGTAAAGAGGAATGTGACTAAATTCCAATGTGTCGGAGTGGATGCCAAAAGCTGAGAATGGGAGGCTGCCTTTTATAGATGCAGACAGATGACTCAAACTCGAGGTTGACAAAGCGTTTTGACATATTTGTGGGAATGGTCAAGACATGGTTTGATAGGTTTGGATGCATTTTCGAACAGCACCGAACACCACAGCTTGAGTTTTCGTGAACAATGCGCAACGTGGTGTGGTAAAATGTTGAGGATGGTTGCAGTGCATTTTAACCAAGTACATTCGAGGTATTCGAAAAATAAAATGCATCTTGTTTCTCCAGCAGTCGTTGAATACCTACATACCAAACGGTGGAGACGAATTAAACAAATAACGCAAATTCATGCAACGACATACTAAGGCTGCATTTAATCCGGTTGATCAGGTGGTGACGTTAACAAGTCTATACCGTTGTAAGTGGGAAGTAACAGCTTGTAAAGGTGAACTTGTCTAGTGTATTTATTGAATCAATACATTATTTGTTACCACCTCGATATGTGGCTCTTCACTCAAAAACCTAAATTGCGGCAGTGAACGAAAGCCTCATATTTAAACAATAAGTGAATACCAGCATCCACATCCCAGGGCAGCCAGTTCTATATTACTGTGGCAAAGGCCAGTGACTCATCGAACGGTCAACGTGAATGAACTACTATTCGCATGTCTTGCAAACATCTTAAAGAAAACTTGATGATTCAAATATCAAAAAATCGACATATTAACAATAAACCACATCACCAACAATCATGCTACACTGCATTATCATTTCAATCATATGCAACCCTGTGGCAAAACATAAACTTTTAATAGCCTTCCCCAAATTACCAATCAATTTAAATCGACACCGGTTTAATAGTAGCCATACGGAGAGTAGTAGTCGTTGTAATACTTGTTGTTGTAGTAGTTGTCCTTGTTGTAGTAGATTCGGTCCTTGTAGTTGAATCGGTGGGCGTTTCGACGATGAATTTGTCCATAGCCACCAAAAGGTCCACCACCAAGACCGCCGATACCTCCAACACCAGATCCATAGACGTTAGCGTTGACTATTTGTATGGTGTTAGAGTGTGTGTCGAGATTTGAACAAGCTGACAGTGTGTGTACGTACAGTCATTGTAACGACTAAGGTGTTTCTTGCGATGCAAGTTGAATCTGTCCTGATAGTAGTTGGAGTCATCACCATAGCCGCCATAACCACCGTAGTCACCACCATAGCCTCCTAAATAAGCAAAGGCAAGTCAGAACGGAAGTGAAAAAAGAGGATCTCCACACGAATATTGAAGGTCAAGATAACTCGTCAGAGACCGCTTACCAGCAACATGAACACCCTCAGGACCATCTTCATCGTGTTGCGCGATATGCAAGGCCTCTTCGTCAGATTGTTGCGGAGACATGCGTTGGCCAACAGGACGAGAAGGACCAGAATCTCCTTGTTGAGTACCAGGTACAGGAGCGAATGTAGATGGAGCAGAGTTTACTGTCAGTAAATACAGAAGATGTTAACACATTTGTAGCGACTTCGGAAAACGAGAAAACAGGAGTTTCATAACAGCGAAAAGGGTCAAGGTAGAGAAGGGAATACTTTGTTGAGCGGAGACCATGGCAGTAGAAGCCCATAAAAGCATAGCAACAGTAACAGATTTCATGTTTGATTTTGGTGGTGTTGGTGGTGTAGTGTACGTTGTTAGGACGAGAGCTAAAGCGTTGAAGTGCACCACTTGATGTGTTGGGTTGGAAGACAAAATTTAATTGCTGAGAGCCTGCCTTTTAAAAGTTACAAGAGAAGTGCAAAGCTCGAGGTCCAAAGCACTTTGACATGTCTGTAAAGCAGTTTGACGTTTTAGTGGGAATTGTTTACAAATGATAACAAGGCCACATGATAACAACACAGGATCTTGACAGCCCGGCAGAACCTGTAATTGGGGTTTGACCGTAGAATGACAGGCTTCAATACCGTAGGATTAGTTCGATTTCAAAGTCGAAAGAGAATCTCAAAATGCGTTTTGCTTCCAAGTGCACAAAAAACCCGATCTATCGAGTGAATTCTTTCTGGCTATCAATCTTCACCTCCAAGTAACTCATCATCCCACCGAAACAACAACTTTAACAAAACACCACATTTCAAATACTTTTAACAATTTGTATTTTATTCTTCCTGCCATGATACCAACCAAAAAATGATCAAATGGCTTCTTTCTATCGCCCACTGCGACTAACAGCTCCAGTCAGATTCCTCCATTCATCTCTATACGGCAAACTAACTGCACGTCCCCCACCACTCGACACTGGAGCATCTAAAAACCCAACAGCCACCAAATACCCATAATACAATCCAATACTGTCATTCATAGTAGGACATACCACACCAGCTGACTTGTTGACATGTTGAGCATTCTTATCATCTAATTCAGCACTTCGGGTTGATGTTGGTAAGTCATCCAGTACGAAATGGAGGAGTGGGAAGAGAGCATTGTCTTGTGTGGCGATGGTCATGTCCATCAGGGAGGTTCGCCATGATATGTAGTCGGTTGGTTCGACTTGCCAGCCGTGTTGTATGATGCTTCCGAATAAATCGTCGAATCGGTATCTAATAATTCGTGGTTGTGAGACGAGAGTGTCAGTCAGAGATGAAAGAGAAAATGGAACGCGTTCTTGGTTTTCAGTTTTTCCCCCTCTTTTTTGTCGCTTGCTCGTCCAAAGAAAGATTCTACCAACCTTTGAGCATTCCACATATGGAAGTTTCCAAGCTTCAAAGCTTCTGAGCTGGCAGCAATAGCAGCGACAGATCCAGCAACGTATTCAACTGAAGTTAAATTGACCACATTGGCAATACGTGGTATACGTCCAAGTTGTATACATCCTTTTACCAACCTCCAAATGAAGTCATCGGTATTGGTGACTATTTGACATTTGTAAGCAATGCTTTTTCGCACATCAATAAGCCAAACAATCAATCAATAATTCCAGACTCACCTCCAGTTCTAGCATCACCCATAATATATCCAGGTCTAATGATAGTAACAGGAACACCACGAGATCGAGCCCTCATACACAATTTTTCAGCAACCCATTTAGATTGTCCATATCCATTTCGTAATCCACGTCGTGATCCTTCTAATGCGTCAGATTCAGGTATGAGCTCACCCAATGCCAGCATGTCAGAGTAATGAGAGGTATCTAATACAGAAGTCGATGATACAAAATGTAGTGGCTTGAGACGTCCAGATGATGCTAATCGTAAGGCTTCGATTGTTCCAAGTACGTTGGGTCCCTTTAATTTCGAGTAAGGGTATACCCAATGGACAAGAGCACCGTTATGTACAATGACGTCTACGTCTTGCACCAGTCTATTCCATTCCGCGTCCGCTAGTCCAAAATGCGAATTACCTAAATCACCTTTTGCTATTTGGACCCGACCATCACTAGCCCATGATTCAGACCACACTAGATGTCGCTGTCCATTTTCACGTACTCGAGCTAAACCAGCTTCTTCACTTGTTGCTCGTACCAGACATATAACTTTGGCACCTGGATATCGGACTAGTAGTTCTGACAATATAAAGGCTCCCAAAAAGCCTGTTGCTCCCGTCAAGAATACCGTCATATTATTGGCATCTGGCATCTCGAATTTAAGAGATCCTGCACATATCGTCGTATCATCTAGTGCATCTTCATCAGCTGCATAATCTAATTCTATCCTGTCTGCAGATGGTAGTGTTGGTGAAGATAGAGCATCGTTCAATGCTCCAGGTGCAAGATTGAGATCTGTTGTTCTTAAGCGATCCAATTCACGGGCCATTCCTTTGACAGTGGGTTCATCATACACTATACCCAATGGAACATCCAATGCTAGTTTAGTTCTCAAGGCAAATACCAATCGAGTAGCCATAATGGAATGACCTCCCAAGTCGAAAAAGTTATCGGATGTTTTGATTGGTGTAGATGGTGATAGCAGCGATGTCCAAATATCTGCAACGGCACGTTGAGTAGGTGTCATATCTTCTGCTGAGGTGTTGGCTGCCTTTGCGGCGGTAGCACCACCACCGAATCGTGCTGTATCTGGGAACGGTAGAGCATTCTTATCTACTTTACCATTCGGAGTTAAAGGCATACGTGCTAATGGTACAAATACAGTGGGTACGGCATAGCTGGGTAGCTTGATTTTCAAATATTCTCGAATACTACTTATCAAGTCTTCCATATCATCTGACGACACCAATGGTACGAAATATGATACCAGCGTCTGTTCTTCATACTTGTCTCGACGTACTAGCGTTACATTTTCACGGACTTTGGGATGTTGACTTAGATGCGTGTCAATCTCACCCAATTCGATACGGAAACCACGAATTTTTACTTGGTCATCTGCTCGACCTGTACATTCAACCAATCCATCAGGACGGTATCTTCCTAAATCTCCTGATCGATACATACGGTCACGAGGACCTTTATAAAATGGTAGACTCTTCCCGAGAGAAGTGATTGGTGGTCCATCAACATTGAAGGGATTTGGCACGAATTTGAGAGCGGTAGCATCTTCCAGTCCTAAATATCCTTCAGCTAGACCAGAAGACCTGACGTAGATTTCACCGACTTCACCAATACCGCATAGTAATCCAGACTGATTTATAACTAGCAATTGTACATCGTTCATGCCTTTACCAGCAGGCATTATATCTTTTTGTTCAGAGAGGAAACCAGGATTGGTTGATGGTGGTGGTACTCGTAAATATGATACTGCGCGTTGGGTTTCAGTTGTACCATACATGTTTATAACATTGACATTGACTGCCAAATGCTGTAATCGAAGGACGTCCCGTTTGGTCAGGACGTCACCGACAAAGAAGGCATTGCGGAGACGAGGCATGGCTGTTGTGGCGTTGGCAGATAATAATTGACCCATTGCTGGAGTCAAGTGTGTAATTGTGATTTCGTGAGCTGCCATCCATTCGGCTAAACGACCTGGAGATCCAATATCGTTTGCTGTTGGAATGCGTAATTGAGCACCCAAGAATAAAGGTGTGAAGACTACAATCGAATGTTGGTCAGCTGTAAGCAAAAAACAAAAACAGTATGGACAGTAAATGGAAACGTACTGTCACGTTGAATTGGATCATGCGCTATACCACTCAACATGGTGAAGCGTTCTTGTTCACTTAATCCAAACTCTTGCTTCATCCATGGGTAGAAGTGTGTAAGTGAAAAGTGCCTACCTCGGACACCTATGTTTTCGAGAAATATGTGAGACTGGCAAAAAAATGATGCGCCGATGGCAGTATGTATTAATTGCAACAAGCGTTTCACACACCTTTGGGAATACCTGTACTTCCAGATGTGAAACTCAAAGTACCCACGCTGTCTGGTCCCAAGACAATACCAGTGTCTTGGGATTTGAAAGCCTGAGCGTCATGCAAGATATCTACTCCATTTACTTGTCCACCAATGACACTTCCATCATCGAGCAATTCCAGTGCAGGAATCTCACAAGCAATGTGTAGATTGTCTTTTGCATAATCTCGCACCTCGTCACTTAACACACCAGCTTTACGTAATACCACCAACCCTCTAGGTTGAGCGACAGATAAATAGATGGTTTGTCGTTGACTAGGGTATGCTGGATCAATGACACTGAATGTAGCGCCAGCCTTCAAGACACCCATGATGGCAACCACTAGATCAACACCTCGATATGAATACAAGACTACAACGTCTTCTCGTTGAATTCCATTACGCATTAGATGGTGTGCCACGATATTAGATGCCTCGTGTATATGTTTGTATGTGAATTGTCGTAAATCATTCAAGCTCAACACATTGCTATCCCTGCTTTCGACGACACATGTGCGATCGGGATGAGCACGCGCGTTTCGAGCAAATATATCGGGTATGGCACCTTCAAACTTGTCCCATCCTAAATCTCCGATTGGGTTTGGAGTGACTCGGCGTGCTCGTTCTGTTACTACAGTTATTTTACCAATGGGCGATGATGGGTCTTTAGCGGCAGCTGTTAATATCATTTCTAGTTGATCTAGAGTATCCAGCATGCGTTCACGAGCAAATAATACGGTGTTGTATGTGACACGCAATTCGATGGGTAGAATACGACGCACTGACGGTGATTGGGTTACAAATATGGTGATATCACAGGATGACGAGCTGGTAGTTGCTTGTAATGTGGCTGGGGTAGTTTCCGTCAAGTCAAAGAATCGTACTTTGAACAGGGATGGTTGACTTTCAGCATTTCCATTATCAAACAGACCATTCAACAGGTCTGCGAATGGTAGTTCATCAGCAGCAGCCTCCTCCTCAGTCTAATATGTATTGAGTAGATGTAAGCAAGGAGTACAATTCATCGACAGTGCGAGTTGAATGAGTCACATCAATTAACACATGCCTTGAGCACCGTGTTGACCACATCCAAAAATGAGTTTTCATCAGCTACATTCATTCTCAAGACCAATGGATTTGCCACCGAGGAGCTCGAGCCCACAGCAATATCGTCTTCTCCTGTATACTTGTGGAGCAGAACTATGAACGCAGCCAACAAGATGGTAAAGGGAGAAGCAGAAGATGTCGATGACGATAATGTGTTTTGACGGGCAGCTAGCGAGAGGGACATTAGAGCCAAGGCCGCATTCTCTCCAAGGGCATGAGCTAAGTCTGCTTCTACTATTTTAGGTGGGATTGTACGTGGAAAGTCAGTTGGTAGGATGAGCTCTGTCAAGTTGGCTAATCTTGTTCGCCATCTTGAGAGACTCTCTTGGTTTACAGTCTCCATATGCGATGGATTCTCGTCGTTTGGGGGCCCCATCCTTCCAGTTCAGCAAAGTTCTGAAGTTCAAGTTTCAATGTTTTTTGTGACGAAAAAAAAGTTTTGTTTCTTAAGAATGCTGAAAACTCAATAGAATCTCAATAAGCTGTAAAGATGCACGATAGATTCAGATTGAATTGCACGAAAATCAGATAGCTGAAAATAGTTGGACGCGTTTGAAATCAAAAAGTTTATTGTGACACTTTCGTACATTTTCAGATTGGACGAAGACATCTATACCAATCGCTCACTGGAACTCCTTCCAATCCTTACGTAGCACTCATATCACGTAAACGTTGGTGAATATCGGCTCCAAATCCCTTCCAACGCCAGCAAAAACAAGCAAAATGGCATACCCACGAGTAAACAACAAACGTCCTTGAACCTACTTGATTACAATGATCTAATATGCTCCTTTCGCTTTCAAATAGCATGGGCTACGATTCGGTGAGATTAACGAGACAAATGGAACTGCTGAAGTATGTGGTGCTCGCAACATTTGATCGTGGACCAGCTCCATGAGGTTGCTCACGCAATTCTTCACGTCAACAGGAAGTGGCTGCAATCAAAAAGATTGGTGTGAGTGGCTACATTGGATATTTAGTGCGCTTGGCTGTTCCGACCAAGACGCAGATTGCCCTCACCTTCCTCACGTTTTAATTGACCATTCCATTTGCTGATTCTCGTTCATGTCGTAGAGAATTGTTGGCCCGATGAACGCCGTTCTGCGTGTGCCTCAATACGCCATCAACTTCTCACGTATGGGTGACTTCTTTTTCAAGCAGCAAGTCATTCCAAGAGATGTTCACGAATTGGCAATTATTTATGTCGGGTATGTTAAATAGGCTCGGCTTCGTGTGCTTCCCCATGTCCGTGTATGTTTGATCAACTGATACTATTGTACGTAGACGTCATTGGAATGCTCAGTTTGAATGGTTTGCTCATCGTGCAATTGCAATCAAAGAAGGACTTCCCGCTCATATATGTGATGCCATTGAGCAAGGGCGACGACCCGAAAACATGAATGAAAACCAGAGAATCGTGTACGATTTCACTGCTGAGCTCATCCAAAACAAGGGAGTCAGTGACAAGACATATGCTGAAGCAAAAGCCAAGTTTGGAGAGAAGGGAATTATTCATCTGATTGGTAAGATGTCTCGAATTGTTTTCGGTCGAGCTTTGATTCCAATTTGTAACACGTTATGTTTAAAGGTGTGATCGCATTCTATACATCGGTCTGTATGGTGCTTAACGTGGACAAATTCCCAGTGCCAGAAGGCGTAACTCCCATGGCACGTCTGTAAAAGCACTCTAACGCTTTGAGCTCTGAAAGTTGTGTTTTACCAACAAAGTGTAGTAGTAAAAATAAGTGACATAAGTAACAAATGAGATTATTGACCAAACCCCGATTTACAAGAGTCGCCCCGACTGGTGTTTACTAATATTCTTCAAACCGTCCCCGTTTATCAGCAGAAACACGTCCTGTACTAGGAGTCGTGACTGCTGGTTCACCTTCAGCCTTCCGTTTAGAACTTGGAGCAGCCAGTTGAGTGAGTCTCGATGAATCCGAAGCAGCTTTAATGGGAGTTTGTGGTCTTGTCGGGCTTGGAAGCTCGTTATTTATGAATGGCAACGAGGGTGACAATGACGGGTTAAACACCTGACTATGATCCGGCGACAACGAAGACGACGGTTGTGGAGACGAAGTGGATGAATGACGTGGCGATATGGATGGTGTAGATGACGGAAAGGCTGGTCCACCTGTTGAATGAAGCTCAGGGCTGGTCGGTGTTTGACTAAAGTATTGTGGGAATATCAGCGTGTTCGGGTGCAAGTATCTTGAGCCGTCATTTGTGGCTGCTTGGTCTGTTGTAAACACATCTGATGGAGCAGTGTTCGTGTAAAACCCGGCTGCTGGTTGATATGACACTGGCTGGAATCCGAGCGCTTCATATTGCTGTGTCCACATAGACATGGGTGTTGGAGCAACTGAGAATATACTCGGTTCAGGTCTTGCTTGCTGTATTGGGTAATGGTGTATTTGTTGATATTGTCGTTGCGGCAGTAATAGACCAGGCTGCTGTATATTATAAGATTGCGCAGACATTCCTAATGCCGAAGAGGTCATTGATATAGCAATTCTAGCTGGTATTGTCGTATTCGGCGGTATTACTGGGAAGGAGCGTCCTCGTTCTGCTCTTTCTACACGGACTCGCCATCGCACGTAGCAGGCATTACAAAGGTTCTAATAGTAATAGATCGTCAGTAAAAGTACCGTTGGTATGTTCAACTGAATTTGAACGTCAATCTCACACGAATCCCATCAGGCCCAGGTCGCTTTAGAGGAGTATTGGCAGCTTTACAACCACATTCCTTGCACACCCATGTATCATTAGGATCTACTATAGCGGGCTTCTTGGCCTTCTTTGGTTTAAGTTTGGCAGCTTTCGTTGGCTTTTCCACACTTGCATAGTTGGTGGACGCCAAATGGATTTGACCTGATGTGAAGAACGATGACGAAGCAGAAGCACCAACAGTCAGTCCAGTGGCCGTATGGGAACGATGTTGGTCGTCGATACCTGGGTACATTGATAACGGGTCTGGCTTTTACGCCACAAAATTTGATTTGTTTGACTTCGGGGTTTTCCTAAAGACCCCCAAAGTAGCGAAGCAAATCGAACACACGGCAAGCTAAAATCTGTTGTTCCGTTGAGTTGGGAACTCAAAGTATCCACATCATCTGAGAGTAGAATGTTTGCAACACCTACATTTGAACAAGGAACACGGATTTATTTTTTAAAGACATTATTATAAAATAAGGGCGACTCACACAGTGCCTATTTTACAACTCGACGGGTTCGGTTTCGTTCTTACAATCGTCGAGACGTTCGAGATACCTTTTATACACTAGTAACAGTAGCAACAGACTCCCCCAGAGCCCTTCAAAGATCCACTTATTGTTTTGAACTTCATGCATCATTGCACGATTATTCACTCGAGGCGACGTTGAGGATACTTTGGCAGCAGCTGGAGATGACGGAGCAAAGAAGCCATCAGTCCTGATTCTCTTCTTTCCGCTGGGGTTCTGAGATTCAAGAAAGCTAGCTTTTCCTTTATTCATAGCAGCCATTTTCTTGTGTGGACGAAGGCAATTCATGCCGAGATCGATACCATAACGACGTACTAGCAATCCACCAAGGATTACAAAGACCAAGAGTCCTACAATTACTGTTATGACGACGGCATGATTATTCATCACAGCAGCGGTGTTATCGACGGCCAGACCATATCCCATTGCTGCTTGTGCCTCTGGTGATACTAGTGTAGGCGATTGTCGTGAAGCTGGTGATGGGATTACACGTTTTGGTACCGCTACTATAGTGGTTGCTGGTGCATCTTGTGGAGGAGCGGCAGCCACTGGGCTAGTTACTGGTATTGTGACTAGAGGCGCATTGATTACTCCTACTACTGCTGGGTCTGCAGCCCTGTTGGTGAAACTTGCACCATTGCCATTGATGGTCATTCGTAACGGTGCACTTGGACTATTAAGATACGTGTAGCCATTGAATTCAATACGGTACAGACTACCAGATTTGTTGAGGCCATCGTCTAGGCTACGGTAGCAGTACACCCTGGAAAGTGCTGATTGGGAGCAGTTTGTGCTTGTACACACGTTTGCCCATTATGGTGGATTAAAGGAGCAGATACATTGACCTAGTTCGACAGACAGGGCTCAATGACTTATATAGCGGCAATGGCGAAGGTCAAGGTTGATTTACCTGAACCAAGTCACCAACACACACGACATCGACAGGTACTCCGCGTATGTAACCACAGACAACCCAAGTGGCTATCAGAGGATTCGTAGCATTTGAAAACCCATGACCTCCTAGCGTTCCTCTCACCAAAGACGCAGAAACTTTTGGGAAATGTAGCTGTTCGCAAATTGGAAAAAGTCCAACCTTTTTCAGTGGTTTTCAAGGACATACCGTTACAGCGCGAGAAGGCCAGACTCATATCGAATTGCATTCCTATGTTACGAAATTGTGCCTTTAGCAACGAGATCCCTCTTCCCTGCCTCAATTCTAGTATATACCTTGTGTAGCCATACCATTGTTCACCATTGCAGAAGATATTAAAGACAGCATAGCAATGAGCCGAGTGTGTTTCAAGCATATAGAATGTCTTGAAATGCTTTCATCCATATCTTCGTTTAAGCACCTCTTTTCGAGCGTTGAGTCAAAACGTCTCAAACGTGCTCGAAGAGGGTAAAAACAGCAAGGCAATGAGTTATATACTTGGACCTACTTGAGAATTTACTTGGGACTAGGGCAAATAAGGATGGCAAAAGTAAAGTGAAGTCTCAGGTTGGGTCTTCCTCGTTCAAGTGTTGGATGTTACAGTCCACAAACTCCCAATTGGAGCTTCAAGTGGTGTAAACTGATGATTCCGGGAATCAACTTGAAGAAATAGTAGCAGAAATTTGTTTACGGTGCATCCGCTCTCAGTAGTTCACTAAGAATCAAACTGTGAGTTCCACGGGTTTAGGCGAATATGTCTGCAGGTATAAAGGCGTCATTTACACAATTTGGACAGTCCTACGTCAAATATCATACTTGAACGTCCTCGGATGATGTCAAAAGCACAGCGACCGCATAACAAAATTCTGGCATCTGCGCAGGTATGTGTCTTATTGAAGGAAGAGAACCCCTGGAGAAACCACTCCTGCTGTACGACTACAGTCAGTAGTCACAATAATGTTTATTGAAGTACAGATTATTTTATCGCTTTTTACTCGCTCTAACATGTCAACACGTTATCAGGTGGGTCACATAGGAGCCTTTCCCTTGCTTGTAATTACAGTATCTATAGATTCACGTTTGTAAGCTCCATCATCTAACAGTCCTTCAAAGCGCCATTGCGTGTTTTGAGCTTCGTGCATCATGGCACGGTTTCGAGTTGGTGATGACGGAGACAACCTGGCAGATGGTGGAGCCGATACATTCCCTGTATTAATAGGAGATGGAGCAAAGAAACTATCGGTCTTTAATCCCATGTGGCTGACAATCGAGTTCTGGCGTTCACGAGCCCAGTCCGAGCCGAAATGAATACCACAGTGACGTACCAGCAGCCCACCAATCACAGCAAATCCTACAAAGCCTGCAGACACTACTATGGCGATGATGGTTGTGCGATTATTGCTGGTACCGGTGTTGTTAGGGTCGACGATAAAAGCAGCCAGAGTTGCTTCGCGTGCCTCTGCTGGGTTTGGTGATTGTCGCAGAAGAGCAGGTGATGGGATTGCGTTATGGGGTATTGCAGCTGGTGTTTCTTGAGGTGAAGCAGCTGCAACTGGCTTTGGTGCTATTGTTGGAGAGGGATTCGGATTTGATGGTACAGGTGATGGATTCACTATTGCTGGTGCTCGAGACGGTATTACTGGTGCGGCAGAGGGTACGACTGGTGCTGCAGATGGTATTACAGGTGCTGGAGAGGGTAGTACTGCTGCTGCAGATGGGATTACCACTACCTTATTTGCTGCCAAGTTGGAAGTAACTCCATTGATTGACATTTTTATCAGATCGTTTGGACCACTTGCATAAGAATATCCGTTAAAAGCGGTGTCAAGACAGAATATGGGAAGCTTGGATGCTGCAGTCCATGTTACAGTAGCAGTACAGCCTAGCACGTTTGAGTTCGGAATAGTATTTGCCTGAATGCATTTCTGTCCATTTACCACAACAGCAGTTTCGTTTGCCTAAAATGAGATAGATATTGCTTAATACCATGCAAATGGGACAAAAAGTGAATCGACAGACGGAAACAAAGACAAAGAACTGGTTTGAAAACATATTCAAATCACGAAGGAAGTCCCTGGGATTCATGACTTCACCGAGTACCAAAAACGGAAAGCTCACCACGAAACTATCAGCCACACACGTTACATCAACCGGAGTTCCTTGAATGCTGCCACAGATAACCCAAGTTGGTACTACTGGTGCATTTGTGAACCAATTAGTTCCTCCTCGCAATGTTCCCTTTACACCAGTACTAGCTACGCCTAAGAATTTCAGTTTACAAAGCGTTAGCACACTGCTTCAATGACTTTCAATGCGGCAAAGCAGGAAAATTTAAGTCAATGAGGGATCATTGGCTCTCAATGCAGTGAAGCGGAATGATTCACTAAGATGACCACCCCAATTCCGAAAATAACGTTCATGACAGTCTATGATTGACTCGTAAACTCGAATTCAATGCGAAATTTGAATTGATGATACGTACTGTCACAGAAAGTGAATGCCATCGTCATGTCCAAAAATTGATTCATAGCATCAGTGTATCCCACCATCGTCACAAACATCCATGATAGAATAGCAATACACTGAGTCGGTCTTAGCCATATGAATGGCCTTGAAGGCCTTTTGTGACCCATATCTCGTCAATGTTTCTCTTGTCAAGTTCGACGTGACCCTCTCAATTATTTGGCCAAAGGTTCCCCGGAATGCACACAGGCAATGAGATTACAATAACAAATTTGTCTGAAAGTGACAGGTAAACCTGCACCAAATAAGAGATACTGCTGGTTTGGATCTTGCCGTTGCAGGAATGTTGCATGTTGCGGAATCAGTGAATCAGTGGCCCAACGAGTTGGTGGAGATGTAAGTTTTCAAGCGAGAAGAGTCATCAAGCGGCAGATTGCATAACAGCAGGCTTGAGGAGCTCGGTTTGATCTGTCTTGTTTGCATCTCGTCCACTGAAATATCAAATAGCTCCACTATCAAATAGTTCACCTATCAAATAGTTCAAATGCTTTCAATTCCAACCAGCAAAAGGGAGAGACCAAGACGTTGCTTGCATGAAAGAGATCATGTCGTGTGAAAGTGAACACTTGAACGTTTCCTGCAGGATTGTACACATACAGCGACCGCCTATGAAACTGCGCTTTTTGAAGAGATAGACTGAATACACACGTACAGAGTGAGTGTGAACAATTGTATTGTTCTAGAAATAAAGATGAAGCATAAACTACATGCGCGAATCATACTTCATGCCACGTGTTGATCCATAACTATATCTCAACACTCCCCCTGCAACACGAAATGGCGTGACCAAAAAAAAAAACCCTACCCCTACCCAAATGTCAACCTTCTGAATCAAACTACAAAACTTCAGCCAAAAGACAGAAGTGATGCACGACTCCATATTCCCAATTGCTCAGTGCACTGTTTGTGCTTATTGGCTGGTAATGTCTTGGTAAGAATGTCTGCTGGATTCTGATTGCCAGACACAGATTTGATTTCAATTTGTTTGGCTAGCACCATATCCCGTGTCCTCCAATACTTTGGGTCTACATGCTTATTCGCATTTGTCCTTATGTAGCCCTCTTTTATGGTACGGAAAGCAGCTTCATTATCTTCAAAGACTGGGATTGGTGTCTTCAATATGGTAACATCAAGAGTGGTTTGCAGGGTTGTTAAAAAGTTGGCCAACCATGATATCTCACGAGTTGCTTCATATAGGGAAATCAATTCGGCTTCAAATGCGGAGGTGGCAGTAATAGTCTGTTTGACGGATCTCCAATGGAATGCTGTGTCGTTCAACATCAAGACATATCCTGTCTGGCTTTTCGACGTTGTCGAATCGGAACGATAACCAGCATCTGCATACACTTCTATCTTGAAATCCTGGGCTTTCTTAAAGAACAAACCATGGTCAGGTGTATGTTTCAGGTATTGGCATATATGCTTCAATCCTTTGTAGTGTCTATAAGTCGGATTCTTACTGAATCTCGCTAATAGGTTCACACTGAAGCTGATATCGGGTCGTGTACTGTTGGCCAAGTAGGAGAGCATTCCAATACAGGAACGATATGTCGTCATGTATGGATATGGTGCTTCTCCTTCACGTCTTGCGCCATATATGTCTTTGCCAAGCTGGACGGATCGGACTTCAAGTGGGATCTTTTGTGTGCTAGTATGTTCCAAGTTCATCATGGAGATAATCTTTTGCACCATTTTGCTTTGATGTACGAATACACCTGTGGGTAAGTGATCAATTTCAATGCCAATGCAGGCTGATACTTCGCCAAAGTCCTTCATCTGAAAGTGCGACTTTAACATTGTCTTTGTGGACATGATTGCCTTTTCTGGACCCATTAAGTTTGTATCATCCACGTAAATGCTTGTGATGATGGGTCCATCAGGAGTGTTCTTAAAGAACACACTTGACACTCGGCTGATGTAATAAAGTTTTCTTTTCTTAACATTTCAGAGTATTTATTATACCATTGTCTTCCAGATTGTTTCAACCCGTACAATGATTTTAACAATTTCACACAGGGACGTTGGATATGTGAAGGAACATGTGCACCTTCTGGCACTTTCATGTATACATCTTCTTCCAAGTCACCGTACAGAAATGCAGTCTGCACATCTAGTGCGTGAATTTGCCAACTCATGATGGAAGATATACCAATCAAGAGTCTATATGTCGCAATATCTAGCACAGGACTATATGTTGCATGATAGTCGATGCCGTATCTTTGATTGAATCCTTTTGCTACTAGTCGTGCTTTGTACCTTTTGGTAGGTTCAGTCTTAATGGTCAATACTAAACGATTGCCAATCAATCTTTTGCCTTTTGGTAGATCTATAACCTCACTGAATACTTCACGCTCTCTCATTGAGTCATATTCAGATTTGATTGCTGCTTTCCAGGACGGCCATGTTGGAAGCTTCTTAGCTTCATCAACAGTCTTCGGAACCACTTCATTTGAGATTGACGTTCCGTAAGCCAGTATGCTCTCCTCTGGAACTTCAATTTCAGCAAACTTAATAGCAGCATCATGATGTAGGAGTGTCTTCTGTCGTGTCCGTGGCAGAGATTGGTCCACTTTGAATCCTCTTGGTGCCAACGGAGCACCATCAGCGTCAAGATCATTTAGATCTGGGAAGAACTCGTCAGCTGTGATGAGGGAAGGCTTCTTAGCTTTGGTAGCTATTGTGGTGCTTGATGAACCTGCAGCTGGAGTCTTCAACTGTGCCTTCAGAGATTCTGTCTTTTCTTGAGTTGACTTCGGACTATGGTTGTTGTCATCTTGTCGTCGTCTCTTTGAAAATGAATGTGCATTGACATCATCCTCTTTGCTCGACATTTGTTGTCGCTTGTTAGGCACACTATTCTTCAAGATCAATGAGTTATCTTTCAGGATTTCGTATCTGTTTTGAAGCAGAGTTTCGATCAACTGGTTTGCTAAGGTCTCATTAGGATCATCATCATGTGGTTCTTCTTCAACAAAGTCACCATGAATTGTCGGAAACGATGCCTCATTGAAGACACAATGTTTGAATCTTGGAATGCTCACGAGACTCTTAATCTGAAGAGATAGACTGAATACACACGTACAGAGTGAGTGTGAACAATTGTATTGTTCTAGAAATAAAGATGAAGCATAAACTACATGCGCGAATCATACTTCATGCCACGTGTTGATCCATAACTATATCTCAACACTTTTCTCAGGCAGATTTTAGGTTTTTCGGATCTCGGACGCATTTGGAACACGCATGTAAAACGAGTATTCATGCAGGTATTATTTTACATGATGCAATTTATTTACTGCATCCTCAAAAGAGTCCTTTTAAGTAGATTACTAAAACCATAACAAAATGAGTTCTTGAAATGAATGCTGTTCAGCATTCTCGAATCTTTCTACCATTTATAGTTGGTGCAGTGCAGTTCGCTCACTGGAATTTTCTCACTCATTGGCCTATGCAACTGAGGCTTCCAATCCTGAAAGCGCATTGTAAAGGCACCAGCGGCAAACTTCATTATGTATCTTCGACGCAACTTCCTTTATAGTTCAAAGTGTCGAGCCACAAAGATACCGACTACTAGAAGAAGTACTCCTATTACTGACAGACCAATTACGAGACCAGTCGCAATTAAGATTTCTCCAGATGAAGCTGGTGCGCCAACTGCCTGCGCGTTTATCATTCCAGCATTCATTGTTGCCAGTGATGGGTTGATCGATACTATTCCCATTGCAGGTGCTGTAGATGAAGCCATAGAGGGTAGTCCCGCTGTTGATGTATAAGTCAATAGGTTTGACCGATACTATAATAGCAGAAGGCACTGATGGTGAAGCTCCTGGTGATGCTAATTTCACTACTGCTTGAGTAAGAGGCGGCGCGGCACAGTTGGACTTGTTGCCGCCAATGGTCTAACTTCGGGCGAGGCAGCAACCAGAGTAGAAGCCAAACTGCCAGAAGACGACGGTGAGTGCAATTGTTTGAGTTTCAAATCACGAAGTAGTAGCACATCAAAGACGACCCTTGCATGAATCAAATTATCTAAACGACTTCAAGAGAAAAGCAGTTTATTTAATGATTCTTCTCGAAAGAATCTTTTCAAGGAAATTACTAAAATCATGACGAGATGACATTCACTTAAGTGCTGAAACACTCGAATTTCTTTTACCATTTGTAGTCAGTGTAGTGCGGTTGACTCACTGGCATGACTCCATGACTGACATGCTCACTCACTGGCCTGCTCCATGACTGAGGCTTCCATTCTTGCGGCCCCATTGTAAAGGCTCCATCACCATACTTGAATAAATACCAACGGCGCAGCGTCCTCCACACCTCAAAGTGTCGAAACACAAAAATACCGACTACTAGAAGAAATACTGCTACTACAGACACACCAATTGCGATACCAGCCGCAATTGAGATTCTTCGAGATGAGATTCCTACACTGGTTGCTTGTGCGTTCAATAGTCCTGCGCTGATTGCTGCCGGTGATGAATTTGTATATACTATCCCGTTTGAGTGTGCTACAGACGGCACAATGGTAGGTCTTCCCGCTGGTCCCGTAGACAGCACTGAAGCTATCCCTGGTGACTTCTTGGGCGTTGCTGCTGGAGATGCTAGCTTTACTGGTTTCGATGGTATTGGTGGAGCAGCTGATTGAGCGACGGTCATGGGAGACGGTATGATGGGAATGGCAGACGGTGGAGCTGACGGTTGAATTACTGGCGAAGGCAAATCAAGGGATGCTATAACTGGAAAGGGGACCGTTGGTGATTGCATTGGCGATGCTGCTGCTGGTGGTGGTACTACCATTACTTGATGCGATGGTATCGGTGGAGCGGCTGATACTAGTATCGGAGACGGCATAACTGGACTTGCAATCACTGGGCTTGCAATGATTGGAGATGCTATGACTGGGCTGGCCATGGCAGGAGAAGCAATGACAGGGTTAGCAATTAATGGACTGGAGACTACTGGAGCAGGCGATTGAGCTACTTTCAGAGGTGATGGTGATGCTGCTGAAGGCAATACGGGAGATGGAATAGCATTCGATGGCTTGCTAGATGGCATAGCATTCGGCGACGCTACAGCCGCTGGAGGGGCCTGTGATGTCCCAGTCACCTGTGCAGCGGCGGCAGCAGCAACGTCACCTAATTTACCGTTGATGGATATCTTGACAGGTGAAGCAGGCGTATCTAAGAATGCCATTGCTCCAAACCCAATACTCGAGCAGTCTATCGCGTCTATAGTCCTCTCAATCCAAGACAAATCTGCGACACACCCAGCATTTGAGAGTTTAGATGCGGTAGTCCCTTGGACACATTGTTGGCCATTCATCATCAGGGTGGATGAGTTCATATTATAGCCCTTGTCGCTGCATTTTATGTTTATTCGTCGGTCCTTGATACTACCACAAACAATCCAAGTGGGTGCGACTGGCACTACGTCGGTAATAAATTGTATGTTGCCTCTCGGCATTCCATATTCCACTACAGAAAAATCACATGGAAGTCAAATGAGATGTCGTCCCGAGACATTATCAAAGGAAGCAGACACGTTCGGAAATGGAAACTCACCCCAACAAGACGAGAACTTGGTGGTCATGTTGAAAACGGTTTGACTTGCACGTCTTTGGTGGAAGCGACCGGCCCCTTTAGGAACCAGCAGAGACAGCAAGACTACAATAACACATAGATTTCGTGACAACAAGTCCATACTTGGATCACACAGTTGGAGATTTTGGAGTGGCGCGTCTGCCTACTCTAACAGTACACGAGAGAGAGGAACTCTCTTAAGCGAGGCCTACAATTACGAGGCGGCTGTTTCTGGACTCGTTATAGATGTTTTACTTTCGTTCTGTCTTCGTTTGTACGCTGGCGTTTGGGTGATCTAGAAAGTTGTGCCTGATAGTGGGTCGAGAACCACCTTTGCTGTTGGATCCTGAATCGAAAAGCACCATCGTCAGCTCCTGCTTTGTACTATACAAAGCGATGTTATGTGTTCAATCCATCGATGCTCTTGACGTGACAATTGTCTCGAGCCAAACAAAAATTTGATGTCCTACCATACCATCGAAAACACCTGCAGTGTCGGAAAGAGTTGTTCAACTTGAATTTCCCGAATTGAATTGTCTTGTCTTGAACTCGATCCATCGATTCACCGTGGCGAAGTGAAGCTTACTTGATGACGATGCATTCCATCTGGACTTGGATAGTCAAATTTGACGACCAAACAGCGACGGAAACGTGGTCCCGAAGACAGCAGCGATAATTATCACATAAATTCATTGTTGAGGGGTTTTAGAAACACGCCAATTACATAAAAAGCGTTTTATATCGCGACTCAACTCGACCTATCCCATCGTCCCTTTACTAGTCCCATAGAGAGACGCTCGAAGCAGCATTAGATGATGCGACCGATGCAGGACCCAGCTGAGGCTGCTGCCATTTAGCATTAGCAGCAGCATGCAATCCTGCTCTATCAAAGCGAGGAGTGCTAGCATTACTACTGGAAACAATACCAGTAGGAGTCACTGTAGCTCCTACTCGTACCGCTGCACCGGGTATCGTCGGTACAGGCCCGGCGGGTGGTTTCCTATTATCTAATGCATGGAAAGCTTGTGTGAAGCTCTTCCTTACAGTATGCCTCCTCATCCCCTGACCAGTAAAAAAGTTTTTGTCGGTGTGGGCATTGTGGTAATGGCACCAGCGAGTCCACAAATCAAAGTATTGCACCACGAAGATGGCAATAGCAACCACTAAGATGAGCACAATTGATACTATTATGGCAACAATAGCACCTGTTTTGGAGCCAGCTCCAGAAACGGGTGTTGGGATGTCTACAGCGGCTGCTGTAGGTTGTATATTTATAGATGCTGGCAATAGTCCAGCATCCACTGGTGATGATGTTGCTGATGCTAGCATGGGTTGACGTGTTGGTGATGGTATTGCTGCATTTGATGGGGCAGCTGTACGTATCGGTACTACTACGTTTGATGAAGCGACTATAGGTGAAGCGACAACGGGTGCTACTGGGTTTGGTTTTGGTGAAGCAGCTACGGGTGTGGGTACTATTGGTTTTGGTGACTCGATCAAGGGTGCTACTGGAATGGGTGGAGCAACTGATGGTTGAGCTGTTGCTGCTGCTACTTTCATTGCTGTAGTTGGCGTTACACCTTGAGGAGCAACACTTGGCAGAGCCCCTGCTAATTGAAGATCCCCTATCTTGCCATTGATTGATAGCTTTACATCACCTGCACTACTAACATTATCATTCAAGAACGCGTGGCCGTTAAATGTTAGTTGGTCACAGGGTATGGGGTCGGTTGACTGTTGAGTCCACTTCAGAGTCGACACACAGCCAGGATTTGCTTGATGGAGTGCAGTTGATGCCTTTATACAAGTTTGGCCGCTATGTATTACTACTGGGTTTGTTGAATTCATATTCCATGTGTTGTTGGTACACTCGAGATTTATATTTCGAGTATTGAGGAATCCACAGACGACATATGTCGGTGCGAACTCTGGAACGGCCAGATCTGTATGGAATTGTATGTCTCCATAGGCATTACCAGCAACATCCGCTAATAAATGGTGGTGTAGATGTTAGCAAAAGGAGTCATGGTGAAAACATTTGTCAAAAATGAACAATAGATGCAAGAAGTACAGAGTATTGCTTGTCTTTGAGTAGCAACAAGAATTCTAATTTGAAGTGATATTGGAACATACCCCAGCAGTGAGCAAAGCTAACAGTAACATTGTACATGTTAACGGCCATCACGCCTTGGAGAAGCAGAAGGGATAGATATAAGATGAAGCCAGACTTGTTGAGGACCCTTAGATCCATGTGGCAGTGCTTCATAAATAGCTCTTGTTAGTAGCACTTTGTTGGTAGTTCTTGGATTTGTTCAAGTTGGTGACTTTGCAAATTTTGCAGAACTTTACGAGGCAGAACAAGGCTGAGTACGTGATTGCTGTATCGATCCGAGGACTTCTGTATGTACCAATAGAGCTTCACACAGTTCAAGCTGGCCACAGCGATACCCCGGGTAGTTGAATAACAGAGGATGGTGGGGAGTTGTGGACGTTGTAGATTTTGGGCGTATGAGCGATTTCTCACGAAAAGGAGGACATCCAAGCATTTTTAAACAAAATTTTTTAGCGACGGGTCAGCAAGAACAGGCGAAAAAACACAAGTGCCTGAGCTGATGAAGATCACACACTGCCCACGTGCAGATTCAAGCAGCCATGAGATCCAGCATCAATAGAAGTGGCCAGCCCCATTGAGCGTCGTTCTATAATATAAGATAGACATTGTCGAAGAGCCTAGGTCAGTTCGAGATGGTTCCAACAATATGACATGGATATGACTCAATCGTGCTCAAAAACCCACGCAGTTGCCCACTCACACGTACAGAAACACTGCTCAACCTAAAGAGAGGCAAGCTGCGGCTACTATTATTCCTGTCTTGTGCATACCATTATCTCACGCACCCGGCACACTAACTTGCCAACTAGATCTTTATAGTTTGCGACAGGAAAAAATCACCACAGTCACGGTTTTCGTAACGACCAAAAGCCACATATACAAGAATGCAAGGAGACGTTGCTCGACATGTCAAAGACGCATCAAATCATATGCCACCTTGGAGGAAATCATTATGCACCTCCATCGAGTCAAACTATGCTGATGATCAACAGTCAATGTATTGCTCCTTGGCAACTATCAAGCCTTTTGGACGTGTACGTATCATTTCAACAGTATCAAACAAGCAGTTCCAGTGGATTTCGTGATAGTTCGTGGGTGATGACACAACATGAGAGACGTCAACCAGTCAGTCACCTGTGTGATCTCAAAAGTTACTCACAAAAACCACCTCAAACAATTTCTTCCATCGGGCCTAGTCTATATTAACCCCCTGTCAATCGTTATACCTAGGTCGCAAACAGAATTGTATTCTTTCGAGGCTTTTTGACAGACGATCAACCTGAAACTACTGACGAGACTACTACAACCACTGAACAAAAACCACCCGTTGCCGCTGCTACAACCACCGATCAAACAAAAGAAAAAGAAGCCGACGCCGTCAAACCACCCGTATCTTTGGTAGAATCTTTATTAAAATCACTGGGAATCTCATACCCAAACATTGCCGCTTCCAATCTCGAGCATCCGAATCGATCTCCTGATGTATTGAACTCGGTATTGGTCTTTATTGCTGATGCAAGAGCTGGTTCTGTCCAAGATATCCTCAAAGGGTCAAAGTGAGTTGTTGTTCTGACTGCTGCTGTCACCTAATTCTAGACTCTTACCGAAAGCTTTACATCGATTGTTAGGTATGGTGAAGTCTGTTGGTTCTTTCCGCATACCAAGGAACAGTGGAGATTGAGTGGAACTAGTAAGTCATAGAATCGTGGCATGTTTTGCATATTTCCTCGCCTACTTTAGAATTGATGGCAATACCTTCCTTGCAATACATATCTTGCAATGCCTTACTTACGATTCTTATTCAAACAGTTCATGTGGTCATGGCCCCAGATCATCCTTTAACAAAGTCTCACCAAGTTGCGCCTCCTTTCTCGGATCACCCTGAACTATCAGGTACCACGAAAACGCTTACAAGCGATTTATCCCAATTGCCAATACTCATCACCATTCCACGTCTTTAGCAATGATGGACTGGGAAGTCAAACGACTAGCTATATGGCACAAAATCTCAGATCTGCGACGTGCATCTTTTGCCTGGCCTACTCCTGGAGGTGCCAAAGAAGACGCTCGCACTCCATGGATTAAGGACTTGCCAGCATCACCTCTGCCAGACTCACCTTCAGACTCTCCAGCAGCTGGTGGACATAAGCAACAAAAGCCAGCTGATGGGCAAGCAGCACTAGCTCCATCAACTATCGCAGATCCAAATGCAGATATTGTATCTCCTGAACCGCATCACCATCACCATGCGGCTCATCAACATCAGAAAATGAGGGAATATCAGGGTCAAGCTCTCAAAAACTTTTGGTATGCTTATCAAGGGAATTTCCTAGTATTTTTTTGGCGTTGGACTAATTTACATCTTTTCAAGTCTGTTGTTGCTTGAAGTGGACGGTGCAGATCTACTCAAATTAGCGGCGATACCACACTCTCGAACAAAGTTCCGTCGTGGAATGTCACCCTTGGTGTCAGCAAGCCACAATGTTGATATTCAAGCCCATCTCTCATTGGAAAACAGTAGCAGTGGAGCATGGTCCACCTTTGAGACCAATCCTTGAAAGAGATAGGAGAGATGTTGGTATTGCTTGGATTGAGGATTGGAAACATAAAATAGTAGTATATCAAAAAAGCGATTGGTTGGTATTGCTAAACACAAAAGAACAACATAGTTTTTGCCCTTTTTTACCAAATAAAGCCTTTGAATTATATGTAACCACAAACAGAAAGTGTGTGCAATGGGGTTTATCTACAAATGCGCTTGTCGCCTAGTATCTCTTTCGTAATCGTTCATTCTCTGCAGTCAGCCTTCTAATCTCTTCAACAAGTGGCTCAACTGGAGAATGTTTCTTGACGAGTGCTTCCATTTCAGCCTAGTGGTTGACGAGAATCGTTAGGATCCAAAAGAGCCAAATAATCCACCAGACAATTAAAGATCATACCCTTTGGTTTTGAAACTCCTTCAACATTTCCAAATGCATATTCTGTAAATCATTCTTGACTTGACGTTTAAAGTCACTTAATGCATCGTCTATTACTGATTCTATAAGCTGGTATTGGTATCCTTGTTTGTTTTGTGTTGGTTGTTGTTGGTGTGGTAGTTGCGGTGGTTGTGGTTGTGATGTTTTTACAGGTGGTTGTTGTTGATCTATGTGTTGTTGTATTGGTGGTCGAGGAGCTGGTGGTTTATTTGATGAAGGTGTTGTCGTGGCGGTTGGCTGTTGTTGATGTTGGAATGTGGCAGTTTGTTGTGATTGTTGTTGTTGTTGTTGACTAGATCCCGTTACACCAGTTCTAGTTGATCTATTCGTGTTCGATAGTGCTGCATCTGTTATAGCACTACTATTACTATTCGATTTGGCTGCAGCAGGGACAGCTTTACCAACCAATCCACCATGATGATGCTGACTTCCATTTGTAGACTGTGTATGATGATCATGACGATGACTCTGATCTGCAGCAGCTCCTGATGATGACGAAGACGTCGCAAATGCGACTCTTCCACTCCTCCCGTCCGGCAGACTCTCAGCACTTCTGCTACTCTTCATTCCGCTACCATTACTAATAGCAGAATCGTGTCGTGTGCTAGCAGCAGATGATCGTGGATCTAATGTAGATGATGTTGGTCCTCCTGCTCTAGCAGTAGTACTCTTTTTGATTTGAAGTGATGATGTGTTGTTGTTGGTGTTTGATGATGGCAATGGAGCTGGTGTAGGACTGGCAGAGGTAGTATCCGGTTCGCTTCGATTTGCTGTACTGATTCGTTGTGGATTTACTGGTGAAAACATATCCATGATGTCTAAGTTAACAAAGAAATATTAATGTTTGGATGTTGTTGCTGCGAGTGTAAATGCGACTGACGTTGAGTCCCAAGAGTAGGTTTATCGAGTCTATTAGATGCATGTCGTTCCATTCTAGCTGATGACTGTTTTTGTTCAAATGGAAAGCGTAGTTCTTCGCACGTTCCCTGCAACTTCTTGTTGTTTGGAAACCGATGGCACAAAAGTCGACTTGAACCATGGCTGCTCAGGAGGCTCTTACACTCCTCGACGCTACAATCGGATGATTTTATATATTATTCAATGACTATAACAATAATAACTTATTTTTCACACGTGCGCAATAAGTAGTGTTCTAGATGTGTGTGTTTTCCAATCTCATTGATCCATCACTAGCAGTAGCAAGCAATGGTCCTACATTCATTTCCTTCCATGATGACCAAACAGCTTCAACCTTGTCTCTCGAAACATCATTGACCAAAATGCAAAAGATGGCATCGTAACCTCCAGCTATGTAGGTATGATTGTTGGTGTTAAAGGGTTAACAAAACAGAGATCGAAAAAAGTTGCTCGAATTACCTCCAGGCACTCCAGCCATGAGAACACCAGGTTGCGATTGACACGCATCTAACAAACGTGTTTGCTCTAGTGGTTCAACAGCAACATTTGCCAATCGGCTCATTTCTCGAAGACAGTGACGAACATCCTAATCAGCAAAATATCGTATAATCACGTCAAACAATAGACTCTCTTCTGAGATATATCAGAACATTGCCACTACCTGAAACGACTTGTACACATCAAACAAGGCCTTGATGATGATGGCCTCTTCCGCCATTGCCTTCTTTGATAAGACATCCCACTAAACGAGGAGGTCAATTCAAATTGTCATCTCACGTTTTCCCAGCACTTTTTTTGCATACGCATACCTCATTAGCAGGCACACGGGAACATGACGATATGGCCCAATTATATGACATTCCTCCACTCTTTTGCAATTCCACCATATACCGAAGTCCAGCTTCGACTTGCTGGTTTTTTGAGTGTAATTCATTCCATAATGAATCGGCTACAGGTAAAAAAAATGGATACATAAGCTTACAAAATGGAGTATTCCCAAACCAGCATCTCCGTCTGATTTCAACTTACCTTCATCAGGTTTTGCCTTCCTCCAGGCCAACACTTGGGACACCAATTTCGGGGTACTGCTGCCAGCATCAATATCAGCCAGCATGAGTCTAAACCCAGCTGGCAACTCAAACGGTACATCAACATCATCCCATTTATCAGTTGAATTGATAATCGACAATAATTCATCGACATTGATTGCATCTTCACCACTAGCCTTGCTCTTCTTCCCATGTTCTTCCATAATACCATCAATAACAGTGGGCGAGAATCGTTTATACGAATGTGATCCTCTTACAGCAGCAGATACATCAAATCCTGACCCGACTTTGCCTTGTGCAAGACAATGGGATAGTTGAGCGAGATTGTGTATGAGTGTCATGTCTTTGGGTTTTGATGATGAGGTCATGTCTACAGCTTTAAAGTGGGCTAGTAGAGCGCCGGTGAGGGACGCAATCATGGCAGCTGATGAGCCGAGTCCTGTTTTGTGAACTTGGGATAGTGTGGTATGTGTCGGACAAAATGGAGGTAGTTGTTCTAGTGATGCGTATGATAGTGGTAGCGATCGTTTTGATAACTAATACGAGGGTAATTTTTAAAACAAATAAGTAAATTTCAGAGCAGAAAATTTCATCAGATTCGGTGACAAACCTCTTCACGTTGAGAGTAAAAGTCATTGTGTCCACGTATCGTGATATCTAGTCCATCAGCAAGTATACGCGCATATTCCTTTGACAGAAGAGAACAAGCAGCCAATGCATACCGCACCGTAATCTCCAAGTATCCATTCGACTTTTGGTTGGAGCTGCAACAAAAGGAATCAGACTATCACGACACAGATCAAGCATAGCTTCCAAAAAAAACCTGATAGGCCTCAAATTAAACCCATTTTCAACTTGATATTCCCAGTATCCATCCAGGAACTGTGGGCTCTTGACGATAATCAGGTTGTTTGATGATCGTGATGAATGGCTTAATGGTTGTATACTGCAGTAGAATCTTGATGAAGTGGCAACCACCAGCCCTGAATATGCACGATCAAGTACCAGGTAGCCTCCCGCAACGAGCACTTTACCGGGTGCTGACATGACACTATGGTGTGTTTAATTGAAAAATTGCAAGCTGGAAAATGAGACAGGTAGAGCTGATGACAATGAAAGGAATGCATAATCTTACGTGGTAGTGTCCATTCTAACGACTGACGCCTCGCTCTCCAAGTGATCACCTAATTAAAATGGGTTGGAGACAATGAAACCCAGTAGAAGTTTGGATTGTTTGATGAACGATAGATAGGCAAGCAATTGGAAGGACTTTTTTGGTACACGTTTTAAGCAGTAAATTCCGTTCTATACTACACATTTAACATATTTAGTATATATTTATATATGCCAGATACGTAATGTCCCGTCAGTGCTAATCCAAAGTTCTTCATCGCCAATTAGCCTTATACAAGAGCGTGACGGCTTCTCTTCGGCGACTTGCTTTTGCATCAACAGATTTCCATTGCGTAGAGACCATGATCGTAGATATCCATCATTGCCAGCTTTGTGTATTTGAACAAGAAGATGGTCAGAACGCAACACCAATGCAGCGAAAGGCGACCGCACTAGCATACCTGCAAATACCACAGACTCCATTTCATCAGTGACAAATCGCTTCTGTATACAATATGTCGAGTCACCAAAGTCCAGCAACGGCGCTGAGGCGTTGCGACAATCCCAAAAGTGAAGCTTTGTCGAAATTAATGTTAGTTCATTTGAGGATGTGGCAATTCCTTGGCTATTTTGTTGTACCTTGCCATCAAAAGTAGAAGTCAGCAATCTAGTTCCTCCATTCAAGGCCTGTATACATGTTACAGCAACGTCATGCCGAATGGTCGGATTCTTTGATTTAGACGTCACTGGACGGCGATAATCTATGCCTCGTTGAACACGTAAATCAAATAATGCTACGCTTCCGTCTCGACAACCACAAAAGACTTGATTCGCCTAAAATTGAGAGTGTCAGCTGCTGCCACCATATATGACTTGTACATTTTTGTGCCGTTACTGTATCATCGAAAGTAAGGGCCAGAGCATCAGATGGCGTATAAAATGCTGAAGGCTCGTCTGGAAGCAAATGCACATCAGAGCGCACAATCACTCCTGATGACGTGCCAATGGCAAACTTTGACGAATATTTTGCGGTTGCAGAGGCCCATATCATTGTAGGCCGAGAAGGTTGACACCGATACAAGATTTCTATCGAAAACGGTTGTTTCAGTTTCCACAGCCAGTGACAAGGGAGAACGGAAAAGTCCAATACCAGGATATTCATCATAAAATCCTGGTCGATATTTATATATTTCCACACTGCCTGATACTTTTCCATATCCGAGCGTTGTTAATCTATATCATATACGAGAAGTGAACAAAACGAGTAACTGCAAGTTACGATTTATTCCTTACAGTAGGACATCTACGTCCCGGAACTGTGAGAAACGAAGTGAAGAGACTTCAGATATAGAGGTAGGGTATCCTCTCAGCTCTCCCAGACTGTCTCCATTCGCATTCATGAATCTACACCAATAAAGCTTGTCAGGGGAAGTGTTCTGATCTGAATAGCAACTACCAAGCACACTATTGTAACCTAACGTGATTCCAAAATGGACTCGTTAAACAAACCAGACTCTTAGTAGGATGCACATCAAAGTCCGAAATTGTATTCTCGGCCTTCAACGTTTTTCTTTGGCGAAGGTACTTGGACATGCATTCCCACGCACTATACAGGAAAGGCTTAAGCATGAAAAAATGGGCTGAAACTGACAATTCGATAACTTACAGCTGTTTCTGTATGCTTGAAACGGAATGCTCACGCTCTTGAATAAACATTGGTAGGGATGCGCCCGTCTTGCGATGAGTAACACGTCCAATACTCGTCGACGCATACTATATAATAGATCAGAAGAGTCAGGATACCAGATACGTCCATAATGCCTATTGAAATCATGCCTGTTCATCTTCTCGAATTCTCAATGCCAATCTAGATCGTTCGGTCTCTTCCGTTCGTCTTTGTATAGAAGCTTGCGAATATTGGGATGTAGCCCCGTTCGTGGTCGTGATCTTGAAGTACTTTCTCTTCTCAGCATCCTATGAAATTCCCAAACGAAAAAAAAAAAAAGTTAGATCAAGCAAAGCTTGATCAGTGAAACTTCTCACATAGAAATAGCCTGGTATCTGCATTATGCCATTACCGGCCACTAGGATCCGTCCTTTGCGCTTTCACGGAGGCTGCTTAGGCGAGGACCCAAAGCAAAATCAAGGAGATATTATGGACACAATCGGCCATAAATCGAAACTAGACCAGTTTCCTTGTCTAAAATGGGATTATATTTCTTATACACGAGAATTTGATACTACGGAGGTTCTATCACAATAAATTTATATGCAGGTACTCAAACGATTGTATGTGGCCTATGGTACGTCGTTTACGTGTGGTGATGGGTACTATGTCGGAAGAGGATCTGAAGGCCATACTATATATGTTAGGTCTTATAGATTGGAGATTGTGGCGGGACGGGACATTCTTCCCTCCACAAGAGTTCGCACTTCGTCGTTTGATACAACGATTAAGCATGTTCTAGAGGAGACGAAATCGCTAATGTTAAAACCCATACAAAACGACTTAGTGTCAAACAAAGTACGGATTGTTGTAAGAAAAAACATCAGACTTACGAATCAATAATACCGGTGCGACCGTTGTCGAGCCGCCTTACTCTTGATACGCTAATGAAATACGTTAGCAGTTACTCGAATATATCCATTAAATTCATGAGCTTACCAATCAGAAACATCCAAAACCTCAAAGTAGTCACCAGCAGTATATTCAAGACAATCTAATACACCAGATGCAGCAGACACGGCGATGGCAAAGCGAAACGGAGAATAGAATTCATTTTTATAGATGGTGCTTACGGTAGTAGTATAGCTAGTAGTGGCGGCAGCGGCAGTGTTGCAGTTGTTGTTGCATGCTTGGTTCAAGTTGATGTTGCTGTAGTAGGTGAGCTCTTCTGGATAGACCTTGAGCAAACTACGGGGCACCATACTAGCGTTTCGAGATTCGTTTTTGGCATCCTTTTTGTTGCTCTTCTTAGCATTGACTTTGGCAGTATCCTTGTGGTAGGAATTCCCAAACTGTTGTGGATGCTTGGTAGAAGTTTCGGAGATGGCAAAGATGGTAAAGACGGCGAGTAGTGCACTAATGATGGATGCCATGATGTATGATATATCTCTTCCTCCTATAAGTGCCTGCTTCTCTGGTCTCCTATTGCACTCTTTGAACGTTGTTGATGAAAAAAAGTGGTCGATATCACGAGAAGCGGGCAGGCGTTGACTTCCGGACAGAAACAGTCGTTTGGCTGTCAAAATCTGCTCCACGAATGAATTTACGTGGCAATTATTGCTGTTGCCTACAGGAACATGTTTCCATCTGGAGTGCGTTTGGATATCAAAAATTGACAGGCAGAGGCCCGGGAATGCCTTCAAGCTTCTTTTCGTCGCGGTGAATTGTGGAATCAAGTTCAAGACCAAACAAAAAATTCAATTCACGAAAGTGGAGTTGATCCCCTATGCTATGTACTTGGTGTGTTTCTCAACCCCTTAAACAATAAGGCACAAGGTTTATACAAAACGCCTCAGATCTTGTGCCGGATCTACTCCAAGGAGCTACTAGTGATAGCGGTATGTATACTGCTGTTGATCTGTTGAAATTTGAAATCCAATCACTGGCTAGCTAGCTAGTTGAATCGAAATCTCTAGCACTTGCCGTGATTCAGACAATGCAAGACTCTAACCAAATTCCACTCTAGAAAGCCTGATACCATGGTCCTGGTTACTGGACCACCAGAAACAAAAGCATACTACTGTGATCATTAGACTCCTCTCTAGTGAACAATTTCCAGCACATCCACTACAGAGTAATTTGTAGTGGTGAACCTGACAGGACTCGACAAGGAATGCAGTGCTGCAAATGGTTCATACTGGCTGCTCTGGTTGCGCTAATGGAGGTGGGCTGTGCAAATCCATGTGGTGCTGCGTACACCTGGTTCGTCGATATTCACATATCGGCCAAACTCCTCCCAAACTCCAATTTCTGTTGTCGCCTTGGCCCAACTTGAAGAAGTCGCTTGCTCGTTGTTATGACGAGTTACGTTTCTTGTCGACTAGAAGTTTTTGCTAATTGGCTGTCACTGGTTGTCATTGCAAATCTCTTGAAACATAACAGAACTACTGACTAACACCCACTCTTCTTGAAACGATTAGAACTACAAGACCTACACCCCGGTATGATGTGCATACTTTCATGGTGAGTTTGCTGCTCGTGTTGAAAGCCCTTTGAAGACGTGCTTTTCATTGTGAGTTGAATCTGCTGCAAAATATATGATTGTCATTGTTTCTATCTCTTTTGGACTATCGTTTTCTCTTTTGAATTGCATTAGAACAGTTTTAATCGCATTTAGGCAAACCAAGCTGCCATACTAGTAAAAGGCCAGAAATGTATTCAGGCAAAAACCATTCTCCCCCAGCTGTTATACCACTTAACGCAGTCCCTTCACCTGCCTTGCGACAATCACCAGCAGCTTTAGCTCCCTTCGTCAACCCCAATAACACTGGTACCAAAAACAACCGTGCTGCCATAGTCGCTAGTACGTCGCTACGGTATAGGTCTTGGTATCGTTTGGGCTCGTGAACGCCAGAACTCGACTGTTAGTCACAAGACATTTAAAACCGATAGTTCTTTTGCTCCATCTCCTATTAGCAGCGGATGTGTCGGCTCCGGCTTCTGCCAGGTTATGTATTAAGCTCAAAACATGCGTGGGGGGGTTCAAAGATATTGTAGGTGACAAACGCGAGTCTGTTGATACTTTGGTTAGTGTTAAGGGAAAGGCATCTTTGTAGGAAGCTTGAGTGCTACAAAGAATTCGAAGTTATTTAAATATCCCATGTCTCCATGTCTTCGTATAAACCTGTGTGCTATATTACAACTGATTATGTTATATCCACAAATATACTACCAGCTATCGTACGTGGCATTTCACGGTTCTGATTTCTCGTTAGGCCACAGCGACGCAGTATAACGCAAGATTTCAAATCAAAGATGCAGGCTTTAACAAGGTATATTTAAATAAAGAATAATTTAACGTCTCAGAATTCCTCTACATGAATACGGCGAGTACCCACAGTCTTTACTAACCAAAAGAGATGTTAGATTTCAGAAAATACGGTCACAACACAGCTAAACCAATCAAGCATTCACATTACCTTTCGTGACATGTATCCAGCAGCTTGGCCATCTTTTTGATTCTTGAGGTTGGTAATATGCTGTAATTGTTCACTCATATAGTAGGGGTTGGCTGGAGATCCATCATGTCTCTCAGTGTCTTCACAGAAGCACAAGAAGATGGTATCAACAGCAATATGATAGATGTTCAAGAAGATGGATGAGATCAAGAAGGCTTCAAAGGCTACCAATAAAGCGGGTATAAACATAAAGTGGAGCTGCAAGTTTGATTCTTGCCAAGTAATTAAAAAGTAGGCCAAGAAGCCCATTCCGATGGTAATTACGAGACGACCCATGATGATGACAAAGTCGGCCACAAAGTTTACAGCTACTAGTCTCAAGCAGTTACGGGTGAGCAGACCAAATGCTCGACCAGCAGACTTGAAGAAGGCCTTTCCGTATACGGCGATTTCGATATAGGCTTCCCTGTTTATAAACTTGACAATCTTTTCGATGCATCCCATACAGCATTGAGTGCAAGCTAACAACCATTGCGCAGTCTTGTTTTGAGAAGCTTTAGCGGTATACTGGGCCTTGAATAAAAAGAATCGAATGGTTTCGACAATGGTAAGGAGTAATCCACCAAGACAGACAGATCCCAAGTGCCAAAAGATTGCGCGGAAGAAGGATCTAGTTACTGGCAATACTGGGAGAGCACGTTTGTCCCTGCACCAATACCATGAGGCGATACCACCAGCCAGCGTTATTTGATTGATACCAGAGATGACTGCCCATCCCCACAAGCAACCTACAAGATGATACCAGCCCATACCAGTGGAAGCGTTGGTAGCCGAGAAGGTGTATACACTGAGGGTGACTGGAGCAGTGGGACTGGCAATATATAGGAGAATGTAGACAAAGTAGACCATCAAGACGGCGGTAGCACCCCAAGTCCAGAAGGGGAAGAGTACTATTATTTGCATATATGTTTTAGTTCACCTGACATCATTCGCGTTCAAGAAGAACCATCATAAGACACTTACCAATGAGTGGCATCGCATTCATAGCCCGAGAAGCTTCTCGGATGACTTCCACACCAACACGTAATCGGTTACGCATAAAGATAGTCACCAAGAACAATACGACACCCAATACACACATGGCAATAAAGACACCCAGTGCAGCATACATTTCCCACTTGTCGACATTTTGTTGAGAGGCAACAGGGATGGCGTAAAAGGCGGTAGCACGAGCCCTCCAGTAAAAGTAGAGCCAGACAGCAAATCCATCAACGACGACGTTGGCAGCAATGATAGTAATCCAGACAAACAATCCGACAAACCATCTCATGAGGATTAAAAACAAGAAGGAGGATACTAGTGATACACCAGCACCACCTAATATATATGGCCAAGTCTTGACGATATCGGAGATGGCCAATACAAAGTCGCCACGTTCTGAAGAGACTAGAGATTGTAGGGTAATGTTTGTTCCACCTAGACTGATACTGAATGATGAGGCAGCTGCATTCCAGATATCGGCAGATACATTTGCCGATGGCATGCAACGGTTAAGTACGATGTCCGACTGGTATGTGAAGGCAGAGCAGAGTCCTGCAGATACGGCAGTAGATAGAGTGGATAAAGTCAATGGAAGCGTGACATTCATATCACAAATAGCAGTGGTGGTAGTGGATATAGCGGTGACGGTGGGACATGCAGCCACACAGACCGAGTCAGTGGTGAGAGGAGACAATGGGTTAATGTAGTATAGATATGGATAGTTGGTCAAGTCCGCTAGACTTGAGTTAATAAGGGCATTGTTCCAACCACAGTATTGTCCCTTTGAGTCTGTTGGAGCACTACATGAAATGAAGCGGGATATGAGTCAGATCAGCTTTCTAAATTTGAAGAACCACAGTAACAAAAAAGGAGAGTGAAATGGAATGGATTCTCACATGAGCTTTTGGGGATTTCCTGTCCTGATGGCCAAAGCGGCGACAACAAACATTCCAACCCAGTAGACGATGAATAGGGCCAAGAATATAATGTCCCTGCATCTTCGGTTAGCTTGAGGTCCAATAACCTCTGGATCGTAGCGAGGAGGTTCAGCGCTCACAGGAGACACAGCTCCATCACGTTTTCTTCCCATTATTGTTGAATATCTAGATGATCAAATTTGTAAATAGTTGAAAGACAAGGTCAAAGATGACTTGGCAACATTTCCAGCTTTGCACAGAAGTTGGTCGGAATGTTTCCAAAAAGCTTTCCAAACAATAAAATGATTGGTTGCTTGTGGTAACAAACAAAGAGAGACTGCGCCAAATAAGCGAGCATATTTCCACGACGATACCAAGCACAAGATCCTCTCCAAAAACGTAGTCTCGCCAACAACGACAAATGACCCTTTCATTCCTTCAAAACTCACAAACTCAGCAAATATTCAATCATATTGTAGCCGACGATGACAGCAGTTCAGATATCGCAGCTGGCTTCGTTTCGAGGAATTGGGCCAGACTGCCCTATGGATCTCCAAGTCGCTGGCAATAGTAGCTATGATTTGCAGAAAATAATATCACTCAGTAGGGAAGTGCTAAAGAAGAGTGGAAGCAGCCTATCCGAAGGAGAAAAGCTCAATATACAGGAACAGTTGATGATTGCTCTACTCGAAACTGGCAACGTAGAAACTGCTTTCGACACCTACAATGACATTGCTGCGAAATTCCCTGCTCAGAAATCACTCAGAACTACGGTAGATTCTAGCACTGGAATTCACCGTGCATAAAGTAAACGAGTAATATTTAACAGATTTCGTTTGTATTTTAGAGACTCTTTGGAATGTATCAGGAAGCAACAGGAGACCACGATGCAGCCTTCAAAACATATAAAAGTGCTCTCGACAGGGACGAAACATACCTACCCATCATACGTCGCGTAGTAGGTCTGATGATTGGTCGCGGCCAACGACCACAAGCCATAGAGCAACTCGTCAAATACTTGGACTCGTTTATGCAAGATGCTGAAGGCTGGCTACAAATATCTTCCCTATATCTAGCTGAAAACATGTATGCTCAAGCCTCATTTGCTCTTGAAGAACTCATCCTATTACGGCCTGGAAACCATTTATATCATTTACGTTACGCTGATGTACTGGGTACCATGGGTAATAACGTGTTGGCTCTGAAGCACTATTGCAGAGCAGTAGAACTGTCTACTGATAATGTACGAGGATTGTATGGTATGAGAATCACTATATCCAAATTAATAGCTGCTGTGAAGGTGCCGGGAAAGAGTAGAGGGTCGGATGCTGCTGAAGGGGCTCCGAGTCTAGAAACACTCCTAGACTTGTACAAGCTGACCGAGGAACGCTTGCAAGATGTCTATGGTTCGTCTGGGGCTAAAGCAACCATCTTTTCTATACTCAAAGCATGGTTTAGAAGCTCGCCCATTGTAAAATAAATCTAGCGTCTTACGTTATTCTCCTAAAATACAGCATATTCAACATAGTATCTTTATGAGGTTGATTTACTACATGTGATAATTAAACAAAGCACACTACTTTGTGAGGATTCCTGCATACATGTTTCGTTCTTTGGCAGCCCATGCCAGCTTCTTCTGACGAAGAAGCGTCTCTTCACGACGAATATCAGCCAGGGTATCGTCGGTGTCTTGTAATGTATGCTTGAGTACATATATATCTTGTTCTGCTAGTTCCAAATCACGTCCAATAGCAATATAAGCCTTGGCTCGTCGAAACCTGGCCTTGACATGATTTGGGTCTCGAGTAATCACTGCTGTACAAGATAAGATACTTGACTCGTAGTCTCCGAGCTTTAGAGTACACAGAGCATGATTCAGATGGGTCGATATATAGAGTTCATTATAGTCCTCAAGTGTCACGAAGTCCAATTCGGTTGTAGCGGAGTCAGTCGATTCACTAAGACGGTCTTGACGCAACTTTTCTCGTTCTAGATCCTGTATGGTACTACTTGTCTTTAGAGATTCCAGCAATATTACACTACGTTTCAGTATGGGTAGAGCTTCGTTCCATCGCCCTGCTTGACACAATTCTTTGGCACTGACACGTTTAGCGACGGCTTCATTCCATTTCTCAAGACTAGACATCTCCCATAGCTCACGCTCAAAGTCTTTGGGTGATTTGGCATCAATCAGAGTGATTTCAAACTCGAGTGGTGTAGTTGGGACGTGTATCAGATCCTTATGTTGATTCAATAGGGACGCAAACCCGTGTGCACAGCGAGGAGCACTACCCACTGATTTATCACGTTCCTGCCTTAATGCTAATTCCATCTGCACGTATCCCTACATCGTTGGAACCAGTCAACTTGCTAATCCCGAAACGATGAAAACGATTCAGATTCTTACATCAGTGTAGGGAGGCAGACAGAGGAACTTTGCAGTTTCACCGACACGCATAGTCTTTATACATTCCTCCATAGCAGGGACACTAAACTTCATCCCCATCCGAAGTTCAAACACACTTGATTCTCCAACCTTGACGCGTTTCGGTTTTGATTGTTCAGTGATGGGTAGAGGTATTATATCAGGTTCCTGATGGCATTTTCCATGCGACGATGAGCAATCGTGTTTATGCTCATTTTCGTGGTTACTACAACAAATCTTGTCGGATGATGAATTGTGTTGATGACATTCGTGTTTTGCGACAGGGGAGGGAGATGAGGGATCGTTCGGTGTAGACTCCAAGTCATGAGGTATGAATGTATAGGCGGTATATGCTATTTTGGCATTTGAGCCTCGTTCCCATACAGGGAATTGCTCACTAGCCGTTGTGAGGTTCTGCATCTTGACGATTCCACCATCTGGAGTGACGCGGCAACGAGGAACTATTACTGTAGGTGTCCATACTGGCAATTCAGATGGTTGCGGGGCCAACATCGCCTGGAATAGTTTAGGATCAAACGAAAATGAATTGGAATGTTTTTAAGAGATCTAGGAAATTTGAGTTGTAGTTTAACATAGCAGAAAAGAAATATTCACGCGTCAGTGTATTGAAATTCCGAGAGCTTCATTTCCGCTCGATGCCGTCTTCTCAACACACAGACTCGCGCAACTCAACATCCCACAGATTATAGCAAGGAAGACGAAGCAGAAGCAGCAGCCATTAGAAGTAGTTCTCGTATTGCTCAAGCTGCCTCATCCAAACAAGAAGAGCCCACAGCTGAAGCTTAAAGCTCAGATCTGTCTAGCGATGAAACTAATGTAGAAGCAATGCTGGCCACTGATAATGATGATCAAGACGATACCTATACTGAAGGACCTTCCAAAAATACTATTACTAAAGGTAGCAAGACTCGCAAAATGTGAGGTTTCTTGCCATCGTGTTCTGACACATTGCACCCATCAAACTTACAGGTGAATCGAAGTCGTTCTCATCATGTTTCGCCATATCCTGCTAAGACAAAACGTAGTAATAAAGGAAAGGAAAAGGCTACGGATGTCTAATCTCCTCCCTTGTTGCCACCCGAGATCCTAATTCTCATCTTCAAATACGTCAAGTCCATCTCGACTCTTGGACGGCTTGAACAGTCCAATCACCAATTCTACGACATCATCAAAGGCAGTCGATATTGAAGCTCCAACTCATCCACATATCACATTGAAGAAGGTCTTGTCAAGATCTTGGACAAGAAATGCCATTTTCTGTCCCAATACGCACTCGATACAGCTCTTTGAGTTTGGGTTTCGAGCTTGTGTGCCTTGTCGTGATGAACGGTGTGTTGTTCTCTCTTTGTGTGGGTATGACAAGAAACAAAGCTGTTCTTACGCGCCTCCTTCTTTTAAAGTGTTGGTGGATCAGTTCGTCACTAGTGTTCCTCACGATGCCTTGATCGGTCTGCTCCATACGACAGAGCAATTGTATCGTCGTATCTGGAGGACTTACTTGAAGACCGTTATCGAACAAATCACTGAAGCTTACAATCAAGCAGTCGCTGAGAATAGAGTAGAAGCTTGGACGGAGGAACAACGACAGCTGGGCATTCAAGTTGAAATGGAAGTGGATTCCCTTGAGGTGGCCTTCTACGAGTTTACTGCCCACGTGAAGAATCAAAAGAAATTAGAGCTGGATGCTATTAGGCAAGATCGGGAGAGGGAGATGATCGATCGTTGTAATGACATGGTATGTTACTGCCCTTCGAGACTGCAGCTTTTTGTCTTCTCACATGCAAGAGTATATGGAGGACGTATAAATTTAACACTGTTACGTTGCGAGTGTTACCTGCAAAAGGGAACTCTTCGATGAATGCGATGTAAATAGCCGTCAAGTTTTGCAACATTTGTCTTTTCATTGGACTGCTTTTGTCCTGCTGATCGTGTTCGCTCAAAACTCAGACTCACTTTGCTCAGCTCTAGGTCCAAGCCTCCGGAACAGTTGATGAGCACATCAAACTAATCCGTATCTAGTTCTTACTCGATCGAAGTAGTTAAGAGGGCCGCATTTCCAGCTGGACAAGGTGTTAAGGTGTGTTATTGATCTGCAGCGATTTGGTTGCAGAGATGCCAGCATAAATCGCTATTTGGTGGTTGTGAATATGTCATCATAACTTTAATGACATGAAATTAAGTCTTCTCTGCTCTGTTTCTCGCCTTTCTTATTGTTTATTGCCTGGAACATGTCGACATTAAATGTGTTTTCTGACCGACTTGTCTTTTAATAGATAGGCACATAATAACAACGGCATATGATAGCACTACTATAAAGAATTCGAACATGGATACTCCTCCTCGTCTATATTTACCCGTACCGGTTCTCGATTGCATCATCGAGTATACCGATGCCCAAAACATCTTATATGCAGCAGCTTTGGTATCAAAAGAACGGAATATGGCAGCAATCAGAAAAGTGTATAAAACCGTCGACATTTGTTGTAATGGCTTTATGGGGTCATTGAACTGGATACTTCAAGCCCCGTCGCCTTCCAACCCAATATACAGCCAGTTCCCGTTGAATTATGCGAAAAATCTCATTGCACATACATGGCCAGAAAACGCGGTCCAGGAGACCCGTCCTGTTGTAGGAAGGAGCATCAGATCATGTTCTGTGAACCTAAAGTCACTCGATATAAAAGCAGACCAGCTCTCCTTATTGGATTATGTATCAACGTCTTTAGTAGCTTTGACTTTACATACAGCTTCTGACGAAGATATGAAAACCTCACGCTCGGTCTCGGCCACGCTAGGTCTAGATTTGCTGCCAATCGTCCCAACTTACGTGCATTCGATTTACTGGTATAAAGGAAGCGCTGAATAGATGGACTCTGTGTAGCTGAATAGTAGAGCTCCCTTACAGTCTAGACGGTTCTCGTTTTACATCGTTCGTTTGTTAGGACGATCTTCATCCAGTTGAGTCGTGATGGCCTGGACAGGGACTACTTTGTTTGGAAACGGAATAACGGATGGCATTCCAAGAAATTTTCTTAATAAAGTTACATTCAGGAAGAGGAATACAACTTGCTGATGAAACCGCCTCGTACATTGTTATTGCCTATTCGTTTTCGTGGTACTATCAATGTCAGTCTACAGACGTACAATCGGCACTCGATTTCGTCGAATCCACTGCCGTATCAACACTTGTGCATGACTTTGAAGTAATATTATTATTGTCGCCAGACAATCCCCTACACAAATACGATTAAACTCCCTCGCCCACCACCCTACTTAATCAGTTCCTTCAGCACGATCCAAGGCATTCCTTATTTCCATTGTGAGACTGGCAATTGCTGTGTCAAATTTGTCCAAATTGTCTTGGACGTAACTGAAGTCTACGTAAAGCAGCCCGGCGGTAATCATATCAACTAGGGGGCCCGGTGAATAGCCATTGGATATTCGGCAGGGTACAATAGGCTTTCGGCGATGTGCAGCAAAAGCAAGTTCTCGTTTACAATTGACACTCCTCTATGTATCAAAGACTGAATGAACTGACTCTGACTCTGACATAAAAGCACGAGGGCTTTGACAAATTCAAGCCGCTTACCTCATATCCAGGAGATAGGATTGGACAAAAGATTCGGCTTCCACTGACCGAATTGGCCATCCACTCTAGCATGTTCCCGCTGAGAGAAGAAACATCCATACACAGCTTGAACCCGTGGTCTTCAAGAGCCTCCTTTATTTGCAGCACAGTGTCCTGGAACTCCCAGCTAGGAAGGGAATGTTAAAGTCTGGGTGCTGCCGATTGCCGGTGTAGTCAAACTTACTGGTAACTAATGAACACATCCCACTCTTCTTGGGGAGGCGTAATGGAGGACCGCATTGAGCCACCGCTCAACGAGAATTGGTATTTCCTCCGGGCGGAAATGAGTGCGGGTGCCAGCCTGCAAACGAAAGTGTCAAACACAATTTCAGCAAACTTCAATCAAGCGCAGAAGAGATCGTAACTGGGCAACCAACGATGGATCGGGCAACATTAGAGCCTGCAGGCTGTAGATCTTGGCCATGATACTTCGGATAGAAGTGTTTACCATGTTGCCTAAAGGTAACTCGTCCGGAAAGCGTTCGACCGTAAAATCGTCGAAAGGCTCCAAAACATTCCTCTTAGCACCGGCGATGGTGTATACTGTTGGTCGTCCGACAAAGATAGGTACCACCAGCTGCCCAGTGGTCAAAGTGGTTTCCCACTATTATTGAAAGTACATTTCTCTGAATTTTGTCAATTTACTGGTAATAAAAGTACAGAAATCTGGCTGAAATGGGATCAAAGTCACTTTACCTCGAGCAGCATGTTGTCTTGGGTCTGGTGAGCTTTTAGGACACCTCCCAAGGACCTTTCCGAGCATAGCAAAATAACCACTTTGGAGGCATGTAAAGCAGCAAGGAAGCCTTCCTTCCATGGCAACCCTGGGGCGAGACAATTATAATCCAAAAAGGCGTGGGTCGACTTGCCAGTCACGAACTGTTGGTTGAGGATTCTGGCCAGGGACATTGCAAGGGGTTGATCCGTGCGTTGACGGTAGCTGATGAAGAAATCATGCTCCTTGAAACCTATGTCTGGGTGTTATCATCATATTTGTTTTTTGATTTGTTGGACTTGGAGTATAATTTGCCTGCAACACATCGCCAGTCCGGAGCCGATCCACTCACGCGCTCCGCGTGCTCCTCCGCCATCGCTTGCTCCAGCGCTGTTCACTGGCAGTACGATGTTTTAGCTACTCTAGTGTATGAAAGATGAGTGCTCAGCCCTGTTTGAGTGAAGATAAAGACGGTGTTATCAGATCGTCTATAATACGTCCTTCTTCAACCTACTATTGCTCTTGTCACCGAGGTACCTAGTTAGTAGTCCACAGGCTGATTGCCACAAGGATTGTAAAAAGTAGGCCAACTTTGTGTTTTGCAAACGCAAAAAAAAATACGAGAAAGAGAGCACAAAATAGAGACCTTGCGCAGACCCATTTTTATGTAAATAGCTGAAGTAGGAAGGATTGGAAGGAATATTATATGAGCCAAAGGAGAGGAATTATATTCATAACCCTGGTTCATAACATGCGTGTTGTCGCTTTCGAGCTTTGTCTTGACATCTATTCACACGCGAAAGCTAACGAGACCTTGCACATTGAGACTGCCTTTGCTTGTTTGGCGATAGGTACCAAGTCATCAGGTACGTAAGTTTAGGCTTGATATGATAATTTAGCTGTTGAACCTCGTTCTCCTACTGGAAATTTGCTGACAAAATCGAGCGTGACTGTAGACGAGTTACTTTGCTGCACGTACCAGCAATCAAGCCACCAATTTGCAGATCCCTTCGTCTACGAAACTTTAAAATAAGGCTCCTTTGCTCCCTCTCGCGCTTTGACAAATGGTAAGTCATCAAAGTCATCGCATTTGCTCAAGTTGCTGCTGAAGTTTCTATTGCCATTCGATGAACTATAGCCTGAATTACCAGAAGTAGAACGTGCTCGCAAAATAATTCACGGTTTTTGTGGATGCAAAGTCTTGAAATGTCTGACTGTAGAAGACTCGCTAGTATTTAGTGGAATATCACATACAGATTTCGCTAAAGCTCTTGTTGGACGAACGATTACATCGACTGGAAGACACGGCAAGAACTTTTGGATATCGCTGGATCAAGCTCCTCACGCTGTAATGCATTTTGGAATGACGGGGTAAGCGGGAACGTGGAATGCCTGCAGTGTTTAGATTTAAATTGACGTCCATTTTTTTAGCTCTATTCTCGTCAAAGGTCAGAAAGGACTCGAATATAAGGACTTCAAGACAGACTCTGAGACTTGGCCTCCTCGCTTCCACAAATTTATTCTTGTCTTGTCTAATGGCAGCGAACTCGCCTTTGCAGATGCCAGAAGGCTCGCCAGAGTCAGGATTGTAAACGATATTTTGAATGAGCCTCCAATATCCGAACTCGCACCAGATGCATATTTGAATCCCCCATCGCTACCCGTCTTTCTTTCACAAACGAGTAAACGGAATGCACCAATCAAATCTATACTGCTTGATCAGAATGCTATTGTTGCTGGTATTGGTAATTACCTTGTAGATGAGATACTTTACCAAGCACATGTGCATCCGGGCCAGCATGGTTCTGTGCTTTCAAAAGAAGAGGCTGGCAATATATTGACTAAGATGGCGGAAATACTCAAAGTCGCTGTTGAAGCGAATGCTGACTTTCATCAATTCCCACAAGACTGGTTATTTCATCACCGGTACGTCGTCTATCGGAATAAGAACCATCAACAATTTTGACTGAAGCGTTGTATTTAGATGGGGTAAAGGCAAGGGCAAGTTGAGTGCAACATCTAGTGGTCAAAAGATTATTTTTGAGACTGTTGGTGGACGAACCAGGTAAACCCATACTCGCTTTGAACAGATGACGGTCTAATGATGCTCAATGCCCTCAGCAACATCTAGTGCCATTGTTCCTGAGGTTCAAAAGCTCAGGAAGAAGAAGAGAAAAGCTGACGATGATGGTGCTGATGAAAACGAAGAGGATGATGAAGATGATGCAGAAGAGCCATCTGAAGCAAAAGAGTCCCTTCCAAAACAGAGAAAGCAAAAGGCTCCCGCCAAAAAGGTTGGATATTAAGTTTGCGATTATGTCTATGCAAAGGCTCACTGGTCAAGACTGCCCACTTCCTTAGAAGGCTAAAATAACCAAGAAGGGAAAAGAAGTGGTAGAAGCAGAGGTTGTGAAAGAGGAGGTCGAGGACTCTGCGTTGATTGCTGAACATTCAGAGGTCGCTGAGGTCCCAGTTCCTGTATGTTGTAGTTCTCCATATTTCCATTATCCATATTATCTCACAGTGATATAAATATTAGAAGCCTGTCCGCGGTAGGAAGAAGAAGGTGGACACTGTAGTTATCAAAGAATCTGTTATCAAAGAATCTGCTGCTACTACCACAAAAATCAAATCCAGATCAACAAGGTCAACTGTTTCAGCAAGCAAGAATGTGAAGGAAGAGGTTGAAAAGGAAGAGGTTGTTGTCGAGCAGAAGGTAATTCGTAAGACTCGAGGCAAAGCAAAGGGCTGATTTGTTAGATATACAAATAACGTTTCCTTCTCTAAAATAAATTGCTTGTCTATACCCGTATACACTCGAGCCGATTTACGTAGTCAGTTTCGTTTTTATTTCTTCAGATTGTACAGAATTCTTTACTACAATTGAGCTTTTTGTTTGGCAACTGCATCGTCAAGAGCAGTTGGAATAAGATGCTTCAACACGAAAGCATATTCAGAGCTGTACTCCAAAAAGGCAGCGTATCTGCCGCTGGAGCCAAAGTGTCCGGCACCCATTTTACAATCAAACATGATTTCCTAAAGAGGTTTCTTGTTGAGATCCAACAAAGAAGACAATGTGACTGGATATTCGTTTTCAACTCACATGGTCACCATTCATTTTCATATCTCGCAACTTGGCTACCCACTTGGCAGGCTATGCATTGGTTAAGTTGGATTAGTTTCCATTCGGTCATGTCTCCAACAAAATAACATATGCCACCAACCTCCCAGTATGCAACCCTTGGGTCATTCAAGCCAGCCTTAACCAAGAGGTGAGGGAACTATCAAGAAGACATGGTCAAGTTTAATTATTTGAGATGCAAGAACCCGAGATCAAGAGATACCTGAGCTCCTGCAGGGACATTATCGTAGGGAGAGTACGAAAGCATGTAGTTAAAGTACTCGATATCGTTGGGGTCACCCCACTCTTCACTACGAGAAGGGTAGCAATTTAGAATGAATGGCGTAATAATATGTAACTTAGCTTGAAAGGGAGCACTCACTATTCGTTTACTGTCAAAGGAATGCTTGGATCCTACATTCGCGAAGTCCCGTTAATTGTTGAGTAATTGAAAGTCTTCTCCACAACTCTTCGAGTTACCATCATGGTGTTGATGACATCGACGAATGGGACGCCTGCCAGTGCGACTTTACTGATGTCCGGTTTGAGATTGAGCACTGCGCCCATCAAAAGTCCACCAGCGCTTCGCCCCTCGATTGCCATATTTTCGTGTGTTGTTATCTTCTCTTTGACAATGTAATCAGCAGCCAAAACAAAGTCTGTGAATCTATTGGGGTTTGAAAAAGTGGTGTAAGCATCGTAGAAATCCTGCTGCTTCGACTTATAGCAAGCAGATTTACGAAGCTCGAGCAGAGGCAGGCAGGTTTACAAACTCTATGGCGCTCACGTGTTTTTCTTGTTCAAGAATTTCCCAACCTCATACCAAGCTCTGCCACATTCACCACCACCACGTATATGAGCTATACAATACACGACACCTAGGGGTTTGTTGTTGTTGCAATGAAACATGGTGCTAAAATGTAAATTTTTGGGGTTGTGACTGACCGCGATCCACATACGAAAAAATCTTTTGGTTGAAGTCAGGGTCAATGCAAATTCCATAACTACCATATCCATAAAGAAATCCTGGAGAAGAACCATCTAAACAACAAAAGCAACTTTAAGTCACAGGTTTGAATAGTAAGCCTTTCCATACTGAAGAAAAAACGGATTCGCGACTTTGCATCGACATGTCAAACCTTGTTTGAATTTATCCTTTCTGAAAATGACTGAAATAGGGATTTTATCAATCACTGGAGTATCATATGGTGCAGCTACTTGATATTCTGGAGGTATAGGAGCCCAAAGTCGTTTAGTCTCATACAGACTAGGGTCAAAGTTGGGACACGGCTACAAGAACAGCAAAAAGATCTTTATTAATTCAAAAGGTGGCTGGATCGTTGTCTACGGAGAAAAATGGCCCTGTTAGCAAGCTTACAGTTTGCTTCAAAAGTTTCTTCTCTCTGGTCTTCATGTCGTATTCCAGGGATTGGGGAGGATTGATTGGCGTTGAGAAGGAGAATCGAAGCTTTGACGAGTGAAATTCTTGGACACCCGAATCCGCTTGCATCGTGAATAAAGCGTCGGTGACTCCAATATAATGCTGTGGCGAGGTCGAATCAAATCTTCCAGATGCGTTGGTTTCCAATACTCGAATACGAGTCAATGCTTCAGATCGTTCAGTAACTGTCATAGAACGACGTTAAATTAGTTCCTTCATAAGGGACGAAAATTTCAAAACTCAAGATTTCAAAACTCACTAACTAGATGATCTGCAAACGGAATAACAGAAGTGAGATACTTAAATGGATCGTATGGTAATACGTCTACCCAATTCTCGACGGAAGTTGCATCCTAAAAGTAGTCGTGTGAGCCACTCCACCTACAAAAATAGAGATCGCGACTTGGACTCACCAATGGGCAAGAAACCAACTTGTAGTTCAAACATTTCAAACCAGCATTCGTCAAGATCAAGAAGCGGTCATTGTGATGGTCCACTTTGTACTTGTGTTTGAATTCTCGAGGTATAAACTCCTTCATCACTGGATTGGCATCATTCAAGTCCAAGACCCAAGTCTGCGACGTCAAGCTGCTTGACGATGTGATAAACATGAATCTTTCTGACATCGATTTACGAAGGTACACCGAAAACTTCTCATCTGTTTCCTCATATAATTTCACATCGTCCACCGTTGGAGTTCCTAATACGTGTTTATAAACGGCGAACGATCTGTGGATACTGTCCAAAGTAGTGTAGTAGAGGGTCTTGTTATCATTAGCCCATTCTACATCACCAGATGAGTTGCCAATGGCATCAGCTTCATAGATATGTCCAGTAGCTAGATTTTTGAAGTGGACCGTGTGGACTTCATCGCCAGCGGTATCCAGAGCATATGCCAGCATGGAGTTATCCAAGCTCTGAGCAAGGCCGCCCAAAGTGACATAGTCGAATTTCATCAGGTTGAGGTCGAGATATACTTCTTCAGGAGCTTCCAAACTTGCTCGTTTTCGACACTGCAGCCGATATTGTTTTCCTTTCTCAGTTCTGGAGTAATAATAATATCCATTTTTGTGGACGGGGACAGTATCCTACAAGAAGTTCGAGTTGTCATCAGCTTTTGTTGGACGTGGCTATTTGATCATCGCATTTGATTCATATGGACGCATGAGTAGCACATACATCATCCTCTTGAATTCTCGAGAGGAATTCATTGTAGACCATGTCCGACAGCGGCTTCAATGGCTCTCTAGTTGCTACATCGAAATACTTGTTTTCCAAGTTCAAATGTTCAATGATTTCTGGCTTCTTTTCCTTATTCATATCCTTCATCCAATGATAATTGTCCACAGGTAATGCCTTGCCATGATATGTATGTATATACGGTTCCTTTCGAGCTACAGGAGGCATCACTTTCGATGACATTGTTCGTCTTTGGTAATCTGAGTTCCAGGTTTGATGACTGATGGATCTAGTGAAAGGAAGGAGACAGCAGTAATTTACTGACGGAATTAACGTTAGCTGTTGTCCAATTCGTCTGCTCAACATACGACACACGCAGCACCAATGCAAGCGAACGTTTACCAATGTCAAAGATTGGGGGTTTTAGAATATTAGATTCTCTTTTATATTTACTTCTATCTACTCGTATTTCCTGTTAACACGTCAATTTATCAATCAAACCTACTAACACGCACGCAGTGCGGTGGGGTTGCGACGTTGCGACGCCGTTTGCAAATGAGACCTTCGTCGTGATTTGTTCCTCTCCATCCTCAACAGAGATTATGTAGCCAAGGTCATCCTCTTGGTAGAAAGATTCCAAAGATTCCCTCATCACTACCTTTTGCCCAACAAGAAATGGCAGAATCGTGGTTCTTAGAAGGAGTTTACTAATACAGAGGTGCAAATCGAACGTCTGATGTTTGATTTCAAGCATCAACTGAGGAGCTTTTACTTGCTTGGTCGAATTCTAACATCAGTGAAGCCGTAGTTGTAAATGTTTCTTTACAACCGCTGCAGATATTAGCTTTGCGTCCATGTTTGATTTGAAAATTTTGAGCTTGGCCTCTTGTTCAGTAAGGCAGAGCGAGCTAGAGAAGTAGCATACCCTCCGCCTATTCTCTACTACGCGAGTCTCTCTGTTGTCGTCCAAGACCTGACGAGTTCAAATTGAAACAGTCGATGCCGCCGTCAAATTTTCAAACCTGTACTCTACTTTTTTTCTATTTGTCTAAGGTTTCCCTTTCAAATACTAAAACACTACCTAATAGACGCTTTGGAGGGACACAACACGGTTCGTCGTCCTCTTCATCCTCTGCATCTTCTCGAGGTATAATCTCAACCACACCATCTTTGCAGGCAAAGTATTCCTCGTCGCAATCACATGCAAAACTAAATATGATGTCACTCATGTCCAACCTTTGAGAATGATATTCATGGCGACTTTAGGATGGATTCATGGCCATTACCCCCCATGAATCCATCATCATGAGTTGTTAATAAATATTGCACAAACCGATTGTACATAAGACATCAAACGTAATCGTGTTGATGTCTGAATGGTTTCCTTGTTGCTTGCATTCTTGCTTGTAAACGTTCCAAATTATCAAACATCCAAAAGTTGGTGTTGACGACTATCAATTTCTCGTTCGATCCACAACTGTTTCAGACCATGCCAACACCTCAGACATCGTCATTTATAGTGTGGGGTCCTACAGATATGGCTCCTCGTTGCCCTTTCTGCAGATGCTGGTATCGGGAAAATGTTTGTGAGCAAACTCAGTATGAGAACGAGGGTCAAACGCCAAAAGACATTATGCAGCCTATAATTTTATTCCTGATGACTTGGAATCTATGGCCAAACCACCGGCGGCAGCCTCGGTGCGTTATCTCGCGCTGTGTGCAGTATTCAAGGGACGAGTGAAGTACAAGCAAGTACAAGGACGCAAGGATGACCGGTGAGTGCACACGTATTACGTTTTCCTTGGTATACAGCTTGTTGTATTTTTTACTTTGTCTGTGATATATGTATTAAACCTATAAGACACCATTCGCGATCTATCTATACTCAACATAAAGCATCACAAACCATCTCAAAGCTCCATTTCACACTCTGATTCATCCTCCTCCGCTTGATCGTCATCAAGATAACGCACACTAACACCACTGTCTTCATAGATTAATTCACGACAACAATCCCCATCAAGTTTGAAAATAAGCCCGTTCATGTTGAGCCTTTGAGAGTGATGTTGAAGGGAGTGTCGTAGTAGCTCGTGAGGCCCATACCATCGTGGCTTCCATTCTTCAGTCAGAGTGCTACCAGCCTTATGTGCTATACAGTCTCTACATGCGAATTCCAAACAGTGCACTGCAGCGTCACAGTCTTCACTTGTGAGCATGTTGTGCACGTTTGCGAAGAAAGGAGAAGCTGCCATTATTGCACCATCTGATACACCGATTGTTGGAGTTTGAGTACCGTGGCATTTTACTATATGTTTCAACATCTCTGCGATGGGAAGGTTCTTTGCTAGAGGGCAGGTACGGCAAGTATACATGTGTCGGTACATACTAGATGGATTTTGCTGGGTGCTTGGCCGTGGCAAAGCAAAATCATCGGGGATTCCGCGATGACTATGTTCAAGAGGATTATGTGCTAGACGACAGATGCTACTTTCGATATGATCCAAGACAGCCTTTATATTCTTAACCAACCCGCTGGAGAGACCACGGACGGTAGAAGGTAGAGACAATATAGAAGGGAACTTCATATCGGTTCTGGCATCATGGAGAATTTCATGGAAGTGTTGTTTGAGATTGACTTCCATTAAAGCCTGTTTTATCAGGTGACGATGGTCCTGACAGTTTTCTGTGGCCTTGTCAACGATGCTGGGCCAAGAGAGACGAAGAGTGGTGAGTCGCTTGGCTAAGGCGTCTGGGTTGAGAGTACGTCCTGATAGAAGTTTAACTACCACATCCTGTAATGTAATAGTGTAAGGAAAAAACTATTCTTCGTCGCCACGACGGCTGGCGGAAATACGACTTACATCGACATAACCGCAATCGTTTTGATGAGATTCAAATAGATGTTGAGTCATATCATTGACTGTCATCAACTTGATGTTCGTCATAGCATCATTACAGTCACTACAATAATATGAGAGAGACGCGAGTTCCTCCTTTGACAGCTGCAACCGATTCATCAATGCTTCTTCTACACGACTTCGTTCTGTGCTTATCATGGATACCCACATGGACACGTCTGTCTTCCAATCCTTGAAAGCAATTTTTGTGGCAAGTTTGTAGACGGATTGTAATAGTGGTTTGAAAACCAGCAAGGTATCCTTATTGGCATTTGCAGTTGCAGGTAAGTCCCTGGCGTGGTCGTTGATGGCTGCTTTTATCGATTCCATACGAGACAGACTTTCCGATTCACGGATACAAGAAGTTTCATGTAATCCCATTTTGGACTAGAACAGATAGAAACGAGGTTAGTACATCTTCATGCTCGAAAAGGGGAACTTAAACATATTTGACTCTTAAACATTTTTGACTCACATGCATTCCAGAGAGCTTGTCGTGGCGAATTCGAAAGTGGGTGAATATGCTTTCGTAACTGAAGTTGATTCCGTATTTGCATTCAAGGCATATATAGTTCAACATCTTTGCTTCATCTTCACTCATTATATCAAGGCTAGCAAGTGCTTGTCTGCGAGCGATAGCAGCACTAGCCATCGTTTGTGCGATGCTCGCACGAACAAAGCTTCGGTAAAATGCAGTTCCACGAGAATAGAAGGCATCTTTATCAATCGAATTGATGTGATCTACGACATGAGGTAGGTCAAGTACTTCCTGAGCGGATGGATAGTCTACACATTCAAAACCGTCTACCATCAGTCGATGATAGGCTGTTTCGATACGGTCTCTGGTTCCTTCACGGTACATGTCATTCATTCTATTCAGAGGTTCAACTAGCTCCGCTTCGAGAGATTCCTTGAGTTTCTTCCAAGCACGATCTGTCAATGGTTTGGCAATGGTCGTCGATTGTACAAAAGAAGGACAATCGAAGAGAATGTCCATTTCCCAGCCCTAGAAATATCGAGTGAGCAACAGAAGGAAAACGATATCAGTGCCACGTCAACTAGAACATAGCGACGATAGCAACATACTACCGATACCAACAATGGATCATTCAAGCAAACATACCAACGCTTCACAACGTTCAATCATATCAGTAACTCTGCCTCGTCTAACAATTGCCATCTCCGTTTTCTTTTCATTCCTGATATGTTCTGCATATAGATACGAGACCCTGTCGAGAGCATACACTTCCTCTTGAATTTGGGCACCTAGCTCTCGTTGTTCCTCCTTCCAAGCCTCTACTCTATTATCATCCACAGCCTGATTGTAAGCTTGAGTGACTTGTTCAATGTCGGTTTTCAAGTAAGTCTTCCAGATACGACGATATAACGCCTCTGTAGTATGAGGTAGACCAATCAAGGCATCATGTGGAACGGTATTGATAAACTGATCCACCAATACTCTAAGATAGGAACATTGCTTTAGATTATTTCATCAAGTCTCGAGTGCAGCAACAGAAGAACGCCTCACCGTTCATGACGACAGGGTACACAAGCTCGAAATCTAAATTCAAAGAGCTGTACTGACCGTTCACGAGGACAGAAATGACATTTCCTGTCCAAGATCATTGACAAGACCTTCTTCATTGTGATATGTAGATGAGTTGGAACTTCAATGTCGACTGGATGCATGTGTCGCTTGACTGCATCATTCCATATGACAGGAGTGTCTTTGATGATGTCGTTGAATTGATGATTAGACTGTTCAAGCCTTCCGAGAGTCGAGATTGAGTTGACGTGTTTGAAGATGAGAATCAGGATCTCGGGTGGCAGGCTGGGAGTAGATTCGACATCCGTAGCCTTTTCCTTTCCTTTATTATTACGTTTTCCTCTAACAGAATATGACAAAGAACCCGATGAGAAGGAAGTCGACGAACGAGGTTACATTCACTTGATGTTGATGTCTACAAGTACAAACCCTTACTTTTTGCGAGGCTTGACAATAGCAGTTTTGGATGCTCCTTCATTATAAGTATCGTCTTGATCATCATGCTCTTCCTCTATCTCCAAATCATCAAGGAAGGCATCCTCAGTCTCTTGATCATCTTGAGATTCTGACGTTGGCACTCGCTTGGACAGAGTTTGAGCTTGAGACAGCCTAGCGCTTCGGCGGTGATTCATAGCTTCCTGTTTATTACTATTTACCTTCTCTTAGAAGTCTGATCGTTCGTTGTTGTGTCTAGTGTTGTTGAAACGCGAGATTTTCGCAATAAGGGACATTAGTATAGTTTGGACGTCAGAGCTCAAAGAATATTATCAGTCCACGTAACTAATACGTCAAACAACCTAGATCCCGTGTGCTTGGTGTATGCTCGATATGCTCGATGTGCACCAAAATTTCAAACGTCCGTCATGAGCGAGTCAGCAAAAGAGACCCAAAGCTTAAAGTTGAAGATCCAGTTCAGGTAGGCTGTCGCATGAACGAACAGATGACTGTTTTGATTGATCTGCTTTGATCTATTGATCGCGAAGCTTGGTGCTTTTTTTGTCCCTGCTTGTCAAGCTAACGCCGTTTTTACTTTAGTGGAGGTGCCGAGTTGCTCTTTGGTAATCAAAAGCAGATATCAGTATGTATACCGTCTGATAGCACGAGTCCACCGACCGTCAAGGAATTATTGGTGCATTTGAAGCTTCATCATCTGAAGGAACGACCAGAGTTGTTTGTGCAAGGAGACACGGTGTATGTATCAAGAATGGAAGGAGGCTTGAACTAAGATCTAGTGATTTAATTCATTTCTGAGTATAGGCGGCCTGGTATCCTAGTGCTAATCAATGGTGCCGATTGGGAAATAATGGGGGGACTAGAGTATGTTCTCAATGATGGGGATGAAGTAGTCTTCATATCTACGTTGCATGGAGGATAGGCTGCAGATTCCTTAATGGGATGGCTAGGGGAGTCTAGTGAGTATATTACATGTTTAATAAGATAAAGTCACATTACACAATATTTCGTTTCCTTCTGTTTTACATTCATTGCCTTCTTACAATCGTTGCCTTTTTACATTCATTGCCTTCTTACAATCGTTGCCTTTTACAATCGCTGCCTTTTACATTCGTTGCCTTTTACATTGGTTGCCTTTTACATTCGTTGCCTCCTTGGATGGTTTACTAGTAGTCCTCACCTTCATCGCCACTCGATTCATGTTCACTCGATTCATCTTTATCATCGTCACTGGATTCGCAGAGGTGCATAGTGCAAGTTTTTGTCTACGTTGCATCTGTGCCAGGTAATGCCATCGTAAATCATCTGTCGGAGTCCAAGCCTATCGTGCATATACCCTGCTTTGAGAGGACTTGGTGGGCATTCCCAAGCTAGAATGAGGGCTTCTTTCACTGAAGTACGTAGTTTGACTGCGTGTATGAGGTGGATGTCCGTCAGACGGATGACCAAGGCTGAGAGCACCAGAATCCCTATTTATCTTCAATGTCGACAACGGTCATGAGGGTGATGAGGATGTGGATAGGGCAGTTGGAGTTGGTTTATTAGTTACGGGTTCGAAATGAAACTGAAGGTTCGAAGCTGGAAACGTGATGATACTCGTATAGTCGTTCTTCCGTCGCGTAGTACCCAATCGATATGCAGTGCGTATGGGAACAGACACTGAGTCTGTCAGCTTGGCTTTTTTTGCTGGCAGTTCAAATTCGTGTGGTTGCGGCCATATGAGTACACTTTTCGGGAGAACACACGGTAGTAATCTAGTATGAGAGAGTAAGGGATTTACTGCCTTAAAGTCCAATATGATCACATTCGTAAATTCTCAACCTCTAACAGATATGATGTAAGATGTTAGATCACAAATTTTAATTTGGTGATGCTCAAGGTTGAGCTCGACATCCTAGACTTTCAGGCTGATGCAGCTCGTCATCAGCACCGACTAATCAATAAATACGACATATAATCTAGCTGACGTTGCTCCTCTGGCAGAAAAACAGCTCCACAATCAACACTCGAAAGGTCAAAAGACCCAATCTTCCTTCACCAAAACGAATATCAACTTCAGGACAGACGGATCGGCTTTCGTACCTAACAAGCGGTCTTCCAAGCTCCTAAGCTAATCCCAAGCTAATCTGTGATCAATGGTTGGGAGCTTGAAGGAGAACTAGAGTATGTTCTGAAGGACGGCGATGAGCTGGTGTTTATATTAACTTTGCATGGAATTTAGACACGTATGTGCGTATAGAGATCTTAACTTGACCTTAGATTCAAGGATTTGTATTGTACGTAGAATTGCCATACACTTGAATGGTCGTTTCACGCGGATCCATTGCGGGAAGTGCTGATCTGTGCCTGATGTGATCGGATATACGATATGCAATGATTTCTCGCCTTGTATAGACGTCCCACCGCCTGAGAAGATCGAAACTTCAAAAAAAGTTCGAAACAAGAAGGGCCACAAGTAAAAGGACAAGAAGGAGCCACCCAAAGAAGTCAATCAAGATTCAGGCAGTTTACAGTCTAATCCTGCGAATCTATGAGCAGGGAGCTATGTTGAAGGGAGCAACTAATATTCTTACTGGTGGCCGTTCAAACAAGGCATCGTTGATTTCAAAACCAGCGACGGACAACCATAGTACTCCTCTCCCGACGAATACTACAAGTTCTAATGGCACTGTAACTCCCGTATCAACTCCAGCATCGCCTGCTCTCACCACCACCAACAGTAGTAATCACTCCCCATCATCGCTCTCATCTCTTGAAACAAACAACATCTCCTACCCAATCGACACCTCGCTCCCGAATAAAGGTCGAGTATGGGTCAAGGTTGTAGAAGCTAGAGGTCTTCTAGTACATCACCCTAACTCTCGTCCATACTGTGTTGTCGAATTCGAACGGAACGACTTTGTTACTCGAGAAGCTCTACCTAGTCCTCCTGTCTCGATCAATGGTCTAGCTCCGCCAGTATCGCAGCAACGACAACACCAGCAGCAGCAACAGCAACAGGAGCTACGATCGGTCTCTAGCACGGACTCGCTCCTTATACGGCTAGCTACCCCACCACCAGATCCTTTAAATGACGTGGTAGAAGCAAAGGGTCCTACCTCCGCGAGTCCTACCTCTAGCAATACGGCAACTCTAGATGATACATTAGATTCCGATATAGGAGACGTCATCATAGATCCAACTTGGAAACACGAAGCTACATTGTAAGAACAATCTCGCGATGTGCAACTGTACCCATTACAACTCCAAGAACTAATGCCCTTTTACTTCTTATCAAGCGACGTGACTCGCCCAGATGGAGAACTGACTCTCAGTATATGGGATCGAACGGGGTCACCAACAGACGAAGGAGAACGATTTTTGGGTCAAATGAAGATACGACCACCTAGAATCGATGGTAAACTCATTGATAACTGGTTTCGATTGGCTCCTCGACAATGGAAAGAGAAGGTTAAGGGAGATATTCGCTTGCAAATCATGTACAAGACCGTCGCGGTATGTTTGTTGACAAACTCCAGGTTCTAGCCGTTTTATGTGAGATCCGAACTCATGAATCCTGCTCCTCTTACCCTCTTACAGATGAAACCACTCAATGCGGACGATTTCGAACTGCTCAAAGTCGTTGGTAAAGGTAGCTTTGGTAAAGTCTTACAAGTTAGGAAGAAAGACACAAGTGAGTCATTGGACAACAAGCGTGTTCCTTTTTTTCACCCCTGTTAGCTGTTTCTTTACTTACCTCCTATCTGATTCTCCAGGTCGTATCTACGCCATGAAAGTCCTAGTAAAGAAGGACATTATAGAACGGCAAGAAATTGCTCATACATTGTCAGAACGTAACGTGCTGATACGAGCTAGCTCACCATTCTTGGTGGGATTGAAATTCTCCTTTCAAACACCCGAAAAACTGTATCTAGTATTGGATTACATGAATGGTGGAGAGCTATTTTATCATTTGCAGAAGGAGACGGCCTTTTCGGAAGAAAGAGCCAAGTTCTATACTGCTGAACTGACTTCAGCACTTCAACATTTACACAAGTACAATATTGTGTATAGAGATTTGAAGCCAGAGGTATCGTTGGTCACATCTCCAGATTTTGCTGTCAGCTTTTTTGGCCCTCATCTGACAACCACTTGATTTTAGAACATTTTGCTTGATTCGAATGGACATATAGCTTTGACGGATTTCGGATTATGTAAAGAGAATCTGACCTTCAACGATACCACGAACACCTTTTGTGGAACCGCCGAGTATCTAGCTCCTGAAGTCTTGACCGGCCAAGGATATGGAAAGGCTGTGGATTGGTGGTCATTGGGAATACTTTTCTACGGTAATCATCGCTTCGGTCTTGTCTAAAACAAAAAAAGTAACTTCTGCTCAATCAATTCAATTCATTAGAAATGACAACTGGACTGCCACCCTTCTACTCTGAAAACACAAACCTCATGTATAAAAAGATCCTTCACAACCAACTGATCTTCCCACCTGGCTTCTCAGACAAGGCACAGAACTTTGTTCGAGGGGTAAGCATACAGTGGTGCGAGAGTATCTTGTTTTTTGGCTCTTTCGTGCTTACCCACATCATCGCTAGTTACTGGAACGAGATCCGAGACGGCGACTCGGTGGTAGTCCCGAAGATGCCGACCAAGTAATGAGACACCCATTCTTTGCCGACATAGAATGGGACAAGATGCTACGTAAACACGTCCGACCACCGTTTAAACCCAAAGTCCTGTCAGAAGTCGATACATCGAATTTCGATCCAGTCTTTACAGACACCATACCGATCGATTCCATACCCAATAGCGCTTCAGGACCATTATCTGATACCCTGCAAGATCATTTCAGGGGATTTACCTATACCGATTCGAGTCAGTATTTAGGTGCTGATCATGGGTCTTTTAAGATGGGTTCGAAGTTGGGGGGAAGTATGTTGGATGACTTTGATGATAACTAGAGGTGTTAGGAGCGTGTGGATTCATAGTTTTAAGTGGACGTTTGTGTATAAAAGGTGTTGTCGCTTTAGGTCATAAATTAGGGTTTGGAGGTTGAGATTTGGAAAGACAGGAAGAGAGATTACCCTCATACAAAAATCAATATCATTGTATCGTTCCTCCTATATATTTTGAAATATCATAACGGTGTTGTTTTGCGAAAACAAATAGCTACAAGTAGCGAAGCAAAAGTTTATAGCTTGGATTCAACAATATTGCCAAATGCTAAATATTTATCCTCCATATATTCGGCTAAGCCGTATTTTGAGCCCTCCCTACCCAAACCACTTTCTTTGATTCCCCCAAACGGCGCCACTTCGTTTGATATCATGCCTACACCAGAAATAGATATGAGTTGGTTGGTACGACTGCCATTTTAATTGCATTGTAACCATACCATCATTGATCCCCACCATCCCACATTCGATGGCTTCAGCGACTCTGAATATTCTTGAAATATTATTTGAATAGAAATATCCAGCCAGTCCAAATGGTGTGGCATTGGCGAGAGCAACCACTAGATTGGATTATTGCGAGTCAGCAAAGTGGTGAGATATACGTAGACAATTTTTTGGCAGTCAAGCACGTGACTTTCATATACCTTCTTCTTCAGTTTCAAATTTAAACAACGCTGCAACGGGCCCAAAGGTCTCTTCCTCGTGTATCAGCATATTCTTAGACATGTTGGTCAATATAGTCGGATGATAAAAGTTGCCACCCAATTCATGTGGTTTACCACCCACAACTGCTGTAGCACCTTTAGAGACAGCATCATCAACATGTCTCTTGACTTTGGTAAATCCTTCCTTGGTTATAAGTGGACCAACTGTTGAGCTAGGATCAAATCCATGGCCCACTTTCAAAGTTTCCTTGACTTTGGCTGCAAGTTTGGATGCGAATTCGTCATATACTTTGGATTGAACGTATAGTCGGTTGATGCAAACACAGGTTTGGCCAGTGTTTCTGTACTTTGAGGCGAGGACGCCTGTGACGGCTGCATCCAAATCGGCATCATCTGAAGAGAAGACCGTTAGATTCGAGTAATCTATGTAAAAAGTCACAACTGACCGAATATAATCATGGCTGCATTTCCTCCTAGTTCCATGCTGGCTTTCTTGACGGTAGAAGCTGCTTGCTTCAAAAGAAGCTTTCCAACTGGTGTCTAATGTAGGGTAACGAACATAAGGTCATACTCTCGTAACCATTTGGCCTTTTTCGGGCCTTACCGATCCAGTGAATGAAATCTTGCGAACAGTCGGATTTGTACTCAATTCCAACCCGACTTCAGGAGTCAGCTGTTTGGAAGCAGTAACTACATTCAAAACGCCCTTTGGAATACCAGCACGATTGGCCAATTCAACCAATGCCAACGCAGACAATGGTGTTTCAGGAGCTGGTTTTATGACTACGGTGCATCCTGCTGCTAGTGCAGCACCAGCCTATTTAAAAAGTTGTGATAAGCGAAATGTGACGGCTAGGCATGTCGCTTTCTTGCACCTTTCGTGTAATCATTGCAGCAGCTAAAGATAAAAAGTTTTAAAAATAAACGATAAGCAATATAACTTTTACACTTACGAAAATTCCAGGGTGTAATCAAACCACAAACACCAATTGCTTGTTTAATGACTAGCAGACGCCTCCCATGCTTGTCCTGAGGAATCACATCACCATAGGCTCTCGGAGCTTCCTCGGCAAACCATTGTATGAATGAGGCAGCATATCCCATCTCGCCTGTAGCGAAGGAGTGTCAAACTTGAGTATCAACCTTGTTCGTAACAGAATTGCACGAGCAGATCCGCAGTTTACCTTTAGCTTCAGACATAGGCTTTCCACATTCAGCTACCATAATTGCAGCTACGACAGTCGTAAATGTTGTCAGAACCAACAACAAAAACAATTCATCATTGGCGATGCATAAATGTTGTCAGAACCAACAACAAAAACAATTCATTTTGGCGATGTGTACCTAGATCTTGTGAATTCGCCATGATCAGATCATACCACTTGCGTAGTAGAGTAGCACGTTCCTAAATTCATAATGAAATAAATATGATGGATATTCGATCTACGCATCAAGCGCGGCAAGAGCTTACTCGAGCCAAGAGCTTGCTCCAAGCAGGAAAAGCTAGCTTTGCAGCTTCAATAGCAGCCTTTGCGTCTTCAGTAGCCATATCAGGGACTTGAGCGACAGTTATCGATGTGGCTGGATCTATTAAAATTAGAAATAAAACTTGTTGGTCAACAAACGTTGGTTGATCCAAGCATCACAAATCTTACAAACAGCAAAAGGAGAAGCAACTATATGGACAGTTCATTCATTTAATACTTACCAACTACATCATAAACTTTCCCGGACTTGGCCGCTACCCAGTTGCCTCCAATAATCGCAGAAGTTTTCAACAGAGCTTTATCAGTGATTTTTGATGCCACTTTCGTATCGATGGTGATGCTTGCCATGGTTCTGATGGGATTTATTCGTGAACCTATAAATGCTGTTCTCAATCTTACAGCTCCTCTACAAAACATTGCCAAAAGTGCGTGGCTTCTGAAGGTCAAAATCAAAGTTATCGCGAGCCACAAGAACCTGTTTTTTAGGCAATAGAGAAGCAGAAATATGTCTAAACCACAAGAATCTACAAATTTAAAGCTTGCCCTTCAACTGAGCCAATTTACGATCAACAACTCGTTCAATTATAGCTTCCAACACAGATCCACCACGTCCACTTTCCATAAACGCAGACACAACATTATCCAAGTACTTTCCGATTTGATCTACTTCTAGATTCACTCTGGCTCCAACCTTCTTTAAAGGCAACACGACAGCTTCTTGTGTGTGAGCAATCAACATGATGCTGAATGTTCTTGCTGGTACGTTCACGTCAACTACGGTAAGAGATGTTCCATCTAGACATACATATCCTTTTGGAATGATGTAGTTTAAGAAATCTGTGTCGCCGGTTTCTTGTGCTGGTGGTACTTTGAATTTGAAGAGTAGGGAGTTTGGGGGATCTGGTGTGATGCTTTCGATGGTTACGGTAGTATCGACGTGTCCCTATTGTTAGATATGATATGATAGGTAAGTTGGCAGTGACCAAAAAGGAACGATGCTTTCAAATAATCAAATTGACTTGTACTAAACACGGTCGTAGAACCACATATAACCAAGATAGAAGTCTCACCTGCACAAAATGACCTCCAAAACGAGTTGCAGCTCCCATAGCCCTCTCCAAATTGACCTTTTCACCAGCTTTCAGTTCACCTAACATGTGAAAATTGTACGTTAGTTCAACTCCAAGTATTCCAACAGATCGGAGGCGTTAATTTACCTAGATTACTCTTTCTCAACGTCTCAGGAGCCAATCCAAACTTGCATTTTGTTCTGGCTGCATCGAATTCAGTGACGGTCAAACATACACCTGTGAGGGAAATCAGATGTTGAGAAATGTGCTGATGCAGAGATCAAAATAGATCGAAACAATACAAAGGAACACAAAGCAGTTCTAGGCAATGAACGAAAGTACTTTGATAGACTTACCATTGACGCATATCGAATCGCCAATGTTGACGTCAGTTAAGACAGCTTGAGCATTGGCGATGGTCAGAGACGTTCCTTTGCCTCCGGTCTTGGTCTTGTCCATTTTCGTGAGGGACTCGACAATGCCCATTACTTCAATGATGCCTGTGAACATGGTGAAGCTTGTTTTTACTGGTTTGCTTGTTGTGAATGTTTCGCTGGGTTTGAAACTTGACTTGAAATTGGAGATCTGGATTTTAAACGTCGACGTTTGTATTCCTGCTTCTATTTTTTTACAATAATAATATAGTATTTTGATCAGGGCTATCACGTCGTTTGCAACTTCCAGCGTATACTAGTGCGCTTTCCAAGCATAGTCTAATCTCTTGAGGTCATTCAATAAAGTCCATATTTCCTAGACAAAAGAATCTGTGATTTTAGTGTTTGATTACAATACGTCGAAATTCGCACTTCTAATCTTGTATACCTGTGGCAACTTTGTATTTTCATCATCTTCATATTTTCTCAAGGACGTTTCAAGTTTTTGCTGCAATATGTAAGCTTGGGACAGGGTGGTCGAATTTGTGTTTGTTGTTTGCGTAGAGGAGGATGGTTTATATGGCGATGTAGATGGTGATGAATGTATAGAGTGGTTGTCTTCTCCGCCTAGTCAGTCTTATGAGGAATGAGCTGTGTTGTCCATCAGATACGTTATGAATGCAAACTTTGAACTTACCAGAAGTAGCGGGAGAATCAGACACTTCGAATCGACTCTTTTTGTCTGTGGGACGGAAGGATGTGTCATGAGCGACCGAAGATCCAAGATGACTTGGAGGCAGTTCTTGTATAGCAAACCGTCCTGCTTTCCGTTCTAAATGAGATTGTTGGGTGTGTGAGTGAATGAACGAAGTAAATGCAATTTCAAACAGCGACAATAAGCCAACACGATATTGTGTTCGAACTAAAGCAAATAGACGCTTACCCAAAGATCCCATATTCTCGATGGACGATACAGGTGCCAGTTGAGGACTACTATCATTTGACCTGCTTCCAGCATCTGATGAAACCTCTGAGACACTGAATCGGCCCTTTTTGATTTCACCATGTATAGCATCAGATAAAGGCGTTGATCCAGCTGGCGATGTCGACAAGTTCTGGGTATCGGTTGATATGGAATCAATCACAAAGCGAGACTTTTTCACTGGCACGTCACCACTACCGGTTGTATGTACAGATTTTGGTAGTGCATCATGGCTGGAAGTAGTTGATGAGGTTTGCGATGACATGGAGCTCAGAGTGTTGTTATTATCTACTGGTTCGTCACCACTGAAATCCCACACCACACCCCTATTTTCTAATCGTGGTGGTTGAGAGGGTCGAGTATTATGGGGTCGTTGAGATATAGGAGGTAAATTTTGTATAAGGGTCTTTGCCAAATACTCGGGTTTCTTTGCAGAGTTCTTGAAGAAGGCGTGTTGTATTAGTTTATCGGGAGTAGGTCGTTTGGTTGGATCCTTTTGAAGACAAGAGTCAATCATTTCTTTGAAGGCCTTTGTATATTTATGTTTGGCACTATTTATATCTAGAGTGGGAGGGTCTTGTTGTAGTGTAAGCATGAGGACTTTGAGTGGAGGATATTTGGCGAATGGCGCATGTCCATTTGCCAATTCCAAGGCGGTGATACCAAAGCTCCATATATCAGCCTTGTAATCATAGCCATTTTGTTCCATAACTTCAGGAGCCATCCAACATGGTGTTCCTACAAATGTTTTACGGACACCTTTACGTTCACCAGTATCAGTCAAGGAGCTGGATACACCAAAGTCAGCCAATTGGACTGTTCCATCACTAGCCATGAGTAGATTACCAGCCTTGACATCACGATGTATCAATTTGTTGGCGTGGAGGTATTCCAACCCTGCAAGAGCCTGTTTCAAGATGGTTGCGATTGCAGCTTCCTCCATACCATCAGGATATGCAGTCTTCATGATATCGAGACAGGATCCAGCAGATAAGAAAGGAGTGACTATATACAGTTTGGCATCATGTACGAATGATCCATACACTCGAAGCAAGTTTGGATGCTTGCACAAGCTCATGATCTGGATCTCTTTCTATATAATGGCATGAGATTGATGAATGAATTATCTTTAAGCGAATGATGGCTTCCTTCATGAAGAATGTCTCCTTTTCTGTTGATACTGTCATGCCCAACATTTTTCACAAATCAAAATGAAAAAACAAGAAGAAACGTACTCGGAGTTCCTCGATTTGATTTCGTTCGAATTGGTCCAATTCAATGAGCTTAATGGCAACATGACGTCTTAATGGTTTATACATTGCCATGTACACGACAGCCGAAGATCCATAACCTGTTTGTTCCAGAAAAAAAGCTTTGTAAATGAAAAAATGCAATCTCGTTCACAGCGAGAGCGGTTTACCAATAGGATGAGTGCCTATTTCGTAGTCAGTATAATTCATAGAGATTTGCAGCGAGTCTTCAGAATCATCCACCTCTCCCTTGACGCTGGTACTTCGTTTTAGCATACTAGCAACTGAGTCCCCTCCCATTTCTCTTGTTGTGCACTGGTCAGAGCGGTCTGCGAAACAAGATTAATGGCCGTCTGGTGTCCTATATACCCATCGAAGTCACTGGAAACTTTTGATATTTCTGTTGTCACGCTGAGGTTCGAGACCTGGACAAAGAGTGAGAATCTAGAACAGAGGCGTGTGATAACGAGCAAGACACGACAAGTGGGTTGATTAAAAGAATGACAAGAAGAATCGTATCCAACTAGGACGATGCGACCATGCGCCCCACGATCAAACGTTTCGCCTGAATCGTAGGCTGATATGCATATAGACAGTTCAAAGTCCAAACTTCAATCTAAAGGTCTATAGATGAATAGGGGCAATAGGGGCATCGGTGCTCAGTGCTTGGACTCGCCCTTCACTAGCACTTAGCACTGCAATGAATTTTTTTTTGTTGACCTCTGCTCTCCATCAATAAAATACAACTGCTGGTTGCGTGATGAAACTAAGCGGCAATGAAGCGCAATATTTTTAGACACGTGAATCTCATCAAGCGCACCTCTCAAATTGTCTCTAGTCGTCGCCATTCCATAAAGTGTACAGTGACCAATGAATTTCGCGACACATCCAAGCCCCACCGATTGATTGCTTCACACAAATTGCACCTTTCCTTCGTTCGCAAAAACCCGCTCAAAGACTTCAACAACCAGAACGACAACTCCAGGCATGTCCCAAACATTATTGTCTATTTATCAAAGTGTGTGGCACTCTCCTGCACTCAATCCACCCCTTTGAATACTCATTATTTCTCACAAAACTTTCCAAACAACTCTGTACTCAGGTCCTCAATCTGGGCAAGCCAACAGTGGACAATGCTCTCTCAAGTGACCATCCGCATGGCCTCTAAACTACGGTTTTTGAACTATAAGTTTATGCTAGCAGTTGGGCACCCAGCCTGGATTTGTTATGCACTTCTTAAAAAACTTGAAGAAACGGCTGCTCCCCGCCAGAGGCTTGGGAACCTCAAGCAAGGACCGTTAGCACGAGACGTTGTGTCAAGTCAGACCAACTGACTTCCATCGTGCCTGGTAACAAAGTCGTTCACGGATGAGGATTGCGTTTTACCACATGAGGAATGAGGATTTTCTTATCTAATCCTCATATGAAAACGCCTGATGAGGCAAAGCGCTTGTTACTCCACATTAGTCTGGTGGTTGTTGTTTGTGGGAGCTGGCCATACATTGTGCCGGCTTACTTGGTGGGGTATCTGGTTTTTTGTCTTTTTACCTTACTGTAGGTAATGTGACCTCAAGGCAAAATTACCTTAAGCCACTCTGAAGTCTGGATGAATACAGAGGGTCTACTTTTTCTTTAAGATCCTGCTGGCTGTATTAGACTCCTTTGCTTCATACTGTTTACCTTGTAACTCGTGTTGTAAGACGTATTCCAAATTGAATAGAACATACTTGCCTTCATAAATGATTGCGTTCTTGCCAGCAACCCACTATACGTGCTGCCTTAAAAAACTTATCATTTATCAAACATGAATGGCACAGATCACCACTAAAGCTGACAAAAGCTGGTCAAAGCATAGTCCTTCTATTAGCAATTATGATAAAGCGATACAGGTTAATGTTGCCCAACGCGCTGATCCCACATGTCCTTTTCAGTCTTGACCTATCCACTTTCACCGACTGTGAAGGGATTCTCGGGAATAGGTAATGTTGGTGATTTGTCTTCAAGGCTGACATGACGCAAAGGAATAGCCTCTGGTGAAGCTGGCTCATATAAGGGAGCTTTACTAAATGCAAGATTAAGATCGCGTGAGTCTATGCACATCACCCCTGCACAAAAGCCTACCATGACAAAAGGAAACAAACAATGGCAACTCACCCCTTCCTTTCTCGCTTTGCCTCAATTTCTTCTGGCGTTTCAATAGCTGTGGAAACACTTGAGGTTGGTGACGAAGGCGCTTCGACATCCCCTCCCACCATTCCGCCAAGTTGAGTAGGCTCCTTCTCAAATGTCAGAGCATCGATGAAGGGCGTTTTTGTTGATGTAGTAGGCGACTTCTCTGTCGTAGCAGGCACTACAACATCATCCAAATGGTATGGCTCTGCTACCGATGTCGATGGCTCTATTGCGAATGATACGTTGGCAACAAGGATGTTGACGAAGGCTCTCTGCATCAATTACCTAGTGTGACGTTGTTCATGTCCATGGCGAGAGCATCAGCGCTATAATCCAGGCGTTGCATAAGATGTTGAGAAGTGTATAAGTACCTTTACGTAACTTACGTTGCTTGCTGCGATAGGCCCTTGGCAGTGTCGATAGCATGCCTGTCTAGGACCTCGTCGTAGAGCTCCATAGAAGAGACGCATTCTTCATTGATTTGTAAGAAACCGGCTAGATGAAAGAGGAGTTGAGCAAAAGATTGGGAAGGCAAGTATAAGGTTCAAACCTACTTGTCAAGGAATCATCATCCGTGATGGACTCCAATAAATCATGAATTCGATGTTGGATGTCACGGACCTTTCCTCTGAATTCCTGAATGAAGTCATTCTTGGATATGTCTTCTGAAGGTTCAGCAAAATTGAGCGCTTCGACAAACATTGCTATATTGTTGCGAGCTATATCGAGATCACGTTCAAACTTGGTTCGACGTGCAAGGTATTCCGTTTCTGGATCTAACGGAGCATATCTAGGATGCTTAATGGTTAGAAAGAGAACGTAAAGACTCAGTTAGACAACGACGTACCCTGCAGGTCGATAAATTGCAGATGGGTCAGAGTACTGCAGATATCCTGAACGTGGTGGCGCAGGAACTCCAGGTTGTATTGGCTAACAAAGCGCATTTCAATTTATATCCAACGCGACCAAGATCACACTCGAACTTACAGCTGGCACTTCACGGACCACAGAAGCATAGAATGCAGCCAGTTTAGCAGCTTGACTAGGCTCCATGACACTTTGCCAGTCTTTGATCATTGCTACGAGCCTTCCACGGGCGATACTGTCGAAATCCTACAAGGGCAGTTGAGCTTCAGCATGGGCTTGATTGGCTCAATCAGCATCGACCATGTTTAGAGCTTACTGGTTCGAACAGGCGTTTCCTGAGGAAGCCAAGGAAATCAGCACTGCAGACTTGAGAATGGAGCCTGGACCCAGAGTTTCTCACAAACGCATCCAAGGCCGCAACTGCATTGTTTTGAATCACTATGTCGGTTTGTTCCATTAGTTTTACGACGTACGTTGACAGAACATAGCTCTTGAAACAGATATCTTACAAGCGCTCTTTGATCGAAGGAGAATCCTGATCTGTTTTGCAGCGTCCTTGGCACTGCAACGTGTTGTGTGAGTACAGCCGCTGATGCGAAGATACGCAAATACAACATGGCAACAAGTACGAGTCATACACTTCGTCAGAGTAAGTAGCCTTGTCTATGATTTCCAGCAGCACCTCCCATTTGATTTCTTGAGATGTAATGGCATCATCCAACTGCTTGGCAAGTGGCGAAGTTCGTGCAGCTAGCAACGGGTTGCTGCCAAAGATATTTCGAATTCCTAGCCTGGGCTTGGCTGTAGCAGTAGCCATCGCTTCAATACAGGCCGATTAGGTAGGGTTGTGTGGCAGCGAAGTAGACACCATCTGTTGTTGTCGAAGAGCACACAATCCAAACTCCACATCTCCCAGTACTTAGAAGTCGAGAGGTAAAATCGTTCAAATGGACGTGATATTGCAGCAAATACGTCCAGGCGCGCCTTGATACACGACTAGATCAGAGAAGTTCGCCGTGGAATTTGCTCAAATTTAAACCCAGCAACTGTTACAAATCGAGAGTACCCAGCGGTTAACGAGAGCTTTGTCTGTAGGTCACGTAACCTATATCATTCGTACGTGGTCTTGATCAGGCTCGTTTATCTAAAGTCGTGCCAAACATCACCACTTGATCTCGAAAATGTCTGCTTCCATCAAGATGTATGTCTGGATTTTCTCTGATCGACCAAGTTCTCTATGCTAAACGAACTACTGGCTCGCCTCTCTTTTGTCTCATAGATTGGCTTGTGGGAATGTCCAGAACGGAGACATTAAGAAATTCTTCAACAGAATTACGAGCATCAACAGCAAATCTGGACCATTCAGCCTCTTGCTTGTTGTCGGTGACTTTTTCGGATCCAATGAAGATGATATTCAAGACCTCTTGACGAATACAATCTCAGGTTTGATCTGAATGAACGACTCTCGATTTTTTTGATCAAGGAAACTCACGCATCTCTCTTCATAGTACCATTACCGACTTATATAATGGAAGGAAGCTCTTCATTCCCAACTCAAGTACTGGAAGCCATCGAGTCAAGTGGAGAAGTCTGTACGAATGTATTCGCTCTAGGTGAGTTCTCATGCTGTGTGCACTTGTGTGAATTCTTCTGCTCCGTATTGACCTCAATTCTCTTACAGAACGAGCTGGAGTCATCACTACATCAGAAGGATTGAAGATTGCTAGTGTGTACGGCACTGCAACTCAAACAGAGATATCAACCATGCTGGAAAATAGTCCCTCTTCCTTGGGCGTTGACATATTACTTACGTATGAATGGCCAGAGAAAGTGGCCAGCGAGTCATATAAAGGTGATGCTGTACCGGGATCTCGTGAAATGGCTCAGATTGCAGTATCACATCAGCCCAAATATCACTTTGCCAGCAATCCATCGGTATTTTATGAACGTGAACCCTATTCAAATCAAACAGCCAACCACTCGACACGTTTCTTATCTCTTGGGGCCTTTGGAAATTCTGCAAAGGAGAGGTGGTTTTATGCCATGAACTTAGTGCCTCTTGCCAAAAGTAACACCAAATCAGCACCACTTCCCAACACAACACCTTGTCCATATCCCACAGGTACAAAGAAGAGGCCAGCGCCAGAGGAAGACAATGTTAGTTTACAAAGTTTATGAACTGTTATTATAAGTTCTCCACAGTTCTCACCTAAACCAACTTTCACTAGGGAGGAAGCTTCTTTTACGGCAAGCGAGACGGGCCAAAGAAACAGGCGAAATGGGAAGGATGGGATGGTGGTAGTCGTGGTATACCAGAAAACTATGTCTGCAACGCGTGTGGTGAGAAGGCCACCCATTATTTCAAAGACTGCCCTATGAAACTCGAGAAGCAACAGAAAGTACAAGAAATGCAAGGACGAGTCAATGCTAGGCCAGGTAAGATCAAGCAAGGACGACAAATAACGATCCTGACAATGCAGAGCTTACACATTATAACAACCACAGCTGATCAATGTTGGTTTTGCCTGTCAAATCCAAATCTGGAAAAGCACTTGATTGTGCATATTGGTGAAGATGCATATGTAACGATGCCCAAAGGTACTTTGCACGCGTAAACATTAAATCAATCATAGCTAATCCATGTTCGTTTTCTTAGGTCCTCTGATTGAACATGGCGGCCATCTCATTATACTTCCCATTGGTCATTATCCAGGTACACGAGCTATCTTGGACTTGACTGGTGATGAAAAAGAAGAAGCAGATAGGGCCATACAAGAGATTGATAGCATAAAGGTAGCATTGCGAACGATCTACGCTGGAAAACATGAGCAATTGGTGTTTTTCGAGATTTCTGGAGGAGAGTCAGGCCGATTACAACATATGCACTTTCAGGTATGAAATTGTGCTTTTGCAACAATAAAAGCAGATATTTGCGGTTATATCTTATTTTCAAAGCAAAAGGTCCTACTCCCTCCTCAGAAAAGCTGATTGTGGTTTCTTTTCTGAATAGGCTGTCGCAGTACCACCGAGCATAGCCTCCAATCTTGATAAAGCTTTTACCAAGGACTGTGCCACCGCTGGACTGAGCTTGTTGGAGGACAACCAGTTGCCCGGAAACACATCCACTCCATATGTACGAATAGAGTTGGAGAACAAAGTATTGACATACGCACCGAGTGAGCAAGTGATGCAATCGTGGAAGGCAGCTCAAGATGCAGCTGCACGGGATGGTACTCGGCTGAAACCTGGTCAGAGAATGGATTTGCAGCTTCCTAGAGCGGTGCTGGCCTATGCTTTGGGTCTTGAAAGACGTATCAACTGGAAGAGATGTCTGGTCCCAGAGAATCAGGAAGCAGAACAGGCTCAAAGAATTAAAGCTGACCTATCTGAAAAAATCACTGCTTTGATGGTCAAGTCCTAGGTATAAATATTGCATTGGAATAATCGCTTGTATAAACAGCTCGTAAAATACATCCATTCATTCATATCTCAGAGACTCGTTGTGGACTGCGTGTTTCGGACCGGGTGGATTCGTGTGGGTGTTTTAAATTGTTTGACTCCTCTCGCAAAAGACAAACAAGAAATCCGCAACGAAAGGACAGCGAACAGGACTTCATGACTTTGGATCAACTAGTAGACTAAAATTCCTGTCATTTTCATGTCTTTGACACCTGTAAGTATAGTATACTGTTTGAAAGAACTATCATTGAAAAAACGCGGTTCCTGGAAATTTAAGAACTGTGGACGAGATTTCGATTAAATTGGAACAGAAACTCAGGAATTTCATCTTTGATAGGGTACCTGGGTATGGTATCCGGGTGGAGATGGAGCTCTTCACGCTGGAACGGTGACATCTTCACAAGGAAATCAAGTAGTTATACATCCGTCATTAACGGCCACAGAGGTTAGATCCCCGAAACCTGAAATTAGCCACCGTCAAGGAAATTCAAGAAATTTTATGATACTAGGATGTTGAATGTGCTGCTGCTGATGTCAAGGTTTTACATCCATCGTCGCAGAAGGGTGTGGATGATATGATTACCTTGGTGGATTTACACGAAGGAGCCCTGTTTCATAATCTGTCGATACGATACTCGAAGAATGAGATCTATGCAAGTCACTGTGTTATCTGTACTTTATAGACTGCTCGGCGGTGGTTTCTGACAGGACATGCGTTTCTTACAGACCTATACTGGAAACATTTTGGTAGCCATGAACCCGTACATCAATCTTCCTATTTATGACAAGGAGACAGTGAGAAAGTACAAGGGAGTGCCACTGGGGGATTTGGATCCACACGTTTTTGCAATTGCTAACGAGGTGATGATTTGATGATCTAGACAGAGTCTCTGCTCACCGCAGATTAACTTAAATCGTATTGTCTCACTAGACATACTATGCCATGTCAAGATTTAAAAAGAATCAATGTGTTGTCATCAGTGGAGAATCTGGTGCAGGCAAAACAGAGGTTAGCAGGCACCCGCAGCTTCAATCTATCGAGAAGACTAATCGTATTCCCAATTCCAGACAACCAAATTGATTCTACAATACCTGGCCGCAATTTGTACAGAACGGTCTCTTGTACAGGAGCAAATTCTTGAAGCTTCTCCGATTCTTGAAGCGTTTGGTAACGCCAAGACAGTCCGAAATGACAATTCGAGTCGATTCGTACGTCATTGAACACATTTGCAAGAACCAAGATTACATTTGTGACAAGGATTATGTAGGGAAAATTCATTGAGATTCAGTTTGGAAAGGACGGGAATATCAAGGGTGCCATGATGTTGGAGTGTAAGTGGTTTGATGATTTGGAGATTGTTAATATGAATATGATTACAGCCCTAACCTGGTTGTATTCTTTAGATCTTCTGGAGAAGGTAGCCTAAAATGTCGTTTTTTTTAGCAGTTTGGTCTCAGCTTACCGTAAAATTCAGTCTCGAGTAGTAGCTCAATCACCAGACGAAAGAAATTACCATGCGTTTTACGCATTGTTAGCTGGTGCAACTGATGAAGAAAAAGGTATGACGCCGTCAAATCTCTCACAGGTTTTCGGCTAATGACTCTTGTCTTAGAAACAATGTCGTTGGGTCCACCGTCATCGTTTTACTACCTGAATCAAAGCGGATGTCTATCAATAAAGAGCGTTGATGATGCTGCCGACATGAAGGCGATCAGAGAGTCATTTAGAACACTCAAATTTGGAGAATATGAGCAAGATATTTTAAAAATGCTCGCTGCCATCTTACATCTCGGAAATCTGACTTTTGCGGCTGCTGAAGAAGAAGCGGATGGATCAACTATTATAAACACTGATGGTATGAAATTAATGCTCAATTTCGACCTACAACTTTTCGGTAAACCGTCTTGTTTCTTCAGTTTTGGCCATTTCAGCAAAACTCATTGGTTTGGAAGCCAGCAAGTTGGGCAACGTGTTGATCAGTAGAACGACTGTCACTCGTGGAGAAACGTTTGTTACTCCCTTGAGTAAAGAGAAGGCTCAGGATTCTCGAGATGCTCTGGCAAAAGGTATCGTCGGCATCGCTTCAGTATTGATTTCAATTCTAACCAACTAAACTCGAACAGCACTATACGGTCGAATGTTTACATGGATTGTAAACCAAATCAATATCACCACACGACACAAGGAGGATTTGCAGTTCGTTGGAGTACTCGACATTTTTGGATTTGAAGATTTTGCCGTGAGTTCGACGGAAGATTCTGCCCTGCTATTCTGAAGGCTTGTTCTAACATGTTGCTCCTAAAGGTCAACTCTTTCGAACAATTCTGTATCAACTATGCAAATGGTAAGCTTTGGAACCTCAGCAATTGCAGAGTCAAAACTGATTTTGTCCCTGTAGAACGTCTGCAATTCTTTTTTAATCAACACATTTTCAAGGCAAGTTTCTGCGTGATTTCTTTACACCATAATTGTCTTACCAGTATTTTCTAATAGCTGGAACAAGAAGATTATGATCGGGAGGGTATCAGTTGGAAAAAGATTGATTTCGTGGATAATCAGCCATGTATTGACTTGATCTCCAAGGTAGCGAATAGTTGACCTTTCGTTTTTTTGCATTGGAGGTCGCTTATTTAACTTTCGTGAACGTAGAAACCGGTTGGTCTGCTGTCGCTGCTAGACGAAGAGACAAACTTTCCAAAGGGTACCGACCAGACATGTTTGGTCAAGTTCCATAACAACCACGAAAAGAATCCATATTATGCCAAACCGAAAACCCAAAGTCAAATATTTGGTATCAGACACTACGCTGGCGAAGTCACATACCAAATCCAGAACTTTTTGGAAAAGAATCGTGAAACGATACGGTCTGATTTATTGGAACTGCTGAATTCCTCAGAGTCTAGCTATGTCGCCGACCTTTTCCCTTTCACCATGGAAGCTCCCCCAACCGGAAGTATGGGCGACTTGACTGGGACCATTCGAGGCAGTAACGCTGCACTGGCCTCATTGTCTAGTAGCAGCGATACGTTGTCAAGGTCTGGCTCGTATGGTACGCTAAAGGCCAGCAACAAGAGCTCCAAGAACCCTACTGTTGGAGCTCAATTTCATGTATGTCCGCTGATTGTTGAGTTATCGCTGCAACGTTGATCTAACACATACCGTTCCTATAGTCGTCATTGTCTGAATTGATTTCGACATTGGCCTCGTGTAATCCGTACTTTGTACGATGTATCAAACCAAATCCCCAAAAGAAACCTGGTCTCATAGAACGATCTCTAGTATTAGCTCAGCTGCGGTACTCTGGTATGCTGGAAACCATTAGAATCCGTCGAGCTGGATATCCAGTCCGCATAAATTACGTCGAATTCCTTGCCCGATATTGGATATTGATACCATCATTGCGGAAATCCGAAGAGCAGAAGGATGCTTCAGCAAAAATCCTAGCAACTCTGCCCTCAACCCATAAAGAACTGTGGGCTATGGGAGCCACGAAACTTTTCCTCAAAACTGCATTCGAATCGGTGTTAGAAGCTACCCGTGCTACTCGTTTGCTCACATTCGCCGTGAAAATACAGGCACTCGGTAGAATGGTGCTGGCCAGAAAGCAATATAGACTGAAGAAGAAGAACGTCATCACTTGCCAGAAAGGTGAGAAGTTGGTGTGTCTTGATTATTGGTTGAGGATGTATTGCTAACATCATTCGTTTAGCTGGTCGTCGATGGCTGGGTCGAAGACAACTGGCACTCATGCTTACACGGATCATTATTTTGCAATCATTGATGCGTGGTCGAAACGCTCGGCGGAAATATCAACCCATCATTCAAGAAAGAATACGTAAAGCCAAGGAAGAAAAACTGGCCAAGGAGAAGGCTGAGAGAGAAGCTGCAGAATTGGCTCTCAAACGTGCTGAAGAAGAAAGGGCAGCCGCTGAGGCAGCAGCTATAGCGGCCGCAGAAGCAGCTGCTCGAGCCGAATTAGATGCTTTGGCAGCAGCCGAAGCATTGGCAAAATCAGAAGCAGAAAGTGCTGATGTCAAATCTAAAGAGGCCATTGAAATCGAAATAGAAGAAGCAGAAGACGAAGACGAGTTTGAAGGAATGTCGCCTGATGAAAAAGAGCGACAACGAAAGCTCTTGTCATATTTGGAGCAGAAGAACAGTCGTCGTAATTCTGCCATACGTCAGTCCATGTTGATACCTCAACATGTCGTCGTTCCAGTTATTGCTCCTCCGGCCGAACCAGACGCTGGACTGCCTGAAGAACTAGAGAAGAAATTGTCATTCAATGTGTTGGCCATGCTCAACCCCATCAAGTCGACACACGTCTTCAATTCTGAATCTTTGTAAGTTCATCTTAACGAAAATGCTTTTCATGGAAGGAGATCAGCTAAATTTGTCATTCATAGAACCCATTCAGAAGAAGGAGGTGGCGGAGGTCGACTGTCGTTGGTCTTGAATGAGAGCTCTAGACCAAACGCCTCTAGTGAACGCCTGTCTCAAACCGAACGTTTGACCGGAGTTGGTAATATGGCTGCCTTTGCCAATTTCGCACAGTTGCACTTCCGAGAAGGAATGTCTGCCAATGCCTCCAAGGTATTTATAATTTGTGTAAACGGCTCTTGCCCTCCTGAAATTAACATCTCTGTTATGGCCTAGCTATGTCCCAAGGCTTCTCTCTTAAAATTGTCGTCAGGGTTGTCAGATATTGCCATCGATATGTTTCGCGCCATCCTGAAGTTCGTTTACCTTGACGGCTTGACTGCCATGGCATGCCTACAAATAATCAACTACATGATTGGAAAGGCTCTAATCAATCCTCAGATGGTGGACGAACTCTTTGCTCAAATATTGAAACAAACTTTCCAAAACCCAAACCAGTACGATCCCTTTAAATTTCGACATTTGTATTTGGGTCCTCACTCCTTCTTCGGACTGTAGAACCTCGGCAGGCCGAGCTTGGACACTGGTGGCTTATGTAACTGGGATATTCAAACCGTCTCAGTACATGTTTGCCTGTGCAAGGTCTTACATTCAAGCTGCTGCTCCATCAGATCTGAGAGATCTGTGCTTGAGCAATATGTCGCAGGCTGGAAATCACGGCTCTCGTCTCGAGACGCTGACATCTGTAGAATATTTGTCTGTTGAGGTACTTCAAAGTTCAATTTTTTTTAATTCAGTCGTGAAGCCTTGCATAGCAGACCGAATGCTCATCAAAACCACACCCAACAGAACCGAGAAGATCTTTTATTGGACGCCTTCTTCCCTGATGGAGATCGTCTTGTATTCAAGGCTACTTCAGGCATACTGGCACAACAAGCTGTCGAGATCCTGGTTGCTGCCAAAAAGCTCAAGAATCCAGGCGACTACACTCTCTATGCAGAGTACTCAGGCAAATGTACGGACCAATTTATTTTGTTTCTGCTGTAGTAGCTCCTCTCTGATTTAGATCCAATTAGGTATCCGTATTATTCCAGAGGAACATTTGTTTGATGTCTTGTCTCAATACGAACAAAGCATGATGACGAAATCAGACACAGCCCAAGAATGGGTGTCTGCTAAGATAAAGGATGCTCAGCTTAAGAAGCTCGGAGCCAGCGATCCATCGCTACAGCAAGGTATTGAATTTGTTTTTGTGACTTTGCCTGAAGAAAGTTACAATGGACTTAGTCTTTTGTTTGTTTTAGGAGGCCCTCGTATGTCTCATGCATCACGGAAGGATGAATTGGATCATCAGATAATAAAAGGTCCTCCTTCTCAACCTCAGCCAAAAACATCTAGCAAGATATACGATGCTCCCATAGTACCACCAGTTCCTCCTATGCCTCCTCAAGTTCCGCGTGTGCTGGAACGTGCTTTATCGAACTCTAGTGTAGTGCCTCCTCCACCATTGCTGAGACCAACTTCAATGGCTCAAACGAAAATGCTAAGTCAGGATGAACCTACGACTCCTCAGCGGCTGTCTACTTCGGCGTTTGGCAACGCCTTTGGTGCTCCTCCTCCACCTCCTCCTATGCCACCCTCTATGCCCTCAAATGGTCGTCCATCGGTTGCAAATCAAAGCAGTGGATCGGCTCGTCCATCTGTTTCATCAGGAGGTCCACCACCGCCGCCGCCACCTCCTCCACCGCCAGCACCAATAGCATCTCAAAATTCTAACACTTCGATAATGTCGGACAGTGGTGGAAGGAGTAGCGACGCTCCACCACCACCACCTCCTCCTCCTCCACCGCCACCATTGCTAGGTGCCAGCAAAGAACAGCCCCCCAATACTCCTCCTTCATCTAGGAAGCCAGGTACCAGCTCTTGTATTTTTGTATGTTTTGTCGAAACTCCTGTTTCCTAACGCGAAATGCCGTAACTGTTACTAGTGACGCCACTGCCAAAGTCCAATATATCATCTCTTGGCAATACAGCACCACCGCCACCACCTCCGCCTCCTCCTGCTGCCATGGGAGGTATTCCACCGCCTCCTCCAATAAAACCAACTTCACTGTCGACAGGTGCACCACCACCGCCACCGCCAGCTCCATTGGTTGCTAAAAATGTCAGCAGTGGGCCTCCTCCTCCGCCACCAGCTCCTTTAGTTGCGAAAAACACAAGTGGTAGCAGCGGTCCTCCACCGCCAGCGCCAGTTTTGGGATCAGCCCCAGTATTGAAGCCGGGAACTGTCAGAGGCGGTAAGAATTTGTTCTTCAAAATACAGAAGGAAGACTTCCACTTGTGTGTGCAAACTAACAATATGCCCTTCTGAAAGCTTGGCAACCCAAGAGTCCTCAAAATGCAGGTGGTCCGCAGTCGCCACCAATAGTCAGTCCTCCACCAGGTCCTGCCCCTGTTCTTGCTGGCACTGTGAGGAGGAACCAATCGCCAATATCACCCAATGCGCCGGCTCCCGTTTTGCCAGGAAAGGCTCCGGGACCACCACCAGTATTCAATAAAGCTGGTCCCAGTGTACCGCCACCAATTAAATCTCCAGCTGCAACAAGCCCAATAGTACCTCCTAAACCTCTTCAAGTCGGTGCGAAAGCTTCAGGCGGGCCTCCTCCACCGCCTCCACCGCCAGCATCTACATCAAGTGGTGGATCAACATTAGCAGATCTCATAAAATCGAAAGTGCTCAATAAGCAGCCTCCTCCCTTGCCAGGACCGCCATCAATTCCCTTTGGTGAAAGCGGCTACCCGTGGAAATTGTATCTGAAAAGGGCAGTTGTGCTGCCGAATTACCTCTGGTCTGAGAACTTGGAGCTGGAGCTGACCTTTAAACAGGTTTGAAAAACGAACATTGGGTTTAAAAACTCGTCTGTTTACACCATATAACATACATCGTTCATAGATTACTGCAGATGCAAGACCACCATTCTGCCCATCAGGACAGGTCGATAAGGTGCAAAAATTGATTGCTAACGGTGGCAAGCAAGATGCCATTAAAGCTGCTATGGAGTGGCCCAACTACTTTGGAAAGATGTTTATAGCCAGGGTATACACTTGACAACAATTTGAATGGTGTTGCAATTATGCACTCACCTTCATTTTTTGCAGGAGGAATCTCTCGGCATTCAACATGCAGTCATTACAGTCAATCAAAAGGGTCTAACGGTTTCGTCTTCTCGTGACTCACTTCAGGTACATTGAGTGTTTGAAATCTGTAGAACCTTCGTTGGAACTCATCGTCGAAACTCACAACAGGATGTGGTGGCTCAAGCTCCATTTGAACGTGTGAATATTACAACGGCTTCAAACAAGATCCTGTCTGCTTCAATCGGAAACAAGAAGCTAGATTTGCTCACAAATGGTGAAGCAGTTCAAAAGTCTGTTGAGGCTTACGTCAATGGCTTGAAGTCAAACTCAACATGGGCAGTATCTATAACTGCGTACAAGGGAGATGCTGGTGGCGGCAAACTTTCGTTCCCACCACATGTTGTCATTAAGATCACAGAGCGTGATCCTGACAGTGGATGGTTGCAGGGTAGTTATGAGAATGAGTCTGGTTGGTTGTAAGTACCGTGTGCTTGAAGTTTGTAAGGAATGTTGCGGATACTAATCTGGTACTTTTACCTAGCCCATCCGAGTCTATTCAGTTAATGATTGAAGAGCCAGAATTTGATGCATCTGGCAGGCCTATCATGCCTGCTTCAATGGCCAAAAGCACACCCGTCATCGACGAAACTCAAGCAGCTAGGGCTCGTGCTCGTGTTGAAAAAGATGAACGAGAACTTGCAGCTGTTGCCGCGACACCCAAACCTAGTGTGGATTCTCCGTCACAAGGTGGTGATCCAGACGCCAAATACACCATGTTGGAATATGCTCGGCTATACTTTGCGGACGATTCGATGGAGAAGAGTGTCACTCAGAACGTGCGCACAAAAGCAACAATTGCTACATTACGAGGAGCTCCTGCAGGTGGTATCTCAGCTGCTGCGGGACAGTATGGTACAATCAAAAAGTACCAGACAATGAAGCAAAGCAACCTTCGATCATCATCCGACTTGGGGTCTGGTGAAGTTCTCGGCGTGTTTGGCTGGCAAGATTTAGTGGCCAAGATCAAGTACACAGATGTAAGTTAACTTTCAGATACCGACTAATGTGTTCGATGCATTAAATGTGAATATCGCTCTTTTTTGTTAGATGCCAATAAAAAGCCCATTGAACAAGCTTGAGCCAAGTGATGCTCCGCTTGCTGTTGAGTGTTTCCAAATGCTGATGATGTATATGGGAGACATGCCCTCGAAGAAACCCCGTCATCAAATGGCAGCTGGTCTCATCACTTTGGGCATGCAACAAGATTCAATGCGTGATGAATTGTACTGTCAAGTGATTAAGCAAGTCACCAGCAATCAAAGTCCTAGACCGTGAGTTGTCTGAACCGATTAAACTTCGCAAGAGCTTGCTGACCCGGTGCCAATTTCTTCTAGTGAGAGTTGTAAACGTGCTTGGGACATACTCTGCTTCTACACCACTTTCTTCCCACCGTCGAATACTTTTGATCCATATCTTCGCAAATTCTTGTCTAATGCCAGTGAGAAGACACGGGAATTCTCCAATATCGCTATCGATTGTGATTCCCGTTTGTCAAAGACCAAAATACATCCTCGAACGATAGCGCCAGGAGAAACAGAATTGACTTCAATTGAGGTATGATGCGTCGTAGACCAATTTTGTCAATCTTTTTCTATTTCTCACACCGGCCTATAGAACAAGGTGCCTATGCACGTCAAAGTCTTCTTCCCTGAATCGAGCAACAAGTCGTATGTACTTGACTCTCATACCTCAGCACGTGAGATTCTGAAGAGAGTGTTTGAAAAGTACGAGTTGCCTGACAGTACAAGCGAGTATGGTCTATACATTGTCTTGTCAAATAGTCAAAGTAAGATCTTATTCAGTTGGCATGTGGAACTTAGAAATCTAACTTTGCTTTCTGTTAGGTGCATTACCAATTTTGCCGAATGATAAGATGATTGATATCATATATTTGGCTGACACCATCATGGAGGAGTTGAACGCAAGCTCCTTGGAGGTTATTCAATACACCATCTACTTTTGCCGAAAACTGTGGTTGAATGAACCCGTCAACAACTCTTCAGCATTGATGAACTTGATTTACTTCCAGGTATGCAGCGCAAGTGTCTGAAGGATGACACAGTTACCGATTTTAACACTCTCTGATTAGCTCTTGAAGGACTTTTTGAATGGAAATCTTTTCAGTAATGTCGAATTGGAGCATAGCACTGTCCGCAGTACAGCAGAGCTAGTTGCCCTTCAAGTTTTCATTCAGCAGCAACTCAAACCAGGCGAAACCGTTAGGTATATAATACTGTTCATATTTTCGAAATGTGAGTTCATCATAGATTTGATCTAACTCTTTGCCTCGTAGCTCGTACGAAAAATTCATACCAGACATTGTCAGAGGAATAGTAACGGCGGCAGCTTGGACATTAGAAGTCCAACGGTGTCTTACGAGCATCAAGCACAAGTCTGTTGATGATGCAAAGCGCAACTTTGTGGAGATTATCAAGAGCTGGGATTTGTTTGGCTGCAATTTCTTTGATATCAAGGTACGTAGTGGTTGTGAAAGTCGTGATAACGGAGTTGGTTCTAACAGTCGTTCTTTCGGATAGGCATCAAACGATCCACGGTTCCCTGGTGGTGGACTGTTATGTGTTGACGGAGTAGGTCTCAAACTTTTAGACAGAGCATCAAGGGTAAGTTTACCGTTCAAGACAGCATTGCAGGAAGTTCTGCATTAATAACTTTGTTGATTATATAGCATACCATTGTCGGCTATGGATATGATGAGATTGTCAACTTTCGGTATGATGACAATGAATTCGTAATGAGAACTGGAGACTTGCTACAAAAAAGAACCATTCGTTGTGCTACTCGTCAAGGTACTTGTGGTAGATGCTGTTTCTTTCTGATGTCAACTGATTTAATGCTAATCTGATCTTGATCAACCACACAGGCTTTTGCATTGCTGATCTAGTTGTCAGCTACGTTCAATATCACGTTTCGCTCAAGATGGTCGGTACGAACGAGGGACTCGCCGAGGCAAATCGTGTCGCGTAAATAGAAGGGAAACCATTTGGTAGATGGTATGTAAAATGGGTTGAACATTTAAACAGTAGTATTGTATTATTAATATGTATTGAGATCTGTATTGAAACTGTGTGTGCTGTTCGTGATGCTCAAATCCTTTCATTGACTCACTTTCTGAGTCTCAAAAGTTGGCAGTTCTCGTAGGAGGGGATTTGGGGATACGAGTGACAAGACAAAGAACTTGTTGCATGGTACGTGATTGATCGTGGATTCTCGTGTCATGTCTGGTACTCGATGGGAGTTTCCTAGTCAGTCAAAAGAACTTGAACAAAAAAAATCGAAACGAACTCATCAAAGCTCATTCTTTAACCTTTTCTAACTACAGGCTGCTTATAACTGCTGCACCACTCGATTCACGTGTATATGGAGCCCGGTGTCTTGTCACAGGGCCTGAGACGGCTTTCCATCAAACCAAATCCACACGTTAAGTGCTGCAAGCGTCTTGTTGGAACTTGGATGGATGTTGGATCTACCGCTCCTTCTGCCAATGATATTGTATCAATACTACCATTTCAGTTATATCCTGCTCGAACTCTGCCCGTGCATCGATCAGCACTCGGAAGCAGCAACAGACAAGTTCCAATACGAGACTTCGACATGACCTTATCAAATTGGCCCTCAACACCTCCAATTTGGCATTTCACGTCAGGCCTCGTATGTATTCGTTCGCAGCTTTTGGTCAAAGCGTGAAAGATCGATTTTCTCAATTCCTCCATTTTTTAGAATAACCAGATGTCATCAAGGCAAATGACCCATAGCACAGATCAGCATCCACACGAGAAGCACGTAAAAATACGGAAAGAAATTAAAGTTCCTAGAAGCTTGACAAGTGCCATCCGAGCTCAGAACGGTGATTCTGCTTGGTTTGCTTTTGTAAATATGTGTCGTAACCCAACGCACATACCACCACCAATATCCGTGCTCTACAAGCTAGTGGATCTCTTTAGCTCTAATAACAATGCCCAAGAGCGGGTTGTAAATGTCATATCGTATACACGCCGACACCATAGTAAGCATCAGTTGTCTGAAAAGGCTCTCGAAGCTGAGTTCGCCGCCTTCAGGAGGCAACAGAGCTGGGATAATTTATTAAGAGTCTTGAGAGAGATACAGAGACTATATCCTGAGCCAGCTGATCGCCATGCTGATGAAGCTATCTACGCCCACATTCAGCTGCGGGAATTTGAAAATGCATATACCTTATATAATCAACATCCAGAACATCGAGTTGATGCCATAAGCGGTTTCTTACAAGCTGCTTCTAAAGGATTATATCCCGTAGCTCAAGTCCAGTCGATGACGACTGACCTTGTCGAAGCTGGTGCTTCATTTACTCCACGAAGTCTGGCATTTGCTCTAGTCTGCTTTGCCAAGAACGATAAGCCGGATATGGTCACATATATATTGTCTGCAGTGAATCTAGATGCCCAAAAGCTGTTGGCTACCAATGAATTCGACTATATGCTGCTTCTAGGATACCGTGAGGCTGGAATGCTAGATCGAGCAAGGGTTTTGTTTTCCGAGATAAAGAGACGGCTAAATCCCTCTTCAGAATGGCTGTGGAGAGCTTATTCGGGTATGATGCAGTCTCTAGCTCTAAATCGAGCTGAGTTGAAGGACATGGAATCCCTGCTCGCCGAAATGAAATCTTTAGGTATACGTATTGAACGAGACATATACCATATGATGATATCAGCTGCTTCGAACGTACGCCCTGTTCCCAATATACCCCAAATGCAGCATTATTATAGGGAGATGGTCAAGGCCGGATATTATCCAAACGATCACATAGTGAATTCAATGATTCGTGGTTATGGCCGATTAAAGTTACGATCTCTTGCAAGGCTCACCTTACAACGGTTTATTCGGAATGGTGCTAACCCGACTGTCCCTATGGTGTCCTCTTTGGCTGCCATGTTTGCCGACGATGGAGACTTTGTCAAAGTCATCGAAACCTTTGACATGGTACAAAACAGTGAAAATGATGTAAATAGTAGCTTCGGAAACAGTGAGAGTATCGCCGATGGTAAAGATTCTGTAGTGACCATAGAAAAGAATGTCAGAGCAGATTTTAGGAATTCAGAGACCATCCTGCCGAAAACAACTCTAGACCTCAAAGGATACAGTATTTTGATGCAGGCATATTGTAAAGGATCTCGGCCAAATGCAGCTTTAGCTGTATATCAGCATATTAAATCTCTTGGACTGGCGCCTGATGTCGTGACATATACGGTTTTGTTGCAAGCATACAGTCAACTAGGACAAATGGACCAAGCCCTCGCAGTTTTGGGCGAAATGCAGGTTCTCAATGTTAAACCCGATGCCCTGATATCGTCAGTCCTCGTACAAGGCTACATAACCAATGGTGATGTGCCTGCTGCTTGGACGTGTATTGAGATGCTGAAGTCATTAGGAATACCCATCCATCAATCCGTATATTCTATATTACTAAAAACTGTCGAACCATCGCTTGTACAGGAAGCAGATGCTGTGCTCGCTGCTGCATCAGCCGACGGCATAAAGACGGACGTCATCAATTACATTGAAATCATGCGGTTTCATATAAAATCGGATCGACCACGTCTAGTATTATCATCTTACGAATCCTTACTTGAACAAGGATTAGAGCCAACTACAGCTGTATATGATATGGCTGTGAGAGCCGCCTGTCAGCTAGCAGATTCTGAAATGCTGGCCCAGATACTGACGCGTGCGAAAGCAGAAGACAAGGTCTTGTCTGCTACATCGCTGGAGGCGTGCATGAAGGCTGTAATACAGGGGCAAGTTTCCCTCCCACGTCCTGTAAGAGATGACGGTGATAAAGATATTGGTGTCACGAAGGGTGAGAGCCCGATACACAGCACGTTGATGGAGAACGCAAACTCGTCTCTTGTATCGTCCAGAATTCTAGACCTACGATATTTATTAGAATCGTCTCGCAACGCTGGAGTCAATGTCAGGAAAGCATATCGAAACAAGTTTTTGGAGGAAAGCAAGAATCCGAATACCTCTTTGGCTCTTATAGGTGCTTCTAATTCACCAGTGCCCTGGCCAAGGACTTCCAAACGTCTCGCAGATATCTTTTTTGTACGAGGTCGACCTGATGGGATATTAGCCCTCCTCATACATAGCAAAGACCGTGAAAGTGTAGAATTTCTCGCTAAGACCTTCCTCAGGAGTATAAATACCCGGTTAGTAATCGCTAGTAGTCACCTCGGGTCCGATGACAATGTAGATAGTATAAAACAGGTTGCAGACAATGGTGACAAGGTCAATCAAGGCGAGGCCGGTGTCTCTGTATCCTCGCCCCAAAGTAGTGATAACACCTATAGTTCGTATGCAGCAAAAAAGCATGTCGAGTCATGTATGCTGACTCTAAAGAGTTTAATAACTCATCCGATACGAAGCCAACTACTCGAAGTCGATGGATGGTTACGTCTCTTCTTTTTCATTCTTCGACGGAATGCAAAGGTTATAGGCGGTGAGGAATTTTGGCAGCTGTGGCTAGTATGGAAGCAGATACCAATTGAAGAGTCAGTAGACAAGTCGATCATAAAGGAATTCTTGAGAATCTTTCGAGAGAATGCTCCTCAACGGGTGGTCGAGTTTCTAACAACCGACTGCATGTCAGACAGGGAAAGCTTCAAGGTGAAGATCTTGCCCAAGGTTTTATATAGATTAGAGAAGACTGGAAGCAATCCTTTAGATACAAACAAAATCAAAGCATTCTGGAACATAAAGTAATTTATAAATCGGTACCTCTTTGCAATTTTTGGATTGGGCATTAATTTTGGTTGCTGATTCAACCAAGGTCTATATTTGTTTGTAAATCTAATTATGAGATCTCTAAATGTGTCGTGTACAAAAACAAAGCTATAATTACAACAGTAGAAAATGTGCGTGCGTGTGTCTTGAAATATCCCCATCTAAATTGTACCCTCAACTAATAAAACCACCCTCATTGACATTTCCAACGACCAAAAATTAAAAATTCGACTACTTGGATTGGCCAGCGACAATCTCCTTCAGCGACGCCCGTCTGGTTCTATATCTAGACAAGGCTAATAATCCATCTACGGCATCCTGATCGAGACTATCAGTATCCGAGTCCGACGTGTAATCCTGTGATTGACTACTATGTACACTAGCAATCGGTGATGGAAGTACGGGCGATCCACTAGACTTCACTGGAGTTGATACAGATGGCTCCGTGGTTCCTAATTGTGCATGCAAGTCCTTTATATGGTCGATACAAGCCTGAAGTATAACGACCTTGTTTATGTTGGATGTTCCGATGGGCGGTAGTAGTGTATATATCTCTGCAATCTATAAAATAAGAGTTACAGTAAGCACTAGGGCTAATGCGGTTTGATTGATCAAGCGGGAAAATGCCCGCAAAAACACAATTTCCTCCGAAAACACGTTTTTGGTGCCTAATTTCAACCACATACTGCCTAAACCCATGATAAGCGTACCTTGTCATTTATACGTCCTCGTCTACGTTTCTCAACAATGGAATGCGATATCTTGCGCTGTTCATCTTTATCCGACGAATTTGCACGTGTGGGTGTCGGCGTTACTGATCTCTTACTAGTAGCAGACACTGGCCCGCTTCCTGTACTATATGACGAAGCCGATCTCGATGCGGGCGATGGATACCGTGTGAATGGAGCAGGATATGGTGCTGGCCTGACAAAACCGGCACCGTTTTGCCGTGCGCGTGAGAGTGACGTGGTGGATGTTACGACATATTGGTCTAGCGATCGCTCTGCGGGAAGAGCGGAATGTGACAGTATTGCTGCTACGGGTATCGGTGATGGTGCTCTTGTCACCGTGTTTCGTAGCGGGGTGGGCTGATAGTGGTGATTTGTTATTATCGATTGCTGTTGGGTGGGGTAGGATGGCTGATATGGCGGATATGTGGATAGCTTGAGAGTGTGCATCGTTGTGGATAGGTTGTGTCTATGGAGCTAGAGTTTCAAGTCTCCAAGTTTTTTTTTTGGAATTGCGCTAGTAATCAGGTTAGTGTTGAAATCGATTTGGCCGGCTTGACTTTTTACGGAAAAAGTCTAAAAGTGTGTACTATGACGTACTGTCACATCTGTGCGACACCTCGTGTGAATCAGGAGGGAGGAGGGTAAGGATCGACCCCTCTTCCGGTTTCTTACGGCGTGGCAATCAGCGGGCATTTGAGTGGGTTGAAATCTTGGTTGAAATTGCTGCTGGTCGGCTAGTTTAACTACCGCAAATTGCTGTAAGTGGGCATTTGAACTGGTGCAGATCGCGTGTAGCTTGTATTTAAATCAATACAGATCAACTCAAGACTTTGTTTTTCCTCGTTCTTCCGACGATTTTATATTTCGACCAATAGGTCTATACCCCGAAACACACTCTACCATTCTCCCTCATCGTCTGCATCAGATTGTTCCTCCTCTTGTTCGCTCTTGTCCTCATCACTATCATCATCACCTTCACGTTCAGGCAAAACAACGTCATGTATTGTCGGATCGAAAGGGTGTCGGACCAACATGTCATACAAGTCTTCATGGAGGAGTGGAATGAGGCGTAGGGTATCCTCAATAATCTGTTTGGCGTTGAGGTCTGGTAGTGTTCGAAGTAACCTCATAGGACTATGGGAAGTCAGAAAGCTTTGATTAGAAACTTGATCTGGACTAAGGACGGATATCAGAAATATTCGAAATCTTACCTTGGGGCATTCAAGAGTTCATGCCGTATATGTGTGATCTGAACCACAACACATAATACATTCAGGTGTACTCCATAAGCAAACAAGAAATCCCATAATTTGCATAGCTCGTCCAGAGGTTGGGTACATGCACAAAAGGTCATAATTGCTTTAATAGATAGCACGCAGAGGTTGATGGAGAGTCAGTCGTCAGAGCTTGCGAACTTGGTCAAGATCGAACAGACTCACATGGGAAGGCATATACAGTTGCACTTAATTTCTTGTGCTTGAGGAAACTGTAAAGCTCATAGTCTGCGACCTTCAAGCACTTGTCCATCAGCTAAGAAAACAAAATTGGTTGAGTTCAATTTATTTATTTATTTACAAAAGAATGATTACCTTTAGTCCACAATGAACTCCTTCTAGAGCCGGTTGTACGTATAACGGACAGGTGTTTTGAATGAAGCTGGCAAACGAGTAGAAGGCATCCAGTTCAGGCATAACATACAAGAAGGGTGCTGCCAGCACATTCATTCCCTGTACGTATGAGTATTTCAAGTTGATCAATCTGGTGTGTGGTCGATCTGCAGATTAAAAGAGTTTCAAGTTGGTTGAAGTGAGATAATAGAAGGCCAACAGAAACAGATCGAATGGATGTATACCTTTTAGCTTCCAAACAAACGCATTCAACACTCTGCTCAGCATTCCTTCATCAACACGAGCCAAGAACTTTCGATCAGTAGCCAGGGTTCTGAATGTGTCATTTCGAATCTTGTCGTGTACTTCAGAGGCTCCTCGTTGGATCAATGACACATAGTCCTGGGCCTTCATGCGATATATGCCCAGCAATATCTTCCATATGCGACCTCGTAGCGAGCACGATCCGTCATCCATTAGGATCTATAGAACAGCATGGGTAAGTGAGACAAGACCAAAAACAGGGATTTTGCGTGTACCAGATTGTTGTCTTTAACATCTTCGGTCATTTCAAGCTTACCTCAGCACCGTTAGGTAGGCCATGCTCACAAATCATCTTCCGTAAGGTTTTCAAAGCTTCTCTCAATTCCCTGTCTCCTTTACTTGGAGTCCTCAATAAGGTCTCATACATGTCTCTCAGTACATCCGGATGAACTTTACCGGGATTGTGCCTATGACGTGCCGATGACGCCCATACTCCTCCAGGTGGACCAGCAGGTGGTAATCCAGCCATGCTACCTCTCGACGGTTGCTGTTGCTGCATGCGACGTTGTTTTGCAGTACTGGTATTGTTTTGGATATTATAAGGGCCGACACTCTTTGGTGGCGATGCATTAGTATTAGCAATGGAAGATGGAGTTGATGGTCGTTTCGCAGGAGTATGGGGTCGTTGAGCACCAGAGGGAGATGGAGCAGTATTACTGATTGTAGGAGTACTTGGCCGTGTTCTTCGAGGAGGATTGACACCAGCAATATGGTTATTAATAATATTATTGTTACTGATTCCAGTCCCTGATGTTGTTTGGTGGGATGTGAATGTGTCTTTTGTTGGGGATGTGGGGACAGGAGCAGCTGGATTGGCATTTCGTCTACCAACGGAGCGAGTAGATCCATTCCATGGTGGTTTGACACCAGATTTTCTACTTGTATCAGATGCCACAGATGAGGTTAACGAAGAATTGGATGACACTCGCGCCATGCCAAATCCACCACTGTTGAATTGCCCTTCTGGCGTTGATCCTGGTATATGACGGATTTGACCTTTAGTTTTAGTAGGCGTAGTAGGTATTGGTCCCATTCCTGATGCCATGTTGTATATAGATTATGTTTGATCTCAGTCAATTGCTGAACAAAGAGTGACAAAAGTTGTTGAACGCGACAAAAACCAAAGTTTCCACATAGAATTTTGCGAACAAAGTCTCACGTTTTCACGTATTTATTACAAATCCTTCACTGCTTTCCATTGGAGAAGAGGATTGATGTCTCACGAAACTGCACCGTTAAAATGCGACAACTGGAGCATTCTTTGGCCTTGACTTGGGCGGTGTACATCCAATAGTTTCAAGCCCACGACTCTGGATCTGGACTGCCATTCTTGACTTTCGTTGGCATCAGTCTCCAACGTGAACCTTAAAGAACGAACGGTGAACTCGTTCTTGCTCTCTTTCCTCGGACGGTGGTCGCAAAAAATAAACACCAAAAGAGCGAAGAAAGCTACATACTTTTCGGAACCAATAAAGTCTGAAGCTGGCTTCAATCATCATTTACAAGACTGCATCGGATAATGGAGCTCCCTCCTGGGCAGTGGTTTACAGCTACAGGCACAATACGCAACACGAGCATCGCACGCACAAAGACATGGCCAGATACTCCTACTAATCGCTACAGACTATCGAGGAGAAACCGAGGAACCTGGTATCTAGGTGAAGGAAACCTTGGAAGTTGTGGCAAACCAGTATTTGATACCGATTACTATGTTGTAAGTTTGGTCAAGAGTTGCATTTTACATTTTCAGCCCAACAACAGTATTGATCGCTCTTATAAAACATGTTCTTTTCTATAGGCTATGGTAAGTTTTGCAGCATCATCTCTAGCTGCGGTTGGAACGTTTGAATCTCAGCTCGCAAATCATTACCAAACACGCAATCTTCAATTGCTCAACCAAACACTTGCTCAAGCAAGCACATACTCAACCTAATTCTACTTAGCCGACAGTACAATTCGATCCTCTTTCTCCTGGTGGCAATAGTTGGGCAAATCCTTATTGTGTAAGTATTACTGCTTTTCGCAACAACACTATGATGTTTACGTAGCTGGTGGACGGCTGGAAGGGAGTGAGAGTATGGAAGCACGTAGACGTGCTCGCTCTGATGAGATGGATGCATGTGCGTCTATTTTCATGTTGTTCCAAATGCTGACCATTCGCGATCGTAGGGCAAATGCATCATCATTCATGCCAACGGGAATCTAGTCCAGGCGACCATTGAAGATGCGTGCCCAGCATGCCCTGCTGGTGGGCTTGACTTAACTACTCCAGGTAAACGCCTGTCGTAATTTAACAATTGGCGTCATTCGTACCAAACCCTGTTTCCCTTCAGTCTTCAAGGCATTGGCTGATATGTCCCTCGGCGTGATTGATCTCACGTGGCGGTACTGCGATGGAGTTACGGGCCCAGATGCAGGTATGCTTCATCACAAATAAGCAAACTCAGTAACAGGAAGCTTACCCCAAATAATCGCAGGACCATCAAATGGAGGCAACTTTGGGAATCCAGGATCTGCACCTATAGTTGTAGTAAATCCCTCTGCCGGGCCATCTGCAGCCGCTCCAGCACCCCCAGCCGCTTCCCCCTCACAACCCAAAGTTTCAAATGCTGTTGCAGCCGCGACACCGACAAAATCCGGTAGCAGTGCAAGTGGTCTAGCTCCTCTAATAATATCATCACCTACAAGTTCAATTATATCACCGGTCGGAAATGGTAATGATACCGTCACAGCGAATGTTGGTATTGTACTAAACCCCCAAGCTGGACTGACAACTGCAGGTGTTGCGGGGACAATAGTAGGCGTCCTGGTATTCTTGTCTATGGTTGTCTTTGGAGTTTACTATTATCGACGCACTGCCAAACCAAGGAATAGAGAGTACTTCGATGATGTCAACAGCCCTCGATCACCACATGATAGTTTCTTCCCTCCTGTAGCCGGTCCTAGAACGGCACCATGGTCGTCTCGTAACCGCTTCTCGAAATTCGAAGATGAAAAAGTGGTGGACTATCAAGGGGACAGGAAGAGCGGGAGTGAATTCTTTTTCGGCACAGTGAAATATAACAGTATGAGTGAAACGGGTATCGATTCAGCATATACGTGAGTTACTGCAGTCCCTCGTCATTGCAATTCATCCTGATTCTCGGATTCAATATTTTTGCCCCCACATTAGAACGCGTGAATATACATATGGCTTCACAACCCCACCTTACAACGGCCCCCAAAGCCCTCCGACTCCAGCATACTCGACAACGGCAAGGCCAAGCAATAAGAGGCCATACGGGAATGCTCAGGTAACCTACGGAGATGCGCCATTGGCAACTTATAATATGAGACAGCACACCGCTAGTCCGGACTATGCCTCCTTATACGCTGATGGCGAGTATCCGTACGAGAAGGGTGAATATAGTCAAGATAATGCTACTCCTGAACCATACCATGGGGCACCGACACCACCGCCGAAGGAACCGATCACGCCTCCCAAACGAGACGCTACAAGAGATGGTAGTCGTCAAAGAGCCATAAGTAAAGAGAGGTTACGGCGCGAAGCCAGTCGAGAGAATCTGTCTCAGAAACGGCCACAACCCGTTGTGGAGGAGGATGAGACGGGATTGATTTCTGCATATAATCAGGAATACTCGCAGCCTTCTGGTGGTAATCAACAGCAACAGCAGAGATACGATTATAATGGTGATGACGAAGAGGATGCCAATGTAGTTTACTCGTCTCAATCCAGAAGAGACAATTCTCAATCCAGGAGAGACAATCAATCGTCACGGAGTCGCAGTGCGAGTAAAACCAGGCATAACGAGGACTCGAACTCCAGAAGCGCCACAAGCCAACGTAGAGATGAGAACGTAGGCATACCAGTAAACGGATCGCGCGGGCGACCATCACGATCTAGAAGCAACGACAACATGCACCACTCTGCGTCAACTTCCAAGACCGAGAGATCCCAACCACGTCAACCCAAAGTAAATAATAGTGCAGGAGAACGCTCTATACCGAAAGGACCAAGGCAGCAACCCTCGTATTCGGCAATGACACAGCCAATCCCACCAAACAATCCACCTCCATATACTGAAGCACCGTCACGACCTGCGCGGGCTGCCGATCGACCTAGACGCTCCGGAAGCGCAAGGAATGAGGAAAATACTACTAACGATACTGCTACAAGGAATGGGACTGGTGGTAGATACGATTGGGATATAGACGATCCGTACAGACACAATGACCAGTATGACCAATATAGATGAGCTCCCTCATTCAGAAGATAGAGCGCTGGTGGATAGAGTCGTTTTCTGTCTCATATACCAAACAACATCTTGTATATTTTTTTCAAATGAAATATGTAATATCTGCACTGCAAAAGCACTGCAAAAGAAGGAGTTGTGTGATAGTGTGTGTATGTGTGTGTATTGCTATTGTAAAAGGAGGATCTGATTTATGTGCAAGAACGAGTGCCTTTGGTTTACTACAAGTCAAATTCGCTTCTTCTCTTCTTTGCTCCTCCTTCACTTGGTCTTCTTCTACGTTCAGCAGGTCTAGACATAATAAATTTGTAGGTCAATCAGGGAGAGAGAAAAAACGTACTATTTCAACACTTTTACTATACCTCTTGTTCTTTCTGAGGTCTCCTTGAATTGGTGGCCTTTCAACACCTTTAATGTACAGGCTGCAAGGAATGAGTTAGTTGTCTACTTGACCATACAAGTAAGAAAGCTTTAACAGAACTTACTATTGATAACACCTATCACACCGACCAGATCGTAACCGACGTCCATGCGAAGGCTCATTACAGTTTTTACAATGTGGGCCGTCGTCGCCTTCTCCTTCGTATTCAGCGTCGCCGTCCAAATACTCGTCAAGGAGCGGTAAACTTGGTGCTGGTGAGGATGATGCTTGTGAAGTCACAGAGTGACTGGGGAGCTGGTGGATATTATTATTGTTTTTGTGGTTGAAAATCATGGCGGATACTGTTGCTGTTGGTGCTGATGTTATTGGTGGTGGTAGTACGTGTGATGAGATTGAGGAAGGTGACACTCCTGTTGGATGTTGTTGTTCTTTAGGAGCGGAGGCCATACGTATATGGATACCCTTGTTATTAGATGTTACGATAGGGGGGTATTGTCTAACGGGTGAGAAATCATCCTCGTATAATCCTTCCTCCTCGTATTCTTCTTCGTCATCAAGGTCGGCTTTATATCCACCTGTGTCGACATCATTCTGCGCATCAATTTTAGCGATTGCCGATGCTGCAGCGGCTAGAGCAGCAGCCCGAGCTGTTTGAATGGGTTCAGTCGATAACTCAACGTCCAATCCGCCCCATGTCTTTGACGATGATCTAGCCGGCTCGGATCCCATGACTCGAGACATTGAAGCCCAGCCTCGTAAATCCGTTGACGACTTGTTGAAGGATTGTTGAGACATTGATGACGTGTTGAACAGGAAGGCGTCCTCCACTTCTCTCTTGACTCTTCCTCTTAAATCGGTTTCCATTGTAGCTACGGATAATGCCAAAGCACCACTCAAATCCTGTTCCAAGTCCTTGCGCATTGCCGTTGAAGATGATGTCAGTACCCTCCGAGTTTCCTCTTGTGCTATAGCTCGGACCTGTGGAATGAGTTCTGGTAGAATGGTGGTTCGAAACACATTCATCACAATGTTTGCGACGTGATCATCAGTCATTTGTGGTTGAGAGTGGTTTGAAATGTTCATATGCTGCGTAGTGGCTGATGTAGGTGATGATGTGGGATGCTGCATATTTGCACGAACATACAATGCATGCTGATTCTGAAGGGCAGGTGAAGCTAGAGGCATTTCGTATGACTAAATAACGGTTTAAAGCGACAAAAAACGGTTGGTTTGACTTTGTACTCTTGGTTGAGGTCGATTGTTGCATTTGACATTGCAACCCAAATCCTGTCGAATTCCAACCAAACGCAGTAAAGAACCCTTAAGGTTTGGATTCGTGTCAGAACATCAGGATGTTCTTAATGAGACCTAAAACTTGCTTGTTCTTCCCTGTAGGCCCATAGCAGTCCAATTGGGAGCTGGAAATTTGATGTGAAGGTTAGAGCGTGTTTGAATACAAAACTCTAGTAGAAAACTTAGAGAATACGTGACAAATCACGTAGTAAATAGCAAAGAGTCAGTCTTGCTTTCGTTTTCCGTTTAGAATTCTATTCTCCATTGCTCTCTTGCTTCCACCATTTGGAAAAAACAGTATAGCTCGTTTCCCATTCGAGAGATAGGGATGAGTGCCAATAGTATACAGCCAAACAATACTCTATATGTGACAGCCATCAATGAAAAAGTCAAGAAACTGGGTAAATGCCACAATTGCTGCGAATTTCAACATTTTGCGAAAAACAACACGATGACTGCATGCTAACCCATGTTACTTTATACTCTAGAACTTCGACGTCAATTATATAATCTTTTTTCGCAGTATGGCAAAGTAGTGGATGTAGTTGCTACCAGGAGAGAAGGACAACGAGGACAAGCATTCATCGTTTTCGCTCAATTGACTGGTGCTAGTTCTGCGCTACGAGCACTACAAGGCTTTCCATTCTATGATAATCCACTGGTAAGAGACCATATACTAGTCCATGGATGCTTACTTTATAGACTGAATCCGAACGGTTTTCTCTACCAGAAAATAGCCTATGCCAGAACAAAATCCAATGCCATCAAGATGATGGAAGGAGTATATGTAGAAGCCAGAAAACCAAAATCTAAAAAGGCTGATGATGATGACGAGACTGCTGCAGAATCGAGTGCGCCCAAGAAGAGAGTACGAGAGGACGAAGATGTCAATGGAAAACCTCATGCCAATGGCAAGAGGCTGAAAGGAGATTCAAGTCAACCTGAAGAAGGTATGTAATTAGTGTAAACAGATGGTGGTATATGCAGCTTTACCCGAACCCGTTTTGCAACAAGTTTCTCATTCCTCACACTTTCAATTACCTACACAGAGGAAGACGATAGAATGGACGTGGATGAACAACCAAAAGAGAAAACAAACGAAACAGCAGAAGCACCACCATATCGGATACTGTATGTACAGAACCTCCCACCAGGTGTTACAGATCAGATGCTATCCATGCTATTTACTCAGTATCCTGGCTTCAAGGAGGTCAGGATGGTGCCTGGCAAACCTGGGATTGCATTTATAGAATACGAGAACGAGGAACAGGCTGTCGTGGCCAGAAGAGAATTGAATAATTTCAAGCTGTCGCCACAACGAGAGATGGCTGTGAACTTTGCCCAAAGAATGGGAGCTTCCAAATAATAAAAGAAGAAGTGAATATTTTGCATTCCTTTGTATGTAGATTTCGAATCAGAGCAAGATAGTATTTGACTATATCATCGTGTTCGGTTTTTGAAGGATTCGCTGGATGTTTGCAACGTATCTTTAGGAAAGATCCTGTTCGATATAAAATTATTACGAAAACTACCCCTTCTTCTTAAGCACACTATCGTTCGCATGATCGCTGTCTAAAAGTCAACATCAATTCGCTCGTCACACCAACAATACTCGCTCGAAACTTCCAAAAACAAGACCCTACAGACAAGAAACAAAAACTAGTAACGATGACAAAAGATACCAAGATGTATAGCGCAGAAGTGAAATTGCACCATGTTTCTAGGTATGAAACAACTGGAAAACCATGTTCTTTATGCGGGAAACTCACGCTTCATTCTCATAGGAAAACTGGTGCTTCCAAAGACGTTCGAGGTAAGTGGAATCTCTACATTATGTTCTGTTATGACAGAACTAACATGTTTGATCGTAGGCCCTATCAAAAAAAGTGGTTCTGGAACACATAATTGGGGCAGCGAAAAAGATATCGTTGATTCAGAGGTTGAACTGGCATTGAAAGAAGGAGATGCTGGACGTACCACTACAAACGCTCATATCCAGGTATATCTCGCTGCTTTTGTTGTCTTTCAAGCTGCCCCACCGCTGTCGTAACCATCCGAGTATCCCGTGATTGTCTTGTTTGTCGATTTCGAGAAACGTCATCTCGCGATGATCAGTTTGATCCAAATTTCCATCATCAAATCTACAAATCTATTATTCTAATTTATCTATCAACTCTTACTATCAGGTCGTCACAGAAAAGGACTTCAAGAAGCTCCAAGGAATCCAAGACGAAGACGACGAAGAATTGGGTGATGAGGATGAGGCAGAAACCGCTGAAACCTCATCATCTTCCTCTACCACGCAATCCACTACTACCCAATCATCTGCTTGAGGCAAAGTGAGAATGAATCTATGCTATCAGTAGAGAAAATATTCAAATGTCCAAAGAAAAGCACGAAGAACAGCAAAATTTGTATAAAGATTTGATGGGAGGAGGTTTCGTTGTAATGAGATTTGAAACAAAGAAGTAATTTTTAAGCTTAACATTTGATTTTGTGCCGCAAGTTTCAAGGCTGTTGGGTGGTCGTCGCGTGTTCAAGCTTCAAAGCGCTTCTGGTCATGCAAATTCAAAGCATTAAGTCATACACATTACACATGGTCAATCAACTCTTCATATCATCTCATCATCACACTGCAGCAGTGCCACCAGGATGGTAGTTGAAGACTCGACATTGACCAGGCGTTCGGGAACCTTGCAGAGTAGCCATTACAGAAGCTCGTCGCCACCACCGGAAACTACTCGTTCGTTGTCTCGACGACCATCGACTCTCCGACCAACTTCAATTTTGTCTACCGTTTACGAAAAGTTGAACACTAGACTGTTAAATGGGACCGTCGACGTTCCATTACAAAAGGCAGATGATGCAGAAGACGACCCGCCTTGTGCTGCCGAGCTCTGTGTTGTTTGGGACTGCATCTCATCTACAGGTACACAAACTTTTGTTATCACAAAGCTTTCAAGCCATCGGTTACCTCAACGGTGCGATTGCTTGAACGTTGACGATGATAGATTCTTACTTGAAGCTACGTTTCGCTCACCCCCTTTAGATGAATGCAACCAATGGACCAAGCTTGGAGGAATACAACTGCTTACCGGAATACTAAATACTGCTACTACGGCGAGGATAAGGGAATGTGCTCTAGGAGGACTTGGAAATATGGCTTGCCATACTAAAGCTGCTTCTGCAATCATGATGAGCAACACAACCGTCGAACTCATTTGTAAATCCGTCGCCACGTCATCGTATCCACCTGTCGTATTAGAAGGAACCAGAGGCCTAGAAGCTTTGTGTAAATGGTGTGGCAGTAACTCTCGTGATGCTGCAGCATCGCTTCTCAAGGCAATCCAGGACTGTAAAGTAGTGGACCGTCTCGTACTCATAATAGCAGACACATCAGGAGTCGACTCGGCCGTGGTGCTAGCCTCCACAAAATGTCTCAAAGCTATAATCACGTTGGGGGTAACTTCACCATCTGCAGCCGCGGTCGAAGTCGTGTCGCAATGTCAGGACCACATTAGGATACTCTTCGAAACAATGAGTACCTGGCTGAAACGTAATGAAGAAATTGGTATAATTAGAGCTCTTTTGCACATGCTATGGATGCTTATAAGGAACGGAACCCCTGTGCATCAAACCGATGTGGACTTGCTGGCAGGTCAACTGGTATCATATGTATGTGTAATAGTAGGTGACCACGAAGACCTGACTGAAGATCAGGTGTCGGCCGTCTTCTCCGCTCTAATGCTGCTCGACATCATGCTCAGCTCTGGGACTGTACCAGGTCGTAAAAGTGCAGAGACGTTTAAACTAGCCGCATCATCGCCCGCCTTAATAGCAGCCGTAATCGACCTCGTAATACCGTGTTTTGCTGGTTGGAGATTGCTTGGACTGCTAGTACCTCATATATTGACACGAAATCCACAACCAGACGATCCTGTGGTTATCACCATAACAGCAAGGATTGAAGACTTGGTTGAAGTTGGTGTAGAGGTAGATCCCTTACGTGATTTCGTAAAGGATGAGAAAGATCAGGCTGCTTCAGTGAATACCATCGTTAGGAGGACTTTATATATATTGTTGGGTATTGTAGAGCAATCTGGAAAGCCTAGTAAGCTGCTGAGGCAGATGTTGACCAAGCTGTGGTCAGAAGCTTAATGAATGTTGTCTTGTTTACAATACGACCAGGCTTTGGTATGAGACCTCGTGAGCGCTGTAGCGTCTAGTACGAAACTTATAATCCTGTAATCGAACGTGTTTCAGTACCGTTATCATAAAAATAGAATAGTAGTCAGCTAGTCCGTGAAAAAGTTCACGTGGAAGTCGGGGTTTGTTCGTGTTCTTAACTTTGCTCATTCTCAGTTTTTCAGAACCACAGGCAGGAGAAGCAGCAGCAGCAAAGCACAATGTACGGAGGACCACCCACGTTGGGGCTACGTAAGTACATCAGAATATAATTGCTTTTCATCGCTATGTGTTCGCATCTCTTCATCAAGCTTTAGAACTAATTCACTATTTTCTTGACCTTGACAGCTTTTCCTCGACCATCTCCCGTCATATCAGCACCTCCATCATTCAACAATGCTGGTCCAGGTCCAATATCAACTCCAATACAGCCTAGGCAGCAACCGGCTGTCTCGAATGAAAAGCCAGAAATCGTGTTTATAGCAAAGATTCCTGACGGGGTCGCAGACGAATGGATTGAACGACTGTGCAAGGTATAAAGTTATTCGAAGCTTACTCGCTTGTCCGTCATGTATCTGATTTATCATAACAACAGATCTGTGGGCCATTCAGACAATGGAGGCGACTAAAAGATTCGAATGATGTTGCAAGACCATGTGGATTTGCTCTATTTGAAGGCAAAGAAGGTCCTGCTCGAGCACTACGAGTGCTGGGTGCTGGTGACGGGATTGAACTTCCATCACCATTACCCAGTCGACCGTCTAGGAAGCTCAAAGTGAGTGAATCTTGACTTCTCGCTAGTACGGTTTTTTGCGCTTACAGAATGATTTATATAGGTTGTGGTAGATCAAGCCATGAAGAAGGAATATGAAGACATCATTGGCGTATGTCATAGCTCGGTTATGGTTTGTTACGCCCTGCACTGACCTCCTTCATCCAAATAGGACGACAGCGCTGCTATACAAGAATTACCGAAAATGATTGCCGAATTGGAAGATTCAACCATAGCTGCAATATTAGATAAAGCGGACAAGGCAAAGAATGCAGAGTTCTTGGCCAACGCAGCAACATACGGAAACAGAAACCTCCTCGACGATCTAAAAGACGAAGATATAAATCCAGAGCATCGTGAAATGATTCGTTCTGAAATCAGATCATTCAGAACGAATGCAGCTATACGAGATCTAGCAAAAGAAGAAAATAAATTAAAAGAAGAATTTGACCGACGTGCTCGTGATGAACGAGACCGTGAACGAGAACGAGAGAGAGTAAAGTTGAGAGGTGTTGCTGGAGCCACCGGTGCTCCTGAACGAGTGCCAGTTGGTGGTAGCAGCAGTACTAACAGTACTAGCAATTCACGAGATGTACAAATTCGAGAACGAGGATCTATGATAGTAGATGAAGAAGACGAGGAAGAAGAATTGAAAAGGGAGGAGAGGCGTAAGAGAGATATGGAGCTGGCTTTCAAAGAGGTAATACGTCGTGGATGGAAGATTTTTTTCTGTTTCGTGTTGTGAGTTTCCAAACATTAACCCTTGCAATACCTCCATTTTATAGAGAGAACGACGATGGGAAGCTCGCGAGGAGCACACAGGACGTCAAAGAGCAGACCAGTATGCTCGTGACGAACTATGGCTAAGTCAGCGCCAAAAAGACCGTGCAAATGCCGAGGTCTACTTCAGAGATTACGACGATGAAGTGGCGGAAAATGAATTATTCTATGTCAACAGGTAAGACCTTCGACAAGGCATTATGATAGGATTGACTATGTGTATTGATGCAATATGATGGTGTTGTGGGGTTGCAAATTTTATGATGCTCACATCATTCCGAACAAATTCGCCATATAGAGAGAAGTGGTTTGCACGACGTACCAGCTTCCGAACTCGAGAGCAAGAACAAGATGCTCGTGATCGTCGTATAGCCCAACAAGAGGCTGAGCGTAAACAAGCTGTACAACAACAAGCCTCGTCATCTGCTCGTAGTGCTGGTGGAGCTACAGAACATGGAAGACAAATGTCTGTGGATCTGGATGATGAGGCCGAGACTGCAGCAGCAGATGCTCCTGTAGTTATTGGCAGAATCATGACCAAGGACGAAAGGAATGCTGCCAAGAAGGATTTGATTGAATCTCTGCCTGTTGATAAAGAAGGACTGTTTGGCTGGAAGGTTCAATGGCATCTGCTAGATGAGGTAGGACGTTGTATGGTCGTATCAGTAGCACTTTGACGACGTGTTCACCCGAGATACGTCGCTTTTTTGCTCAAAATGAGAGTAATACTGAATTACATCGAATTACGACGAATCTGACCACATATTCTCCAATTCCATCCATAGCACATGATAAGAGAGAAATTCAACCCATGGGTCACCAAACGATTGGAAGAGCTGATGGGAGGACATGCAAATGATTTGATTGCCTCCATCATTGCAGCATTGGCAAAGCACACATCGCCTCAGAAACAGGTTGAAGATTTGGCGTTACCTTTAGATGATGATGCTGAACTCTTTGTCATGAAGTTATGGCGATTGCTGGTATTCGAGACTGAATCTCGTGCAGCAGGATTATCATAAAAGCACTCTATTATAATCTCACTCTTTGTATGTAATATTTGGCATTAACAGCAGATGTGTTTCGAGTCAAAACAGCACAAACCAGTTCTCGTATACTCAGCTCTATTCAACTAAATGAGGTTTTCCACATCGCCGCAAAAAAAGCAGACCAAAAACACCAAATACGCGACTGATATCAGAGGAGTAACAATCAATATATGATAATTTTTGCCATAAACTACCGATCTACCTTTTACAAGACTTTCAAAAACACAAGGGGTTTTGGGGGTTTGCAACAAATGGTTGCGCGAGCAGTTGTTCAATATGTTTCCATTTCAGTTTCTCCTTCAGGAATTTCGAATCCGCTACAGTTTATATAACAAGAGTAAGTACAACACCACCAAAAACATTTGAAATGACCACCGCCAAACTTAACAAAGTGAGAGAGCAAGCGAAGAGACTTACTCTTCAGTCTTGTACATGATAGCTTGGATTTCCTTCAAACGACCTTCGATATCACCAGAGACACCTTCACCTTCGAGCAAGGACTGGACAAACATTTCGATTTCACGTAATTTTCCAAAGTAGAAGTCACGTTCCTTTTCGACCTGCTCTACATTCAACTTGAGCTCAAGAGCTTGTTGAGTCAAGTCATTGACAGTCCGTTGATATTCAGCTTCCAATTCAGCTCGTTCTCTACCAGATAGACCGCCAGTTCCGTTTGAGGAAGCGGCGGCTATTCGAGTAGGTTGAGCAGATTGAGACATCATGGATTTGGAGGGTTTTGGTGATGGATCTACAGATGGGTTTGATGGTGACTTTTTCATTCCGTTGGAAGCAGGAGCTGGTACTGCAGATCGGTTGATGGCGACGGTTGAGCGAGTAGCTCCATTTGAGGTTATAGGTGCTGGACCGGAATCTACTCCGCCAGTTTTTCTTCTAGCAAGTGCGTCGTAACTGCCTCCTGGATAATATTGATCCCAGTATCTAATTAGAAGTATGGTTTTATATGTGAGAATCTCCAGTCTAAGGTTGTAGAAATCACAAGTAGATTTGAAACAGAGCATACTTTTTCATCCATTGCAGGAATTCGATATTATCTTGAAACTTGCACTTTACGAGTCGTTCAACAGGAATAGCATTATCAATCTTATGCTTGTCGAATGCGTTTTGAAGAATTTTGAAGTTTTGGATGTATTCGTATTCTTGTCGCGTGTTGAATTTCACTCTGGACACGGGGATCTATAGATAGGAGGAGAATGATGATTAAGTATTCAACTTGAACAAAACATTTGTTGTGCATAGTTGCAGGTGACGTAGAGCAAAGCATTCGATCCCTTGCATGAATGATTTCATATGTAAATGACTTGATAATTGGATTTGCGATAATAATGTCATAGTCATGACATGGTAATGGGAGATGGAATGGGGGATGAAATGATGAGCGCAGTATTTTTGGACCTACATCTCTGAATATGGAGTCTAGGATCTGGCAGTGGGCAGCACCTGTGCCGCACTGCTCGACCTTTGTATACCCAAGCTGTAGCAAGTCATTCAACCAAGTGAGCAATTCTGTTCGTGATTCTCCCACTAATTAAAAAGGAATGGTGTTTATGATTCAGTCAAACGAAGGAAGACGGCAATGAAGGAGCAATGTAGAATACATGGATCAAGAGTGTGATATGACTTACTATTTGATTGTCGGTAAGCGACTCTGTCCTTTATTCGAGATCTGGCACAGTCGAGATGGAACAGAGTTTGTTTGGTCAACAATTGGAAGAAGAACGATGAAGCGAATGGAAGGAAACAATGTCCCGAGCGGTTTGAGGACGTGTTTTTCGCGTGAACTTCACAATTTCACAATTTCCGAACTCGTCATATTGTCTGACAAGCTACTTGTTCGATGTTGGTAATTTCATTGCTTTGCTAGCTTTGTTTCAGAGACTGTATTTTCGCAGCAGATGCTTTGGGGGCCCGTAGTTTGCAATAGACCCTGATGATTTCATGTTAATATGAGTAAATGTACGCCTGTTTGGAAGGATCCTTTTTGCCAGGAAGCTCTATTGGCAGCACATCCTGTCAATCGTCTACGGTAAGAGGATTGCTGAAGCTGTAAAGTGCTCTAAATTTGAGCTATTATGAAGAGAATCGTGGTATCATGCTGAATCTAACATGAATTTAACATTCCACTACTTAGAATCAAGAAGGAAGTCAGCCTTCCCAACAAAAAGACAATCACCATCCTGTATGCACGGTCTGGAGAGCCAACTACAAATGCAGATTCACAAGAAAAGATCACTCATGTCAGGGTATATCTCCGAAAAACATGCTCTGTTACAATCTTGGACAAGCTGATGTTGATCCGTCACCTACTAGGCCAAGTTGAATAATGAAATCGCCACGTTACGCACTCGATTGACTTCTCTAGCTGCTGATAATAACGAACTGGACACATTCATTAGGTAAGCTTCACGGATCTATGTCTTGCAGTCACGCACATGCCAACATTTATACCCATAGATCAAGAGCTGAAGAGCTAAATTCGTCAATATCAGAGCACATTGATCGGCTTCATCGGTACAATGAGATCAAAGACATCGGGTAGGATACGTGGGGTCTGATTTGGCGGATCAAACCACAGACAAGGACTTCAACTTACAATCGTTCTTGTCACAGACAGCTTGTACTGGGAAAGATTGCTGAAATGCAAGGTACCACAACCAAGGGAGTCTACACTCAATTTGGTCTTGATCAGGAGGATTGATTACAAAGCATCGGTTAGATCGTGAACTGCCAGGTCATCGCCAGTGCGATCATTGAGTTGTACAAAGGACTAAATAAAATTGAATATCTTTGCATGAGTCAATTATATTTTGTGATAAAGATTTCGTGCCCTAGCTTGTCCTTTTCAAACTGAAGTTCGATTCTTTCCTTGTTGCTCGCCAATCCATTTTTTTCGTTCCCACGACCGCAAAAGTTTCCAGGACAAGGGATACGCAGAGAGAGATCTATATCTAGCAGATAGTAGTGTCTAGTTGACGGGCAGCGTTACCATTCTAGTCCAAGTGAGACTCAGCCACCATGAGTGCCGGTTTGTTAGATTTCTCGCTGATGCCTGTGTTTGGTATTCCAGCTGTGCTCAGTAATAGAAGAAGCTCGCCTACGTCAATAAGGCAGAGTGAACCAACAAGTCCTGGAGGAACAAGCATGTCTCCTCGAGCCTTGTCATCAGAAGCTCCTGCTGCAAACATCAACAACCAAAACACACCCTCCGAAGAACCTCCTGTTAGCTCACTGCAACCAACCGAACGTAATACTGCAGCCTCTATTAATATGTCTACACGGGTGAACTTGACTCAAGTTATCGAAAGTTCGGCACCATCACACTCATCCATGTTCGGATCACCATTATCATCAATAGCTGACTCTCTCGAGGATTTTCTTCCGCACCATTCCATCCCAGAAAATCATCCACCGCCAATAGTAACTGTAGGATTGCCTGCTAGTGTACTTAACCCAGCAGATCAAACGGTAGTGCCAAGGACATTGTCTTTGCCACCTGTGGTTGTAAATAGCCTTACCAGTATTGCTACGAATACGACGAACAGTGCTAATACAGCACCGGCAACAGTTCTTGGTAGTGCTGCAGGCAGCTCGCCGGCATCTGAACCGACGACACCAGAGCCACCGACACCGTTGAATGCTACTGCTAGAGGAGCTATTGAAGCAATGGTATCTGCAGATCAAGCTGAAGGGCATAATAATTCTACTCTTAGTCGACGCATTCTGGCTAGGAGAGTAACAGCACGTAAAGCAGACCCGTTGGTATCCCATTTTAGTTTGGAAATGGATGACAATAGGACAGTCTTCCTGCCTGGTCAACGTGTAGAAGGTGAGGTCGCGATTAGATATATCGCAGTATGGTCAAATTTGTTTGTCCCGAACAAGATCTGAGTATTTATTCATGTTTCTAGGTCATGTCGCACTAAACTTGCTCGGGTCTGCGGAAGTTAGGATTTTACAAATAAGATTTACTGGATATATTCTCACCAGACTGTATAAAACAGATACCAAGTAAGCAATTTGAATGATTCTAAAACTTGCAAAAAGAGCTAACTTGATTTCCATAAACAGCATCTCTGCTCACTCAGCATCCATCACACTCTTCCGTGACGTACAAGCCATGATAGCGGCGCCTTCAATGGAAGAAAGAGGTGTCATGGTGCCAGAAGGCGAATATGTCTATCCCTTCTCATTCAGAATGCCACCCACCAATTTGCCACCATCTTACGACGGCACATTTGGTAAAGTTGGATATGAGTTGACGGCAATCTTGAATCGAAATGGATATCCTACCAGGACGGTCGTGATTCCTTTGACGGTGCCATCAACAGCAGATGCTTCTGATCGAGACTATGCTAGTCCGTTTGAAAAGTTGCTTTCTGGACCAGCTGGATTTTGGATTTGGAAGAGTGGACATTTGGATGTTGCTGTATCGGTTCCTAGAACGGGATACGCTAGTGGTAAGCACATAGCAATTCAGGGCACAGTTTTTTTCTTTCTCTATTTGTCGGGTCCACAACAGAAACCTGTTAACCCTGCCTTTTCATGTTTTGCAGAGGAAGTAATACCGTTGAAAATTGACATAACAAACCATTCGGGAGCTGGAACGATACTGAAGGACATATACTTGAAGCAGAAAGTCACTTACAAAACTTTGAGCGAGTAAGTCCTGGACAAAAAAAAGTGCTGCTGCACAAACTATATCAGATATTTGACAGCACATCGTTGATATCACATCCTTGTATCGCAGAGACTTACGAAATATTCTACTTTAGGACTCGTGGTCCCTTGACCGAGAAGATACATAAGCTGGCATATACAGAACCATATCCTGCTTCGGCTCGTCGTGTCTCTCGTATAGTCCAGTTCCCAGTCCCATGCTCGTCAGTAATGTCACCATCTATCAGGACATCGATATTGGACGTCTCCCACTTCATGATTGTCAAGATTGCCTCGAAAGCTCGCTTCTCTCCCACTCTCAAAATTAAAATACCCATCTTCATCGCAGGTTTCCCAAATGCCCTCCTTGATCTTTGGCATACACGGGCATCGGTAGATACATTACCAGCTTATGAAGCACCACCAACAACAGTTGTTGTACAAAGGCCAACTATAGTTAGTCGTTTGTCACGAGAGGTTTCCCGTGCTACGACGGAGATAATGTCACGAGTAGGTGCAGCGACTGAAGAGTCTAAGCAACGGGTATCGCTATTGGCACCTGCACGACCAACTGTAGGTGCAGATGAAATAGACACGATACCAGCACAGGAAACAGCACGACCCGCTACCAACAGAGACAGTTTGCCAGGTCGTCTCTTCGTATGGTCTAGGAATAGTAAAATGCCAGTCCCATCTGCATCTGAAGAGGTACATCTAATTAGTAACAACTCGAATAATAGTACTGCCGTGACATTACCTGCTGCCGAGATCGTCAAAGAAGAGGCCGAAGTAGACGAGAGACCTAGTAGAACCTCCAATCTAATAAGGTCATGGACACGTTCTCGATCTGCAGGTCGAGACCGTTATCAAGCATTACGCTCCGAAGATGAAGATGAAGTAGATGCGTCTATTCCACCTGTCCCGCTTCTTAGCTATCAACGTGTGCAAACGGATGAGTCTAAAGCAACCCGAAAGAACGAAAGTAGAAGAAAATCATTCTCGCCTGATGGATTTGCTGGCTCACTACCATCACCACCACCAGTAAGACCACCATCATCACCACCACTACGAGCGTCGTTCCAGCAGGAACGAGCTGCAACCGCTGTATTTGATGAGTTTATCGCTGAGGCTGGCAGAATACGTAATCTACGTCTAACAACTGCAGGCTCCTCTCCATCTATCCTGACTGGACCAGCTATATCGAAATCAAGTAAAGGAAAGGAACCTGCTCATATAGATTCCGAGGTAATCCGACAAGTAATGGCAGTAGCAGGTGATCACCCACCATATGTCCTAGAACATAGAGCGCCTGTCGATCTATATAATAGTAATGCTGGGCCAGGACCATCTACTATACCCGGTGAACTGGATGTCGGTGAACATTCTGACCATACAGAGTCTCCTGGAGAGTCAAGAACCGCATCTGAAGTGTCGAGTCTAGTCGGCACACCTCCCATGACGTCCCCAGTAGATTCAGCCTTGTCATTGTCTGCTCTGTTACCACTGCACGATATTATAGAGCCAGCTCATCTCACAGCACCAGAAAATAATATAACACCATCAACAGCAACATCAGCATCGCATTTGACCGTAGAAGGTACTCGTAAGAGTCTAGATAAGCAGGATTCTGGAATCTCGCTTGCTACTCAAAGGACAGTAAAATCAGTACGAAAGGTTGGAGAAACTCGGAGAAAGGAGAAACCAGCAATGGAGTAAAACCAAGCCAAGTCATTGAAATGTTGGAGAAATCTCACGGAAGGAGAGCCTGTATTTGGACTAGTCATCACATCACTGCATCAAAAACACGTAAAATAACTGATTCCTTGTATACAATGTTTGTGAAGATCAATTAACTATTGGGAATATTTGTCGCGAATGTCCACTCCATTTTGTGCGGATTGTGAGGATTGTTGGCGTCGATGGCGTCTATGAGTGCAAGCACGGTGCTCCCGAAGTTTTAATGTTTCATTCGCGTGCAAGTCCGCGTGTTTGCCTCTATAATGTGCTAGTTCCTTTGCACTTGCGACTACTTTTTTTTTTAATAACGTTCAGATCCAAAAATATGGATCCACCGATTGATTTAGAAGCCGCAATTACTGCTATTGCTGCTAGTACAGCAGAGCCTACAATAAATAGCGAGCTACCTCCAACTTCAACGGCACCAATAGTGGGAATCTCACCACCAGCTCCAGTCCCAACAGTTTCTCAACCAACACCACCAATATCGCATCCATTACCGTCGATACAATATGAAGCACCACGTCCAGATGTAGTACTCCCTGTCCCAGCTCCAGTACCTATACCGACAACCAAACCAACAACCCCATCAACAACACAACCTCCTTTGCCAAATCCACCATCAAACGCTATAGAGCCTCAAATGCATGCTCCCATAAAGAATACGTATATTTCCCCTTCAATTCAGGTCCCAATTTCTGCATCAGCCAGCCATAATATAGTCTACCACCCTGTAATGATCAAGAACGAAACCCAGTACAATGGAATTGTCACCCCTCCGTCATATGATGAACGGATTCATAAAGGTAGTAGCAATAGCCAATCGCATGTTAGTAATAGTAGTGGTAGTGGGACTGCAAACAAAGGAGTCAAAAGAACTAAAGGAACGGACGATGACTATCAAGATCCGTCGAATACGCACGCAAAGAAAAAGAAGGCTGTTGCTACTAGTAATAGCAATAATAATCCGTACAATAATGCGCCCTCGCTGTCAATGTCGTATAATCAGCAGGTGCTTGATCGGAGAGAACCTGTGATGCAGGAACCGAGGTACACATCTTCTGGTCGGCTTACGTCGTCGCGAGCCACGGCTCAGGCACACAAGTATGAAGAGGAATGGAAGGCTCTAGAATATGATGATGAGGAAGACTCGAGTAAGGCCTTGGGAACAATGGATTCGAGGTGATTTTTTGCCTTACAAGCTTCATTTTGATTAATAGTGCAAGATAGGAGCCATTCTTCTAGAGACAAGTTTCGGCAGACTGTTCAGCATAGGCTGTTTGAGATGCAAGAGACATTTCTCAAGAACAAGGACACGTACGTTCCCTAACACTAACAGAACACAAAAAGTTATCTATCTTACTGAAACTGTCGCTAGGATATACAGTGATATGAGTGTCGCGGTTAGACATGAAATCCAGCAGTTGAATGATGGTATGCATGTTTGTATGTGGACATCAATGCGTTCTTTTTTCAACTTTTTTTCTTCGCTCCAATTAGGAACCCATGCAGACTTTGTGAGAGAAGTCGCAGTGTATGCCCGAGATCGTGAAACGACCATCTCTGAAGCTGAGATGATGTACCACCACCAGCTAGATAGTATGGCTATATTGCACGAACAAGAAAAGGTCGAACTGCATGACTTGTACTTGGTATGTGCTCATGAAATACTCGGATCATATCTTTGAATTGTTCTGAATGTTTTCTGTCTGCAAAATAGAAGGAGAAGAGAGATGCACAGACCAAGCTTATGCAGGCTTTAGAGGACAAGAAGAGGAGAATGCGAGAAGAACGTGATGTATTTGACCTCAGCAATAGTGAGTCCATTTGATTTGAATCTCTGACCCCATGTATCTCGTTGTCTCGACACTTTTCATTTTAACTAGTCGGTGACATTACGGATCCTGCTTCTGGGCCATTACACAGAAATATGGCTACTCGATCTACGGCCAAAACGACAGCTACTGCTCCTTCTATCAAGGAAAAGAGAGGAAGAGGAGGAATTGGTTATCACGGAGCTGGTCTTCAGCATGCTACTGGCGCTAAGCTTGTCGATAGGTTGCCAGAGGATGAATTGATTGATGATATAGCTGTGATTCGAAAGGTTGGTGTAATTAATATGATGATTGTGGGATGAGCACTAAAGAGCATCTCTCTTATTAGGCGACGGGATTCACGGCAACCAGAAAGGCCGTGAAGCGTTTTTGAACCATTTTGTTGCAACCTTGTCCATATGTGAAGGTATCAAGAGCCAGGACTTTTTACTTTCTATGTATTTTCTTGAATATAAATCATTTCCTCTAGATATCTCTTCTTGTTTGGACTGCTTCAGCATGATGCCGATAGTAGAGCGAAGCACTCCAGCAACGACGAATATACGTGTAGTCTCGCGTAAATCTAATACAATTTCGTGGTTGAAATCCAAATAAAGTTCGCTTTCCTTAGGTCCTCAGTCGCACTTCGGATTTGGTACGTTGCCTTTTGCAAACACAAGCAAGCTCTTTGACGAAGCTCTGCCATCAAAAGCTTTAGTAACAGCAATATTTTGCTGGAAGCTCTTGAGCACATCGACCGTTGCGAACTCGCTCCTCTTCCCTTTCTTTACTCGGTAAGCTTCCAAGCTTGATTTTCCAAACTATTTTCGAAATTCTGACGTTTTGTATCCGCTAGTCAATTATAAGTCATCCAGATATTGCATATTATAATTCTCAGTCCATCATCCGATATTATCGCTCACCGAACTCGCTTCTTCCTTGGACTGGCTCGTCATCAATTTGACATCACCAAACTCCAAAACACCCATCACACAGTCGACCAAACGATAATCCATCAATAGCCGACTATCATGGCACAAGACGTACCTACCGATTTTGTAGCTAGATTGACAGGTCTCACAGCCAATCCAGAACCTATTCGTCATGCATCAAATGCCAATGACGGAAAACCAACTACTGATTCCACAACTACCGGAGGTACTGCTGCTGTAGAGCCTGCTGTAAATGAAAATACATTGAAAAACGCAGCACCAACTCCTGCTGCTGCAAACACCACTACTACTGAAGCTGAATCCAAGGGCAAAGAAGCTGCTACTGTTGCGGACACTGACCCTTCAGCTCCACAAAAGAGTCATCAGCCTGATGTGACGCTTAGAGCACTGGTCACAACTCGTGAAGCTGGTGTTATTATTGGAAAGGAAGGCAAAAATGTAGCTGCTGTACGAGAAGCTACTGGAGTACGTGCTGGAGTATCAAAAGTGGTACCTGCTTCTACGGAACGAATACTTACTGTTGGTGGTCCATTGGACGCTGTCGCAAAAGTAAGTTGTCAAAAGTGGATATGCGAAAGAGATTGTGTCTACTGGCCGAAAGCTGGCCTATTTTGAAAGTTCCTCTTCATTCTTTTCTTTTGCATCCTCAAAAGTTGCTTCAGCTCGAATCTGACAATATCCAACCCTTTCTCGTAGGCCTTCTCTCTCATGGCCAAAAATCTGATTGATAATCCTATAACACCTCCACAATCTGGGAACCCAACCGAAACTGCTCTCATCCGACTCCTTGTCTCACACCAAGTAATGGGCTCTGTAATAGGAAAAGGAGGTGCCCGCATTAAGGAGATTCAAGAAGAATCTGGTGCTCGTATTGGTGTCCGTAAAGAAATGCTGCCACAATCTACTGAACGTGTCGTTGACATATCAGGTCTTGTCGACTCGATTCAAATAGCTGTATTCTACATTGGAGAGTGTATCTACACTGACTCGGATCGAGCTGCAGGCACTATATTATATAATCCAGCACCTCCACGAAGGCCAGGAACTGGACATCGCTACGAAGAAGAAGATGGCCAATACTACAACAGTCCACGATCTGCTGCTTTCTCATCAAATCGACCTCCTCTCGGCCATTCCAATCATGATAACCATAGTATCGATGCACCTTCAACACGACGTGGTGAACGTGGTGACCGTCCTCCTCGTCAAGACCGACCAGGTGGTATGGCTGGAGCGTCACCATACACTTCCTCTCGAACAAACGGAGCTCCCAGTAGTAGCAGTAATAGTAGGGCAAGTCGACCACCACCACCAGCAGCAGCAGATGAAGGAGAAGTAGTACAAAAGACAACATCAATACCTGCAGACATGGTGGGCTGTATTATTGGACGTGGTGGATCCGTCATCAATCATATACGTATACAATCAGGTGCCAGAGTATCCATCTCAAAAACCAAAGATCCAGAAACCAATGAACGTACATTTACTATCGAGGGAACTCAAGGAGCTCTTGACAAGGCTCTCACGCTCTTGTACAAACAGCTTGAAAATGAAAAGGCCAGGCGACTGGCTAATGCTACTAATGCCGGTGGGAATGAATGGAATGAGTCGTCAGAAAACGCTACAGGTGAAACAGCATAGATCTATTGTGCATAAAAAAAACCGATCTGTATAACTTTTTGTCTAGCCAGGATAAACTTGCTTTGTTTTGTTAAGAATCAAGAGGAGTTTTCAAGTATCCAGTGGCTCGCCGCGAATCTGGTGTCTGCGTCGGCGCTTCCTTCTGTGAGAGTCAAACAGCTCCCGTCTAGCGTCGCTAAAGAAGCTGAGGAGGTAAAGGTATCAGAACCACATTGTAGGATTGTTTACAGATACCTATCATTCGACTGGAAGTAGGCAGAAAACTCTAATTGCGGCAGGAACGATACAAACCTGTCCAATGCGAAACTCGGCCGAACTCCTACAAATAACTTACAAATTCATCATAATCAAATGATGATGCGCGAATTGTTAGTATGAATTCAGATCAGGTTTGCAGTAAACTTATTGTCAGCTCTCCGTCGTTAAAATCAAGTATGAGCAAAAGTGGAAAAGAGCAGCGAGTCTGTTTTCGGGTATCTGGTCCACTCCTACCTTCCTTTCGTAGATCCCTGGCAATTATCAGATCTTGTTGAAGGACTATCTTCCTAAGCACCAGCGGGTGCGTGATTGATGGAATGAATCTGATTTTTTTTTCCCACCAACACACATGATTATGAGTATGAGCGATCCTGGACTGGTCAAGCTTGGAGCATTCCTCTCCAAGCTTCATCCGGACATATTCTTCCGACTATCAAACAACCCTTCAAATTCACTTGCATGATTGGGTTGGTCAAGGTTCTCATCTGACCGCTCGCCCTTCTACCTTTTCTCGTGTATTTCTGTGGCATTGGAGCTTGACGAGTAGAAAATACACCAAAAACTCAAATTATTTTTACAGGCCTAGGGCGTCCTATCTAACTAATGGAAGAACCTGATGGTATGGTTGTTTGCGTCTTTTTTAAACCAATCAAAATATTAAATTTTTGAATCATAGGTGCAGTGGGTGATATACAGGTCAATGGAGCGGGAATAAATATTTCTAACGAGCAACATGTGCGGCATGTCTCGTTCACGAATTTGGACGCTCCTGTAGCAACCGATGTCATGATTCCAAGTGCACAAATCCATAGCACCGAGGATATGGATTTCATTGTACAAGAAACGCATCGGCTAACTTCTGCGAGGCCGACATCTGCACGACTGACCTCTGGACGACCGAAATCAGCTAAACCCAATCGTGTTTCACGTACAAGTGATAATAATACATCAGATGGTGAATATCAACAAGACGCAACCTCAATACAGCAACAGCACCAGATACAAGAGACAATTGTGTCACCAGGAGCCCGACCTCCAATGGCTCCAAGGTCGAATAGTCAAGTATCTGCATGGGAATTTCGACTAGGTGAACCTAATTCAAGGCCTGCTTCACGACCACACACGTCAAGCAACCAAACACCCTCTACTACGTTTACAAGAGCAGGGATGAACTCTACTATGGTGCCGAGTACATCCGCATGGCATGGTTCTAGGTATACATCATCGCCAGTGCATCAACAAGTCGGATCCAGCAATCAGGTTGAATCCATACCAAAGACAGATGCATCAAGACCTGTAAGTGCTGAACAACGCCCACCAGTTCCATCAACACAACCGAATCCTCAACCCTCATCGTCAGAATCACCATCTGCAGCCGCTCCTCCAGCACCAAAACACACATTCCATCAAACAATTGAGGAGATGCGTCGAGTGACAACCGATTGGCTGCTAGAGAATCCGCAGCCTCCCGTAATACATTCAACACTTCCTGTGGGCGATGTCAAACAGCAGCAGGAACAAATTCGACCGCCACCAACAAGACAGGAAAAAATTATATACGCAACTCCAAAAACGATTCTACATGTGCATCCGAAAAAGGCGCAAACGCATCGAACCAACACGGACAAGTTCCATATCGAGACCATCACATTCCGACGATTGAGGTCTGCACTGGACTCAAATACGTGTACGATGGAGCATGTAGCTATGATTGAGCTTATGGAGTCACGCATTGGACACACCATACCATTGGATTTGCTGAGGGGCTGGTTTGGACCTGGTGTTGCCTCACTGACGGATTTACGAACAACAATCCTGGACGCTGTCAGCAAGAAACGCAGGATACACCAGTATAGCAGCAATCACGGATCTCGCTCAGGAAACGATTCACACGACGACATTTTGCAAATCACACCTCTCCGACCTGTCACAATCAACAAGAAGCTTACAACACAGCCTGTAATACGATCACATGCAACCACACCATCATCTCTACTTCAAATTCTCAATACATCTCAAGGACTACCACCAAAGTGTGGACCTGTTCCAGTTCTAGATGCTCCGGAACGACTGCTCCACTCAATCTCTATCGCACCTGCAACAATGTCTTCAACACGGACGAATTCCACCTTTATTGCAAGCACGAGGCCAACTACCGCAGATTCACAGCAACAGTACGGACTTGTGGCTCACTCTTACGCATCGTTCCAGTCAAAGCTCAAGTCACATTCATGTCGACACGCCAGTGTGATGGAAATTAATGCAGCGCTTCAGAGGAGGAGAGCAAGCAGACTTGCGTTTTGATTCATTGTTTCCTTACATAATGTCTATATATTGTTGCTATGCTGTAAGTTTTTTACAAAGAATGTAGCTATGTTCATGCCTGATGCACTGCTTGGATCCATTTGTTTAGCTAACTACCAGCGTTGGGGCATCACGCTGCCAATTAAACCCATACTTGTGCGAGATCATATCTTCAGTCTCTTTACCAAACGAGAACCCAGTCTCCTCGAGAGCAAACACCAATACAAAACTATGACTCAATTCCAGCACTGAGTTTGGTTTGAGAGCTCTACGTTCAGAGACAGCTTGGAGTAGCCTGTCGCCTGAAATAAAGACATCACCTAGCGGGCCATACTCGAATGATTTCAGTTTCGGCATTGTGGCGATGACACAGTAGAATCCATCAGAGAGGAATTCTGAGAGTCCAGACACCCTTAGATACTTGAGATTTCCAAACGACCTGGCTATAATACTTAGATCTGGTAACGGGCACTGCAGTGGTCCAATGGCAAATAACTCTAGAGTTTCTAGAAGGGCAGAGCCATTCTGCACGTACTGATACAATCCTCCTCTATATGCTTGATCTGTTGTGATGATGAGATGTTTAAGATTTACGATTTCTGGTAGTATTGGTTGGTTGAGTTGACCGCTAGACATGAGGCTCAAATCCTGTAACGTAGCGGCGTTTGCTGATATCAATGTCGTTAAAGCATAGCTGTTTCCATCCCGACACATGATTACCAGTCTCTTGAGGGCCGCTTTCAAACCCCAGAACTGTCTTACACCTAATACTACACCTCTCAGCTCCAACGCAGTCAGATTCTCAAACAATGCTAGTCCATCATGAGGCATGTTCTCCAGACCTAGTCCTGATATGGACAAAGATTGAAGAGCACGAGGCCGCCTACTACTTCTCAAGCACTCTAATAACGGTGTACCGTCCATCCGATTATGCGTTATTTTAAACTGTTTCAGGTTACGTCCTTCAAAGAGTTTGGCGATATTCAATCCGCTATTGTGGTCGTCGAAGAGAGACAGCGTCAATTTTACGAGGTTTGGAGTCATTCGACCTAGAGCAGTCCAAGCTTCTACATTCCATACTGGTAGATTTGACGGTAGAGCATACAATTCCAACGTTTCTATACTAGTAGGGAGTGCCCAGTGTTCCGGAGCCAGACAATCCCTCGTGATTCGATCCACACTCAAAGATCTAAGACGAGCAAAGTCAGACAGGCCATGTAAGACGGCGAGATCACGGCAATCGATTTCGAGACGGTCTATGCTGATAAATATGGGTTGCCTATACAACGCAGAAGATCCTGCACGAACTGTGGTTGAGATAGCAGCAATAGTTCCTCTACGTTTTGAGATACTGCTATAGAGATACTGGCATGCGATAGAGTTCAACTCTCTGCAGACCAATGCGACCTGTGCAAGGTCGGCTTTTCGTGTGTGTGATGCGATCTTGTCCAGGATCTCTGATGGCAGAGGGACAGCATGTTTCTTCCAGTTAATACTCATGATTTATATGTATGCAGTTAAACGGTGAGTGATTGCCTATTGGGAAATGCGACATTTTCGTCAGTTCATCCTCTCTTGTCAACAACACAGAGTTTCAACAAGAATGACAAGCCAGCAAGCAATGCAGCCTACAAAACCAGAGCCGTCACGTACCTGGTTCCAGTATCTCGGGATAACCCGCCCTACTACACCAATAATAGTTAATCAACAAGTCAAACCTGAGAAATCTGAGCTCCCCAACTTTTCACCTCCGTCACGAGCTGAAGTCGCCGAGGTCTTGTCTCCTGTCGCGTCATATCCGAACGTGACAACCACTGCTGAGGATGGATTTGCACCCTACAACAAGTACATTGTTGGAGGGGCATCGCTCACAGCTTTTTGCACCATGCTATACACCGTGCGCATGCAAACTAAAGGTGATCGAGATGGGCTAATCTGTCTGTTCAAGTGTACAATTCTATTGTATCTGTGTTCTTGGATCCTCAGCCCTTCAGCTAACTCTTCTTATGTTGTCAGGCAAGATGAGGATGCCACTACAAGAACTATTAGACAATCCAATCGCAGCGGCTGCCAATCCAAAGCTAGCTGCTTATGCGTTTGCTGGTAGAGCATTTGCTACTGCTTCAGTCCTCGTTGGATCTGGAACTCTGGCATTCACAATGGGTTTGGCTTCCCTTATGGGCGTGAATAGTGTAAGCTTCCTATTGCCTCAACCGTTACGTTACTGTACTCACTATCTTCTATCTAGTTGAAAGAGTTTTCAACGAAACTGAGGTCGCTAGCTACAGAAAATCTACCGGTATTACGTGGTTCAACACACGAAGCTGAATCATCGGGTGACTCGGTCATGGATAAGGACACGTATGAATTCTTGAAGGAGGTTCAAGATGATATGCGGAATGACCGCATCAATCCTCAACCGGAAACACTGTCGAAACGTGTAATAACACACGACCTTCGAGAATCATTTGGTGTTGGAAACCCGAAAACCGCTAAACCGACTATGTAATTAAACAACAACATTCCTTGCACTCAAGAAATTTCATAAATTTGCATTAAATATTAGACAACTGTGTCATGGCACTTCTACAATTATGGATTTACATTATTTGAATTACATAGTACATATGTGTCGTCGTCACGCTATTACCAGCAAGGGAGTAGGGTCTCTTCGCAGATCAACACAAAGAGATCTAATCGCCCTTTCGTATCTCTGACAAGTGGTCACAGCTTGACGATGCGAAAACTTCAAGTCCTCCAACTCCTCGAAAAAGTTGGGATCAAATGCTTGAAGCTCATCTATACAGGAGACACCGTTAAAACTGAGATTCTTTCGTTGCCGGCCTCTGTCGATTGTGCTTACTCCTTAATTCACGATTTTCTTGCTCAAGTTCGTCCAACCTATTTGATGTACCAGCAAGCCCACCAAAGCCATCAGAGGAAACAAATTGGGTAGTCATTTTCGCTACTCTAGTCTTCCACAGCTCTAACTGTCAACATAGAGAGAGAGGAGTATATTGGTACTCAATGAAGTCGTAATTTCACAAACATGTTTCCTTACTTCTCGAAGAAGTTTCCTTCTTTCTGGATCTGAAAGAGGACCGTCGTGACTGCTACCGCCACTTCTCGATGATTCTTGTAAGGCACGTAACTGCACCTCCTTTTCTGCCAATTGGGAACGCTAACAAAATGGAAATTCAATGTTTGAAATCCTGCAATAGATATTGCAGCGTTGAGCTCACCAGACGGTCAATAATGTCAGAAACATCCTCTCGCGTAGCGACCTCACCAACAACTCTTCTAAGGCCTTGACCCTCCAGCTTGAGCCGTTTGTTTTCTTCTTCCAATTCAATTGCTCGTCGAGCTTCCTTTTGCAGCTTGGAAGACTCTTTGCGTAGCTGTGTCCGAAGTTTTTGGTTTTCAGATTCAACCCTACGAAAAAAAGCTCGTTACAAAATTCGTCACGACAAATACTGTCACCAAATGCTTCCCAATCACCTCTCAACATTAGCATCGTTGGACCTAGCAGAAATTTTTTGAACAGCATCGTCTCGTTCCGTCTTGAGCTGCTTACACTCTTTGACAATCTCCATGTATCGCTTGTCCGATGTTGCTTTGGCTCGTAGTAGCTCTACGTCTTTGTGAGCCTTTTCAAGCGATTTCGACAAGTGGTCGATGACTTGCGCCATTTCAGTCTCTCGACTCGCTATAGTGACAACACATTTTAGTGTTCACAATATCTGCGGCACAATCTCAAAATCGAATTACCTTTGACAGATGGGTGACTTGCAACAGGCAAAGGAATGAAAAAGTTGGGAAGACGAATACCGTAGTCAGACTCATTAGAAGTGGTGACATTCAATCTCATCTTGTTGAGAGATTCCTCCAATTCAAGAATACGATGCTCTAGACGCTCTGATGAGGCTTTGGCAACATCACGTTCAGCTCTTATCTGAACTAGCTCCGTATCCTTCTTCAATCCTTCCTCTTGAAAGACGTGATTTTGTTCCTAATAGAATTCTCAGTGAGCGGATTGCTGCCAAAAACGGGTATCAGGTTGTACCAAAAGGGTTGCAATCCTTCGCTCCAACACAGAGTCTTCCAAATCACCGAGATCTCGTTGCAAATGCTCATGAAGTGTCTGAAGAGTATCCAGCTTGTCCTGCACTTGAGATTTTTCCTGTTTCAGACGAGATATTTCATTCGTGGCATCTACTTCTGCAACCTAGTTGGAACGACAAAAAATTTGGGTTCGGTGCCTGAGACGGAAGTTACAGAGCCAAAGCCTCTCAAATATACCTTCTTCCATCTAGCGACTTCACTCTGCAAATCGGCAATCTTCTTGCGTAGTTCTTCGACTTCAAGAGTATGCCTCACTTCCTTCTCGCGTTCTATTCCCAAGTCTAACTTCGGCATAGATGAGAGCTCGACGACCTTTTTCTGTAACCTGAGGCGCTCTCGTTCAGCTTTTTCCAGAATGGGTCTCAATGAAGCCAATTGCCGTAAAGCAGTTTCAGCTTCTTTTTTCTAGACCAAAAATATATCAGTACTTTGAGTACAACACAAACCAGCTTCCTGACGGTACCTTCTCTTCCAGCTTTTCACGAAGCGTATCGACTTTGACCCGGGTTTTATGATCCAACTCCCATTTCTGACGAGCAGATACTACAACGAAAAGGCGTGAGCCCCAGAAAGAATTTTTAAAACCATGCACGATCGTTTCTTACCTGGTGCCTCCGCTGGACTGGACTGGACAGGAGATGCCATTACTGCCGGTGCACTATTAGGACGTGACGAGAAGGTAACCACTCTTGGTGGTAGTGACGGTGGTTCAGCGGATGAAATCTTTTCTATACGTTCTACTTCAGGGGAGACTGGTGTGGTAGGAGATCCAATAGCAGGTGAAGCGCCGAGTTCAAATGGCTCAGTGGATTGTGCCCTGCTGGAAGGAGGTACTCGAAGAGACAATACTCGCAAACCATGAGCCATTTTATCTCGCTCAAGATTGGCCTCTAGCATTTTGGATTCGGCGTCACGAATCTTGTTTGTCAGATTTGATATGTCGTCACTCAAAGTGCGCCGATCCTTTTCCCACTTGTCACGTTCTTCTAGATGAGAAGCTGCCACTTTCTTCAATCTAAGCAGAATGTATAACATGTTTGAAAGGGCAAAAAACCCTTTATGCTATACGAGATTGAAGACGTACTTGTCAAGTTTTGCTTCCAATTGCACTATACGCGTTGACGCAGATGAAAGACGTGACTCTTGACCATCAGTCAATGGCTCTCGAGCCTTGGCTATTGCTGTAGCCTTGATTTGCTCGATAGCACGCTCCAATGATTTGATTTTGAGGTCGCGCGTGGAGAGGTCTGTCTTGAGGCGTTTAACCTGACGTTCCAAGGTCTTTGGTGGAGCTTCAGCAGCTGCAGCGCGAGCTTCAGCAACCTTTCCAAGAAGATCAACTTTCTCTGATTCCTAGTGTTTAGAAGCCACGATTCAGAATATCGGGCAATAAAAGGATAGTTGACGAAAATGTACAACAAACCATATCATCCAGTGCTTTTGACCATTTCTCTTGCTCCTTTCCGAGATACGAGTCCACATCCGTTAACTTGGACTTCCAGCCATCAACTTCTGCAGTCAGCTCTTGGACTCTTTGAGACAGATGCAAAATTTCTACATCCTTGGCTGCTACTAGATGCTCCAGCTCTGTGATTGTTCCAGCATCAGGATTACTATGGGTTCAGAGTTATTTCATGGAAGATAAGAAAAAATGAAATCGATTAGATGTCACGTACCTATCCGAATGAGATTGAATCTTATCGGCTGGTTTCTTTAATCTCTCAATCATGCCATCATTCAGAGTATTGATGATCTTGGTCAAATGTGCAATTTCACGCTCGTCAGCCTGGTGAGGGTCGTAGGTCAGTATGCTTTCAAGCTCTTTTAGAAAGAATCAATATTACCATCTTTTGAGCAGTGACAGCTTCTTGACTCTGTTTCAGGCGATTGGCATACTTTTGAAGCATTTGCTCTTTGTGCTCCAGTTGCCGTTGAAGAGATTCAATCAATTCACGTGATGCCAAAGCACTCGCAGATTCTGCTTCTTGAACAATGGATCTGGTAAGATCATCTGTTGAAGGGATTATCCTGTATTAGTTTGAAATAAAAGGGAAAATGCCCATAACGTCAGATGTTACCTCGGCTGACTGCAACTTGTGATAAGCGAACGTCACCATCATTCTTGAGACACCTGAGATCCACAATTTCAACATCTTTGGCATTAATTTGGCCTTCTTGATGCTAACAGAAAGTCGATTTCAAATTTGAAATTATCTACTCTGGACGACCAGTGCTTACTTACCTTGGAATGGACTTCCAATTCTTTGATTCGCTCATTGGCACAGCTCAGCTGGAATTGATAAGCTTTAGATTGTTTGGCACGTTCTAAAAGTAACTGGATTGCGGCGTCTAATTGATTTGCCAGAGGCAGAGTACGATCAGGCAAAGTGTCTTTGAGTTCGGACGACGATGCTGCTCGGAAAATTAGTTCTCGCTCTTCTTGCAGGCGAACTAAACTCATTTCCAAGTCAGTTTGGCGTTGTTCCCAGTCCAATTGTCGTTCATCAAACTCGGCCTGAAACGAGAGCTTTGGTCAGTGAAGAAGAGTCAAGCTAGATGGCCCGAGACGAGATGCATACTTGAAGACCCATGAGCTTCTCGGCTAGCTTTTGAGCTTCAGCTTTCTCTGATTCAACGCTTGAGCGGGCTCGAGTCAAATCTTGACGCAACGCAGCGTTTTCACGAGACATTGCTGCATCAGCTATCCGCATTTCAGCCATACGTTTTTGCCATTCTACTAGTCTCTCCTTTGCTGCAGTTGGGTTATTCAAGAGACTAGCGAGCTCACGATCTAGCTCTTCTCGTAACTGCTTTTCAGCAAATTGGGCTTCCAAAGTTCTATTGCTGTTGAGAAGATGTGCAACCTCGTCGTTCATTGCTTTCGTTTGCACATAAGCTAGATGTAGCTGGTCACAAGCTCGCTACAAGAAAATGGTTAGACTGCAAAAAAAGCACTTACGAAATAGCTGCGATGACCAACCTGGTATCTCTCCAAAGTTACCGACCCAGCCAGTCTGAGACGCATACTTTGCACAGTTTTACGCAAATCATTGATAGTAGATCGGCAGTCATGTCGAGCCTTGAATAAACAAGCGTCCCTATCGTCCAGTGCTCGTTCCAGCTACAAAGATACGTTTTAGTAAGACAAATCCCACTGAAACCTCGTGATGCGCCAAATACCTCTGCAACAGTTGTATCAAGCTTCAGCAGTCGTCTTTCTGATGCCGAGGCTTTTTTCAAAGCCTCTGTTTCCGAAGCTTGTAAAGCAATGATATGGTTGTGAAGTTTGCCAATGACCATCTTGTCATCTGACTGGTTTTGCAATTCACGTATCGTAGTTTTGAGCAACTCGAAATCCTTCTTGTCACGATCAAGCCGGCTCTTCAAATCAAGAGCCTGTTGCGACGACACATCGGCTGTAAGTTTGTCTAAAAATCGGCGGGTAAGTCTAAACGTACAAGTAACTTTTAAGATGTTGGACACTGCCATACTCACAATGCTGAATTTCTGAAGCAAGGCGATCTCTGTCATCTTTGAGCTGTCTGGCCTCCTTTACTAAACCTTCATCAGGCCTAGCAGTCTTGAGCTCTTCACCACGATAATGCATGAGCTCTTGAGTCGCTTCAAGATACCTCTTCTCTGCATCCTCAGCTCGTCGTTGTAACTGTTGCGACTCCTTCTGGTGTCGTTCAGCTCGAGACTCTGCGGTCTCACAACGTGAGGACAAGACTGCAACACTTGCGGTCAGCTGTCCCAACTGCTGATGGAGGCTTGAGGTGGATTCAGCTCCTCTTTCGATAGATACAGAGTTTATAGACGCGTTGGCAGATTCGATCTGTGCCTGCAGTCCTTTGACTTCAGCAACAGACTTGTCCAATTCATGGCGTAGATTCTCGGCATCAATGCCCTGCTGGGCCTTCTCTTCCCAGCTTCTCTCGCGTTCCAAGAGTAAGCGGTTGCGGGCAATCTCTGATTCAAGCTTTGATACTATCTTGGCATGATCGGACGCAGCAACGGTACACGATATCTCTTGTTCCAAATGCTCTACACGACTCGAAGCAGATTTAAACGAAGCTTGTAGATGGCCAATTCTCTGTAAAGAGGCTGCTTCTAGCGACGAGAAGTCGTCCTAAAAGTAACAATGCGTGAGTATGTACCCTTTAGTACTAGTTTCAGCCAATTCTGTGTACCTTAAGTTGAGTCAGCTCCTTGCGCTGACGAGCGTCACAATCTTCTAAAACCTTGTACTTGCGAATTAAAGCCGTTTCATTTACTTTCATTGTGATGAATTTGCGTTGGCATTCTACAATTTCTCGCCGGATATCACTATCTGAGCCTTTCTGCATGAGTGAAGCAGTACTCTCCCACTCTTGAGCTCTGGCGTTGGCATTTTCTAAATCTAGGCTAACTTCTGCCGCATCGTGTCTGACATTGGCCACTTCGTCGTTGAATTTCTGTTGGAGATCATGATTCTCTCGGTAAACCTTCTTCATTTGCCCGGAGATAGTGCCATAAACATTCTAATTACGAAAGTCAGTATTAAACCGACAAAGTCGTGGCTTCTAAGACCGGAATCATACCTTCCAATGAGAGACATCCCCTTTCAATTCCAACAAGGCCTTGTCCTTGGCTGTCAGCTCTGCACCAAGCTCGACTACAGTCTCAATCAGAACATCTTGGCTAGCCAGTCTCAGATCTCGGGGGCAGCTCAGGATCTTGTTTTTCCGCTCATTAACATGAGCTTCAAGTTGGGTTTGCCAGGACTCACTATTACGTTTTGATCGTTCTAGTTCCTGCTCTAACTCAATGATTCGGTCTTCTGCATATCTTAGATCCGATTCTAATCCTCTCGAAGTGTGCAATAGTGACGGAGTTACACTATCCATCGTCGTTCCATGGGAAGAACCGACACGATTAGAAAGCAGTAGAAGGAGCTGTTGTACCGCAGGAAGTTGCTCCTAAGAAATAGTGTTGGAAAAAAATATCGTTTCGTCAAATCATCTCTCGTACTAACCTCTGTCAATTGCTCACGGGTTCCGCTTTGGGTTCTGCGACGGCGAGAGCTCAACATATCCGAGAGTTCACGCACTGCTGCGGATAGAGCTTCAATTTCTTGAGATTTGACTCTACACTCGTCTTCCATTTGCATAATACGAATTCGAGATTCGGCTGATTCTACATGCACCCTCTCGAGCTCCAGCGCAAGCTTGTCCAGAGTCGGGGCATGTGTAGGGTGAATTACGGTATGGTGCACGACTGCCGGGGCTGAAGACTTGTCGGCCACGTGAGATTTGGACCTTAATCGATCTGTGTAGTCTTCCAGGTCTATCAGTTCTTCGGCAGTGAGACCTAACTCGACCGCACGTTGTCCTTGCTAGTGTTCATTAAAAGTCAGTAAATGACTTGGACAAACGGACTTGAACTTTGTCCGGTTACCTCCAAGGCCCGCATTCTCAACTGGCTCTTTAACAGGACTCGTTCCTCTTCCAATCGTTCGACTTCACCTCGTAAAGTCTGATTCAGAGCTTTGACTTGCTCCTAGTAGAGCTTGTTAGGACGGTATGTCAGAGACTAGTATCATAAAGTCTTACAAGCTCGATGTGCTTCTTTGTATTGAGATTCGAAGTATCGATAGTAGTCTTTTCATCAATGCCAAGTCGACGACGTAGCTCTGAATTTTCTTCTAAGAAGTCACATATCTAGAGCTGGTGTCAGTAACATGTAGACAAAGACCGGGATTTCGCATTAATGGAATCAATACCTGAGCTTCAAAGTCATTGGCTCTCTTTGTTAGATCCAGAATCTCTTTGTCTCGCATAGAGCGCTGAAGCTGTAGCTCCTTTATTTCACGGGAAGCTTCACGTAGCCCATATGTGCCTACGGGATGATTCTTTCGTTTCAGGAAGTTTCAAAGAGATAGTCAAAATCCGAAACGTCCACACACCTTCTTCGTATTTTTCCATGCGAGCCCTCAAATCGACAACTTCCCGTTCCCGATCTACTTCTTGATCTTCGAGCAGCTTGAGGCGTTTCAAGTTTTCTAAATGCTTGCTGTGATAGGCTTCAGCATTTTCCTTTAGTCTACCGATTTCAGACTGGTGTGCCATGAGGGTTTCTGGAGCTGTCTTGGCAGCATTCACAGATTCTAGCTGATCCCAGTCCATTGCCAGAAGAGCAAAGTCTCTCTCAGAACGTTCCAACGAAGCTTTCAATTGCTGTATTGTTTCATCTAAACCAGTCGGATGAGATTGGTTGCGTTGACAAGATCGGCATCAACCTGTACTTACCGCGTTCGGTCAGTGACTTTCTCAATGAATCAATTGCTGCTTCCTCCATTCCAGCACGCAAATTGGCAACTTCCATCTGCAGTTTTCGAATCGTCTTGTCCTTGTCGTTCAAATCCATCTGAGAGTCACGCATTGTTTTCTAATGAAGAAAGGGGCATTTTGACTTTGAAATAGGGTTAATGATGCAAGGCTCTTACTCTGATGCGAGCAACCTCAGTATTTGCGTCTTCATATCGTGACTCGTCCAAGTTTTTGTAACCTCGTAGCTCATCTTCTAACTCGCCAACTCTTATTCTGAGCGAATCACATTCTCCAGACAAGGAGTCTATCTGTGCGTCTGATTTTGTTATGACTTGTCTCGAGTCTTCACGTTCACGAGCGGCACGTTCCAATTCAGCAACAGCAACTTCCAGTTCGGATCCAAGACTTTCAACGTCGTCTCGTAGTTGAGCATTATCTGTTGTCAATAATTGGATTTCTGTAAGGTATCGGTTGATCTCGGCGTTCTTCTCCTTTAGTTGAGACCTGAAGTCTTCGTCGTCTGCTCGACGAGCAGTGGCTCTTTCAGCATGGGCACCCAGCTGCGTATTAACGTGGCTGTATTCTACTTGGAGCCGCTCCAGACTAGCATTCAGAGCCGCCGAGCGTGATTTCTCGTCACGAATTGCCTAGAGAAAGATCGTTGGAACCCATCGACCTGAATTTTGAATGAACACAAGACAAACCATGGTCAAATCAACAACGTTCTTGCGTTCCATATCCAAAGTCTCTTGCGCTATCTGTGCGTCCTGCGCCAGAATCATGTTTCTTTTCTCCAGGTCTTCCAAATCTGCCCGTAACGATCGTATTTCTACATTCATATAGGTGAGTTGCCGTGCAATGTTGCTGCTTCAATAATTTTGCCACGTACCAGAAGCATTTCCTCCCATGCCGAGGTTCTTCAGCCGAACAATTTCAGCTTCACTGACTTGTAAGGAAGTCTGTATGAAACTAGAATGAGTTCCTTTTCAATCTACAAATGCCGCATGAAAGCGTCTACCTCATCATCTTGTATCTGCTTCTCGGCCGACTCGAGATATAAGTTCTTCAGTCTTGAAAATGATTTTGGTAGGTGAGGACAATTTTCGTATCAGGAAAGTTCAGCAAAACGTACTCCATGACAGATTGTGTAAGCCTAAACAGTCTGACTAGATTTTCAGGTGTAGCTAGAGCATCGTCGAGATCTACTTGGCCCTTCACCAGAATAGGATAGAGGGTCTCCAATTCGGATTCAATGTTGGGATCGTTCTGGTAGTATTCAATGAGATTGAGTCAGTTGAGGGGTTTAAACTGGATTTGTTTTCATATTTGACTGTTGTCTAACCGGATCTAGACGATCTACGTCCACGCGCAATATCGTTCTCCAGTCGACAGCCATTTCTGATGGAAGCAATCACAAGTTGGTGTGTGAGAGCCACTGCAAGCCTGGCGGCTTAAAGAAGATCGAAATTTCAATTTAGCCTATATGTCACTAATGATGACCTGCTGGCTAGATTAGCCCATCCATCATAGACGTCGCCTTTCTAACTGCGAACTGATGAATTCAACTGTAATTGTGAAAATCTAGCCAACTCAAGATCCTGCAAACCAGGACAGTTCGAAATAGATCCAATACCTGAATACGTCTGAATAACCGAGGAAATCACGTTCCGGAGCTGCCTGGCGTCGTTAGGCTTCCCAACACCGAGTTTTGCTGCTTCTCGCCAACCACAAACTACCTATTTATTTGGAAGCTGTTTGAATTCGAGGCTCGCACACTCTCTCAAAACAGATCAAGCGATTAATTTGGTAATTGCAGCCTGTCAAATTCGCGTTTTAGATTTTCGAAGCTCAAAGTATTCCTTTTCTACTCTTTTGTTAGACTTAAGTGGGCGGGATGAACATCTTCAGTTCAGTCATCAAGTTTGCCCGTTCGGCATCAACCTCAAGCATTGCTGATCGGCCTGTCGAAGCTTTTCCTGCACTGGTATGTGACAGAACGCTGTGGTCTGTGTGGACATTAAACCAAACCATTAGCTTGGACTTAACTCCCTTGCATATGTATATTAGCATGCTGAGTCTGTGCTGAAGAGTGAAGGATTCCGAGTGGACTACGTTCTCCCTAGAAGCACAAGCGGTGGAAATCTTGCTGCAGAGAACTACCTCTTCAAATGGAAGGAAGCACACACACAACCAGGTAAAGAGCTGTGATCCTTTTCTGCCTCAAAAGGTCGATACTGAAATATCTTTCGTTTCCTTCAGGTGCTCAAGCTTTCCATGGAACTTTCGATGCTATTGGGCCATATCTAATGTCCGTGACATCGACGTCGTCGAACTCGGATGATTTTACCGTTCTGATAATGACTAAAATGGTAAGAGGAGCATTTTTAGCGCTAGATGGTACAAATCTGATACTCTGGATTATAGGGTATAAGGTGCCATTTTGTTAAGAAGGATGATTTGCAAAACGGAAATAGAGGAGGCAATGTTGCTGTCCTCGCTGGTGGATATGCATTGCAAGAGCTGAGCTGTGATCCCGCTTTCCAAGCAACTAGACGTGAACAGATGGAATCTGAGCTGAACAGTGGAGCTCCGTCACAACAGCGGTGCCAAAGCAGTCCGGAAAGCTCCATGAATCCAGTAGATCGGCCGCAGGAAATATATTCCGCTGCAGAAAGAGTGAAAATATGTCGGGTATGTGTCGTTTTCTGAAATTATTGAGTTACTGAAGCTGACAAATTGCACCACATAGGCAAACACTCCACTTGTGGTTGATGTGATTGTAGAGTCTAGAAAGGAAGAATACGGTGAGTTATATGATTTTAGATTCATGTCTGGTCACTTTGGTCTGATTTCTGTTTCCTTCTGTAGCCGCTTTCCTACCATTTTTGACAACTCACGTCTCGGATTGCCTGCCAGTTGAAAAGCGAAATGATGTTTTTGCTAAATTAGGCATGAAATCAATCAAGACTCATCGTATGGAGCAATCTAGTCAAGTGGTGAGTGTTTTCCAATACGCTAGGCACTCTACACTCTCTCAATCAGCTTCACATAGAAATCAAAAGCATCAGAACTGGATGAAGGCAAAAGGCTCATAGATATAAAGAACTTAATCGACTCTGAAGAGTCATATGGAAGAGTCCTGAACCGCTTAGCCAAGGTTGGTCTCGTCGAGAATTGGTTTCAGTTTCGAGGTTTATTGCTAATATCGTTTGAATAGATCCGGTCAGATGCTTCCATGAGAGCCAGAGATGTTGCAGGATCGGCATATACGCTCAATTCAATTTTACCCAATTTGGATCAAGTAATTCAAGTGCATAAGGACTTTTTAGCTGACTTGAAGAGTGCATCTTGGTATCCACAACCCTCTTGCACTGCAGTATTAAATGCGTTTGAGAACCATGTACGTTTTGAACGAAACCAAAAAAGCCAGAGTATACAAGCATTGATTCTTCTTTTCTACAGGTTTTACCGAGAGCAGACCAGTTCGAAGCTTATACCTCCTCTTTGGGAACAGCAAGAGTGCGTGCTAGCAAACGCAAAACTGACGCTAAGCTATCAGAGGTACATTTTCATTTTTCGTTCTGAGAAGCAAGTGCTGAGACTGCGGATTTAGGACGACGAAAGGTGGTTGCGGTCGAATGCACCACTTCCCACCCTACGCTTTACGACATACTCCATTCTTCTCAAGACTCTCTTAGAAAACACGCCTGCCCAACATGTCGAATTTGTGCATATTCAAGCTGTGTACAACAAAGTGAAGCAGGCTGCCGACTTCATCCACGCACAAGAAGAAAGAGAAGATTCACAGGCAGTGATGTTGGAGTTTCGGAAGAAACTGCGCAGGCCAGCTAATGTAGATGAGAGCAAAGTAAGAGCGAGATTGGTATCAACAGTTTCAGCAACTCCTAATGCCCGTCAAATAGCTCGCCGAAATAGCAAAAGCAACCAGGCATTTTGTTGAAGCATTTGAGATTGTGGATGCCAAGCAGAATCACCTTACTCTGATTTTATTCAACGACGCTGTCTTGTTTGCCCATGTCACTCAAAGCTCGTCGAAAGAGTGGGAGTGTGAATACAGATCCTTCCATAAATTGAGAAACGCGGAAATCATCCGATACGACGATGGTAAAATTTGAGGAAGGTTTTATGTGAAATCAAGTCATTCTTACAATATTCACAAACAACAGGTTGGTTGGGTCTCGCTTATGAAGTTCAAGGGAAACTTGGAAATATTAAAAAGTTCAAGTGTGCCGACGAGACCAACTATAACTACATTTACGAGAACCTGTTGCACTGCATGCTGCTGGAGAGGTATCAATATACTGTGACAGAAGTCTTCCCTGCGAAATCGGAATATTCACCTTCGAGTGATGGAGGTTCCCCCACAAAGAGAGCTCCAGAGACTGTGTCTAAAGTCAAGACTTCTTTGTATGTCCACCGATGGGGAAGTCGTGTGATGTATTTCAATCTGATAACGGCATCTGAAATGGCTGAGAGCTCTCGATCCCAGCGGGTATGTTTATCTTTTCAGTATGTAGTTGCACCCATTTTCATTGTCTCACGCATTCGAGATAGAGTGAAGCCGCCTTCGTAGTAGTGACAGATCAAGATAGACTGGCACAGCTGGCATCTGTTGCGGCCAAGTATCAATATTGTATGTACCACTGTAAAATCGTTGGGGTGCCTTCAAGAGCTAAAGTTGGTTACTGTAGATGCTCTTGGTGTTGTGCAGGTTAGCGTTCAGCTACCGCGTAGATATCGGTTATATCACACCTTGGGTGTGTTTGAATCTGGACACGTTTCAGTACAAACTGGGTCTACTGTTGAACGAGAGGTTATGGACGAGCAGCTATTCCTGAGCTCGTTTACACAGACAGGTAGAATTCAGATTATCTGATTGTGTGATTGCATTTAACCTCATGCCTTCATACTAATAGTGTCACAAGTGGATGAATACCTAAAAACGATTCCAGTCGAGCGACATCATTGGGCAATACTTTCAAACGAGGCACAAATCAACTTTGTCAAATTTCGTCTCACGGTGTATCTAGCACCTCCAAAATTAACTCGTAAAAATTCCAATGCAAGTGTCAGAAGTGGAGTACAACACAACAGAGATCCAAGTGTTGTTTCACAGGCAGAATCCAACATGAGTCTGGTTCGAAAAATGTCTCAAAGGATATTCCGAGCCCCATCTATTGCAGAGAGTCAGCGGTCTACGACTTCTCGGCTCACGTTTATGGAGAAGGCTCGCGGAATTGCTGACCGTATTCGACTTCCGAAACCTGCAGAAAAAGGAAGCAAGCCTGTCAGAGGTATGAATAACATAAAATGAACTCCTTGACTGGTCATCTAACCATTATCCTTCTAGATGATGGGAAGTTTTTGGTTTTGGATGAATTACTCAAGGCCATAGAGACTAAAGGCATGAGATTGTTGATATATCCTGCATGTCTCTGATTGAACTGACCGCTGCGTCTCCGTTAGGTCACTTGTATCAGAGTGAATTGTACTTACGAATTGACGATACTGTCAGGCTGAATGGCCATACTTACAGTCGTGATGAGATATTACAGTCCGCTAAGGACGTGCTCAAGAAAGCACGAAGTAAGCCTATGCTACTGGGCTTCACGCTACTTTCAATCATACTGACCACACGTGCATAGGAACGCCAAACGGTTATATGATAGACCCTATTTTCCTGGAGACACAAACGCAATGGACTCTAACCGCCGCCCTGAATTTGCTCATTGAAAAAGAGCAATTGGCCGGTGGTGATAAGAGCTTGCTCTTTCCTGAAGCGGCTGTAAAACTTTTCAAGCAAGTCGTCGGTACGCTGAGTAGTCGTCAGTCTAGTGCGCCTAGTCTTTAGAATTTACCGTTGCTTCGTTTATAGCTCAAATGCATCTTGGAGATTACTCGGCGTTGGTTGCACGAACGTTGAAGGCCGAAATTGGTAGCAGTGGCAAAGATCGCATCATGAACGATGCACAGAGGAAATGTTGTCGAAGGCTCTTCACGCATCTCAAAGTGTATGTTATATCTTTGTGTAGTACATCATATGCGTGCTAACAGGTTGTTGAAATTTTAGAGCCACGGCTTTAAGCTACAAGAACGGTGCCACTTCACAAGAAATTTTCAAGTTCCTGGGTTTCAGCATTTTCGGCATGCAAGGCACAAGATTTTCTGTTACAGAGCAAGATGATTTTCGTACGATACTGAATATTTTGATTGAATCGCCAGAGATGTTTGGTGAAATCGACATGGTCGACAGAGCGGACTCACGAGGTACTAAAAATCTGCAGAGAGATATAAGAGAACCCTGTTCTCACTGTTTGATTCTCTCTCCATTAGAAAACTCTATACGCCATTCTCGTCAAGCCACTCAGAGCAGCTTTGCTGAACGTGACGAAGTCTTGGAAGTTCGCCCACCCATGGCACCAACCAGCCAGATTCAACGTCCTCCAATGGTACCACCTACTCAACCCAGCCAGGAGCTTAGTGCAACTCCCTCAGCTGTGTTTGGTGGTACTGGTGGTGAACTTTCAAAGAATTTCCAAGAAAACCCAATTGGAAAGCCCGGCAGAGCCCCCACTTCATCTATGACATTACTGCCGGTTCTCGAAGAGGAAGACGAGAACGAAGAAAAGGATCAAGTTCAAGATGAATCTTTCAACAAGCCAAGTCTTCGAACACAAGAGAGTTTAGAAACTGTGGTGGTGAGTAATGAGTGATTCTTGTGGAAAGCACGAGTCAGATCCAGTGAATTGACGCATACCTCGTATAGAATGCTTGAAGTGCAGACGGACTTCAGAACTTCCAAAGTTCAAACTGAGGGAAGATTTCCCCTTTTGTTCGTGATATGTTAGTTGATAAGCTGACCTGTTACAAAGTGGTTTCAAATAAATTATTTGGTAATTCGTATGAGTCCTCTTTTAGCTCTTCGCAATATCTCAAAAATGCGTTCGTTTGAACGTATATTTGACAAGGAGATGGCATCAAGTTCAAATTCGAAAGATCTGAAGCATTTGGTATTTATATAAGATTCTTTGTTGGAGTGCTTTCAGACTCAGTACGACATCTAGGACTCCTTGGCAAAATACTTCACATGTGATATATCCATGAGTACAGGTATTTGACCGACGAAACCGCAGAGACAATCAAATTTGATATATATAGCCACGTGAATATCGTCAAGCGCACTCGTCAAAGCTCTTCCACGCGTTGCTATTCCACGAAATGTACTTTGACCAAGGAGTTTCGCGACATATAAGCCACATCCAAGCCCCCCGAAGTTGGTTACCCCCGCTGAGGTTCTGCTGTTCGAAAAACCCGCTCAATGGCTATGTCGACCAGAAAGACGACTCCGGGTATGTCCAGACCTTATTATCGAATTATTACTGAATGCTATACTCCCTTGCACTCTTCCATTGCTCTCTGAGCACTACTTTCTCACACGGGTACCCAACCGCCCGCATAGACCATAATTCATAAATTGTAGTCTAGGGGCCAAGGCGGATAGTCACTTGAGGGCGCATTGATCCACTTTGGCTTGCCCAGATTGAGGACCAGCCTGAGTTTAGTTTGCATCTCCTAGAAAATCCTGGTCACAGGCCTGGGAACCTCGACAAGGAAATAGTTAGTACGAGACTGATACTCAATGATATGTCGTGCCTGGTAACAAGCCTTTCGTAATGTTTGTGTGGCTAGCGAGGATTTGTTGTATGATAGTGATCTGCAAATGAGCTCCAACCCATGGCAAGGGCCCCAGCGCTGTTTATTCCACTTCATGTCAGTGGTTGATGTATGTGGGAGAGGGCTAGGCATCGCAATTCGCCCTGTCACTCTGTTTTGTGAGTACTAATGCCTGCTTAGGTAATGTGACCTTACATTACTATAAATAAAAAGCACCAACAATGCCAAAAATTACTATAAGCCAGTCCCAGGTCTGAACAAACCACAGAGGGCCTACATTTCCTCTTCTTTTAGGAAGCTGCGGCTGCTTTTGGAACATGTACATACGTATTTGACATTTGTAGTTCTTTTGTGTCGGATTGCCAATCTATTGTAAAAGTACGAGAATAGTAATAAATGAACGCATATACGCTGCCAATTGATTGCTCTTCTATACCTTTCTCGGCGGTGCACATAGCGAGAACTTAGGCAAAGTTGATCACTCATCTAACAGTCAGCCAAATTAAGAACTGTGCTGTTTGGCAGTCAATAGCGGCATCAGGATCCAAGCCTTTTACAGTAAACGGTGCGAAAGCCTTCTATCAAGCTTCGTCGTGAGCCTCTGTAAGGCTTACCTGCGCGTACTAGCCAACATTTGTTGACGTTGTTTTATCAGACAGATGGCTACCAAAACAGGATTCAGATCTGTATTATGTCTCGCTACTAGGCAGCCCTGTCGGCGAAGAATTTCTGCAACGCTTCTGCTCTCGTCAAAGGACAATCCAAGGAAATCTCAACAAAAACATCCATTGCTCCCCGCATCGGTAATCCAGAGCATGCTTCCAGGGTCTAAAAGGTCCCATCCTCTTAATGAAGCTGCTTCTCGGTATACAATTCCTCTTGGAGATCTCGTAGGCTTGAAACATTCGGGAGTGCATCTGGTCACGCTAAAATCTGGAGACACAAGTTCGGTTGATCACTTTCATCATCATACTGAGGTATCTTCTACTTTAATTGTATCTTGCTTGTTTGTCTGATTCTATATTTTATATTCTAGGAATGGATATACATTTTGGACGGCCAGGGAGTAGCGTGCATAGATGGTAATGATATTCCTGTGGAAAAGGGCACATTCCTTGGATTTGTAAGGTCTACACGTGGCCCATCGCACAATATGAAGAATACCTCGGCCTCTGACCTGCTGTATCTCTGTGGAGGTGAACGACGTGATTTTGATGTATGTGTGTATCCCAAAATCAATAAGATAATGGTAAACGAAGGGGGTGATGACGGATTTGACGGATTTAGAAGGAAAACGTTCGTCAACACGGAACATATGCTCATATTGCATGAAGAGGCTGGATATGGCAGTAAACGAAAGTAAATCACCCACTGATGTTATCGTGAGCTAATGAGCACGAATATATTTTATGTACATTGACCTTTTTTTCTTTTATAAACTTGGGTCAAAAACGACAAAAAGTCCCCCATACTCTAAACAAAATGTCCAAAAAAATGTCCCTTTTTCACCATCCATGTCTCAATGCAAACCAACTTGAAACCTCACTGCCACACTTCAGACTGCGGTTCTCCACCTATTCTAGACAATACTGCTTTACGATCCACCGCATTCTTACGTCCAGCACTCTTCTCACGTCTGAGAGCTAACATTGAAGCAATATTTTCACCAATGATATTTCCATGTGGCCTTTCTTCCATCTCTGAAGATTCACCTAAATCTCTCTCTATCGTATGTTCGTTTATTGGAGTATTATTCAGAGTGGGTTCTGTCACTGCAGTGGCAAGAGGTGCTTCACTGATTGCATCAGCTTGCAATGTGTCTTCTGAAGTCGAATCTACTAGGTCGGCCTTGTTTGCAATCCAGCCTCTAGGGAAGTGGCCGAGTACTCCTGTTCTTACATTGACACCCAAGGCCCTATAGATGTTGTCTCGGTCAGTTTCACCAACATGGAGCGACATAGTCTTCAATTGAAAGCGACCCACTCACCATCCATCGGGGTATTCTTCTTGAATGACGACTGCATCACCAGCAGTCAAAGCTACTTCATCAGCCAGTTGAGGTATAAAGTCATGAGTGGCAACGTACTCGGTACTGCTGCGATCGAAAACGGGTGGTATGTACATGGTTGAATCAGGAATTTCAGGCACAGGTGGAATATTAGCACTAGTATTACTATTATTGCTGCCAGCATCTCCAACAGATTTATCATCACCGATAACCTTTTCACTGGGCTCGAAGGATAACCCTGACGTCGATGCAATTGACATTATAGTAGGTTCTCTCTTTACAGGCTTAGTCCATAAGCGGGAAAAGTTACCCAAACTATTGGCTCGATCGACTCCTAAAGACAAGAGTCCAGCAGACCTGTTGGTATTTATATTCATACCTGAAGCAGCATTTGTTGTTCTAGAGGCAGCACTAATAGAGCCAGATCTGGCTGGTGGTATACGTAAAGAATCAGAGTCACCTGCGACGTCGGTTGTTGTGGAACTACTTCCTGATCGTTCAAGTCCAGATAGACCAGCAAGTCCAGCGAGACCAGTCACACTCAGCAAACGAGCCCAGCGGCTCTTAGCATTGGTATTACTATTGTCTGTAGCAGATACAGATTTGGGTATCATTGGAGCAGCTTCTTTTCCTTCAGGATTAAACATGGTCTTTTGACGATGGCGTCTCATACAGCATATTATAGCAATGAGAGCTATTAATACTACTACAGCTGCACCTGTTGCGACACCAGCAATTATCGGAGCTTTCGATCTGTTCACTTGTTCGATAGATGACAGAGATGTTGATCCATTGAACGATGCTGCGGTTGCAGCTGCATCAGGAGCCACCGACGGTTCATTATGATACGAGGTATATAATGGTGCTACTGGTGCAGATGCTATAACAACGGGTGACGGTATCACTGTAGGCGAAACTATCACTATTGAAGCTAGCACTGTGGGCGAGACCAATACTGTAGGCGAAGCAGCAGCTAATTGTGTGGGAGAGACATTTACATAAGGTGATGGTTTACGAGAAGGGTCTGCTGATGGTAAGATAATCACGGCATCCGGGGATTCCTGTATAAGAGGACTTTGTTTAGCCTTTGGTATTCGAGAAGGATTAGGCGCAGTGTCTGCATCTGGAGTCTGCTGCGTAGTTGGGCTGGGCTGTATCTGAGGAGACGGCACATCTGGGGATACCTGTACCTGGAGATACCAGAAAGACATATTTCGGTTCCCTTGCAATATTTACATACTTGCAACCCCAACAAGTATTCAGGCAACAGCTTACCTCTACGACTGGACTCTTAGCAGCAGGAGCGGGAGCAGCAGACTTTTTTATCACTGGCGATGCAGCCACATCATCTAATTTATTGAGAGATACTCATTGGCATCGCACTGTTTGAATACTTTTGACTGGGACACAGGTTGCAAAGTCGGTTTCGACAACCAAGACTACACGTACTGGACGGATAGACCTTTGGAGATGCCTTAGGTGCAGTGTTTCCTGTAGGCTGCGTACTAGCAGGAGCTTCTATTCAAACATGATTTTGAACGTTAATGTTTTGGAACAGTTTTAAATGCAGAATCGTATTGCGATTTAACACGAAATGTTCTAGCAATCGCTCTATCAGCAAGCGGTTCAAACGAATATAATTCATATGCATCATCATATGACAATTCGGGATTTTGTACATTTAAATCAGTTTTGCTTCAGATGGAGTTTGGAGCAAACTTACTTTTTGTTGGAGAGGGTGCAGCTGAAGGTCCTGCGGCTTTTACTAGTCTAGCCAGTATCAGAATGGAAATCACTTCCATTTTCACCAGTCTCAAGTTGGTCGTTCTTCTGTCGGATTAGAATTTGGTCGGGTGCAGAAAAACATACAGTCATGTCTGAAACTTGGGATACGCCCTAACTGTGCGACAAACAAATCAAACTTACTGCACCGAACTGTAGCTCATGAGAGGTCACCAGTAATAGTGTTTCATGCTAGTTGATCTTGTAACATGATCTTCATATTTACTTATTTACATTGAATTGTGTTTGGATCTTTGACAAACTGACCAACTATGAAACATCATGGCATTACAATTTACTGCTAGATCCAAATAGATCTGCAAGATACTTTTCCATTTGTGACATAGATCCAGCATATGCCATCATTCCTATATACATATCAGGCCTGACGAACACCAATACGGGTTTCGTGGATGCTCCAAAGAGTGGCATACAAGCAGCCCCAAGTTCAGAGGCGAGAACTATATGTTGTGGGACGTTTGAAGGTGTTGATACCAGTTCAAACTTCGAGATTTGCAGACCAGTGACAGTGCTGGAGTACTTTGACACTACGCCATAAAAGTTGGATAATATGGGGTTTTTGGATGGGTCTGACATGTCGGTTCCGGTCAGCAGCACCAAAGTGAATTTATTAGTTTGGCTGAGCAACCTATGTAACGTGGTTTGTCGCAACGATAGCGACAATGGAAGACGTTCGTTCATGAGCTACGCTTTTCAGAAAGAAGGCGATCAGCTCAGACACAAAAGCTTATGGCGTCCCGTAGTAGGCTCTCGAACTCTTCCATCCTGACTTACAGGAGCATCTGGGCAGTATTCACCAACTCTCGCCAGGGAACCCTTAGTAGCCTCAATCCTTGGCTCTCCTTTCCGCAAGAGCACACTTTTGGGTATTGTAGCAGTATAGTTGACATCCAATTGCCTCATAATATGGCGAGCCTTTTCTTGAAACTTGTTGGTAGAAGCAATCAATGGAAATACATATTTCAAAAACAACTACAAGGATACAAGAAAAGGTTAGCACTGTTTGCTCAAAAGACGGACTATGCTTCTTCTGCTCCAAACCAATCAAAGTTTAAACTAGGTTGAATTCATGAAAACAGTATGAAATATCAAAATGTGTACCGAGACCAAAATCCTTCCAATAACGCTATTTCCAAAAGCCTTGGTTACTGCTTGCAACCTTCCACTAGTGATTGCAAGAGTTTGTTGAGCTACTGGAAACCGCTCAATACTGTACGTGTCCAGAACGGCTTCAGCTGAATTGGTCAATCCTTTAACAACCATATTCAATTTGAATGCAAGATTATGTGCGTCTTGGATTCCTAACAGTGTGTACACTTGTAAGTATCTTTCGACCTTGTGGACCAAAATCAATCCACAACGGTACCTGTGTTTAGTCCTCTCCCACCAAAAGGACTATGACAATGGGCGGAATCGCCGCACAGGAAGGCATTCCCTCGTCGGTAACCATTTGCGATTCTTTCGCTCACTTTGTAGGTAGTGACCCAAGTATCGGCATCAATGTTGGTATCAATTGACAAGGCGCCATACGTTCTCTCTTCGACACCCTTTCGTAAATCATCAATGGTAAAACCACTTAATTTCATTGATTCTTCGTCGCCATTCGCTCCTTTTTGATGAGTGGTGAGTCCTCCTACACAATTTGAGGTAGCCTCTGCATTCCTGTCCAACGAGTCCCGATCGAGTTTATAGCCGATACGGACACGTTCCGAGTTTGGCTAGGAAAGAAGAGATGTTGCATTAGTCAATGGTCAATCCTTGAAAACAACACAGACACGCACATAGCGGACAATAAAGAGGGATCCCTTCGGATGGAAGAATAGCGACATGCCTTCAACATATTCGTTTCCTCGAGAGAGTACGACATCCCCCATACCCTGAGTTTGAGGCAAAGTCTTTCCAACAAAGTCCCAGCCTTTGATGCCGTGTCTGACTCTACTACGGACACCATCACATCCAACGATGTATTTGGCTTTACATGTTTCACGTGCGACTTCCTTGCCACTGCGGCTTGTTTTTATCAAGGTGGCAGTGATACCTTCAGGAGTATGAATGTACGAGTCGAGAGATATTCCTCGCTCTATGACAGGCCGACCCATTTGGCGTTCAATTCCTTCTGCTAAAATAGCTTCAATCGCAGACTGTGGGAGGATACTCGTGTAAGGGAATCGTGTCTTGTGGTCGTCTCCAGGCTGCGAGACAGCAGACAGCGAGAGTAGAGTATTCGTGCCCTCCTTCAAGCATATAGAGTGGCTTTTGCTTGATCTTTGTAGCAGTTCATCAGCAAGACCACGACTGAGTTAAAAGTAAATAGTTAAGATCAGATGTCGCGACAAGGGCGTTGTAAAGCTGAGAACGGTGAAGATTCGGCCACCGGCGGAAGTAAAAGGAGCTTACCTTGCGAGAATATCCATGCTTCTAGCCGAAATGCCAATAGCTTTGCTCAGCTTATTAACGTCGTGATTTTGCTCCACAATTCGAAAGTTCAGGCCATATCGACCAAGTTCGCTGGCCATTATCAGACCTACCGGTCCGGCTCCAACTATTAGTACGTCTAAATCCATCTTATCCTGCTCTTGCCTGTTTAATATGTAAACTCAAAGTAATTCTGTAATGTTGGATCACTTTCGCAAGGTTATCTGGAATTGTTTGTTTAGCGTACTTCAACGCAACATTTTGAGGATTTTGACATTTGGACCGCTTGTCGGTGATGGCTGTTTACTCCGCCAGATATTGTTATCAAGCGTTCACTTAAGACCACTCCATCAATTGCACCTAAAACGAAGTGATCCTGCTGCTTTTCCCGCTTGTACCTGTAGAGACGGCGCATCCCCCCAACATATCTTTCAGTCACAGCTGCTGGAGCAAGATAACTGAGAACTGCGCAACTTGCGTCCAACACAACAGTTTACGATACAGAGACTTGGAAGGCCTCTAATATGCAAGAAACAAAAGAAAACTGCAACTTGAAAGGATGACGAGGCGATCAATAATTCAAGCTACCAGTATGTAAACTATTATCCTCATATTTGGATTGTGGCTGGATCTTTGACAAACTAACAAACTATTGGTCGTCACGAAACTATAATTTGCTGTTAGATCCAAATAGATCTGCAAGATACTTTTCCATTTGCGACGTAGAGTGAGCATACACCATCATTCCTACATAAAGATCAGGCCTGACCAACACCAATACAGGTTTGGTCGACGCACCAAAGAGTGGCATGCAAGCAGCACCAAGTTCAGAAGCGAGTAGTATATGTCGTGGGACGTTTGAAGGCGATGACACCAGTTCAAACTTGGATAGTTGCAGACCAGTAACAGTGGCGGAGTACTTGGATACCAGTGTATAAAAGTTGGATAAAATGGGATTCTTGGAAGGGTCTGACGTATCGGTTCCAGTCAACCATACCAACGTAAATTTAGTAGTCTGACTCAGCAACTTATGTAAGGTTGTTTGTCGTAAGGATGACGACAATGGTAGACGTTCATTCATGAGCTGCGTTGTTAAGAGCAACGAGTGGTCAGGTTAGATCAAAATGAAAATGTAGACTAAGAATTCAACTTACATGGGCATCTGGGCAGTATTCTCCAACTTTTGCCAATGACCCCTTGGTAGCTTCAAGTTGTGGTTCTACTTTACGCAAGAGTATAGAGTTTGGGATTGTAGCAGTATAGTTGACGTTCAATTGCCTCGCCATGTGTCGAGCCTTTTCTTGAAACTTGCTATTGGAAGCAACATGTGGGAAGACAACACTAAAAATCAACTACAACATAATAGACAAAGTGTTAGCAGTATTGTTCACAGAGCAAACTCATCTGGGCCACAAACTACAGTAAACCACTTGGTACAAATCCGAGAAATTCAACAATGTTTACCGACATAAGGCCTCTTCCAATAGGGTTGTCTGCAAAAGTATTGGTGGCTACTTGCAACATTCCACCACTAATGGCGAGAGTTTGCTGACCGACTGGAAACCTTTCAATACTGTACGAGCCTAGTACGGCTTCAGCGGACTTGGTCAATCCTTTGATAACAAAATTCAACTTGAATGCAAGATTATGTGCGTCTTGAATTCCTGACAATGTGACACACATGTAAGTAGCTCGTGAAAGCCAACAAAAACACTAGTCAGTTTGCACCTGTATTCAATCCTCTCCCACCAAAAGGACTATGACAATGGGCAGCATCACCTGCAACAAAGGCATGTCCTCGTCGGTAGCCATTTGCGATTCGTTCATTTACCTTGAAGGTGGTAACCCAAGTGCTGGCATCGATGTGGGTATCAACTGACAAAGCACCATATGTTCTCTCTTCGACACCCTTTCGTAAGTCTTCGATCGTGAAACCAGTGATTTTGACTGATTCGTCGTAGGCATTCGCTCCTTTTTGATGGCTGGTGAGTCCTGCTACCCAATGTGTAGTAACCTTTGCATTCTTTTCCAGCGAGTATTTATCAATGTTGTAGCCTATGCGCACACGGTCCGAGTTGGGCTAAACAAAACTTTTCGATCAGCCGATAGTTAATAACACTTACAGAAGCCAACGAAGACTTGACATCTGTACTCACAAAGCGGACTGCGAAGAGGGCTCCTTTTGGATGCACAAAAAACGACATGCCATCGACGAGTTCGTTTCCACGAGAGAGCAGGACATCTCCAAGAGCCTGAGTTTGCGCCAAAGTCTTGCCATCAAAATCCCATCCTTTGACACCTTTCCTGACTTTACTATGGACACCATCACACCCAACAATGTACTTGGCTTTACAGACCTGACGTTCTACTTCCTTGCCACTGCGATCGGTTTTGATCAAGGTAGCAGTGATGCCTTCAGGAGTATCGATATACGAGTCGAGAGCTATTCCTCGTTCGATGACAGGTCGACCCATTTGGCGTTCAAGTTCTTCTGCCAATATGGCTTCAACGTCAGACTGTGGGAGGACACTCATATATGGGAAACGTGTCTTGCGCTCTTCTCCTGCTTGCGAGACAACAGACAACGAGAATATAGTATTCTTGCCCTGTTTCAGATAGCTTTTGTGGATTTTGTTTGCCTTTCGTAGAATTTCATCAGCCAGACCACGACTAATATGAGGTAAATTATTCGACATGTTAGCGCGATATTGGTGTTTTACAAAGTTGAAAGGATTGACATAAATTCAGATGCTGAAGCATTCCCGAAACGAGAGGGAGAAGAAGGGAAATGTTTAAGCTTACCTCGCGAGAATATCCATGCTTCGAGCGGAAATTCCAAACGCTTTGCTCAATTCATTAACATCGTGAGCCTTATCGACGATTCGGAAGGTCAGACCGTATCGACAAAGTTCGCTTGCCATCATGAGTCCTACGGGGCCTCCTCCAACTACGAGTACATCTAGATTCATGATTTCAAGTTGCTATTGGTTGTTTGTCAAACTTGTTTGTAGTGACAGTCGCAAGGCTGTCCGCTTTCTTGCTCAGCTTCATTTCAAAGCAATACGAGTATTCTGACCGCTGACACGTTGTGCCGAAGAGCATGCTTGGCGTCCTTTGACAGTTGAAAGATTGTTCCGGAAAGGTGTCATATTTGTGTCTGATGGCCATTAGCTATCAGCAACCCAAACGTTTCAGTAGTCCCAAATCAAATCCAGAAAATGTAAATCAAGAAATATCACGTAAGGGTCCATTTGAACAGATTATTTCAGCGTTTAGCACGAATTCGCTATATCTGTGGACTCTAAGAGAGTATCGGTCAGCATCACACAGATGAGCCTAGCAGACGAGAATGCGACACAGATGCAAAGTCGGGCCTCAAGAACCCATAACTGTGCAAGAAGCTAATGAAACACTGCGACTAGAAAGAGGCGATAAGTACCTCGAGATACGAGTGAAATTTCATCTTCATATTTGAATTTTGCTTTCATCCTTGGCAAACTATCTGCTTTGTGACTACAATTTGCTGTTGCTTGCACCATTAGATCCAAATAGATCTGTAAGATACTTTTCCACTTGTGGCATGGAGTCAGCATACGCCATCATTCCGACATATAGGTCAGGCCTGATCAGGACCAATACAGGGTTGGTGGATGCTCCAAAGAGTGGCATACAAGCAGCTCCAAGTTCAGATGCGAGTAATATATGTTGAGGGACGTTTGAAGCTGATGACACCAGTTCAAACTTGGATAGTTGCAGACCAGTAACAGTGCTGGAGTACTTCGATACGAGTTTATAAAAGTCGGATAATATCGGGTTTTTGGATGGGTCTGCCACGTCGGTTGCAGTCAACAATACCAACGTAAATTTAGTGGTTTGACTGAGCAACCTATGTAATGTCGTTTGTCGTAATGATGACGATAATGGTAGACGTTCATTCATGAGCTATTGTGTTCAGAAACGAAGTGTCAACTGCGTTACAAACGTAAAAACTTGCAGAAATCTGTAATGGCGTTCCTCTGACTGTATTGCAACTTACATGGGAATCTGGGCAGTATTCACCAACTCTCGCGAGTGAACCTTTTGTAGCTTCAATCCTTGGTTCTACTTTACGTAACAGAATACTTTTGGGTATAGTAGCAGTGTAGTTGATATCCAATTGCCTGATAAAATGCCGAGCATTGTCTTGAAACCTGCTGTTGGAAGCAACAAATGGGAAGACGTATTCAAAAAACAACTATATGTACCGAAGTAGAAAGAATTAGTCCCTGCTGGTCAACAAACCTATGAAGCCGGCTTTGACGCAACCATGAATTACTGTGAAAACATCATAAACGAACGAGCCCATACCGACACAAAGCCACGTCCGATAGGGTTATTTGCCACAGCATTGGTTGCTACTTGTAACATTCCACTACTGAGGGCGAGAGTTTGCTGGCCGACTGGAAGCCGTTCAATACTGTACGAGTCTAGTACGGCTTCAGCTGAATTGCTCAATCCTTTGATGCTCAAATTCAATTTGAATGCAAGATTATGTGCGTCTTGAATTCCTAACAATGTGACACACATGTAAGTAGCTCGTGAAAGCCAACAAAAACACTAGTCAGTTCGCACCTGTATTCAATCCTCTCCCACCAAAAGGACTATGACAATGTGCAGCATCCCCTGCAACAAAAGCATGTCCTCGTCTGTAACCATTTGCGATTCGTTCATTGACTTTAAAGGTGGTGACCCAAGTATCGGCATCAATATTGGTATCAACTGATAAGGCACCATATGTTCTCTCCTCGACACCCTTACGTAAATCATCTATAGTAAAACCTGTGGCCTTGACTGATTCTTCATATGCGTTTTTGCCCTTCTGATGAGAGACAAGGCCTACTACCCCATGAGTCGTAGCTTTTGCATTCTTTTCCAGCGAGTATTTATCGACATTGTAGATGACACGGACACGGTTCGAGTTTGGGAATCTGGCAGTAAAGAGATCTCCTTTGGGATGGAAGAATAGGGACAGGGCTTCAACTTGCTCGTTGCCTCGAGAGAGCAAGATATCACCCAAACCCCAAGTGATTCCAAGCGTCTGCCCAACAAAATCCCATCCTTTGACGCCGTGCCTGACTCTACTATGGACACCATCGCACCCAACTATATATTTGGCTTTACAGACTTGACGTTCGACTTCATTGCCACTGCGATCGGTCTTGATCAAAGTAGCTGTAATACCTTCAGGAGTATCAATATAGGAGTCTAGAGATATACCTCGTTCGAGAACAGGTCGGCCCATTTGACGATCAAGTTCTTTGGCCAGAGTAGCTTCAATATCAGACTGTGGCAGGACGGTCATGTAAGGGAAGCGTGTCTTGTGGTCTTCTCCTGGTTGTGAGACAGCGGACATGGAGAATAAAGTGTTTTTGCCCTCCTTCATGGCGATCCTGTGGATTTTGTTTGATTTTCGTAGGATTTCATCAGCTAGACCACGACTATGTTACCAAAAGTATCAACAGTTAGCGAGAGGCGACCAAAGATTACACAGTATGAGCTAGGTAAGCTCAAGCATGGTAGGGCGGTGAGATTGCCGATGAGCTGACTTGTAAGCTCAACGAAACAATGCAACACGTTAAGTTGGAGCTTGGCGCAGGACGTACCTTGCGAGAATATCCATGCTTCTAGCAGAAATACCAAAAGCCTTGCTGAGCTCATTGGCATCCAGAGCTTGTTCAACAATTCGAAAGCTCAGCCCATATCTACCAACTTCACTTGCGAGCATCAGTCCTACAGGGCCAGCGCCTATGACAAGCACATCAACATCCATTCTGTCTTTGTACGTTCAAGGTAGGTCAACAGCAATTATGACTTTGTTCGTGTATACACGGTTCAATATGGGGATGCAAAGGTTGATCCGAGAAAGTGTGATTTATTTTGAAGTGCTGGCGGTCAAACTTTACACAAGTTCCAACGTGGATCTAGGCAAAGTAAAACAGCAATCATCACATACTGACTTCTCCTAGACTGATTCCTTTCGCGTGAACAGCATGGTCAAACTGGTGTCCAACAAAGTTCCCAGCGGCCAAATCTCAATTTTCAACTGTGACGACGCGTAGAATGGCCTGCATACTGGTTATGGTAGACGCTACAGATTCATTAGACACATTGTGCTTCAATCGGCGATTGTTGTTTCTTGCTCCCAATAAGACAAACAGCGAGTGTCCAAACAGCTCGGTTTCTGCATACGACAGTTCTGACTCGAGCCTCGTGTTTGCCAAACACGTAGATACGCGGCTATTAGGCGCATATTGTGTTGTTAGGTGAGCTAGGTGTCAAGAGTTCCAACTTTTTAAAAAACTCGAGTCCGCCGCAGACGACGATGCCAGCAGACATAATACAGTCAGAGTCGACTGGCTTACAGGTCAAGCTTTACCATGCAACACGTATAGCCCTTTCGCTTCGTAAGTCTCTTCGATGGATTGTCTGTCTGAAATGAGCTTACAAATTTCAAACTAGTTGATGGAGACTTGACGATATCAAGAGCTAAACGGGCTTTCGAAAAGGCTTTTGGCTTTGGGGAATGGGACGAGCTCACTACTATAGAGTTCCTAGACTCAGATGGAGACTATGTTGAACTCCCAGGTTCGAGACCACATGTTGGCGTTTGAATCGAAGAACTTTGTTTGCTGACGATTTGGCCCATCTTTTCACATTGGAATAGATGATCCCAAGCTTCTTATGGAGATCGAAAAGCGTGCAAGGGCTGGAAGGAATCGTTTGTCTCTTAGAACCACAATACTTGATATTATGGTACACAAACTCGTTTGTATTGTTGGAGATCAACAGCCTATTTACTCGTAACTTCAATCAGTCTAACGTTTCCTCTTCATTTCTATTACAGAAATCAGAATCCATCGATTGTGTTAGTTCGATCGCTTCAGCTTCAGTCAAGTTGATGGATATGACCACAAAGCTATCACGATTGCAACTAAAACTCAACGTGCGAAACATTCTCGTTGTCACAAAACCATTTGATCCTGCCCTCGTGCCGTTAACTCGAGACCTGGCCGTATGGCTAGTCGAAACGTATCCTGTTGAAGTCTATGTTCAAGAACCACTACGAACAGCTGAAGGATTCGATTACGATGAAATATGTAGCCAGTCGGATAAAGTGAAGAGTCGCCTGAAGTTCTGGGGTCGAGAATTTATCAGAAATCGAGCCGATGATGTCAATCTGGCAATCACTCTTGGAGGTCAGTGCTCTAAATGATAGGATCGTTCATGGATTCGTTGTCTGGCTTCCATACTGACATGAAACGGTATTTCATTAGGTGACGGCACAGTATTATATTCTAGTTGGCTTTTCCAAAAGCAATCGCCACCTGTCATGCCATTCTACCTTGGGAGTCTCGGGTTTCTCACCGTATTTGATTTTGGAACACACCGAGAAGCTCTATCTAGAGTATTAGAAGGTCAAGGACAAAGAGTCAATCTTCGAATGAGGTTACAGTGTGCTGTATATAGTAAACCACGATCGCCCACACCGAAACCCGAAAACCGTCAACTTCATCCTATACCTCGAGGTGCATTGCCCAAACATAACACATTCACTCGAGATGCAGTCATTCGAGCAGATCCAGAGGAATGTGAAGAATGTGATATTGGACCAGTTGGGCCTCCAAGCTCTGTTCATCAAGTAATGAACGAGATGGTTGTCGATAGAGGTAACGTCGCGTGGTTGGCTGTATCTTGTGAAGTGGCCATTTCAACTTGTTTCTAATCCTTTGTCGTAAACTTAGGTGCTTCACCAAGCATGTTGCAATTGGAATTATATGCAGATGATTTACATTTAACTACGATATTGGCTGATGGACTGGTGATTGGAACCCCTACCGGAAGCACTGCCTAGTAAGTGAAATGAACACGCTTTTGCGATTTCCTTTGTGTAACTGACTGGTATCTTTCTTATATTAGTAATGTACGTTCAGCTTCCAACGAAGGAGACGGATTATCCCATTCTTCTCACTTATGCCTCCTTTTGATGCTTAGTTGAGTGCTGGTGGATCATTAGTACATCCTGAAAAGGCATCCATACTAGTCACCCCCATATGCCCTCATACTTTGACTTGTCGTCCAATGATACTGCCAGGACAGACAGAATTACGAGTTTGTGTTACTCTCGGCTCTCGCTCAGTCGCGTGGGTGAGTGAATGAGAGGACTCTGGTTTGTTTGCCATTGGTTCTGATTTCTGAAAGCCTTTTTTCCTTCGCCTCGTTCGATCCCTTCTGATTTTTGTCCCTTACAGGCATCTTTTGATGGCCGATACCGTCGAGAGCTTCTACCAGGCGATTCCATATGTATAACTGCCTCTCGATATCCATTTGTCTCTCTGTGTAACGAAGATCAATCCTCTGATTGGTTTAGAAGCTTGATCTCAACTCTGCATTGGAATGAACGACCGAGGCAAAAGCCTCTTGATCGTACAGCAATGATGTGAGGGCTGTTTCAAGTATGTTTATGAAGTGGAGTAGGTGATAGATCGAATTATTCTACAGAGTTATGATAGATTGTCGCTTGGATTGCAAGATGTAATATAAATGACGCTTTTTAACTTTGGAGGTTAGAGTTCTAGTTTGAATTTGGGCGTGAGGGTGATGTTGTGCTTATGAGAGTGAACCTGGACAGAAAACTTCGACCGGCTTAACCTCGTTAATCAATGGGTCCACCAGCAATACAATGCACGAGGTCGAATCAGCCAAGTTTGAGTATCTATTGACAAAAATCTGGGTTCTGGGATTGAGCTCGTTGATATTAACAAAGAGGTAAACTTGAACCAACGACCTCTATCTCGAAACAAGTCATTTTATTTAGAGCGAGAATTCAATTATTTGACAACCACTCTGTTACCTACAAATTACAGCTTTGCATCTGGTTGTACATCTGGGTGTGATTTCTTGAATGCTTCCAGTTGCATCAAGTTTCCAACGACTCGGGCACATGTTGGAAACAGGGAGGCATCACAATTCCAACGATCGACATTGTACCATTGAGGTACCAAGACACAGTCTGCCATTGTGAGGGAGTCCCCATAGCAGTATTTCCCAGCCGTCTTTCTCAATTGAGCTTCAACCTGTTTGTGAAAACGATGGGATAGTTAGGCCACAACAAGAGGATGGTGGAGGAGAAGATTCCATTGAACAAAAGGGGTTTCAAAGATGTTCGCATACTCAACTGCTTCCATGCCCCAGTGGATTACTTGCTTTGCCCACGCAGCCTTGCCCTCATCGCCGACCAATTTCAAGACGCGTTGGTTTTGCAGTGGGTGAGTATCAGCAACAATAGCATTGACAATAGCTCGGACTTCAGCTCGTTTGTAGACGTCTTTTGGTAGTAGAGCTGGTTCAGGATAGAGATCTTCCAGCAACTAGGTTGGAGAGACGAGATATAAAATGAGCAAGCTTGTCCTCGAAGTGTGTAATACAAAGAGTACATGAATAGCAGCTGCACGACCACTGTTCAACAGCAAAAGCAGCTTCAAAATCATTGCCATCAGGTAAGCAGCGTCCTTGCTTACTTCAAGAATGGCAAACGACTGAGTGAATATTCGTTGATTAATGATCAAAGCAGGCACCAGCTTGGCCGGATTCATCTTAACATATTCCGGCGTGAATTGTCCTCCATTAAGCAAATCGATTGAGACATATTCATATTTGATTCCCTTCAAAGCGAGAGCATTCCTACATAGAGATCAAATGTGAGTTACCAGATTCACGAAGTTTCTAACCATACAGACGCTCCAGAAACATCTGTTGAACGCCAAATACAGTTTGGAAACAACCGGATACCTGACACGCCAGCTCGCTGAGCTCCTCCAATAACCGTAAAGGATGACTTTGTCAGGCATATGGAAATCCTAACGAGAATGACGTAGTAGGTTAGTAATAATTATCTTTGAATGCAGAATGTAGCTCTCGACTGAAAGAGCACTTACGAATCCGTTGCCTTCAGGCCTGTTAATATTCGAGGCGTGAAAAGTAGCTCAATCGACTTTTAATACGTCTCATTCGTTTAGAGACCCATTAACGAGACTGGACGCGTCATTATTAAACATTATAATATCCTAAATGGATTCCAATAAGCCAAAAGCACCTCCTCTTCCACCACGGCCAACGTCATCAACAGACCAAAATGTCGAAAAATACACTCGAGGAATCAGTCAGACAATCTCATCATCCATTCATGAACTCGATGTACATGTAGTACGAGTACGATCGGGACAAGCTGAGCTGGCTGAAGAAGTCAATGGAGTCTTTTCAGGTACTTCAAAGTCGGGCATCAACCTTGAAACTCAAAGACACGAGCGTTTTCAGGCTTGATGCATTGCTACGAAGACGATTCTTTCAGCTCCAAGTTACAGGCTTGACTTAACATTCCTGACATCTGTTAGATCTGCACAAAAGCATAGTCGAAACAGAGACTCCACAGATTGACCAAGCTTTATCACGACTCGCCATAGTCAGGAAGAGACTGGTGGCAGTCAATTCTTCATTATCTGGCTCTCACAACAGGCTAGAAAAGTCTATTACGTTGTTGTCGAATCGCCAAACCGTAAGATGACAAGAACCCAAAAACCTTAATATATAGCAGCACCATGCAAATCGTGTCGTATTGTATAAACTATTGATGTACATTTGCTAGTTGAAAAATAATTTAACTCTTTCCTTTGCCTTTCTTCGCCGATGATTTCGCTTCATCTATTCCCATCAGTTTCACTTTGCCCATCATCGTTTGTATTGATTCCGGTCCAGGGATACGCTTCATCAAATCTCTCTCTGGTACAGCAGTGGCCACCTTGATAAAAGCATCAAGAGCCTGCTTGGCAGCTTTTCCCTTCTTTAGAGACCCTGGTACAAGTTTCACTTTGTACTTGTATCGATTTAAGGCACTAAATGGTGCACATACAGGTATAGCGAATAGTAATGTATCTTCTTCATGAGGCTGTCCAGTCAAAGAATCTAAAAAGTTCATGCTGAGGTCTTCTTCACCCTGCTCGTCTTCTTCAGGTACAGCTATCACTGAGTCTCCATCACCACCTGCATGCACTTGAGTATCGGTTTGCTGTTCTACTGGTTCTATTGCTTCTGAAGCTTCATTATCAGAATTGCTAGATCCACTATCTGAATTGTCGTCATCCTTGGGTAAGACTACTTCAGACTTAGACTTCGGCGTTTGCATGGAATCATTGTCCGCTACAATCAGTTGTGGTCGTTTAATACTCTCCTTCCTTTCCGAGGCTGAAAGAGGTGATGTCAAATTGGTGGCGGGATCAGGAGTCGTTTGATCCAAAGATTTACTAACACTACTACCCGCAAAAGCCTTTTGGTCAAGAGCATTATTACTACTAGATGGAGGCACCTTCTGCTTTGCTAGTTCCTTCTCCTTTTTGCCTTTTGGTTGTGGTCCTTTAGCAGATCCTAGAATCTCTAGAGCCAACTGCTTTTCTTCTTCATCTTGACCACCATATTTAGCCTTTTGTTTCTTTAGCTTTGCCTTTTTACCACGCACTGGAGGAGGAGCAGGAGGTGGTTTTCCTGACGATGTTGATGGTTGTTTGGTGGATGGTTCTGGTGTACTACTAATACTAGATTTACTCTCAACATTTTCACCACCAAGATGTTGTCGTTTCTTCTTCAAGTCTCGGCGTTGCTTGGCACTCATAGATGGTCGACTTGATTTACCTTCTGTCGATACAGAAGCTGTAATGGATGCAAAAGCTGGTGATGGTTCATTATCAGCTTCGTCATCTAATTCATCTAAATTATACTTATCATATCCAGACTTGGACGGTGCAATCGAGACGTTGTCTGATTGTTTTTTGTCTCTGTGAATTTGACTAACGTCTCCTGCTTCATCTTCTTCCGAATCTCCCATTTCACCATCAGAAGCATCAAAACCACCTTCGGCATTTCCTTTATCAGGCGACGTAGCCGATGCATCGATACTAGCCATCATAGAGGCAGGAGCATCATCTCCTGATTCTACATCCGAAGACGCAATTGCTGGAAGATGACCTTCATCATCAGCAAAGTTGGCTACAGATCCAGGAGGAGACATGAGACTCTCAGAGCTTTGTAGTCTAGAGGGTATCGTGGAAGATTCGGCTACTCCTGCTGGAAGTGGTTGTTCTCCATTACGACCCCATGGCCTGCGTTCGAAATAGTGTCGACCTATATCTTCGTCTGATACCCTAAAGAGCAGCCCATATCCAAAAATTAATTGTACAGGTGGCAGCCAATGTTTCTTTCTATAAAGGCGTAGAGAAAGTGGTCAGCGAAGAATGCCAAAACCGAATCAGCAAGTGGTAAGGCTCAATACCCTCTGATCATAAAAGACCCGGTATTAAGATATTCTCCCGTTGGTGCTGACTTTGACACCTAGATTATTCCAAGCAAAGTCAACACATATGGCCGACAACTAAGCGCGAAGACGAAGACAATCGGGACATCGAAAAATACGACAAGTCGCGGTAACGAGTCACACACCTGATGAGGATGTACAAAATATGCGCTAGTGATGATTTTCGCAGTCCAGGCATTGGACTGGCAAACACTCATGGTTGCAGCTTGAAGTAGGGTATCCGGAGGAATAGGTGACCACTCTTCAAACGACACTCCTGCTGGAGGAGACGCATTTGGTTCAGAGTTCTTCACAATGACGGAAGAAGCACCGTTCAAATCAGCGTGAATGTACACATCTCCCTACAGTTGAATGCAAATCACACTTAGGTTATGCCCAATGAGGGTGTTCACAAAAGGACTTTTTTTGCGGAATATGTCATCAACATACTTTTCTCAGATGTTTCTTCACAAGGATCTCATTTTGTTGGGCGTCACGACCACCAACAACCAGAAAGTTTTCAGAGGATATAAACCACAAAAACTTTTCAAACCAAAATGGTTTACGAACTTTTGTGATTGTAGGCACCTGCTTTTGAGTTGTCTTCAACTCATGAAGGATTTTACGTTCAGCTGACTTGACGGCCTTTTCAGCTGCTTCCTGCGTCTTTTCTTGCTTGACAACAGCAATCTTTTTAGCACCATAGTACCGTCTAGCATTGGCAAATGCTGACGCGTAAATGTAGATATCTGCGGCTAGCGGCGGTCGAGAAGTTGACGGTTTGCTACTAGACTTTACAGGGGTAGCTTGTGACGTGCTCTCTAGATCTGATTCATCAGAGTCTGCAGAGCCCGCTTCATCACTAGCTTCATCGCTCTGATCTTCGTCCTCTCCTTCTTCATCGTCAGGATCTCGAAGAGATATAGATACCATTCCAACCTCCATCTTGAGACCTGTAATCATACCAGCTATTTTATTGCCCTTCTTCTTTTCATCCTTGACGAGTTTATCTAAATCTTTCCAGTCCATGCCAGAAGCAATCAACGACCTGAGAGTTTGAAGCAAGCTATCTATATCTACCATATTGATTTCAATTGCCCGAGCAATCTTTTGGTTTTCTTCTTGCTGAGAAGCTAGTCCTTTTATCTGCGACTCATGGCCAGCTTTAACTATTTCAATTCTCTTCTGGGCATTAATTTCGGCTTGACGAGTCTTTGCTTCAAGCTTTTGAGCCTCAATCTTTGAGAAGTACGTATCGAGGGCGAGATTAAAAGACTGGAATTCAATATACTGTCGATTTTCGAATTGGGCAAAGAGGTACGGATGGAATTCGTCGTAAATGGCGCTACTAGTTTGTTGTTGTTGAGGCGAGTCAGAATTTGGTTGCTGTAATATTATATATCCTTTCTGAGGTGTATCGAAGCAGGCCTTTACGATTTTATCGGCATCTCCAAAAGCTGTCATTAGAGCTTGAATTTGGGGCGATGCTTCTGAATGATCAATGTCCTCAGGCACCTTTAAACTTCCATCTAACCTTGACTTGAATAGGATATGGTCTGTGACTGCAGAACCATAATCACTTCCAAATCCATCTCTAATGACCTTCTTCAATGTAGTGTCCTTTTTCTTCTTTTTCTGCTTTAATGCAGCAGACACGATTTTCTTATTCCGTGTCGTAGTGACTGCTGGTTCCATAAAAGGTTCAGAAGGTAATGTGGATGATTGTGTTTCGTCTCGTTCTGGTGCAGGGCCAGCTAATACTTGTCGTAGACGGGTTTCAGTAGCAGGATGGAAGTCCGTTGCGAGATCTAGACGGTATGTAGCTCCTACTGCGAATCGAGCCGTATCAGGCTTTTCACTCAATTCGGTGGTTGCATCGACTTCGACTGATCGTAATAATGATAATATTTTGTACTCGTGGTCACATAGTAGTATGTTTCCACCTGAATAAAACTCTAGCATGACGTGATCTAAAAGTTTAGAATTTGTATGTGAACATATGTGTGTTTTAAATAACAAAAACCACACTTACAAGCAGCCTCTCCTTCTCCAAACGTCATATCCACGATCCTATCAGCACGAGTTTGCTTGATGTCCTTGATTCGTTTTGATTGAATGTGCTTCCGAAGCTTCATGCAAAAGGCGGACGGGAACATGTTCTTTTCCCGTTTAAACTCGGTCGTGTGCATTCGTATACCACTCTCTATGAGCAAAAGCTCCTTGGAATCTGTAGCTTTGACAGAGAACTTGAAGAGATACGTCTAAAAGAACCAGACGTTGATGTGCAAGGTTTGAAATCGGCGAGGAGAAGACACGATCCAAATAGTTCTGAGCGGAGACATACCCTGGAATTGATATCGTAAACTAGGCAGAGAAAGTATTCGCGTCAGAGCTTTGTTACAAAACAGAAAACTTAATCCAATTCTTTTTTCGTGTGCTTCAACTCACCATTCTGCAGCCTTGAGCCCAGAAGGGGGGCCAAATCCGCAACAGCTGCAGACACGTCTAGCGCCGAGAACCTTTGCTTCATTAGATCGCGACTCTTGGCTCCTTGGTTTGGTGATGCGTCAGAATAAAAAAGGGGAAAAAGTGTGTTACGAACGAGCGCTCTTTACAAGGACCTGGAATCGGACAACAAGAATAACATTCCACGGATTTTACCATGCTATATATATTTGTACAGATTTTAAAATGAGGAATACTTTAAATAACTAGCTACTGTTAATTTGCTCGGACTGAAAAGCTCTTTCGTTCAATATATGATCCCTCACTAAGTTAGAAATTTCAATAAGAATCTGCCTTTGATTCAGAAACATTCAAAACTGAATCGTGTTTCAAACTCACTTTACAGTTTTCGCAACCTTGTAATAGTACTCTGCATATTGACCCAAGTGTTGCAGGAATGTTTCGTCATGAGTAATCACAATCAGCTGAAAGTTGGACTGTTCTCGACGAGTTTCAATGATTTCGGCCAAAGAATGCACCAAACCTGCAATATTGGCTTGATCCATATTGGTAGTGGGCTCGTCCAAGGCCAAGATACCACATTGAGCACCGAAGGATTCAGCCAACGCAAGACGAATGATGATGGAGGTCAATACTTTTTGACCTGCACTACATCGTCCTCGCATATCTAGTACTGATTGGTCCTTCAACATGACAACCTACAATGGATGAGCAAAATGAGACTCGGCGATAAAAGCAATAATAATAGTAATAATCTGGTCGTCTAAAAATCAAAAACACCTGATGCAACCACTTACTCGATACTGATACGATCGAACCTTGCTAGCATCATGGTCAGATCGAATTTCAATGGTATCGATATCTATGTGGCAACAGAGGTCTCAGGATCTACCTCATGTAACAATCACATGCACTGGAACGAGTCATAACATACCGCCGCCCTTGTAGGTTTTGATCCATAATTCCTTGATAATCTTATTGATCTCCTTCATCTTTCTCGTGTGATAGTTTATTATTCCTCTAATGTCGGAGCCGGTGAGCAAAAAACCGCACTTGGTTCCCGTGCGTATGGCAACTTACGCATCCAATGACTTCACAATCTTTTCCTGATCTTCAAGAGCAAGGTTCTTGGTCTAGAAAACAAATCAAGAACTGGACAATCAGCAATGTTACAAATCTTGTCAACCAAGAAGAACAAACTCATACCTTCAGTTTCATATCTGCCTCCCAGTAGCGCTGATGAGCTCCCTGAAGCGTTCCATCACCAGTCAAACTAGCCTCATAACCTCGTTTACGTTCACGTAGCTCAATCAATTGATTTTGTAAGCCGTTTCGCTCTTGTTTCAATTCATTTTGCTTCCGTTCTGTAGCATTAATAGCATTTCTAAGTGTACCAGAGTCGTATCTGGCTCTGTTGGCTTTGAGGGTGTCGACTTGTTTAGCATAAGTACGTTCTTCTTCTTTACGAGCTCGTAGTTGGAGGTTGCTATCAATGGCTATTTCTCGGAGCTTGACTTGACCATCATCACTATCCATTTTGCGACGTTGAGCTTCAAGGGCTTTATTTTCATCGTTCAGTGTGGAGATTAGGGTTTGCTTCTCATCAAGACTTTCAATGTTGCCTTCTAATAGTTCTTCGATGCATTCGTCTTGATACCTGGGCACAAAACCAGTCAATACATGTATTCCAAATTGGACTTGTTTTCGCACCTTCCAATATCACGCGACAGTGAATTCAACTGATTCATAGATGTTTGAAGCGATTCAACCAAATTACGTTCACGTCCTTCCTTTGTAGCATTCGATTGTCGAATTTGGTTGAGCTCGTTCTCTAGAGCAGCCAGTTTTGGTCTGATTTCTGCCAGTCGCCGATCATTAGCCTAGTGAAATTTGGTATGAATGCTCGATGAGGCCAAAACAAGGGTAAAGGAACACTTTATGGAGTACCTCTATATCTCGAGTCCATTGGTCAACCTGAGTCTTGTATGACTTCACCTGCTCTTCCAACTCAATGCGACGATCCAGCTTTTGAGAACAAGATCCAAAGTCTTGACGAGTATTTTGAAGCTGAGTCTCGAGTGCTCTGAGTTCTCGTTCTTTGGCTTGTTTGTCAGAGATGACCTTGTCACGATCTTGTCGTGCTTGAGCCCTATAGTATAAAAAGATCAGTCATATGCTTTCTTGGGAAATGACTACTCCCACAATTCTAAATACTTACAGCTCCTGCTCAAGTCGTCTCAACTCGGCAGAAAGATCACCTTGGTCGCCATCCATACCAGACAGTTGCAGCTTGTCATTCAAAGCTTTCACATCAACTTCCAGCATGTTGATATCATTTTGGACCTTGGTGAGATCTTTCATCTTTTGCATCAAAGAAGTGGCATCGTTCAGAGAGTTGTTGGCTACTTGAGAGGCCAAGGTTGCCTGGGGGAGTTGAATGTAACAAGATGGTTAATTGTCCCATCGCGCGAAGCATCCAAGCTTTTCAAGCAGTCACCTGGTCAAATTGTGACCCAGCACTTTTGTTTGCCTTTTCAGAAGTCTTGATTTGTTTCTTCAAATCTTCAATCTCCTTTTCCAATCGTTTGACAGCAGTAACATCGCCTTGTATGGCTTGCAATGCTCGACGACGTTCCTCCAATTCTTCCAAGTCTTCTGCCGGCTTAGCACGTGCCATATCATCCAACTAAAGATTGGTCGGTAAGGCAAGCTTCTTCCAAAAGCATTTAGAATAGGACAAAGGTGGCCATCATTTGTGTATTCTTACTCTTTGTGACAGGGCAGATCTTTCCGTAGGGGTGTCACAGCTTCTACGACAGACAGGGCATACAGCACCAGAACTGGACTGTACTTTTAGGCCAGTGAAGAATTTGGTAATGAAATCTTGATTTTTGATGTTCCTACAACGAACAGAGACGTCAGGTCGGATTGCGTTGAAGCGGAGAGGACGATTTTACATATACCCAAGTGCTTCCTGATAGTCATCTTCGGTTGTCTGCCAAACATCTTCAAACGCATGGCCTTCCAATACACGCTGTATGACGGCCGTCTTGGCTACATAAACATCAACGCTGAATGTTTCGGAATTGTTTGATCGAATCAAACCTTACAATAACCCACCATCGAATTCATTCTTCTTTGTTTTGAGTGAAGCGGTATTCAGTTTGAGCGACGCAGCAATATCTGCCAACTCAGCTCGAGCGGAGTCTAATTTGTCTTGTGCATCATGGGATGCGGCCTGCTTTCCACTATAAGGCAAAGCGGACAGCCTCCGTCGATTTGTGCGGACATCAAAGTGATAAATTGGAAACATACCGATATAACGCTTGCACCGTCTGAGCCAGTAACGACACATCCACATTCTTGCGTGTCTGGCTTCCATCTATCTGCTCCAAGTCTTTCTCAACACCAGTGCGTCTAGCAAACTAAAGTTAGCCTTGCTGTTCAAACAAACGCAGGTCGTGTTTCGCTTGGCTCACAGTTGATCACGATCAGCACGTTTCGTGTTCAAATCATCAGACTTGGAGTTGAAACGAGCTCGTTCATCAGCTTGTTTGCTCACAGAAGCAGCCTTGCTGTGCATCTTCGACATTGACCTTTCAATGTCAGTCACTTTGTCACTCAACTGACAAATCTTGGCATCGCTTCCAGAGGCGTCAAAGGCACCGTTGGCTTTATCAAAATTTGCCTCCTAGACCAGTTAAAATTTGAAATGTTAGTTCGACCAGCGGCGAGACAACGAGAGGTTATCCGCAAGAGCAGAAGAGTCCAGAGGATCCAAGCGATTACCTGCTCATCAAGACGGCGTTGCAAAGTTTCCAAGTCTTGGGAAGTAACGGTAAAGGCTTTCAGTTGATCTTCAATATACATTATTTTTTTGTTGTAATCATCCTAGAGAGTGACAAGACGAAAAATTGTCAATTGTCACATGCATATTTAAAGTGGGAGACAGCCTTAGAAGTACCATCTGAGAGCGCTTGGACCGTTTATTGTTCTCTTCAGTAGACAAATCTGTTCGCAGCTGTTGAAATTCACCAACTATACGCTGTTCAGCCTCTTTACCAGCAGTCTGCATTTAACAAAGAAGCTCATCAGTATGACTGTGACAATGAGAAACATGGAGATTCATTCTTACAGATAAGGTCGCTAATGCACCCTGTCGTGCTCCCAATTCTGTAGTCAGAGCGGCAGAAAATCGAGCAGCATCTTCACCAGTTGATGATGTGAACCCACGTATGTTATGTTTACGTGCTAGCTCAACAATAAGAGTATTGCGATCATTGGTTTTGACTTCATACGCCTATGAATAAATAAAAATTAGCCCAGGGTTTGCTAAATTCAATTTGTGCATTGAGACAGATACCTTTTGCTGTGCTCGTAGAGTTCCTTGTTCTGTCAATAGCTTGTTGACATCATCTTGAAGCTTCCTTGTTGCTTCAGCAATCTTTCGTTGCTTCGTCATCAGATCAATACGGTCTTGCTCACTTGAGTTGAGAGCTGTAGTATGCTGTTGCAACATGGCCCTCAACTCTTCATCCGACTCTATTTATTGAGAGTTCCGAGGTTATTGATCAAGTACATCGCAAAAAAGGAAACATTGGCGTACAAGAATTTACCATGATAAATCTTGCCGTCCAAACTGGCTAGCAATTTGACGACCTCATTGGCAGCAAAATCACGATTCCCTTTTGCTCGATCAATTTCAGTCTGTACGGAAATCAACTCCTGGTACTGCACTTTTAGAGCCTCCAACTCGTCGGCAACTGCTCTGAGTGAACCAGTTTCAATATCATTGAAACGTCTTTCAGTGTTCTCGATGTCACGTCGAGTGTCTTCCAGACTCTTTTCCAACTAGGTTTGAGGGAATAAAAGGTCGTCAGAAACGAGGTGGAAAAGAAAATCTTTGCTCGGTTACCTTGTCTGCATTTTCCTTGTCACGTTTCAAGAACTTGAGAGTCTCTTCCGATGTCTTGATATCAGCAGCAAGCTCTTTACGCTCAGCTTTGACTGCATCCATAGCTTTGGTGTATCTGTGCGTTGATTATCACTATGTTACATTTTGATGTGACGTCTACGTGAATTTCATTAACATACCGTGTCGATGCAAATATGTCATCAAACTTCTTCTTGAGGACTGAGGGCTCTGACAATGGCCTACAAAACGTTGACTATGAGGGGTTGGCCAAAAAACTGCAAACCTTAGTCGTCTTTCTACCAGCTGGAATCTTCCTGATGACAGAATATAACATTCTCAAGTATTGCAGGCGTCACTCCAAGAAATGCAGGTATCTCTGTATTGACATCACCACATCTAGCAGTCAGATCTTTCGACTAAGAAAGGCACAGGTAAGATTAGGTGACAAAAATTTAAATTCGAAAACGTTCTTACCTTGCCAGTATTTTTATCCCTGACTCGTAACAATGTATCCAAAGTCTTTTGCTCCATCTTTGCCTTCTTTTGAGTGAGCTGCAGGGTACGAGACACCATCGTCTCTTGACCATCGACAGCTTTGAAAACCAGTCGCACTTGAGCCCTGACTTCTGTTCGTCCGACAATCTATTCAAATGTAAATATCAATACCGACGCGTCTTGATCAAATTCGGAAACACGATCAACAAAGTAGCAGAGCTTCGACTTCCAAACATCAAATATCAACTTACTTTGGGATCATGAATGAATGCTCCACCTTTACTTCCAGGGGGCAACTCTCCCGTTGTAGCAAACTTGAGGCATTCTATAATAGTTGTCTTGCCAGTTCCGTTTGCTCCAACAATAATGGTCAATGGTGAATAAAATTGGATTATGTTTGATTCGTCTGGTGGAAATGATCTTACGCCCTGTATGAGCAGCCTTTCAAGTTGACTCATAATAGCTTATAAGCTGCTAGTCGTTTGCTTATATTCCTCGGTATTTGCGTCCGAAGGGTGTTCTTGACTTTCGTTGCGAGTTGCTGAAGGTAAGGACGTTCAAAGCTGGACCTCAAGGGAGACTAAGGGAATTCAGAGTCAATTGTCACGCGTATAGCATATCCAAAATGATTTATGTCTACTAAAATCGCGTTAAGATAAGAAACTGGAGAAGCTAAGCTCGCTGAAGGCAAACCCATCAAGCATCAGTCACCAAAGAAAGTGACAACGAGATGAAGTAATCCAGTGGTTATAATAAAACTGTGAAACACATAATAATACTGTAGATATTGATTTATAAAACTTGTTGAAAGAGCAATGCAGAACTACAATAATAACAAGACTAACATTATAGCTGAGGTCAAAAACAGAAGATGCTATATCACATATCACAGTCTCCTAACAGCCCAAAACATCACAACACATTCGTTTCACAGATCATCTCCTCGTATTTACAGCGTTTCCAGTATTTTGAGGGCCATTATAGTACTGTGGTTGCTGACCAGCGAATTGGGTTGTTACGTTTCCTTGTTGACCAGCGAATTGTTGAGGTTGGCCAGCATATTGTTGAGATTGTCCAGAATATTGGGGCTGTTGACCAGCATATTGTTGTTGTGGCTGTCCTGCAATCAACAACCCTTGTTGTGGCCGCTGTTGATACATGTCAGCACGTTGTGGCAGAGCTGGAGGAACGGGAGCAGGCGTTGTACGAGGTACGAAGTGTCGTATGATTGGGATCTAACATAGAGTACGGTTAGCTTTGTGTTTGATCTCAACACTGCCATGGCTTCAATGAATGTAAAAGTTACCTTTGACATGACAGTGGCAGGAGTGGCATGTGGTAGGATCATAATGAGGTTTCTCCCAACATCAAGAGACTGGAAACCGATTTGCTTCATCCATACTGTGAGTTCCGACATATCTTGACCTCCGGTATCCTGTGACATCATCCTGGATACTGCATTGTAGGAGTCACGTAATCGTTTGAGCTGGAATGCATTTGGAATTCTTCCGCTAGTAGTTTTGGAAGTTTTGATGAGTCAGTAGTGGGAGGGAGTAAATGATCGAATGTTTTGCAATCATCGCATGTGGGGTGTCATTATAAGAGTGGAATATATGGTCGAATGTGCGCAAAGATGTAGAGTTTGGCCAGCGGTGGTACATACCCTTTGAGGAATACTAGCATGGTTCCGACCTGCACCAACAAGCTTGAAATGTTTTTAGCCAATATTGCTAGATGTCTTTTCTGAGGTCTATATGTACAAGAGAAGGAAGGTTAGTTTCAAGTATATGATCTTCAGGGACAGGGCATATGGAAGTGCGTTTAACTGTGAAAGTGTGACTCGAAACTGCAGTGCGATGCTTGCGTACTGCCAATAACAAAGCAAAGGCAGAAGGATACTGCAGCCGAGTACTTACCCAGTAAGCTTAGGGCGTTCTTGTTGAAAAGTGCGTTTGACAGTTTGTAGGGAATTAGACAAGTTGCTTTGCGCGGCCAGAAGCTACAGAGGTGTTGTTAGTACTTGGTAACAACAACCGTGAGAATAGTAAGATTACCTCGCTCTCTCGAAGTGCCACTTGATTGTGTGTAGTCGCCATATTATTCTCGTTTTCTTTGGGTTTTTTGGGATGGTGGAGTTATCAAGCTTCCAAATCACAGGGATGTGAGAAACCTTGTCTCGTCCAAAGTGACCACTTTCAATTCGGGATAGCTCAACTACCGATAGAAATAAAAATAGCAATACTGCTTGTATTGAAGAGCTTTGTTGCTTTCTCGCGACAATGTTCGTGTGCGTCCAAAATTCTCACACAAAAAAGTATCTCCGATTCGCCTCGAGGTTCGACGCGTATCTCAGGCTTATATCTTCAAATTAAATAATTTTGTGGTATGAAACACCTGACGTCCCCGAGGAATCGCAGCAAAGAGCCAACTGTGCTTAGCAAACACCAACTGCCTCACAACTAAGTAGCAAATCATAGGACAGCTCACGATTCGAATCAAACATGGGCCGCAAGAAGATCGAGATCAAGAAGATCGAAGATGAGAGGAATCGTCATGTATGTTATCTCACGCGGATCTAGGCTAGAACGTATCGCAGAATCCAATGTTTATCAAACCAACTCTAACAAAATGTTGGACCTTATAGGTAACCTTCAACAAGAGGAAGTTCGGCTTGATGAAGAAGGCTTATGAATTATCAGTCCTATGTAATTGTGACGTCGGCTTGATTCTGTTTTCGTCACAAAACAAATTGCATCAATATTCAAGCTCGGATTTGGACAGGCTCTTGTTACGATACACTGAAGTGAGGACGACTGTCAATATCTGGTTTGCGAATTCGGGGCTCAATGAATTTACTGTTTAAATAGTCTCCGGAGCCAAAGGAAAGCAAAAGCAACGATGACATTCTCAACGTAAGCCATATTGTCAAAGTCACTAATAAGGATCTCAACTGACGAGCACTCACATAGATGGTCACCAAGAATGGAACGAAATCAGATATGAACGACGACATGGATGAAGGTGGTGACGACGACGATGAGGACGAAGGTGCTTCGAGACCTACCAAGCCAAGCAAAAAACCAGCAATTCAGGTGAATACAACGCTCAAGTCAGCAGCCGAACCACAATTTCGTATGGTGAGTGTCTCTTGAAGCAATCCTTAACTGGAGAATCAAAGTACTAACAAGCTCTTGTGTTAGCCTTCACCAACCAGACTGAGAAAACACCAGCAACCACAACAGCAGAAGAGGCCAACAGTACCGGACGTATCACCAGTTTCGGAATTGGATACCACGCCGCGAGCTACAAGGTCAAGAAACTTCTGAAGGCATTGTTTTCTGCTCACAACAGCGATTATTTCACAGGACCACGTAGGATTGCACTATGATCAGCTTTCAATAATTCAATATATATTTACTGAAACACGAGATATTGTACGAGTTCCGCGCTCCAAGCCGCGTTGATGACCAAAAGCGTGGTCATTCGTTTCTTCCAATCAAGAATCAACAGTTCATTTTTTCTCTTCCGAAGCAACGATTTTGAGGAGAGGAAGCCGTAGTTCGTCTAACACGTGTATAACAGTGAGTAGCTCTATCACCGCCTCATTGTCTGGTCGGTGGGGTTCATGCGGTTTGCACAAACGCATGCACAGTGGCAAACCCGTTTTTACCGAAGTATTTTGGACAAACCACAGCTAACAGAACCTCATATCCTATATCTTTTGGCCAATCCTTATAGCTGTAGAGCCTCCGTTTTGTATTAGAGACAATTTGAAGCCTGGTTTTAAGCCTCGGCATCGACAAGGACACACTACAGAATTTGTGCATTTGGACATAACCACCCCCGCAAACGAAACATCATAGAGAAATGTCTTCTTTCAAAGCCCCATTCACCTTTGCTTCATCTGAAGGAGGAGAATCCTTTCTTCGGAGGTTTGCTTTCCTACGTGTTTAAATTGGTCCACGAAACGCATGCAAATCGTTGCATCATGAGCTCACGTTTATGTTTATATATAGACCATGGTGGAGGAGAAACAATACCTCATCGTCATCGCCATCGACACCACCCAAGGGTTCAGAAAGTGGTACGCCACCAATGTCTCAGGTGGCGTCGACCGTTGAATTTGCACTCGAAATCGACACATCCATGGATGTAGATGTGGAAGTGAGTCCTGACAAAATAGAGAGACCTCCAAGTGCAACTGATTCTGCTTTGGGTGTTGAAGAAATCGCTAGAATAGGTATGTGCGTCCTTTTTTTGCCTTTTTTTTGCCAGATTACTCAATTTGCTCAATGTTTTGTTAGACTTTGTAAACAATCTCCCATACGAACTCGCAGTCCATATCTTGGCACTAGTGGATCATTTGCCATCATTCGCTGTGATACCTCTAGTCTCGAAAAGATGGAATGACGTGTCGCGAGACAATGAGATTTGGAGAACTATATTCTCTCGTAGATGGGGCCCAGCACGACCACTAAGAAAGAATTTAGGTGCATCCAATCAATTACTAATAGAAGCATCCAATCCACCACCACCACTATCTCCTATATTATCATCCACAAACTTGCTGGCCCTCACAACGCCAATAACACCAACCTTACAGAAGTCTCCTCTGAATCGTCATGCCAGTGTACAATCAAACACACCCACCCGAGACTGGAGACGGCTCTATAGACAACGATTTCATTTACATCATAATTGGGTAGATGGACGATACGTGACGAGAACCATCCAAGGACATGTAGATTCCGTATATTGTATTCAATTTGATCGAGACAGACTCGTGTCTGGCTCTCGAGACCGCACAGTCAAATTCTGGGACATCAAGTCTGGAAAATGTCGTCGAACTCTGGCTGGCCATGAAGGATCTGTACTTTGTCTGCAATACGATGACAAGTATATCGTAACTGGATCATCAGATTGTCGCATCATCGTGTGGGATCAAGCTACCGGTAACATTATCCATACACTACGGGGTCATGGATCACCAGTCCTCGACGTCCGTTTCGATGATCGTTTTGTAGTTAGCTGCTCAAAGGACTGTACCATTCGCATCTGGGATATAATTACAGGTCGTCTCGTCCGTACCCTAGAAGGCCACCACGCAGCAGTGAACGCCGTCCACTTCCATGGTAATCTAGTCGCTTCAGCATCCGGTGACTGTATTATAAAACTATGGGACGTACGAACTGGTCAATGTATCCGAGACTTTAGTGGCCATTCACGAGGATTAGCATGTGTGCAATTCGATGGTGATTATATCGTATCTGGATCCAATGACCATACCATCAAGATCTGGAATGCACATACCGGTGAATGTCTACGAACGTTAGAAGGCCATACCGATCTAGTCCGTACATTGTGCTTCGATCGGGACCGTATTGTGTCTGGAAGTTATGATCAGACTATAAAAGTATGGGATATGAAGACTGGACGACTCATGTGGGATTTGAAGGAGAATGGACATACTTCTTGGGTCTTTCATGTACAGATTGATGCGTCCAAGATTGTGTCGGCTAGTCAGGTATGTGTGTCTGAATCAGTGGCTTTACTTTGTCGTTGTCGTCGGTAGTCGAGCTTGAGGATTCTAAACCTAATCCAGAACCTAACTAAGGTGTTTTTTTGCGAATGACTACTCACTCATTTTCTTCCTATTCCCCTTTAGGACCGTAAAATTATTGTTTGGGACTTTAGCGAAGGTGTCTCCAACGAGGAGATTGACCAACTCTTATTTTAAGTTCGCATTACTTTACCACAAGTTCTCTTTTGGCACCGCATTTCCAAATTTGTATCAACACATATAATCTGCCGAAATAATGAATTTTTGACTACTGTTTAATAACTTAAGATTGCTGAATATGATCTAGTTAAACGGAATTCAAGTGCTAAAAAATCACAGTGGAACTGGACGTCCATGCTTGAAGAACTCGAAGCGTCCCAAATGTCCTTTCGAATGATTTAACGTCTCGTGGTCTATTCAATATTTACACATAAATGGTGTTATTTATACAAGAAAGACTTGGAAGGTGCTTTTTTCAATCAATCCTATTGCTTCTTACACGAGGTAAATTTGGCTCTCCACTTCCAATCTTCGGATTGCTCGTCCACCTGCCAACTGAATCTAGTAAGTCTCTCATAAAGCTAGACGAAGTGGAGAAGATATGTATGAGTTATATTGCACTACTTCCATTGGGGCCTTTTTTCTCCTACCTCCTACTGTTATGAATCGTCGTTCCGGCCAAGATTATCCTCACACCAGGATACACTGTATTCAATCGAGCAACTTCACGACCTTCTGCATAGGTGGCTCCTCCAACCATGAAGATGATGATATCTTGCGGTCTACCGAAGAAAAATGTAAGGGTAAAAAGAAATAGGATATGCCCAGTCATAAGTGAACTCACTTGTCTTTAGTTCCACCTTCCACATACGGATACGAAGTAGTATTCAAACGTCCCTTGACGAGTGCATCAATGGTTTGAACTATGAGTGGCGTGTGCTGTGTGTATACATTTTCAACACCCTACACGACCAAAAAAGTAGATCATTAATGGGCTGGGATTTCAGTTCAGGAAACGACATCCACCCACACACCTTCAAACCCTTAAACACTCCTTTAATCTTTGATGTCACATCAGTATTCATGAACAGATCTTCTTGTCGTTGATCTGCACCTGCATATTGAATCATGGCTCCAATGATCTATCGAGCAAACAGATCGTGAGACCCGTTAGGTCAACACCACAAAAAAATCACGAATACAGATCTGACTAATACATTTCAGGGCAACGAAGCAACACATTACACTACTCACCCCAATCTTCTTTTCACTGACTCCAGCACCAGCCAGAGCATCCATCAGCGCAGCAACAGAGTTCCTTTCAGACTTTTCATATCGTAGAGCATATAATAGTACAAGCCGCAGCTTGTTATCGTCAGGAATGTTTGTCTGAGAAATCAACTTTTGCAACGTCTAGAAGTTGTCAATGAAAGGAAGAAGAGAATGAGAATAAATCCCTGATTACGTACAAATATCAAAACCGCAACAAGAAAAAAAGGACAACTGACGCTATATACCTTGAGGTCATTGTTATGATTCTCAGAAACAGCTAAACTCTGTTCCAATTCTCCAACTTCTAGCAGACTATACCTATCTACCAATCGACTCAACTCACCAACTAATGTAACATGCTTTGTCACATTCCCACTCAGTTTTCTAAACTCGGGGTATTCTTCTACGAATCGTTTCATATCAGCAATAGAATCGATCTGTGCTGATGATTTGTGTTTTGTTTGGTATTCTTCGACGTATGATTTGATGTTTGCACCCAAATCACCCATGTTTAGGTAGAGGGATTTTTTATAGAATGGATCCTGATCTGAATTCAATACGACTTCCTATAATGAGGAAACATGCTTGTTTTGTTCGAGTTTTCGTGACTAAAAATGTTTGACTGCTGCAAAAAGGCTGTCGCGAAAAAAAGCGCAGTCTTGCTTGATACCTTTAGTTCTGGTCTAACATCAGGCACATCAGCCAAATCCACGCGTCCATTAGTAATTCCCATCAACTCATGCACCATAGCCTGATACGTCCATTGATTCAACAATGGCGTCACGGGATCACCTCGTCGATCCAACAATAACAGTATAGGAGGCGTATCCGTCTTTCTAAAATCAAACAATCCTCCTTCTTGTGTCATCATGTATTGAACTTCCTGGCCCAATTTCTTTGCCAAGACCGATTTAGTCTCGTAACGAATAAGTGGCTTCTTTTTCAGAGCTAGGAGGAGGGATATGATTCCTTCACTTGTTCTGGTCAATGTTTTTGGATCCCATGTTGATGCGTTTTCGATAAAGAGTGGATGTGTTGGTGGAGAGAGACCGAGTGATGCTAAATCAGAGTTTACGGCGAGGAAGTCGGCAAAATATTCCTGTTGTAGGGGAAGACAGAAGAGCATTACAACCAGCAAAAAAACGACCCCACACAAGGCTAGCGGATCGAGTCAAGACATACCTGAACTTCGCGAACAACCTCATGTTCGTCCACTTCAGCCAGCCTTTCAATGGCGGATTTTTTTAATACATTGCTGAAATCTGTTGGCATGAGAGTGCATGTAAGTGAGCAGCTGTACGTAAGCAATAATCTGTAAACAGCGATTCCAGCAAATCCAGCAAATCCACTGTTTATGCAAACAATGCAACATAATATCCACGTCAAATAAAGAGTACTTGCATAGGTAATAATCTTGATAACACGGTTCCCTCAACTCCTCGACCAGAGCCTGAATGCTTTCGGGGGAGGGGCGAACAAAGCAGATACATTTTAAATGTTTCATTTTCTCTCGTTGCTTGTTGTCGACGCGATCAATGAGGTAGACTTCCTTTGACAAGAGATTGGATTGAGTCAAGACGACCGAGACGATGGGTGTCTAATGTAGAGATAAATTACATATAACGATACACTGATAACGTGATAATAACAATGATCTGTTTTGACTACCGTTTCCGCATCGAGTAATAGGACCTTCATTCCAGACACCTCGGTGACCATCTTGTTAATGTATTGCTGAACTGCCTTGACTGCATCTAGACCACTGAGGGCATTACTACTCGACGTGGCAGTTGCACCTGACGCCATGGATCAATTGTACCTATTGATTATTGGCGACTGTCTCTGTTCTCGTACAATTACTCAACCAAATGCGAGTTGCGAAAAGATCGACCTTATGACACATTCAAACTGGACTGGACGGATAAAAGTTTATGGTGTATATTCACTTCTTTCTGCTATGTGACACGTCGAAACACGTTATAATCGCTCTTTGTTGTCAAAGGGAAGTAAATTGTGCAAAAGACGAAACTGAGTTCAATCTTTGACTAAATCTGGTATAGAAAGTCGTGTCAGATTACTTGGACATCGTGATAATCTCGTCCTATAGTGTTTCTAATAATCGTCTTCGTAACCTGACTCCTTACTCGCACCGCTGGCTGTTCTACTTTTGCAACTTTGTTGTTGATGGCAGCAATGCAGTCGACAATGTGGAGAGCGCTGCTTCCCGTAGCAAGCACGGTAGCCAGACCATCTGTATTCTCATCCAATGGTACGTTTACCTATGTGTATTCTTCTTGTTTGCATCATCCTTCAACAGCGACCAAACCCATTCAGCAAACTAATATCCCATACACTAGGCACTCGCATCGTAGCAGCTGCATCTCTAGCATCTCGAAATTACGCTACCCAGCAGCTCGTCGAGAATGTGAAAGCTAGAAGGGCTCAAAAGAAGGGTGTCTCATCAAACCCAGATGATATTTTCAAAATGCCTGTTCTCGACAAAGCAGCTGAAACCCTGTTCTTCACTGTAAGCACAGAATTACTCTCTTATATGTCCAGATACCATGGACATACACACGTGGATATAGATACTTGCTGTATTCGACACAATACTCAACACATCCACCAATTTGTAGGAAATCGTACGAACCATGTGGATTGTCATGGAACAGATGTGGAAGCCTCCGTATACCATCAACTATCCCTTCGAGAAGGGCCCCCTAAGTCCCAGATTTCGTGGTGAACACGTCTTGAGGCGCTATCCTACTGGTAATAAGACATAGCGGTCGTAATGGAATTGTTTCTAGATCAGAATCTCATGTCAAGCATCACCGCTAACATTCTACTTCAACACAATCCATCTAGGCGAGGAAAGGTGTATTGCTTGCAAGCTATGTGAAGCCGTATGTCCTGCTCAAGCTATTACTATTGAAGCGGAACCAAGAGAAGATGGTAGCAGACGTACTACTCGTTATGATATTGATATGACCAAGGTTTGTTATAAAAGTTGTTATTGGGTTGACTTGGATAACATGCAAAAAACCATCGTAAAGAATCATCGTCCCAGACAGTCATATCATTCTCTGACCACATCTCTTATTCCTGCTTAGTGTATCTACTGTGGATTCTGTCAAGAAGCTTGTCCCGTCGATGCTATCGTCGAAGGCCCCAACTTTGAATATGCTACAGAAACTCACGAAGAATTGCTGTACAACAAAGAGAAATTATTGTCTAATGGTGACAAGTGGGAAGTAGAGATTGCTCGTAACTTGCAATCTGATCATTTATACCGTTAAATGGAAGAGTAAAAGGGATAATGGTTTGATGGATTATTATTGAGAACTTGAGCTTGCTTCCTCTTTCCCGCTAAACCCAGTTATTGAAATACAAAATACTATCTGAGAATCAATTCGCATCGGAACTTGTTTTTGTTTGTGCAAGCTGAAGATGTGTATTTGATTGCCAAGGTAACAGGAATTCAAAGTTATGTTTCTGCAGCAACAGCAGCAGCAATCTCTCGACGTTTCTCATCAAGCTGCATCTTTCGAATGTTGTCTTGTTCCTTCATCTGATCTCGCCTAGCAGCCATTTCTGCTTCCAATGAAAGGATTTGCTCTTGTAACTCCGAGATAACTCGACGATGTCTACTCATTTCCAACTCGAGTCGACTCCTTGTCTTTTGCGCATCTGCTACCATCGTCTTGCCCACATTTGGAAGCTACGTTGGGGTGAATATGGTTTTGTCAAATTAAGCGAACCAAAGCGAAAAAAGACTACGAAATGCATGTTAATAGCATCCCCTTCAACATACCCATTCAATAACATCATCAGACACAGCAGCCCGAACCCGTATCAACGCCTCTGATTCCACTTTGGCATTAGATGCTCGTATCTGGCCTTCGAAAACACGTAGTTCATGAGCATGGTCCCGTAACAGTTCGTTTCGTTTCTGGATTTCAGCTTGCACAAGCTCACTAAGAGCTTCAGACTGATTATCTGCCAAATCTCGGAATGTGATGAGATCCGCTAAAGCTTTGGTGGATTCTGATAGGCGAGATTCGAGAGAAGATGCTCGTGATTCCAGTTCTACAGCAATAAAAGTTGTGAGATGACGATGATGAGGCATGCTTGGTTGCTCTTTAAGACGTGTACCGGATATTGTAGTCTTAGCTTCTACATCAGCTTTAGCGGCTTCATCACGAAGAGCTTTGATTCGTTTCCGTCTTCTTGACAAGAGTTCTACTGCTTGACTGTCATTGTCTTCTGCTTGGCCAAGGGTTTTCGTTACAAAGCCGTTCTACGTATATGTAGTGAGTTGCTGTGTCAGGCCAAAACAACCACACGAAACTATGCCAATTACCGTTTTCTGAGACAAGCTCTGATACTGCTTCTTTAAAAGGTGGTTTTCCTTGATCCTAAAACACACAAAGCAGGGCTCAGATTGCCATCAACACGAGACATTCTTCTCAAAATCTCACAAACTTACAAGGTCTGCAACCTCTCTGTATAATCCTTCAAACTATTAACCCTAGCAGCAATCCCCGTCCTCGCAGCCTCCAGCCTCCCATACGTATCAGCAACATCCTTCCTCTTCTCCTCGGCTTTCACATAATTTCTATACCCATACGGATTCGAAACTCTCAGCTGCGTCAACTCTTTCGCATCAGGCGGATTATCAAACCCCTTTTCATGCTTCACGCGCGTGCTATACCCATCTAGCGGTGCCCTCCCGACAAAGAACGAATCAACAAGCGAGCGAGATGTCGGTGGTGGTTTGACATGGACTCCAGACAAGAATGTGTGGAGATGAATATCAGAATGTGGGAGTGCGACTAGCTCGATTTCAGACGCTGTTAGTGCTGGTCTTGTAGGTGGGATCCATCGAGTGTTTTTCTTTCGTTTGGTGTGGCCGTTGGCTGTGGATGATATTTTGGTGTTTGAGGGCAGTGTTTTCGATGAATCAGCTGCAGTGTCTTTGGGAGATGATGCACGCGTGTGCACATCACTGGATCGTAATGTATGGATATTTTTGAGTGCGCCTGATCCAGCGACGAGAATCACAGTGTGTTTTTTACGGGCAGAGTTGACACGGGATGCATTTTCAGGTGTGGCTGATGGTGGTTTGAGGTGCCGTTCGGCTGGTTGTGTATGTGTTCCCAGTAAATATAAACGTGGTTGAGTAGGTGTTGTAGTCATTTGAAAAAGTCTGGTTGGACTGCGTGTGTGTTTTCTCGCACCAACACCAGAAATTTTGGAGAAAATTCCCGTCAAGAAGTTCAACCAGTATAAGACACCCAATCAATCCATTCAAAACGAGCTTGGAGAATAATGTCAGCTAGCACCACTTCTACAAAAGAAACTCCAATGGAAGAAGACACTCAAAAGCATGATTGTCTAGTCTGCGGCAAGAAAAGTGATGTGATGTATGGAGGCTCTATCTGTTTGCACCCAACACTATGCAAGGCCTGCGCAATGAAGCAAGGTATGGTGGTTACTTTTTCTCACTCTTCTATACGTTACTGCGTGTCTTTGGCACATTAACGGATTTATCGCTTTGAAAATAGGAACTGGTGGCAAATGTCAAACTTGTAAGGAAATGTTTGGAGATGTCAAGAGAATATATTAGGCAGCCTCATGCCTTTGAAGTATTTATGTATATGATATCACGCTCAGCGTGTGTAAACTGAGCTCTGTCTCAAAACCACGAACCTGACTCACTCACATGGAATAATAATATATTGATTTTACGAATGTTACAGATCGTTTCTTGTTGTCCATGAGGTTCTTCAAACCTCTCTATATTCATTTGACTGCGTCGCAGGTGGAGCCTGCATTTCTACATCCTTGACTGCTGTGTCATGAGTGTCATGAGTCGGTACTATACCAGCTGTAGGTTCATCACTAGTAGCCGCAGCACTCGCAGTACTAGTAGCAGCAGCAGCACCACCTGTATTATTTGTGCCAGCATCAGCCTCAGCACTAGTAGGCTCGACACTAACCAGCATACGTTCTAACGACAACCCCATCCGCCTTCCAAAAGCCCAATACCTTCCAACCCTCTTAAGAGCCTTTACATGCAATCGCAACCTATATCGTGCCATGGTAGACCGTGACTCATCTGGATGTACTCGAGCAGCAATGACATTTATAAGGCCGATATGATACAAGAGGAAGGGCGTCCATGCTGATAGATACTTCCAGTCGGGATTGGATGCTGATACGGCTGTTATCATGGCGAATGCTCGTATGGCTGCTGTTTCACATGTTTGGAAGGCTGGTGAGGCTGCTGGTCCACCTCGCGGCGGAGATTGCAGGTCTAACATCATACGAGGTTGATATAATAATATAATTGAGGCAGAGTGAAGCATGAGGAGAAATGCTAGATGCCATGCTGGAGGATTTGAGCTACAAAGAATGAGCAGAAAGAAGGAAGGTGGTGAGCAAAAGAGGAATTTCCTTGTCTAGAATTGAGTGGATTCAATCATAGCTCCAGTAACGAGAACGAGAGACCAGAGAATCAAACCGCCAAAATAGCGCGTTATGCTGGATTTCCATGTTCTCATACTCAAGAACCATTCATACCAACTCATGCGCCCTTACCTATCCAAATTCTGACCAAATGACACTCCAGGATCTCTCATCCATCTAGGCAATGCTTCATACCATGTCCGCAAACTAGCATCTAGAGTCAGCAATTCCAAATCCTCTTCTTCAACATCAGCCATACTACCCATATGACGTGGCTGAGGATTCTTGAATGTCTGTACAAATTTCAGTACTTTGGGTACTATACGCATCAATAATACATGGCGAGCAAATAACGAGTCCATGTCTGGTGTTAAAGCATGGAAGGTAGATACCGTTCTAATTTTGTTAATAGGACGCGTCGTATCGGATTTCTGCTGTTGCTGTTTGCTGGTTGGCTGAGGATGAGTGCCATTAATGGAAGGTGGTAAAAGATCAGATGGAGATGCGGCAAGCCAAAGACCTTCGGGAGCTGGCAAGTGTACTCCGGCACATAACCGTTCGTCGACAAGAGTGGGTCGATCAGCACCCCATGCTGCATAACGGTCGAATATGTAACTAGTGAAAACAAAGTGTGGGTATGGACGTGCATCCATGCGACAACAAGCGTCGACACAAATAATCCACCCCTCGAGATGTGAAAGCTGTCTACATCATTAAGCTTACCAAGCCCACCATACACGCCTTCGCCTTTCCTTGAGCAGCCATGGAAGTTGAGCATTACGTTCCTTAGCTTCATCCGAGTCTGGATCGATATTCAAGTCGAGAAACATGGCCATCCGCATAGCCATTCCAGAATACATCCAAGCACCAGAGACCGATCCAGACGGATCAGGGCCAGTCCCTAAATAATACAAGAGAGAAGTTTGTCACTAAATTGCGTGGAAAGATTCCATAGAGTCGATTTGGTACAGCGTCAAATATCACCATAGACCCTCAACATGGTCAAACTCCCAACTAGCTCACCTATAGCATATACGGCCAGCAGTATCAATGAACAAACCGAATCCAAATTAGGGGCATCTACATTCATAGCAACCATAGTCTTTGCTCTTTGATAAAAAACTTCACCAGCTTGATTTTCTGACCCAGTAGCCATCCGTAAAGCAGGATGCTTTGAGAATCTAGCAGCTACAGCATACATTGCGTTCAATAATAATGGTCTTTGCTTAAGCACATTGGCTCTAAAAGTAGGTTCGTGCACAAAAGCACAGGGCAGCTGTGGATGTATATGTTCAAAGAAGGTATCTATGAGAGAGTCTAAAGCATCGATTGGTATAATACGTTCTCCAAAATCCGTGAATGTGAGTGTTGGATCAATGATATCATCATCCATTATATCGGTTAGTAGACCAGTATCAACAGGAGTTGATGTCATTGTTGGATTTTTACGCTGTTCTGCAGCTAGAGTATCTTCATTTGGGCTCACATCTGATACATCATTACCCCAGCCCCAATGGAATACGTGTATACGAGAGTAATTGTCCAAGAATCCGTGTACCCGTCGGGCGACGGTATCTATTCCAATGCCACGTAATGAGGAATTTACTACTTCTTCTGGTGGTTTGACATTAAATATAAGTGGCGCTCGTACGGGTGGTGGTGAATCTAGTAGTGGCGGTCTATTCGGTGGATATAGCATGCTGTCTGGGTATGGTAACGAGACAGGCATTGATGCAAAGTTTGGCAATGCCTGTGAGAATATCAGAGAGGTCTGTTGTAGCATCTGCATGGCTTGAGGCAGAAGATGAGCTGGTATATGGAAGGGCAACATTGGTGATTGTGGTTTGTCGCCAACTTGTCCGGAAGTTAAAATATCAGTTCCTTGTTCAGGTTCGATACGATGTGGTTGTATGGGCGACGAATGCAAGGGCCGATTACTTGTATCTGCAGAGTTACTTCCAGAGGGCGTAGTAGGAGTCGGTGTTGTTGCTTGGTTGCTGTTGTTATTATGATCTGAGTCCGTTTGACTATTTGATTCGTCGTGATCTCCGCCATCCTCCAACTTGACAGTTCCAGCCTTCTTTGCAATCGTAGCAGAAGCAGCAGCTTTTGCTCGAGCACTTCGAGCCTTTTTTCCATTAGCGGTACGAGGTACACGACTAGTCAGAAGTGGGTGATAAGTAAATTTGACACATTGACTGGCTTCCCAAGGGTGCGATGAGTAGATGCGTGTAGTTCGATCAGCGAGCATACCTATATTGACACGGCAGACCTAGCCGCTCACAGTTTCTAAATAAGAAGAGTATCAACAAAAAGGCCAGTCAGCACATTTTTGATGTGGTCTCGAATGCCGATGGATTTGACCCATTACCCGCAAGGATTAGCGCCATCGCACTTTGACTTTCTCTTATTGCATACTATATAGATCAAGAGAAGTTCATCAGTTATAGTGCCGAGCGGTTCAAAAGCGTAGAATTGCGAGTCGCCTTTTGAAAGTTGAATGAATTGAGATTTCAAGCCCTACCGTCGCAAGCTACAGATATCCGTGGGAATCTAGCCCGTCCAGCAGGAGCCTCAGCTGCTGTAGGAAGAGCCGGCTTACTTTCCCTCATCACCGTCCTGCTAGAAGATTGCAAAGTCAACGTTACCTAGAGGAACCCAGAGGAATCAAATGCAAGAAAGACATTGGAAAGCTATTCAGATATAATAATTTATTGCAGAACTAGTGAAATCACGTCATTTCGTGAGGTACGAAGCAAAGCTTTCAACAAAGTAAAGCTCAAAGCTCCGGATCTTGACAATATCTCCTTTTCCAACAGGTTTGAGCCATGGAGGACCTCAAAACTGCAGTCAGAGATGCATTCAATTCTGCAAAAGAAGGAAACTCTCAAAAATCTGGCACTTGCATCGCTTACATTGAAGACATCAGAAATGTTATCAACTCGACAATTTCTACTTCTGAGCTATGTGAGTTTTGCTTTGATCACTCTTCCAATACGTTCTTATTCAACTATAACAACATATCTGCCGCTTAGCTCTTACTCGACCGATCGTACTCGATCCAGTCAATGGATTACTACAAACTGCGTGCCATGCTCTGGCCAATAACATGGAAGTGGATTGCAATCAAGCTCTGGAATTCATCAAAATGTATATTGAAAAGCTGGAATTGGAAGTAGCGTTGTCAGCCGACCATCTTCAGGTAGACTTCCGTAACTCGTCAAACACCAACAGTCACTTGCCATCCAGACTTGATTCTCGTTTACTGATATCATGTTTCTCCTCCAGACCTACCTTTTGCGGGTTATTATAAAAGGCACCAAGTCAACTTCAAAAGTGAAGGCTGCTGAAGCTCTCATGCCGCTCATCGCGTTGTCAAACGATTTGAATCGTGATGCCAAAGTGCGAGAGCTCTTCGACAAGTATGCACAGATGTCTTTTAATACTACTGTAGATAGGTGAAGCGAAAGGAAATTCTTACTAGTATCCTTCAACTCGTAGGCTTTTTCAGCACTTCAAACCATTCAAGGCCTCAGAACCCAAGACAGGTTTGCAAGACCTCGAACTCGTCAAAACTACGAGAGCGCAACCTAATGATTGTTGTCCAAAATCTAGTTGTTTCATCTATCGCCGAACTTTTGGGTGTGGTCATTCATTACTTTCCAAAGGAGGTGGACGCAAGAGTTGTTAGTGAGCTTCTTCAACTCCTAAAGTGGCACCTTGACCAAAACGATGCCAAAGATTCTTCTATACTATTGGCTGGTATATTTGGATCCTTGTCACATATCTTGTTTTCATTTCCAGACCTGGTTACAAACAAATGTCAGTGTGCAAGCAAGCCTAGTGGTTCGCTAGTTGGTTCCTTTTTAACCATTGTCTTCGACAAATGTTTGTAGTCAAGAACGAAATATGGACTCTCGTGGATGCAGAACTGAACAAGCCAAGGAAAAGCCATGAACGACAGGCTAATCTACGATCTGCCTTGGACTTGCTTTCAAATCATGCGTCCATATTCTCAGATGCTGTATGGGCAAAATTTAATTCCTTTTTTGTAATTATAAGAGATCGTGGTATTCGCGACATCAGTACTGATACCTCGAAAGCTGGATTCAATGCTCTTGATGGATTTATTGCATATGCAAGTTTCTGATCGTCGTTTTTGTTGGATTCAAGGAAATTTTGACACATAGGTACTTTGTATGTAGGCTTGCAAAGAGCTGGTCAATGAACGACATGAAGTTTTAGATCGCAAGAAGAAAGCTGGGGTAGGTTTGGAACACCTATCGTTTGGGATTTTTTTACTTTCCTTAAAGCTCAAATTCTGTTCTCTCAGGCATTATTAGAACAAGTGAAAGGGGTTCTTGACTCAGTTGAAGATTTCGATGTCAAGCACTCTCATGTTGAAGAGAAACTCTTCTCAAAATGCGTTCAAGCACTCGGAACTCTACTTCCAGTCTTGATAGCCTTTAAATTCCGAACTATCGAATCCATCACATCAGGCATATTCCAAGATATTGCAAAAGTTGCGAAACGAACATTGACAACAACAGACGAGCCAGCTGCCAACATTCTCATCCCTGGACTGCTCACAGGCTTCGCAACAGGCTATAGAACACTACAAGGTGCCATTCCAGACAAGGAACAAAATATCGAGCTTATGAACGCTGTCGTCTCTCTCGTTTTGCATAACTACCCAAGGGCCCACGAAATATACAAACAATCCATGTCTATCTCTCTTCTTGGTTTCTTATGGGCCTTATATGAAAAAGATGAGTTGAGATCCTTTTGGGCGTCCAAAGGTAAATGCTCTGTCTATTGGTCAAAAGTTCTTGTGATGCTAATACATATCATCTCGCCTTAGCATACGACCTTGTAGTCTTGACATGTAGTGACCCAACCTCTAGCGATTCTATTACTTTGAATGCTCCAGAATCTGGTCGTTCGTTATACTTGCGACTATGGAGTGCCCTCTTCAAAGGAGGCAATGTACCATTCCAAGTAGATAGGAAACCTCACGAAGGCGACGAAGACTATGGCATTCGTAGCAAAGAGATCAATGGCACCTTTTACGAATTATTATTCGACGAAGTCATGAATGTCATTCTACGTATTCCAGAGCAACTCGATCTATCATTGCTTAAGTCTGATGAAGAAGGAGGTGAAGGTTCTGCAGAAGTACCTGAATCTGATACCGTCGAGCATCAGATCGATGCCTCAGATCTCAGTCACTTGCAGGCAGTAAATCAAAAAGACTATTGCATTCTCGTAAATCTTGTCGATTTCACAGATTTACTATTGCAAAACGTTGGCTCTACTCTATTTGAAAAATGGATGTATGTAGCTGCTGAGAGTTGGATTGCGATGTCAAGAAAGCAACACTCTCTTGTATCTGGCTTCCATCGGCTATTCGGGTTATGTCTTCGAATGGCCAAAAAGTCAAACTTCTTCAATAATATTCTCAAGGATGGATTGGATGGTGAGCCTCATAATGGAACCGAAGAAGAATTACGAAATGAAGTATCTATCTCGCAACGTAAATGCTATATTCTCTTTACACGTCATATTCAAGACTTGCTCGTAGAAATGCAAACATTCAAAGATGAATTGTTGGCATCATGTCTACGCGTCGTATTAGAAGCTCCTCGAGAATTGACTAGTGTCATCGACTTTGCCCGGCCATTACGTGTTTCTTTACGTTTTGGATTAACGTACCATCCATTCGCCGAACTAGCTATGGACGTCCTTGAATCTTGGGTTGACACCATGCCCAATAGTGTCATGCAACCTATATATAAAGACTTATTACCTTCCCTCAATGATTATTTGACTTCTGATGCTATTGACATACAATTGGATGCCGACATTGTTGATCGAAAGGGCAAAACCAAGCATCTCGACAAGAAGAAGAAGCAACGTATCGCTGCCAAGTTCATTGAGAAGGCTGTAAATTTTCCTTATTGACTTACAAACCTTGTCAATTCAATGCAACTCAGTTTTTTTCTTCTTATAGGACGCTAATAGTGCCGCTGTATTCAAAACTCTACGAATACGAGCTGTACGCTTGCTTGGTAAAACAGGCCGTGATGCCATATTGATGATGGGCGATCGTATCGACACGTACAAGAAGGCATTACGATGGGAACGAGACCAGAAACTCAACTTTGACCTGCCATATCCTGATGTCAAGCTTCCCATTGTCTTTGGTAGCTTGAAGAACCATGATGTTTTTTTACAATTTACATTTACTAAAATTCCCCTATTATAGATGATATTCTGCCTCGAATTCTTGAACTTGCCGAAGTCTCTTCGGATCGAAAAACCAAGATGGCAGCTTGTGAATTGATTCATTCACTTGTTACATTGATGGTTGGCAAGACTGATGCTAAGGCGGACAGAGGACAGTTTACTGTAAGTTAAAGTTGTGAAGTCGTAATTTCTTTTTTTCTTGCTAATGTGCATCGTTTTAGGTATTATGGTCGAAGGTCTTCCCAGTCATGCTTATACTCTCTGTTGATGTCGATACTACTGTCCGGGAATTGATTCGACCATTCACGCTACAAATTATTCGATGGCTCACCAAGTACAAGGTAAAACAAACCAGGGGTCAGTTTGTTGCATTCATAACTCAGAAGCTGTCTTTTTTTGATTTGACAGACCTCAGATCGACCAGAGACCGAATCTATACTGAGTGCTTGTTTCGATGCGCTGGCGTCATCTGATGGCCAGGTTAGTTTGTAGTAGGAATGGGCTTTGCAGGTTTAGACGGAAACTTACATGGTCTTTTAGCGTCGAGATTTCGCTGCATCAGCTCTTGAAACATTTTTTGAATGGAGCATAAAGCATACTACAAGAGCTGGTGATGACATTGTCAATGCCCAAACATTGATCGCTCGTATGCACGACTTTTCAAAGGACTCGAATCTTGCTAAACGTCTTGGATCAGCTATGCTCTTCAACCGAATTCATCGTCTTTTTGCCTCTGAGCAGAATAATTCTGGCGATCACAAGTTGGTTGACACTTACGGATTTGAGCTCTTGTATTACCTCTTACAGAGTCTTAGGATGTGTGATTCTGACCCCAATGGTGAAGGTACATCATTTTCTGGCTTTTAGTGCACTTCTTTATTGCTTGTCGCTCACATCTTGATTGCTTTTAGCTTCCTCACGTCCGGTAATCGAAGCCATTGGTCACATGAAAAATATCATTCTCAAGTATTTGCACGTACTGTCTGAAACAAGGGATGAGCCTGAAGTCAGACGCTCTCTTCCTACACTTGATGGTTCAACCAATCTGGCTACTGTCGTGGAATGGCTTTTCAGACAAGCTGGGAATCCAGAGATGATTTACGCACAACATTGTGTAATGTTGTGGAGAAAACTTGTGCCGGCTTTGTCAAGAGGTGGTATTATGTGCTCTAAAATTACGGTTTTTGGTTTGTTTTGTAGTTTTTGACACTCTTCTTTCAGGTGCATCTGATTGGCTAACTGCACAGGTGAATCAACAGCGTAGCTACTTGACCAATATATTCGAGCCGGTATCTATTCGAATGCCTTCAGAGCAAGATACTCGACATCGTGACTCAGTTGCTGCTTCAATGCGGCAATTGATATCAGCACTATCTGGTTATTCGTTCTTGATGGTCAATAATCTACGGAGACCAACCGATATATTAAAAATACCCGGCTCTGTACTCCTCGTCGCCATAGTAGATTTCTTAAAGTATGCTGCTAAAGTGACTGCAGACGATACGGATGAAATATTGCTTCGCTCTATTGATCGTGAACGAGCTCGAACGTTACGGGCGACAGGTGTCATGAAAGTGTTTACTTTCATTGCAGAACTGATGAAATCAAATGATCGAGATATCGTGCCGGGTATCGGAAATGTAATTGATAACCAAGATTTCCAAAATCTGGTCACATACGCAATCTTTGATCCCTCTCGTATTGGATTGAACCCTGAAAGCACTCAGGTGCGAGACGGTCTGCCTCGTCTCCTCCACGATCTCCTCACTGTACTACGACGGGTCGAACCTGTATATAATCCGCTCATTGAGAAATTCCAATCCCAATACCAATCTCGTCAGGGTTCAATGATTGAAAGCTTGGACTTTGCATTTGCATGTGCAATTCTGCTTGGTTCCCAAAGTCTTGAAGCAGTTGTTGAGCCAACTACATTTACAGAATGGTGTCGGGACGTGCTGGATGCCATTGCAGTCGAATGGAATGATGAACAACATGTTGGAGATTACATGTTTTTCAAGGGGTTGGAGGGATGGCTTGACATCGTTTTGAATGATCAAGTTACTCTTAAATTGTACTGTTCTCAGTTCTTGGTGGGTCTTATTGGACGCAATAGGTTTTAACGACTGAGATTTGTTTTGCTCACATTTGCATGTTTAGGGATTCAAGAGACAGAGAGACTTTGATTCTGTGTCATTCAAATTCAAATTTCGCTCATTCGTAAGTCACATTTGGAAGGCTTTTGATTTAAGACAGTAATGCTGGTCTAATACTTGTGTCTTTGAATTAGATTTATCAGCACATGGTGCAGAACTGGGGCGCCAAGTACCATGATATTCTGGCTACATATATGGACAATGAACAACTGCCAATCCTGATTTCTGAGCTCCTCGAGTTTGCCTTGGAGAAGAAGGAAGTGTTGGCTCCACACTTGTTGCAGGTATGCCGATTTTGCTTGCTTTCTTTTTTGTCATGAGTGAATTTTGAGTTCTTTTTTACTCTTATTCTTTAGCTCTGCATCCATTCGAACTTGTTTAAAGTGATGTTGGAAGGTCCTCAAGCTGATAATTCTTCCCGGCTTCGGAAGATCCTTGAAGATTTGATTGCCCTTCATGTTGCTATCAACGGTCGAGACGATCGACAGCAACACAAGATGTCGACCATACTCGACTTTCTGAACACAAAGGGCGTAAAGATGCTAGAATATGTTTTTAACGACAGGCTAGTATTTGCTTCAAATCTTGTTGGTCCTTTGCTCTTTTTGAAGGAACACAATCCTGAGGTACGCTGCGGTCAGCCATTCGTTGCGCTGACAGATTTCTGAAATCGATGCTTTTTCACCAGATGGATGCGTCTCTCCAAAAGTTCTGGACTCCAATGACGTTTACAAATGATGAAGGCCTACGTAGCAGAGTCCAGAAGGTCGCTCACAACTTCTTGGATGCTTTCGCAGGTACCCCTCGTCCTTCAATCATGAAGACGTTGTGGTTCTTGTTGGGATCCTACACGTCCCAAGGCTATGAATATGTTGAAAGCCACGATTATAGTAGACGCTTGATTGCTGTCGTAACCACTATCGCCAAAACAGCAGCAAGTGACGAGATTATTCTTGCTCTTGCTGATACGGTTTTTGCCGCACTCGAAGTTGCATTCAATAAAGAGGACGAAATGAATGCTCTCATGAACTACATAATTAAGAATGCTGTAAGACAATATCTCATTCCCATACTGCAAACTGCATCAGTAGATATAGTACGCTCCATCTACACCAAACATATCAAGCTGATCATTCGCTTCTTTGGAGAGGAGGAGGAGCGAAGGCCCATCGTCGAAAGCACCCGACTCACTCGTGCCATTTGCTGCTTCAACTTGCTGCAAATCAGTGCAGAACGATTGAACAACATAGATCTGAACGATGGTGGATCGGTCGTCATGGCAGCTTCTGATGGTACCGAGCCGATGGATACTCGAAAGAAACTATTCGGAAAGAAACTTATACCTAAAGCACTAGAAGCCAGAGGTGCAAAAGGAACGCATAATATTGGCAATGACAAACTGGAACCACAGCGGCTGGAGTATAGACAAGCTGCGTATGCCTGGGTATGTGCTTTCATAGTACTTACTCAGAAGAGAGCAGAAGTCTATCTCTCTTTCTTGTTTGAAAAAAATAATTTCAAATGGGAAGACATTATTGATGCGAAGGAGCCTCCTTCTAAGGTAAGGGATTGAAATCTATAATTTGTTGAGCATTTTCGCGGTGGCTGACGAACACCACCCTGTCTCTTTAGGACAAACTCAACTTGAAAGCTGAATTGAAAGCTCCATTTGTCCGAAAAAGGTATACACACTGACAATCGCAAAGGGCTTTTCTGTTCAAACTGTGTTTCTTACCGTAATTGTTTTGTAGGATTGCTGAACTTTATGAGACACCCATTTCTTCTTCTCCAACACAAGGTAGTTGGAATCGATCTCGATATCTCAGCACCCAATTGTGAGTTTGCTTCGAATTTTAAAATGGAGAGGTAGTCAAGCGGTATGAGATCCTGAATTGTTCCGTTTTCATCAGTCTTCTAGGATCTAGTCTGAATGTATCTCAGCCTGGGGTGCCCACCTCTACTTTGAAGAGCATCAGGGCTAGTCAAGTGTCTCGGAGTCAGCTGGCCTCTTCGCAGGCTGCTGCTTCCCAGGCTGCTTCTCAAGCTGCAGCATCTCAGGCCGCTTCTTCCCCAAAACTCAAATCACAAGCTGCATCTCAAGGTGTCCAATTCGTCGATGGCACGAGTAGCGAAGATCAAGCAATCGAAGAAGACGAAATCGATTTTGATATCTTTAATCAACACCCGTGTATGCGAGGCTTAATTGCTGCGATGCAAAAGCTCCATCAGGAAGCTTTGACTCTTAGTGCTAAGGCTGATTTTTCTCAGAGTCCGAGCCAGCCAGCTTCCGATAGGATGCCGGATTGGATGGCAAAGCTGTTGACTAGCCTGAAGGGTTGGTGAAATCTACTTCTGATTTGTGAATCGTATACCTTTTCACACGGCATAAACAAATAGGATCTCACTTGTATATCCAGCTATTTATTGGCAAGTTGGTCATCAATCTTCCAAGGGTCTTCCAACCATTCTCCAAGTACTGGTGGGGGCCTTTGGTTGAACTTGTAACTCGAGCTGATGAGTTCGGAGAAGGCTTCAACTACTACATTCAGGTAACATTCAATCTTAATAACATCAATACCTCAGCATCAACCCCCCTATAAGCCAAACTGTACTCTCATCAACTTATCGCAGGACATCTGCCTTACTCTTATGTCTTGGATGCCAATGGATACAGACCCCGACACACGCAACAAAGCAGACGCCTTGCTTCGAGAAGAATGGCAAAAGGTTGAAGTGCTCTTTCACCACTTATTGACCAACTTCATGGTAAAATTGTAATGGTTTGATTGATCCGTGTATCAGGAATTCAACTCATTATTACCGTCACTCTAGGAACAATTGGTGAAGATTAGTCCCAGTGATAGGTCGACAGATCTCAGGAATACTGTCAGGATTATAGAACGCCTATCAGACTTTTTTCGAGGTTCCTTTGATCCGCCATTGGTATGTCTCCACATGTATCTTTCTTGTTGTCAGCAACATCCTGTTGCTCATTATAGGGTTTGCCGCTGTTTTATTAGAATGCCTTAAGTGATCTATTTATGCACAAGCCTGAGCCAAAACTCCCGACTGCAGCAAAGACTCAGGCCGAGCCAGTGTTGAAAAAGACAAGGATAGCTGGTGTTTTTCTGCTATGTGCATTTGCAGTAAATTGTGGGAAGGCGTTTCTTGACCACGATGACTTCCCTCGAGTCTTTACTGCTCTGATGAGCGTCAGTAATAATGAAGACAGAACGAAAGGTTATACGTCTCACTTGACTGCCGTGGCAGAATGTGCAGGCAAGATTCTCGCGTTATCGGAGAAAAATGGCAAATACTTCAAGACCATATATGATGAGACACGAGCCCAGGTTGCGGATCAACGCGAAGATACCAAGCACCCAGAAGATGCGGTATACTTTTTGTATGGAGTCACGCGAAGCTTCCCAGGAATATGTGATAGGAAGGATACTGTCTGGATGATGAGTATAAAACGATACAATTCTTTCGTACCCGAAGTGAGAGCTAAGGTCCTCGAGGTCATCAGTTGTACAGCAGATAAGATTGAGCACCTATTTGAGGAACTCAAAGGCTTTGATCTTCTCGCCATCCTTCGTCGAGCTGACAACGAATGTCAATTATGGGCGCTCACCGTATTGATGGTCGCGTTTAAAAGAACCGATCCTCCACCAACAATGTTACAAATCAAGTTTTATTTAGAGGACATTGTGTCAATATTCCCTTCGCACCCATCCGAACGCTGTCGCCTGTCGTATTATAGTTTGATTATGAAGCTGCGGGACATATTTGCTGACAAAATCGACGAAGAGCCAAAAGAACTCTGTCGATTCCTGACGTCAGTATTGATGAGAGGTCTAGCAGATCCATACGAAGTCGTGAAGACCCTTATTGCTCAAACATTTAATACGTGGTTGCCAACTGAAACGGTCCCACGTTTGAATGCCATCTTCAGCTATTACTCCTCAGCCACCGAAGACGTCTTCTTGAGTTTTGCATCGCATTTGCTATTGATGCCAATCAAAACCACTCCTGATTTCACCACTAAAGTCTTCACTGACGGTTTGGATGATGCAAACTTTGTAGTTCGAAAGAGACGCAGTATTGATACTCGTTGGACTAGCTCTGTCATGAAGCCATTGTTTGCTTCTCAAGAGGGTGACCACCGAGATAATGTGAGTAATGCTGCTTTCCTTGCTGCTTTTTTTAATTTACTCTCTTTTCCTAGATGGATGTCGACGAAAGACGAAATCTTATCAGAGCTACAAATGCGTCATTGGTTGAATCAATGAGCTTGCAGCAGAACACACCACTTCAGATTAGAAATTTCTTTTCTGTAGATCCAACGATAAACCCAACCTTGAATAGTGGATCTGCACGACTCTCTTCAACTTCTTATAGTCAAATCAGTAGAGCTCGTGATCTAATGTCACCACTTCGTAAACGTACTTTTGCGAGCACCAACGCCGGTACCGACTTTTTCGCTCGTATTCAAGTACGTAAGAACAAGGCTATAGATCAAGCACTTCAACAGCAACGAGAAGCCCGTCGAACGGAAGTGTCTCTGGTCAGAGAATATCGCATTGGTGAATTGCCTGATATTCAGATCAGCCAACAAGAGGTTATCGAGCCCTTGATGGTTCTAGTACAACGTGATACAGATACTTGCCAAATCGTCCTGCCAGCACTGGCAACTGGAGTCTTGAAAAAATTGGTACGTTTTTGGCATTTTCCGTGTCGTGAGTGGGTTTGAAACATGACTATTCATTAATCTCTTCCTTCAAGTCTAAAAATCCAGAAGCTGGCAATTTCCCTGGAATATTCGACAAAGTCATGGAACAATCGCCTGGAGCAGTCTTTCCATTTGCAAACTCGATGCTCCGTGTCGCTCAGAGCTTGAAGCCAGAGAGTATCAAGACTGATCGAATCTCTCAATTGTCTAACGCAAGCTCGAATCAGATATCTGGTGTCATGATCATGTCAGTACTTCTGATTGGAGAGAACAAACAATTGTAACTGACAAAAGTCATGTGAACCATAGTGAGAATGTTCTTTATAGTATCCAGAACTCTTCCAGTGAGTGCTATGACAGTTTTCAAATTTTATTCAATTGTGAGCTTCTTGATACTTATGCTTCTTCTGTTTTAGGCAATCACAAACGTAACGCTGATGAAGACACTCCTCGAGAGGCTGTTACTGCCAGCATGTGGAAGCAGCTGGCTGATTTATACAAGTCACTCGATTATCAGGACATTCAAAACGCTGTATACGAGTCATTCTTGACTGATATGCCCGCGCTGAAATGTATTACGTTGCTAATTGTCAACAACGTAATTTTCTTCCTAACTGCATTTCTTTGAGTAGTTGGAGCAGCCAAAGAAGCTGAACATGACTATGATGCTGCCTTGAAAATTTATCAGGAAGCAAGGGACGGTGCTGAAACGGCAGAGACAGTAGGTGGCGATTTTTTCTGCTTGATCGAAGCAGAAGGACAATCAAGCTAAAGCATTCTGTTCCAGGCTCTCAAAATGGGCAATTTAATGTTGGAAGTTATGCAAAAGTTGGGTCATTGGGAATCATGGATCGTTAGTATAGTACATGTGGAGACTCCAGATGACCCGAACAGCCACGTCGACCTGGAAGCTTTGTTTAATGCAGAAACAGCAGAGTCCACCTTGCGCAGGTTTGTCAAGAGTGTCCTGCGACAAGAAAAGTATCCCAGTCTCTTAAAGACATTCGTTGATGAGGTCCAATCCGACGATGCAAAGATTCGAGTAGTACGGCAAGTTTGCCCGTATGAATGGTCAGTGTCTCTTCTCAAGGCAGGATATCATGATCAATTCCGTCAGGCTGTCGTCGAACTATATAGTAATTTTGTCGCAACGTTTCAAACTGTAAATCCGTTGTCTTGGGAAGTGAGAGCCAAAGTACTCTCTCATTTGCCGCATATAGTGGATCTCGACGAATATGAGAATCAGACTCGAAACCTGCCTCAAAAGTTGAAAAATGGAAAATTGGAAGCATACTTGACTCATCTTAACGATCGTCTGCCGTCCACGTCGGATGCTCTCGAAATCTGGGATGACCTGATTACTTCCAGACTGGTTTGCTTGCAGGATCTGACTGCTCGACTGGACAATTTGGTAATACAGCTCAGTCTATGCTGTGTACTACGTCTCCCAAAGTTGGCTCAAACCTCCCCTTTCTTCATTCAGATGCTGACAGACGAAGTCGACACCATACCTGAACTCATTAAAGACAAGATGGATGAATGTCGATTGACTTTTGGTCATGTGGCCAGACTCAATCATCGAGGCAATTGGGCAACGTCGAATCTCAAAACAGTAGTTAGAGGTGATCGTAAGCTTGCTGCTATGGCACATTACGAATCAGCCGAATACTATTGGGGTCTTGTACGTCATTCATTACTACTAGATGATGGCCTCCAAGCGGCCCTAGGAATTCTGGGAAAGATCAAGGCAAGTTTTGTGCTTTACAAAACACTCCGGCAAATACGTGCTAACCGCATGATTTACTAGACGGTTATGGGGCAGGAAGACCGTGATCACAGCATTCCTTACGCCGACCTTTACGGCAGGATTTGCAGTGATATGCTTGGAGCATCGCTGGCACCAGAAACTGGAGGCCAATGTATTCAAAATCTACTTGGTTCCTATGGCTTCAGCGTATTATTTCCTGGTGCTCACTCCCAAGATGGGGTCATAAATGCTCTGATTAAGAGTTCTTATACCGCTCTCGTTGGATCGGACGAAAAGGTTACAAAAAACGCTCGATTGCAACCCAGTCATTTGAAATGCTATTAATACATTGGTTTTGGTCCTAGATGCCTACTGATGCAAAAGAATTGCTTCGTGTCGCTGAATTTTGTAATCGAATTCTTCAGCAAGAGAATCTGGATCCAGATGCCGTCAAGATGGTAGAATGATGCTTTAGTTGAAGAAACCGAATTCTCGAATCTTTCTAACTGTTTGAGTATATTAGGAGAAATATGCAGCTGTTTTGACCGAAAGTGTGATGAGAGTCATGGCTAAAGGTGACAATTCACTCTCTCACTTCCTACCTCTGGCATTGAGACTTGCTGAGAAGTATCCAACTGTTCGAGAAACCTTTTCAAGATTTGTAAGTTCTTCAATCAACTGAATTCCTGTTACCGTTGTTTCTTATCGCCTCCTGGACCTTATTAGGCATCGGAGCCACCTAGCTGGGTATATTTGCGATGGTTGCCTCAGCTATCAGCTTTGATGGATCATGAACTCTTGGCTTCTGTTGTGTTTCCAGTGCTTGATGCTGTAAGTTTTGTTATGAGGTCTGAAATAGTCAATTCATTTCTTTCTCAGCCTTTTTCAATATAGGTCGCCAATGACTATCCTTCTGCTGCCATCCACAGTCTCACCATAAGTGGTCAGCAACTCTTCTCCTACAAAGCCGACAATTATCCAAACAAGGTCAAATTCGACCAGATCAAGGCCAAGGCACAGTCTCAAACCATGAAAACATTTGTTGTGGAACTCAAAAGATTGGGGGAACCTTATGTGCTACTGAGTGATTGGAAAAATCATGTTAAGGTATATTTTATTTTTGAATTTCAGTGGGTCTGATTTACTAACGTCGACTTTTCTACTTAGACAATCTTGAGCTCTAAAGATTTCAACAAGGGATCCGCCGCCAAGCTCGCTATCGCAGAGATTCGAGAAGTTCTTCTTGAGGGAGGTGGAGACAGAGTCCAGGTAAAAATAGTTGTCTCTGGTCGCCATCGCAGAATTTTGGGTTGAATCATGTTCCGTAGGCATTTGCTCGACTCATCAGAAACGATGTTGAAGCGCTCATTGGCAAAGGTGCAACAGGACGAGGTACAAATAGATGATATGGGTACTGATCATACGCCGCTTTTAAAACTATTTCGATTGCCTTTAGCCAAAGGAGACATACCATTGCTGAAAATGACTGAGAAGGAGTTTGAGAAAAAGATGAATGAATTGTTGACTAATAAAAAAGTCGAGGCTCTGTCACCCAAAAATTCGTGAGTCTTGGCTCGATGCAGAACCATTCGACCTCCTTCAGATCTAATATTCGCCATCTTCAATTGCAGCGAATATGCATTTTCCAAAAGACTTGCTGACTATTCCAAGTGGATGGCAAATTATCCTGGATCTGATAATTCCTCTGTAGTACGTGTGATTCTTGTTTGCAGTTTATCATCGGAATCTTGATGCGGTCGCTTTCTTTAGAAACTTGAAATACCTGGTCAATATGATACAAACAGAAGACCATACCCCTGGAATCATTCCTTCATCCAGTCATTCAAACCTGAAGTCTCTGTAATGTCGTCTCTCAGGAAGCCAAAAAGGTTGGATATGATTGGAAGCGATGAAAAAGTTCACATGTGGCTGGTCAAGGTAAAGAGTGATGTTAAACGAATGTCTGAATACAGAAAGTTTATCGTCTACTTTGCTTCTAGGGTGGAGAAGATATACGTGTTGACCAACGAATTCAACAAATGTTTGGTCTAATGAATGATATCATGTCAAAGGATCCTCATTGTGCGCGAGATCGATTGCATCTTACTACTTACAAGGTATTTTCCATTTGCGGTAGTTCCCGTCGTTGCGCAATGTTTTAAGTATCCTTTTCATTACACGGCGTAGGTCATCCCAATGACTCAGAATCTCGGTATCATTGAATGGGTCAGCAACAGCATGCCTCTCGCGGTGTGTCTGAATACAAATGCTGAATATGTTAACGATTACCACAAGTCAAACACAGCATATACCAAATCCTTGCCAAGGGCCTTGCAAAAGGATACAGTAAAGGATATTTATGAACGACATGCTAAAAAATCCCGAGATGAAGTAGTCAATTCGTTCGTCGCAATATCGAAAATGATTAGAAAACCCTACCTTCGTATCTTCCTCCAAGAGTTGTGCTTGACTCCCGAAGCATTTATATTGTTACGAAACGAGTTTGCAAACAGTCTTGCAGCTCTAAACATTTGCATGTACTTATTGGGTATTGGCGACAGACACTTGGAAAACTATTTGGTGGATCTCAAGAGGTTGGTTTCAAAGAGCAACGGACTCTAGTACTTAAGCAACGGAGTCTAGTACTCAAAGATGGAATGTAGGAACTGAATCATTGATCTCTTTTAATTCCTAGTGGTCGATTGGTTGCTATTGACTTTGGCCATGCTTTCGGATCCGCTACAGAATTCTTGCCAGTACCTGAATTGATTCCATTCCGTCATACCACTGTATTCGAAGAAGTCTTGTCTCCGTTGGGTTCGCAAGGCTTGTTGCATACTCCAATGACTCGAGTCATGACTGGTGAGTTTGAATCATCTTTAGATGATATTGGATTGGGTTTCCAATGCCCTATTTTGTTGGAATAGCAATGAGAGACTCGAAAGAAATATTATTGAATGCCATGGACATCTTTGTGAAGGAGCCATTGCTTGAATGGCAAGAAAGAGCACGAGTAGGGTCTGTCAAGCAAAAGAAGGGTGAAGAGTATGGTGAAGATAAGGATCCAGCAGTCTGGTTTCCTAAAAAGAAGCTCGATATTGCACGTCAGAAACTTGAAGGTGTCAATCCCGCTGGTATGTTGTAACTTTTTCGCTCCCTTTCAGGTATTTGATTCTAATCTTGCGAATATATCCGGTTCATAGTGGTGATGAGCCAAGAATTGCCTGCGAGTCAAAAACAGTGGGAGACGACGCTCAAAGGAGATCCAGGCTGGAATATTCGAGCTCGAGTTGGTCGTAAGTGTACCACTGTCCGAGAACAAGTTCTCTGTTTGATGGATCAAGCCTCTGATCCTCACATCAAGGGGAAAATGTGGTCAGGATGGAGTAGTTGGATTTGAATATGGAGCAGTTGGGTTTGAATTGTGTTTGTGATGTGTTTGCAAAAAGGAGAAATTATCATTATATGTAGATAGTATGCAAAAATGTAGATAGATCGCTAGAAATATACAAGTTCAAAAGAAATCAATGCGTTCTTGCATGGTCTCGTTCAAAAGACTTACAATGATAAAAAAACACATGACGACGTCAAACTCGCTCTTTGCGCACAAACAGGAGTGATAGAGTTCAGATCAGCTTCAGTCTACAGAACCGGTCATTGCACGTGAACTGACGCTACTTCAACCGTTAAGTTGCTCAATTGCTCAAAGTCATAATTTGACTTCCTCCAAGCAAAGTCAACCATGCTGTCTTCCAAACCGAAGAACAGCAGCAACTCAGAGCAAGGAGAAGATCCAGCACATTCGCATCATGTACACTTTGATCTGACCGAGACAACAGTGCATAGATTCACAAAGAAGTCGCCACCATCTTCCCAACAATTGAATAAGACATCTTCGATGAAAAAGACTACCGATAGAGCCAAAACAAAGGCCGAATCACCCATACTACAACTACCTGAATCATTATCAACACCATCTACTACCATATCTACTCACGCAAACCAGCAAACATCGCCGAATATGGAAGATGCAGGCAGTGTATCAAACCCTTCACCCAACCAGGCTGTTGAGTTTGGTGACTTTGTATCTGCAGAATCTAGCAATAGCAATAGTAATATGAACAGCAGCAGCAGTAGCATCTGTGAAGGAGACGTAGAGAATGAAGACAATCAGACTGCAGGATCTGAACAACAGAATCATGCTTCAACTGCTGCCAAAAAGAAGAAGAAGAAGAAATCAAAGAAAAAGCATGCAAATGCCAGTCTCGCTGCAGTTGATAGTGGTGCTACCTCAGATCAAGCTGTAGCCGTCATAAATGAATCCCAGCGTGTTGTGAAAGAATTCATAGATGATTCGTCAAGTACACAGCAACCAGTAGCCAGATCTCGTAAATCATCTAATCAACCAGCATCTCCACCTTCTCAAACCACACCATCTATGAATGCTGATGTAGCAGCTGCTGTATTGCATTTCAGTAAACAACAGGAGATTGAAAAGGCCCTACGAATGCTAGCTAATGCACAGCAAAACAAAAACCATCCTCTCTCAAAATTGGCCAGCGAGAACCCAAATCTTCTCAGTAGATTCCTACGAACGAACTCGCAACAATTCAGCGATAAAAGTGAATCGACGAAGAAACCTCGCTTAGAGTACGGTAATGACAGCAGTAATAATAATAGTGGTGACAATAGTAGTCTTCCAAGTGCGACATCTTCAGCCAAGTCATCAACCATGTCATTACCTGCTGTTGTATCAACACCATCAAACTTTATGCTGCCTGATATAGCACAGGTCTTGAGGCGTGACAGTAAGATGGATTTAGATGCGGAGATTGGGAGTAAACTATTCTTTGGATCTACTGTCACTACCAGTACTACTTCTATTGAAAAGACGCAAGCTTTGGACGTGATACCCGAGACAACTGAATCAGTTGCGACAAATGCTGTCGTTGAAGTACCATCATCTCCAGTGATTACAGATACCACTACAGCAGAAGCAGGTGTAAATGAATCCTTGTCTGTACCAAACACCTTGTACGTCTTTGTGTTTTGAGAGTGTTTCTTTATTCATGAACCTAATCTCAACCAATACAATTTGGTCTTTAGACTTATGCCACATCCTCGACATGAATGGTTTGTTCGAGGACAATACGTTTACATAGATATATTTATGAAGAAATTGTCAGAGTATGGAGTGCACATAGAAACGACCGCCAGAACGGTAAGACTATACGTGTTATTTCTTTAAACACTTGTTCATTTCGTGTTAATCCGACAACTTTTGTATCAGGTGAAAGTGACATTGAACAATCAAGATCACCATGTAGTTATGTTTATAAATCTTAACCACGAAATTATACCACAGAGTGATATCTGTCGAGTGTCGCCATACAAGGTTGAAATACGGCTAGAACAGTGCAGCACAGAACAGTGGCAGGATCTAGGCCTTGTCAAAACATATATCGAGCCTCTCATAGTAAATGACGCTGTTGATACTGACCGTAAGCTACCAGAACTCACCACATTAGCAGCAGCCGATTCTGCATCTGCAGACGCAGATATTGATGACGATATGCAGCTTCCAGACGAATCTCGAATATCAGCTTACTTTAAATATCAGTATGATCGAGTCGCATCGCATGTTGGTTTGCCTAGATCAAAGTCATCAACACCACCCAGGATTCCATCTGGATATGACTCCGATCCTGGCGGCCGTCGTGTTAAAGAAGGAATACATGCTATGAAGTCTAGCTATAGTGAATCGCAACTGCCTGAAAGTGGTACTTCATCAGTCACAGAATACACGCAAATGTCGCCAAGGCTATCCACTGGTCCTTCTGTAGACCCAATGGCAGCACAGAGACTCTTCGACGCTATATTTGATCGTTTCTCTGTTGGTAGCACGACGCCACTATCATCTAATGCAGTAACTCCTATACGTCGATCAGAGCTACTTCTTGATGAATATGATCAACCTCTTGGACATGGTATATACCCTCCAAATGCGTTTGAAATGGCTGAATCGTCAGATACAGACGATGAGCCATCTATGAGTTTGGCTGATGATGATAATCTACTTGATAACGAGCCAGATTTGAACAACCAGTTTGCTTTGACCAGGTCGTCCAAATCTGGCTCTTCATTACGAATCGATGGTCATAGAATAGATGAAATAGGATTACAAAACGATACAGCTCTTAGTACAATTGTCTTTCACAATTCCGCATATAAAGGTCGTCCATGGGATTCGGATGATGAGGATCAAGATAGTCTAGATGGAGCCTCAAACACGTTTGCTTCAGAAGAGAAATTGAGAGATTGGAGCTCAGATGTTTCCAAACACACAACAGAACCAACGAGTATGTCTATGGTTGATATGGAGCCGATGGCAGAAGATTACGACGAACTGCCAGCACAAGGACGACGATCCAGTATAGATATCGTAGACGACTCCTTTAATCCTGATTCCAGTGATATGGCCAATACCGAAGATAATGATACGTCCATTGATCGCCTTCTTGAAGGACAGTCAGCCACTAGTCGTGCTCGGATTGATGAAGGAGAATCTAAACACGATGATTCAGATGTCAATGAACTAGTAGACGATTCAAAACGCCCAGGTGACAAAGAAGCAGCACACGATTTAAAACACCTTGGTGACAACGAACTAGTAGACACTATCAAACACCTTGATGAGAATATTCAAACACTGGACACCCTCGAATGGAAGGAACTTGAAGTGGACGATATGGATCTGACAAAAGTAGAAGGTCCATCCGATTCTCAAGAGAAGACCAGTTCTGATGATACGCTTCAGCTGGTTGATCACTCCGAGACATCTCAGCAGAATGTAGATTCCTCTAGCGAGACGGTCAATCTCTACTCTGCAGATAATATAGGATTGAATCAAGGCGTTGATGAACAAAAGAGTACCGTCAACTTCGTCAAGGACAGACGCAGCAAGGAAATGTCTCATGGCCTGGATATTCCAATATGGGACGGCATCATCAAGGCTTGGGATGCACCTACTCCTCCTTTGTACCGACCTATTGGGCTGTTGAATATGGGCAATGTGAGTGCTTTTGATTTTTCCAATGTCCTTGCTGCTTCTGAATCAAGACTAATGTGAGTCAAACTGGTCACGCCGTTTTTAGACTTGCTTTGTGAGCAATATAATCCAATGTCTTGCTACTGTACCTGCTTTTCTCAAATACTTTTTGAGTAAGTTTCTAGCTTCTCTGATCATTTCCTCGAGACTTGTACTGATTATCGTACCTCTCAGGGACTGGGAAGAAAGGATTTCAGGCTGATTTAAATCCTGATAATCCTCTTTCTATCAGCAAGGGAGAAGTCGCTACTGAATTCTCCCACTTGCTGTGTCGGCTTCATCAAGGAAAGACCCCATTTGTTCCAAAAGAGTTTCGTGCTGTCTTGCAAAAGTATTCAGGAGAACGATTTGATGATTTTCAACATCATGACTCTCATGTAAGTTTGATCACGGTTGTCTCAATCGGAGGACGTGGAATAGATTATTAAATTCATTGCGTCGTACGCATAGGAATTCTTGGCATTCCTGTTGGACAATCTTCATGAAGGTAATATCTGCAAATTCAAAATTTTATCAGCATCTCTGACATCTCTTCTCACTTTTGAATAGATGTCAACAAGGTGAAAAAGAAGCCTTATATCGAGCTCCCAGATTATCCAGATACCACACCAGACGCAGTTATTGCGCAAGAGTTCTGGAATGCTCATGTGAAACGCAATCAATCCCCTGTTGTTGAATTGTTTCATGGCATGTATCGCTCTCGCGTGACTTGCCTTGACTGTGGGAAAGCTTCAGTCAAGTTTGACGTGCATCAGGAACTCACACTCGAGATTCCTGAACCACCAGTAACCTTGGAAGCTATTTTAGTGACTGCAGAATTTCGTAAATTCAGATATCGCTTGACGTTACCCGTGACTGCCAGAAGGGCTGACGTTATTGAGGCTTTGAGTCGAGCTTCCGGCACTCCTGTAGACTCGGTTTGTTCAGAAATACATCAGTTGGTCCTTGTTTGGCAATGTGTGAGCTGGAACTCACCCATTCCATTTTTTTGCCATTAGATATTTGCTACTATACTTGATGGAAGCCGAGTAAGAGATCTTGTGCCAGCAGAGTGGACGATTGAAGACTTTGACACAACCCGCGATGATGTCGTTTTGTAAGTCTTTGGTCTTATTCGAACATTGAGACCGTTAATCTTAAACTGACAGGTTGACATTCTAGTTACGAGTTCGATAATCGAATGACAGCTATTGCTTTCGCCCATGAAGATGTGCCTCCTCCAAGACTTGGTTTCAGGAGCATGCGACGATTTGAGTTTGGGTTTCCAATGATCTACCCACTTCCACCTGGCGTATACACAGAGAAAGACTTGTATACCACCTTGCTCAATGAGTTTAGAGACGCGTAAGTTCGTAAGCTTATATCGAAATCTTGTAGACTATACACTCAACAAATTCATTTTCCCATTAGTGGTATTGTCTGTGCAGATTTGTCGGATGAAGACCTTCAATCAGCCAGTCAACTATTTTATGTGCGAGTGGAAGAAACTCGAAGCAGTCCACTTGATTACGACAGTGATGAGGATGATGAATTCCTTGCTCCAAATACCGATACTGAAATCTTGGAGTTGGCTGAGGGTTCTGTGTTACGAATCAGATTGGAGTGGCCAAGTCGAATGAAGAGCCTCTTCTACGACAAAAGGGCTGATTGTCATGTGAGTTTTCTGCGCTCTCTCGATTTCTATTGTTTTTGATTTTGTCAACTTTTTGTCTGGTTGGGAATAAGTTGCCTCATCTCGTCAAAAACCACTACCCATATAGATCCAAGACATGTTTGACGGGCCGCCACCATTACCCATGGTCACTTTGGATGATTGCCTCAAACACTTCCTGGAAGAAGAACAAGAGATTGAAGACTGGCATTGTCCGAAATGTCGAGGAACGAAAGGAGTCAAAAAGCTTGATTTATGGTCTCTCCCACCCATTGTCGTCCTCCACCTGAAACGATTCGTACGACATCCACGATACTTTGCATGGCGTAAACAAGATCGTACCGTAGACTATCAACAAGAGATTGATCTCAGGCCATATGTTGCTCCAGAAGCCAATATGGTCAACCCAATAGCAAACGGAGCTAGTGGTATACCTGGTAGTAGTCATAATGGTGATGTTGCAGGTGATAGCAATAGTGGTGGAGGTGGAGCTTTGGAATATGAGTTGTTTGCAGTGTCGAATCATATCGGAACCATGTCGGCAGGTCATTATACTGCTTTCTGCAAACGAGCTGAAGAATGGTATTCATTTGATGATGAACGTGTGGATCGAATAGATGATGTGATGGTGAGTGGTGTTCCCCTTCTGTGTCGTAGAAACTTGTCAGCTCACAATCATATTTTTATTGCAGCGCAAGAAAAAGTGGGGGTATATCTTCTTCTACCGCGCAAAGGACAATTTGAAATGGCTCTTGTGAAGCGTTTGCATCTATAGTTGAATGTATCTAGTGTACTTAGAATTTATGCCTTGTAAATCCCCTTGCAACATAAAGCATCCCAACGTAAGAAAAAAAGTTTGCATTTTAGTTGAATGTAACTGATGTACTCGATTGAAGAAGTTTGCTGTGTGTATTCTTGTAACCACTTAGATGACAACTTCGGCCAGATTTCATCACGTGGCATTCTCGACTTGAAACGAAACCAGAGCACTGAACCAACACACAAGATAGCTAATGGCAAGTAACTAGATAATCTCAAATTGTGCTGTATATATACATTACAAGGTATCATAAACGTTCAAACGATTGCTTTTACACGTCATTAGCCTCTTCGCGAGCTGGTGCAGATCGTGCTTCGGTCTTTTCAGCAGCGTCTTTAGCTTCGCTGATGAGTTTGAAGAATTCATCTTCAGCACTCTTAACCAAATCATCTAAACTTGGCCCTTTGCCTGCACCGCCAGAGCCTGGTCGTTTTTGTTGAGCTTGTGCTTTAAGCCTCTTTTCACGAGCAGCAGCTTCTAGTGTCTTTTCCCGTTTGGCTTCACGTTCCAGCATCTAGTAAGATTTCAAAATTAGCGAATGTGAGGTATATTGAAGGACCTCGCTTTTCTTTAGGTCAACAGTGTCTTTAACCAAAAGTGCGCGCTCACAGCCGAGAAGACAGCCTTTTCATTGTTCTGTATTCTTGATAGACCCTCCGATAGCTCTAAAATGGTAGTGGATCCATCACGAGCAGTTACAGCAACCATCTTTCCATGCTCCTGAGCCTTGATGGAGTGAATGGGTGCGTTGCAGACCTAATTCAAATCCAAGTCAGAAGGAGTTCGCGACCATCAGCAGCCAAAGTTATCATGTTTTTACCTGTACAGTAAGAGTGGGATCGTTTTGCTTGAATACATAGTCCCAAACATCCAATGTACCATCCATCTTGCCGGTGAAGAAGACGGAAGGTCGAGCTGGACTCCAACAACCATCAGTCATATACGACAATGAGTACTTGGTTGACATGATGGGTGTTTTCACGTCTTCAACCCAAATCTAGAATATTGTGGTGTTAACACAGAAGAAGAACGACAATATTTCAGTGCACCGATCGTGACGATTACCTTGGCCGTCCAATCACCGACAGTTAGGAAGTTTTTCAGGAAGAAGGGATTTCGCTGTTATATTCAAGTAAATTGTCAGCTTGCTATGATGTGACTCTGATTCCAAACCACTCAATGTTCAAACCTGAAGAGCATAAATAGGACCATGGTGGCCAGGATAAATGTGCGTGATTTTCTCATTTGGATTCTTGGCTTTTTTATTGCACATGAATACAGAACCATTCTCTGCTCCAACCATGAATTTTGTTGGCTACGACAGATTTGAATGTTAGCCGGCAAGCAACGCTTTAAAAAGAATCATAAACGACTCATACCATGGTCGTTTCATAATCCAGGACAGTGCCTCCAACAATCTGTCCATTCTTGTCTGGATCCAGTAACAGAGATTCGGTAGGTTCTGACAGTTTCCGAATATCCCACCACAGCACTTGGCCGTCAGTTGATGTTGAGAAGAACTCGGCACCTAATTCAAAATAAAAATGAGCGAAATAAAACATGTCGGTTGCAAAAACTATGCTAACCAGATTTGGATTGCACCCATGCTACATTATACACTGGATCTCTATGACTCTTTTCGATTGCCGACACGTCTACTGGATAAGAGCCCTTCCTTGTATCCCAATATGCTATTCAAGTAAGAAACAGATGAGTAAGATGCTTTATCAATACAAGAAGTAACGCATGATAACAAATCCGTTGCTGGAATTTACCAACAAGACCATTATACGATCCTCCAACCAGGACATGAGGATCTTTCGGGTTGTATTTGATACAGCACAATGGATTTGGCGCTATCAAGGCTTGATCGGGTGTATTTGGATTCTCGATATCCCAAATGTATGATTCACAAGGCATGTTTTGTGGTGTTCCTTGGAATTGTAGGTTGGAGTATGCTACGGCCATTTTATGACCATCGTCTGGATACCATGATACGAAGGTTGCTGCTCGTTTTACAGGACTTGGATCTCTGTTTTGAGTTTCGGAAAGAAGGTGTAAGAATGGCCTCGAGGGAAGCAGCACCTATGCGTATGGTTTGTACCTGTAAACGTTCAGGGATTTAGCTGAAGGTGGTTCTACTGCCATTGTATCTGCGGCATCGATAAAATATTCTTCATAGATATCAATGGCGTTGTTTTGTTTGATGCAGTGTTCCATGAGCTAAGAGACAAAAGTTGGTCGAATCTTTACAAGACGAGAAAAACAGTCAAGTAATGAACCTGCCTCTCCCATGCATTTAACGCTCTTGACGTATTCATCGTCCTTTTCAATCTTTTTCCTGAAACGGATGGTATGTTCAGCATCCGTTGGGTCGACATCTCTTGGCCAACCACCTTGTAGATGCAGTATTCCGGTATTTACAGTCACTAGAGATTCTGTATTGACCTATTTTATAAGAGTGATCGAATGAGTTTATTTGTCAAATATATCTTCATTCGACAGCGTAAAACCAACAACGACATTCTCGTCCAAATGATACAAGACAGAAGATGTACAATGAAATCGACAAGGTATGATTTACTTGCCTCATGTTCCGATTTGTCAGGAGCACACTGGACCTCTGCAGCACATGGATTTCTGACGAGATAGTTCTTTTCTTGAGATGGATCAGGGAGAATGTGGACTGACAATTCCGTGGCCAGTATGTCCCGGAACTGGGTCTGCCGTCCAAATTCCTTCCTTTTACGTTGATATACATACACAACCTCCATTGTCTACTAGTATACTAACTACACTCTACCAGTCTCTCTTGTAAATTCGTCGAGTGATTATTACAGTCCTGAATATTTACGAGACAAGTACCTTACGTCGAGAATGAGTGTGATTTTTGGTAGATCCAGACAGTTCTACAGACGTCTCTCTTCTCGTCGCGATCGTTCCCGCTTGTACTGTCCTGTCCTTGTCCAATTTGTCAAAGTTGTTGCCAAAAAAGTGGGAAATGGAAAACATTCATGCAAGGAGCGGAGAGGCCGACAACAACATAAAAGGAATAATAGACACGCGATACAAGGAACAAGCAGTCTGTATTCATATTACACTCTTACAAATCGTACTCACACAGTACGCTTACTAACACGTACTCACACAGTAAGAGCAAGTTTCCTAAGAAAAAAACTAGATGAAGAGTCAGCTCAAATAAGACTCTTCAATTTTCTTCGACCAGGAAACATCTTGTTGAATCGCGTCAGAAAGAGCCCGAACTTGCGGACGGTTTAATCAAGATAAAAGAATTCATAAGACCGTCGTGATGGTAATAATATTTCATCTTGCGCGACCAAGAAGGAATGTAATGAGAGGTCATGCTTTGCTTACCATCTTGGTTCCTGTGAAATGAAAAGAGTCGGTTAGCAACTTTGCTTTCATGACTTGTTTTCAAAGCGTGAAGCACAGTCTTTTCTTTTGAATCAGTTAGGCATGAATGGAATAAGATGTATGTATCGTCAAGAAAAACTTCAATTCCGACTCGTCATCAGATGTCATCAATTTCAAAGAAAGCTTCAACAGAAATTTCAACTTTATGGATCTGAACTTACATATGGATTCCGTGACTGGGGCTTGCCAACAGGAAGCTTGTATCCGAAAGCTTGTTTGAAGATATCTACGATAAAGTACTGTGAGCTTCAACGTGTAAAAGTTTGATTTGGCTACTTTCAAAGCCAAAGACTTTGTTGCAAAAATGTCAGAAGGTGCGTTTATCTCCACGAGAGGGTTAAACCCCTTGTCGGCGCCCAGTGCACTTGTTCCAACCAGAGACATGTCATTGTCTAGGTCGGTCATCATTCAAACAGTCTGGGGTAGTTGGTGCAAATGAATGAGACCCTTACCTTGTCTTGTTCTTGTTTAAAATGTGTACTTGGTGCTTTGTAAAAAATTCTTTTGGGGTCAACACTGGGAAGATCGATTGGACGAAATGCAATGAGAGGCTTACCTGGTCTTGTCGTAGTTTAAAATGCACTTGATAATTCCCTACAAACCAAAGTTTTCGTGAGGATGAGATCCAAAAATAAAAACTCTAGGTTGGGTTTCTTTAACGGTTGTCTTCAGTGCGTGTCACATTTTCCTCAACGTCGGGCGACTCAGCCGGTAATTCCAGCTTTTTAAATGTGTTTAATGATATCATCATCGACAACCCAAAAATAGCTGCACAGAATCTTGCGATTGCTTACAAGTTGTAATAAAGCTTAACGGCAGGGTTGCCGGACAGGGTTGCCGAGGTATAGCAAGGATGTCTTTCTATGAAATCACTATTGATCAGATTCCAATTTTGTCAACTCGAAGAAAAAAATATATCCACGACAATGCCATCAAAAATAAAGAAAAGCTTCAGCATCCATCCCGTTCTAAGCATTTCCGAAGAAAATCATAGACTCTAGTTTGATTTTTGAGATTGTGGTCATCACCAGCTTATCTCATTTCACTGGTCGCATCGAAAGAGCGGTTGCTTTCAGCTTCCGTCACGAACTCACCTTCGCCAGATGTCAGGGATGCTCATGTTTTGTCGATGAGTGTAGAAAATGCCGTTGAAGAGGTGGAAGGCATTGCTTTATCCACAATGAAGGGATGAGCAAGATCTTCAGTTTTTTTTTTCCTTGGACTTCAAATGTCTTGATGACGCTGAGAAAAGGATTTCAAATGCCAATGCGTCTTGTGAGGATGAGAGCGTGTTGATGTTTCCATTACGATAAGTTGGTTTCTATTAGAGCGATTGCTACAAGAAACGTGAGCTTTGGACGTTTGCAAGAAAAAAAAATTATAAGCCTGCAAACGAGAATCAAAACAAGCTTACTTTCAAGCGAATCAATCTTATCTACGTATAGGTAGATTAAAGATGATATAGCTCTGCGATCAACTCGGGATGGCATCCTTTATAGATAAGGTATGAAAACGTGTTGAGTCTGAGTTTGAGCATCGGTGAAGAAAATCGAAGTCAGTCCTGATCTTGGGTTGAAAATTTCTGGGTTTCGTTCTCCTAAAGTCATCAGAACACCTTCATGGGCTCGTAGCATGCTCCAGCGAGGCCAGAGACACGGCTCTGTGACACGCTGAGCGACATTTGGACGCGTCTTTGATTGTTGGGCTGTATTAGCTATATTTTGGCCCAAAGAGTACAAGAGGTATTTGAAAATCGAAAAGGCCTCCGCTAAAATGCCATAACTTGATATTTTGGGGTCGTTTTAATCGAAACATCGAAAAATAGTCGAGTCAAACAATGTTGAAATGAAACAGATGATGTTTTGTTCGTTGTTTGAAAAACAAGACTTCTATAAAGTTTTAGACATTGTGTTTTTGTTTGGTATTTTACACTTACTCTCCCTCCCTTCATATCTCCCATCCTTTTTTTTTGGAATGTGACAAGACCACCCTTCCTAACTATGTTCGACCCATAACAAGAGCCAACAACGCCATTCTGACATACATTCCATACTTCATTTGCCTAAAGTATGCTGCCCTGGGATCAAAGTCTACTTCAGGATCAATCTCATTTACCCGTGGTAGAGGATGCATGACAATCATTTGTGGTTTGGCTTTTTGTAAAGTACGAGTGGTAATAATATAGGATCCCAATGCCTTTTCGTATTCAGCGAGATCGGTGAATCGTTCCTTCTGGATACGTGTGACGTACAAGACATCAGTCTCACCAATAACTTCGTCTAGTGAGGTTGTCTCATATTGTCGTTTCAGACCAGCTCGTTTGACTTCAGCTCTAATTTCATCTGGCATGCGTAGTGATTGTGGTGCGACATAGTTGATCTTGACGTCGTAATTACATAGGAGACGTGCAAGGGAATGAACTGTTCGTCCATTCTTCAAATCACCAACCATGGTAATCGTGAGTCCATTTACAGTACCTAGTTCTTCTCGTATAGTATATACGTCCAATAGCGCCTACGTTAGGAGCGTGGGTAGGAACGCAAAAGAAAGGAACAGTGCCAAACAAAAAGCCCGACGACGTAGAGCATACCTGAGTTGGATGTTCACCTGTACCATCACCTGCGTTGATGACGGGTACTGGAGAATACTTTGCTGCTGTAGACGCCGATCCATGATCAGGGTGTCTCATGACGATAGCATCACCGTAGCAACTCAAAGTTCGTACTAGTTGAAAAAGGGTAATCGGTGAGCACAAAACAAAAACACCATGAGCTATAATGGGCATGTGATAACACCTCAATAACTGCCATCTCATTTACAAAACATACCTGTATCGGCCAAACTTTCACCCTTGGCGATAGAACTAGTAATTTGATTGATTCCAACAACTTGACCACCCAACCTCAACATGGCAGCTTCAAAACTACTAGATGTTCGTGTCGAAGCTTCATAGAAGGCTGAGCACAAGACTTTGCCTTGTAGTAATGGAATACATCCTTGTTTTTCAACCAAAACTCTCATTTCTGATGCAGCACCAAACAAGATGTGCAAGTCAGGTCGAGTGTACTGCTTAACGGATAGTACGTGTTTGCGATAGAATGGAGATTTAGATACTACCGATGATATAGATCTACCAATTGAAAACGGCGTCAAAAAGGAATGACCAAAAACGCCATCGCATGCGACCATCACATACCCAGGTAGTTCAGAGAGATATTGAGTTTGAGCTACATCCAGAGTTTGCTGGAATGTGCGCTGCAATGCCTTGCTAACTGTAGCCAGTGCGACAGCTTCGCCTTCTGAATTCGTTTCTTCTTGAGCTCTTCCATCGATCAATCCATCTTTCGTAACAGATGCAGGTGATGTCAACCAATTCTTCATGGCGACAGCAGCAGCATCCGTACTACCACGAGGAGCCATATTAGCAGAAGGAATTCCAGCAGGGGATTCACCTGCAATTGGTGGTTGACGAGCAGCAAGGAAGGCTGATATTGGATCATTGCTAGACATGAGTCGTCCACGAGGAGACTTGGGAGTCAATGCATCCATCAAGGCATTAGGTGATTGATCAGCATTCATGGTGAGTGGTACTGGTCGATGAGAAGTCATGGTTCCACGTCGAGAGTTTGATACAACTCCAGTTTTGCCAGAAACAATACGGACCAATCCAGTTACATCACGACCAGACGCCTGTCCGAATATACCACCATCAAGGTATACAGTCTCGCCTCTAAATACTACTCTATGTACTACACCATCAAGGGCCAATTCGGTTTTACCAATCTTGACCTTGGTTGGTCGACGACGTTCGATTTCAACTTCTATATATGTTTCAGGTTGTTCAGGCAAATCGAATATGGCTCGTGGATTATGGTATAATTTCGTTGCAATGTCGTCCATAGTCAAACGACCTTGAGACACTGCGTTCAACAAGAGTGGAAGGGAATCCTCCAATCCATCCTTGTATGCTGTTTGGCCATCCTGCTTCAGTAGCGACAAGAGTGGACCAACCGAGAAGCAATCTATAAATGCCAATAAGTCCCATAATGCCTCGACATCTTGTGGACTACCCAATAATGGCGATGCCAAATCGGCATTGGAGAAGAAGAGATTATGAATGGCAACATCGCAAGTGACATTGACACCCTTTTCCTTAGCCAATATAATGAGACTCATATCTTCTTCTTTTATGACGTTCGTGATATGGACGGATCGAGAATGAATGTTGGCAAGGAAGAGTACCGATGCCAAATCAGCGTCTTGAGCCGCTGCGATTATAGGCAATTCCTTGGGCCAAGTACGGAAGTGGGCAGTCAAGTCACTCATACCCATTAAAGCCAAAGTTGGGCATCGTTCTGCATCGAACGTGACATACAAGGATACACTATCACCTGCTACATTATCCAATATGGCGGCATTCTCGTGACAGGCACCCACTGACAAGGCGTAATCACAGAAGGCTTTTGATCTACAATTACTTTGAGCGATAGCCATAGACCTTTTATCCTTAAGAGAATCAGCCGAAGCTTCACCTTGTGGCATCAAGCACAACATGGTAAATCCACCCGCCAATGCAGACCTAGATGCTTGTACAAATTCAGATGATTCGGCAGTTGCCAAGTTGGGTATAAAGGTCGAGATGTTGATGAGACCAGGCAAGGTTACGGTTTTATGTGAGGTCTTATAATCTACACTCGAGATTTCAAATTCACGATGTCTACTTATAGCTTCGACAAAGAGTTTGGCACATTTAATGTTGGTAATCAATGGAATGGCAAAGTCGACTGCCATACGACGAGACCTATATCCACGACTCATATACGAAGCTGGACGACGGAACTTGTTTTTAGATGGCAGGTTTACGTATAGGTCAATCAAGTGAGTAGCAAGATGGGCTGTCAGAGAGTATTCTGCCTTTTGTGAGTCTTCGTCATCCAAGGCTTCAAGGTATTTTACAGGCACATCGTGCTCCTGCAGAAAGTCAGCAGTGCCAGACGTGGCAAACAGCTTATATCCCATTTGATTGAGTCTACGTGCAGAAGGCAAGAATTCCATCTTTTCCTTGTATGCACCAATAGACAACAAGATATTCTTCTTTGGCATTATAAAGCCGGTAGCTAGTAAGCCCTTTAGATATGCTTCATATTTATCTTTACCAAAGCAAGCTACTTCACCAGTTGATGCCATTTCAACTCCTAAAATCGGATCAGCTCCAGACAATCTCGAGAAACTGAATTGTGGTACTTTGACAGCAACATAGTCTTTACGTTCTTCTACTGGTGGATAAGCATCAAACGCTTCACCGACGATAGCCTTAGTTGCCATTTCAATCAAATCCACTCCCAAGACTTTACTGACAAATGGGAAGGAACGAGATGCTCGGACATTACATTCTATAACCTTGATTTCGTTGTTTTTAGCAATAAACTGGATGTTGAGTGGTCCTGTAACGTTCAAGGCCATGGCGATTTTACGAGTAGCGACTTCTATTTTACGAACGGTTTCTGGATCCAAGTCCTGAGGTGGCAGAATGAGTGTAGCATCTCCAGAATGTACACCAGCATTCTCAACGTGTTCAGAGATGACATGCATGACGAGTTTACCATTTAAGGCAACTGCGTCCATTTCAATCTCTTTGGCTTCTTCTATAAATTTAGATATAACGACTGGGAAGTCTCGTGATACGTTGACTGCCATTTGCAAGTATTGTGACAAGTCTGGCTCTGAGTATACTACATTCATGGCTGCTCCAGACAAGACATATGAGGGTCGGACCAAGACTGGGTATTGCACTTTACCACAGAATGTCTTGGCTTCTTCAATTGACGTCAATTCCTTCCATAAAGGTTGATCGACACCAATCTTGTCGAGCATACGTGAAAACTTGTATCTATTTTCAGCATTATCAATCATTTCAGGTGTCGTACCCAAAATCTTGACATTCTCACGATATAATGGCAGAGCAATATTATTAGGAGTTTGACCACCCATAGATACCACAACACCATCCGACTTTTCTAATTCATAGATGTCGAGGACACGTTCTAATGTCAATGTCTCGAAATATAGACGGTCGGCTTCATCATAGTCTGTGGACACGGTCTCTGGATTATAGTTGATCATGATGGTTTTGAGGCCAAGTGATCGAAGTGTTCGTATGCAGCGTACAGCACACCAATCGAATTCGACGGATGATCCAATACGGTATACACCACTTCCTAACACCATGACACCCTTGTCGTCAAACGCGACATCGTGCTCAGAGGCATTGTAAGTCACGTATAAGTAGTTGGTGTAGCAAGGGAATTCAGCAGCGACTGAATGAATAGTGGTTAGAGATGTTGCCCAAAAACGGCTTGATTGAATACTTGTTGAAGTACCCACCGGTATCAATCTGCTTCACGAATGGTGTAACTCCTTGATCGATACGTAACTTTCGTAAAGCCAATTCAGAAGTACCAATAGCTTTGGCAACCTGACGATCAGAAAATCCCATTTGTTTGGAACGAGACAATAAAGATCGTGGCAGTGTTTGAAGAGTATAGTTGCTGAAAAAATTCCATGCAGTGAGCAGATGCTTTCAACGTGAAAAGCTTTATCACGACGTTATACCTGAGTTTCTTATCAATCTCAACAATACCCTTCAACTTGTTCAAAAACCATCTGTCAATTGAAGTCATCTCGTGAATCTTGTCAACCGTGTAGCCTTGATGAAGAGCATTCGCGATAGCAAATACACGTTGATCTGACGGGTTTTGTAATTCGTCATCAATGGTGTGTACGTAGTCATTCTAGAAAGTAGACAAGTATGTTAGTGCTGAGGCAAGAAAAAAACCAGAGATATTGAGTTTTAATACCTCAAAGAATCCAATGAAGTGATAGTCTACAGCACGAATAGCCTTTTGAATTGTTTCTTCAAAAGTTCGGCCGATGGCCATGACTTCACCCACAGATTTCATGGCAGAGCTGATTTTGGTGCTAACACGAGAGAACTTTTTCAAGTCCCTGTAACGACGTGACAAAATGTTAACCGACGTAACATTTCAAAACAGAAACAAGAACGTATCATACCATCTTGGAATCTTGACCACACAATAATCCAAACTTGGTTCAAAGCAAGCAATAGTCTTTTTCGTGACGGAGTTTCGAACTTCAGTCAATGGAATGCCTAGACCCAATTTGGCAGCAACGAATGCCTTCGCAAAATATCGAGAATGAGAAACTGCCGATTCCATGGGCTAGGTAAACCGTAAAAAAACTGAACTTACAAGTGGATAGCCAGTAGCTTTACTAGCCAATGCCGAACTACGAGACAATCGAGCATTGACTTCAATGATACAGTACTCTCGTGAGAGTGGATTGAGAGCATATTGGATGTTACATTCTCCAATAACTCCCAAATGACGAATGACGTTTACAGCAGTTCGGCGCAACATCATGTAATCATCATCAGACAAGGTTTGAGATGGAGCTACGACAATCGAGTCTCCAGTGTGAATACCCAGTGGATCAAAGTTCTGTAAGAAATATCACGATGAGATAGAGATTTCCACTGGCCGAATAAGAAAATCATTGCAAAAAAAAGCCACGACAAGTCAGGCCACATCCTCACCTCCATATTACAGACGGTGATACAATTATCTGCTGCATCACGCACAACTTCATATTCAATCTCCTTCCATCCCTTCATACTTCGTTCAACCAGAACTTGAGAAGACGTAGCAAATGATCGAGTAGTCAATTCTACTAGTTGATCTTCATTTGAAGCAAATCCAGATCCCAAACCACCCAAAGCGTAGGCAGCTCTTACAATGACTGGATATCCAATAGCATTGGCCACTTCTACAGCTTCAGCTACTGAAGTAGCAGAGGCTGAACGAGCACATTGTTCACCAATTTCCATCATTTTCTGAGCAAAGAGTTCTCGATCTTCAGTGACTTCTATAGCAGAGATTGGAGTTCCCAAGACCTATGCAGACAGGAGCATGTCAAGCAAAACCAGCCCTGGGAAAAAAAGGTCCATCGAATTGCCATCTTATACCTTAACACCAAGTGCCTCAAACTCGTCTTTGAGTTTCACTCCAACATTCAGAGCAGTCTGGCCACCGAATGTACAATATATACCATCAGGTTTTTCATGCTTAATGACCATTCGAACAAAGTCTGGTGTTACTGGCAAAAAGTAGACCTTGTCTGACAGTCCACTAGATGTTTGAATAGTAGCAATATTTGGGTTGATCAAAATGGTATATATGCCTTCTTCTTTCAAAGCTTTGATTGCCTACAAATAAAGGTCGGTGAGACAGGAATCATTGCCAAAAAGCCTTTCTTGCTAGACCGTCGATCTATCACCCGCCACAGACAACTCTACAATAAGCGCGATGAGTGAATTTCTTACCTGAGAGCCAGAATAATCAAATTCTCCAGCTTGACCAATCGATAAACCACCAGATCCCAAAATCAAAACTTTACGTGGTCGTTGTCTCATTGGTGGTGCTGGTCTAACAGGTACTCGTCGAGGCACCAGTTTACCAGCCTTTTTACACTCCAATACAGACTCGATGAATTCATCAAACAAGTATTCAGTGTCCCAAGGACCAGGAGTTGATTCCGGATGGAATTGGACACTAAAGTATGGTAATCGGGTGTGTCCGATACCTTCGTTTGATTCATCATTTGCATTGATGAATGTGGCTTCCCATCCGTCAGGGAGAGTTGATACATCTACTGCAAAACCGTGGTTTTGGGAAGTGATGTAGCAGCGATTGGTTCGTAGATCGGTACATGGAATATTATGACCACGGTTACCAAACAAGAGTTTTGACGTTTTAGCACCTGCTGCAAGAGCTAATAGTTGATGACCAAGACAGATACCGAATATAGGTTTGGTTTGTTGAGCGAGTAGCTGTTTTAGATTGGTTATTGTTGGAGTGACGGTTGATGGATCACCTGGTCCGTTACTGATGAAGAGACCATCATATTCCTTTTGATGAGCCACGAAATCGTAATTCCAGGGCACCACAGTCAGTTCTACACCTCGTTTCAGAAAGCATCGTATTTGATTGTTCTTCATGCCGACATCTACAGCCATGATGCGTAAAGTTTTACCATCAGGTCCTTTTACAGCATTTACAGATGGGTCTGGATGATATGTGACTGGTGTGGTGATAGATACCTCGCCTACTAGATTCCGTTCGTTTGGATCATGCCAGTCTATATTCGATAAGTCGTTCATCCATGCTCTAGTAGCCGTAGCGGATGCAGCTAGAGAGAAGGATGCCGTCAAGTCTATTTCCGAGTCTGTAGCTACCAAACCATTTAGACCTGGTGAGTGACTGGGTGATGATGACGTGACGCCTGCTCCAACGAGAGCTTTTGGGAAGAGTAGTTTTGCTAACAATACACCCTTTGTTCGGATTGACTTGGTGATAGCTCTCGTATCTACGCCGTATATAGCTGGTACGTCATTCTCTTTGAGCCAAGCACCCAAAGAGGATGTGGCCAAGTAGTGAGAGTAGTCTCCCGAGTACTGACCGACGACCAATGCAGATATATGAATACGATTTGACTCGAAATATTTAGGTATGGATGCGAATTTTTCGATTTCCGATCGTGATGGGACACCATAGTTTCCGATCAGAGGAAACGTCAAAACAAGAACTTGACCTCTGTACGATGGATCAGTCAAGGATTCAGGATATCCAACCATTCCTAGATTGTAATTTTATTCGTTATAAATCATTCATTAAGAGCGTGATTGCATCTGGATTCTGCAGCGTTTTAGCACCACAGGTCGAAATTCACTTTTTTTTTGCTGCTCCAAACATCAGAAAAAACCTGATGTCTCGCTTAATAACAACATACCAGTCTGGAAGACACATTCTCCAGCAATTGATTTTGATTCAGCTCCAAAAGAGATCCCTTGATATGCAGATCCATCGTTCAAGACAAGAGTTCCAACAGTTGGAAGTTGACCATTCAGTTCTACTGGAGTGCAAGTAGGAGGAGTAGGCAAGGAGCGTCGTGCTAATACAGCTGCATTGGTAGCTGCCGCATCGCCGTTAGCTACTGCTTGACTCGCCATGATGGTGCTCGTCAACGACTTGTTGTGAGAAGAGTCCCAAAAGTGTCGAGGTTTCTGGCACCCTTCAGCAGAACTCCGGCCTCGTGTTTTCAAATTGTATTAGTAATCAATTATATCTAACTCGCCACTGGATTTATTCAATAGTTGGAGAACGCGTGTGGAATGAACAAGAAGTTGTTGGTTTGTGACTCGATGAGGGCAGCATATCGACGAGTTGTCAGTCTTCACTGATGTAGATCCTACCTAGGTACATGGCCAATAGCAAATCAACCTCAAAAAGTCAAGGTAGAGATGCAAAGGTAGTATCAACAGCAAGCGAGCTCAAATGGTCTCTTTTCGCTTCTGAAACAATATGCAAGACCGAGTAGAGGCTCACACATTCTGATGTTGCAGCTGGTAGTGCACACCACCTCTGTCTCTCTGCTCTTTTTTCATCACTCTGTAGAGTCGCATCTTCTTGTTGACAAACAAATCGAGACCAAGCTCAAAGATCCAATAGTCCCGACGGTATCTGTAATAGAGGAAGCTAACTGCTGCCCAATTTTTAGAATAGGTAGTCTTGCAACAACTTGATCCTATTTGACATTCCCGTGTTTTCCGTGGTGAGGAGCGCGTTGCCGCAAAGGCGTTCTATCGACGAGAAACCACTTCGCAGCTGGTCTAGATGAAAGTGGATTGATACTGATGTTCAACTTTATTCCGTGTCTCATGATTGTCTTCACTATATTCAGTTACAGATATGTTACAATTAATTTAATTTTCGTTTTACAAACAAGGCTTACCTCTAATAAATCGGGGTTGTTAGTACTGAATTATTCGCTGGTAAACACAGTATGGTGACTTACTATTCAGTGTAATGGTGTAGGCCCTCCAATATTACAGGTCGTAATACCTGCTATCTTTAGATTTTTTTTTGGCTTTTTCTATTTTTGGTTGTTGGCGCGGTACCTATTAGCGATAAGTGTTAGAAGAGTGATGGCTCCCTCAAAGATCTCCCACCGTGAACCTGCCCTCTGTGAAAACAGCTTGACTTTCGAGAATCGAAAAGCTTACCTCTCAATGAGCCACCGCAGCCCTTTGACCTGAGAATTCAACTCCTTACTTATATTCGTCGCGGGCTCCCCGTGTTTGCTTTTTTTTGCCAAAGTCTTTGAACTTTGAACCAATGTTTACGATTTCCACACTCATTCTGACACAAGACCAGCAAAGTTGGCTCACAATGTCTTCAAAGTTTTCTCTCAATTTTCTAAACGTGACGACTACCCTATATATGTGCCAAGCTACCAACCCTCGACAAAAAATGAAGCACCCTCCGTCTAGCGAGTCACAAAATTATCTGATTTTGACTCCAGAAGGACTACTTGTGTTCTTTTGTAGTGTCCAAATCCCGAAACAAAAACAGTAACACTTGGTGTCGCAGGATTTGGAGAATAATCAACCTCCAGTATCAAACTTTTTCGATAGTCCTGTTTTCAATTCAGTGCAATCACTTTCTTCTGGTTGAAAAGCACTAACTTGAAACACTCGTATATATAACACAGGTTTACAGTCCTTCATCTTCATCCAAATTAGAAGCCCAATCTAAAAGGTCATCCTCCAATTCATCAAAGTCCTTAATAATGGTCATTCTAGCTCTACTTGTGTGTTGCTTGTTTGTTGATTTCCCAGCTCGATCAGATCCAACAGACGCAGTCCTTTTCGTCCGTTGATGTTGTACTTTGTGATGTGCTTCAGCTTCATCGTCAGAATGCCATCCGCTGACAGGCGATCGTGCACCAGATGGAATTGGTGTTCGTTTGTTCATGTCAAAGTATCGTCTAAACATGTGTTGCAATTGGCTAACACGTCCACGAGGCTGTTTACCAGGTTTGGCCTTCCGCTTGTTATATAGCCTATAAAGATTCAATCAGACATCTGGTTTGCTTCATGAACCGAGCCAGATTCTCTTACTCGTATTGGCTTCTATGCTGCTGTAGTATCTCTAAACGGTGTCTCGTTAAATCTTCAGCACTTTCCACTGCTGGGGGTATTGTCGTAGCTGTTGCCTTCCAATGCTCATAATATTCTTCAAATGAGACTTGATGAACCTTCCACCGTGCACCACGTGTTGACTTGGTTCCAGGCGGTTGGTCCAAAGGCGTGTATTTGGCTGGTATGAGTGTTTCCACTTCAGGAACCGGGTCTTCATGCGGCGATAGTCCGGCTAAACCCAATAACCCAATACAGTTAGACTTTCGGATGATATCTGTCAACATCCATATTCAAGGACGGTTTACCATCTATCCGCCGACTAGCAATCACACAATCCCTTACTAATTGCGTGTAGAGTCTCGGCGACGTAGCATATATCTGCGCGCCAGTGCCATTCACTGCATTCTCTAGTATCGGACTTTCCAGCATGGCCTTTGACGTTTACCTCCATTTCAGTTACAAATTCCACATTTTCACTCCACACAAACGAGGCATACCTGTAAATATACAAGAATCTGCACTATTGAAATCTTGGGCGACCACTTGGCAACGTCATCGAGAAAGTCAACACATGGACGGCCCGTTTGCAGATTTACTGCAGAGATAGGAGATGTTGGCAACGAAATTTACATCAGAGTAGGAATGCGTACGCTTACTATTTGGATGAAAGGGAACAGTGACAAAGTACACTAAATTTGGTTTTTGGCATTAGCAAGAGTGCCTGAAACTTCATAGCGATTACTCACCTGCAGGGGGAGTTTCATTCCAATTTTCGGGAAAGAGGAGTTCGAGTTTGAATATACCGCCTATATGATTTCATTTGCTTAGCAAGAGACGAATGTGCTGTTGCGGTGCGAAACTGTACAGCTTGTCGTACCTTCCCAAGGTGTGTTGACTAAACCGTGAATGCAAGCCTATAATACCAGTTTCACAATAAGTAAACTATGGATAGTACAATTGGTCCGATTCGAGGAATTTGCTTGCCTCCCAATGAAAGAAATTGTTCGCAATCATATTGCAACTGATGCCCTACACATATGTATAAGAACGCGTCAGGAAATCAGAATCGAAAGTCATTGTAATGCCACTACCACATTTGCATACTGTGGGAAATGTAGACCTCTCCATAAGCCATAGCTCCTTCATCAACAATAAGACGGCACGACTCATGGCTGCCTTGCTTCCAAAATTGTGGCGAGTTTTCTTCCGACACAGATAGCCTTGACTGCGCTTGACTTTAGAGCACCTATGAAATCGAAATCTCGTGATTAATACCAGAGGACACGTCAGGATCACTTCATTGAGGTTAAGTGCCGCTCTGGCTTTCAAGCACCAGGAATTCAAATAGAAATCAGAGAAAGCAGCTTACCAGTAGAAGCAATCATCATGTCGAGGGAATATCAGGATGTGCTCCTGAATCAGCCTATAGTCATCGACAATGTAAGTTACCAGTCACCCTGCATTCATTCCTCGCAAATGGCATAGCACCAAATGTCAACATTTTCTTGTTGCATGCAAGACTGATCTCGTTGACTAACACCACCGATGACACCCATTTCCCATAGGGATCTGGTGTAATTAAAGCTGGATTTGCTGGAGATGAGCAACCAAAGTCGTTCTTTCCTTCAGTGCAAGTGAACATTAAACTCGTTTTGCACCGTGTTTCAGTTGCCTGCTGAACTTGATGTTTACGATTATAATCGCATTACCTTTGTATAGTGTTGGAAGGCCGAAACATGTACGAGTCATGGCTGGTGCTGTGGAGGGCGACACATTCATAGGAAGGAAGGCTACTGATTTACGAGGACTGCTACGGTTACGATATCCAATAGAACATGGCATCGTAACAGACTGGGATGATATGGAAAGGATATGGCAGCATGTCTATACAGAAGAACTCAAAACCTTATCAGAAGAAGTAAGCTTGGCCACTCTCATTCAGATGTGTTTTCCCATGCACCCAACGCTCACTCTAACCCGTCTACTAGCACCCTGTATTGCTGACTGAAGCACCATTGAATCCGCGTGCCAATCGAGAACAGGCTGCTCAGATATTCTTTGAAACATTCAATGTGCCGGCTCTCTTCATGTCTGTACAAGCTGTACTGGCACTGTAAGTGCTCATGTCAATCCGCATGCCATCAGGCCAGCCTTCAAATCTCTCAATTATCATTTAGATACGCATCAGGAAGAACAACAGGAATAGTCCTAGATGTAGGAGATGGTGTCACGCATTGCGTGCCAGTATATGAAGGATTTGCCATTCCAAACGCTGTGAGACGCATTGATTTGGCTGGACGAGATGTGACAGAGCATCTCCAGCTCCAACTACGAAAAGCTGGACACTATTTCTACACATCTGCTGAAAAGGATATCGTAAGAACCATCAAGGAAAAGACATGTTACATAGCATTGAATCCAGCCAAAGAAGAAAAGGAATTAGCTGGTAGACTGGATGACTTCACTTTGCCCGATGGCAATGTGTTGAAACTAGGAGCAGAGAGGTTTAGAGCACCAGAGATTCTGTTTACACCGGAATTGGCTGGACTCGAGTATCCTGGTATTCATCAGTTAGTAGTCGATTCCATCAACAAGGTGGATTTGGACTTGCGAAAGTCATTGTATGGGAATATTGTCATGTCTGGTGGATCTACGCTTTGCAAAGGTGTGTCTCCTTGTTCAAGGTGGTTTTCTTTGCAGGTTGCTGACAAAGACCTTCCTCTAGGATTCGGTGATCGCTTGCTGAATGAAATCAAAAAGCAGGCAGTGAAAGATATCAAGATAAAGATATTTGCACCACCTGAACGTAAATACTCTACCTGGATTGGTGGATCTATATTGGCCTCATTGAGCACATTCAAAAAGTTGTGGATTTCTGCTGAAGAGTATAATGAAGATCCCGACATCATCCACAAGAAGATGTTGTAGATTTTTTGATTTTATAGTTGGAGTCCTGTATGTAGTGGCACGGTAATATATATGACCAATGACAGCAACGAAAAGCTGTGAGCTTTTTTCGCAGAAATCCATCGCTCAATCAACATGTCAAATCTCTTTTCGGGATTCTTGTTTATTATTACTACTAGTACTATTAGTTGTATGTGACTAAAGATTTCGACTGGTTCCTGTAAGCACCACAGCATTCAAAAACTCTGTCACGGGACCCTTGATAAAGTTCTCTCTCAAGTCAATCAGGTACATACTGCCAGTTGCGGAGGATGGAGTCTTTCGTAGAAGCTTGTTTACGACCTTGATTGAATCACTTGTCACACAATTTTCTTGTGCGATGATGGTGTGTAGTGTGGGACAATGTATTGCAGCTTGAAACAGTTTCTTTAATCCGTAATCGCCGATTTGTTGGCTTGATATATCCAAACGTAGTAGACTCCTGTTACGTTGGATTCCAGAAGCGAGGATACTGCATCCTTTATCTTCAAGCCCATGGCTGAGACTAGCACTACCTCCAGCTAAATGAAGATGTGTCAGGCGACATGAGGAATTTTCAAGAGCAGCAGCAAGTTTTTCGATGCATTCTTCATGCCATAGACATCCATTTAGATTCAAGTCTCTGACAAAGGAAGCAATTCCATGCGACGCATTTCCGAGTAGAGTGAGCACCATTCGAGGAGGTAATGAGTTGCCGGCTAGATTCAAAGACTCTAATGGCTTGGTTTCAAGACATGTAAAAAGCGCACTTGAGACAGGTGACATATCGGTATCGGCCAAATTTAGGTGCTGAAGGGTTTTACATCGAGAAACTCCTTCAAACAGAGATAAGAGACCAGATACTCCGAGTCTGGTTGAGCTAATATTGAGGGTTCTGATTCGACATTGTGGCGATGACAAGTATTTAGAAAGGTATTGAGCAGCTTCCGTGCAGCTGGCATCTGACGGTGCGTTAAGGTTTTGAGAAATGTCGAGTTCTTGGAGATACGAATAATATGACGTAAGTGATCGAAATAGGTTGATTAAGCTGAGAGAGTTTATTCCACTTGAAGACAATTTCAGCCTTGTAAGACGTGATCCTGTGTTGACCACCAGGTTCGAGATGAATTCTGGACACAATCTCATTTTCGATGTATCTAGTTCGGAGATGTAACAGCTTGAGAGTGTATCATTTAGGAAGGAGTCGAAATCCGCATCTGACAATCCAATGGCTGAAGGTACTAGTCGTAATGATATCCCAAACCACTCTTCACGTCGCGTCGGTCTTGTTTCTTGACGTGACAAAGACTCCCCGACTTCTAATTGCTGCGTTTTATCTAGCATTACTGCCATCCCACTCTTATCTCGGGCTGGTATCACACTCGAAGATTCCTGTAAAGTCCTTGTCAACAGTGGCGACAGATTAACACTTGCTGGTATACCATTACAAGGTATCTCAAGAGTCAGATTGCGTTTCCAAGCTCGTGAATCTGCTAATATATCAGAAACCATAGCAGCATGGAATTTCCGCAGTGTAATAGTCAATCGAGTACACTTTGGCAACGAGTTCAATATTTTACGCATTCGTTGACGTGATCCAAAGGTCTCCCATGGTGCTGTTCCTATTTTCATTTCTTCTAAATCTAGTCCATCGTGTTCTAATACGTAGAGTACATCCACCGCTGTATCTGATGAGAGAGGTTTGGCGAGACATTCTTCCACGTAATGTTTAATGCAATGTAGCCGAGGAGATGAGAGGGTGACTGCACTTGATGCTGCTAAGATGTTGCAGTATCGAGAATGCCAAATTGAATCTGTAGAGAACTCTGATTTTAGCACTCTATGCTCGGCCCAACATAATTGCGGTATAGCAGCTCGACGGAGGATGTTGCGAATGCATACACTTTGCAAATCACCAAAACTGTCTACATCTGAAGTTGAATAAAGGCAGAGAGTGAGACTCTGTCAAAGGGATCGAAGCACCGATAATTGGTCCTTTTCTTTCTCACCAAACAGATTTTCAGCAGCCTGCTGAGCACATATGTTGACAAGACCGGGTAAATCCAGGTATACAGCAGCATCCATTAATTCTAGCAAATGCTCACGTACTGGATTGAAACTTAATTCTGTGCGACTCTGTTTCGAGTGGTAGCTTGCAATCATAAACATTGCAGCGTCGAGTAGAATACTAGAATCCAACGTTGGTAGCTCAATACTATTGGTGATTCCCTCTCGAAATGATCCTGAATACAGAAAAGACAGTTTGTACTTGTTTGATGAAACACTTAGACTCCAGCACGGACACATACGCATAGACTTCTGAAAGTGCCGTAACGTTCCCGACTCCTTCAACACTTCATGCGGCAAAGACATACGTATAGTACTATTCGGTCCATTAGATACTGTAACACTTTTAAAATCACTTCCAAAATGCTGTCGAATCATAGCTTGAAGCTTGTGTAATCGTTGACTAGAATCTGATTCAACAACAACATGCGAAGAAGGTTCAGCGGCTCTAGGAAGCTCAGGAGGTGTTCCATATGTACTAGTCCTTGAAGTTGGCGATTTGGAGTTAAGTGAAGCTTGCTCACTTCTGCCAGTTCGTGATGGTATTTGTGTTGTTGGTGATGCTGAAGAAGATGACGACGGGGTGTACGTATAATCATAATTTATACTCGAATTGTGCAAGTCCTGCTGGAGTTTCGACAGGTTTTTGGTATCAATACTCGATAATTCATCAAAGAGCACCGATTGCGAAAATTCAGAGATTTTGGAGTTTGTCAAGACCCGGAGAAGTGGTAACCGTTCTGATGATGTGACAATAGTCTTGGTCCGAGTATTTATCAAGTGGTTGCTCAATCCCGCGGGTGGTTTTTTTGTTGGTTTGCTGGTTGACCATCGACTTGAAGAATTTGAGGTTTCATATCTGGCAGTACCAGTGGATGCTACAGTTCCAATAGTAGCGTTTCCAGCCAATGCAATATTTCTCACAGCATTGGACACTAGACTTTGGACTTGCACCTGGTCTGGAGCATACGGAAGTCGTTTTAAGAAGACATCGGGTAATTGCTGTTGTTGTTGGTGATGGTGGAGTTGTTTCTGATCAGCAAGAGTAGAAAACCTTGCAATATTTAGTCCCAAGGTCACTGATGGCATTCACTTTTCTATACGTGACTAGTTTAACGTCGCATAGTCTTCTTGCGTCAATCACATAGTGTGTTTTAAATTCCGGCAAACGAACCGGCCGCTTTAATTGCTGGATCAACCTGGTCAACAGAACAAAGCCGAACGCACAATATTCACAGCAGGAATAATTATATATCAGAGTGTCGTGTTTCGATCTACAATTTTAAATATACACATTGTATAAAAACGCAACGTATGGTGTCCCTTTACAGTTCAAATTCTTATCAGCTAAACAAATCGGAGCGTCTTGGTGTTTGATCAGCAAGTTTACGAAGTTTCGGCAACTTGCTCATGTTAGGCGTAGAAGGTCTTTCTGTCCCCATCATAAATAAATCATCATTCTGTTGACCATATGATGGTGTGGGAGTATTAGCCTTTTCACGCAATGACGATTCACGTGAACGATTAGGAGAATTATTCACTAACGTATCGTCATTCTGTTTGGTACGGAATTCTTGCAGCAGTTCATCATGATCTTTGGTCAGGGCCCACGATGTAGGATACCTTGATGTGAGGGAAGAGAATGAGAAAAAGACAGATATGAAAGATAAATATCCCAGAGCGTCTGCAGAAGTTACTCACTTATAACTCCTCTTTCGAGGTGTCGTCCCTGTTGGCAAATCTTGAGCAAGTTGATTACTATCTATTTCACCATGCATCCCTTGTATATGTGCTCGACCGTTAGTAGCAAAGTCGACAGCCATATTTATACTCTTGGAGAGATCTCCACTCCATTGCTCTGTTGATCCACATACGGCTCTCGTTGATGCCTCTATCGTCGACTGTACGGATTTCAACGCATCGGTGACTTTTTGACCCTCTTCTTCAGCAGTTACAACATGCCTATCATGCGAGGATACAACCGATCGAGAAACTGGGTAAAGAACGGTCGTTAGCAATGGTAAGGTACGCCAGGCTCGAGGGAACCAACCTTTCTTCAGCGATGACTGGATTCCATTCACACTACCATCCACCAACATGCTAATTGATGCAGCTGATTCTAGACGTTGAGAGCGCTCTGCTTCCCACTGTCTTGAAAGCTTCGAGTGACCACCATCTACTAATTCGCCCAACGAATCAAAAGATACTCCAAGATTTTGAGATTGCGATTCGATCTCAATTATAGACTGATTACAACTGGCAGTCTCTTTAGATGCATCGTTCGATTGAGCTGTGAAAATGGAAGTGACTCGTTGGGCATGTGTGTCTAAACTATTTCGGAATGTAACGGTTGCAGACGAGATGGCGTCTTGACGTTGAGATAAGAAGGAGTCCATTAGAGATGATACGTCTTGTACCAGTTTCGATTTGGCAGTACCAGCAGCTTCTCGTTCAGCAGCCAGAGAAGCTTCCAGGGCGCTTATCTGCGACCGTAGGTTTGTGATCTAAAATGGATCAGACACAGTCAATTTTTTTTCGTAGTCGCGTTTACTTAATAATAAAGAACACATGCCTCGGTTTGCATGGAGGCCTGAAGATTACTTTCAGCAATCTGCCGTTGCTTTAGACGTTCAGAAAGCTCTTGAGCAGCCCCATCCAAAACTATGCCCACCATCTGTCTTGTAGCAGATGCCCACTCTGTAATCTGCCGCAAAAATCTGTTAACTGTATGTCTGAACAAGATAAATGCATTGTTTCGGCTACCTCCGTCTTGTGCCTAGTCAGCTCTTGCATAGACACATTCCACGTTTCTTCAAACATGACTCGTTGCTTCTCAGACTGCTGCTGTATCGACGTCCGTAATGTCTGAGCTATAGCATCTATCTCATCTATACTAGTTGTCGAATCAAGTCTAGCAGAGGTGGTATTCTGTACGAGCTGTCGTGTCCTTGTTTGTATGCCATCAATACATAGGTCCAACTCAGTTTTATGCACAGTAGTATCCTACAATCACAAAATATAAGCTCAAAAGAGAAAAAAGTAAGACGAAGACCTACATGAAGATGCTTCTTGGAAAAATCCTTCATCCCTGATGACACTCGTTGAATTATAGCCTTGGATCGATCATGAAATGTTGATATCTGAGATTCTAGGCCAATAAGATCAAGCCGTAGAGACTTTCGAAATTCATTGAAGGTGCTCATGTTGCCATTCTGGACGGCAGCCTTTCGATCTGAGACAAAAAACCAGTCGTTAGGCATTTTGCATTTCAGAATATCGACTTCAATTACCTATTTTGTCATGCAATCCTTGTACGTCTTCTACTGATGAAGAAAGCGTTGTTACCAGCCCTGATGCCACATCGTTCAATCTTTTTTCAGTCTCAGCATGAGCCCTACGAACGAGAGAAACGTCATTTGTGTACAGTAAATCTGAAACAAATGTTGCTCATACATTGTAAGCACCATTTGTTCAGTAAGCCTGTTTTGGGTTTCTCTCACTTCTTCCATGAGCTTTTGCAACTCGCTCTTTTTCAAGCCCAACTCGACCTACCCAAGAAAGTTAGCGCAAAAAAGGTATGCTAAGGGAAATACAAATTCCCTACCACTGTCAAATCCAACTTTGTAGACTTCTCGTTAAATAAAAGCTGTTGGGCTTGAAACTTTTCTTCTAGCTGCCGTATACTTTGATCCTTGGAAGAAATTATACGAGATACCTCATCTAGACTATCCTTTCGACTCTGACTTTCATTCATGAGACTGTTATAGCTGTCGGGCGACAGGAATATTCCATTTTTTTCTCGAGTGGCCTATAAAGAATAGATTTCAGTCCAGTTAACGGGATCGTTCATCGTTCTGTGAGAACGCACCAACAAATCAGCCTTCAGCCGTTCAATTTCGTTGATATATTCACGAATGAGAGCCTTCTTGGTCATCTTTTGATTCACTTCGGGCTTGTTGCGAATGTTTTTGGCTCGATGAGCATAATCCAGAGTAGACATGGACTCTTCCAGATTGGATCTAGAGGGTGACACTACCGGTATTTCATAAGAAATAGGATCATAAGACTCGAAGCATATTATTCACCCACCAGCGGCAATGATACAAGTCTTGGTACGACCACCTAAATCCAAAATCGTGAGCAAATCAGGACAAGCAAAAATGAGATGGCACAGGGACACCATACCCAATGAGTCTTGCAATAGACGAGTCAGTTTACTCTCTCTGTATGGTATATGGGGTGAGCGGTCTACAAGAGCATTGATGACACGACCCAACGTGAGCAAACTCTACAAGGCATTTAAGGTTGGTGAATTTCAGCTAGCCGAGATAATTTCCAGCTCGATGACATACCTGATTGATCATGCCAGCTTCCTTCGCCCTATTCTTTTCTGCACCAGATCGTCCAATATTCTCAGATCCTGCCAGGTCTACTAGATTCATCTTGCCGACCTATTTGCAGAAACATCAGACAAAGCTTTTGCGCCTTCTCGGCGTCAACATACTTTGAGCAGCTCTTCTCCATCAGGTGTCGTTTCTTTGATGTGGACGGTTATCGAAAATATGCAATGTGATCGACTACGGATAGGAATTGAGATGTGTTGGCCCAGAGCTCCGAATCACTAATGCGTTACCTTGACACTTCATTCATCTTTGTTGCAGCTGTTTGACGTCGGACAGAGCCCCGTTGCAAGATGGCAATCACATCTTCGGCATTCTTGACCAAAAGCTCTTCCAATCCTTGTATGACAACGGATCCCTAGTAGAGTATATTATATGATCAATACCATACCTATGTTATGACGCAGGGCTCGAAATAGCTTGCCTTTTTTGTCAAATCCTCAAATATTCGTAGTTTCCTTGAATCGTCATCCGCTGAAAGCAGATCTTTTAGCTCTTCATTGTACAATTCAATGAACTATATAAGTAGCGTAAGCGTGTTTGAAACATTCATATGGCTTTTTGGTTCATACCGAAACACGAACAGAATACTCGTTCGTGTCACTCTCTAAGGTATCGAATAAAGAATGCAAGGTCCTTGGAATTATGCCTGCATCTCGTCCACGAATATCATTTAGATCGCCCTCCATCGTATAGGTTTTGCCTGTACCAGTTTGACCTAATTAGACATTAACAAGGGTTAGATTCTGGTGAAGGTTGAAGACTCCTAGTTTGGAAGTACCGTATGCAAAAATAGTACAATTATAGCCCATCAGCACCTATTTAAACGTCAATGTGTGAATTCAAGGGCAAAGAATCAATCAAACTATTCGCTCAACCTCTTCCAAGATGGGAGCTACTACATCCGTAAACACAGCATCTTGATCAGCTTCCGGACCAAACACCTTGTCAAAACCATAAGTCTTTTGAATGTCTCCTCCAGCGCGTAGATTCAATTCTCTTGACCTAGTTCCAGAAGTTGTGATGACTATGGGTGAGTTCTCTCTTATTTCGCGAGCACTTCTTGGCCTATAGTATAGAAATGAATAGTAAATAGATTGAGAAGAAGTTGTACAAAACATTATTTCAAGTCAGATCCGATGGATATACCTGACTCTGACGACGACGTGAATGTTTGTTTCTTTTTCAGCAGTTATCGTGTGAATGACACCTCCTCCCCCCATTGCCATGGCCATTTGCGTTAGTACTAGTATACAAATATACTCGATGGCCGTACTATTGAACTGATCTATACATTGGAAGGAATCAAAGATCAGTCAAACTGCTCCAAAATCTTGACTATTGTTTTCGAGCTGTAAACCGATGACGACGAGAGATGAGCGAAAAGGAAATGAATTCGATTTGTAGTTTTGATGGACTTGCCTGTACTTGAGACTGTAATCAGCTTGGACTGAACTTGAGCATTCACAAAGGAACTGCGCTCCTTGCTTTTCTAAACGAGTCGTCAAGGTGAGTGAAGGAGTCGAAGCTCACAGTGAATGTGAAAAGAACTGACGCAAAAATAACATAAAACCACGTAGATCTACGTATATTTACGAGATATATACTCAATTATGGAGGATCTAGAACGTGGACGAGGCACGAGATCTGAACGTGCCAGGAGCAAATCAAGACCAAGACTTCAACTAGACATACCGGCTCCGCCAAGAACTCCTATTCCACCTGTCCCACGTGCTGGTATTTCATCGTTTACTCTATGCATGAATCCTCTGAAAGGTCAACGTTTTTCATCTTTGACAGAATGGACGCCAGTCTCGTCTCATGAACTCTACAGCCCGGTTAAACGAGTTCGATCAAAGAGCAAGAGGAGCGAAAGTGCTTACCCTAGTGACAATGAAGCTTCTCCTTCTGTAGTCGATTCGCCAGACAGGCCATCATCGTCACCGACAAGCCGACGACGAAAGTCACGAACTCCTACTGCACACAACGGCATCGAGCTACAAAACAATAGATCCTCTTCTTGTGTTGCTCAAGATCAGCCTGCCACTCAACTAGACGAGGAATCCAGCAATCGACGTGATGAATCCTCCAAAACATATAGATCAAGAAGTCGCAAACGAACATCTAACGAGTTTTCTAACGGCATTACCGAGCCTGAGCCAGTTCGACGCTCAAAAAGCCGTAGACCATCAGACCGTCAGGTGCCAGATCAGAACGAGCTTGCCGGACAACAACCTGATATCAGACCTTCATCAAGTCGACTTTCGAGAAAAGGACGTGATTCGACGAACAGACGCAGATCACAATCACGTACACCAACAACAGTTGCAGATACGAATGACGATCTGGCGTCTCCGAAATCACCCAACCAATACCGTGAATCGGCCAGGAAGCGTAAATCAGCTGACAAGACACGTCAGCTAGAAACCAACACCGAGCACACAGCCCAACCAACAGCCGTCGAAAAACCTCCACCGTCAGTCTTCGACAATGTTGGCAAGCAACCGTCTGATTTCGATGGATACATAACGTCAGTTTCGATACACGGTGCAGACTCGATTGCGTTAGATCCTAAAATTATGGCACCGCTAGTGCAGGTTCACTTTGTTGGTACGTATTCAGTTCCTGCGACGTCTTGGGTAGACAATCTGTTGTTCACATTTGTTACCCTCAACTATAGATATCAAATCTGGAGAGTACTTGATCAAGTCTGATCCAAATCGACCTGTCACAACTTTCAATGAAGCTGGAGTCGACTATATCCTACCAGTCATTACAAAGGTGACTTTCTGTATGCGTTTCAGCAAAGGAAATGACAAAGAATTGACCCAACTCTGTTGTAATAGCCGTACAAATTCCTACGGCATGCTCACACACCACGAAAACCTAAATGGGAAGAAGAATTCTTACTGAATGAAGACTACAAGCACATTGTTCGAGAAAATGTGTTGATCTTATTTGAAATGCTCAATGTGGTGACAGACAGAGCTTTAATCGCCAGGTTTGCACATCCGTGGTTCTGGTCTTCTTTCTAATGACTTGACTTATGTTTTTGTTCTTAGTGGAAGATCAGACGGATGGCATCGAGTCGCTTACGCCTTTTGCAAACTGGTGCCATCACCAACATACACAAACACCGAACATCAACGACTACGATTACAGCTCTACCAGTATCCCAGCAATATACTATGGGGTAAAGCTGTTGGTCGTGTTCCTCATGTATATCGCTGTTGGCGTGGAGTTACAGTCGGGCGAGGTATTGCAACTGCTCGACCTCCACCATTGGCTGCCAATAGGAAAAAGTATGATGGGACTCTATATGTTAGTATTTGTGGTAAAACCGCACCACCTTCTCGATTGGTGACGAGAAGACCTGAATGGGCTGGTGAAACTGAAGTTGGCAAAGTACCATATGAAGATGTAAGTATCAGTCTATAGTTTTATCCCTACACCCTTTTTTGGGTGCCTCACGCGCTTGTATCTTATGCTCTGAGACGATACATCTAGATGCTGGAAGTATATAATTCCAAGAAGAGAGCTTTGGAACCCATGTACAGAAGTTTGGCTAATCTTGTCAAGAAGGTATGTCCGTTGCCTGAGTGTGTCGTTTTTGCTTACGACTATCGATCTCACAAACTCCCTAACGACAATAGCCAATGTGGAGACGACACCCATCACAAGCATGTCGTCTACCAAACAAGCTCATGTACAGAATCGAACCAGGATCGACTGGAGCATTCTCGCTGGCATTCTCCAACAACGGTATCTTCTTAGCAGTCGGATGCTGCGATGCTGGATCATATCCTATTCGGATATATGATGTCTTGTCTGGCGATCGAGTAGCCAATTTGGAGGGACATCGAGATTTAGTTTACGAACTTGTTTGGAGTCGTGACGATGAGTATGTTGAGAAGCGCGGTCTTCCTCTTTTAGCTCTCTTTTGGTTTTTGTGACTCCTTTTCTAATAGCGTTCTTATGTCGACATCATCCGATGGATCAGTTCGATTGTGGAAGTTTATGGGTGACGGCAATGTTAGGCCGAGCTTAGTGCTTCAACATCCCTGTTTTGTGTACTCGGCAGTGCTTCACCCTATCGCACCGTAAGTATCTGCTTTACCATGTGCAAAACAGATGAAATTTCTTCGAATAGGAACTAATTCGTCTTTGAACTTCTACCTTAGACTCATTTTCACCGGCTCATTCGACACCCAAATTCGTGCATGGTCTTCAGATCCAACCGAAATCATCATTACATCGCGTCCACAATCGCCTACTCAAGACACACGTCATCTCCCTCATGCAAGATCTGTGTCAAGAGCCACGACACATTCTTCAGGTGGCCGTTCAAGAGTTCATCCCACTACAAGTCATCCTACGACGATACACCCAACCGATACATACAAGGGTCATGAAAACTACGTGAATGCACTTGCATTTGATTCAGAGGGGGTCAAGATGTATTCGGGTGACGGGAATGGGTGTCTTAAAGTATGGTCTTGTCGTGTTGATACGACAGAAGGATATGACAAGTATCAATGCATCAAGACTGTTATGGTTGATGAGGTATGAGCATGATGGTTGCGTTATTCCACAATTTTCCCACAGTTCTTATTCTTTGCCGGAATTTGAACACAAACTCAACACAACATTTAAAACATTTCACAGGCCAGCCCAATAACCTCAATACGGATGCATCCTTCCAACCGTCGAATCCTAGTCCATTCACTAAATGGAACTCCCCGCCTCCTCGATACCCGCATATACCGATTCACCACCACCTTCCAAACACCACCATTAACCTCCACCTCCTCCTCCGCACCCAACTGCCCCATAACAGCAATCACATCAACATTCACAAGAGCAAGCTTCTCACCATGCGGAACACAAGTATGGGCCGGTGGATCAGACGGTGTCGTACGTGTCTGGAATGCAGATAACGGCACTGTACTTGGATCATACGAGGGACTTGGATTCCGTGGTCAGATCAGTGCAGTTGAATACCATCCAAAGGATTATTTGGTTGCTATGTGCTGTGTTGGGGATCGACAACCAGTATTGATTTTCAGTTGGGATGAGTCTCCTGACGTTTTGGAAGGTTTCCATTCAGCTGCTGCTGGTTCTGGAGAAATAGCTCCATCGGCTGAATCGCTGAATGATGCAACGCATAGTAAACGAGCATCTAGGACATCAGATTACTATGCTGATGTGATTCAAAGTAATCCACAGCTCAGGTCACCATCTCGTGGAGTTTTAGATGCTGGAGATAGACGTGTCTGTACGTGTAACTTTACTTGACGTGTCGTCCTTTTTCCGAGATTGCGAAGAAAAAACATATCTAACATGAACAACCGTAGTTTCTATCGAACCACACCGACCTCCAGTGGCATCACCTACTCGAGGGCTATCAGCCTTTGAAGGCGAGTCACGAAACACATCCCATATTGATGCCTCAGAAAACAATCTGGCTCAACGAGCGCCATACAAGAGGACTTTACGGAAAGCTTGATCCACAACCGAATTAAAACCCGGATGCGTTTTTGCCTTTATATCAATGATTTGTATTTAGCTTTCTGTTACCAATACTACTACTAAATAGTGAGTCTGTGTAATGTGTACAGTGTGTTTTTTACAGCCAAAAAAGTTTTAGAACAACCCCACCATAAACCTTTACGCTTCTTCCTCCTCTCCATCATCCATATCCAACAATCCACAGTTGACACAACGGTCTACCATGTCCTCCACTTGCTGTTTAGGTAACGTCGACATGACTTGATTGATTTGGTCAGCATCTTGTGACAGTAGTGCACCTAAAAGCAGGAGAAAGAAAATTCAACACCAAAAGAAGGATCCACCCAGGATATTGTGTGCCTTACGCTGGAATTCTCGAGGCAAGGATGCAAAGACCTCTGCTCGAACACGATAATATTCAGAAGCAGTCGCATCTTCAGGAAGAGCATAAGATCCATCTGGTTGCAGAGCAGCAGCAATCCGAGCCTCAGCAGCAGCCTGTTCCTTTTCTTCAGATTCCTTTTGGATCTCCTTGACTCGATTTGCGATGCGCTGATATGTAGCTGTTACATCGTTCATGTATAGATCTCGAGCGCCATGTGTGGATGTCTTCAATCTAAAAGAGAAAGAAGAGAGTAAACGAATCCTTGGGGCTTTTTTTGCTCAAGAAAAACTCACCTCTCGAAAAACAATCGAACACCATCCCTTCCCAACTTGGCACAATACTGCAAAATCAAACTCTGTGCAACACACTGCCTAGCCTTTCGAGGATTACCAGCCATCTCTTCTCTCATAGCTTCAGCAAGTATCTCATCCGAGTTGTCATCAGTGACTATAGACATGTTACTCATAAGGAAGCGATATGATTCTTCCATGGTGGATAGTTCGGCGAATGCTGCTGCGGTTGAATTTGTTATAAAGTCTTCTTCACCGGCTTCTACTGCTTGTGGTGGTGTCGAGGTTGACGATGGTTGAGATTTACTGGATTCTTCGGCTGCAGCGGCAGCTTTACTGTTTAGAGTCGCGATTACTGTCTGAGTTGCTGTTTTGGCTGGTGCAGTTTCCTTTCCTTTGAGATTTGGGTCAGATTCTTTGCTGACAATCTAAACCAGAGTTTGGAATAGGCATGAGTAATTGAAGAAAGGGTTGTCAAAGACGTATTCAGACTGAATCTGTAAACATCTTTTTTTGCTGATTCAATACACATACCGTCTTGTTAAACCCTTCCTTGTACATATTCTCACTCGTCATCTTAGCACCCTCCTCCTTCTCCAACCTAACAACCTCTTCCTTTATAACCACATTTCGTTCAGCCTGATTATCAAGCAGCTTCTTAATCAGACTCGCGACATCCCCACTCTTTGAAGCAACAAGTATCAGTAAATCCAAATCAGGTCCAAAAGGATGCATATCCTGCACCATAGCATCAGGTTCATAAGGACCCCATCGATAGTCCCGTTCAGTGTTTGCTTCCTTCCACGTATTAGACGATAATTCATTCGCCTTGTCGATTAAGGTGGTTCGTAATGCTGTTAGTTCGGTGACGAGTGATTCAGGAGGTTGGGAGGTGTTTAGATTTAATAGTTGGGATGCTGTGTAGGCTATTAGAGTGGATTCACCCTTTAGAGCATCGATTTTGATGCGACGTTCACGACGTTGCCGATGGATTTCTGCTTGTCGTAATCTGATTTCTGAGGCCTTGTCGACGTTTGGGCTGTATGAATTAAGATAAGTCAGGTACATTCGTTGATTCTTTTGCTGGATTTTTAGGTTGAATGATACATACTGTCCCTCGAAATCATCATCATCGCTCAGCTCCAATCTGTTGTAAGATGTGATCAATTAATCAAAGGTTCGAGGTGGCGAGGTAGGAAAGGGAACTCGATTTTGGACTTACTTGTCCCATTTGGAATAGTTGATCGGCATCTTGTTGCTCAGTTATCAATTGAAAGCTGCCCGACGATCTACTAAATGAATTCGAAGAATGAAAGTTGCACAGAGAGCACGAGGCAGATGAGAAAAAAGGAGGAACTCTAGCATAACCATTCCATACGCGTTTCAAAAGCATATTCACGTGTTGAGAATGCGATATTTTAAATTACATTACAAAAAGGAGGTGTATCTGTGACCAGAGACATTTATAAATCAGGTCTTTGAAGCTGCAGATGCCAGCACAACAGCATCAGGCTCATTCAGAGCCTGCTCCAATATCGCTTCTTCATCTAATTCCTTCTCCAGAAGGGATCTTGCCTTTGGTTTAGGTGGTGGAGGGTACTTGTACTCTAAGAAGTATGTTGTTCCTACTCCAAAAGCAGCAAATGAAAAGAATCCTATGGAGACATTGAATATTAATCAGTATCTTGCATTCAAACACGTTGTAACTCCTCTTTGGGTTGCTCATCCAAACGCTGTAACAATCCCAAATGTTGCAGTCAAGCTTCCCATACGTGATGGATAGATCAATTTACCTAGTGATAGATATAGCCTCTGTCTTGGCGCGAGGCTTAAATAAGCTTCTCTGAATGGATTACTGCTTGATTTGGCAGTTTCCTCGGGTGCAGCCAAATTAATAGTTTTAGCTGACGAAGTCGACGTATGTGGAGGTTTCCAATCTTTTGCCAGCTTTGGTATCTGCGGTGGTAACACTTTGATTCTTGGAATCGCGCCTGGTATTGGTCTGCTCATTGTTCGTTGAGGCTCCTTCGTGTTGGAGCGAATTGAAGAGTTTTGTTTGACATTAATGTATGCTGAAATAAATCCGCATCGCTCTAGTATCGTAATGACTGCTTGATAATTGGTGACAGCAAGATCCCGTTCGAGAATCAGTTTTGCATTTTGCTTTTGACAACACTTTTTATAGAAGAAAACGACCATGTACAATTTTTGAAGCTTTACATTGAGGTATCCATTGTGCTGCCGTCCACAACTTCAATGTACTTGTCAATTTGCTTGAGAATGACTAAAGAGAGCAGAGGAAAAAAGCGATATCAGAAATCCGTAGAGACATCCTGCGAAAGACGTGCCTGTCTTACCTGTAGTACCACGAGGATACTTGTAGCTCTGTTCCTTGACACCACGTTCATTGGGTTTCCGGTAGTTTCTCAATACTTCAGCACCACCCTTGGTGAGGACTGTGACATCGACATTTGAACCAGATCCCAAATCGTTAAAGATACCAGCTTCTATAGCATCCTTGACCAACTCGATAGCTTCTTCTCGCTAAAGTGGGGGGATGAGGAATATGAGTACATATCATAAAGCGTCTTGTGACTGCTATTTTGGTCTTCCGAGTGCAGCAAGTACGTACGGTCATATCCTTCTTCCACCTCGATTCGAATACAGACATGGCAGCCAATGAACCAGAGCCCATAGTGACGTAGGGTAGTTTGTCTGTGGATCCGTGTGGATGGATTGAGAAGATCTGAGGTCCATGGACATCGACTCCACCTAGTACTAGCGCAGCTCCAATATTTCCTTGGTACCTGAGTGCGTTATATACATGAGAGAGTATCATACGGTCAGATCATGTCGTGATGTAAAGATCGAAAGCACGTCCACAGCATACCTGAAGAGCATTTGTTTGAGTAGAGTCATAGCAGTGACGATTCTAGCAGGTCGTCCAGTAGCCAATGAATGTAATTCCAGTTTGGAGGAGATCAATGCGGTTGTGAATTCAGTGTCTGCAGCAGTACCAGCTCCACAACTAGTTGAGCGAATGCGTTAGACAAGAAGATCATGCCATGAGGTGTACGATCCTGATGCAGCTGATCATAAACACCCAAAATGATACATACCAATACATGTTTGGAGCCAGGTAGTGAATCTTTTCACAGTTTTTGTCGGCGACAATAGGACCTTCAGTAGCTCTGGTATCAGCACCTAATACGACACCATCCTGTTCATTTGTGATAATATTAATAAATATATTCATGGTGCGCATTCGAGTTGCAATAGCGTCTGTTGCAATTGAGTTGCAATAATAGGGTTGATGGTGATGTTTTGTAGTCTACCTTGAAGATGGTTCCTACGATAGTGGTACCAGTGCTAGTAGCTTTTGGTGGTTTCAGACCCTTGTTTTCCAATAATGCATTCCTAATATACATCTATGTTATTGATACATTCTGCAAACATCTTCATCGAATCGACAATGCTCTACCTTTGGTACAAGTCAAAGTTGAAACCTCCTTGAGGCGGTGTGACTTTGAGTGCCATAATTTAGCTCGTTTTAATGCTGATTATCTAGCTGACACTACTAATCAATCCTGTTTCTCTGCTTGCTTTCTTAGTTGATGTTGGCTATCGAACGCGTCAGCAGCAGACGAGACATAAGCTCGACATAAAAGAAGGTTTGTAACAGGTTGATTAGGCTGCTCTCACGTATAAATCACGTCGCCTTGCGCTGTTCTCATATAGAACTACACGTTCCTTTGTGCGAAAGATAGAAATCTCGTCTCCAAATCACTCATTTCACCAATTGAGACCCATTCGACGTGACATTTAAGCTTGACTCTGCTTTGGATTATAATACGCGTAACATCATAATTATTCTTCTTCAATCAATGGGTCTGGTTCATTGTGCTCACTCACGTCAATCACTCGCTCAAAACATCCTCAAAGCAGTTAACAAGAACCATTAGATACTCAATTAATCTAATCGCAAAATAGTATCCTATATACACAATGGCTGGACGGGGTCTCGATGACAATGCAGTCGCTCAGGAAATGAACAAGATGGTAACAGCAAATTCAAATCGCCCTGTTGTTGGTTATGAGACTCACTTGCTGTTCTATATCTAGGTATCATTTATAAAACAGGAAGCATTAGAAAAGGCCAGAGAAATCAAAGTCAAGGTACCGTTCAATGTCTTATCCTCGCTTAAATCAGTTATCATCAAAACCACTCATTCACTACACAGGGCGATGAGGAATTCAACATTGAAAAGGCAAAGCTGGTCAGACAAGAGACTCTGGCTATCGAGGCCTTTTACGAAAAGAAGAAGAAGCAAGCCGAAGTGCAACGCAAAATGTGTGTTATCATATCTTCCTCATCCTTGAACCTATACTCACACGCACTCATATCTAGTGCACAATCAAACCACATCAACAAGTCACGATTACGTGTACTACAAGCCCGTCAAGAAGTCCTCAATGATATATTCACTGAGGCTCGTGGTAAACTAGCCACATTGACCAAAGATCCAAAGGCTTACTCGAAACTCTTGGCTGATTCCATCGCCGAGGTACTGCCAGTCATAATCGCTGCTATATTCGTCTTGAATATCCTTATTGATGGACCATGTCGTTCACGTAGGGATTGTACAAACTCATGGACGATGAAGTAACAGTCCAATGTCGAAAGGCTGATACACCATTGGCCAAGGCTGCTGCTGCTGAGGCTTCAAAACAGTACTCAGATACATTCAAGCGACCCGTCAAGGTCACCATCGATGAAGCCAATCCATTGCCAGACTCAAGGTGAACAAGGATATATGAATCACTGGCGTTTTATTTGGCGTCGCTAATCGCTCTTCCATTTTGATTGAAGTGCTGGAGGTGTGGTCATCTCAAGCATGGAAGGCCGAGTTCGATGCGACAACACTCTGGAGAGAAGGTTGGACTCTATGGCTGAAACGGTATGTCTGATCGCAGAAGAAGCTTTTTTTCTTTGGCTCAAAGGAACAGGCACTCAACTTTATTATAACAACTCGAACTAGATGATGCCTGGTATCAGGCTACAACTTTTTGGGGTATCGCCCAACCGTGCCTTCTTTAACTAAGCTAAAAAAAACTTTGTAATGGTATGAGGTGATGTGGAAACATAAAGAGAGTGTGCAAAAGCAAAGTGCCATAATATTCGAATCCTTCACATCGGCCATGACAACCTCTTGCGTCTTCAACACGTATCTTCGACTCTCGCTGAGCTGTATCTTAGGTCAGATCTTTCAAGTTTCGGTGATCATGTGCCAGAAGGTCGAAAGAGTAGAATTGATAGTATAGTGTGCGCAATACGACTCCGTAGGCTGTCAACCATCAAGACATATGTTTTTATGCTCTTCAGCGGGTATTGATAGTAGATGAGATTTCGAAAACTTTTGCCTTTGAGCATCCAACTAAAGCGCTTCATAAACCTATCTTCGCCAATCCGCAACACCCCATGTAGATGTCCGATTACTGCGGCAATTCCAGTCCTTGCAAACTAGGGCAGCTGAATACAATGTGTTCGTGTCCAAGAGTAGATCGAATATTATTTCCAGCACGAGTGATGGTAGCGGAGGCATGGTTGAGCGATAACTTTTGGTAGGAGATGAAAGTATATCGATGGAATATACGACGTGTGACTATTGGACCTATTGCGCTGGTCTGGTCAGTCAGAGCGAGGTTGAAGCTGAATGTGGTTGATGTCGAGTTCTCGAGCACATGGGCGGTATAGACATATAATCGGAAATCGTCAACTTGATGATTTTCGTACTCATTGTGAGTTTGATGCAATCCTCTCCATAACAAACAAATGACCATGACAAGCGAGACACATTTCACGATTCAACACGTTCCTCAATGGGGAGATACATGCTCCAGTGATTTATACTTGAATAAACCTAATCAATATAGGTAGCTATCTTAGAGTTTAACGCTTTGCTAGCTTGTTCAGAACAACGGCACTAGAAGATGGGACCAGCAATGGATGGGAGGAAGACCAAGATTACGTGATTTGAAGCGTAATAAATAATAAAAATAAAGCAATATCGAGATCGACATTCGAATTACGAAATTACGCGTTAGTTTGGCTTCTCAGTACTAGCGAATGAAGCCTTTTGTAACTTCACTATCACTGCAGGTCTGAACCTGAACTCCCGTTTCATAATCTCAAGTACTAGACAGACCGGAGAGGAGGAGACAGTTTACCGACAAGGTCACTATTTAAATTCTCACTTACTGCAAGGAAACATGGCCACTACTCCTACTATACGGGCAAAGAACGCTACATACCAGAGCAATGTCTTGAAGCGAGGATCTGTAAAGCCAACACTAGTAAGTCTCTTAGAAACTGAAGGAATTTTGAGTAAATGCTATTGCGTATTACTCCTGAGATCACTCCGGAACTGTCTGACATCGGAGAGACACTCTATTTCAACATCAACATTTCGTGTTGGTTTGCAATGAAGACAGTCACTTGCAACCTCGATAGTTGATGTTGTTTTCATCAAAGAGCGAAATAATTGTTAATCTCACATTGGATTGCAACTCAACTCTGACATAGTGGTGTTCCTTTTAGAAAAAGCAAGAAACAAAATACCCTGTTGGTTATTGGGTCTTGGGAATCTTCCTTTTTGCAACTGTCGGCTCTCGTATGTCTCATCAATCCTAAGGTCGTTCGTTATATTACTTCAAACCAATACCTAACGTGTTTCTCGTGTCTAGTCATATTCGAATTCTTCAACAGGAAGCCTCTAGCTATTTGAGAACGTGAAGTGGAGTGGAATCTAATGAGCCATTTGCTCTAGCTGCTTGATACCCTGTTTGAGATGAAGTGGAAGTGTAATTCAATCGGTGGGGATTGCTAGCGTTTCTTGATACGGGAAACAAGAACATCGTTCTTATGTACGATTTTGCCAGAATAATATATATTATTGAATTCGAGACGAAATCTTTATAATTTCCTTAGTTTAAGAAGAAGTGCAACGTGCGATTCGTTTATTGGATGAATGTTGAAAGAAAAGACACCACAACGAGATTCATTTTTTCTTGGAGGACCGTTGTTTCAATCCGTTCGTTGCGTTGTTCTTTTCTCTTTCTTCATTCTCTACTAATTCCTTCAATGTAGCCTGCCTTTCTTCCTCCTTGAGAGCTTCTTCTTGAGCAGCTGCAGCTTTTCCCATGGCTTCCATATGGGCTTGCTGCTTCTTCATATTCTCTTCGTGCTCTTTTTGCATTTGCTGCTGCAAAATTTGTTGTGCTTCTTGGAAGATAGTTTTTGACCATCCTGGCTTGAAGGTGTCTGCTTCTTCCAGGACCTAGTTGAAGAGGTCAACAAGATCAGGAACAAGACAGTCAGAAGGCTGATGATGCCAATGTAGTGTGTCAACCTCTTGAAGTTCTAGCTGCATTTCCTGTTCCGCAACTTGGAAGGATTCCCACATATCTTCTCCTATAGCCCCAGTTTTCACTAGCGCATGCAATGAATTCTTCTCTTGAGCCATCTAAGACAAGCATCAGTTAATATCATATATCGATATAGGACGTGTGTGCCTACTAGTCGTCTGGCGACAAAAACGAGAGCAACATGTCTCATGACACGAACAGGGAGAGCATTCACTGAAAGCTAGTCTTACTTGCGTTAATATCTTCACATCAGCCATAGCTCTTCTCACTAAGGCACCCCCCAATATCTTGACGGTCGTTGGATCCTCAACATCACCAGCATGTTTTGCCACTAATTCCTCATACGCTGCCTTTTCATTACTAGGTTCAAACCACGGCATACGTATCGCTAAATACGAGATGGAATGAAGGTATTCCGTCAGAGAGATCAGAGTCCCGAATTCCTGAAAACACACCAAAAGAAACAACCACAAACATACGTGGTTTTGCGGGCCTTGAACGACTCCAGCTTATTATAGCAACTACTACTATTATAAACGATATAAGAGATCCTATTGGCACTATGTTGACCCATATAAACGAAGTGGACATGACTTGCTCTGTTTGTTGAATTTCAAAAGTTGAGAAGAGAGACAACTACCACCACCAAAGTTGGCGATACTCCATACTTGAAAAGCAGATTTTTACGCGTTTTCAGATGTCCCAAAGTCCCAAACTCCCAAATTCTTGGCCGAAGTGCCATTGTGTTGATGCAAGCACGTTTTAACTAATAGACTCCAAAGCATCACAGGTGAGCCAAAGGACGTTTTGCAAAGTTAGAGATTCTTCATATTTAAAGAGTTTATATTCTACGGTTTTGCGATTACACGAGCTTCTATGGATATTTTACATGGAGCCTATATAGAAGCACCACACTACTAGGAGCTAAACGCCTCGATTCCTTTCACATGGTTGCTTCAAGATTGTTTGGCTTTTGAGGCCAGCTTGGCTTTCAGCTCTCCGATATATGCACGAGGCTTACGTTCAGTCCACAAGACTGTGCTGGGATTGAGGAGTAGGGACTGAAGGGCATCAAGATTGCTGGCGACGAATTCGGTACTATCTTCATCGGGACTTTTACGTGGAAGATTTATGGAGACCAAATTCGGACACCATTTAACAAATTCCTTGACCGTCAGCTCCTCCGCCGCAAATAAGTCTTTGACAGAGTCACAACAGAAGTAAACCGTTTTGAGTTGACCACCATATCTAGATAGAAGATGGAGTGCCTGTAGTTTATGGGATGGCATCGCCAAGAGTTGAGGTGTGAAATGGGGAATGCTGGGGGCCAGGCAAAGACAACTTCACTCTCTACATACAATACATGGAGAGTCTTGTCATGCCGCTCAATGAGGGTGCATAGACGGTTGAAGGCGATTTGATTGGTCGTTACCGTATATGTATATAGATGTAAGTCTGGCTTTGGCTTTTGGGGAGGCGTCCAAATCCGTCTTCCAAATGGGCGTATCATCTGCGGAATTACACAACTCAACCACCTCCATACAACGCAGGTTCGGGAATTCTGCAGCTTCTGCAAAATCCCAACGACCTGCAGCAGAGAAATCACGAGGTTCTCGATTGCTATATAATCTGACTGAATTCAGCCTTTTTGCACGCGACTTTCGAAACCTCAACAGCATTGGTCCGATGTGTCTAGGTCCAACGTACTCCAGATCTATGCCCACCACTTTCATGTATAGCAATACAGTCAGAATTGCGGGAGGCGGAATCTGACAAGTCATCTTGGTCTTACAATTGGGATTCTTTGCTACAAAAAGGCGAGCAAAATCATATTCCAATGATTCGTAATTGTTGGCTTGATTGCGGATATTGAGTTTGATCTTGTCAAGGTTTCGAGAATGCTTCAGCAGGCTAAGAAAGAGTCCCGAGACGTCAACTTTACGTCTGCCCTTGCAGCGTTCGAAAGGCAGACTGATGCGTTGCTCATCTAGGGCCATTCCATAATCACGAGTGATTTGTTCAAGGAACATCTCGCGAGGACCAAGACTATGAAGATAGTACAAAGTAAATGTACATGGTGGCCAGTAGTAGAAATTCACCTGAACTGTGATCTACCAATTACAATTATGGAAATTTTCATCAGAGGAACCTTCCATTCTCACGGCCTTGACATGTTTGAGAGCATCTTTCCCCTGTTTTCCAAAATGACGAACGATGACGGGCATCAAAATTATAGGGAGGTGTGAATTCATTATATAGGAAACGAAGAGCCTACATTCAAGTAGTGTTGGGTGTTGGTAAAAGCATACAGAACTAACTGACTGGATCCGATTCTTACACATGCATTCCAATATTGTGATGCGAGAGCTACCTGAGCTAGACTCTTTGCGTCTATAAATCCATCATTATGCAAGTATTCAAGTATTCGATCAATGATTTCAGTGGGCAGCAAGGCTGGTTCGTACTCGTTCTCGCCCATCTTGCTCGCAATCTTTCTCCAGACAATGGACAATGGCAAGGTCTGTTCAGTCTGTTCAAAGGAGGGCTGGGAGGAGGGGAGAGACACCACGAAAGTATTCGATACGCTGCATTTTACTCTCTTTTGGACGTATATCCATGTATTATTCATCGCGCTTCGATTCAAGCAAGACGGGTTTTCAAGTCACAAGTCCAACAGACTGATTATGGCCCAAAGGAGACATCTAAAAGCTATAGTCTTCGGCTCACTTCTCTGCTTCAGGGTCTTGCTAGGTACTGAGAGCTTTGTGCACGAAACCTCTGTTGAAACTGACAAAATGAAACTAACTGTCTTTATTGACCTTATAGAGCCTCACTGAATGAGACTTCAGATACAGTCAAAGTCATGGAACATGAAACTATGTGATGTACAGTTCAAGGACGATGCTCTCAGATTGCCAGTCGACATACTTCTCGATATATTCGACAGCATCAAACACAATTTGGATACTGGCTTCGTAAAACCAATGCTTGGCCAATCTGGCTCTGGTATGCAATATTGAGTCTGCCACCATATGATCCAATCCTCGTCCCACAATACGCAAAGAACCTTAGCAGCCTCTGGACAAGTGATCCCGGTGGGAATAAATCAACACCGGTATTTCCACCAATACTTCCATGACGTCGTTGCATATATGCCAAAACTTCCTTTGCTCAACTACATGCCAACAGAGGAGCTCGACGCTGTAGAATTGGGACGTAGTAATCCAAAGGCAAGACTGCTTTCCATGTCTTTGCTAAGCCAACTCGAGAATATTTGCGTGGAAGATCTCAGGTCTAGGTTGGTTGGAGTCATCTATGTTGGCAACTGGAAAAATGTAAAGATTGTCTCGCACCAACAACAAATACCATAAGTTGTACGATATAGAACTGGAGAATCCTCGCAATCATGTAGAATTCCAACCAAATCAATAAATACATTAACGTAGCAAGATCATTTGACACTGCGCTACGCGTAGACAAGTACCACTCCAAGCACAATTAAGCAAGGTCAGCTCCATGTTGGTGCTTGTTCGCTTCTGCCACTCCAAACACCAACACCCCTGAACATATCGCCCAACACAATAAACCACTTTTGCGTTTTCAATCATTATTTTTACCTAATTATTTATCAAATCTTCAGATTTTAGCCTAACTTGCACTCATATACAGGAAAACAAAGCAAAGACACAAACAAAGTCCATTTTTTTCTGTTCTCTCTCCCTCTCTATCAAACTAATACCCAACCGTTACTGTATGCATTCCCATATGCACCGACATAATTTCAAAGACATCCTTCCCGTTAAAACTATTTCAACCTTTGGCCAAGGCCGTGAATGCTGAGTGTTGACCAATACTATGAAATCCAGATACGGATTCTACGAGACTAGAAAACAAGGTCGAGCTAGCTAAACTACTACTAATTGAGTCTGCATCATATTCTTCGTTTGAGGTCACACTTGATGCTGCTGTTCTATCGGATAATGGAGTTCCAGGCATGCTTGGCAATGGAATTAATTTGATCGGTTTAGGGCATGGCGTGTTTGCGAGTGGTGCAAGTCGAAACCAGTCCGAGTTGTTTGACTTGGGAGATAATGGTAGAGGGACTCTTAAATCCGGGAGATGGGATGGATCTAAATCTACATATGTGCCCAACGACAGTCGCCGGAATTCACGGGAGGAGCTGTTGCTATTTATCGTATCCGTCATGGCCTTTGTATCTGGACGAGGAGCGACCGTTCGTAAGATTGCATTGACATCTAGTTCTTCGGGTTGCCAGTTTGATAGCTCTGGTTCTTCCTTGTCAAAGGCATCCCAGTCACCATGAAGCGAGGCTGTTGTTGGAATGGACCATTCCACTTCTCGCAAGTCATCAGTCTGGTAGGGGCCAGTTTGGCATCCTGGAAAAGGGAATAAAGATGTTGAGTGAGGTTTTTGTTACGTTTTTAGTTGAGCGTGCCCATTTCATTCTGTCTTCAAATCGCATCGCACACAATGTGCAAATCTGGTTTATTTTGTCCTCATATTGTATCGCACACAATGTGCCAACAAATGACCTCCGATACGCTGTATGCTCGCGCTCCTCGACACCAATACTGGCATACAGTACTGTCCTTCATGCCAAGCATGCGTCTCAGCGCTTTTCTCGTAAAACAGGAAAACCGATCACTGACATGTGCTTACCAACATCCTTTACTTTGACGAGGACTGCACGACCCAAGTTCTTTGAATGACTGATTTCTCGTTCGCCAACAGAAGGAGGCAATAAACCTTCACATTCAGAGCTGGCCGGTGTAGGAGGAAGATTTACAAGTGATGCTGTTTCGGCAGATGGTGTCTGAGGTACCATCACAGACTCTGGCCATAGTTGAGCAGATGGGCTTGATGATGATCTTGCTTCCAATACCCACTATAATAATACAGAGGTAGTATTAGATCATTTCGGTTTTTCGACAAGGTTGTAAAGCGACCGAAAAGCATAGGAATATGAGATAAGCAACAACATTACCTTTGAAGGTTTGAAACCAGGTTGTAGCATTGACGATGCGAAATTAGAAGTGGGTGGTATATAAGTGTTTCTGGATACGTCCGAGCTACGAGATCGTTGGCCCATGTTTTTCGTGGAGGGTCGTTGGTGTTGTTGTTGTTGTTGTTGTGTTTTACGTGATGGTTTGAATGAAGTTGGTTGCACTAGGACGACTTGAGGATTTGGCTGATGTACATGGGTGGTGGTAAGATCCCGTGTAGATCGGGTTGGGAGTGATGGCGTTATGGGACCCGATGTGTTGGGATTGATGCTGATCGAATTCTTGCGAGGAGCTCGTCCTCTGCTGGATGGTTCTATAGTCATGTCTGGATATGAACTTTCTATTTAGTATACAGTTAGAAAGCAACCTAATTGATTGTCAGTAATGGATTCCGTTAGATGCCGTTTTTCATACGAGGTTTGTTTTGTTTGTTACAAGTTGGCTTACTTGAGTTAGTTAGTATAAGCACATTCGCCAATTATAGTCCTGCAACTGGCACTTGATATGCGGACGCTACTGATATTCTTCTCCTAGTTTATGGCGTCTTAAAATGTTGGAATGAAAAAAGTGTGGAGTGCGACTGGGTCTTTCGTGATTTCCAGGTCGATTTGAAAGGCAACCAGCAATATCGCGGATTTGGAATCAGGAAAAATTCTAAAATCATGTACAGAGCTACGCTTCTTTCTGCTGCTTTTTTGTATGCACGTGCTCCTTCTTTCACATGTTGGGATTCGGCAATTGATAGTCCAAATAAAAACAGTTCTAGGTGCTTTACAACCAGATCCCGCTAGATCAACGCTAGATCTTGAGGTATCAACAATTATGGAAGTCTTATCTCCACAAGGCAAATGCTGCAATATATAGATCTACTCGTTCTCACTGCGAAGATTATCCCGTACTAATCTATCTCTTTTTTTACATAAACAGATATTACCGGGGACTTTGAGACCGACTACCTGGAAGCATGCAAACGAATAGACTGTACACCATTCCTACTCAGGAAAATCAGGTGGCCTCTACCTCCTCTGCCAATTCCTGACGATCCACATGACATTGCTTCCAAACTTAATGCAGACACCACAACAACCACTTCACCTGCATCTGCTAATGTAACTTCTAGCACTCTGACTATTCAATCACCTGCAATACCGCCACCCGCTGAAGTCACTCCATCACCGCCTTCAACTGCTGCTCCTGAAGGCAAATCCACTCCTAAAAGCGGTAATCGTAGAACCTCGTCAACGGCTGCACCTCCAACCATTTCAACTCCAAATAAGAGAAGCGCTACGGGATCTAAGGGCCAAGCTGCTGTTGCTGAACAACCTCCTGCTAGTCAGCAAAATAATAATGCAACATTACCGACTCCCGCACCAGCCAACACTGATAAGGAAGGGTCCAGACCTGCCAGTGCAGCTCAGGCCGACCCAGTAAAGCGTGTAAATGGATATAGATATACGCCAAACGTAGATGTCATTGTGTCGAATGAAACTGGAGACGATGAAATTCGATCTGTAGAAGTTCGAGGATGGAAGATGGCTAAAGGAATCATGGAAGCTCTATCTGTAGCAATACCGGCTTGTAATTCTATCAAACAACTCACGTACGTGTTGAATTGCAATTGTTGGACCCTTGTATGATCAAACGAACACAAACCGTTGAAACGTGTAGATTGTGGAATTGTGGTTTGGTAGATTCGCAGTTTAATCTGCTATTACCTGCTGTCTTGGGATCTACATTACGACATTTGGCTGTGGACGACTGTCCCAACTTGAATGAATCTACATTGGCTCTCCTTTTATCAGAAGAGTCGCCTTTAACATCGCTCAGTTTACGTGGCAATCGCATTGGAGATGTTGGATCCAAGGCTATAGGTGCTGCTTTACGTGTAAATCGATGCCTTCGAGTTTTGGACTTGTGGAGAAACAAGATTGGGCCAGATGGATTGACTGAAATTGCTGATGTATGTTTTGCCGTAGTCGCTGTTTCTTCAGATTGGTTTGAGTCATTTCTAATCTATGTGAGTAGGCACTGAAGTACAATCAGTCTCTCATTTTTTTGGCAATGGGAGATAACAATGTTGGCGATGCTGGTTCAACGAATCTCTCAAAGGTACACTGCTTTCTGTCGCATGTCCAAACTAGCGTCAGCAATAGCAGCTCATTCATTTAAGTACAGGTCTTGTGTAATGTTGCAGTGACGCCTGACGAGTTAGCTGCTCGTAAAAAAGTGTTGACAGAGTTGGCTCTTAGAAGAGAACAAGACGATGTGAGTACACGAAAAAAAGGAGGCTGAAATTCTTGAATTTTATGCCTCTTCACTTGCTTTAGGATGCACTTGGACGTGGTAAAGGTCGAAATCCGTATTCGGCTGGGAGCAAGTGAGTACATCGCGTCAGAAAGAAGCAACCCTTCGTCCCAAATCACTGCTCAAGAAATCTCCATTAGTGATGATCCTCGGCTTCAAAGTGTGTCACAAATAGACCTGAGTAAAGGTGGCGCTAAGAAGCCGGCTGGAAAGATAGCTGCCAAGAAGGACGACAAAGTGATGGCTTCATCAGCAACCGTTAATTCGAAAGTAGCAGAAAAACCGACGACTGGTCCTACTCCAGGCTCACCAGGTAAAAAAGGAGCTCCAGCTCCTGCTCCACCAGCAGATGCCAAAGCTGGTGCAAAGAATGCAAAAGGAGCTGCTCCGCCACCGGCGACACCCACTGCTGCTGGAAAGGGTGCCAAAAAGGGTGGTAAGCCTGAAGAGAAGCCCATAGAGGAGATTGAAGAGGTAAGGACTGCGAATCGTGTTACACTTGGGAGCGAAAAAAGCTAAGCACCCACGGTTCATAGGTTGAAGAACCTCCACCACCAGCATCACCAGATCCAGTCATGGTTGAAATGAATGGAATTCTGGTCTTTGTTGGCAATCGTACCTTGTCGTACATCAACTTGTCTGGCAATGGCATGACAAGTGTTGGATACTCGGCCATTGCTCGAGCAGTTGTTGAACAAGGTGAAGTGGTGGCAATCAACCCAGCTTTGAGCTCTGTTGGTGAAGGGCTCATTCAAGTTGTCGTTGAGGTAAAGCTTTGTGTGTTGAGTGTTGTGGTGAGTTTGAAGGCTAATTTGTTGTCGTTTTTTTTTTTTCAGCCAAATCTTGTTGATCTCAACAACCCAGTACATCTTAATATGCAATCTATATTAAAGACACGTGGTGGTGTGTTTGCATCGCCTGAAATTTAGAACAATTAATTATTAATGTATGATCTGGACTTGATACAAAGTATCATTCATCACCCGAAAGGTGTCTGTCACGAGTTGCTTTAACGTTGCAATGGCATAGCTCTAGTTTCGTGACTTGAATGTCAATAATGTTGCAACTGTATGTGAGGTATTGTGGAGGTTGACACTCGTTTGGCCACATCAGAAGTCAAATCAATCAAACCACACCTGTTTCATGTGTTTTACAGGTCACTTCTCCTGCTGACGAGCTCAATCCGATCTAGATTCTTTATTTGACAATAAGGCCTCTACAAATCATGCTTGTTGGTATTGCGACAATTTCAATCAATATCACTTGATTCTGCTAATTGTACCCGTACAACTCTCACAGTTTAAAGTGGAAAGAGTCCAAGCCGACCAATTTTGGTGAAAATTATGATTCAAAGAGACTTTTTGTCAACGGGGTGTTCCAAAACACGAAAGTGACCAATTTTGTCGTGGCACATTCATCATGGAACAGGTATGGAAGGGTGGCCGAGTCCTCGAAAATATCTTCGCAGGCATTCCTACATCGTCTTGTACCTCTCAGTGACTAGAAAATGACCTTGCTTGTTGTTTTGCAAACTAGTGATTCACATTCTGATGGCCGCAAACGACCACAGAAAGCAAACACGGCCTTCATAGGCTTATAAATGATCGTCAAATGATTTAAATAGCTCTGTAGATACCATTCCATTCGTGTCATCTTCCATTGCGAAGCTTGCGAAGCATTCAAACCCCGACCATTTTCCTCCTCTCGTTTTGATTTGCGAAAATCAACTTCCTCCAAAACAATCATCAGGCCATTTCAACAACACAATCAAACTACCAGAAACCTTTGAGAAACAGCAGACATGCAAAACGGATCAGCTCATAAAGGTACTTACCATGCAGGGCTCTCCGTATATTTCTTATTCGTTGTTTAAATCTTCAAATTTGAGCAAAATCTCTAAATCATACCCACCACTTGTTCCGATAGATGTATTCATTGTCTCTGCAGTCCGGACACCAATTGGATCATTTGGTGGTGGACTAGCTTCCTTCACTGCCGTTCAACTGGGCTCCATCGCCATCAAAGGTTGGTTCATCAAAAACATTTTGAAAACTCCAAACTTCGCAACATCCCGCGCCATACATAGTGGATCAACACTGAATCTCACTGGAATCTTTTACTTTTAGCTGCGTTGGAAAGAGCTCATGTAGCTCCTGCTTCTGTCGACGAGGTTTTTATGGGAAATGTCATTCAAGCCAACTTGGGTAAGTTCGTTTGTCAGTGTATTGTTTATTCACACTACACAGACTAACAAGGATGTATCTTAAGGCCAAAATCCTGCTAGACAAGCTGCCATGGGTGCTGGACTCCCTTGGTCTACTGTCTGCACCACCGTCAACAAAGTTTGTGCTGCTGGTGCCAAATCCATCATGTTTGGTACTCAAGCCATTCTTTTGGGAACTGCCGATGTAAATATAAACGCATTATTAAGCCTGTGTTGTTGTCTCTGGTCTCCAATCCCCCTTCTAACTTAAAACACACCAATTACTCAGATTGTTGTAGTTGGTGGTATGGAATCCATGAGCAATGCACCATACTACCTACCCAAACAACGATGGGGTGCCAAATACGGAGATCAACAAGTCATTGACGGTCTCCAAAAAGATGGATTATGGGATGTCTACAACAACTACTCTATGGGAAACGCTGCTGAATCTACTGCCGTCGAACAAAATGTCAGTCGAGAAGAACAAGATGATTTCACTATTGCTTCATATGAAAGAGCTCAAGCCGCCACAGCCGCTGGACATGTCAAGGAAGAAATCGTACCAGTCGAGATTGCTGGTGCTAGAGGAAAGCCTGGAAAAGTTATTTCAGTTGATGAAGAAATCAACAATGTAAGTTTACATGGTGGTAGTGAGATGTCGTCTGTTCAACAAGTGCACATGTCTTCTTACGCTTGGTGGCTTTTTTGCCTGGCGGTTTTTCTGTACCATCCTAACATTCTTGCATGCATCTATGTAGCTTCAAAAGGAAAAGATGAGAACTCTAAAGTCATCATTCAAAGATGGTGGCTCAATCACTGCTGCTAACTCGTCACCATTAAGTGATGGTGCTGCTGCCTTGGTCTTGATGAGTGGTGAAAGAGTCAAGGAGTTGGGTCTCACACCTTTGGCTCGTATTCGAGGATACGCTGATGCTGCCAGGGTATGTACTTCAGAAGAGATTGAGTCGTTCAAACCGTTTCAGGACGCCAAAAAAGTTGTAGATATGTTGGCACTCCACCTGCTAACACTCAACGCCATACTGTAGGAACCAGCCAACTTCACCATTGCACCTGCATTGGCTGTACCCAAAGCTCTCAAACACGCTGGCGTGACAATCGACCAAGTCGATTTCTTTGAACTCAACGAAGCCTTTGCCGTTGTCGGTGTCGCCAATGCCAAACTATTGGGAATCTCTCACGACAAGGTCAATGTATTCGGTGGTGCTGTCGGCATGGGTCATCCTTTGGGTTGCTCTGGTGCCAGAATCGTCGTCACCTTATTGAATGTCCTCACCACTCGTGGTGGCAAGATTGGAGCTGCCGGTATTTGTAATGGTGGTGGTGGAGCTTCTGCTATTGTTATCGAAAGAATTTGAGGGCCATCTATATATTTGATACGCAGTGATTTTGCATGATATTTCGTTTGACGCAACTACAAAAATATAGACTGAACATACATACTCTCAACATATTATGTGTGCGAATTGCTCGAAGGCCGTTTTGAAAACGGCTGGTATGGAGGTGTGCAACAGATGTATTTCAAAACCACAATGTATGCTCATGTCGTGGATGATTACAAACTAGCAGATGCCTTGGGCTCATACTTCACATTCTGGACAGTGTGCTTCCACTCACGCATGTAGCTAAATATACATTTTGATTTGTCAACCCATGGTGAGGTCTCATAAAACATAGCTTCATAACACTTACCCCTTTCCAGCAACCAAAAAGTTCTTTCCAGAGAGCTTTCCCTCCGTGTCTTCTTGGCAGACCATGTAAGCATCAACCAATTTCTCCATTGGAGTCCTGGATTTTACAAGGCGAAAGGGATTGATAAGTGTGTTTCTCAACTACAGTAAAACGTAACGGCACATACCATCCACCACCAAGACGTAACGCGTTACCCAAAGCCTTCTCTGCTTGGGCCTTTTCACCAAAGGCACTATTCCAAAAAATCCAGTAAGACGCGGATGGAATACTAATTTTTGTGGGTTGGCTGCTTTACTTTGTGAAGACGTATCCTGGAGCGATTGAGTACACACCTAAGAATCACAATGAGGATTACTATAGACTCTTCCAAAATGCCACCACACCACACAATAACTTACGAATTTTTGGGCCTGGTTTGGAAGCGATTTCTCCGGCGAGAATTTCAGTGTTACGGATTAATGCAAGCTTGACTGGTCTATCAGTGGTAGTACTTAATTTGAGCCCACAGAACCAAAGCTACAATACGACAACGCATCTGACTTACCCGTAAAAGTAGTTTGGATGAGGAATGCCTGGTTGAGCAGTTCCAGACGAAGTGTAAATATGGACACCAGGGTAGTTGCGTTGTCTCCAATGAGTTAATGCTAATCGCAACAACAAGAGAGGAGCAACTAGAGCAATGTAGAGATCTTGTGGAGATAATATGGTTAGGATGAAGAAAGGGTTGGTCCATTTATATTTCAGAGCCAAAGGAGTGCTGCGTACCGGCCATCCAATAATCAGCTTCGAAATCAACCATATCCAACATGGCAGAGGCCTTTGGGTTCTTGTTGGTGGTTGAGAAGGCATTGTTGATCAATACCTAGAGAAGCAAGAAGTATTGTCGTGTGAGTTTAACAAAGTTGACAAGACACAGAGACTTTAACATGAGGCTAAGACGACGGAATCAAATTCATCGTGAATAAGGAATCACATACCTCAACGCTTCCAAAGCGATCGACCTAAGTTAACAACCGGATAAATCATTAAAAAACTTATCCACGAAACACAAAACGCTTGCGAATGTATTACAGTCTTTTTCCAGAGCATACGGACGTCAGCCTCCTTGCTCATGTCGGCAGTAACAAATGCAAAACGAGATGCATCTCCACCTCCGATCTTTGTTAGTCTGGCAACTTCTTCAATGAGCTTTGGTTCAGTTCTGGAGCTGATCATAACATTGTATCCTTTGCTGGCATAACGTTCAGCTACGGCAGCTCCAATACCGACACTGGCACCTAATCAAGGAAAAGCTGGTCAGAGGCGGTTTTCCGCTGCAAACAAAGTCCCCAACTCACCTGTAACAAGAACTGTTGGGCGTTTAGAAGTCATCTTTTTGCTTGTTGCCTATGGCACGTTTTCGGGTCAGTGGTCTATCAAGAGGCTAGTGATCGAATGGGCTTACTTAAGAAGGTTGCTTTGTGAGAGACTGTTTAGTTATTGAGGTAGCAAAACTCGGAAACACAAAAACGCGAATGTGTGATACAGGTACATAAGTCGTTGCTGATAATTCAAAACTCAGATTTTATTCTTAAATCCTGCATTTGACGCTCAATTTAATCTCTTTACTAGCTCTAATCGCGTCTTTAAGCATTAAACTGACTCGACATCAACCCATTTTCCGCTACACCCATATTTCGACTTTGATGAAAACATTCTCGAACCATGAAGCCAGATATGCAACAATCTTACCGAAATCTTGTCAATGTCACCGGCCGCCGACTCTTCAGATATGCTTCTATTCCACAATAAGTGCCTGCCTTTACACAGAGAGCAAACTGTGTGAGAAGTATACTATTGCCGCCTTCAGATTCAGATGCAATAGTATCAGTATCGGTAGCAGAAGAAGTAGATCACCTGCTCCAACCCTCCCACGTGCTCAATACTTCGATGGAAGCGGTTGAGTAAAACGCGAATCACATTCTCGGTGGTAGTTGTTGGATTGTGCTGAAGACAAATCCGAGATACTTAATCGGATATGCAAACAGTTTGACAAGACATGGTCGTCTTCGCCGTCCTCTCCCGATTTGCTTTCTACCACTCGTTCCAGTCAAGAGTGTTTGTCTTCACACACAAAGCCAAACTGTTTGGGTTGAAAGCCTCGCAAAATACACTGTTGCTGCTCTCATATGCAATAGTATCAGTAGCGTAGCAGAACAAGCAACTCTAATATCTCAAACCTGCCATAAGAACAATAGCACATCGCACTAAGTCGTAGTAATTCAATTGGGAGGGTGGCCGAGTGGTCTAAGGCGCGTCGTTTAGGCCGACGTTCGAAAGAGCGCGGGTTCGAATCCCGTCCCTCTCATTGTTGGCCTCCAATATCGAGGTCCAGATGTGCTTTTGTAGTCGGGTGAGGCAAAATCCGACCCTCCTGCATCCTAGATTTTGTTATCAAAAGCTGGCGAAATTATTCCAAGTCTAGCATCTGCAAACCTTGCTTGTCGAAACCAATGGAGTGGGTGTCTTGAAAGACCTCTGAACTGCCGCAGACTAAAACAGCAGCCAATTCAAATATGTTCAGGCATTCTTGAACCCTCAAATCGACTCCAAAAAATCCATTCTGTGCCTGTGAATTTGAATTTTCAACTGTGCAAACCGGAGGCTCATCTCGCTCGATACGTCAGAATCTGTTGATTCACATCACCGAGACAATCGCTGCTGTAGCTCCTGGTAGATCTGTGAACATATATCGAGTATACATATATCGAGTATCCACAAGCTCTAGCCTTCAACCAAATCTAGCAGTCTGAGGCCAAGGCTTGGAATCAGACTTGTGGCTCGCGAAGCTCGTTCGAATCACTGTTCCAACTAAAAGACCGTAACGTGACACCTTATAAGCCGCTCTAGAGCACTCAGCCACCCTTCCCTGCTTGTTCGATGATGAATGGGCCAGCCACGGTTGCTCCCTTTAGTGTTTTGGGACATAGGCGGCCCGCAGGTACTTGAACCGTTTCCAGTTTCAGCTTTGAGAGCAGTACGGTTTACGGGTACAAGTAGTAGAGATAATTGGTCATCATTGATATTGCTTGTCGCAATACCGACACCGTGACTTTAGGTGAAATCGTGTCAAATAGAGCATTAAGGGTGAATATACAGCTTTAACACTAAATTTTAGGATATTTAAGTAAGAATTAACGCGTTGAAGGCTTGAAATACGTGAGATTCCATTTTGGCCAAATTTCCAAATTCGCACAAAAACGTTTACTGCGAGACATTTACGCTTAACCATGGAACAAGAGAGCTCTTGCGTATACGGCTTAAAGCAGCAGGTAAAATGGAGTATTTTTATCAAACATTCCCATATGTCCAGGGCCTCTTGTGATGTTTTCTCGACCAAATTCGTATCATAGGCACGAAGTCTTGCATGCCAACTTGCTGAATCGGAAAGGAATAGATTCTTTGTTGGAACTTATGGCGTCCGTCAAGACAATGAAGTACATATTGTTACTTAATCTATCTGGATCTAAAGCACTTCAAAAGAACATCAAATTAATCACATTTTTTCTGTGTAGATCCACTTATTGGATTTTGATGAAGACGAATTTGAAATATCGAGTCAGATATACAAGCATCCTGACGAAATATGGTCAATGTCACCGTCTCCGTCTTCAACAGATTTGCTATTTACCACTCATTCCAGTCGTAAGTGTCTTACAGGTACGAGTCTGATATGAGCTCACGATTATACTCCTATTATACTCAGCTGCAAGTAGCAGAACAGCAACTCTATGGAGACTGGATTCTATTGAATCGGATGAATCAGGGAAATTGAAAAGCCAGTCTGGAACATTGGAACCAGTTATCAAGTGCAGCATACCGTCTCAAAACATCAACAGGATTGTGCACTATCAAGCTAAACTTAATAAAAATGGATCGGTTGATTAATCTATCATCAATCTATCATCAATTTAGTGTGCTTTGGAATGCCACTGGAGCATCGGACAAGGTGGTCGCTCTGACAAACACAAATATTACTGTGTTTGCGATTGACGTTCCATCGAAGTCAGCTCAGGTAACCCGCATACTTTCTAAAGTTGGCGAAATTACGTTAGGTTGCTCATATCCCAACTATAGTCATCACAGACGATAGCTTCTCCGCCTACTCGGAAGGAGCAAGATCGAAAAATCAACGCAGGAGCATGGAATCCGCATCAAAACGATTCCATTGCTATTGCCGCCGACTCGTCTGTACATACATATGATTTGCGGAGTCGGACTGCTTCCACGTATGTGTTTCACGGTGCTTTGCCTAATTCATCATTTTTGACAAACTCATTGTATTAGGCCGAGTTTGACGATTGATCATGCTCATCATGTATCAGTCAAGGATGTAGACTACAATCCAAACAAGCCATATCAAATAGCTACAGGTGGAGATGATTGTGTCGTACGAGTTTGGGATACCAGAGATGTCAAAGTTCCACTGAAAGAGATTGTGGGACATTCCCATTGGTACGATTATGCCGCGATTAGAACTTGTAAGTCACAATACTCAATGGGAGAATGCCTTTTCTAGGATTTGGAATGTGACGTATAATCGCTTCCATGATCAACTATTGCTGTCGTCAAGTTCAGACTGCACCGTGTTGCTGCACAGTCTGGTTTCTATATCATCAGCACCATTTGGACACGACGACGACGTTGAAGAATCTCCCAGAGATGGTGCTGAAACTCCACCATCAGACCAAGATGATGACGAGTCGCAAGGGTAAGTTGGAGGTTCTCATGATGCGCGAGCATGAGTTAGTTCCTAACGTTCGTGCATATAGGAAACCGACAGATGGTCTGGTTGCCACGTACGACCAGCACGAGGATAGTGTCTATTCTGTAGCTTGGAGTTCTGGTGATCCATGGATTTTCGCGTCCTTGTCTTATGATGGCCGTGTTGTTGTGAATATGGTGCCACGTGCACACAAGTATAAAATCATTTTAATTTAAAGCAAATGCTGTATATTGGTTGTTTTCAGAATAGTAGATAGTCGTTTAGTCTATGGATTTTTCGTTCCCTTTCAAGTGTTGCTACCTCGAAGCGTGTAATGAGAAACGATCAAGCTGATTCCACTAAAGACACGCGTAGATGTTGCTCGTTTCTGACGGGAACGTGTTGTTGAAGTCCGATTTTCTGTTGGTTTGTCTCAACATTCCAACCTGCTAATAAAAGCCGATCAGAAAGCTGTTAGACCCTAGTAGTGCTAGTAACCAGCCAAACAATGTTGAAATCCAAGGTATGAGTGAAGTACGAACACAAGTATTATATTAGAGCTCGAAGCTTAACTAGCTTTTTTCAACGAAAATAGTCATTTGTTCGCAAGACCAAGAAAGGAACAGTCATCAAGATCGTAAAGGAGCATTGTAAGTCATTTATGAGCTTTATTAAGCCAGATCAATGCTGAATCATTCACATCGTATAGATTTACGGGATGACATTTATTGTGGCATTGATGCGTGCCGAATTTGTGTCGAACAAGTCACTCCCCATCTAAACAAACTACCAACAGCCAACTCGAATTCATGCATAGCAACACCACATTACATAATACCGGATACAAATATCGTGTTGCATCAGGTTGGTTGAGAAAGGTTGTTTGAAGAGAAACTTAAGATCAGATCCATTAACAAATTTACAACACTAGATGGACGTATTGGAGCATCCAGCTTTCTCCGACGTGATTATACTACAAACAGTATTGGACGAGTTACGGCATCGAAGCTTGCCTGTTTATACACGTGTCAGAGCATTAGTGGCAGATCAAGCCCGTCGTTTCTATGTCTTTAGTAACGAACATGCCAGGTAGGTCATCCTTTAGTACGAAACGAACTGTTACAGCAACGGGGTTGACTGTTGTTGCTATTACAGAGAAACGCATGTGGAACGATTAGACAATGAAACACCCAATGATCGCAACGATCGAGCTATTCGAATGACTATAGCTTGGTATCTACATCATCTCCAGCAACCAAAGAATAGCAGCGGTGGTGCTAGAACAGTTGTCTTATTGACCAACGACAAGGCAAATCGTGAAAAGGCTGTTGCTGCAGGCCTTCTTTCGTTTCCATGTAAATGTCTTGTCATGAGAAAGCAATCACGACTTTGTGCTAAAGGATTGTTTTTCGTATAGTGAGACAATATGTTGAATCAATAACAAAAGAGCCACAATTGGTGGATATGATTGCCCCCGTTGATGAATCTGAGGAAGTCACAGACAACAAACGCTTTACATACGATGAGGTAGATCTTCTAAATGATGACCGATGTTGAATTTTGATTTTATCGCTAACGTTTTTTTTTTTTTGTTTAGCATTATCGAGCAGAGAAGGTTGTCGCAGGATTGAATGCCGGTGTCTTGTACAAGGGCAAACTGAATATTACCACGCACAATTCTTTGGAGGTTCGATAGCCGAAAAAGACTGGGTTTGACGGTTCCATATGCTCATCAGTCTCAATTCCGTACAGGGCTCTGTCTTCGGCAGGAAGGAGAATGCACCAGAATTGAACATCACCATAGTCGGTCGTAGCAACCTGAATCGTGCCATGCATGGTGATATCGTGGCTGTAGAACTGCTTCCAGAGAGTCAGTGGAAGTCTGTGGCGACAGAGCTGGTTGTAGAAGAAGGTAAATCGAAAATTCTGACTGAGAGTTTCATTGCCCATGAGTATTCAAACGTTTTTTGTGCATCCTTAGAGGAAGATGAGGAAGCCGTGGAAGCTGCAGCAGCTGAATCATCTCAACAACAGCAATCAGCTTCAAGTAAAGCTGGCCCAAAAACGACTCCAATGGACGTCGATGCTCCAAGTACGGCACGACCATCTGGTCGTATTGTAGGAATCATCAAACGAAACTGGCGTCCCTATTGTGGATCGATTGATGGCACGATGGTTGCAGATACAGTGACCACGTCGACCCTTCAATCAGTCTTTGTCAATCCTATAGATAAGAGGATTCCCAGAATTCGTATTCAAACAAGACAAGCTAGAAACTTGCTGGGCAAACGTATACTTGTCGCTGTCGATGTGTGGTCTAGAACATCTCGGTTCGTTGGGTTTCTTTGGCACGCCTCGTTTTCTGCTCAATCTGACTCTCGCTTCTTGTATAGTTATCCATCAGGACATTTTGTAAAGACTCTAGGAGATGCTGGCGATGCCTCTACAGAAACTGAAGTGGTCTTGTTGGAATATGATGTGTCTTATGAACCATTTACCAAACAAGTGAATGCTTCATTGCCAGTCGAGGGCGAAGCTTGGGTGGTCAAATCAACTGACTTTGAGAATCGTCAAGACTTTCGGCATATTGATATTTGTAGTATTGATCCTCCTGGTATGAACAGATTTTTCTTTCGTTGTCGTTTTTGTTTGCTTTTGACGTACTCATATCTTGTCCGTTCATCGTTTTAGGATGTACGGATATTGATGATGCATTACATGCTATTCGATTGCCAGATGGCAAGATTCAAGTTGGAGTTCGTAAGTTGCTCGTCCAATTACACCACAAGTTCCATGTTTTTCTAATGTCAAAACCTTTACTTTTTTCTCAGATATCGCTGATGTGAGCAATTTTGTCAAGCCCGGTACACCTATGGACGATGAAGCTCGAGCTCGAGGCACTACTGTCTATTTAGTGGACAAGCGTATCGATATGTTACCTTCATTATTGGGAACCAGTTAGTACTGTCAACGTGCAAGAGAATGGTGACGGCGTTCCGAAACTTACTTTCAAATCAATTTTATTCAAGATTTGTGTTCCATTCGATCTGATGTGGAGCGTCTTGCATTTTCGTGCATTTGGGTAGGTTGAGCAAAAGGCGAACGATCCATGGGTCTCAATTGAAATCTTGGTTTCATGATGTCTTACTCCTGCTGCACGTATGTAATTAGACCATGACTGAAGACGCTGAGATTCTGGATTGTGTATATACCAAGAGTGTAATCAAATCAAGAGCATCCTTGACGTATGATCAAGCTCAAGAGCGATTAGATGACTCGTAAGTCAATTGTTCTTGTACTCTCATCCAAATTTTTTGTTCTGAGACCACACTGTTTTACTCTTAGGAATGCCACGGATGCAGTATCAATGGGAATCAAACTCTTGAATTCCCTGGCTAAAAAGCTACGAGCTAAACGAGTAGCTGCTGGCGCCTTGACTCTAGCATCAAATGAAGTTAGATTCAATTTGAAGGATCGTGTTGAAGAGACTCAAGATCCTGTAGAGCCAGGTATCTACAGTTTGTGCGTCTCCAATATTTTCTCGCTGGTTTGATTAAACCTCTGCTGTGTTGCACCGTAGAAATGAAGGAACTCAAGGAAACCAATGCCTTGGTTGAAGAATTCATGTTACTCGCCAATATCTATGTCGCCAAGAAGATTTATAGCATGTTCCCAGAGTCGTCAGTCCTCAGGTCAGATGAGATTCCGGGAACAGCTGTTTTTTGTCAGTACTGAAAATCATGTAATGATACTTTCTCTTCTCTTTGGAATTGCAGACGACATCCAAGTCCACCCTCAGATAACTTTGATGTGTTGAAAAAGGCAGTTGCTGCCGTCGGTGACTTTTCAATTAACACTGATACATCAAAGACTTTGGCAGAATCTCTTGACCGTGCTTCAGTAAGTATAAGAAATTCTTTGACAGGAAAGAATCATGCGAGTTGTAACCATATCTTTTGCATCTTGCCGATTTCTAGAAAGCAGACAACCCATACTTTAACAAGCTGTTACGAATTGTGACTACAAGATGTTTAATGCAAGCTATTTATTTCTGTTCAGGAACCATTCCTGAATCCGAGTTTGTGTAAGCTGCAATCATGATGCAACTCTATACGGTTTTTTGGCCTTCCTCAGTGTCATTGACCTGTGGACCTCCACCTTCCTTAGGCATTATGGTCTCGCTAGTGAGATATATACTCATTTCACATCTCCCATTCGTCGATATGCGGGTAAGCCTGTGCTTTAATGCAAAGGCAGTTGTTTTTGACTGGCTGCCTTTTTGGTGCTCGCAAGTCATAACTCATTCCAAATTCGCTTGTGTTTATTCTAGATCTCGTAGTACATCGTCTATTAGCAGCGTGCATAGGATATGATAAAGTCTACTCGGCTGATTTGACCAACAAGGCTCGAGTCGAGGAGACTTGCGAAAGTAAGATGAATTATTCGATCAGGGCTTTTTTTCTCTTGATTTCCCTTCTGAGCCAATTGTCAAACTTGTTTATTTGAAACACTAGATCTCAACTATCGACACACACAAGCACAAAAGGCATCTCGAGCATCAGTAGAAATCTATACGAATCGATTCTTTAAAGGAAAAGCATTGGATCGAGAAGCATATGTCATTCGAATCATGAAGAATGGATTTACTGCCATGATACCAGAGTATGTGATTCCCACCATTTTCCCAATTTGTATTTTCAAACGATTACGAAACCTCATCACTTTTCAATCATCTCCTTAGGTTTGGTGTAGAGGGCTTTGTATACGCATCACCCAAAACAGGAGTCTCTCCCTTCGTGTACGATGAAGAACAAAATATCCTTGTTGCTGGATACATCCAGATACGAGTCTTTGATAAAATCAAGGTTCGCATCACGATTGAAGAAGGTGACAAGACGGGTCGAAGAGCTAAGATGGTGTTGGGCTTGTTGGAACCTGTTGTTCCTGGTTTACCGTTACCTGATGCAGTATCGTCGACTACTTCTCCTTCCACGAAACGGACTAGTGTGCTCGAGAGGTCGGGGAAGAAGGTCAATAGATGAACTAAATGTGGTGCTTGAGCTGGTGTTTTGCATTTTTTTTTTGTTCAAAGATAACAAGAAAATTATATCAAAAAAGTATCAGATTACACGGCGTTGGGTTTTTGGGTTTCTATATATGCAAATTTAAAACAAGGAGCGCGTTTGGGTTGTTTGAAATGATGACGGTTGATTTGATGTGCATGAACAAATTGAACTTAATCTACCAAGGGCAAAAAAGTCAATCAGCATCAATGTTTCACTATCGAGACCACTACAAACAACACTTACAACAACAAGCATTAGTCTTCTTGGCAGTCTTGTAAAACATTTTAGATTGGGCCGATAATTGATCAGATTTAGCCACCAAATCATCTAGTTTCTCTCCTCGTTGCAATAATTGTTCCATGGTCTTGTTCTATAAATGATTCAAAATTGGTGGAAGAGCGTCGTTGTTAATGCACAAATGTGACCAAAACCGGGGAAAAGCAAAGACAAAAAAAAACGAACAGGAATTACGACAGATTGTTCAACAACACACCACACACCCCCACACAAAAACATACCAATATAATCTTTGTCTCATCCAGCTCCTTTTGCACACGCAAGAACGGATCGGCGCCCTGCGGATCCTGGAAGCGATCCAAATGTTGTTTGAGTTCCGGATAGACTGTAGCAGTATTTGATGGATTCAAAGCACCCCAACGAGATTCGGGAAATTTTGTTGAGAATTCGTCAATGAGACGATTTAGAGCCGAGAATGCTACTCGTTGCGGGTATTCGGCGTCTGTTACGATTACGGCTGCGAGGCCGTCTTGACGAACATATACGTGGCCGACATAGTCTGAAAGAGAGAGAGGCGGTGTGGAGAGAGGTTAGAGTAAAGTAGATGATTTGTATAGCATGGTGTAAGTGTCTGCTATTTAAATCATTCCTCCACTCGTTTGTTTAAAATGTTTGGCGGCACCCAAAAATCAAAAACTACATCACACATACTATTTTCTTGGATTTTCTGTCTGGTGCCTGGCTCTGTCCTGTCTGATACAGTTATAGCAAAGAATCCCATAAACTCCTTGACACTATCATAATATGCACGTCAGTTGGTTTCATACTATAATCTAATCTGCAAAAGTGGTGAAATGATAACTTGCCTGCCACGTTCAAAGAAGGAGAACTGAGATAGTTCATACTCTGCAGCCAGTAATGTGGCCTTGGCGCCTGACTGGTGGGCGACTGCGAGACAATAGACCTTCATTCTTGCTGTGTGCTTGTTGGTTTTGGAGTTGAGAGTTTGGTGAACTGTTCGAAGATTGGACGAGTTTGGAAGAGAAGCAGCTAAAGCTTATCTTCGTATCCTGATTCCTGATTCTAGAACACGCGTTACTCGCTACTCAACATGCCACGTCTTTTGAACGTGATTTACGACTTATATATGAGCAAAGTTTATTTTGTACAGCGTATACCTCACACGACCTATATAGTTTACCTGTCTACCTCACACTTTCCTACTCTTACACAAATTCTTATCACATTCCAACACGAGCAGCAACTCCAGTAGCCCAAGATGGATATTTGGCAACAATCGATTCCACCATTCCATCAACATGATGCGACACACCCGCCACACGAGCATCCCAAGTCAGCAACACACCATCCACGACGAAATAAATCAATTTCTCAATCTGATCAATTCGACCCGTCATCCTGCCCTCTCCAATCATACGAGATGCAATCTCTTCGGCCTTGTCGCCAGAGATGTTGAGCAAGGATCCCAACTCCCAAAAGTGGATGTTATTATATAGTTTGGAAGCTGAGAGCAAGTTGTGTTCAATGACTGCTCGATCGAGTACGGTAGTAGTTCCATCACCGAGTTTAGCTAGTTGGTGAGATTTGAGACATGAAGCGAATTCCTGGACTTCGGTGGTACGTAATACTCGATCTAGATACATTTTCTCTAATATAGCGTATATACCATGTTGTTTGAGTTGTGGTCGTTCCCGTACCCGATCGTCCTTGTATAGCGTTGCGAGCATTCGACTACGTTGTGGACCAGCAGCAGCCAGCACAGCACACACAACAGCCTGAGTCAGTGCCTCTACACGTTCATCGTCGTCCATTTCAGCGGTATATGATAACTCATGGTATTTTTGAGCGGCTTGTAGGAATCTACGTTGAAAGTCGAGTACTTTTGCTTGGGATGCTTTTAATTGGAGTTGGGCTAGACGACTACCGGAGAGAGCTAGGAGGGAGGCACGGTTCAAGTATGCTTCGGCCGAGACTGCATCGTCGTCTTCGAGGAAGAGACGACCGATGCGAAGGTAGATGCCTAGTTTGTATTCGTCCGATACAGCTCGATGACCCGAGTCTAGTGGGATTCCTTGGAGAGCACGAGCAGCGTCAGTCCATGATTCTTCGGCTTCGTATATGTCTGAAATTTTTTCCCTGATGGATGAGATCTACATTGAAGAGTGTGAATGTTAGTGAGTCTGATATTGCACAAAACATCAAGCCCCATCAATACACTTTCATCAACTGCAGTCAACACCGTTGTTGTACCTGATCTTCAAAAGCAACAGCTCTATTGCCTGCACTCTCCAATGCTAACTCCCATACACGCCTTACACCAGTCTGGTCCAATGTCTTTGCCCATTCAGACACCAGAGCAATGAATTCGGATAATATACCCCGAGATACAACCAGACCAATAGACTCTTGAGTGGAATGGTTTAGAAATTCGGTAATGTTTCTATGTAGCTCTGGCGAAGTGCTTGATGTTCCAGACGTGGTGAGGATGGATTTGAGAGTTTCTACATATAGAGCAGGTTTGTCCTTTTGAGGAGCAGTTGTTGCAATAGTGTCGAGGCGAGCTGCAAGTGTGCCTGATGATGCCATCCTTGTTGGGGTTGAATAGAGCTGCGATTTGGTTGTTTTTGATGTGGAGGGACACGACAAGTTATCTGGACAAGCTATCTATCTATAGCGAAGGGTCTTCATTATGTATTATTACGCGTTTTCATTGAAATATGTAACGAGAAATGAGCTTGAGCCTGACATCAAAAGCTGAATTTTGTAAACAAACGAAATCCGCTCGATACAGCGATGCTTGATAATTGAAGAAGGGTTCCAATACGTATAATTTGGCGCTTTGATCGTGTCTAGAGTCTCCTCGTTATGTGTTTGATCTAGGATCGCTCCTTCGTTGATCAATGACATAATTGAGTCACACATTTTCACAAAAATATCAAGACAGACATGGCCGATTTCACAGTAAAGTTCCTGAGCACCGGCGTCGGGCGAGACAGGATTAACAAGTGAGTGTATGCCGCTCGCTTGTCTGCTACTTCTCTAAGCTAGCTCTGCATTGTTCCGTGGTGAAAACCACATTGCTTGTCTTTTTGGGGTTTTAGGCTTGTTGAATCCAACTATATACTGAATACTAACTACTTGTTATCTCATTATTCGCTACAATTCTATAGATTCGCCCAATTCTCTGCTCAATTCCTCGAATGGTATCTCAAGCGAGAAGGTGCAGACAAGGATGTCATTGAAAAGATCACAAAGTTGAAGACCCATTTGGGTATTGCAAGGAAATGTGAGTACCATATCGATGTATTGACTTTGTGTTGTGAGAGTGGGGTGTTGTTAGCTTGGAACTGGTGGAGAGTGGATACAATCATCGACATTGCTCTGCACGAGTGGCCCTTCGTTTTGGTCAATCACGACTCACCAACTCTAATCATAGTGATGAATGTCGGACGTCAATTGGAAATGCTACGAGGTGCCCAGAAAGCTTGGGGTGTCAAGGATCCTGTCGTACGGTTTACCACCGCTGGAAAATTATCTGGTTTGGCTTTATGGCTGACTTATGACAACTTGGGTTGGGTACGTCTCAAGTTGATGGGACATTGCGAGACGTTGCTGTGGTTGTTTTGTTCTCCTCCTTGTCGATGCGTTCTCAAGCAAAAAAGTGTGACCCAGACATGATACTCACCGCACACAACATCATATTAGGCCAACACTGTAGGAATCGTCAAACTCTCAAACCCCAAAGACATTACTGAAAAGGCCATGCAAGCTTGGATGTTTGGTTTGGTGTGTTCCATCATCGGTGGAATCTATAAGCTACGAACAAACGCCGTGCGATTGGATTTGGCTAGCAAGGCTAGACGATCTGCTGCTACAAAGAATGTCAAGGATGAAGGTGTTGAAAAGGAAATCCGAGATTTAGAAAAGTGAGTTCGTTAAGCGTGATGTATTAGTTTGTGTGGATGTTTGTCGCACGTTATCGGACATGTTCTCGTGTTGTTTTGTCGCTGTCTTGCTCACCAAAACCTCATTTCTGTCTGTTATCATAGGGAACGAACTGGCATCATCCTCAACTTTTTGCAAGACGCTCTCGATATCACTGTACCAATCTCTGCATTGAACTTGCACCCTATCGAATCGGGAATAGTAGGTCTTGCTGGTGCTGCATCCGCTGCCCTCGGTGTGTACACGCATTCTCTCACCTTGTAGACGAGATTGTGTGATTGTGGGTGTATGTGATTTGTATGGATGTGGTGGCCTCATTTTCTTTCTTCCTTGTTGTTTTGCTCTATATCTCTATCTTTTTGTCAAAAAAGGAAAACGTCTGCTTGCTTGGGATTTAAATAGATTCACTATGTCAACAAAATGAAATTCCGAGAGATGTAACAACTTGCGTTTTGACATTACCACCCGCGAGGTGTTTATAGAGCGTGTTTAGTCTATTATTCTATCAAACAGAGATAGTTTCTTTGCTTGGGATTTAAATAGATTCTGTATATATCAATAAAAAAGGAGCACGGGTCAGTGGCGTTTACAACTTGCGTTCTGGAATTACCATCAGCGTCATATTCAGAGAGTGTGTGTTCTCCATCATTCTATATGTATTGGTGTGGTTCATGAGTGCTGCTTTTATTTACAAATGGGCGAGTTCCATATCATGCAGAATCCATCTTTTTCATGAACTTGCACTGATGCCATATCCTATACATTTTCAGCTGTTTCGACCGATTGATAAGTAGCCTTCTGTCCACCGATACATCCACAACATCAAAGGCACGAAACAGATTCCGTATCTCGTCTATAGAAACAACCCGATTTATTAGTGTACGACTTGATCGATCGAAGTTTTTGTTGGTCGTGATTCTCACCATCTGAAAAAAAGTAACATCGCGTCCCATCACCTCGAACATAAAAATGATCTTGTATCCGTCTCTGAGGTTTAAATCTTAGCTGCGTCATATCGTAACGACCGTAATCGCGAAACAGTAAGAGACCACCAGGTTTCAGTAACTATAACAGAGAACAAAAAGAATTCAGTTACTCTAGATAAATGTACCGTAAACGACGAGCTTACCCGATACAGATTATTTATAGCACGATCAATCTTGTCTGGATGTATAGCAGACAGCACAAAGATACATGAGCAAACGTCCAGTGAGTTTTCCTTGATTTGAGGTGGGAGGGTGTCTGACGTTATATCTAGGATACGAGAAGCATGAGAAGCCAGAGCGACAAAGAAAACACGGAAACCGGTCACCAATGTTTGCCCACCATAAACAAAAGCACAACATCTCTTGTCATCATATTCCGGATTCTCCAATACCAGATTTACAGCCGTAGGTGCGAAATCAGCAGCGTATATGAACGCGTTTGCGTCTTTGGTTTCTGATAGGAGTGGGAAGACTGTGCTGCCTATTTTGGAAGAGGGTGATGTGCATGAGGGAAAAGGTGCGAAAATTACAAATACCTGAAACCCCCTGATTTCCCGTGCCATAATGGAACTCATCTTTATCGTACCTGTTCCACATCCAATTTCAAATATGTTGAATCGACTGGATGTGTTGGCACTCATCGTTTCAAACAGTTCTAGAAGGAAACCAGGATTTGAAGTTAAGCGCGAAAAAAAGCAGTATTATCTAGTGATGATGGAGGATCAAACAGACACAATCATCTACCTGGAAACTCTACACGTAACCAGTTTCTCTCCTACGAAATCAATACAAGTGCCACATCAGACGACCGATGATCTTCTCCATAGCAAAAAAAGGATACATCAAAGAAGTTCCCTGCTAATCACCTTGAAGAACTTGTCTTGATTCATTTTATAAAACTGGTCCCAAAAGGTAGAAGCGTCTTGCTCATACTTGTCTTGTAACTCGACAGGCATTGAATAGCTAGATTGTTTTTCGATTTGAGCTAGTGCATGAGATTCTTGTTCCTCGGTCCATTCCACTTGATCCCTATGATTTGCGATGCATGATGTGTTCGTTGTAGTGGTATTGTGTGTGCCAAAAAAGAGGAGACAATTACGCTGCCCGATTGTTTCTTTTGAACCATTACCACGCATTGAAATCCATCATACGAGTCTCATCAGTCAGGACTCTTGATCCGAATTCGGCGGTGCTTGATACAGCCTTTTTTGAATTGGATCGATTTGACGTTGATGCTGCAGATGTTGAAGATGTAGCTGCCTCCGGTTGATCAATAGAAGCACCCGATGGATTCTCCTGAGCTACATCAGATGAGCTACCGAGTACAGTGGTCATTTTTCTATAGAAGCGTGCAGAAAGTCAGTTCCTTTTCTCTCGTTTGGATCAAATGCCGAAAGCTTGGTCAATATGAAATGATTTCGTGTTTTCTAGACGGGAGCAATCATATGACACGTATATAAATCGATTAGCCCATTTCCGTACGCGCTGGAACATACCTGTCGCTCTTAGCTGGCAAGCTTTACTACTTCTTTACAAAAAACACGACAACTCGACAAACAAGATGGCTGCATTGGGAACGGCACTAGAGGCACTCGCAAGATTTGCAATCCCAGCTGGGTTGGCTGTAGCCGGTCTATCAAATGCCATGTACAATGGTATGTTCCATCTAGCTTGAATTGACACGTACCAGTCCCATTTTCAACCATATAACCAACACTTTCCATCGCATAGTGGAAGGAGGCCATCGAGCAGTCCTCTTTGATCGAGTACGAGGAATCCTCCCAACCACCGTCGAAGAAGGCACTCACTTCCTCGTGCCCTGGCTCCAACGCTCCATAATTTACGATGTTCGCACAAAACCTCGCAACATTCCAACCACGACGGGATCAAAAGACATGCAGATGATCTCACTTACTCTGAGAGTTCTGCATCGTCCAGACTATGAGAAACTGCCAATCATTTATCAGAGTCTCGGTGAAGACTATGACGAACGTGTCTTGCCTTCCATTGGTAATGAGGTGCTCAAGGCTATTGTCGCACAGTTTGATGCTAGTGAGCTTATTACCCAGAGAGAACTGGTACGTACATAGGATTACTGTATGGTGGATGTGAAAGCTGAGGGATGGCAGTCACTCACAGAGCTCCAGGTCAATCTTTTTGTCGCTCCACAACGCTAATTCAACTCTTTGCCCTCAACAGGTATCGCAACGTATTCGTGAAGACTTGGTGAAGAGAGCTGGTGAATTCAACATTGTCCTTGAAGATGTGTCTATAGTGAGTACCCCCTTGAGTCGGCAATTGCACCTTTTTGCGCAAGATTGCTAACTCTGACTTCTAACAGACTCATCTGACTTTTGGTAAAGAGTTTACAAACGCTGTCGAGCAAAAACAAATTGGTATGTTGCAGGCACAAATACCCATCTTCTATTTATTCATATCATGTCCTACATGATTCCTAACAACACTCCTCATCAATAGCTCAACAAGAAGCAGAACGAGCTCGATTCGTAGTCGAAAAAGCAGAACAAGAGAAATTAGCTGCCATCATTCGAGCTGAAGGTGAAGCTCAAGCTGCAGATCTCATTGGTCAGGCTCTGACACGAGCTGGTCAGGGACACGTTGAATTACGTCGTATTGAAGCTTCAAAGGAAATCGCTACTCAATTAAGTCAGTCTCGTAACGTTACATACTTGCCTGGTGGTAGGAATGCCAGCAATCTATTGTTGAATGTTGGAGGCAATTAAAAAAGGGAGGAGATTGTAATGGCGATTTTATAAAGATTCATTATGCTGATAAAGAAATGTATAAAAGACGATATGCTTTTAAGAAAGAAGCCATTCCTCACTGAAAGTCTAGCTCAAACGTCCCAAGTTTATGAAATACAATTCTCACAAATGCCTTCCGAAGCTGAAATGTTGTGGACAGAAAGGATCGTGGATTGTTTGGAATTATACGTAAGTCACCGGCAAAGTTGTCGTCGTCGTTGTCGCTGCCAGCTGCAGCAGGGTGAGCAGTGATGCAAAGGAAAGCAAAGAGAGGTTTATAGCGCATAATGGTTATTTCATTCTTCCATACATGCCATTGCCACCACAACCTGCCGCAAACAGCACTACAGCTGCCACCTCATATGGTCCATCTGCTGGCTCAATTGATCAAGCTGGTCAAAGCATTGCAAGAGGTTTGAAAAATGGAGTTTAATGTCTTTACTCGTCTTTTGACTGACCAAACATTATCAGCATACAGGGACAATGGAAGCCAATCTCCCAATTCAAAGATCGCATCGAGAAGAAGTGTGTTTGCTGTACACTTCTAGTTTAAATGTAAATGTCTGCGAAAACACTGTCAAGAATCATGCAGTCGAGGAACTTTGGAACAATCATGCAGTCAACCCAGAACTCTGGAACACAATATCTCATTTTGCTGTGATGCAATCATTTGATGATAATGAACTTGATGAAACACTCTTGAACTTAACCTCATTTCCTGTATTCAAATCTCTGCTAATCTCCAGTTTTACAGGATCTTTGGCAATTTGCTTTTGCACTTCTGATGGTCATATTGATGTATGCTACGGGCGTACTCGAGTAATTTTGCTGGATTGAGGCTGAGTTAAGACCTCTTAACATTTTCAACATTCAGACATTGTCTTCGACCAATCTCCTACAACAATGGTCCTTTCTCTACAGAACGATAGAACGAGGCATTCTTCTACTTTTCCGCTCTGTGAGTTTTGCAGCTTTGATATGCAAGTTTTGTCTAGGAGTGATGTAAAGCACTCACACAAACAATATGTATACATGATGTGGTGTCAAGGGTCATTGTTTATGAGATGGATGAAAGTTGAATAAAATCACAAGTAGTTCCTTTGCATTGAAGAGACAACCCTCATTCCTCACTGACTCCTTGGTGTCAATTTCGAAGTCTCGTTTGATCTTGAGCAGAAGTGGACTTTTTTGTCGATGATCTGACTAGTGAAGGGGAGAGGTCACCTAGTTCCGTGTGCACAGTATGTTTCTAATTGCCTTCATCTTCACTCCAAGTGAGATGAGCTACCTTGCTTAATAGCCACCGTGGAAACAGACATTTGAAAGGCGTGAACAAGTTGATGCAAATTTGGTGATAGAACGTGGTTTTACTGTTCAGAAACAGCTTCTTGAAACAACTGTCACACTTGCTCCGATGGTATAAGCGGAATGATTATCAACTGACGTGTTTGTAGACTCGTCAACTAACTCTTGAAGTTCGAGTTTCAAAATGAAACTACATTGCAAAGATATTGTATAGCCGACATTCAATCATGTATGTTTCGTGATATCATACGGCATTCAATATATTTGGCATACAAACTGATCCTATCTTTGATAGACATTAAACCGCTGGAAAACTGAGGCACCTGAGATTGTTTCAAGGCCACTATAAAGCTTCAGCAAATTCTTCGTAAGCGAAAGTAGTGTTGCGAATCCTCACTACTGTTTGTCAACTAGACAATCTTATGCTTATTACAAATTCCTGCGAATGCCTGTCAGTTGCGAACTACATTCAAGTACTAGTTGATAGAAGCAGAGTGAACGTATGATGAAAGCAAAGGGTGCGAATTGACGATAACCAAAAAAATCATGTGGTTTTCTCGACGATTCGATGAAAGAAAATGCATAGCTGGTTTGCAAGAAGGGGTGATGTCGTGTTCGGCTGGAAGCAAAACGAATTCCAGGAACGCAAAAGCTCCCAGCGTATGGATGTCGGAGAATTTCGATTAGAAAAACATTGCGTCAGATGGCGATTTCCATGAATCGGTTTTGGACGCAAATTGAACAAGTTCCAAAAGTAGAGCTCTTCAAGAGGACTATGAGAGCAGATAGCTATAGGTCGAAACACGCGTAGTTATACCACCGGAGCTCATAAGACGGCTTTATTGTTATTATTGTAGGAGATTTGTTTTTGTACCAATCACGGCTCAAGCTCATTTTTTATCCCTCATGTTAAACGCACATCGACCTCCACGAAACGTATAGAAGTAAAAGAGTTGTTAATTTAGGTCTATTGGAGAGTATCGACAGGACTCCGAAGTGACGGGACCTTATCTAGTTGGGAGGGGGATTTAGTTCCGCAAACATTTTAGCAATCGAACTAGTCGAAGAACCAAAAATGAATCCCCTTACCTCGCACAATTCCTACAAGGAATCCAGTGCCACAGCATCGATGACTGGTCAATCCACGACAGCACCTCCAACTGCAGCCATACTCGGAGGAGTGTCTGGAGTTCGCGATTACCTAGTCTCAACAGTGCAGAACTCGCTTCAGCAGACCTCATCCTTCCTTGGTCGACCAGACACTGCATCTTCAGGAACCAACAATGAAAATTACGGCCCATCGACATTCGCTCCAACTCCATTCGTTGCTCAACCTGTATCATACGAACAAGTTGTGCCTAACTTCTTGTCGAAGCATGTTCGAGCATATTGTGATCGACTCGTCCGTGAACAGACTGTTAATTCGTATACTAATGGCACTGGTGGCGGACCACGTAAATTGCAGCAGTCGACGGAATCTTTGGCTACCATGATGAAACCAAGTGCTGATGAGGCTTTTGCTGCTGTGGTTATGGCTGATGTGTCTGGTTACTCGACGCTGACTTCCATGCTGGCTGAACGTGGTCCTATTGGTGCTGAGTTGCTTAGTAAAGCTATGAAGGGATACCTTGATAAAGTATGGCGTTGTTGCATAGTGACTGGTCGTTGCAGTCTATTTGGGTTTCAAGACCAAGGCAAGCTTGCTCAACGACATTCATTCTTTAATTAGATTATTCAAATTGTATTAACGCATGGTGGTGACATTGTCAAATTCGCTGGTTTGTAGCATGCTGTCATTTTGTCGAATGTTTTTCCGTCCACTCAAAACTTGACACACATATTCCAAATACACAGGTGACGCAGTCATATTCTACTGGCGCATAGAAGCAGGTCGAGAAGGCAAAGAAGAACCCAAATCCAAAGAAGATATCCGAAAAGGGGAATTAATATACAAGGCATGTAATTGTTGCTTTGATCTGCTAGCCAAACTTGGATCATACGAAGTCAACATACCGAATTGTCCTACAAAGCTATTGAGGATACATTTGGGTATTGGTGGTGGTAATATCTATGATGTCCATGTTGGTGGACCTCCAGGTCGTTGGGAGCATTTTATTGCGGGTGATGCTGTAAATCAGTTATCGGTTGTGCTTGATTTAGCCAAGCCTGGTATGTTAGTTGTGCTGTCATATTCTTGGAACACCCTAGCTGGTTATAGAGCTTGTGTTGGCTGCCATGTGTAGCAATTGTTAACGACTAGTTCACCTTTTTTTACTTGCAGGTGAACTGGCCATTTCGCATCAAGCAATGAAGTTCTTAGCCAACGTAATCAACGTATCAACAGTGGTACTAGAAGGATACGACAAACGTTGTGTCATTGTAAAATCAATGGAAAACGCTAGACGGCGAGTTCCACCCCCAACACCAGACGTAACCGAAGACACTGATCTTTGGGAAGTCACAGCCAAAGAATCAAACGTCTCACTGTACGAGAAATTTGTCTCACATCCAGCCCTCTTCAAACTCCAAGCCGATTTAAACCAATCCAAACTATTCCGTATCGAATCCCACCTCTCTGATCTAATGTCGTTGTACGAATTACGTCAAGTCACAACCATATTCATTCGTCTTGGATCGCTCTTTGAATGGGAAGCCAATCCACGAGCTCTTGATGATGCACAGTATGCCATGACGATTGTGCAAGAGTCGCTCAAGAAATATGAAGGGTCATTACGACAGTTCCATGTAGATGATAAAGGAGCTGTTATATTGTGTTTCTTTGGATTACCACCCCTTGCACATGAAAATGATGCATCGTATGGTTTAAAGGCTGGATTGGCTATATGTCAAGGATTCCAGGAACGATTTAGTTTCTCGATTGGTATTACCACTGGTGTGGTTTCCATTGGTGGAGTTGGTAATGCTGTGAGAACAGAATATGCTGTGGTAAGTTACAACTTTACACCAATCCTGGAGTACGGTTTTTGTCATCTCATGACTCAACAGAGGAACTAAACATTTTTCAAACTCTAGATGGGTGACTCAATCAACATGGCAGCACGTCTAATGTGTCTACCATACGCAGCAAACTCCATCCTGTGTGATGAGAAGACCTACAATTTAGCTGAACGAGACTTCTTCTTTGATTTCTTGGGAGAAGTGAAAGTAAAGGGTAAAGCTAAACCTATATCGACATTCAGGCCTAAAGCTTTAAGGCCAGAAGGTGGTAAAGGAAGTGCAGCTCGTGATAACCCACGTGAAATATGTGGTCGTCTAGTCGAAAAGGCTGCCATTATCAATGCAGTCACTCAACATGTAGCTGGAGAGCCATCTGGTCTAGTGATTATTGAATCCGATGCTGGACAAGGTCTTTCGACTCTAGTAAAGTATACTAAAGTTGAAGCTACGGAACGAAATTGTCATGTTTGGTATGTATTTAGTTGAACTTTCATCTGGTTGCAACCAAAAAAGAGGCCTCAAACTTAAGAATTATTATGACACAAAATAGCAACGGAAGTGCAGCAGAAATGGAAAAATACACACCATACTATGCTTTCCGTGATGTAGTCTGTGACCTCCTCGCCATGATTGAAGACAGCGTACCAGATGGAGACGGTGGTTTCTGCATACCATTAGGCCACCCACCTAAATCAGACTCCAAAAAGGAATTGGTTGCTGAAGCTGCCAATACCGTCCATCCACTCGCTTCAGATCCCGCCACACATGAAACATCACCCACACTTAAGGTCAATCGTCGAAGTGCCAATCGAATGTCCATATTCGAGGATGATTCTCTACATCCCTTCCATCATCGCCAACCTCAAGCACGAATGAAACAAGGATATCTCAACATGATTGCTTCTAATGATGCTTTGGCAAACGCTCGACGAGCGGCTAGTGCTCAAGGTGCTAGGAATGATGATGACGTGACTGTTGGTGGTATGAATGTCTCTGTTCCAGTTGTCGTTAATTCTAATGGTAAGAGCCCTCTTTCCATGAGTTTGAAACACTACAAATTACTAATATTTCCCCCATGACTTGCAGACTCACCACTGTCGCCATCTATACCAACAGGACCTGTTCCAGGGATAGCGATTTCAGATTCTGATAGTGACTTGGGCAGCCAGATGCTTTTCGAAGATCGAGTGAAATCATGTCTGCACAAAATGGGTGAAAATCCAGACTTGGCCCCACTCTTGGACCATATCTTGCCTTTCAACTTTGAAAAGAATGAGCTGATTAACACCATGTCTGCCAAAGTTCGAATGAAGGAATTGTCAGACATGCTCCGCCGCATTGTCAGCAACTTGGCCCAAGCTAATCCAGTCGTATTCACCTTCCACGAAGTTCAATGGATGGATAGTTTGTCGTGGGAGCTGTTATGGGAGATTCTCAACACGTGCCCCAGAGTTATGGTCATTATGTTTACTCGTGTTGAAAAGTATTATGAGAGTGATGAAGGTCGTGTCTACCTCAACAAGCTCAAGAAGCTTCCTCGAGCCTTGTCAATACGAATGGAAGGACTCAGTAAATCAGATACTGAAAAGATGATTATATCAACTTGGACTGGTAAACCGCTGAGAGGTGTCTCCAACCTCATCGTCGACAATGTATATAAACGAACCAACGGCAACCCTCTCTATATTCGATCTCTCACCACCGCACTCAAAGAATCCGGACAATGGAGAATCAGTGATGCAGGCATACTCCAAACCGAACAAGGCGAATTTGACTTTGAAAAAGTCGTCTTTGGATATGACTTGCAATCCATCATCACTGCCCAATTTGATCGTTTGGATCGAAGCTTCCAACTCTTCCTCAAAGTTGCTTCCGTGTTGGGTCAACGCTTCCTACTTGATGACGTACTCGTGTTTTTGGGAGACCTGACTGGCTTCTCTGAAAAGTTTTATCGAAAGGGACCACGAGAAGTAGCCAACCAAATTGATGCAATGGATAAATATGGATTCTTGACACGACCTGAAGGTGATCAGGAATCACTCTTCTTCCAATTCAAATCTGCCGTCATCCATCGAAGTATCTATAACATGATGGTCATGTCTCAACGTCAACAATTGCATTTGAATATTGCGTCCTACTATGAAAAGATCATCAACGACGAAAATCGACACCGTTTACTGATACCCCTGTACGAGCACTTTATGGAAACTGACGAAAGGCAACGATTCAAGAAGCTGAAATACTTGGAAGCTGTCTGTCATTTCTATTACGAAAAGCATTCCATGAGGGATGCCATCAAGCACTACAATATTTTTATCGAGACAGTCAACGAGCTCGAAAAGGAAAACAATCGTCAATTGTTTGCTCCAGCTGTACGAGCCGCTTGGCATCGTGAACTTGGTGAAGCCTACTTTTCACGACAAGAGTTTACTCAGGGTGAAGTGCACCTCTTGAAATCTCTAAGTTTACTGGGTCACGAATTCGTCAGTGGGAGGATTGCACTAGCACTCAAGATTCGTCAAGAAAAGAGGACCCGTAGTCGATTCCAAATCCAGTCACTAACTAATCCGGCTTCTGAACACAACATTAACGTCAGCACCTACAACACCAACACATGGGAATCAAAGGGCACACTCAACCAACGAGATAAATACCTAGCCGATCCAAGATCAGACAATAACAGTACGGATGGTGGTCTACCCATCGGTACATTATCTTCAGCAACTTCGAAACTTGTATCCAAATCTCGAACAATGTCAACACCCATGATTGTCAAAGTGGACCAACAAAGCAGTAATCCAGCTATAAATGGGGACGCTCGCGCTGGAACGTTAAACCGCCGATCATCTCGTCTACCCCCATCAAGTGCGAATAGTCACGGTCAAGTACTCAGTTCTTCCTTTTTGGATGACGGCAACTCCCCAGCTGTTCAAGCAGGCTCACTTCCTGTAAACAAGGACGGAAGTATTCCCATGCTATCAGTCACTGGATCTGATGTTGGCAGTCTCGTATTCCCATCAGTGCAACTACAGCAAGCTAATGATCGACGAGAGGGTATGAGCACACATGGCATGAGCACGCATGATTCCAAGCATGATTCGACTGGCCAATTGAATGCTTTGCTGATGGGAGGTAAATGGCAAACCATGCATCAAGTTCGAATGACGTATATGACATTGGCTCAACTCTACCTGCAAACGGAAAACATGAAGAAGCATTGCTATGTTGTGTTTGCTGGTCTCAACATGTCTGAAACACCATTCCCCAAGGATGCTATTTATACCAAGTTTATGGCTATGGCTGGTCTACTGTATTGGACTCATGAAAAGAACCAAAAACGAGCCAAGGCGTATATTGACCACGCCATGTATCACGACAGGAACTTATCTGATGTTGGTGCTCGTGCAATGGTCGTATGGTGTAGTGCCCGATTCTCGTACTTGACTGGTGACTATGTCAGTGCTCTTCAACAAGCCGACCATCTCTTAACCCTCAGCCACAGTCTCGGTGATTGGTTTATTCGTGAAGAAGCACTACGACTCAAAGCCCTAATATCGTATGAGCAAGGACCTCGATCTCTAGCTATGGCAGCATCACGAGAATACTATACCACTGCCGTACACGAAGACCGATCCCTGGGTAAACTATGGGGATGTCTCAAAGTCCTAAAGTGCTCTCTCGCACAGGAAAAGCTAGTATCGGATGAAATACAAGACCAGTGTCGCTCATGTCGACAGATTCTGGCAACACCAGATCAATCATGGGCAACACATCCGGCATTATGTATTGTGCGGATATCCATTCTAGCTGAATGTGATCGACGTCTTGGACTGGAAGTACCACCAGAAAACGTGATTCGAGAAATCCAGAAACATACCAAGAACCTCAAGAAATACCATTGGTATATAATAGTGGGATTACATCAACTCGCCATGTTCCTCTTCACCGCATACGATAACCGTGGCTTCTCCCCCCAACGCCCTGATGCACGGAAAGCCGTCATTGGCCTCCTCACCGACCTGTGCAAGCAGCTCAAAATAATCGGAACCACATGCCTTTTCGTGATACCCATACGATACCTCTTCAAAGGACTCCTCAGTATAGTACAGGATCGTAAACGAGAAGCTACGAGACGCTGGGTCCGTGGTCTCAAATCGCCAGGATGTAAAGACCAATTATACCTCACTTCCACTCTGCATTGGCGTCTTGCCAAGTATGCTATACCAGTTGGTGATCCACGACGTGAACGACATTTAGAGGAAGGTCGTCAAGGATTCAAAAAGCTCTCTGCTGCTTATGAGCAATCGCAATTAGCCTTGTGTGAAAAGTCGGCCTAAGTTATTATTACTACCTCTCTCTCTTTATATCCCCCACCTTAATCAAGCATCGTTTTTATAATTTTTCGTTGTAATATGGAGTGAAAATGTTTTCAAATACCAGTAACTTACTATAACTTGAGCGTCTTTGTTACTGAATTGTTTGAAAGTCAAAAACACCTGACTTCAACTGCCGCGGCAAGACAAATCTCATTAAACACCACCGGAATCTAATGTCAAGATATAATACGAGGACTATGAAGCGAACGAGCACCATGCTGATACGGTTATTGCTATTATTATGGCCTTCTCTCATAACAGCAACTCATCAAACAAGCTTTCCGCCGGATTTAACGAGAGATGAAGCTAGTAAAGCAGCTAGATACTTGGTGAAATCGACAAAGACAGGAGAACTGTCTACGATTATGGCTGATACCGCACCCGTAGGTAAGCTGACCTGCAATTGCTACTTTCAACATTTGAAAGCTTGGATACGTTTTGTTCAAGTTGAGCCTTCAACCTTTGACAGTCTCGCTAATCGACACATTATCCTATCACATATAGCATCTGGATTCCCATACTCTTCTGTAGAGTATTACGTAGATGATTGCACGTCAAGTGGTGACGTGCTCTTCTTTCTCGCCACGATCTCAACACACGCCAAGAATATACGGGCCGGCTCGAATGTCTCTTTGTCTATACGGGACCTGTCTCATAAGAGGGTCCGACCTATGAGTAGAGCTCGGATCTCCTTGTTTGGCGAGCTGTCCCGAGTTGACAATGATGCTGAGGTATGTTTCAGCAATTCGTGTTGAAATTCCCCTTTTTTGCAAGAAATAGATGCAATTGGAGAATTATTAATCAATCATGCAAACCTATAATAGTTGGTTAGTGATGACTGATTCGCTTTCTTGTTTAGATTGACCAAGCTATGAAATGCTTTCTTAAAGGACACCCTGATGCAAAATCGTGGTATATCGCTCATGACTTTAATGTCTTTGTCCTCCACGTTACCAACACCCATTATATTGGAGGGTTTGGTGACAAGCACTTCATTGGCTGGATTAGTGGTGACTTGTACCATAATTCGTCCGCTCTATCTGTTTCTCATCTCGTCCAACAAAACACTCTGTAGTATCCTGTTTCAAACCTCTTCGTTTTTATAACTAAACTTTTTATATTTCAAAAGTGCAGTTTCCAAAACAGTTTTTAAAGTTTAGCAACCGCAACCTTTGAGCTAATCAAATCCGCAACCTCAGCATCACTAAAGCCGTACTCCTTCAACACGTCCTTCGTATTAGCACCCATAATAGGGTTTGGCGATTTAACTACACCTGGCGTACGACTCAATCGTGGTACTGGTGGTACCTCAAATCCTTTACCAGGGCCCATATCAGGGATGAAGGTCTTTCGGGGATTGTTGTGGATGTGGCCGTTGACTTCTTCAGCTTCCAAGACGGGGGCGACACAAGCATCGGTCAAGTCAAAGATCTTTTCCCATTCGGATCGGTTTTTGGCAATGAAGCGAGATGCAATCAAGAGCTTGAGTTCGGGCCACTCTTTTTGGTCCATTTGACGGGCAGACCATGTGGGGTCGAGTTCGAGGCCTTTTAAGAGGAGGGCAAAGAATTGGGGTTCAATGGCACCTCTGTTTGGGGGTTGAGTGTGAGATGTTTTGTTAGTTTGAGGTGTGAATGGAGGAGAGGCCAATTGCTCAGCACAAATAGACGAATTTGTGTGTGGTATTTTTTACTATGTGATCTTTGATAAATGGCGATAATTGCAATACGTACACAGACATGAATTTGCCGTCCTTTGTCTTGTAGACATCATAGAATGGAGCACCAGAGTCCAACATGTTTTCACCACGAGGGTTTGGCCATCCACCAGCATTCTTTGTCTTGAAGTATGCTGAGGCGAGGTATGCAGCACCATCAACCTATACAGGCAACAAAACGGGGATGAGTAATCTACATCAAACCGAAACCGCAGCCAAAACAAAAAAACATGACTTCGAACTTCTGCAAAGGTCACATACCATGGCAGCATCAACAACCTGACCCTTTCCAGACTTGCTTCGTTCGAGCAACGACAACAAGATACCCATAGCACACAACATTCCTCCACCAGCAAAGTCTCCCAAGATGTTCAATGGGAACATTGGGTTGTCACCTTTACGTCCAATAGCAGCCAAAGCACCTGATACTGCAATATAGTTGATATCGTGACCAGCCATGTTTTTATAAGCGCCAGTTTGACCGAATCCAGTCATACGGGCATAGATGAGACGTGGGTTGTCTTTGAGGAGGACATCGGGGCCCAATCCTAGTTTTTCAGCGACACCTGGTCTGAATGGTTCGATGAATACGTCGGCGGTTTTCACCATGCGACGAACAGCAGCAATTGCTTTGGGAGACTTTAGGTCTAGTGCCATGGAGCGTTTGCCACTATAAATGAGGTGAGTAGATGTTGGTATGCGGTTTTGTTAAAAAACAAATAGCAAGTGTGACATGACAGTTTGTATATGACGTCGATGTGTGGTTTTCGTACCGAGCGAGCAAGTCCCGGCTGCCAGTTAAAGGAGCTCTGTCGACACGAACTACATTTGCACCCCAGTCGGCCAGTATCATTCCAGCGAAAGGGGCAGGTGCCAAACCGGCCAACTCAATAACTTTTATACCACCCAAAGGAGAGTCCTTGATGCCAAGAAGGATGCAAGTAAAAGAAGTTAGAAATGTATGATGCAACGCAAGAGCATGACGCAGACAACAGACTATCTTACCATTGTAATTCCTCGTTCAAAGTTTAAACGGTTAAAGAGTTTGGAAGCTTTCGGAGTTGAACAGGTCACGTAACACAGTGACTTTTACGACTATGGTAGCTTTTTCTAGTCGAATGAGACTTAGGTGGACGCGTTCTTGCAGCTTTAGACTTTGTAGTCTCGTAATGTGAGCTTTTTCCGTATGAGCCAGGCGTGTGGGGTTTCCTTCTTCATTGTCCATTCGCTTAAAACTGCTTCCTTCTCGAATCACGACGCCTGCAGCTGATCCTCCATGATCAACGTGAATAATTTATCGATAATATGGCGGTCTCAAAGCAGACCGAACGCATAGTTGCAACATCTTGTATTTTCAATTTCTAAACGCTTGAGACCATGCAAGATCTACAATACGCAATCAACGGTGCTCGTGTCAAGCTCAAGAACCTCATTAACGATATCCTGAATGACAAAACACTTTTGCATAACAAGGATGATGTCGCTCTAGATGCATTCATAACGCTAATCAATCGATTTCTGCAAAATAATGTGAAGGACCAGCAGAATACTCGTGCTCAAGTGCTGCTCGACTACGCAACTGAACGCTTACACGAGCAAGTATACTCGAGCGTGCCATCTTATATAAGAGTCATGCATCAAGTAGCTAGTATGTGTCTGGCATTGGAAGCGCTTGACACATCTGATCAAGCTGCAGGAGTAATTGAAGCTATAAGGGGGATAGATACCACGATACTAATATCAGGGGTGCCATATAAAAGTAACCTAGTCAAGGAGCTAGTTGTAGATCTGCAACAGGCTCTACCTGTAGACAGTGGTATCGATCTGAATGAAACTATTCAGCCTACTATTCCTCGACCAATCCCATACAACGCCATCTTAGACATCCCACGTATATTATCTCCATCAATAACCCAATTCATGAAGATCTTGTCAAACGGCACCCCAGCATTAATCACAAATGTCATCAACGACTGGCCAGCCCTCTCAACCCGCCGTTTCACACTCGAATACTTGATGAAAACAATGGGATGTCACCGTATAGTACCTGTGGAAATCGGATCTTCATATGACGATGCAGGGTGGACCCAAAAGCTCGTAACCGTATCCGAGTTTTTCAAACACTTGAACAATGAGTCGGAAAAGTGGTATCTAGCTCAGCACGACTTGTTTAGCCAGTTTCCTATACTAACTCAGGATATTTTGACGCCTGATTACTGTTATGCTGCGGGGAGGGATGAGGATGTTAAAGTGAATGCATGGTTTGGACCACAGGATACTGTATCGCCTGCACATACCGATCCACATGATAATCTATTGGCGCAGGTTGTGGGATATAAGAGGGTGTTACTTGTTCCTGCTTCAGAGAGGGGTTGCGTGTATCCTCATAGTGCAGAGACCATGCTTTCTAATACGGCTCAAGTAAGTGATGTGCATCTTTTGACAAGCTCATGATTTAACACATGTCGTTTATTTAGGTGGATCTGGAGCAGCCTGACTTTGAAGCATTCCCATTGTCTAAAGAGCTGACATGCTGGGAAGGGGTTCTTGAACCTGGAGATTTGCTCTTCATACCAGTACGATATCTATCAGATTTTATTGCTCCAAATTTTCGAAACTGACGCTTTTGTTTTCAGGTTGGATGGTGGCATCATCTAAGATCACTTTCTGTGAGCCTGAGTGTGAGTTTCTGGTTTTAAACCCATCAACATCACGCAGCAATCAGCAGCCACTCTACAAATTACATAGAATACATACTGCAGCAGCAACCTGTAAATTGTAACTAGCCAGAACAACATATTCATGCTAAATTATTACTCGTGTATTGCTAAAATATACTACATGGGCAAGACATTACGCGCTAGATTCGACCCGACCTTCACAAACCCTTTAGGCATATTCAACTGTCTCGGAATCTCATTAACGAGCCTCACTTTAACCAATTCTCGAATAGCCAGTATCTGGCCCGCACATCGAGGCCCACACCTTCTATACACGACTTCATGCCGTCCATGCAACCCCAAAGCCGAGGCGACAATCCTCTTTTGCTTTGACACACCTTTAAATCCACGTAGGAGTGTTATTTCATAGTATGTTGCTGCAAACCTGCCTGAGCTAGCTGATACATCCGGTTTCGGGGCAGCTGGATATGTGGTTGGGAGGGGTACGGCGGTTTGTGTGTCGTCCAAGTGTCGTTTCTGGGGTTTCGGTCGTGCTAGACGGATCCAAATGGGGAGGTTTGGGACTCGAGGGATTGGTTTTGATTTGACTCGTTTTGGGACGGGTGGGGATGCTAGCTGGGATGGAGTGGCGGGTTTATAGGCCGGTGGAGCCCATGCTGGTGGTTTACGAGGATAATTTTGTAGCGTGGATGTGGTGAAGTGTGATGATGGTGGTGATGGTGCTTTTATGTTTGGTTTATGGCATGAGCTGATTGATGTGCCTATATTTGGATGGCGGAGATGGCCCAGTAGTTTGCTAGAGTGCCTATATATGGACGCCATTTGTAACTTGGTGGCTTCTAACTCCTGATGTGTCGACTGTCTATACTGCAACGTTTTCTTCCGGGTTTTGTAGCAAGTCCGAGCTCGACGACGAGATGAGCACAAGGCGACGTGTTTCCACTTATTCGTCTGCTTTATACTAACGAAGATACGCGTAAAATCACAGTTCCTCTTACATCGAAGAAAGTTGATTCCTCGCTTCGATTGTTTAAAATTCAACAATTTGTGGTTCACGTTCAACTAAACAAGAGGAGAGCCATGTGGCTGACAGATACTCAAAGTAAGTCCTCATACACGACTGCATATCAAGATCACTTGATCAAACTACGTGCTTTTCATCTGTTGTATTTGACCACCAAAATACTCAACCCTCCCCATTGCTGCCCTTTTAGAAATTGGCGTCGGGCTAACAGCCTTTGGCCTATTTTTCATGTTCCTGGGTATCTTGCTGTTCTTTGATGCTGGACTATTGGCCATAGGCAACGTGAGTGTTGCTAAACCATCACCATTTGTTGGAAGTGTCGTGTTGAAATCAGATGCCAACTACACTTGCTGGTCACTTACTTCACACCAAGCCGCTACTTCCAACTCATAACTCTCGACTCATTGCAGATACTCTTCCTCGGAGGCCTGACGCTCGTTATTGGAATGGCCAAAACAGCAACCTTCTTTATGAGAAAGAACAAACTCAGAGGGACTGTGTGCTTTCTTGGTGGTATACTACTCGTATTTATAAAATGGCCAATGATCGGAATGGTTGTGGAATTATTTGGATTTGTGAATCTCTTTGGGTACATTACAGTGTGGATATCGAAGGATGTGCTTCAAGAACAAAGACTCACTGGTGTTTGTTTGATCTTGGTTAGGGACTTTTTCCCAGTGGTTATTGGATTTCTGAGGCGGCTACCCTTCATCGGGACAATATTAGCTATACCCGCTGTCTCTAATGTAACAGTAGTCTTGATTCTCAACGCGTTTGGATCTCTCCAACCAAACTTTTCTGTCTTGACTAGGTTCTCGATAGAATAGCAGGACCAACCAAACTGCCGGTGTAAATAGTTGTGCGAATATATATTACATTATAAGTATATTATAGGGCATGCATTATGGAGTGTGTATCAGTTGCAGTAAGTAAGTGGTATTTATATGCTGGTATGCAGCAAGACGTCTAGACCATCGACCGGGACCGACCGAAAGGTTGAAACAGGTGTAAGGCTTGAAACAGGGGTAATTGTTGATAGAGCAACAGGTTGTTGCATGGACGTAAGGATCAGACCAATGCTCAGGAGATACAGAATTGAGTATTGACATACGTAAAACAGACGTTCGGGGAACCCTACGCATTTGTAGAACTTCATTACAATCATGATTGGGATAAAGACTGTTCCTGCCACCTAAGACCAAAAAAGGCAGAGCCATCAACACATAATTGGAGCTGCATACAGGCTGTGGCCAACGGTGACTCCATACTCACCCCAATCCAACGAATCGGTGCACCCAGTGTATACAGTGCCGTCCCAGTCAACGGCCTTTCGGTATCCCAAAAGGCACTCGGCAGACACATTGCACAAACGCAAATTCCTCCAAACGACAAGGCTGCCGCCAGAAGATGCAGCCGGCTTGTAAGTTTCGAGTGCTGAGGATCTGACTGTAGTTTTTCAGCGTCTGGTGGTATGTTGACCTCGATATCAGCCCGTAGTAGAGACGTAGCGATCCTAGTGACACTGTAAACAGCCAATGCCAGAATTCCAAAGATTAGGGCCCATGTAATTGGGGTGTCGGTTTCTAGAATTGTTTGGACAGGAATTTATTAGCTCAACTCATGCATCGGTGGATTTCCAGGGATGTAGCGACAGTATATGCGCTATAATGAGCGAGCCTGCAATCTGATCAGACACAATCGATCGTCCTGCTCCACACTGTTCCATTTTTTTTGGCCTTTAAGAAAAGAAAACTTGACCATCATTGTTGATCCACCTACCTACCTTGGAAATAGCATGTAAGGCCGATGCATAAAGCAGCCGAACATGCAGATGCACCCCACCAATGCGTCAAAGCATACGGCCTTGTCGCCTTTGTGGATCCAAAATCCGATACTGCGTTTGCACTTGGTTTCAGTCCAGTTGGAATTGTGTGGGCTATTAAAAGGCCAATCGTAGCGATTACTAGCGCTATTGTAGCTATTATGCCCATCGCGAGGCTAATAATTACCGTCATCGTGTGCTAGAACCACCAGAACTGATATGTGGTGGCTGCGAAGCACTCAAAATTGGAGTTGGGGGGGTTACACGTAGAACATAGCAGGTTTTTTGGTAGTTTGTTTATTTTTTACAGGAGGTGGTAGAGAATATAAATGCGAGACCCAAACATTTGTTTCGTTTACTTGCTAGAAGTTGGTGCTGGGTTCATTTGCTAGGGTGATGGAGAAATGTCAAACTCATGGTCATGTCCCAAGAAGGTCCATAAGGAAACTTACCCTCTTCTTTCCTCCAAAACCGGCCACAACGTTTACGAATCGTCTGTTGTATATAATGCGCTTCTTTGCACGTCCTATGTAATGCAACATGGATTGTTTGTCAGCTGATGGTCATTCCTGAAGGAGACCGATATCAAAATGTTGATTCGTTCTTCAATGAGAGAGACATCGTTCGACTGGACGCTCTCATAAGTCCTCTGTAAATTTAGACTCCTGTCTCAGCGACTGAGCTTCGAATTCAACATTTCCAATTCCCGTCCACTAAGTCTTTCCACCACAAGGCTACATAGTTCCATCGATGCTAAATATAAGATATCTTACCAGTCTTCTTCTTTCTCTTCTCTTGCTTTTCAACTTTGGGAGTTTGACCCTTGACTTTACCAGCACGGGCTAGAGAACCGTGAACTTTACCCTATGAGTCGAGTCCAATTGTAAGAAATATGATAAATACAGAATCCAAATTTCATGCTCTAGCGATTTGAGGGGATGGCTGGCATGTTGCCGATGGTCTGGCACACAAGGTTGTTGATGTCTGGATTTTCGTCAATATATGTCAAGCAGAGGTTCAAAAAAGCAGCGATATATCTCATATGATGCCGAGAGCTTCAATTTGTCCACTTTCAACCTGTTACTAAAGTCGCTTTTGCACTTGATGACTTTCTATGTTGCTGACAATCAACATTTCCAAATAACGAATCATCCAGGGGGTGGGAGCCAAAGGAGAGACAATATCCAGCATGCCTGCCATCCTCTCAAATGAATGCGAGCGTTCACTTACCATCTTGTCTTTGCAGAATTAATGGATGTGTAGGATGCTTCACAACTTTACCTAGGGGTCACTACAATATATACCGTTTACGTGTTTTCACTGGTGTTTTCACTGAGAGAGAATTCTACGCGATGCTATATTATAATTTACAAGCAGTATTTACATGTATCAAAAATATTCACAATTTACAGATCATAATGCAAGTTGACCATTCAAATACTCAACAAAATCATCAGCAACAACTTGAAAATCAGTCTGAATATGTGTCGAATTCAGACTCGTGAACTGTCTTCTGAGTCGTCTCAGTTCAGCCAAAGTTACTGTACGTGATGGCATTATAACACGTACTCTTGATCGAGGTACTACGAGACCGTCGTGATCGCTGAAATTGTCCTTTTGGGATTCAATGATTCTGGCTACTATATCTCCAAGCGTCTTGTCCATATCATGAAGATAGTTGGAAGGCGTTACTACAGACTAGAGGAGAAAATATGAAGAGTGTTTGCAGGGTGAGTGCAAAAAAACGGCGTCGCATTCTGCCAACATCCGACCTTGTGAGTAGCCGTATGGGGCTTGGTACCCTTTTTGAATATCAGAGCTTCTATTAGAGCTTCACCGTATCGTTCTATTAGGTCATCTTCAGGAGCAATGGTGAAGCAAGGCGAGTCCCATCGATTTCTGGGATCTGGTTCCTCAAATCTCATTACGAGACTATCGAAACTATTGAATCCATGAAAATTGCGTCAGATTAACTACGCATTTCATGATCAATGAGGATTTCAATAAACTTGCGTGGCAGCATCATAGGAATTGTCTGATCTAGCAGTATTCCAAGCTCTAGCAGTTTCCACAGGTGTCCCACAATACAGCTAGTAGAATGAGAGTGATTGAGCAAAAAGGATCTGTGCAATGTGTTGAGCTTGGAAATATTCTCACAATACAGTGTGGCGTTGCCATTGTCTTTGACGAGCAATACAGTTGATACCGATATCCCTTGATATAATTCATCCAGTCCGAGATCACAATCGTTTCCCTAGACAGCAAACGTTCAATGGCCGAGTATAGCGAAGCTCGACAGTTTTTTTCCTCTGATGCAGCTACGTTTAACAAATAAGCAAAACCTGTAAGCAAAACGATAATAGATCATGATCAAAGGTAGACTGGCTTACATGCATATGTTTTGAACTTGTCAATTTCCGCGACATCGTCACTGAGAATCACGACTTGTTTAATCACGACACCTTGAGCTGCCATTTCCGACGAGTTCTTGGCTACATAGTCTTCTAGCCAAGCTTGGAGCTGCTGAGCACGTGTCGACTTGCCAGTACAAGGCATTCCACACATTAACACGAGTGGCATCGCTGCTGTATCGGAGTCAAGTGCAAAAGATTTGAGGTTACGAGGTTTAACTGGGTGATGCACCCCTGAATTTGCAAATGAGCTAACCCATATCTACATGATTTTGCTAGTCTATAATATGGACGAGTTCACCATCCCCAATGCGTTCCAGGTAGGAGCTTTGAGCAAACGACATTAAACTGACCGCAAATATCACACACAATTTTGCAATGTTGTACGCAAATGGCAATATATACCAGTATTTGACATATTTCTTTGTATTTTACAGGGTCTTGGAGACTATCAAGACGGTTTCAGGCCACGCTCTAAACGGGAACTTGCAATTGTGGCAATGGAAGGCCTAATCCGCGAAAAGCAGGGCTGGAAATGTAAAGCTCTCGACGAAACTATTGCTCAAAAGTGGAAGGAGGAGCTTTCTGAGCAGTCTGACAAAAGATTGGTGGAGTACGCCGTTAAGGAAATCCAATGGCAAGCTCGAGAGTATGCGAGCTCTCTTGTTGATCCAGCTGCTATCGAAGGGACGTATTGTGTCAATGATATTGTCTTGCCTGATGATATTGAACGTGATTTCAAGGATGGTATACGGCGTTTAGAAGATGTGCCAGAATCTAAAATCGATTACCATCCTGGATCCAACAACCAAGTCATTGATCTGGTACACCCTTCGTTGTATTGTTTGGTTTACGGCAAGACTCGTCATACGCGTGATGCCCATGCTATTACTTCCTGGACGAAAATGGATCAAAGTGTGATGCTCGTACCTCCTGAAAACAATGGTTAGTAGCATTGACACTTTCGACCACGGCATTTCACTGACACTTTCACTTCCTTTCCCAACAACAGAGCCTTACGAGAGTGTAAACTTTCAATGGCTTCCAGCTGAGTTGCAGGTTTCCGAGGATGGCAAATCAGTCCAATTTAAATCCTACATCAACAACTTACACCCTCATGTGTTTGGAAACCTGTACAAGTCTCTCGAGTACATTTTAGGAACTTGTATGGTGCCATTGTTTGAAAAAGTTTTGACTGACATGGTAGGAGTTTCACGAACTCGACCATCACGACACGAGTTGAGCGATTGAGTCGACCAAGCTTTTTTAACGTTGTTTTCTTGACCAGGTCAATGACGTCGACCATCGTATTGAGGTGTTCCCATATGAATGGTATGAAAAGGGCTCTGATGGCCAACCAGAACCTGGTCCTGCTGAAGAAGGTAGACTTTATAACTGTCGCCAAGAAGAAAAGACTTTCAACCTCAATCGCGCTAGGGGCTACAACGGAGGCACCAGCACCAGTTGGTGAAGCTGATGCCCAAGATGTCGAAGAGCCCGTTGAGGAGGCAGAAGGCGATCAAGAAGAATGGGTCGACGATGACAATGACGACGACGACGATGAAGAGGACGAATGGGAGAACCGTGTCGTCAAACAACCCAAAATACCAGAATTCAAGCCACCTGCTGGACCGAAACATGTAGTCAGGCTGAATGGGAAGCGCTTGCAAGTGATAGTGAAGCTTGCAAATATCGTATTGACCCCTGAAAAGCCAACATATAATGGCGGTTCGTGGCATGTTGAGGGCATGATGAACGAGCGTATAGTGGTATGACATGAATCTACTTGTGGTTCGTCTGCACCAACTTTACATTTTTAATGTAGGCCACAGGTATCCTATACTACGACATTGACAACATCAAGGACAGTCGATTGCAGTTTAGACGGCCGGTGGGAGAACCTGATTATGAGCAGAGTGATGATAGAGGTGTCCACGCAGTGTATGGGCTTGAGGAGTAAGTAATCATCAACGCCCAATGCTGTCTTGGAACTTACGTTTTTTTGTGTCAACATGCAGCGAATCAATTCTTGTTGAAAACATGGGATCAGTGGATACCAATACTCCAAATCGAGCCATTGCCTTCCCAAACCTCTATCAACATCGTGTCCAACCTTTCGAGCTGCTTGACAAGACAAAGGTACAAGTTTTGTTGTTTCGTCAATGTAATATCCGGTTTTTTGCAGCTGTCGTACACTTTCACTCTTTTTAGCCTGGTATACGTAAAATTTTAGTCTTTTTCCTTGTCAACCCACAAGAAAAGATCATCTCAACAGCAACAGTACCACCACAACAAGCAGAATGGTATCGTAACTTTGACATGGTCAAGCCATATCATCCCTTATCTCGGCTTCCCGATCTGGCTCTCGATGGAATAATCAAATGGATGGCGAAAGGTGCTGATTCAGATACCTTGATGACGATGGAACAAGCCAAGGAATACCGTCGTCAATTGATTGAAGAAAGAAGTGGAAAAATGCTTGAAGCAAACGAGGAGTTGTATGAACGAGTGTTTTCGCTCTGTGAGCATTAGTGGGGTTTGGTCATGAACATATGCTGAATAAATATGATGAAAGCTCGAGTTTTAGATATAAAGCCACTAAAGTTGTTTAAATAGAGCATTCAAGACGTGCACCAGTATTCATCAGGCTAACTCTGCCAAGTTGTCGAGCGAACGGTAATTGCGGCATCTAAACCCTACTCGTCTAACTGACCAAGAAAAGAGTACAGGAGGGTTATCAGGATTCAAGAAATCCATTTCATTTCCGCATATCAGGCAGATCCGGCTAATTTCGTGATCCCTGGTGCCTTTCTGGTAATGATATTCACAATCCACATATCAAAACATTGAGTTTATTTCTCAATCGCTAAAACATTTGACGTTGGGAATTACGCCATATTATTTTCAGTTTCTGACCTTACATATTCTAGATAGGCTGGCAAGAACTGGTAAGGCTGCTTCTGGCCACGCGGCGCGCGCTCTGTTGCTGAATTGACCATCAAATCAAAGTTACGAGAAAGGAAAGATTGGAAGCGCAAAGTACCAGACAAAACTATCAGCCAAAGGTGGATCGAAGAGCTCTCTCTTCAAGCACACAGACGCAGTGTTGATTATGCTACGAAAGAAATGCGGAATCCATTGCTGACCCAGATGCAATTGAAGGAATGTACTGTGTCAACGAAATAAGGTGGCCTGATGATATCTAACGTCACTTCTTTGATGGAGTGAAGCGTCTAGAAGATGTTCCATGGTCAAAGATTGATTATCATCTTGGATCGCACGACCAAGTCATTGATCTTGTACACCCGTCTTTATATTGCTTGGTATTTATTCAATAAGATTCGCCAAATGCCCGAATCGCAAGAAATGGGTCAACGTGTAGGTATCAAATGTCGTGAGAAGAAATACGGCCCAGGTACATAGTTCTGATATGTCACTTTTTTTCTTCTTTTGGTTAATGTCCCTTTTTAGAATCTTCTGAGAATTTCGCATTCCAATGGCTTCCAGCTGATATTCAAGTCTCTGAAGAGGCAAATCAGGCAAATTGAAATCCTACATCAACAATCTACACCCTCATCGTGATGGCAACATTCACAAGCGCATCGAATATATATTCGCTACTTATATGGTGCCCTTGTCTGAACGAGTATTGACTGATATGGTAAAATTGGTCTTGATTTTGGATTCTTTATCGAGTTGAAGTATAACAGTGTTTGCCCACTGCAACGTTAAAGCTTAGGTCAATTACCGTGGTGGCGGGAATCGTCTTGCCGTACTAAGGTCTTATGACGAGCTTGTTGAAATGCGGGGCCTTAATGAAGAAGATATGTACGTTGACCCTTATGAAAACTTCAAGGTCGAGATTACTACATTTACGCCACCTGATGCTCCAACGCACGAAGTCAAGCTGAATGGGAAAAGATTACAAGTGATTGTGAAATTTGCAGATATTGTGTTGACTCCCGAGAAGCCCTCTTGTAATGGTGGAACTGATCATGTGGAAGGCATGATGAATGAAAAGATTGTGGTACGAGATTACTATCTTGAAGATAGTTGTTAAGATTTTTTCGTTCAAGCTTTTTCGTGTGTTTAATAGGCATCAGGCATACACTCGTATGATGTTCAAAACATCAAGAGCAGTCGATTGCATATCAGAAGACCAATCTATGCTCCAAAAGAAGAGTCCTATTGTCAATTCGATAGTCCTGTCATCAACATGGTGTACGGCTTATCAAGCAAGTAGCGCGGCCCCTCAGTTTCAAGACGCATACCTGATATCTGACACGTTGTTCAACAAAATAGTGGGTCGGTCCTTGTTGAGGATATGGGATCAATTGACATCAACACACCCAATCGAGCCATTGCGTTTCTAAACGTATAATAGCATTGCGTACAGCGTTTTTGAGTTGCTTGATAACACCAAGGTATGGTATATGGTCTACTGTGTGATCTATAGCCATTAGATACTGCAGCTCATGCATACCTTTGCTCCTCATTAATTCTAGTCTTGTCAACCCACAGGAAAAGATTATGTTCACATCAACTGTACCACCACAACAAGCAGAATGGTATCGGAACTTTGAAATGTTCAAATCACATCATCCACCATCTCAGCTTCCAGGCTTGGCACTTCATGAAATCATGAAATAGATAACTTGTGATGGTACTGGTCCACTCATGACTCTAGAGCAAGCCAAGGAACATAGAATCAACTTGATGCAGGAACGTACTCAATCTCAGAAAAACAATGACTACTTGGAGGAGGATACTTTCAACATGTGTGAGCACTAGGTCAGCAGCATGTGGTGAGCAATCATCTGAAAATATTGTAGAGAGAATGCAAAGTGTACACAATAAAATGAGTCAAATTGCACCGAAATCATCATATAAATTATATCAGAGAAAAGACTGAAAACAATGCTGTAAACAAATACGCATTATGAGATATATACAAAAGACTTTTTGGTTTCAGCGCCTAACTCTAACTGGTTGTGTGAGTGACCTTGTAAAGGAATCAGCACCCCGTGTAGATACACCAGCTGCAGCAAGTAGAGGATCATATCCCTTTCGTTGTGGTTGTTGTTGCTGATGATGATATGAGGTCTTGTACGTAGCTTGAGGAAGTAAACCACCACCACCATTCATATTATTATTGTTGTAGTTGATATGAGATACCGGGTTGGTATACTTGAATGATTGAGATGGCGGGAATCCTAAATGATATAACAACAGTTAAGCCGACAGTGACAAAAGGCCTTATCATAACAAGACACAGACCTCTCACGGTCAACGACAATCCCAGATCCTGATATGGAGCTCTCATAGGACTAGCTTGTGCGGAATGATGATCATACTGATCTATAAGCCCATTTATAGATCCTAATGAGCCCGATCCTTGCAAAGACGGTATACTCTTCTTTGTTCTAGATCCAATCAATCCATATGGCGGTATCGTCCCATTGTCAGACTTTGGATTATTTCCCCGTGTTATTGGTGGAATCGTAGAGTTGTTTCGAGTCATAAAGTCATGATGTGAATATCGAGATGCATACTGTGTCGGTATAGATGCCATGAATGAGGGTTTGGTAGGTGATGTTCGACCTGATGCTTTATCATGTGGTGAAGCTACAGCATCGTCTATTTCATCAATGAGTTTATCAATGTCGTACTCAGGAGATGGTGACCGCCTAGCGTCTGGTTTGGTATGTGAGATGTTTGATACTTGATGTGTGTTTGATGATACTGGGAATTGTGATGATGGCTGTTGTTGTTGTACTACTGGCATGACAGATTCTAAATCTTCATGCTCATTCAGTCCTCTACGATACTTCTTCGGTAGACCTCCTTGTCCACCCCCTGCAAGTTCAATACCCATTAAATCGAATTCTCCAGACCGCCGACGACCTGGATGTGGAGGAGGATAAGCATGATGTCGTGGTGAAGATTTACGTGATGTGGGTTTAGCACTTGGATGCCGTGATCCTGCAGAGGTTTTACGTATCGGACTACTTGACTGAAACACTGATGGTAGTGCTTTGACTTCTTCGTTTTGGGGAGGTCTTCTATCTGATAGTTCTTTACCAGAATCTATTGGCACTCGTCGTGGACCATCAAGACGTGGTAAATGCTCTGCATTGGTAGTTTGCGATGGTCTACCAGATGTCGTAGTTGCTGCTGTTGGCTGCTGTGGCTTTTCCGTAGCCCTGACGGCTGCTTGCTGCTGCAAAGCTTCCTGATACATATCAGCCAGCCAAGGGCTCTGTAGAGCTTGATATGCTGTTGGTCGTTTATGAGGATCGTATAATAACATGGAAGCGATGAGAGCTAGAGCTGGTGTTGGCACATTCGGACAAATATTGGCTAGAGGTACAGCGGGGCTTTTAGGAAACTTGAATGCCATAGTGGCAGCAAGCCTAATACCCTCTGGCCATGGACCTCCACCGCATATAGCATCACGTCTAATAGATGATGTAAATCCACCGACCAGACCACCGACATTCTTGTTTGGAGACGTCAGTCGTAAGTAATCTGGAGCTGATACGGCTACTGAGTCATCGTCGGATTTGGGCGAGCCAAGCAAAGAGCACATTTTGAATATCTGATCCATTTCAGTGTTGCCAGGTAGCAATGGCTTCAACGTGAAGACTTCAGCTATTATCGTTCCCAAAGCCCATATATCAATAGGCGACGAATAAGCTGTCGATCGTAGCAGCACTTCAGGTGCTCGATACCTATTGTTGTTTTGTCTTAGTTCGGATACTGTGGGTAACGCAACAAAAGTCTCAAAGCTGTAATACCATCGTGTGCTGACGTATTCCGTGTATGGTGGTCTACTACGTATTTCTCGTGCAAGTCCAAAGTCTGCTATTTTTACATTATCATCCTTCATCAGCAGATTTTCTACATAGAGCGATGATTGTTGAGCATAATGATATCAAAACTGTTGGTTAGCATCTCTTGGGAACGTACCTGGTTTCATATCTCGGTGAAAGTAGCCATTCTTGTGCATATGCTCCAGACCCATCAAGACTTGGAATCTAGATCAAAATAGAAGTATAGTCATTACCAATTTTGCAGCTAGTTTAGTTCAGCATAGGCATCGTCTTACGAGATACGTTTGGCGTCGGATTCAGGCAGTAGCTTTCCATTGCGAGATTTGAGCCACTGATACAGATTGCTGTCCATATACTCAAACACAAAGTGCAGGTACTTGTGCTCATCACGAAACACTTCCAACAGGTTGACGATGTTTCCGTGGTTTCGTAGTTGCTTGAGAGACTATATAAACAGAGAGTGAGTCCAACTGAATACGATATAGAATATATATTCCAATGACATTACTTTGAGTTCCCGTAGTTCCAGACATTCATCCCATGTGGCATACTTTTGCTTCATCTTTTTAATGGCCACCTACAAATGTTTGATAAAGAGAGTCAGATCAATAACAATACTCGTGAGATCAGCTGTAGAACTAGCTCCCAAATCATTTTTCTGCAATGGATCTCATGTTCATCCTATTGAGAGGACCTTACTTTTTCATTGGTTTCCTTGTTGATTCCCAAGAGGACTGACCCAAAGGAGCCATCGCCCAATTCCTTGATTGCATTGTATCTATCCATGACTTGCAGGTTATAATCATATTCTTGGGCTAACTTGACCAACCATCATCAGTCATCTACAAGGATTTCTGATGGGTGGTTGACAACCAAGTTTTAGCGCAGCTAAGTGCCTGGATGGGAAAACAATTGGAGATATCATGTATTCGAATTATAAATGTGCAAATGTGCTACGAGGAAGGCAACGATCGGACTTGAACTGACACCTTATTTTGCATTCCATCGATCCAAGATTCTTGATCATTTCACACACGCGTCAAGAAGAAGAGCTTCGTGTTGAGTCAACGAACCTGCAGTGAAATGACTTAAATGTCTGGTAGTATTTTACTTGTACAATTGACCGCTACAACTCAAAGGGCTTTGGTTCTGTTTAAACAATTTATCTAACACATTCATTCTCATTCTAGACCCAGTCATCGAGCCGAGACTGAAGGTCATAGAAGACTAGATGCTCATGATGAAACAATCGGATGGCCGTCGTCCTTCCGACGCGTGTGTTTCTTACATTATAAGATGAATCTCGACCGCCACTCACCCCGTTCATATGAAATAGTACGGCCAACAGGACGTCATCACAGAGCTCAGGAAGTTGGCACCTCGAACGCTTATTTATGTTCTACTTTTGTAGGTTGTCGGTCAAAAATACACGTCCAAATGGCTGGCAAGGTTCTTGACGTGTTGTTTTGAACGTACATTTCGTGTTGCGAACATTCGAAGATTGCATTGCGAACACATTCGAAATCACGACCATACTTTTCTTTTCCAATTTCCAGTTCTCTCATCAAGAATGCACTTGTTTCAAGCAACAAAATCACACTCCGACGAATAGTACGATGGAAGCAGCGAACGCAGGAGCAAACGACCCACCTCCGCAAGTAGCTCTCGATGCAAAACAGATAGAGGAGCTGAAAGTTCAGAACGTAATCGCTCCTGAATCTCAATTGATACTCCCCGAGGGAGTTTCGCTCGACCAATTATCACCTGAGGACTTGGAGATCATTAAAAGTCAACAGGAATTCTTGAAGGTAGAGCATTAGGCACTTCGTATCTTGCAGATCTTGGTCTTTGCCGTGTAGTTGTCTCAGAATAAGAACCAACATCAAACTTTCTGAAACATTTGGATTTTGCCATAACTTGTTCTAACAGCCCTTATGTTTTCCTTCATTAGCAACATGTGGGCCATGAACAACAGCACTCTCAAATGGCCTTGATATTGATCGCCATACTAATAACAAGTCAATTTGCAATCATGTTTTGGAAGAAGAAACATCCCAAATCTTTTGACATGGCTAGTTTGATTGGATTTTGGCTGGCAAGCATCTAATACAGCTCTTGGCAACTGATACCTCTTTCATATACCCCGAACTAACACTCTATACATTTCTCCAGATACCGGCTGGCCTGGCACTCCAAAAAGGAAACTGGAGATTCTTCTGCATTTGGCTCTCATTCTCCATACTGAATCTATGGGTGGTTCGAAATGCTCTAGAAAAGCCAGTCAAACCCGCAACGCCGAAATGGACGTATGCATTCTATGACTGGGTGTACAAGATTTCATATTCTGTCGGCTTGTTGGGATATTTCTTGTTCTTGGCTGCATTCTTCCATATACCAGCAGTATTATGGAATGCTAGTATAGAGTTTGAGCTGCGGTGTCTGGAGGTACGCAGAATCAGAATTTTTAGCAGTCAATCGTATTTGCACCAAAACAAAGACTTATTGCCAAATCCTCGACTCTAGGCAGGAATATTACTCCTATTTTACGGCCTCTACTTTGGAGTACTAGGACGTGACACTGTAGATAGACTAGCAGATAAGATGGCATACGCTGTTGGTTACTATGCTGGCAAGAAGGGTGGAATGCCAACACGGCACTTAGCATCAAATGTCTGCTGTATATGTGGCGACGTGACGAATGAAGAAGGAGGAAAACTGAAGCTACATAAATTACAATGTGGACATATAATGCATGAAGTTTGTATACGTGGATGGATTATTGTTGGGAAGAAGGATGTTTGCCCTTACGGTAAATTCACCATCAGTCGTTCAACGTGCTTTTTTTCACTGGTTTGCTGATGATTATTGACCCTCTTCTCCCGTTTTTCTTGTAGATTCGGAAAGAGTGGACATGTCTGCATTCTCATCGAATCCATGGGAGACGTCGCAGAGATTATACCTGGTAGGTGACAAAATTTGACCCTCCAACAAAGTACTACGATCTCACGCATCGAATGCATTAGAATCTCCTGGATGCTTTCAGGTTCCTCCTCTCATGGCAGCCGCTTGTGTTCCTCATAATTCATTATTTCTTTGTCCTGTTCGGCTATAATTAGTCATAGAGCAGGCCGTTTACGTCTTGCTTACAAGACAGAAACGAAAGGACATTTATCACTTCTCGCAAAAACCCATAAAATGTTTGTACTTTGTAGACTTCTATATTTGTCACGTAAGATAATATTTTATACCCGAATCACACAAAATGAGCTCAATGTTACAATTTATTCGACTCAACCAAGACAGACTTCCAAGTAATCACCACTCAACAATCACCTCCCTTGTTTTCCTCGCCTTCTCATAGATTCACGTTCTTGAGACGTATCAGATCCATTATTATTATTGCTGTTGTTGTTGTTATTTGAAGGCCCACGACTGACTGTTGGGACTGTGGTACTTTCTGATAATCCATCTAAAGCCCTCTCAAACGCCTCCAACTCTTCACGTTGCCTTCTTAGACGACTTCTTAGCTGATCGCGTCGACCGGTATTGAACTGGGTTGGGAACTACATACAGAAAAATTAGACTGCTGAAGCGAAAAAACCGGACACAGCCAACAGTCGAACTGGACAACATACCTCGCTAAACAGCGATTCCAATACTTGACTATAACTTTCCAACGAATCTAGCTGCGGATTATTCACATTTATATCCGCATCAGTCATGGATGAGGACATGTTGTTGTTTTCAGCAGACATGGCCTCTCCTAACGTAAAAGCGACAGAGTCCGATACACCAAATCGAGACAGAGAACCACTTATTGATACTCGTGGGTCTCGTATCTCGCTCACAGGTCGACTACCTGTCAGAGACTGGAATATTTCGTCTCGCATAGCTGGATTTTGGGTACTATTACTACTACTATTCTCTGCAACGGCCAATCCACTAGCATTTTCAGCTCGTGCTGGTCGAGTTAAAGTTCGACCGCCATCAACTCGGAGATGTGATAACGATACATCTCCAATGCTCAGATGCGATGGATAATCAGTGTCGTCGTCCGAGGCTAACATGGGATTTTGCGGTCGAGCTAAAGTTGCGTGTTGGTATGGCGATGCCTGATTATTTATTGGCGGTATGTCTCTATCGGATTCATCATCGTATTCTTCTTGTCCTGTTATTGCTGCATCGTCACTCATATGTATGAGTCCATGCACTTGATCACCTGCCATGTATAAATCGAGTCGTTGATGTAGAGCTGCGTCAGATTGATCCAGATACGATTCATCGGCAGGAGCTTCATCTGGCTGCATGTGTTGTTTCGTAGCATGATGATTCTTCTGATCCTCTCCATCTTCATCCTCATTGGCAGTATCCTGATCTTCTCCAGTTACCGATGCATCTAGATTCGCAACTTGTCTACAAAGTGGGCATTGGAACATGAGTGCTGATCCCAGTAACGGCACTACACATTTATAATGGAAACAGTGAGAGCATGGAGCCAGAAAGAGGGCCTGGTTTGTCGATATGTTGCACAGACAGATACAACAATCTGTAGTGGCATAGTCGTCCTTTTGTCCACCATTCATGGCTCCCAAAAGCTGCCGTAATGCAGACCGTAGCCTAAGAAGTAAAAATTGAGTGGACATGAGAAAATTGTCGTGACTACCTGCTTGACCATTTTTTTGGCTTACTTGACGGGATTTGGTCTGGGCCGATTGCCTTTCACTGTGATGAAGATCTTGATCATGACACTTTTATAGATTTCTATGTATACAATGTTGGAAAGCGAATTCTCTGCCAAAAAGGAGGCAAAGAGAAGGAAAAAGCTAGTCAAAGATCACCCATACCTTCTTGACGACCTTGGTAATCCACGCCCAACTGAATGACATCTAAAACAATACGGGTGTAATCAACACAACTCCTCTCAAGACACGGCGAGTAATTAAATCAAGACTGCGACTAACCTCCGGATTTCAGTGGGTATGGTCGAGATTCCTTGCCAGATGGTGACAGACGAAGTCTATTGAGGAAACTGCCAGAAGAGCTTCCGACATCACGGAAATACAGCTAAAAGGATCAAAAAATGAGCGACTCAGCCAAAAAACAAAAATGGGAAAGGGGCCACAATTACCTCTCCATCGGCACCAATCCACATCTCAGCATGCGTCCTAGATATCACTTTACTTCTGAAAGCAATAAACTCGACTCGCTTTTCAGGCGACACTTCTTTATTACCACCAGCACGGGAGCTACTACCGCCTGCTCTCATCGAAGCTCGTTTAGATATAGGAGATGTAGCAGATACAGCAGCACTGTCATCCTCAAGCATACTATCGTTAGCATCACCAGCCATACCACCAAAGAATCCACGTTCATCTTCTTCGTTTACAGTTACATTCGGAGTAGAAGACGTCGCGGCATGCTGTCTATCTGATAATGTCTTTTGACGTTCTGTTCCAGCTCTCTTTGGAGAAACAACTTTTGCTGTTGAAGGTGAAGTGACTGCGACAGTAGGTGAAGTCACTTCCCGAAGCTGTTCGGCAACAGCAGCTGCAGCTACTCGTTCACGTTTCCTATCGACTTTACGACCTATTTTGATCAGGGTTCCGATTTTCAAGTCCTTTTCGATGGGCGAGAATACGAAGTGTTCTGCATGGGAATGGTTGTGATGATGATGTCCGTGGTGATGTTCTATATGTGGAAAGAGCTGTATGCGGACTGACGGTATGACTTTCTGAGACAGAGTGTTGGCTGGAGCTGATTTCTGTCGTCTAGGAGTACCATAATCAGCCGGGGACTCTGGGTATTGTTGCTCAGACAATGCGTCTACAGTAGGCGGCCTTAATGTAGTCAATGATCCAGCAGGGAACATTGCCGTTTTCAAATGTTGCGGTCAAGACTGATGCTGTCGAGAATAGGTGGGCTAAGCTATGTCTACGAGTAGATTCACCCTCTAATAGGTATCTATAAGAGGCGTAGCTGCTATAAACCAGAGTCCAGTTATTGTTTGTGTGCTTCACTTGAGATTGCTGCTAGCTTGGCAATCTACGTTCGGGCAAGCTGTCAGGAATGAGGTAGGAAGGCGAAAGGGGAACCTCTTCTTACCTGATACTGTGAGCTGATCGTCCCCCTAATCGTACGTCCGCTTGAACTTGGCCAACTGCTCCGGTAAAAGCAAAAAGTAGCACGTCCTCTTGTGTTTTTGCTCTGATTCACGACAACGAACAGAAAGCTCGGATAGGAACGATCCCGACAAACGTCTAGACGCGTTTCGAGCTTCGGAACTCGTTCAATTCACCTAGTACGTATTGAATCGTGAAGATGAACACTGTAGACGAGCAATTGCTACATTATATCACATTCTATATTTTTATGCCGGCAGCTCAAAACGTTGACCTTTCAAAACTCTATTCAATCCAAAAAAAGCAGTTAGCTCTCCATCTCCATCGGATCATTCAACAAGCACTCACTTTGTAAAGTAGACATAGAAGAAGTCACAATACAACGCCGTCTGTACAAGGCCTGACACAACTACAATCCAGTCCACATGTCCATTCTCGGTGACAAACCGATAAATCCAATTCAGTAAATACAACGCCCGGTACCCGCCCAGAGCAAACAAGTAGTGCGTTGTAATGGTTTCAGCTTCCCCTGTTCGTGTCAGTTGAAACAGTTGAGGGAGTATAGCGACAGCCTCCAAATACACTGAGAATGCCCAAAATATCTAAATTGATTCCGATTGAGTACAGCTTATTGGCTGTTGGCTGGAGCAACAAACATCACGATCACCGATCCTTCAAAGTTCCAACCAAGACAGCACTCACCTCCAGAGGAGTAAAAGCATAATTCACAATCAATGCCAACACTGCACAAGGTACCAGCAAGAATTCCACTCTAAACGTGTCAAGTGATGGATCCCATGTAGCCTTGAATCGAATCCTCATCAAATATAGTATATAAAAGGCACTCCCAATAAAGAAGATCTTCATCAACGAGTTGTAAAAGGACACAAAATGTGTCAGAAGGTCGAGATATCTTGTACAAAACACAGCAGCATAGAGTGCTTGAGTTTTGAATGAAATGCCTGTTTGATGTTGAGGGGGTTTCGTTAGAGCTGAGAACGAGAGACTGCTAGTAGCCAAATACGGTGGCTCCTTCAAGGAATGTAAGACAGATACGATGACTCCTTCTTGACAAAGTTTCCCCTCAAACTACAAAAGTTGTTCAAACAGCGAATTTTCAAAGACTACCTGACGCTGATCTCGTTTTCGTTATTTTCAATAGGAGGATAAATATAGACGCCAGGTGCATCAAATCAGCCACTAGCCTAAATATGTTCATGATGACTCTTTTGACCTGTCAGCCGCGGAGAAAGACATTCATCAAACGAGATCAAAAGCAATCGAGGTAGCAACATGGTTTGCGTGAGGTTGGAAAGGGCTAGACGCTAGTGGGTTGGACGGAATTGTCGCGAGGATATGAGAACTTGTAAGAAAATCGCGTGGGCCATTTATAACTGTCGACCTAGTTTTACGAGTCGACAAATGTACGAGGAGAAAAGAAGCAACCACAATTGTAACTCCAGCCACAATCCAAAGCGAAAGCAACAAAGCAGTTCTCGAAAAATGTCCTGGAAGACCTTGACCCCCAATACATGCCAAAACATGGCCACCGCAAATAATCCTCTGTTCTACCTTGTCATGTAGGACAGCCGTTCAAAGAGCTGATATTGCCTGCGATTCCGAAACTGTCCAGCCAAATCCATGCTTCCAAATCAGATACATTGACGTTGGTTTATTGGATATATTTAGGTTGATTTATCAGAGTAGCTAGGTGGTAATGGCCATCCAAATGTTTCACCACGAGCAGCTAATCGTCTATGAGCTTCAATCTTGGCCGCATCACTTGGTCTAAGAATGTATTATGTGTTAGGTATGTGTGCTGTTATAACAAGACACAGTTTAGACATGCCCGTCCGTCCTTGAGACCATAAAGACCAACCAGACACCCATGGGTAGCAGGTATCCGAAGTACCACATCGGCTCCCACCAGTACCATTTCTTGGCCTGAGCAGGCTATGATAGGAATGAATGTCAAAAATTGTGTGTTTGATGTCGATGATTAGTTGAATAACAAGCAACAAACAAGTCAAGCATGGCCTACCGTTTCACCGAACAAGTAGCCACTTGGTTCTTCACCAGCTACGGCATGATGGTGGTCATCGTGGTGATGGTCGTCGACAGCAGCTCCATGTCCATGACCATGTTGTTGAACAGAACCACCAGAAGCGAGTCTTGATTGTAAGAATATGGCGCGTTGTCTGGCCAGTATGGACGAGGCATTAGCAAACGGCCTCAATAACGGTCTCATTACCATCACTTGACTAGAGTATGTTTTTGCCAACGAGCGGAGACGAATGAAGATGCACATAGAGATATACGACAATTAAAAAGACGACACGACTCCCAGACGCGTCAAGATTAGCACAGGATGCATCTCTTCTCTTGCAAATGAGATGCAACAACGGACCGCTGTTCTCTTTCGTGATTTGCGAATATTGCATCGTTTCGTGCCAGATCTTAGCGTATCAGCAGCGCACTTGTAATGATCACTACAATGTGCATATTCTACACCTATCTGCTGTGTTAAGATCTAAGCTCTCTCGTGTTGCTTGGCGTCAAACACCTTCAATTTCATTCGATACAGCATTCGCCCTAAACAAGCAGTCGTTTGGATCGAAGCGAGGAACTAGTCTGTATACACATCGGGGCAACTGACATATCCATCATGTCGGTCATAGAGGTAAGTTCATATACCATTAGTATCTTGTATTTTGTTTTTTCTACAAAATTGAACATCGCAATCATCCAAAGCTTCCCTTGTTTATCAACATTCCTTCTAATATTGAATCCATATATCTAACTTGAATGCAATATATAGAAAATCAAGGAAATCGAGGCCGAAATGGCTCGTACTCAAAAGAACAAGGTACATCATCAAATCAAAATCAGTACTTTGTCTTATTGAACACACAGCACAACAATACGATTCAACAATTCAGCTTCGTTCCTGTCCAAGACTCCACCTACCTGCAAACTCGTCATGTGCATTTCTTCTTACAACAATGTCTTGCTTAGGCTACATCATATCACTTGGGATCCTTGAAGGCAAAGCTGGCGAAGCTTCGTCGAGAATTGATTACTCCATCTGGAGGTGGAGGTAAATATTTGGTCTCCCTCTTGATTTAGCCTCTCGAGCATTCGTGCTCACAATTTTGTCCCAGGTGGAGGTCCTGGTGTTGGTTTTGATGTAGCAAAGACCGGTGTAGCACGAGTCGGATTTGTTGGGTTTCCTTCTGTGGGGAAAAGTACTCTAATGAGTAAAATTACTGGAACACATTCTGAAGTTGGAGCTTACGAGGTAAGTTGCTTTAATACCAGCACAGCTTTCTTGGTGTTGCCACTACTAAACCTGCCTTCTTTTCTAGTTCACAACATTGACGACAGTTCCTGGTGTTATACAATACAAGGGAGCGAAAATCCAGATGTTGGATTTGCCTGGTATTATTGAAGGTGCAAAAGATGGTAAAGGTCGTGGTAGACAGGTATGATATACTCCATGTTTGGACCCTGCCCTTTTTTGCCGCTTGGAGCTCAAACACCAAAAATCTACATTATCTAGGTCATTGCTGTAGCAAGAACATGTTCGCTCATCTTTATTGTTCTGGATGTCCTCAAACCATTAACAGACAAACGCATCATTGAAAAAGAATTGGAAGGATTTGGAATCAGACTTAATAAACAACCACCGCAAATCACATTCAAAAAGAAGGAAAAGGGTGGTGTGAATGTGACTTCAACAGTCTCCTTGACGAATCTAGATTCTGACAGTGTCAAGGCTATATTGAGTGAATATCGTATTCATAATGCTGATGTTCATTTCAAGGAGAATGCTACTGCTGATGACTTGATTGGTAAGTATTTGGATTCTGGTGACTTGTTTTTGCTCGCTGGTACTTACTTGCTCTTTTTTTGCAGATATCATTGAAGGAAATCGAATTTATATACCGGCCGTATACGTGTTGAACAAGATTGATCAAATCTCCATTGAGGAATTGGACATTGTGTACAGGATTCCTCATGCTATACCGATATCAGCACACCATGGATGGAACTTTGATGACTTGCTAGAAAAGGTATTTGCCTTTATTCCAAAGATGGTGTATTGTATTTGTGTTCTGATCATTTGGATTTACCGTGCATAGATGTGGGAGTACCTAGGATTAGTGCGAATGTAAGCATCTTGCGTCTTCTTCACCCGTCTCTTTTGCCCTTTGTTCTTACAGCTCACTCTTCATTTACCAATGCTTCAATCTCATCATAGATATACCAAACCCAAGAATCAGCTACCCGATTACTCTCAACCCGTGGTTATGCGATCGAGTGATTCCACCATCGAAGACTTTTGTAATTCTATACATAAGGCTCTTATCAAAGAATTCAAGTATGCTCTAGTATGGGGATCTAGTGTGAAACACAATCCTCAAAAGGTGGGCAAAGAACATCAATTGCTCGATGAGGATGTCGTTCAAATAGTGAAGAAGACATAATATTGTTGTCGATTTTGTTGGCTCGCGATAGTATGTATGCACGTACACGTATAAATACACAGTTTAGTACTTTGATTGCTAGTTACGTCGTTGTTCTTCGCGCTTTCGTGTACCTTGTGTTTCTTATGTATCGCGTAAGCGTTGGTAAGCGGCAGACATCCTCTTGTCAGAAGTTGATCTCTATCAATCCATTTGAGAGTTAATAGGTAAGTGAGAGAGAGAAGGAGACATTCGTATTTAAGTTGATGAACGACGCACGAGAAATATCGCATCGGTCCTCTTCTTCGTTTATTTTGAGGTTGTTTTACATATTGTCGAGCAAAGTGACAAGAATGAAGCTTTGCTCATTCAAGAGAGGGAGAGAGGAAGGAGCAGTTATAAGCTCGTTGGAATCGTATCTGAAAGCTACTAGTTATCTCCCTTGCACTGTGACGAACCCCAACACACGCAAACTCAGAGTGTAATTTGACATCTCACACACTTCACCTTTACAGCTAAATCATCCAAAGATGAAGAGCATTTGCCAGCAAAGAGATGTCAAGATCCCTGCCGGTGGTATGTGACCTTCAAAACCAGCTGCAATAACTAATATTGGGTTGTTTCCTTAGCTCCAAACACAATTTGCTCACACTCATTATCATACTAGTCACCATCGACATCAAATCTCGAATTGTGGTCGTAAAAGGTCCACGAGGAGAATTAACTAGAGATTTGAAGCACGTAAACATGGAAATCCTTCGAGTATCACCTGAAGTCATGACCGTCAAAGTCTGGCACGGTGCCAGAAAGCACGTCGCTTGTATCCGAACTGTATGCTCCATCATTGAAAACATGATTAGTGGTGTTACCAAGGTGATTACACTGAATTTGCTAAAGAAGGCTGTGGAGTCATGAAACTTAGAGATTGGATGCCACGCCCACGAAAAAGCCGACGATTCACGTGCCTAACGCCCTTTTCAACTCCAAACTCACAGGGCTTTGAATACAGAATGCGTTTCGTATACGCTCACTTCCCCATCAACGTCAATATCATCGAAAACGGTACCTTGGTTGAAATCCGAAACTTTTTGGGTGAAAAGATTATTCGAAAGGTCGGAATGTTGGATGGTGTCAAGGTTGAGCACTCTACTGGTGGTGTCAAGGATGAAATCATCCTTCAAGGAAACGATATTCAGAACGTGTCTCAGTCCGGTATGTTGGAGAAACTTATCTTGTTTAAGAAGTGTTAAAGCGGTAAGTGACCACTTTTTTTCACCTTCTTTGTATTTAGCGGCCTTGATTCAACAAAGTACAACCGTCAAGAACAAGGATATCCGTAAATTCTTGGATGGTATCTACCGTGAAAAGTCGGGTTTGATTGGTGAACTGTAGACACACTAGTTTGTAGGGCACTTTACTGTAAAAAATATTAAAAAGAGAATCACACCAAAGATCAATTGTTTTCGTGGTATATACTGTGTACTGGTCCCAAACTGCTACCTTCAACTTGCATTGTTGCAGAAATGACATTTACTTCTGATTTAGGGACTTTTTTTGGGTTGTGAGATTTATTATACTTAGTTTTCAGAGAACCACTCAACCACATGAAATAATTAAATCACAAAAACAACGAGGGCAATTTTCTTCAACAGGGACAAATTACTATGTTGTTTTTCAAGTTGCAACAACATGGCCCTCAAGTACACTCACAGCAGCGACACCATCACCAAGAGAAGCAGCACTAGTTGCCAAATCCTGTTGAGCCTTCTGCGTCACAGGACTAACCAAGGCAGCATCTACTTTTGGCCTATACGTGCTCACAGCGGCAACATCGACCTTCCACCTTACCTCGTCACATTTATAGGCTTTGGGTGTAAGTCGGAATACAGTATGAAGCGGTACATTAATGTATGGTAGTTCTTCAGGTGGTATGTTTAAAAAGTAGGCATATAGGGCTCTGACGACAGCTTGATGGCTAATAATGAGGATTTGCTTATCGGGGTCTCGAGGTCTTTCTAATTCCATGATGATGGGTTCTAGTCGTTGTACCAAGTCTCGATAGCTTTCACCACCTGGATATCGATATAGGAACTAGGGAGGGGATTCATGAGACACGAAAGCAAAAAAAACAAGGTCGGTCGATTTGCAACATTGACAACACACCTTATCATGAGCTCTCTCAGCAGCTTCCATAGGGTACTTTTCGTCAATCTCTTCATACGTCATACCATCACATAATCCAGAATCCAGCTCGTCAAGAGCCCTCCATTGGATTTTGGGATATGGTAGTGCTGCAGCCGTTTGCATGGTTCTCTTTAACGTGGAAGTCCATACCGTCAATTTCACATTCGGCTCTAGATTAGCGACAACGATACCAGGTAGTCGTGCTGCATATTGTTCACCTCGACTCGACAAGTTGGCATTACCACCTATTTTACCAGCAACGTTATACTCAGATTCACCGTGCCGAGACATGTAAATGTGCCGTGGTGTTATATTCAGGTTCATGCAAAAATAGCATATTCGACTGGGCAAATATCCTCGGATTCGATTGAGTAACACCTGCAAAATTTATAAAGGTGAGTGTTTCAAGCAGCGAGAGATTTATTCAACGACAGATTGATATCAAAGTGATTGTTTACCTGAGTCCCTATGTTCACAAGCTGAATGAAGGGCACTGAATTAGGAGACGCATCGTCCATTTCCTTTGTAGAAATCCTTTCATACGTTGACTCGTGGTGTTTGATACGTTTTTTAAAGTCCAATACTGCCTCTTCAGGATCAACACCCTCGTAATCAGGACTTGATATCTAGCGGGTGTATCATGTAAGACTGACACGCCATCTGAGATAAGAAGTAGACAAGACAACATGTACCTTGACTTCTTTGATATTCTCCAGAATGATTTCCTCATCATCACATATCGACTCGACAAACATGACTGCAACCCCCTCTTCGTTGCAGGTTTTCAACACGCGAGTCCGCCTGTCAGCGGTAGTATTCGCGGCATCGTACACAGCAACACAAGCAGTTGGGGAGCGTAGCCACTCCAGGGTATCATGCAGAGCCTGTTTTGATAGTTGCTCTCTAATGGTATTTGCCTCCCGATTCTCGTGATTCCAGAAATCGTGACTTTGAACCGACCCAACGGCGTCTCTTCTATACTGGCCGACGTTGAATATGCGAGCAGGATATCCCAGCCAGTTCAAACTAGATATACGAGTTGTTATGTCGTTGTTTTCGCAGTTTATCAAACCCCGAAAAATGTTTGTGTTTGATGATGTCGACACATGGAAGGCAAGGACATAAACTTACTAGCGAACAATCTTCCTTGCAATGTACGTTTTGCCACGAGCAGGGAGGCCGACCATGACCACCACTAGCTTGTTTGGCAGGGATTTCTGGTATGGTCTTCTAGCATGGGATTTGTCGTTTGCTGCAGATGCTGCTACAGCACTATTTACGGCTCCGTTTTGGTTGTCGCCGGCCATTTCCAGATGCTGCCTAGTAGCTAGACAAGCTCAAGAGCAACAGAGTTCGTAATGGTCGAGATTGGGAGATGCTCTGGTGTGAGTACAAACTATGACGGGCAACAATTGAGCTCGCCGCCTAAAGATCTACTTGATCCTACGTGTAAATATATTGCTATTATGATTATCATGTCATTACAAAGGTATATAGGCAACGTGGCAGAAATGTGGCAGTTTGTGCGGTTGAGGTTCTTAAATACCAAAGAATGGTCGTTGTTGTTGACCCTGTGTCAGCTCTTCTCGCAGGTATTCTCTCAGAATACGAGCTCGTTCTTCACGGTCTTTGGGTAGTGGCGGAAACATGATGCCAATCGCACTCTTTACTCGGTCAATATACTTGTCCTCAAACCAAGACGTGTATCCTCTGGATATAAGCAGCGTGCTATTAAAGATTGTAAAAAATCAGGTCGGGACGTTCACATCCTTAATACTTGTTCGTGACGTACCTTGTCCATTCACCGAGTTCGTATATCTCTTCATGATTCGGCAACCGTTCTGGGACATCGTATCCAGCTTCCTCAAGCGCAGCTTGTACTTTAATCTCGAGCATCTCGTGCTCTCGAGCCTTTGCACTCATGGCATAGGGAAGGATGGCCAGACATGACAAAACACCACAGCCACCTGCTACATACCACGGCAGAGTAATGGACGAATCGTATAACTGAGTTAACACTAGTGGGCCTATTATTCCTCCCAGATTGGTGGCGGTTACTCCATATGACAGTATTTGCGCAACATTTTGTTCGTTTGCTTGATCTGTTAACATTGCAGAGTAGCATGATATTGCAAATGCTTGGCCCAGTGACTAGTAAGGAAACGTGTTAGAGAAGATATCCAACGATGCAATATAACGTGAGTTACCGTAAGCAATCCAGCAGCAAAAGATACCCATAAGTTATCAGTTGCTGGGAATATGAGCATTCCAAGTGCTGCTACGACACAGCCGAGCATGCATATCTCATGTAGAGACAGATATTTTGAGACAAATACAAAAAGGAAGGCCTATTTGCCAAAACAGTTAAAACACATCTTCTTCAGGTACAAGATCGTTGAAACAAAAGTACCTGAACAAAGACAAAAACTACACCATAAACAGCATACACAAATCCAACCTGGAGGGACGTCAGACCAAAACGTGCTCCAGCATACAACGAATACAGTGTCGAAAAGGCCATAAAAGTTATTTCCAAAAAGAAAGTTGACAAGCATATCGATAAAATACGACCAACAACCTTCCAAGGAATCTTTGCTTTCGATTTGGACGGCGTAGTTGATTTGGTTGATTTCGTATCCTCCTGGTTTGCTGTTTTACGGGCAGCGTCGAGAGATGATGTACTCCTGACTAGTCCTTCCTCTGCGAGCAACGTAGCAGACGATAAATCAGCATCTTCTAAATGCTTTTCAGTGCTAGAGTCCACTGGAAGTTGAGAGTCACCACCAGCGACTTCAAACCTCACTCGTCCGGTCTCATTCATTCCTGACTCCTCATCATCGTCATCAGTTTTCACCTTCACTACAGCCTTTTTACCACTCCATCCAGTCACAAAGTTCCGGAATCTATCTAGCCATGGAATCCCCCTCTTCCCTGGCATTGACTCGTCCAACAAGAAGAAGGCAAACAGGAATGCCGCTAACGAGATACTCCCACTGACAAGCAGTGGTGTTGACAATGAGAATTGAGACAGCGCTGATCCTAACACTGGACCAAATACATAGGCAGCTGAGATTACAGCTTGTTGTAAGGCCAAATAGCGGGGTCTCTCCTGTTTGTTCGTCACGTCGGCAATGTATGCGTTCCCGACCTCTGGACTGCCTCCTCCTACACCACTTAATAATCTAAATGCGATCAAAGCGTAGATGTTTGGGGCTACTCCAGACAGAATCATTCCAAATCCCCCAATAAAGACAGCTGCCAGTAATATGGGTCGTCTTCCAACATGATCTGACAAGTATCCTAGCACGATCGTGGCGAGAAAAGAAGAGATCTGGAAGGCTGAAAAGACACCACCTACTAGCCCAACAGATGCATTGAAGGCTTCAGCGTATAGCGATAAGATCGGCAGCACAATCGTTCCACCTCTATGACGAGCATATGGTCAGTACTGGCTAACACCCATGCCAATTCAATGATGGCAGATCTCACAAGATGTCGACAAAGATTGTCAAGTACACAACGAGAAGCGAGCGCAGCTTAGTTCCTTCCTTTTTGGCTCTCATTCTAATCGCATCATCGAGCTGCGTATCCGAACGCAAGGATGGCCTACTGGCAGTTTCCTCCATGCTGGACAATCGTAACCTCTTGGCTTACTATACGGCCAGAGACGTTTAGCTCAAGTTTGTTGCAGTTTCGCTTTATCGTGGTTCAAATCCAAACCTCCGGAAAGCGCCTTTGCAAAGGTACTATAGGGATAGAGACAGTTAGAATCAAGATAAGAGATGCCATTCAGCGGCACAGCTACCACACAATTAGCTTCAAACCCGTTGGAAGACAAGCTATCAGGATTCTTGGGTGACAATGAATGTAGATTGGGAGAGATCGAGGACGAATATCAGCGCGAGAAGGCTTGTAATGTTTTCAGAGATAAGTTCTAAACCGATTCGTATTTACGCGAGTGTGGCTGCACCGCAAAAAAGTGTTTTGTCGTGTTGCAGTTTCCTTCAAACAGGAGGCCTTTATCCCATTTCACTGTTTTCATAGTGACACCCTGAAGGACAGGTATGCATTTTCTGGGAAAATTGTCTGTGGAAACACCCAAGACCGTTATCATAACAAAAACCTCATCACCAAAAATGGAGGAAGGGGCAAATTTTTCAACGCCCTCCTTAATAAATTTAATTATCAATGAATTAATAATTACGGGTCGGTTAGGGTCGGCAGGCTTCTTGGTAACCGATCCTTGAGGGCGGCCTCGTTTTGGTATGTTGAAGCCTAGAATCTATCATGAAATGTACAAAAAGGTTAGAATTGTTTGAAAATGTCGATTGGTGACGAAACAGGCAAAGAATCAGGGTTGGGAATGGGCTTACTAGTGTGCAAGCCGTGGTGCGTAATATAATTGGTGTGTCACTTCTGTTCAAAAGACCACAGCTTCGTTGACAAATTTCGCTCGGACTTTCAAAATTTGCAAAATTTGAAACCCTGTCGCTGAAAAATCTTTACCGAGGAGGGTTGCACAAAGGCACAATGAAATCTGCTTATGAGGGACGCGTCTACCCAAGGGATATCACCATTTCACAGCAATTCCAAAGATGTTCTCCTTGATTGCGTGCGTTTGCTGAACATTTTCTTCATCGAAGAAAGCTTTAAAATAATTGAACTAGATTCCATTCTCAAAATCGTTATAAACAAGGCTGGTTAATTTAAAATGATTTTCCTCCTTGATAAGGCTTAAATGGCAACATTTTTCGGCAGGAAAAAAATTTCAGCAGGAAAAAAGCAAACAGAAGCACGAATACGAAACAGAAAAACGAATACGCCCACCGATTGAGAGCCTTTTAAAGGACAGTATCAACTATTCTTAGTATTCTTAAAATGACTGTACCGCCCGTCCCTTCCAATTCAGCCGTTCTTGCAATAAAGAGGAAACTCTTTGGAAGTAGAGAACATGTTCGACCAGTTGACACGGATGATAAGAAGAACGTCACAGTTCATAACAAGAACTTCGCTGAGGAACAAAGCAAATTCTTGGAAGTCGTCCAATTTCTAATTGAAAAGGTGACTACAAGCCTCCAAAATCACATAAATGCTTAGTTAACTTTCTTGTCAACTAGGAAGTTGATGTCAAAGCTCCATCTCTTGTCTTCATTGCTGCCGGGTTAGGCTATGTGGAAGTCTTGAAGTACCTGCTTGACAATGTAGGAGTTAAATTTAGTGACTGAATGTAAATTTTCTTTGGTTCCAATCTTCTTCTCCAAAGGGAGCAGATGTAAACACTGTGAACGAAAAAAATCAAACCTTGGTCTATGTTGCTGCTTCATTTGGCCACCTAAACGTTGTGGAGTACTTGTTTTTCAAGGTGAGAGCCTGTTGAACTGACTGAAGTTGACCATAAGTAACAGTCTGTCAAAGGGTGTAGATGTCAAAAGTCCGGCGACCGACGGAGTTACTCCTGTGTTTGAGGCAGCGGCTCGTGGACACTTGGATGTCGTAAAGTATTTGGTTGAAAAAGTAAGGCGAGTTTCCTTAACTCGTCTGGCTGCATATGAAACGTTGTTGTCAAGTAGATGTCAGAAGCGGATTTCCAACAAGTCGCTAAAGATGGTTGCATGGTTTTTCATTATGCCGCTCGAGGTGGGCATTTAGAAGTCGTCAAGTACTTAAACGAGAAGGTAAGCAACTTCACCTTTTTTATCGCCGACTCTCGAACTTCTGACTTTACCCATCCGTGAAAAAGGGAGGTAGTGCCACAGTTGCCAATGAACTGGGAGAGACTCCGATCTTGCTAGCAGCTGAAGGTGGCCACACGGATGTCGTCCAATATCTATTTGAACACGTACAAATCTCCTTTGGGCTCTGTGATTCGTGTTGGACTATCTGATTCAAATCCTTTGCTGATTCAAATCCCTTGCCTATATTCTCGAACAGGGAGGTAACGTCAACCTTCCTGCAAATGACGGAAAGACGCCAGTGTGGGCCGCAGCTCAGAATGGATACTTGACTACTATGAAATTCCTCGTTGATAAGGTATGGTTAGGCAATTTCATTCTCTGTGAGTTCTCGATATCATCCGTTTGTTACAGGGAGCAGATGTTCAACTTGTTGTCAAACCAAAATCAAAAAAAAAAGAAGATCAGACTTGGGCTGGCGCAACTACGATTCTCGTAGCGGCATTTGATGGGCACCTAGACGTAGTGGAGTACTTGGCAAATAAGGTAACAGCACTTGTGTTGTCAATTATTTCTACTGCTGAATGTCTTTGGTCGAACAGAATGTGGACGTCAACGCTCCAGCTGACGATGGTTGGACACCTGTATTTGCCGCCGCGAACGGTGGTCATTTGAAGGTTATCGAATACTTAGTCAAGCAAAAGGTCAGAATTTGCTTTTGCCTTTGCTATCTCTACTGTTGATCTGTTTTCTGATTAACTCAAAAAGAATGCCGATGTCAATGTAACGGTAAAGTCAGGAAATTACGATGGCGCTCCCGCAGGAGCAACACCTGTCTATACTGCATCTCATTTCGGCTATCTAGACATCGTCAAATTTTTGGTAGAGGAGGTGAGAAATTGGACTCAAATGCCTCGCTCACGCCAGCTGAACTCTGTTTTCTTTGTCTACCAGGGAAAAGCGGATGTCAATATCAATAAAGCTGGCCGCACGCCCCTTAAAGCTGCTCAAGGCCACCCTGACTTGAAAGCGTATTTAATACAGCATGGTGCAAAGTGAAATGGTAAGAATGTGGTTGGTTTCTTTCGATTTTTCTGACGCGACAACTCTGTAGGGCTAAAAGCTTTAGGAGAACGGGAATGAAAATCCCCATTCAGCCTAGATTTATGATAGAAGTTGAGCCGGACTACAGATTCGTTATTAAAGTTTTTACCTGAGGCAAGCTAGTAAAAGAGTTGTATTCTAGTCAGTGGGAAAGTAAATATTCCGCGACATAAAGCTTTTTGCCCTAAGTCCCTCTATTTGAAAGGTAGCGTTCTTTTGTGGTTCTTGTCAAACGAGGATAAAATCAGTGCCTATCTGTCTACTGCCATTTGGATTGCAAATCACTCCCAAATAGATTAAGCGTTGTCCGAAGTCCACAAGACACCTTATGTGAATATTGCTAGAACGCCTTATGCCTGCCTAAAAAATTACCGTTCAGAGTGTAACAGACATTAGAACGCCTTTCAATGTTATTAACCTCATCTCGCGTTAGTCTTTGTAGCTACCATCTCTTCCTTGTATTGCCCACGAGTGTCTTAGCTGTTTGTAGGCCCATCTAAACCTGCTGCTTCTTAAGGATGGGTAGTCGTTACGTCAGCTTGGTGGTGTTTGCGCGTTCCAACCCACTGAAAAAACAAATTATTGCTTCTAGTCAAAGAATGGAACAGTTGTCAGAACAGACCAAGTCCGAACTCTTGAAAATGCTGTCTGTACTGCAACAGCTCCTGTCTTATAGAGTTTTATAGATCGACAGACGCTTCATGTAGAGGATGGATAGGATATTCGACATTCGCCAGCATCGATACGCGTACGTATGCTGGAATCACGTCTGGCTGTCGCAATTTCGCTCAGTCTATTGGCCGTGTTGATTTCCTCTCACCCTCTTGAGTGACTGATTTCGTCTCAACAAGAAATAACCAAAATGTCATACAGAGGAGGGAATAGACTGGGAATAGACTCAAGAGAAGGCCCCGTGAGTGACCTTGAGCTACCAGACGACTCGCAGGAAAGCTTAAAGGACCTATACCTGGCCAAGACTTTGTATTCCTGTAGTCATCTAGTAAGTCTTTACCGAACTACGAAACAAGGCCAATTGCCCCAGTAACGAGTCGCTGCTCAACGCTCTTTGAATCAGGAAATCTGCTTTTAATCTGCTGGAGAATTGCCGGTGCTCTTGAGTGTCGGTGTGCTTGTCCTGATTCAAAGAGATTTGTTAATCAGAGGGGAGGTGCAATAACGACGGAATGCTGTTTTGAGGAGGATGTTTATGGATGAAGCTGATGGCGCTGTGGTCACAGGTAAGGAAATCTGATGTCTTTCTTTAACATTATCTCGATGCTCACGTTGCGCCTTATTTTTCACTAGTGGTCACTGTCAACCGACAATGCATGTAAGCCGAGTGAGGAGGGAGGGCTCTTATTACGGGGCCACATGTGTGTAACCTTGAGCTGCTAGACAAATCGCAGGAAGCTAATCCCTTCCCGTGGTCTGGCAGCCATCTGGTAAATTCTTTATTGAATTTGCCAAACAAGATCTTTTGCCCTTGTAGCATCGAGTCGCTGCTGGCACTTCTTTAAATCAGGCTTCTGGCTTAATTATGCTGGAGAAGTGTTGGTGCGCTGGAATATTCCGGGTACTTGTCTGAGTTCAGAAGAAGTGCCTTCAGAGAGGAGAGCGCGAAACAGTCATATATAATAATGAAACCATCTATACCATATATAACTATATGATTGCATCACCGTCTCTGTATATACTCATACACCTGCCGTTAAAGATATATTGTATTCACGTTTGGTTGATGTTCAGAGACAAGGTTCTGGTGCGCAAAGGACATGAACAAGGATACGAAGCTATGGAACATTGCGCTTAACGCTTCCTTTTCTCGCCAAGTCTTTAAAGCCAGCGGACAACGGGATGCTCACATTGAATATCTGACTCCCTCTGAATGTACTACGCCTTGGCACGAGCCGACGCTAATGTTACCACTACAAGCCGGTCGAGAACAGATTTGTGAATTATAATTCCAGGATAGAAGTTATTGGTTGAAGGTGCTGCTACACCACTGGTTACGGCCTCCATTATTGTATTGCATTCACTAGCAAGTTCTCCAAGTAGCCTTGGGTACCTCTCGCCAACGGAATGGTAAGGCGGGCAAAGTATCGATTGATTAGTCCTCTCGACGCAACAGATAACCCTATTGCATCAAGATAAACGTGCCTTCAACCATATGCAATATTTCCAATCAGATACATCCAACACCACATATTATATATACAGGCAATCCGCTGAAGAGAATACAAAACGAAGATCTTAACTTAACGACGATAATTGCTATTGGCAAAGTATGGTTGCTAATCGAAGAGAGGAGGAAAAATCAGCGCTAGTTCGATCAGATCAGATCATTTCTTGTAACAGATGAACCACTTACTGGTCGAAATCCACCCCGTGCATTATGACTAAATCGTTGTTGTTGTTGAGGAGGCGGCTGCGATATTTGTGAAGGTGATGGCACAGGTTGTTTATCACGACCTCCTTGTGGCTGCGGCTGCTGTGGTGGTGGTTGATTTGATCTCTGTGATGGAGGCAGCGACATTGGACCTTTCACATCACCACCTCTTGGCGATCCTATAGCAGATGTTTGCCACCCACTATCCTGTCGGGAATCGTACTGTTGTTGTCTTTCGGATGAAGACGGCCAGCTACTATTTTGGCCACCACGTGGTGGAGTTCGATAATCGGGTATATTAGTGCCTGCTATATTATCAGAAGGATGGCGCGGTCCAGCTCTATACTGTTGGTATAGCGGTTGGTTGTTTGAATACTGCGGACTACGGGCCTCTAAACCAAACATGGGTGATTGTGGTGATCGAGGATCATTTAGGTGCGACGTATGGTGCTGGTGTGGATATTGTTGATGAGGAGGAGGATGGGTCGGAGCAAATCTCAGTTGAGGTGACGGACGTCCACTATTTGGAGCAGACTGATCATCCCATGATTGTCTGTGTTGATTTTGGTATATTTGCTGTTGTTGTGTCACCTGTTGCATATTAGGCCGTCGTGGCATACCATCCTAGTAAACACAAATGTTTAGGTTTGGTACCTTCACAAACACAAACGTACAGACGTACCAAAGGACCTATTGGCAATGCTGGTGGCTTGACATCTATAACCTCTTCTGGTTGTACATCACTCTCATTCCTACTATGTATTTCAGAAATTTTGAATTAGTCTCAAGCAAACAAAAACAGCTACATTGATCGTTATTACCTCTTTGATGGCACAGTAGGTGGCCCTCCTGATGAATCAGATCGACTTCTCTTTGATTTCGACTGTGCCTTTACGGTTTGAGCAGCGATATTTTCAAAAATCTTTCGTTTCTGTGACCGGAGTTCTTCGAGTTTCAAGATTATGGCGTCTTCATCAGGGACTTCGGAAGCTGGTTCAGTCGAGGTGCCCGATACACTTGTTGGACCACCATCACCAGGAGAGGGTGATTTTATATCGTCTCGAGCAGTGACTTCTAAAATGTTTGGATAATTAAGCATGTGTGGTGAATATAGACTAATAATAAGACCATACCTGTCGATAAATCAATGATTGTATCGGATGGTTTCACTTGTTCTTCGACCTTAACATTGTCGCCCTTGGTATGCTCTCCTTGTTCAAAGTGTTTTGATGAGTTGCCACAAGTGGTGCTATTACTATCATCTGGACGAGTGGCTATTGCATCTAGAGCATCATCTATGGTATCATCAAGATCTTCATCGTCTTCGTGGTCCGAAGCCTTCCTCTTTGCACGGGACTCGATTGCTCGTCGTAGTTCGTGGGGATGTGCTGCTGCCCGACTAGTGTCTACAGGCAGGACCGGTACAGAAAACGAGTATCTCGCTATGGAGGACATCCTAGACTAGAGCCATTTGCCTGCTGCCTGCTGTTCTGGTCCTATATCTCGCAATTTGATTGTTTGTGATTAATTCATTAATTCTCAATGACTTTGACATACATGTTGACCTACATACAATCAGATTGTCCATTTTTACGTGTCTTGTCGCGTATTAGAGACTGTAATATACAGTCCAGAGTTCATAGCATTCTTCGTGACAAACATTCAACTTACATTCATCGCGAACTGCATCATATAAGCTACACAGGCAAACCAGTCATATGGTAGTCACCGATATGGCCAACAGCCAGTCAGATATTCTAGCTCTGGCGAAATCCGCACGGCTGGCTGCTCTTCAACTGCAAACTGCCTCAGACGCGGAAAAGAGGACAGCTCTGCGCTTTATTCACCAACATCTGCAGGCTCATAAACAACAGATCCTGGAGGCTAATGCTAGAGATTTACAGGTATGCCGTCTCTTGCAGTACCTGGTGCTACATTTCTGTTAAGTCAAACCATTGCCAAAAAAACGTTACCCATGTCCAGCCGAAGGTCAAGTCGTTGACACCATCTTTACCACGCTCTTCTAGGCCGCCAAGAACGATACACATCTATCCTCAACGTTGGTGAAGCGGCTGGATTTGAATGCTGGTGGTGACAAGTTTGACTCGATGCTTCAAGGTGTTTTGGACGTTCAATCTCTAACTGATCCATGTGGTATTGCTCGATTTCCATTCTTGTACTCAAAGTTTCGTCTCTCATCTTCTTCCATGTTCATCACAGGACAAGTCACGTTAGCAACAAAGCTAGATGACGGATTAGAAATGTTTCGAGTTACTTGTCCTGTTGGAGTCCTACTCATGATATTCGAGGCTCGCCCCGAAGTTGTCGTACAGGTCGCGTGTTTGGCCATAAAATCAGGTACGCATCCTGATAATAATTATCATCTACGACAAGAACTCGTCGGTTTTTAGCCTGTTCGCTCATTCAAACTTGACCAAATCTCTATTAGGAAACGCCGTCGTTCTAAAAGGTGGCAAAGAAGCATCTCATTCAAACCAAATATTACATAAAGTCATATCTGCAGCTCTAGCAGAAGCATCTATATCCACAGTCCCAGCTTCAGGCATTCAACTGGTGTCGACTCGAGAAGCTGTATCCGATTTGTTGCTTCTCGACAAGTATATCGATATGGCAATCCCAAGAGGTGGTTATGATCTCGTAAAGTATGTCAAGAAGCATGCTACCATGCCTGTATTGGGACATGCTGATGGTCTCTGCTCTATATACCTGGATGAGACTGCTGATGTTAGTAAGGCCATTCCTGTGATTGTCGACAGCAAGGTATTTAGTGGTATGAGACTCTTGTTTTTGGCTCAGTCATGCTGACGCAGAAAAAACTCGTTTTAGACCAGTTACCCTGCTGCCTGCAACTCAACAGAGACTTTGCTCGTCCATGCAAACTGTCTAGCGACAGTTTTTCCCAAAGTGGCGGATGCTTTACTAGCAGCAGGCGTATCATTACGATGCGACCCAGCCTCATATACGTCCATATCATCACGTAAACCACCATCAACATCATCAGCAACCATAACAACATCAACTCCCGAAGACTACAACACAGAATTCCTAGACTTGGTACTAGCAGTCAAAACCGTCTCATCCCTATCCGAAGCCATCATCCACATAAACACAAACGGATCACATCACACTGACGCCATAATAACCGAATCAAAACCACATGCCGAACAATTCATGGCTCAAGTCGATGCTGCCGGTGTATACTGGAATGCATCAACGAGATTCGCGGATGGATTTAGATATGGGTTTGGGGCTGAAATTGGTGTGTCGACAAACAAGACACATGCTAGAGGACCGGTGGGATTGGAAGGGTTGGTTATTTACAAGTACAGAATTTACGGGAGTGGGAATGCTACTGCGGATTATAGTAAGAAGAGAAAGTACTTGCATGAGCCAATTGATATCGAGTCTGTCAAGCATCGATTCATAACAAAGTAGTAATAATAGATTCACGTATTTCGCATTTCCACCCCGACAGTGTCTGTACTTCTGTGTTTGTTCATACAGCACAAAACTTATGTTATAAAAGATCTCAGGATGCAAATGGCTATGGATACTATACATATAGATTGACAACAAATTACATTCTCAATTCCACTGTTCTCCTTAGAACCCGAAAACCCCTTTGGTTCCTGCGAATCACTCAATCTTTTTAGACTCGAGTGTCTCTCGCCTAAACCTCGCTTCAATCTTGACCAACTCCTGTTCTTCCTGTGTCAACCAGCTCGTAGTAGCTTGAGCTATCAACGAAGCCAACGCATCATGTAAATGCTCAGACAAGAAGCAGACAACGGCTATTACGGGGAGTTTCGGAAGACTTTGTGCTGTTGGTGGTACCGCATTGTCCCAATGCTTGTACAGAATTATCAGAGCTGGTATTGTTAAGGTCGACATTCGTGTTATGGTTTTCTAATAGGATTAAAAAGTGTTAGCGGCATGTGATTGCCACAGGTTGGCGAGTGAAAGTGCAAAAAAAGTTCTGAAGCTATATAACATTACCAAGATCATGGTATATGGTCCAATATCTTCTGCACGATATGGTATAGGTCGTCTAAAATGCCAAGGAAGGTTGAGACTAATGCATAATCGACTACGAGATTTCCTTTTACCTCGTCGCCAAGCATATCTTAAGCATGTCCGATCTTGACTCGAACAGGTTGTTGATCAGACATGCAAGTGGAGCCAGAGGCCATGCAACTCCTGTTAACATCATCAAATTTGATTTTTTATAAGCTCTTTCATTGGCGGACACTGAAATTCTAAAAATCATCAACAACGTACCGAAAAGCATGATGAATCCAAATTGCAACACCATCTCCCGTAAATCCTGCAAAACAAAGTTGGTTTCCAAAAAGGTCAGACTACGCTTCCAACCAAAAACTGTGATATATGGTAATGACTCGCTGAAACCAGATCTCACCTCATCAATACAATATGGAGGCCTCTCATATTCCTCTTGCAACTGCTTCAAAACGTGATGTCCATTCACAGTCTTTGGTGATGACGTGTCCGATATCGAATCACCATTCTTGTCCTGAGATTTTGATGCTGTCCATGTCCGTATCAATCTCATCACTCGTGGCTTGATCATTGGTAATATTAATTCACTAAAGACGTTTTCGATTTGGCCAGTGACCTATAAAACAGTTTTGAGTTTGTTTAGATCCGAGGAGAAAAACGAACCAAACTATCCCCTGCCACACAGGCTTACTGTATAGTAAATCAACAACTGCTGAAAAACGTCAGGACCAGCTTGTCCGACTGGCTGCTTCCAATTCGTCGAGTCGTGAGATACAAAAACACCCAATGCAGCTCCAACAGCATCTTCAAACGGTACGAAAAGAAAGCCAAGAACGGCTAAAGGGAGATATGTTGAGAGGGTTGCAAAGAGGAACGATTTGATGCTATGAGATGCTTGATTGGCTGAGACGGTTTCTTGGTTTTCCAAGTCAGTGAGCATCTATTTTGATGAGAATCTTACCAAGAGCGGATCACAATAGAAAAATCATTCAACAAAGAGCAGGCTCACGTTGAGTAAAGGTGTATACAGGGTTGTGAGTGTAGGTATGAGGGTTACATATATGATTGTCGGGGCGAAATTTACGATATGTGGCATGGGCTATAATCCAATGTTTTCCCAAAGTCAGTTTCATGATACCGCTCTCAACTGGAAAACATGCACTTACACCACGGTAATAGTTTTTGATGGCCTGTTCCAATATGTAGATAGCTGCTATTATACCTCCTTGCAACAGGACCATGAGCAAAACGATAGGAGCAGTCACACCAAGCAAGAAGGCAATCCGTTTCCATTCTGGATAGACTGGGAGCTGAGTATTTGTCACAACATCTTTTACGAAACCGTCTGGTCGAAAATCTGCTCGTATAGGTTGGAAGCGAGAGACTCCTCTCGTCTTATACGCGATAGCTGTTTGTCGAGCTTTACGTTCCCAAAGCATACAGAATCCAATACCCCAAATTATCTACAAGCAGGGAGAGAAATTTACTTGATTGGATGAAATGATAACTGCCTTAAACGAAGGCAAAATTTTCTTACAGATATCACTCCGAGCACATAATCATATCCATCCCTTACGAAATACCATGAGAGAAGACTGATTACAGTCAAGGGAAAAAGAGCCCAAAAGTAGAAAGTCAAGAAGCAGAAATAGAATGCTACTTCTGTTCCTGCATAGTCTTTGATCAGATCTATGTCCGAGAATTCTAGAAACCACTTCTTGGACCATGCTGTAATGAGTGCTTTTGTGACTTCATGGTTGTGGGGAGGAAAGACCGATTCTACACAACCGTCCTTTTCGAAAACACCAATTCCTCCTAGGAATTTCAGTGAATGGAATGAGCACATCGATCGCCAAAATGAGCAGCTAAAGACCGATTCCTCAACCTCGTTGTTTCTAAAACAAACGGATCTGGGGGTTTGCTCTCACCTTCATACTCAGGCTCGACCAGCATCTCGTTAATGAGCCTCAGACGTTCCGATGATGTAATTCGTGTCATCAAGTCAAGAGCTGATACGATCTGACTTGGAGGATTCTTTGCAGGAGTTCCGACCTTCCGTAAATAGTCAGCCAGACTACCAGATTTTGAGAGAGATACGTTAGTATTCTGCTCCTTGATTACGATTATTAGAATATTAGTACAATAGAAATATATATTATTCAACGCGATGCAGGCCAACTTCTCGTGAAGAAATTGCAAAGAGCTTAAAGTAGCAAATCCAAACCTGCAGATGTAAGCATAGTTTGCCAAGACCTTTGTAGGACACCATATTGCCAACGCTTTCGTGGCTGAATTAAGCTCGATAATCTGAAACTTGAGGCCTTTACTAGTCAATCTTGACCTCAAAGTGCTGAAAGACTTTGAATGTTTTGCGTCCACTTCTGGCTTCAGTTCGAGAACAAAGTCCGTATCTCCTAGAGACTCTAGTCCCCAAGAGTCATGTTCTTCCATGGCTCCACTCGACATGTTTTGGAGTTGGCACTTGCCTAGAGCGACCGCAACGTTTTCTGATTTTGGAATATTACCAAGTACAAAAGCTATTACTTCGACGATCTGACGAACAAAAACAGGACGAGAATGTAATATCGATGGTATTTACGCGTCAAATCCTTGCATGATGCTGGCTACAGTAGTTTACGGTCCAAATTTCTCGCGATTATTTCATGGCATCACAAACTCGGATGAGAATATTGAGGCTTCACGATCACGACCTTCGACACCTAATAAATAATGCCATTCTGGCTATAAGATCAAACTATAGGTATCACATCATCTTGCATCAGCTCAGTAAAGCATATATTGAAAGATTTCATAAAAGGTGAACATTGGGTTCTCTCCGCTCACATTCCTCGTCTTTTCATCTTTTCCGTTGAGCATTCTCTTGTAAGAATTGCGTTTGTGTACACACTCGTGCATTCCTCTGATTCCCACTTCCTTTCCTTTTTGCTGGTAATCCTGCTACAGCGCCAATATCAACACCGACGGTGTGCTTACTATGACATCGTTGAGGATCCATGTTTGGAAGCACCTGAAAGTTCGTTGGAAACAATACAGCAAGCCAACCAGGCTGTACTAAGTCTGTCTAGCATGCAATCATCTGTCAATGATACCGTATTTGCCCTACAAGTCCTAGATGACCAGGCAAAGTATTTCGTGATCAGGCTACATATTGAGTGAGAAAGTCGAACAAGATCATGATTTTGGTTTGAATCCATTCGATACGTGAAAGATTTGGGCGAATGGAACCAAGTTTCCATATAACAGAAGTAGTGTTGGTGGCGAGAGTACAAGTATTGGCATTCAAGTAGCTCTAGATATCAGGTACGTAGTGTTGTTGCTGGTGGGTGTGTTGGTAGTGACGATTCTGGTCATTATGGTTGCTTCTTGGAGTGGTTTGTCACTACTTTCTGATATGTAGCCATATCACGTGCAAAATTGTCCTGTTACTAAGAGAAACGGATTAGAAGGGTGAATTCAGTTCAAGCTGAAAGTGTCTCTGTAACAGCACGAGCTGTAAACAACACGGAAAGAGAGGGCACCCTACATCATGATTAGGAGCTCAGATCTCAAACAAAACGCTCACAATCTGAAGCATAATGTAACTTGTAATTTTAGTGGGTTTCTTCTCGTTCAATTAGGTTGCACTGAATGTAGTCAATGTCAATGTCAGCTGAGTACCACAATCTAATAGAATAGTGAGGCCAGTGAGTATAAGATCAATCATTCAACGTCATAGTAGATCGTCGTCCCTCGATGTCATTTTAGTGATGAGATCACTGTGCTGACAATAGTTCCATATCATTACAACACATACCAAGACTTGACCAAGTGTGATGGTGCTGGATCAACATCCTCGAATAGATTGCTAAATCTCTAGACTGCAAGAAATAGATGACTATGCACCTTTCAAAAACAACAGGTGCACAATCTAGTCAATGAAACTATTAAAACGTCATGTATTTTGTACAAGAAATTTCAAGCACCATCAAACAAGTTGGAAGGAGGCTCCTCTGTGTTTCTAAGCCCGGCCTTGGAACCGGCGATGGCCACATTAGCCCCTGTTTCATATGGTCGTTCAATTGACATCAGAGATGTTGTTTGTCGTTGTCGGTTTTCACTAGGTGCATTTGCTTCAGCAATGTCTCCATTTGGAGACCCAACCCGGATACAGAGATGTCTAAGAACCCTTCTACAGGTAACTTCATCATCAAAGCCATATTTTCAAACTCAATAATTACAGCGGCGACACTTATGATGGCAAGGTTCAAGTATCACTTGTGCGAGACACTTGTTATCAGCACTTTATAAAAATCAGATTTTGTCATCCCATAGTGAAGGGCTTAACGAGGATCTCAATCTTTCCGTTGCCTCGACAACTTTCATAGCTTTTACTTCATGTTTCATTCCATTCGTTTCTTGGGCCAAATGTACGATTGGGTAAGTGAAGGTATAAAGACATGATTGTGCCTTTTTCAATACCTCGATATACAACTTGCTCACTACGCCATCCAGTAAAACAGTGGTGATTGATTCCTGAGATGTCCCTTATGACCTGCAGAGTGAGCACCTGTCAGGACACTCGGGAGTAAAAGCTTGATGCGAGACCAAGGGTGGGCAGCCATCAAGTGTCTACCGAGGAATCTCGATCATTACCCCTGCTGGACAGCAGCAGTGTTGTTGGCGTGTCGCTCATTCCATTCGATTGTTGGGCAAAGTGCAGGGAGTAAATGAAGGCATGAAGACATGGATGCGCTTTTCAAGTGTCTCCACGTACATCTTGCTCACTTAGAAACGTATCTGCTTGGTGCAACGAGAGCGTTTGTTGCATTTTTGGGTTTTGGGTTTTAGCCAACAAAATCAAATGTAAGCAATGACGAGATCAAGGAGGAGAAGAGGTATTTGGTGCAATTCACAACCGCGACATAATAATTTCCATTACGCGTAATTACTTGATGTCAATTGCAATACGTAGGTGGCAGGTTGATTACTTCGATGCCTTGGCTCATCGTGTTGCCGCAAATGACTCTAGTGTCACTAGCTCATAAATTTCTGTAGAGATCAAAGTAGGAGCAATATTGTAGCAGCATTGTGAAGCGGCTGTTACCCTAAATCTAGAGCTGTTTCAAAGTCCAAAATCCAAATAAGGTGGGTTGTGGCTGCTCAGAGGTGTGCCGGACAATCAACTTTACGGGCCAACTGTGACGAGGTCAAACTTATATATATCAAATAAATTACAATATTTTGGGTGTAACAGATCACAATATACATATCATCCACATTCCACACCTCTGCTCATGACAACATAAACTGAAAGTTTTCATAAAATGTCAACATTGGATTCTCTCCACTCATCGTTCTTGTCTTTTCTACCTGAGCATTCTCTTGCAAGAATTGTTTTTGTGTACATAATCGTACACTCCTCTCCTTCCCACTTCCTTCCCCTGTTAGGTGCGTCTTCTCAGCACCACCGACGACGAAATTATCCCTACTATTACATATTTTCAAATATACCTTTTTAAGCATCTCGAAATCCGTTGGAAAGAATATATCAAACCAACCCGGCTGTACTAGATACGTCGAGCAAGCAATCATCTGCCCATCATATCTCGTTTGTACTACAGGTCCTAGATGACCAGACACAGCATCCGGCAATTTATCGAAATCGGATAGTACGAGTCTATGATTTGGGAAGTACTTTGCGAGGATGTCAAACAAGACGATGGTTTTTGTAGGAATCCATTCCGGACGTGATAGATTCGGAGCAAATGGAATCAGGTTTCGACGTAATAGACGCAGTATTCGCGGTGAGAGTACTGGTGGAGGTATATCACGTAATTCTAGATATCGGAGAAGTAGTGGATCTGTTGCTGGTTCGTATGCTTCTTGGTAGTCACCGTTTTCGTCAATCATGACTACTCCTTGTACAGGTTTGCCGCTGACATTGTCGTATCTGACCATATCATGGGCAAAGTTATCCTAATATCAAAGATATCGGATTAGCAAAGGAGGGTTGTATGATCAGAATCGTAAGTAGCACAAAAAGCCTGCAGCTGCTTCTTACTGCATCGTTATGATGCATAGCTGCTGTAGCTCAACCCTCACACGACACCACTTTAATGACTCCAATACTCAACGTAACTTACAATGACTTCCATGGCAATAATAAAGCATGGATCAGAGACAGTCACATCCCATTCAAATATCGACTTGTTTATAATCCGTATCTTGTCATGCGGCAATACCCTACTTTTACTACTAGCCGGTATAGCTTCCGATTGTAGAGCAGCCAGTTTAGCACTGATTTCAATTACATTGTATCGTGTGTTTACGTAAATGTCTGGATGGCGATCTCGTATATAGTCCAGAATGTTCATCATAAGAGTACCGTTACCAGCACCGACTTCGTATATTATAAGAGGACCAGATGTATCTTGTTTGCTGATGTGTAGTTGGACAATGTAGTGAGCTAGGGCGTATCCATACCAAGGCTAAGCATGAAAAAGAGTGTGTTGGTGAGCCTTTGCGAATATTACAATAAGGAAAATTCAATCACAAGTTACCCTGAAGAGCTCAGTAGGAGTATGCCAGACTTGTCGAGCAATGTCGTCGATGGGAGGTGAATTCGATTCAACGGCCTTATATAACTCTCCCAAATGGTTCATAAAGTGCTGTACATTCTTGAAGGTGTTGAATTGAATATCTTCCTACAAATAAAGTGAAATTGCCATGGTCAGTAACAATAACAATCGAAGGTCATTCGACCTGAGACGATGCTGATTTTTTTTGTTGTACTCACAGATGGTGAGAAGATGACTGCCTTTTTAGAGAAGTAACCATAGTGCGGATTATAGAGAGCATCCTCTATAAAATCTCTGACCGAAACACCAGCACATCGTGGCGGATGTGTTAATTTACTTAATTCGGTTGATGTGTATCGACGGTATGCAGATTGAGGGATTGGGAGCACGGGATTCTTCTGATCTACGGCTAGAGCATCCCAATATCCTTTAGGCCTGATTGCTATTGCTGGAGCTGCGTTGTTGGTGACGGATGTTGATGAATGTCGATGTCGGGATTCCAATGTTCGTGTTATTCGATTAAGCCTCCTGAAACAATGGAAGAACCTAATGTACTTGTCGTTCATGCCTATTGATCTACTCGACAGACAGGATGATCCTCGCTAGAGCTTCTTTCGTGAGCGACCGACTAAGGAAATCACCAAAACTGAAAAATCCAAGTTTTTTGGAGTCGAATAGTGTCGCGAAGCCACGATCTTGAAAAGACACAAGTGTAATTTGTTACTTAATCTTTAATTGAATTGAAGAATAATACATTTCGTGATTTTATACATCATACGACATAATACTCCAGGTCGACCAATGGAAACAAATGAGACATACAGCTCAACCAAGTGAGCAGATACTGTTCTCCAACTGGAGCAACATCACCCATATGCTGACTAGTACCGCATGGATGAAGATAAAAGAAGGGGATGTTTAGGTGGGGATGATCCTAATTGTAGAAGGTCAGTATCACTTTTGGGCAGAGCTGAATATCTGAATATGTACAATACCTGTTGCGACACTTTGGCAAATCGTCCCACATCAGATCCACTTAATCGCTCTTCGATATCGAGCATAATGTGTAGTGGGTTGTAGCTCGGGCCGTCCTTGATAAAGTAGAGGACAGGACTCCTCCATGATGGTGAGTAGCAAACATGGAATTGCCACTTGGAGCATGATGTGAGGCTGCGTGTATTCAGAGCAGCTGGATCTTCCTCCTCGTCCTTGAAATTGATGTGAAAATGCATAAGCAAAAGAATCACATGGGTTGGGAAATGTTACAACATACAGTGAGATTGTGTGAGTCCAACGCTTCATCCGATGGCTTTCTGGCGTCGGGTATAAGGACATTTTTGACTAGATAGCCTCCCTTTCCAATCTAGTATAAATGCATTCAGTCCAGTTGAGTTCAAGATAAGCAATAAAACACATCAAAGTAGCTTACATCAGTCCAAGTCCATGGTTCTCGCAGCACTTCAGCACGTCGCACTAGGCCCAGAGCCTGTATTTTGAATTCGTCCCTAGTCAGAAACTGCGGAACGTCGAATGAGATTACCATCGCTTGGTTTGGAAAAGTCGAAGGACTTGATCAACATGAAATATAGCAATTTGTTGCCAGTTTCAAATAAATACTTAATTATATTAATTATAATATTACGACGAGTTGACGCGTATCCCACATCCTCTTGGTGTCTCAATCGATCGAACTTGACCTCATGGTACTAAATGTCAACCAAAATTCAAATCCCGGTAACAAGGTTAGCTACAGGCGATACGATCATATAGATACAGTATTAGATCTATCATAACTCCCTCTTCGTTTTCTGTTGACAGTTAAGATCTTCGTCACGAGTAGCCAGTCAAGTTGCAAACGATCATCATGGCCGATGGATCAGCAGTCAAAGAGCATCTGAAGGCAGATAATTTCAAGGTAGTTTTATTGACAATGTATCTATTCAACTTGACATCGTCTCGTTACTGACATTTCGTCCTTGCTTCTTCATCACAAGGGAACACATTTCAACAAACGAGAAATCGTAGAGAACTTGTCCAGTAAACTCGTACAGCAAGCAAGAGCAAATCCTCGTGGTATTACTCATCCACGTCTGAAATTTCACCGTCTTGGAAGCGTTGGATCTAACACGCATCCCAATCAAACATTTAGAATTCGATCCAAAACCATTTCTGCGCACATTCGAGGTCGCTCTAGATGAATTGAAACGGGTTCGAAAGAACTTTCAACGTAAAATCGATGACTTGGAAGATGAAGAAGCTAGTACTGAACGAACGAGAAGGAAGAAAATGGCTGAGATATATACTTCCTTTGAGGTATCGATGATTGCACGTTGGATCATGATCAATATCATATATTGACTGAATATCCCTACTATTATAACAGAGTGTGTCGCAAGCTTATGAAATGCTAGAAGCTCAGATTGGTGAAGTGGGAAATACCGCCATCAGAATAGGTGATAGTGAATAACGTGTTCATTATTTTTTGCTTTTGGCTGACATGCGATTCGACTTCTAGGCGAGCAATTGGAGACCATTGACAGGCAAAGGACGCGTGCTCTTGAAGCCAAAGAGCTCATTGAATTCTACATGGAGTTCAATACTGGACGTTCTGCCAAATTGGAGCAATTGTCGTCATCTGGGCCAGAAGGAGAGCTAAAGGTATTCAAGAATTGAGTACGCTTGTTATGATATCATTGTTTGACTTGTTTCATTCGTAGTCGGCAATTGTGTTGAGGAGGTTGAATGCAATTGCCAAAGATGTTGATATACCAGGAACAGACATGGTAATGCTTTCAATGTGTGTAGTTTTTTCCTTGTTGGCCAACTTGACCTCCTTGTGTTGACGTGAAAAAATAGGCCCGAATGCATATAGAACGCTTTTGTGAAGATATGGAAAAGAAGATGCTGGACGTCTTTGACCGTGCTTACAAGAGCGGTGACAAGGCCACTATGAAGGTGATCTCAATTTCACTTTCTAAGCTAAATACACTTCATTGACTTGAATTTCTGTACTAGCACTGTGCTCGAACCTTGTATGATTTCAATGGAGGAGGATCTAGTGTCCAGCTTTATGTCAATCAGCATGACTTCTTCATGAGTCGATTACGACTTGGTGATTCACTTCTGCCACCTGAATCGTATGTTGATATTTTAGTTGTCAGACAATTTGAAGCTCAGGTCTAGTCATCCTCACAAACTAGATACTTTAACCTATTGGCCAAATCACCATCACCACCACCTGCGGACCCACAGTTGGTGAGATTGTGTAATGACATAAGTCTGACATGCCGACAGGAATGGCAAGTTATTTCAACGGTATTCCCGAATGCTGCTTCTGTCATGCAGAACTTTGTTCAACGTATCTTTGCTCAATCGGTATGTTCGGCAAAAAAGTGGAACTCAATGAAAATTATCAACTTTTCGTTGTCCTGTTAGATCCAAAACTACGTTGAGAACTCGGTTGGAGCGGCTGAAGAGAAATCGGATCTAGCATTTCTCAGATGCTTGGCATCATGTCACAGTACAATATCAGCGCTCGTGACAGATCTGAACAAATTTGATGCTACGACCATTGCTTTAAAATCAACCTCAGGACTAGTCTTGACGAATATCTTGGAAAGGTCTTTTGGAGACTTGTTTGTTCCTTATACTGAAGGGACAAGATATATTGAGCGAGAGTGTAGATGTCTAGTGGCATGCTTTGATGATGTGTTGGAGGCATTCAAGAACTTCACGGTATGTGATTGGCTGATGAATTATTTTCATTTTTTGGTCGCCGACCCTCGCATATTTTCTTCTTAGACATCACGAAAAAGTCCAACAAGGAAACAGCACAAGCAGTCATTGGCTACACCAGTATTGGGAGCTCAATCAGTAGCTCAGTTATTAAATATTAGTGGGCTGGGCTCGTCTGACAAGACCGACGATTCGGAAATGGCTGAGGCTAGTACGCCATCTACGGACACGACCCTCAAGTTGCTGGCTATTCATCTTGAGGGTATTCAGAGGTGTAAAGAGCTCAGCACCCCTTCAGACATGTGAGTGTCTGTGCGTATGCCACAGCAGGTTCTTTTTGGTTGGTTGACAACAAATGTTGTTGTATTGTAGGCCACGTCATATGAGAATACTCTTTGACCACCTGGTTGAACAAGTTGGGAAACGATATCTTGAGATGGCTATTGACTTGTAAGTTGGACCTACAAGGTCCAGAAATCTGTGAATTCTCATTTCTCTAAAAACACCTTCTTTAGATTCATGGAGGATTCCTTCCCTCATGACTCAAAAATGTCAAATGAGCCAGATTTGCGAAGTCTTGGTCTGGTTTTTGTAGCAAATCAAGTCTTGCAGTTGTTTCAATTGCACTTTCAGAATTCTATCGTGAGTGCAAAAATAAAGATGTTAGCATCTCGTATAAACGCTCACTTGCTTACTTTCTAATAGCTTCCGGTGGTGATGAATTCTCCAGCCGTCCATCGAGATCTTGTGGTAGTAAAGAACGAGTACATGGCCTCAGTGGAGTCAAGGCTGAATTCTTTGTTGCAGAAGCAGATTGATGGTGCGTGTTGATTGTACCAGTTCTTCTATATTGCATTAGTCCCGTCTCAATCCCACTGTCACATGCGTGTTAGTTATTGAACGTTGGATTGATATCTTACTTGGGAGGCAGAAGAAGACTGACTTCAGGCCGAAGGACGAATTATCAGCTGCTAGTGTAGTCCAAGCAACTCAGGTAGCATAGCAGCACCGATTTGGTCTTGCTGCTCGTTGAATTTGCTTAAGCTAAGTCAAACACAAAATAGCCATGTCAGATTGTGTGTGATTTCCTTCGCAAGGTGTACTTCCAAGCTTCCAAATGTCTGAATCGTGATAACTCGGACTTGTTTCTCGGAGAGATTGGAATAGAGCTCCATCAGTAAGTGTTTTCAAACATTTTTACGTTGACGACTCGGAGGACTCACAAGAAATGATATAGGATGTTGTTGGAGCACATCAGGAAATTTACGATAAGTTCTTCTGGTGGTATGGCACTAGCCAAGTAAGTGGCATTCCAACTCCAACCAGGTTACTTTGGTCTTCATAATCCATATTTTGCCTCTAGGGATTTGGCCCTGTATCAGGAAACTATTGCAACCTTTGGAGTCTCGGCACTATCAGAACGATTCAATCTATTGCGAGAGCTTGCTAATGTAATAAAGCACCAAGCACATTCACCTGCCAATATTCACTGACGCTACTACGTTTTGAACAACAGGCTTACATTGCCAAACCTGAAGCACTGAGATCTGTCATATACGAAGGAGTGCTAGGTCGTATTGATCCAGTTCTGCTCGTGCCTTATATATCATTACGAGCTGACTGGGGCAAGAGGATTGAAAAAGGTATGCTTGTCAAGGTTGTTCTGTGAGGTGAAGGGTGAAGCGAGAACTGACTTTTGTCGTTTCCTATAGATCTATTTGTTCGAACACGTTGAATTTCAGTCTTTGCATCTGTACAATACTTTCATTGTTTCTATTAAACCTCCAGTCGTTTACACAACGAGACGAATCATATAACACTGTTACTCGTTCGATCCGGACAATATTTCGACGCTATTATGCCCAAGTATCACGTTCCCCTGGCACGTCCCTTAGTCGAAGAGGTCTTGCCTGGAGGTTATCCGCTGCGTTTTGTCCCAACAAAAACAACAATCTACCATAAAGGAGGGTGTAGACTCACGCAGAGGGTGCCCATTGATTTTTCTTGAGCTACCGGGACCAACCACAGGAAGCCAACCCTCAAGTGCTTGTACTTGGCCCACGTATTCCTGTAGTCTGGCAGCCAACTGGTTCATATCAACCAAACAAGACCAATTGCTCTGGCATCGAGTCACTGCTGGCAGCTCTTTGAATCAAATCGACGAGCCGTGAGCTCGTCGTTTCTGCGTCGACCTGTCTTCGTAGCTATTCGACTCCTTGAGACCAGACATCAGACGAAGGGGGTCAATTTTTCAGGAGGGTGTTTAAATAGGGTACTGATGGACGACGCTGTAAGTACAAGTGATTTAAACCGAACTATTGAGTCTTGATGTCATCATACTGATATGATTTCCTTTGTTTTATAGAGAACATTGTTTGAACTTAGAACGCACACATTGGGAGCATTACACTCTTTCAATGCAAGCTCTCTGAATCGGCACCTGGTTTTTCAAAGACTGGCCAAAAAGTGAAGTCGCCCCTGTGGACTCTTTTTCGATTCACTGATAACTTGCATTGCTGGAGGGATTGGTGAAGCGCTTTGAATCGACGACTGGTTTTTCAAATACTGGTCGAAAGGAAAGTCACATTTTGGGCTTGTTGCTGATTCACTGATGCTTCGATGCGGTAGGGATTAGACTCGAGACGACTCAAATCTTGACCTGATTTGAGTCGCTGATGGCAACGCTTTCAATCGACTACCAGGTTTTCAAATACTGGTTAAAGCAAAGTCACCTGTTGTGGGCTCTTTGTTGATACATTGAGGTCTGCCATCAGAGAAAGCCGAATGATGGGAATATTGTGTTGGGGGGATGCTAGATGTGGTTAGTGATAAATGTGTAGTCACTCGTTATATCTGGACGACTTTATACTTACATGATTTTCTTTGTTTTAGAAATACTCTTTGGGGGAATTAGGCTCTTCGAGCGCTGATGGCACCTCTTTGAATCAACGATGAGAGAAGGATGGATTCGGAACAGGATGGTTAGATTGTAACGTGATCACAGGTAATGTCTATTGAATCCAGCATGTTGACGTCTTCATTCTCATCGTGTTTCGTGTCTCTCCTAGTGAACATTGTGTGATTGAATAGAATCAGCTATAGCGGGAGGGTAATAATAGTCATAAAACACATTCTATAAAACCACCATATCATACGCAACCATAAAGCATAAATACACCTACTGCTAGCCTGACGATCTGTGTGTGTTAATACATCACGCTCACGACTTCCAAAAATCACAATAATATCGTCTTGTTGTTCAACCAAGAGAGGAGCCTTTAGTAGGATGTACATGTGCTCTTGCAAGTTATGATTCATCTCAATTTGCCTTTACAGACTTGATCTTACTCAATTGACACTCTTGCCAACAGAATCCTTTAAAATCCAAGCTCCTCATTTTGATTCCAGTGTAAAATCAAGCGACATCCCAAAAATGTCGTCGGTACAGCAGCAATTATATAGAATCTTGACTCGTAAACACAAGCTGGCCATCAACAAGGATGCGCTGGACTATTTGCATGGCATCATCACTCAGGCTGAACTTGGAGGAGACGACTTGAATGAAGCGTTGGACTATATAGCTACTTCCTACTTGCAACATGAAGGCAAGTAATCGAATGCTCTACCATAATGGAAGAGATCTAGACAAGATCAGGATGTGTGCGCAGTTTCATCACCCAAACGTTAAACCGTTTATCAGGATCTTGTTTCTTGACGACTTGATCATGTAAAAGGCATTTATGATGGCGCAATAGACTAACCATGTCGTTCTCACTTCAATCAGGCGGCAACTATGGAACCGTCGTGGATCGAGCAAGACTCCAAACAGTCGTCGAAAATATTTCTAAAAAGACTGCAGCTCAGGAACAAGTCCTACTTGCAAACGACGCCGAAAATGATGGCACACAACAATCTACTCAAGACGCATCAGCATACCTACAAATCATCGATACCTTCCAAATCCCAAAATACACCTACGACTATGACCGTAAATCATTCATACTGGCATCATATGCAACGAAAAAGGGCAGTGCTCAAACCACCAGTCTATTTGCAAATGCAGATAGCAAAGCATTATCTATGAGAGACCGGTTTGATTTGATTCGACAACGGATATTACGGAATGACAGTTTTAGACCCCCACCTTCTGCCTCCATGCATCGAAGTGAATACTTTGAGATAACGCCTATAAAGAATTTGAGTGGACGGGCTGGACAACGGTTTTTATTGTTTGGCATGTTGACGCAGATGGAGGAGGGGAGACATTATCTTGAAGATGCTGATGCTGCCATTGAATTGCAGTTTGCAGCCAAGGTACGATTTCATTCGTGGTAGCTTGCTCTGTTATGAGCGTTAACAAGGCTGGATCTATGTCCCTTAGGTGGATGTGACTGTCGGATTGTTTACCTACAATTGTTTTGTCTTGGCCGAGGGTATATTTACTGAAGAGAAGAAGTTCGAAACTCATGTGTTGGGTTTTCCACCAGCAGAGTCTCGACAAAAGTCATTGTGAGTCCGTTTCAAACGACAATCCAATGTGGTCAATCACGCTGAACTTTTTTGTGTCTCGTAGGTCGTCATTTGGTTCTAGCGTAGACTTTTTCGGAGCGCGGAAGGAAACAGACGATGCGGTATTACTTTGGAATTAGTTGGTCCTTCTTTGATGTACTAGAAGTCTTACTCTTTCATTTTTCACAGGTTGTGATTTCGAATGTGGAGGAGCATCTCGTTGACGTGTCGTTTGTCATATTGTCGGATGTCTGGCTTGATCAACCCAGAGTAAACGTCTTAGCAGTTCATTGCCTGTTATGAGGTTGAACTAATTGTCTTTGCATCTTTGGAGGTCTTGCAAAAGTTACGACAATTGTTTGAAGGATATAGCCAATCTATCCTTCCATTGGCCTTTATCTTCATGGGCAACTTTTCATCCAAGACGTATGCATACAACACTGTTGATGCTAAAGCGTATCGAGGTAAGACTGCAGCCCAGATACCAAAAAAAAGTCGACCTGACATTTGTTTATGCAGAGGGATTCAACTCACTCTGTGACATCATAACCGATTACCCAAACATTGCTCAACAAGTCCACTTCATCTTTGTACCTGGGCCCAACGATCCTTGGGCTGGAAATGTGCTTCCAAGACCTCCAATACCAGATACGTTTACAGGACGTGTGCGGGCACGCGTTACTAATGCTCACTTTACTATGAATCCATGTCGGTAAGCATTGAGTAGTCCCCGTAAACTCTCTATCGATTACTCGAATCCAATCTGATGAACGGCGGATTTCTCCTGCTGACACAGGATAAAATACTGCACTCAAGAAATCATACTATTTCGAGAAGACTTGTTGAACAAGATGCGCCGAAATGTTATCCTTCCACCTGATATGAGGCAGGAAGATGAGATCCGTCATCATGTATGTGTTGAAAATATGACTGTTGTCCTCCTATGTTCTGACTAATGGGGTTTTTCCCTGATGCTGTAGTTAGTCAAGACCATCATTCTTCAATCTCATTTGTGTCCATTGCCTATACACGTACGACCAGTCTATTGGGATTTAGATCATGCTCTGAGAACGTATCCTCAACCTGATGTGGTATGTTGTTGTTGGTCAACGATAAAACTTTCTGCAACTGGTCAAGTTCCGGGTTGATTGATTCATTCATCTTATCTCTAAAGATGGTCTTGGCTGATTCTTGTGGTACATATGGTATATCATGTGAAGGTTGTAAATGTTTGAATCCAGGATCATTTGCCAATAATGGATTCGTATTTATGGTGTACTATCCCGCTACACGTCATTGTCAAGAAAGGTAAGCTGAATCCCAAACGCGGTTGGGCGTTGACGGACTTGGAGAAGATGATCTAATATGTCCTTCCCTTTTAGTAAAATCCCATCACAGCAATAAAGGTTGCATCATGTTTATACTCACATTCTTATTCGGCGATGATATTGTTTGAGCGGGGCAACAAGTTCAGGATTTGATGAGAGAGAATTCACCAACTAACTTTCACTAGAAATCTGCACTAAGGAAGCTCTCTGACGACACCTGTACCCATTTCTAACCGTCCACTCAAGATCGAAGTCTACTACTGTTTTGCCCGAAACATGTCCGCAATTCCGTCAACTTTGGATGCGTCCTGAAGCAACAGAAACAATGCGTTATATGACTTGCTGTTTTTTTTTTAATTAATGCCAAAATTTAAGAGCCGTCTTCATACCATGACAAGCTCTCTGCGAGTGGGGAGGTCTCAAAGTGTGAAAACCGTGGACATGTTGGATTTCCTTGCAGTTGCATCCATGTTGATTGTTTCTCAGAGAATTGGAGCCTAATGCCTATTGTTGGAGAATCGGATCAATGTATGCGACTCTAACATTCTATCTGGCAATCAAGACACTCGCCATCGCAATGTTGGCAACAACTGGAAGTGCTCCTGCACCCTGCTCCATCCAAATGTCAAACTAGAGAGTGCCGAACGAACTATGACGCGTTGAAAAAATAGATACGCTCGTTTGACGCGTTGAAGGTTGAAAATGACGTTTGCAATGTCAAGTCGTGTGAGGAAATGGTTCTAATCCACGCTCAAAACACGGACGCAACTCACGCCCACTTAAAATATTTAATAGATCAATAATAAGCCGTCCTTGGAAGTCCTTGGTTTATTTGTTACATAGCTCTAGTTCGTTCAAATTAACCAAATTGTCACAAAGCGCACTTCGTCTCTTCACATCGTTCCTCACAAACTGACAATGGCCGACGAAGTTCCATCATTTGCCGTAACTGGCGCTGTTAGCAAGACACCAGCTCCTCAAGCTATGGTCGCGTTTGTACTCAGTGCAGCCATCGTGTCCCTTCTCCCTATCTGTACGTTTTTGAGAATATTTGATGTTGACGATGCACGATGACAATCAGTACTTTAAACACTCATTTTACTTGATTCATCTCTAGATTTATACACGACAATAGCTGCTCTTGACGTGGAAGCCTCACTTCCCTTTGTCGCTGCAACATTAGTGTCTACACTATTGGGTCTTGTTTGGTCGTATAGCAACTTTTTCTATACAAGGCACGTCCAATAACAGATAGATTCGGAAATGATTTCCATTTTTATTTTGGATGCTGTGGATGTCAGCGAGAATAACACTCTCTCTGTTATCATGTAGTCAACTTTCCCTACATACCAAAGTCAAGCAAGACACTACATTCTATACAGCAGCTGGAACTCTGAAAAAGAATGATAAGGCTGAAGATGCTAGAAAGGTTTCTGTTATCAAGACTGCTTCATTGGTAAAAAAAAGTCGCATAGTCTCCTATATAACCAGAATGCTCAATTACTCTGTCGAGTTTTAGGCATGGGCCATCTTCTTGGGAAACACTATCTACGTGACGCTGTTCTCGCTGGGTGCACTCGGAACTTGGTCAGTGGTCTCGCTATTCATCTTCGCTTTGCACTTGTTTTTTTTTGCCCTATTCTAACATAGTAAATGTCTAATACGTATTAGGGGTGGCATGTCAGTCTCATACCGACTGATGCTTACTGGTATTGCTCCAGCCTTGATATTATCATTGCTGAGCAGACCAGTTGAGAAACTCGAGTCAAAAAAGTAGGATGACAATCCCAAACCATCGAAAATCCTTTGTATAAAGACAACCAAGAACTCGAGTTTAAATGCATTCGAGATAATGAAAAGATCCTTGACAAGTGATTCAGAGTGGCGTGTTCGAGCGCAAGTTGCGAGCAAAAAATTGGTTGACAAAACCAAAACAAGCCGAAAGTGTTGTACTTTGTGAAGGCGAATTTCTATTTTGCTATTCGGCTTTATATCTACGGGGGTACATCCTACAACATGAGTGAATTTGGAATGGGTTTTACACCTATAAAAGAGTTTTACAAACGAGCAGAGCCCTTGCGACCAACAGTGGCGGTGATGTAACCTAGAGACCAAAAGGGAATAGATCAGTAGGTGACAATGCTTATTGCAACCACCGGCTCTAAGCAATAACAACTGCATATACCACTTGGATCAGCTTGAGGGAAGAAGATTTGCTGATCAGCCCCAGTATTCTTCAATCCAAATCGTCCCAAGTCATAACCAATATAATGCTTATTAGGCAACGCCATTGAGACTTCCTCGACCTCAGCAAACTTGGCGATGACATCAGCACAGATACGCCACAAGGTGTTTTGTACAGACGGAGAATCATGATTGGCAAACAAGTCAATCAAGATCTGTCGTACCCCATTAAATATCTTATCAAATGGCAGTTTGACGAATTTGCTGGTAGTCGTGTTGAGTGGTTCAGTAACAGAAGCAAAGTTCCAAGATACGTCGACATTGGTTGAGAATAATCGGTCTGCTGCTGGTTGGAGGGTAGTCAATTCATCTAGATGGTATCCCTCGAATGACGATCCAGTAGTTTTCAAGATGAGGAGATCGACCAATCCCGATACGGTAGTATACGTGACGTTGCCACCTGCAGCACGGCTAGCTACCATATGTACAGTACGTTTCTCGTCACCGGCACGGAAGTATGAGTGTGGGTGCTCGTACTTCTGAGCTGGGATGGATCCATCCTTTCCAACACCTGTTCCCGTAGTTCCTGCCTGATTGACTGGTTCCAGAGTGGTGACTTGTACACGAGTCCAGTTGTGGGATTTGATAATGACTTCTACGCCTTCCAAGTGAGAGTATTTTGATAAAAAGTGGTGGATGATTTGATGGGCAAAGAGTTCGGAGGATTCCAAGGTTCCTGGGTTGCGTTTTGCCAATACGTAGCATGTGTTTTTGACTGGGTAAGAAGGGAGGGCAGTTTTGTTAGATGAGAGTCAATGATGCACAAATGTAATGCGAAACAGTATATAAATGACTAAAATACAAGTTTAATCGCTTGCCGGTGTCAGTTGGAACAACCAAAGAGTTATCAGCTTGTGTGTACGATGACTCCAGTTTTGGACCATTCAGCAAGACGCGACATGTCATTTCGACAATAGCAGTCCTATAAATAGAGTACAATGATAATCAGAACAATGAATTACAACAATCATCAGTCATCGGAGCAGTTTATAGATGCTTACTTGCGAAGATGTGGTGCAGCTGGGTCAGTTGCAATTTTCGAGACTTTGACGACCTTGACCAAGTCCTTTCCATATTTGGCTCTGACTAGAGTAGCTGACATGATTGGATTCTCTGATGTACTATGGTATATACTTCTTTTAATCGATTGGCAAGTTTGAAACTCAGTTCAAAAGCTCGGCTTTTATGTGGAACGAAAATTTACACGAGCGACGAGTCAGAGAGAGTCAAAAGTTCGATAAGACAACGCCATATCAGCATTCGGATCAACTGTGGGGGCACGCAGGAGAACGGGATCTGCTTCCTATCTGTCACGAACGATCTTGTAACAATGACACACGCCTTTGAGATCACCCTTCATTTCAATGCAAATCGGCCAGTTTATTTCCTTGTTTGAAACAGCTTTTTGCTAAATACATATATATATATATATATATATAAACCATTTCCACTTTGTATAATGTGCTTTACTTGAATGACAATGAACCTGGTGTAGACAATGAACCGAATTGAAAACCAGAAGGTGCTGGTGTTGGTGTTCCATAAGGTGTGAGGTTTTCCGTAGCTGTCCTCTTGGCACCAGATCCAACTCTGTTCAAAGCACTGCTACTAGATCCTCCTCCTCCACCACTATTATTGCTACTCTCAACAATTCGAGCAGAAGCACCAGATCTAGGGGAAGGCACGAATGGATTTGGTAGTGGTGTGCCAATAGAGGATCCACCCATAGGCATATTTGACGAGGATGGTGCCGCGGAAGGAGAAGCTGTTGAATCCTTTTGAGGACTGCTCCTACTTTGTCGTAGTGATGATAAGAAGGTTGAATAGGATGGCGTTGGTTCTACAACTTGAGAGAGACCAATCGATTGACTGCTGAGGTCCACAACACTATCCATGAATAATGAGAGGTATAAGCGAAGACTGATACAAAGAACGAAGACAACTGCAAGATTTTTACCCCATGAATCCACCTGCAGTGGCTTTGATATAGTAGACAAAGATAACCAATGCATGGAAGAGATTGTTGCGTTTCTATAAGCACCGAAGGTGAGCAGTTACTCAACTATATGTCATTTTTTTGATGATGCTTACTGGGAATATTTGCCAACCCCGCTTTTCAGCTCCTTGAGGAGTATCGTAGTTCACAATGAGTTGCAAGGTTGGTGGATTTGGGTCAGCCAAACGTATTTGAATACTTGACACGGTGTCTGCGAGAAGAGCAAAAGTTCAGAGAGAGAGAAAAACAACGCATAAGTTGGACCAGAACGGCCAGGACTTGACCAAGGCATCCCATTGCTTTTACATACCCGATGACAGTGGATCAAACAGAGTAACATGTCTGCGACTAAATGCTTCACCTCGTCCGTACTCGTCCCATGGTGTGATGGTCTCATCCATGAATGTTGCAAACAGGTGCATCAATAGCTAGAACAGAATATGTTGACAACAGTTTGGTAAATGAACAAAGTCAATGAAGCGGTTACCAACAAATCAGATGGCAAATCCTTGTGCTTGTCCCATGGTTTTCCTTCCCATTCTGCACCTCCAGTCCATTGATACGCTCCCAGTACACCACCTCTTGCAAGTGCTATGGACACAAAAATAGTTCAATATGTAATGATTCATTTGTGATCAAAGACAAAGTATACCTCGTATCCTGTCGAGAATGTAGAGTCGATTGGTAGGTTGACCTGGCACCGTCAAATACTTTTCCAATTTCATCCTTTCTTGAACAGTAGCATCCTACTCAATTTGATCAGCAAACAAACGTTGCCGCTCGACGAATGAGCACGTACCCTGGAATAGCCTGCAAACAGGTCTTCGAGTGATGATGGCCGTGATGAAGGTGCTGCTGGAGCTTGTTGAGCAGGTTGCTGACCAAAGGATATACCAAATGCTCCACCAGCAGGTCTAGTGAACATACTGGATGCACCTCCAAATGTACTGGCTGGTTGTGAGAAGAAGCCACCTAGTTGACAAAGGACAGTTGAGATTTAAATCGTGCCATTTCTTGGAGATATTGTTGTAGATACCTGTAGCCGCTGGCGGCTGAGCTTGCTGTGTCTGAGGCACCCAAGTCCCTCCAACCAGATTTGCAGCTCGAGTCTTTGTATCGAGATGTGACAAGTTTGCTTCTCGAAAGACACTATCAATCTTGTCAACCCTTTTCACAAGAGGTCCAAGTATTTTGGAAGACATCCACTAGAAATTATACAGACTTTCAGCGTTTGGTTCTTTTTGGCCATGCCCAAATAGCCTCAACATACCTTGCGCATCTTTTCAGTCCATCCCTCAATATAATCTTCTATATTCAATTCCTGCAACACTAGTAGAGGCTCATACGTATAGAGACCATTCTCTTTACGAACTTGAGTAGGTTGAGCTGGTCCCTTGAGGGTTCTGGATGCTGGTTGAAATTTGCCCAATTGCGGAGGTGTAGGTTGGAATGGCGCCCCGACACTGAAGGCAGCAGGAGGCGTATGTGGTGTATCTGGACCTACAATTGAAAGTTTGAGCTCTAAACCTCTTTGCAAAATGTATGAAATGAACTAACCAATTCCACCATCTTTTGGACCAAGTAAAGCATCCAGGTGTCTCATATCACGAATGGGCTCTTGAGACAATCCCACTAGAGGCAAATAAATGGAATCATTAGCAAACGCAGTGCTAGACGTGATGAGCGGTATCTCTTACTCGGTGAGCGACGTATCAGATAGCTCGACAATGGAGAGCCAACACTCTTGGCAGACATGGGAGTAAAAGGAGTTACAGGCGTTCCACCAGCTGATGGGATCGGTACTGGAGGAGTCTGAAATGGTGTGGGTCTAAACAATGAGGTCCGTGAGATACAAGTTTCGTTGGTATCAGAAAAACGATAGTGACAATTTACTCACGCGGTACGTGACGCGAATGGCGAGCTAAAGGAGGCTTGAGATAGAGGAACCACACGACGCGTCTATAAAGAATACTTATGAAGTCAATAAAGTGAAGAACATGAATCCAACTGCCTGGCCTCACCAATGGTGACGTTTGATCAAGTTTGGCGACAAGATTGGGCTTGACAAACTTCTTGTCCGCATCTACACGACTCGAATCTATTGGATCTAGTCCTAGCTGTTTACGTTGAAGCGGAGACAAGGGCATGGATGCAAAGTCTGGTTGCTGGCGATAATATTTTATGATTCCTTGAGCAACATTCCAGAGTATGGCAGCGAGTAAGACATAACATACAGTTGGAAGTATCGTATTTGATAGAAATGAGGATATTCTGATTTGGATGAATCGTTGAAATGTCCTGTCAAGAGAAAAAGGAACGACGTTACGATGATGTTTGGAAATTGCTTCAGATGTTGGAAACAAACAGGATCAACGAGCTCAATAACGTACTGAAGCAGACCAGCTAGATACATGTACATGGAAACGACTAGCAATCCAATATTCCAACACAGGGCGTATGTATCTTGTATCGTCCAAGTGAAAGTTGCTCTAGCATCTTGAATATGGTGCCATTGAGCTCCGGGTGAGCGAATTCCATTCGGCGTAAGTGGACTCATAGGCTTCATTTCTGGAATACTCGTTTTCCTTCCTCGCAAACAAGTACAGGCGCCTGATGCAACAATACGAAACTAAGAACACGCCAAAGTGTGGGGGAGAATAGACTTAATATATTACATGCAGCCACTAGATAAACTAGTTCAAAACATATCAACCATTTTCCCTCGAATCACCTATATACCATATACCAACAAAGATGCAAACTATGGTTCTTTTTAAGCGCGTTTTGATCGTCGTATAGCTATCAGACGATCCCACAATCGTGGATCTTGCGAATCCACACCTTCTGTCAAGAGCTAATGGAGTTGGAAAATCGTGAGTTGCGATGCGAACTTCTCTTTGATCTCTTGAGTATCGAGTCGGATCCTTCTCAATTTCACATGAACAATAAGTGTCCAGAGCTATTCGGTGCTTACCTCATCTAGCTCTTCTTCAGTCGGTGGCTCGAGTTCTTCTACATCAAGCTCGGCGATCTCTGCAGCCAACTTCTCCAAGTCATCAGCGGGTTCTCCTTCTTCTGAGGAGTCAGTGACATCTTCCGGATCAGCTTCGACGACAGGGAAGCCAGGAGATGATGGACTGTCTGGGCTGTACAGATATTGAGTCGCAGCACTATATGCAGTAGAGCCAGCACCTTGAGTTCCAGAAGTACCACTCCCCAACAATGGTGCCATCGCAGCACTATGTGAGAATCGGCACAATGAGCCATTGTTGCATTTTCCAGCCAAGAAGAATCGACATGGCAGTTTTGGGCCACGTGTAGAGTAACCACCAGAATTCATATCACGATTGTCACGACCATTACTGTTGCTATGATTATTGACATGACCACGATCGCCACCAGCACCATTTGCAGACATGGATGGAGTTGGAGGCAATGCAGATGACGAGTGAGCAAATGGACACTGAGGCCCTTTACTGCAACGTCCTGCTTGCCAAAACTTGCATTGTACCGACTTCATTCCACCACCGCTGCTATTACCGGGACCTCCTCCATCTCTCCTTGGACCTTGTTGTAGCATACTAGTTGGTTGTGGTATAGAGAGTGGAGGTAGAGGCATACCGTCCATCATGGCAGGTACGCCACCTGCCATCATCATACCTTCCGAGGTCATGATGACGGGTTGTGATGGTAGTGGACCTGCGACCATTGCAGCTGAAGGAGGCATCATCATCGATGGATTTGATGATGTACTGTTTGGACCATGGGAGTACCAACATCCATCACCATACCTAAATTTGTGGGAAGGGGTAAACAAGTATATTCCACGTCAACGAACAAGCAATGGGGAATCCAGAAGAATCGTTTCAACAATTGCAAGCGAAATATGGACCCGATTCGAAGAAAGGAATGGATGTGTACCTGCAAGATCCTTGCAAGAAAAACCTGCATGGAGGACGCGGCTCGAAGGAGCCCGGAGGAGCAAATACACCAGGACTTGGAAGACCATTCATCATGCCAGGAGGTTTACCCATTGGAGCATACATTGGCATGTTTGGCATCATGACGTATGAATTTTGTTGGTAGTCCTGGCCCATGTACTGGAGATTTGGAGGTCTGAGTTAGTAAAAAGGCCAGCAAGCGATACGAAACGATGAGAGAGACAAAAGATACGCGTTTTACCTGTCCGTTTGGATTGAAGTTGGGATCCATTGTTGTACTGATTTTTTTTTGGTATGGGAGTTTTGGATATGCAGCCTAAGTGGACCAATCTATCTAGTATTATAGCATGTGCACCAGGTTACATTCAGCAAGAATATTAACTATATGCTCTGCCTTTTCCAAAAACCTTCTGAGTCACTACGTACTTGAAGAACTGAAAACGAGTGTAAAAAACCCCAAGCTTTTTCGATTTTTTTTGAATATACCTGCCTTACGTGTCAAGGCCCCGATATTGATTGTATTTACTGTTTGTGCCGCAATGCGCACATTCTACGAATCGATCGCTTAGTGAAGCGCTGCAAACATGCCTTAAAATAACCTCTATCACTCCAAGCATTCAAGGTTTTAGCAAAGCTTAGCATTAAAACTACGTTTATCAGGTATCATAACGCGATATTGCGCATATAAGATGGCAGCGAATCTGATCTGAGAACTGGAAAGCCTTCACGACGATTCATGCTCCATTGGTTCCCGTTTGGGAAAGAGGGGAGTGGACAGTTTCTGGTATAACGAAAACGCGAAGACATCTACCAGGAATATGCTAGAAATATACTAGGATATGCCGGTATGCCGGTATAATTCGGTCTAAGTCGGTCGGGTCGTAGTCCCTGGAGAGGTGTTGTTACCCCGACCAGATCAAAAACCAGTTTTCAGCTTTTTATAGGTCATTTGGACCTCGATTTACGAGATGTTCACGCGAAATGAGCCAGTTTTTAAGCAAAAAATATAATAATTATTCCAGGAATATGCAAGAAATATGCTGCCATATTCTTGGTATTACGGTAGTCCCAGTCCCCCACTCTCTATTGGCGAACGGGAAAGCACCTTCCGACGAGAAAATCAAACTGAATGATGAGAAAAGACGGCAGAACAGATCCTGACCAACTCAGGGGCATGAGTGCCAAAGTCGGTCTACTGAATAGACCTGATGGATCGTCACAGTTTACGTGGAGTCAGTTTTCTTTCTGAAGGTTTTAGAGCATCGCAGAACAGACGCTAATCTAACTTATTATTCTCACAGCGAGCCCAAATTACTCTACAACATCTGTATTATGCTCGGTATATGGTCCAGTGGAGGTCCTTATAAGAGATGAAAAGGTTGATCGTGCAACTGTGACGATTGATGTTCAACCTCTTTCTGGTTCAAAGAGTGAGTTGATATGTATTTGAAGCTTCCTTCCCATGCAGTGAAGAATGAAGACGCCTGACAATCTTCTACCTTAGACACGACATGCACACTGATGCAGTACCAACTACGACAAATCTTCACACCACTCATATTAACCGCACTACATCCACGCACAGCTATATCTATGACCTTCCAAATCATGGCAGACGATGGTGGTGTACTAGCAGCATGCATCAACTCGGGAGTCTTTGCCTTATTGGATGCTGGAATACCTATAAAATCACTAGTAGCTGCCTTGGACGTGGCATTCTTGTCTGATGGATCACTCGTCATCGATCCATGTCTTTTGGAAGAAGCTGAAGCGTCGTCAAATCATGTATTTGCTTTTGATGGACGTGATGATGCTGTCGGTTCAGTGGTTGGAAATGTGTCGATGGGACTGTTTACAGAGGCTGATTTCGTGACGTGCCATGACGTGTCAAAGTCCGGAATAACAGCTCTGTTTCAATTTATGAGGCAGACTATGGAGGGTAAAGTTGTTGGTGAACTGAGGCTTCCAATGTAGCAATTTAGTGAATGTAAAGAACGTCATTAAACCGTAGAACTAATTTAAAAACACATTTAACACAATAAACTGCATAGAAAATATTAAAATTTATAATATCAGTGTGCGCCGGAGTGTACAGGTAGCCGGTTGGTTACCTGTGACGTTTCTCATGATTGCTTGTACTGTAATCAAAAAGAATATTTTGCACACAAAAGGTGGAAGAACCAAGCACGAAGCGATTCGGAGGACAGTATGCTGGACTCTCTGCCAGAAGAGATAATCGTCTCTGTCTTCAGATTTCTTACTTGCTCAGAGTTGTTGGTAATAAATCGAGCTTCACAGCTCTTGAACCGGATAGCAGACAGTAGTCTATGGGAGAAGCCAAGTTTAAGTATTCATCGTGATCACAATTCAATACTCCTAAGGTAGGAATCATCGTCGGGTCGCTAAAGTTGAAGAAAACAGCGGTGCATTTTGTCATGAGACCCTTCCTGGTGTTGCTGAGGAATGTGTATAAGAGGAAGAGGAACGGTTGCTTGATGTCAAAAGTGATGCAGATTATGCTGAACATGGCTGCCGTCGATATCCCTAGTTTACTGTTGCAAACGAGTGCCACTTCATCACTGACCACCATCCTTAAAATTCTTATCATAGACACGCCCCATTGATTAAACACCTAATACTACCAGAGTCATGGCTTTATTGTATCGACAAGATATTGCCTCGACTTTCGAATCTACAATATTGCGACTTGTCGGGAGCAGATTCCTGGTGTATCACAGACAAGCACATCCGAACTATAGTAAATTCCTGCCCATACCTTACCAGCTTTATAACGGATGATTGCCTCCAAGTAACCGATGATGCATTACGAGCCATAGCGGATGCCAAGATTGGTATCACCACATTATCTTTGAGTCGGTGTCTTCAGCTCACCGATGCTGGATTGGAATGTTTAATGTCTAGCTGTGGTGCCCGAATATCGAAACTAGGTCTACGATGTCTTCCAGGTGTAACAAGCTCGGCATTCCTTGCTGTAGGGACTCACGGGCCAAAGCTGGTTGAACTTGATATAGGAGAGAACGAATGTGCAGATGATTCCGTCTTGGAGGCTCTGGGTTCTCGCTGCAAGGAATTGAAGTCGCTGGATATAAGTGAATGCAATCAGCTTTCTAGTGAAGGTTTAATCAACTTTGGTCGCCTCGTGAAGGACAGAGGTCTCCATGAACTCAAATGTAATGGACTGATGGACGCCTTAACTGGCAAAGTACTGCTTGAATTAGTCTCTGCTACAATGGAAGTATTGGAAATAGCTGGCTGCCTCGACCTGAACAAGATCATCTTGAGTAGTATAACGTCAAATCGGTTGACTACGATAAATCTATCACACGTAACCAGCACCTCACATCTCGACAAAGCCTTCGCAGGACTTATAAAAAGACAAGCGGGCCTTCGTCATCTAAAGCTGGAAGAGTCGTGTTTAGGCACCGATAGAGTATTAGAAGCATTAGGTGAATCCTGCCCTCTTCTTGAATCACTGGACGTTAGCAGTTGCCATGAAGTGTCGGATATTGGCTTAAAATCAATAAGCAGTTGTCGCTGCCTAGTTGACATCAACGTTAAGGACTGTCCGGATGTGACAGACGATGGAGTGACTGCCCTATTTGTAAACGGCAGCAAACTTCGGGTCTTAAATGTCGGTTTGTGTGCTCGTGTAGGTGATATGGCCGTAAAAACTATAGCTCCTCATGTCTCGACAATGCATACCCTTAAGCTCAGTGGTTGCTTCCTTATATCCGGTCGGGGTTTAATGTCTATTCAACTGTCTTTAACGGCTCCCACTCGCTTCTTGAAGATTGTATGTTTTAGTGGATGCTATAGACTGGCCGATGAACATATTACGCCTATATTAGTCAATATGCCATTGCTTGAATCTCTCAACGTATATAGTGTGACTGGCGTAACAGATGTTACAATGTCGGTCTTAGGACGCAGCTGCCCTCGATTAGTATCTCTAGTAGTGTCGAAATGTAGCATCACCGATCAGGGCATAATGGACCTCGCAGGGTGTAAATTCCTCCACACGTTATACGTTGGATTTGTGAAAAATCCAATGCTAATCACCGATACCTCCATCACCCGTTTACTGGACAATTCCAGGTATCTGAGGCTACTGGATGTCTCTGGAAGTGCTATAAATGACACTGGATTACTCGGAGACGGTAAACCAATCCTTCTCGCTAGCCTTATAATCCGTGGATGCCCAAAGGTCACGTTTGATGGATTAAAGGCCTTTATCAGCCAACGTGCACAAAAAATGAGCATGCTGGATAGTCTGGGTTGTCTTAAAATGAGTGCAAACGAGAGGGCAGTGCTGGAGAACCTGCTGTACATGTAAATAAAAGGATCGATATGTGTGTCTGATGAACTTTTTAGTAGTATACGTCTGTAATTGCTTGTAGTAGCAGAATTGAATATCTTGAATAACTAAAATATATGAGACTGGTTAAACTTGAGACTTGTCGTCCTTTTGTCAACCTTGTTGCAAAACTCGAAAAACATTTGGAGGCCCTGCTTTTTTGATCTCGTTGCAGATCAGTGGTGATCAAGAGACAGCTTGACGGTACTGAGCTGTATATAGAGTCCTCCTATTCCTTTATAATCAGAAATGAACGGGGAGTTGCGTTTACCACTTTCAGAAGATCTTTTGATCTACTATCGCAGCCGACTAGGCAAGTCGACATTGGCGTTTCCAACATCTCGTATCAAATGTACAATTTACTCACTGATTTACTCCGTCATCCAGCCAACTCTGAAGAAGAATTTCAAGATGCGGTAGCCAGAGTCGATGGCATCAAAATATCACACGAAGAACACCATAAACTGGAGTGGGAGCTAAGGAAACGAGAAGATGAGATATCTAGGATGCAGAAAACGCTTAGTGATGCTCAACAGGCGCTGTTTGATGAGAGGAGACAGCTGCTGAAAGTTATGGCAGAGAATGATGATCTGAAGGGTATGTGAATCTGAGTGGAGGAGGATGAAGCAACGTATATACTGGAATGAATTGCATGGAAGTAGTTTGTAACATTCTTTTTCTTTGCTAGTTCAGGAACTGAAGGATCGTAAAAAGATTCGATACTTGTTGTCGGTTGCTGGAACTCCTGATGAAGAGACCACATACTTTCGTGATGCGCTTGATAAGAGGTTGATCAAGATACCTGCTGTGAGTGTTTTGAGAAGCGCAAAAAAGCTCACTGAAACCTGTGCCAAATCTGATCATGTTTTGCACATCAGGGTGTTACTACCAAAGATGCTTCCAAAGATGAACGTGACGTTGTGTTGCTGGAGGATGAATGTGAAGCTTTGAAGATCAAAGTGTCGGCGCTTCAGACGCAACTCGATGAGCAGGTATGTATATACGTGTTTGCAACAAAGTGTACCCTACCTTCTCAAACTCCAACAACAATAGAAACACGCCTACGAAGACTCTATCGAAAACCTGAAAAAGGACCGTTCCGCACAAATGGAAGAAGAGAAAATACGCAGGAGGCACGAATCAGCACGAATCGAAGAATTGATGAGAAAAGTACATCGATTACGTACCTTATGTCGGGAAAACACTCGTGAATTGCTACATACCAAGAAGGCCTGTCATGCCACTGAACGGGCCTTGATTGAAGAAAAGACGAGACTGTTGGAGAATGTGCATTCTGCTACGACTAAATTTACTGCTGAACGTGATCGTGTGCAGACTGTAGAAAAGTCGTTGGAGACTAAGATTCTGAAACGGAATGAAGGGGTGTTGACAGAGTTGAGATCGCAGATTGCTAAGCAGCAGGAGGAGTTGAGGGGTTTGAAGGTAGTGGGTAATACTTTACGGCGATGGCTTGGAGATTTTTTGCTCAGTTAGTTTTTGCTTTATAGACGAAGACAGACCAGAGTGATCAACAGCAAAAGAAGAAGATTGAGTATCTTCAAAATAGGCTGTCTACATTTACATCCAGGTTTGTTTGAAAGGCGAAGAAAGCAACTGCACTTAAACACAATCAATGTCCTGATTCTGAGCACTCCTCTCACTTGATTGTAGATATGATGAACTGAAACGACGACGCAACTATGAAATCGAGGGCTTCACAAATGACATCGTCTCATTACGAAGCAAACTAAAGACATTAGAGAAACAGATACTGAAATATGGACCACTAGAAGATCGTGAACTTGCTCTCCTAAATATGGCTCGAGAGACGGGTGAAAGAGCAGCCTCTATTTCCACAAACTTACAGAGACTTAAACAGAACTTGTTTGCTTTGGAAGAAGAAACACAACAGCTTGTGTTTTAAGCTGCTCGTTTTAATAACAGTTATCTTTTGTTTTTGAAGTTTTCTTTCTTTTATATCTGTTCATAACTACTTGTCACATTACAAAATTATTATCCTTGGGTGGTGGTTTAACTTGCTACAGTTCATTCAGCTTGTTGCTCTCAGCAACTGTTGGTTGACTAGATCGGCGTATGTTCCTTTGAGTGCGAGCAATTCAAAATGGGTTCCTTGCTCAATGACGTGGCCGTCACGCAATACGAAAATCTTGTCTGCGTTTTGAATCGTGCTCAGTCTAAGTAAGGTTCAAAAGCGTTAATGTTCACGATCTCGTCAATGTATCAAGAGCCAGAAGACTCACCTGTGTGCTATTGTGATTGTAGTGCGACCAGCACTGGCAACATCTAACGCCTTCTGAACCACAGATTCAGATTCACTGTCCAAAGCACTAATACGGGAAGTGAGGTCAGAAATGCCTCAAAATGAGTTAATTTCGTCAAAAATGCACCTTGTGGCTTCATCTAATAGCAGCACCTTCGGGTTACGGATGAGAGCTCGCGCGATCGCGATGCGCTGTTTCTGACCTCCAGATAGTTGACTGCCTTTGCCTCCAACCTCTGTATCCCAGCTGTCCGGCAGGGAAGTCACAAAGTCCTTGATGTTGGCTTTTGCAGCAGCGATTTCGACTTCTTCTTGGGTGGCTACACCACCGACAGCACCATATGTGATATTATCTTTGATTGACCCTGAGAAAAGGACGGGTTCTTGTCCTACAAGAGCCATTTGCGACCTGGAAAACAGAAGAGTGTTAAGTACTATGGGATACCAGCTACTTTTTTGCGAAAAACACACCTTAAATACTTGACATTCCAATCCTTTGTAGAAACAGTATCCAGTGATATCCTTCCATTATCGATATCATACCACCGTTCCAATAAACCGACCACAGATGATTTACCGGCGCCGGAGGGTCCAACTAACGCGATGGTAGTGCCGGGTTCTGCACTGATGGTCAATTCCTGGAGGACTTTGGTATTCGGCCTTGATGGGTAATTGAATGATACAGAGTCGAAAACGGGCTTGCCGTGTACGGGCGTTGGCTTTTGACCGGTTTCCGATAGGTCGTCGATGCGGGGCTTTCGGTCAACCAAATCAAATATTGAAAGTGTGGCAAGTTTGGCTTTGGTGTAGTCAGGAGCAAGAGCTGTTATTCTGCCGCCGGCTTGCGCGGTGAAGACAATAGCAAAGACGGCCTGATTGGGATATGTGTGGTTATTAAAGGAACGAGCAAAAAAGCAGCAAAAGTTGTAGGGATACCTGAATAATGTTTGTTGGTCCGGTCAAACCCCAGAGGATTAACTGAGAAGCATAGTAAAAGGCAACACAGTACGAGAAGAACAAACTTGATTGAGAAATTCCATAACCAATGGATGATATGAAGGCGGTTCGGACACTATTCCTGTATGGTGCTTGGATTGACTCCACATATTCATCGTAGAAGTAGGTTTCCTTGGTGAGAGTACTAATAGTCCTGATGCTGTCCAATGCCTAAAAAGAGGTCATTAGTAAAATGCATTTGATGAAGACGTCAATTTCACTGTACCTCATTTGCGATTTGATTACTCTTGTTGTAGGCAGTCTTGGTTTTCTCACCGACACCAGTGAAGGATCGGAATTGCACCATGCCTAATTGAAACGACATTGAAATCTGATTTAGTACTCAAATCACAAAAAAAACAGCATCGTTATGAACCAAATACATACCTGCGGCAATCAAAAGCGGGAATGTACATAACACAACGAGGGTCAATCTCCAATCGTATATGAAACTGATTGTGAGACCAGTTCCAAGAGCAGCACAAGCAGACACGGCGGTATCAAGTACTCCCAAAACCATTTGTCTGACACGAGCAGCATCGTCATTTAGTCTGTTTGTCAAAACACCCACTGATGTGTCTTCATCATCATAAAACGCAATTTCTTGATGCAGCATCTTCCTGAAGGTCATTTCTCGTAATCGCTTCGTTAAGATTTCACCAGCTATTCCCATACCAGCAATATCTAAATGGCAAAGTTTAGCATCCAAATGGGATGTCTTTAGCCATGAGAACGAATCTGCGATTACCTGAAAAGATGACGAAAGCACCACCGCAACCAAGGGCAACAAACACACCAGCCCATAATCCAGCAGCAGCAAGTATGGAAGCGTTTGAATTCAATGGCGAGAATGCATTCAGTACACGACCAAAGACTTATTGCAAAGGAAAGAAAGGTTAAGATTGAATCTTCAAAGGGAAAATGATTGATTGGAACTCACTCAAAGAATACAGCGGTTGTGCTGCTCCCGATCCTGCTGCACAAATCAATGAGAATGCAATGAGTGGAGTCTCTGGAGCCGACAGTTTAAGCAAACGGAGCCATGGTACTGGTCGTTTCATCATCTTGGCATCCTGTAGCTTCTTAGCCTCTCGAAGTGCTTCCTCTTCAACATTGACAGATCCAGACATACTGCCCTTCCTCCTCATCATTTCCAGAGTTTCTGCATTAGCAGAGGAGCGACGACGAGCCATATTGATGACGGTAGCATCTCCTTGTTTCGTTACTACAGGAGTGTCGGTCTGTTCGGAAGCGATTACAGTGGGGTCAACGGTTTTAACATCTTGTGCTTGAACAAGACGAGCATATACACCATTCTTGGCAATGAGCTCTTCGTGGCCTCCTTGTTCGACTACACGGCCAGCGTCCATAACAAGAATTAGATCTGAATTCTTGATGGTGGACAAACGATGAGCGATTGAGATAGTTGTGATATTGGCTTTGCTGATCTGGTCAAGAGCTTCCTGTACGATTCTTTCGGATTCCGTGTCGAGCTAAGTATTCGAGAGGGGTTTTATAAGATGTTTGGTCAGTTTTTTTTGGAGAGTAAACGAGACAAGAATGGACGGACATACTGCTGATGTTGCTTCATCCAAAAGCAGTATCCTTGGGTTTCTCATGATCGCCCTCGCTACTGCGAGTCTCTGTTTCTGGCCACCACTGATGGTTGATCCTGCTTCACCAACTAAACAAGCGAAACGTCTTTAAATAAAAGAATTCATAATTTGACGGGCCGGATGTACACATACCATTGGTATGAATTCCCTTGGGCAAGTTCTTCACAAATTCCCAACTGTTGGAGGCTTTAAGAGCGTCATAGACGCGTTTGTCCAGCTCTTCTTCAGTAAAGTTCTTCCAGTTATCATCCCGTAAACCAAACAAGAGGTTCTTCTTGATTGAAACATCGAACAATGCAGGCTCCTGCGAAACGAGTCCAATATGCTGACGAAGCCATTTGACATTGAAGTCTTCAATATTGATACCGTCGATTGTAATTGTACCAGCAGTTGGCATGTAGAAGCGAGTCAAGAGTTTAACAATGGTGGACTTTCCTGACTAGAAAAGTAAAAGTATTGTGAGAGTGTGTCAGTGCAAGCTTAATAACTTCTAATACTTACTCCACTCATACCAACTAACGCTATCTTTTGACCAGGCTTGATAGTCACAGAAAAGTTCTCCAATACTTTTACGTCAGGACGTGTTGGATAATGAAAGTCAACATTTTTCAACACAATTTCGCCCTTTAATTCAGCTGGTTTGAGTCCCGCCTCTGAAGATGAGTCGATAGGGGGAATACGGTCGATCGTGGCGAAGACAGAGTAGGCAGCACCTTGGGCACCTGTGATCGCAGCTATCGGCCTACAGTAATTACCAAATTTGACGGTTAATACACGTCCAAGACGAATCTTACAACACAACTTTAACTCACCCTGAGAGGACATTGATACTGAAGATACCAGTAAGAATGGCAAGTTGAACGTTTACTACTTGTCCCCCAGTCAATACACCTTGAGAGACAAGCACACCACCATATCCAAAAGCGAGAGCCAATAGAGAGTACAGCGAGATCTGGAACATGCCAACTGCCATGCCTCTCAGTAGGGCTTGTTTGAAGCCTTCCTTCATGGCATTGCTATTGTAGGGGAAGATATTGAAACAATTAAAAGGTGTCCCTATTCATAGTCGACCAAAACTTTACCCCAATTCTTTGTTATATTTAGCACATTCTCGGTCTTGGCCATTAAATGTTTGAACGGTTCTGATACCAGAGATGGCTTGTTGAGCGATACCTCCGGCAGCAGCATAATTGGCTTGGCCTATATAATGTGCAAGTCAGCGACGGTTCACTATCACCAAAACAACAATGCTTTTACCGGCTACGAAGGATCTTCCAAGAATTCGACCAAAGAAACCAAACACGAACCCGACAAAGGGGAAAGCGGCGGTAAGAACAATGGCAAGTCTCCATCCTCTGAATACACACAAAACAAGGTGGTCAGTCTCAAATTCCTTGGAATACAATCTGAAAAGGTGAATTACCTAATGTACGCAATCACGAAGCCTCCGAAAAACGTCGTCAGAGCAGATACGACAGTTCCGCACTTTTCAGAGATTCCATCTTGGATCAGCTGCACGTCCCCATACAATCGAGTGGTGAGCTCCCCGACACCACCAATATTATCGTACCAAGCGACGTCTTGCTTCAACAAGGAAGCGAAATATTTCTCTCGAATACGTTTGGCTTGATTTTCTCCAGCCCATATCCACATGGCTTGAGACAACCACCCTCCAAACGCAACCACAATAGCTACGATGAGCACTTGAATGACTGCAGTTTTGATGCTGTCTGCGACAGCTTGTTCAGCACCAACGACATTGACGTTGTAACTGATGAGAGTCTGTAATATGTTTGAAAGGATCTAAAATGAGAGGGATTTGAGAACGTTAGTTACGGTTTGATCATATGTCTGAGCTCACAGGTCTGTAAAAGCAACCATTCATAGTCTTCAAAACTAACAACCGATCTAAACGTACAATAGTAACAATAGGTTGTCCAGCACCATCAATCATAGCCCCGAGTGAGCCCAAAAACATCAACAATCTAGGGGTTGTGGGGGTGTTTTAGTGGTTATGTTCGTATGCAAACGTTATGCGTCAGTGACTTGCACAACATTCCCGCAAATGACGAAAATCAGCAATGCAGAGGCCAATCAGTCTCATAAAGGCATGGATCGAGAGCCAAATTATAACATCAAACATTCTTACTTGTCGAATGGAGAAGCAAATCGGAACAATGCAAAGTCTAACTCAAAACGGGTTAGCGAAACTGGAGCAAAATGGAAAACCACTCCCTTCACTCCAATGATCACTACAGAAGATGAATAAACTTACACGAGATCTTTGGAGCGGCAGGTGGTGTATCCTTCTTCTCAGTATCTTCTTCAACGTCGACTTTCTTGCTGGGCTTTTTGCTCCACCATCTTCGCTTGCTGTTCTCAACAACGAGAGGTGCATTAGGAGTGTCAAGGCTCTCCTTGTTGGGAGGCTTCATCTCGATCTTCTCATCCGCCATAGCACTTCAACAATTAGCGATTGGTACGGAGAATCTTGAGAACTGTGATCTTCGAAAAAAAGTTGGTGCTTGACAATCAATGGCTTTGCATTTTTACAGGGTGAACTTGTACGTGGCAAAAAAGATCCAAGTTTCCAGATGAGAAAAGCCGGTGGTTTCTTGCAAGCGTGGCATCTTTCAGTTATGCGTCGTGGTATTCACCCTTATCTATGCTCTCACGGAGAAAAATGGATATTTCTGTGTTCAAAACGTGTCCAAAACACAATCAATGATAAACAAGCAGATTTTCTTAAATAAAGTGTATATTTATACTATTTTAAATGATTTTTCGGAGTCCCATTCTACACTCGTCTGTTTTGAGAAGAATGGACGTAGCTGCACTGCCATTTTTAATTTATTTTGATAATGTCGAAGCTGGCTGTTCCGGTGACAGCTTCACACCAGCTCGACCAAATGCAGTTCCACCATCAGGAGACCTCGGAATTTGTATGGTCCCATTGCCATCAGGTTGCGATACTTCAGCATCAGGAGTTGGTGGTGTACTCTGTGCCGACTTTCGATGTCCAGAGACAATCGACTTCTTTTCGGCTTCAATCTTTTCAATGGCTTCTGTAAGCTCGCCAACACTAACATTGATTCCCGTTTGACTCCTCTTCAATAGTTGGTCGGCTTCTTTGATTGTGACAGAGAGGTGCATGTGTTCGTATTCGACAATATCGTCGATGAATGGAGCAGACCAGTCTGCGGGGTCGAATGTTGCTTTTCGACGGATAAGTCTAGCAATCTCATGTCTTGAAGGGCGAAAGGGGTGGAAATTTCGTGTCAAAGAAAGTAAGCATTTGATGGAAAAACCACTAAGATCAGTACAATAAACGTACCTCATTGAGTCACAAAAGTCTTCGATAGGCAAGTCATTCGCATCCGTTCCAAAAGGATTCTCTATTTCGCAACCTACAGTGAAAAGCAGAAAGTCTAAGGAAGTTTCAATTTCCGAAGTAGGTCTTCGAAGGCTTACCGATAGATTCAATACCAATCAAAGTGAAACTGGCGATTGCAGCAATAGGAATAGCAAAGTAGTATGTGCCGTTGACAACCTGGAAGGGTATTCCCAACAAATACACAAACAAGCAATGTTTGAGGTGTATCGAGCTAGTGGCATTATAATGCAGTTATGAGCACTTCTCAAAGAATTCATGTTGTTTAAGGGTAAAATACTCACTATGCCAACGGAATGGGAGAGGAACGGATACGTTCAAGCGCAGACAGAGAATCCGTCAATGCCGCCAGAGATGTCATGCATTGTCCTTGTGTTCCGACATCCAGTTTATCTTGAGCTCTCATCTTTGCCACATAAGCAGCAAGATGCGTCAATATATAGATTGGCAAGTTTCGAATTTCGGGTGGGTCGTTCTCGTCTTTAAAGTCAGCGAGATGAGACAAGTATGGATACGTGTCAGGATAGTCGAATGAATCCTCACTAAATCGAATCCAATATTAAACAGTGAGGTATAGAAACGACCTCAGTTTGGAAACAATTTCACAATAAAAAAAAAGATATCCAAGTCTGGCTGAAACACACACAAATCGTAAACTTACGCTCTCAAGTAATGCTTCGAAGCATAAAGGAAGGCCAAGATGAGATTTATAGCTCCCTTCTTCTCTTCCAAGTCTCGTAATGGATTATCACCTTTTGACACCACAGAGACCCAAAAGTATCTTGCCAAATTACGAGATTGAGTTAAATACGTCCCCCATAACCTTCTTCCTTCCCTAGAATCAGCATCATGAGTTAGATCCATCGTTAGATCATCGACGTGGCAGTATGTTTTTACCAATAACGATCATAAGCAGTGTTTGTTCTAAAGACAAGTAGGAGGCCGAGCGTGACACCCAATACTGTAATCAATTGCGGTGAGATGGCAATCCATTTCCATTGGGCTTCCATGTATAACACGACCCTTTTGGAAGAAGACGGTGACGTGTGAGTTCCCATAGTAGATCAGTAACATATTTGCGAATGATAATGTCATCCTTCTTTGAATGCCATTGTTGAATAGGCTGGGTTCTCACCATAGAGTAGCCCATAACGTGAAGAACAGAGTCGGCAGGAGGACGACACCAGCGACGGAACCTATTGGGTACTGTCAGTTTGCATCAATCTGTCGGCGGGAAGGTCGATATCAACAAGAAACAGTGTCCACATCGTAAATTTGCTCGGCGAGCAGTTTGAGATGAACAAAAGATGATGATGTCCAGATCCTGACTTAACATCCAGACGACCAAACCAGTGAAACAACGTGCAACCAAACAATAAATTACCAGTAAGCCTAAACAAGTCTCGGTATCTAGGATGGCGTTGCGATCAGTGTCGTTGGGATTGCAGAATGACATGTTTAAGACCAACGACAAAACAGTTCTACTTTAGTTTGCTCACCTGTACGAGGTTGAATTTGAAATCTCTAGCCTGACATGCTTTCTTGATGACCTGACAGGAGTGGTCTTCTTCTTGGAAGCGGCCATCGTCGTTGTTGATCCTCCTTGGGTGTGAGAATTTGGAAATTGGAAATTTGGTGTGATTGACAAACACCTAAATAGCAGCATTGCACGTTCAGTGAAGGAAGGATATGCGAGATTTGATACAAACAAGGTACTATTAGTGTAAGTGGACGCGTCTGATACAACGAAATCGACACTAGTCCTGTTCATAAAAAATTCAATGTCTGCAATGACCGAGAGCTTTGTTTGGTATTTTACACATTCAAATGTATCGTGCGCTAAAATAAAGTGGACTCCATTCTATTTCGAAGGTGTACAGTTATGATTCCCTTTAGTATCCTCCTACGTTTTACAATAATGCGGCATGGCGACTAGTTCTTTCTCCTTTTTTGCTTGTGTGTGGGTACAGCCAGAAAAACATAGAGAGCCAAGATACAGACAGACTCGCTCATTGGAGATCTTACTTACTTGTAGGTGGAGCTGCTAAAGCCTCCGCGGGACTCAAGCTCATAGTAGAGCCATTACCATGGCACAGATATTGGTGTCTCCAAGTCCAAGTCTCTCACCATCCCCGACTGGAACTCAAACGTTGAGCGCTACTCTTGCGGGCAATGTAACCACTAGTCCAACTTATATATCGCCACTACCTGCAAGAGCTACCGTGTCGGCTGGTACACCGAGTCCATCGCCCGTCGCTGGTCTAGTAGGTATGCAATCTACCATTTGCTGGGATGATGTGAAAGCGTTCATTGTTACCAGTAGTGCTTACAATTGAAATCGGCATTGAATTTGATCTTGTCAGCTTGATTGTGTATGCTGTGTACTCACCACCTAACAACATAGGTGGTATTGCTTCGGTGTCCTACTGGCAAGCACTACCCGAAACAACAAATCCCTCCTTAAAAGCCCTCGTAAATAGTATAATAGGAACAGGCGGTGGTGTCGCCCTAACAACACAGCAAATCATCATAGCAGTGGCAGTGGTTGTCGGTGTTCTCGTCATAGCAGCAGGAGGCACACTAATATATCGATACTACAACCGATGGTCTGAACGCCACTTTGACGGAGCCGACGATGACGATGACGAAGACGACGAAGAAGAAGAACGCAAGAAGAGATATGCTAAAGGTGGCAGAGGTGCAGATGGGAGACGACTGAATGCCGAATATGATAATGATTCAAAGGATCGGAAAAAGGCTCTGCAACGTGAAAAGCTGAAACAGCAGCAGCGGGCTGCTCGTGCTGGGGGTGTTGGGTATGGTGGTTACCCCACCGGTGACCCAAACGGTGTATATTATTCAGATCCATCACAGTATTATTACGATCCAGATTCCGGAATGTATTATGACCCTGCTACAGGCGCCTACTTGCAATACGACGCAAACACTGGTGCCTACTATCCATATGTGCCAACTTCGTCCCAAGCGCCGGCCGCTGACGAATACTACGATGCATATGGTGGCGTCTCTAGTCCACCGACTAGTGGCGTCTACCCTGCAAACACAAGTGCTGGATACGGCACAAAGATATCAGACCATACACAGAATGCAGCCGCAACAGGGTATTACGATTCTAGCGGTAAATGGATTGAATCTGCAGGTCTAGCTGCGCCTCAAGGATTCTATAACTCGGACGGTCAATGGTTTGATTATACTAGTACGCAGGGACGTGATTATACTAGTACGCAGGGGGTTGATTATTCTAGCACACAGGGGGGAACCATGTTATCAGACAACACTGGACTGGACAGTTATAGCCCATATGCAGCTGCTAATGCAGTAAATCTTGCATATCCACCATCGAGTGCATCGCATTATCCGGTTGCAACAACATCAGCATCTATAGCGGTACCTCAATTCTCTGACGAATATGAAATGGCAAAGACCAATTATGGATATAGTGGGACGGGGACTAGTGGTGGTGGACATGGTACGAGTGGACATGCAACGAGTGGACATGGTACTAGTGGGCGTGGAACTAGTGGGCGTAATGGTACTGGTGGACACGGCACAGGTGGTCATAGTGGGCGGAATGGATATTCGAGTAGTAGATCACACAAGCAGCCAGACGCTGCGTATACAGCCAATTACTCGAAAAACAGGTAGCCCGAACACCTCCTCAAAACCAGTACATTCTACTCGGACGGCAACACCACACGCACATAGATCCCATATATACCATATCTCGCCTGGCCGAGAAATCAAACCTCACTCTCTTGTATAATACAAAACCATCCTTATTGCCTCATATTTCTTTTTGGTCTCCAACCAGAAACACACCACTTACGTAGTTTTGGATATTATAATACAAATTCACATTTATTGGTTGGATTCATAAGAAAGATTTCCAGGTTTTGACTATTATTATGTGTGTGTGTGTGTTTTGTATGTCATCTACATCATTTACATATACGGTGCGGCGGGTCCTTTTACAAGGCACCATAATAAAGAAGCTACTGCTGTTGTGTTTTCAATATTCCAAAATAGGTGCTCCAATCTCTTCAATGCACGGAATGGTGCACTTTAGATCAAAGGCCTTGGATAGGACAATCTTGAATATCTTTTGAACATTGATGGAATGCGATGTAGAGCAAAAGATCAAGGATGCCTTCATTGCCTTGGCAAACCTTCGAGCCTGCAGATGGTAGACATGTAGTTGAGTTTACGTCATATTTGAACAGAGAAATGCAAAAAGAAACACCCATTATGACTGGCCAGAAACTCTCAAGGTTTACAAAGCATTATCCACCACATACCTGATTCGTAATCTCTTCCTGTTCCTCTCTTGGAAAGGATGCAAAAGTATCATACTTTGTTCCAATCAAGAAGGGTATGGCCGTCTTGTTGAATCCTCGTGCTTGCCTATACCATTCCTTTATCGAGTTCAATGTTGACTTTCGTGATAGATCAAACATGAAGAGTATGGCAATGGCATCATTGCACACGAGTGGTAACATGTTTACGAATTCTCGTTGTCCTAAAGTGTTTCAAAGTGTTTCGGTATCAGCAATTAATATTTATCGTCTTTACTTTTTTTAACCCATAGCAGCGATCGTGAAAGCATGGGGAGTTTACCTCCTAAATCCCAAATCGAAAAAGTGATTTCTGTTGATCGAATTGAAATGGTCTTTTCCATAAAGTTGACACCTGATAAAAAAACATAGGTTAATGATTGTTGATGCACATTGTAGGTAACAACATTGTACTTACCAAGCGTTTGAATATAATCCTCGTCGAATGACCCCTCAACATATTTAACCATCAGTGATGTCTTTCCAATTTGAGAGTCTCCCACCATCCCAACTTTGAGTACCACACTAACAATTGACGATACAAGGACAGAGATGTAAGCACACGTAAATAATTCGAATATTAAATCTTCGTGAAGCCTCCTCGTAAGAATATCTACGCATTCGTTCAATACACTGAAATCATCTGTTCTGATGTTGAATGCCGTTCCTGCAAAATCCATCCACTTCCACTACCAGTTCTTACGTTTTCTTTTGTTCCTGTATGACAGAAGGTGATTGAGGTATGGTCGTCGCAGCAGATCCCGCTGCAGTCGTTTGCTTGTCCTTGTCACTCTTTGTGGTTGATTGGGTTGGTTGTGTGATTATTGGTGTTGGTATGGGAGCTGTTGACGTAGGAGGCGACTGTGATTCACTGTTTGGATCCCTCGACATCATATTTCTTGGTGCGCTTATTGGGGTATGTACTTGTTAGGGAACGGTTGCTGATAAGGAAACAGAAATGTTGGGTGAGAACGAGGGCGAGTAACGGGAGTAACAAAATCGAGATACGCTTGAAAACGCGTTATGGCTTCTTCTGCGAATTCTGCTGCTGTCACGGATCTATCCATAGACGAGACAGAAGCACGACAGAACTACATCGAAAGGGCCACAAGAGCGACTGTACTGAAAAGTAAGTCTCATCAGCTTGATTTATTGATGCAATCTTAATCTTTATATGTTTCAACCAGCAAAACAACAATCTCACTTGCTACTTTCTATAGAATAATGACAAAACTAGTGATATCTTTTGGCATACACAAACTCTCCCCCCTTTTCTTCCCAGTGATTGACGCATAACTTATACACCCCTTCTTTCAACGTCTAGCAGGATCAGCACCTCCAATTTCACGACGAGCACCAAATGCCACCCCACTCTTCGCACCACCTACAAATCCAGCTTGAGCAGGTATAGTAGACGTATCAATAGGCTTGGATGCGTTTTCAGTAACAAGTTGACGTGTTGCTCCAAATGATATTCCAGATTGGTTGGCACCGCCATTGAATCCTGCTTGCAGGCCAATAATGTTTTTACCAGCATTCATTTGTTCAGGAGTGAATTCGACAGAGTGGGATGTATGGAGCTTGGGGCCTAGCTGGGGACCAGAGAAGCCCTGTTTTTGCGTGAAGGAAGGAGTAAGGCTTGGATTTGATGTGATACCAGCAGAGCTTTGATTCGAGTTGGATATCAATACACCATTGATTCCAAATGACGTAAATGATCAAACGATTCTCGCAATCATACCTTCGAGGAAGCGTGTCTTGAAAGCGAATACAACGAGTCGATAACCTGAGGCAGATTCTTCCCTTCATACAAATCAATCGTCATGAAGAGTTCTTGATCTGGCACTCCCAATCTCCCAGCAGCTTTGAGGAATGTATTGATTTGCTCCATCTGTACAAACGGCATGGGAGACTTTTTGTATTTCAGGTTTGATTCTGATGGCGCCAGTTTCTGAATTAGTTGGCAGAGTAGGGTCCCATCTTTGAGTGTTTCCTGGAATGATGTTGTAAATTGAGCTCCAGTTACGTCTTGAATCCATTTGACGGCTTCTCGCTCTCGTTCTGGATCTGTTGAGTTTGTAAACATATAGGGTTTTAGATTTTTGGTCTTTGAAACGTGACGAGGAAACAGGATACAAGGGAGTGAAGGCATATTTACCGAACTTGGCAGCAGCCTTGTCGGCTAGTTCTCTGTCCAAACCAAATAGTGGCATGTTTGACTCTCGATGTGGTTCGCGTATGAATAAGTTGATAACGAAAATTGGCAGACGCTTGACGATGTTTGCAGTGCGCGATTTGGAGCCGCCTCTCGTTTCCTGAACAAGATTATTCGAAAGATCCTTCTAGATTCAGCAGAAAGTCGCTTTGATCTTGACCCAAACCACAATCTTGATCAGAAGTGATCAGAGGGAGTAGTTTCAGTAACAAGGCAGATTGCCTCTTCTTTATTTTTACATGCTATATCCTCGTTACATTCTTCAACCTTACATTCTTCCATACTCAGCGATCAAAAGACGAAGTTCTTCGATTCGAGCTGTATTATCCAGTGGTTTGGCACTTTGTGCAGTTATACGTACCCTGGTCTCATCCTACAAATATAGAAGTGTGCAGCGTCAGCTGTCGTCAAAATTCGCCAGCTCAACCTCAAACGAAACGGCGGCGATCACTACATACATTGAAGGTATCTTGTTTCAACCTCAAGGTCCAATCAAAAGTTTTGAACATTGATTCTTCAATGATGGAGTTGAACTGGGCTTCATCCTCTTCTTTGAATCGAGCCAGGTCATCCGCCTTCACTCCGAGAATCATTTCAGCTTCGGTATTGAAGGCGGTTGCCCATACAACACCTGTATGATCAGAGAGAGTCATATTGAGCAGATATCTACAAGAAGTGATGGAAAACAATCAGTGGTAGAATGAGAATTGATGTACCAAGAAGATGACATTACCGATGAGTAGGCTGAGGAAGCACCTTATCACATTTCTCACACCTCCATCCACCACCATCTTCACCCATCTTTTTGTTGCATGTAGGACAAGCTGGATATGACATGTTCTCTCGTTTGATATGAGTGATTGTAGCCTTTGTGTTGATATAATCTGGCTTGTCGCCCATGCCCAAATTTTCATCTCGGATCGCGGTAATGACTTTTGTAACATTTGGCATTGATCCTGGACCACCACCTGACATGCCACTAGTATAAGATTGAAACGTCATCTGCATTCCATCACGGTCGAACCAGCCTCTGAGACTATGAGCATCAGGAATGTCAGGGTTGATAAGCACAGTCGAAGAGCCCAAGGCAGACAATGATCGTCCTAATGAATCATGGTATTGAGCGTGAATATGGGTTTGATCCGAAAACCGCTATAAGTTGATAATAAGAAAAGCCCAATTAATTACCTTGGAAATCTCCAACTTTGACACCTTTGATGGCGATGACTGGATGACCTGTCCCATCAAATGTTTCTGCTTGTTTGCCCCAGAGTGTTGCTCGGACTTGATACCCTCCAGTATCGACAATGCTCAAATCTCGCTTGTTAGCCTATCATATGAAATAACGACGATTTAGAGACTTGCTCAATCTCCGAAAAACCATCAGACTCACGGGTCTGCCAGCTTTGGTGGTGATGCTATTCAAATCACCGCAGTCTTTGACGACTCCCAAGACGTCTGGTTATGTAAGCGGTTGTTGATTAGTTTGCACTTCTCAATACATTTATCGACATCAGACTGTAAGCGCCTACCGATAGTGGCGTTTGCATCAACGGCGAGCAGCTCACTCAAGGGATGAGCTTTGATCTTGAGTTGAGGGACAGTAGCTGGATCAGTGGACACCGAAATGATTGTGTGAGAATCCAAAGTCATCTCGTAATCATTGTCAGTGTTGTTGAATTGTTTGTTTGCTGCTTTGATGGTGCCTTTAGAAACTAGATATGTCTATCCATCAAAAACGGTAAATTTATTGACAGAAAAGTTGATTTTCAGAAGTTGACTGACTTACCGAATTGTCTTGCAGCATGTCATAAAATTGGTTGACAGCATCTCCAAATCCAGTGGCTCGTATCTCACCCTGTTGATGTGATGCGAATCGTATGAATATACCATAGTACACTGTTAAACATGAGATCAAAGTGAATCGCTGCACATACCGATTCATCATAGAATGTAACCGAAAACAACCTTCCATCGCCCTTTTGATTCTTGAAGTGTCGTACATCACTTTTTCCCATACATCGAACTCTTATGGTCCACCTAGTTCGAAACGAGTTAGTGAATGCCAGATCATAGTTTTGACGAAAGGAAGACTTGCTTGTTTTGGTAGGGCGACAAGGACTTGATAGGAAAGATTTGTACATTTGAATCACCCATGGCGCGAGGTGGTTGATTGACAGGGACTGTGCTTGCAGATGCCGTGCCTCGGTTTGCGGTGGTTTGATTGATAGAGTATTGGTTTTGATTGTATTGCGGCTGGCCATACTGTTGATTACCATACTGATTGTATGATTGTTGTTGAGGTTGTTGGGGTGCCATAGTAGGCATACTTGGTTGGACTTGATAGTTATTATCGGTGGGGCCAGCTTGTTGAGGACCATCATTTTGATCTGGGAAGAATGCCACTGGGTTTCCAATACGTTCCTGCACACCATCACCTCCAGCGACGACTTCGACTTCCAGAATGATGAGAAGCTTTGATCTAAAAGATTTGGGGGCAAGATTGTCAATGTATGAGCAGAGACTGCGCTTGTTGACTACCAGTCAGGAGATGAAGACTTACGACTTGTTTGGTACAGGATTGCATAAATAACGTTTCAGACGAATAAGAGCATTCTTTCCCACTTGTCCGTCGTCCATCAAACTGTTCAATTGAGTTGCCAACATGGCTTGCATGTAGTGTTGTCCATCAGATATAATCAACCTAGGAAGAGCAGACAGAGTTAGTGAGCAAGAGAACGAAAACTATGGTGTTATATGACGATCAATCAAATTTTGTTGAGCAAACGACATACCTGTATCGTTTGCCAGATGTGTTGTCAACAGCCTTCACGTTGAGAACCTGGACAAGCGGATTTTGCATAGCTGGTTGACTCTCAGCAGTGCCATTAGCCGCCTCAGGCAAGAATCCCGGAGTCAATTGATATGTTCCCATCATCTGAAGGTGTTTCTTTGGCTCAGTTTGTTGGTTTGATATTCCAGATGTAGTTTCGTCGAAATGTGGGATCTAGTGACTGCAGCTTTTGTTGCGGCCTTTAACGACATTGTCAAAGTGGATTATAACGAGCTTAGATGTATCATTTATAATATCTTTACGTGAAGAACACGTCCATAACGCCTGCCTCACGGCAGATTACGAACATTTTGAATCTAAATTGATTTGGAGCTGCGATCACGGCCAATTCCAGGACGGTGATCTTTCTTCTCAGATCTTTATAGACGTAAAATCGCCTGAAGCACATCAATTCGACTCTGATATCTACGAAATTCCCACCCTTCACTCTTCCCTTCATTCAAAATCTTGAATCCAAGCATGGCCAAAACGAGGGCGAGTGGCAAGACCAATGGAGACAGCTCGGAGCCTGGTAGTCCAAAAACTCCAAAGAAAGTCCCAATGAGTCCTAAATCAACTCCTCGCAAGAAGAAGGAGGTCGCTGAAAAACATATGAATGGAAATGGCTCCACTCCTGAAAAACTGATTGCTCAAACTGGAAAGACTTGGGGACGTGCCAGAGGTAATTTATTTCTCACTTACACGTCACGGGTTATGACAATTTGCTCCAATTATACCTCATTTGCGCTTGTCAGCTTGAGATATCTCGAAAATTTGAAAGATTATTGACAACGCCAATATCCAGATGTCAGCACGGGAACTATCATCGGATCGGCTCTTATCATGCTGCTCTGTCCGCTACTGGTCATTTACTTTTACATTTCGTGTCACTCGTTCCAATGCGAGCTGGTTGCTCCTGCTACCACAGCATACGATTTGGGTCTGGTTAAGTTTGCACAAACATACTTCCCAAAACCTACTACAGGTAACGCAAAATTGTATTCCTGTGACTGCTCTGAGTATATCCTCCTTTGAATGAACTGACACGAAATCTTTTGACAACTACTCAGCGGGCTTTCAATTATATTTTGCTTGGCTGCTCTTTCAAATAGCACTGGCTGTCTTCTTGCCAGGCAAGATTGGATACGGTCAAATGACTCCTGCTGGATTCACTCTGCCATATATCGTGCGTACCACAGAATCGAGAGTTGTCCGAGCCTCTGATCAAAGATGCTCAAATGAAATCCAATCTTTTAGGTCAATGGATTATTGGCATGGTTTGTGACACATGGGCTATTCTTTGGATTGTCTCTAGGTCTAGGCCTCTTTCCTGCTTCTATAATATATGACAACTGGGCTGGTCTTATCGTTGCTGCAAATTTATACGGTTACCTCCTGACAGCATTCTGCTTTGCCAAGGCCCATTACTTCCCTACTCACGCAGCAGATCGTAAATTCTCAAACTCTTGGATTTACGACTTGTACATGGGTATCGAATTCAACCCTCGTATTGGCATGTTGGACTTCAAACTCTTCCATAATGGTCGACCTGGTATTGTCGCGTGGACGTTGATTGATCTCAGTTTTGCTGCAGCTCAATACGCAAAGATTGGATATGTCACCAATCAAATGATTTTGATTAACATCTTCCATGCCATGTATGTTTTGGACTTTTTCTACAATGAGGTACAACCGTCGTGTTCATGCATACTTGTTTCCTTCCCTGTCTGATCCTCAATTTGATAATTCTTTATAGGACTGGTACTTGAGGACGATAGGTACTGCTTCAACGAAGGGTTGTCTCCTAGTTGTTTCCAATATTCTGAACTTTTTCAGAACGTTTGTTATATCATAGATATCGCTCACGATCATTTTGGTTTCTACTTGTCTTGGGGTGACACCGTTTGGCTCCCAACTATGGTATAGTTCTAGTTTAGTGTTACTATGTCTTTTCGAATCAGCAGATTGACACTCCTTAAAACAGTACACCTTCCAATCTCATTATGCCGTCATCAACCCAGTCGATCTGTCTACACCATATGTAATTGGAGTTCTGGTACTAGGATTCGGTGGCTACTTTATCTTCCGTTCTGTCAATGATCAGAAAGATAAAGTCCGAGCTTCCAATGGCCACATCAAAATCTGGGGCAAACCAGCCAAGGTCATCCGTACTGAATACACTACTAGTGATGGTAAACTACACAAGAGTCTGTTACTCATCTCTGGATATTGGGGTGAGTTATAGTATACGAAGCATTCAGACCATGCCAAAGATTACTGATCAGTTTACTGATCATGCCTTTAGGTCTCTCTCGCCACTTCAATTATGTCGGTGACCTCATGATCTCAATGGCCATGTGCATGTCGTGTGGAACAAAACACTTGTCGGCATACTTTTACATAATCTACATGACATGGTTATTATTAGATCGTATCTATCGTGATGATCATCGATGTCGTGCCAAGTATGGAAAGTATTGGGATCAGTACATCAAGGCTGTGCCATATAAGCTCATTCCCTACGTCTTCTGAATCTACTTTTTGGGACAGTAAAAATATACATGTGCACGTAATATTAAAATCGTACTTGCTGCCTTACTTACTACGACTATTAAAGTTTATATCGCCTTTGAGTCTCTGTTTGGTTTGCCATAGCTTGCGCTCACTCATCCAAAAACCAACTTGACAAAAACACAACAGGGCCAGTTCTGACCTCATTGCATGGTCTGTAGTTACTTGAGCATAATAGAACGATTGATGAGCGGGGTCCACTGCTGATCTAGCCCATTTGGCCATCACCTTGGTAGAGACTTAACGTAAATCAAGCATCAATAATCGCATTTTCGAGGTCAGTGTTCAGGTTGATCAACAACAGATCCCACTTTTTGAGAAGTCAATTTTTATATTAAATTTGCTATGTTTCCGCATGGTCATTTCTCCTTTCCAGTATGACGACTCAAGTGGAACTGAATGCATTTGAAGCAGACATTCCTTCAGAGTTGAAGGAGTTTCCACCACGATCTACCCTCGCTACTCTGGACAGGAATCTAGATCAGGTAATTTCTCCAATTTAAAATTCATTCCTGGAGTAGAATTGTCGCAGTCGTAACTGACTACACTTCATATTCCAAGCTCTTGACCGAAGTCAAGCTGCTGAATGAATCTCGACAAAAGGATTTTGCGAATACAGAAGGTCGAAGAGATCGGCTGGGGATTTCACCAACTGCTGGGTGAGATTCTTTGTGGTTTGACGTTTAGAGCCGTGCGATCTAACACGGTTTTTTGGTGCACGTTTTTAGAAACTTTGAACAGTTTCGACAATTACGACAAGAACGATTAGACAGTATACAAAAGATTGAACAACCGCTACGGATCAAGTCGTCAAGTAGAACTATTTCCAAAGAAGTCAGTACAGTGCTGTCAAATATAGTACCACCTTCGAGACCTCACATCTCCGTTTTTCTTCCAGCTCGAAAGATATTGGAAGGTAGAACATGAACTGAGCCCTTCTAAGATCCTCGACGTGCTCGAAAGCTTTTACAAGAACAAGGCTGCTCACGTTTTGGAGGAGAACAGTCTTCTCGTTTCTCGTTGGGCCCGATTTTGTAGGTCATGCGTTGACAGTTTCATCAAAGATTTATGATTTTGGTTTCTAACTGTTGGATATCAAGGTCGGAATGCTCACGACATCAACAAGTTCCATAATATCTTCTCTCGGTATCAAGCATATTTACAAAACGAATATACGGACTCTCTTGATCGTTACGATCGAATCTCAAAGCTAACGGACGCCAAGGCAAAGGCCAATTCCAAAGATGAGGTTAGCGGAACGCTGAGTTGGCCTGATTCCACGTTTACACATTTTTTTGGTGCAGCGTCCCAACAATATTGAGCAAATGATTGCCGACCGTAAAAACAAGGTATCAGAGTCTCTGCATCAATATTTTATCCGTTTCTCACGTTTCGTGGTTCGTAGACTCAAAAGGAATCCAAAGCTGCTGACGACGGCAACGCCAAAATACCTGCAGAATCTGATACACTGCCGAAACGAACTAGAACAGATCCGTATGCGCTTTCAAACGATTCTGGAGTTGAAGTATCGGATTTGGTGGTATATTTGCGTTGGATTATTACGCAATGGAGTGGAAGTAAAGATCTTGAGAAGTTCGTCAGGAGGATGAAGGTACAATACTATCCAGCAGTGTGACGTGGCAGATGTTTTGCTGACCTCCTTCTGTGTAAACAGGTGGCTGTTCACTCGGAGCGTGTACCAATCTTCCAGTTTTATCAGATAATACTGGAGAGTGAGCCAGGCGAGCTCTTAGAAGATTGTCCTGAAAGTTTAGAAGGCGTCAACTGGTATGTGACTTTTAATTTGATCTTCGCATCAAGCCGATACTGATCCCTGGTCGTGTATAGTTACGTCCAACAACTACCGCTAAAAAATTCGAAAATCGAAGACTTCATAACCGAGTTTGATTCACACATTTCCCACTTCAAAATCGAAACATCCATTTCCCAAGAAGATGGACGACCACTATATTACGAAGTCGAGTCTCGATTTCATGCTCGTTTCCAGGAACAGGTGCATGATATGGTCTTGCCTCCGTATGATGGTGATGGTGTTCTTCTCTCGGAGGACGGCAAAGTCCGTCGAGACTCGGCCAAACCAATCATAGACACGTCTAACCACACAAGACAAAGCCGTCCTACTAGTGGCGCTACTCTGCCAAATGCCACTCGATTACGACAGATGGATTGGAGTGACTATGTAACTGTTCATCCTAAATATGATGAATGGTTGGAAGATCAAATGTCGTTTCTGAAAACTGTAGGCAAAAAAAGTATTTAAAGCTTCCCAAAGCCAGAATTCCAACTACCTTTGTTCCACTCATAGCACAAGGAAATCGACTACGAGCTGAGATACACATATGAGCTCGTTGCAAGTCAGGATATAGACTTTGCTGCACCCCATCTCCGAGATTCTGCCAAGAAGCTATTTGAATTAGCGGCAGCAGCAAATCCAAATGCAATTCATTCCAGACCCAACAAGGGATCTTCTGGAGGCCCCATGTTTATGCGTCAAGGGCAAACTCACAATGCGGAATCAGACGAACCTCGATTATCAAAACCCTTTGATTTGGGAATTTTGATTCCTGATGCTCGTGCTGAAAAGACAAATGATTTATGGGTGCTTGATGAAAAGAAGAAGCAGTTCGGTGTGTTGCTTGCACGTAACGATGAGATCAGGCAAATCGAACAAGAAATGTCAGGATTACATGGAGCCAAAGTTACTAGTAGAGCTATTGATGTGAGCACACTCACACCATGAAAAATGGTGTTTTCTCTTCGACTGATCTTTTTTTGCTGATAGCCCACAATTGCTACAATCTTTGCTGAACATGAAATTCATGCCTTTGTACTGCTTCGGTACTTGAAGTTGCGAGAAGTGAGATCCACTCTTTTGAGGCAAATGAATTTCTTCAGATCTGTGGAGAAGCGTGTTTCTGTCGATGTAAGGGGCATGTTTGATTCAAAATAGCTGGATTTTTTTTGGCTAAGTCTTTAAACAACAGTCATTTCGAACAAAACACCGTAATCGATTCGACCCGAATGAAGGTAGTCAGGCACCTCTGGACGCTACTATTTTGATGCAAGCAGCTAGTACTGGAAGAATGTGGCGACAACAGGAATTGTTTGATCTGCCTGATCAACATCATCCACACGCTGATACTTCAAATACGTATTCTCATCATACGCCATCAGAAGATTTACGAACTTTTGTTAATGGACGAATCCATACCCGTGATTATAATGGTGTTCCATTTATTTATGGTGAGCATATAACATGATATTTCCTGAAGAATCGTAGCTAAACCCACTATTCGTAGACTCTGCTGTCGCAGATCTAGAGAAATTAGAACACGAGTTGATCAAAATTGGAACATTGTGTATAAACGGCGGTGTTGGGGGTCATGAAGCTGTGGACTCGACTTACATGGATGAGATGCGATCAAGGGCATCAGAAAGGCGGTGTAAGCCATTAGTCATCCAATTAACCCCTGGCTTTTTTGCTCAATGTCTTTTTCGAATAGCTGATGTGAATGATGAAACATTCCTTAATCCTGGTTGTGATCGGGCCCAAGTTTTGCTGGAATTGTATGAGCATGAAGTTAAATTTCAGAATGCAAAGATTGAGGTGACAAAACCCGTTGAAATCTGCAGTGTGAAAATTGATTTTGCAGTCTCACCTACGCACCTTTTATCACTTTAGTTAACGAACTGTTTACTCGAGGTATTTGATCATACAAGAGACCCAGCTTATATTGAACGTCTTGCTCAATTGTTGATGAATCTGAAGACTTTGCGACCTTGTCTCAATTTTGAGGTGGCCTGTTTGATATGGTGTATTTTCGCCATCATATTCACCTTCGCTCAAATAGGCCAAATACTTTTCTCGTGATTACAGTCTCCATACTAAAGCCTTGGACCTTCAAGCAAGTTTAATTTCGCAAATGGTTGCTCATGGTATCCATTCACATCGGTCCTGGGTGATTCGTCACTTTACAAAGATTGACAAGTCGTTCATGACCGACGATCCCGATTTTAATTTTGTGCCGAATGCCACTTCGATGAATTTGAACAAGTATATTGATTCTCCGTTCTCGTCGGGTCTGCCACACAAACCAGGTTCGACATCACCGTTTCTTCGGAAACTTTTTTTGCTGACTGCGGTTCTTTAATTAGCACCTGAGAGACAACGAGTCACCATGCATCACGGAGCATTATCTGTTTACATGACAGAAGTAGTTCCAATGCTAGAAAAGATCGTCGACGTATTGGATCAAGCTAAATTATGTTCTGTTGAGACGAGGCGAGCAATTAAGAGTCATGCTGGAGAGGCGTTGGTGCCAGTGCATGTCGTTGATTGTGCAAATTGGGCTGTTTTCATGGTACAATTAACACCGTTGGAGGATAGTTTCTAACTATATTTTTTTGCTTACACTCTCTCGTATTTAGGCTCTTTGGGAGGAACAGGTAGAAGCTGAAATACCACTCCCTGGCAAACCTGGTGTTGGCTTAGACTCTGAAGTCTGGACTGAGAATCCACTACTTGGTGATATTGTAATAACGGAAATGTACAATCCGTATCATTATACATCTAGTGACAATGCACGAGCACTTGGAATCAATTTGGGGCCGATGAGTGCATTCTCTGATCCAGCATACCAAGAAACTGCTCGAAGTTATGCTCATCTTCTGACGAGATTGTTGCTTATTAAGAATCGGCTGAACTTGTCTTGGACTGAAACAGGTATTTGCAGTTTCGCTGCTATACAGAGACCATCCTCACTCTCTTTCTCCTTGTAGAGTACTGGCGTCGTGCCCTTGATTTGCAATATGTTCAAATGGGAGTGAATAGAAGAGCTTATGGTGCTCGACTAGCTCCTTTACCTCTTGATGGCAATCCGTTACCACCTGATGTGATTTCAACAGAAGTATGAAACCGATTTGAGAATGCACCGTTTTTGTTTTAGGTCCGATTTTTTTTCGCCGTCTGTAGGAGGACGAGATTGAAGACTATCAGGAGGAATCCTTCTACGAGTCTTACACTGACTTGGTCTCTGCCTCTTCCGATCTACAAAACTTTGGACTGGCTATGGCAGAGATTGATCGCCTTTTTGATGACTTCAATTTTTCGACTTTTGAAGCACTTCAGGTAACGCGAATGCTTCAATGTATGAAATATTGTCGGACGAACTTTCTGACTTTTTTTGCTTTTAAAGTTCAATTTGAGGTGGCAAGTTGTTCGGGCAATGACGCATTCTTTACGAGTAAGTTTCAAGGTGGTACCTCGCAAAGGCTATCTAAAAAATTGATGTTGATACTCAATAGGTCCAAATGTTGGAGAAGAATTACTTGATGGGAGCAGTCGAACTCCATAGTCTTTTACTAGCAGAGATTCACAAGAATGCTTTAACCTCCTCTTTCGAACCTGGATTGCTGGATTCTAGTCAGGTATTCTGGAATTGCTTGAGTATCTTCAGTCTTCTAGTATCTCACCATGGTTTCTCTGTGGGCATAGAGACTCGATGTCGAAGTAGACTACCGTCTGCTAGCCACTAGTATCGTTCCAAAGAAGCGAAAACTGAGAAGGGCGATGCTTTTAGCGTACACTGAGAGGTAATACATACAGTAGCTGTTCATGGAGTGTCACTGAAGTTATTTTACTTTAGACTGGAACTGTATGGCGGTGACGAGAAGGACGAGGACGCCAAAAAAATGTTCGTCGATCAAATGAAGGTGAGCAAAAGACGGAATTGGAGTTGAAGGCACGAGTCATTCGTCTCACGTAACTTTGAATTGTAGGATGAGCTGATACATTGGTACTGCAATAATCTTGCAGAAGTGGTAGTTGAGTGGAGCGAACGTTCAGAGTTCGCCAAACTCATGCTCGAAGTCAAGAGAATATCCGTTGAGAAGACCTACGGCAAGCTTCTCTTCCGATCATCAAAGATTCTCAACCATTTAGACTATTTTGCGACTCTGGAAAAGGGTACCACTGAAGATAATGACAACAATCTTGGTGTTTCAATTCAAGATGTTGTTGCAGAGAATGGGACGGAGAAGATTGCGAAGTTGTGGTATATTCCTCACATTACTGAGATAATTCTGGTAAGAGGAACTTTTTCTTCGCTCTGAGTTAGAAAAAGTACTGGAACTCACGCAAGCTGTTTTCGAAACAGGGCCTGGTTCCAACTGATAAAGGTGGACGTGCCGCCGACGTCTCTCGAAGAGCGTTTCGAAACAGTCTGTTGTATCGAAGGTCTCTCATCATGTACACCTTGGTGTTGGAGATTTTAACCATGTTCTCTCGTGTTGCCGTACTGCTTCAAGAGAATCGCAAGTTTGTTTCTTCAGGTAAGCCAACACGAAAACGCTTGGAAGCTTTGCTGAACTCACCAAGTCTTTTTTTCTAGTGAAAACCATCCGTGAAGCTGATTACGTAGTGCAAGCCATGAATTCTATCAAAAAGGATTTGTCGTATCAAGGACAACAAGCAGACTATGAGCGTGTGGAGCGGTATCTGCTTCTTAGATGGGGCTTGTTGCGTTTAAGGCTCAAGCTTTCACTTACTATGTCACTGTATGCGTTGAAAATGAATTTAGTAAGAGATTGGGTCAGTTTTATCTTGACATTGACTTCCACTAACTCATAATGATGCAGATGAAACCTTCTTACGGAATAGTTGAGAGCGCGTGGTATCAGAGTGGTGAAAAGATTGCTGGAAAGCCTCGCAAGGACATATACCAACGATTGAGTCGTTTCGCGAATGTATGTGGGGCTAAACTTTTGTTTGTGGCCCGAACCAGTATTAACAGTCCCGAAATAGTCACAATGTAGTGTAGTTTCAACTCCACTGGCTGGAAAGTACTGGTTGTCCTATTTAGATGATCAGGCAAAACGAGTCTGCGATGCAAAGATTGTCGAGGTATGCAAACAAGCGTCAAAAGAAAGTTTGTAACCATTCAGAGCTAATTTGTGGCAATGCTAGATTGAAGAATGTTTGGAAGAACATACTCAGAGCACCACTCTGACATTCGGAGAGAATGCCGACGAGCTCATCAAAGTTCAAGGAGACTATCTGGTATCAACTCTCAAGCTGTACGCCTTTCGTAATGAATACTTGCGTATGATATTAGACGGTCGTGAACTCGAGGTACTTGTTTTTCTCTCATCATTTGTCACAAAGTGTCTAATTAACATCAATGTGATAGACGGAGATACAGCTTCAAGAATTCTTCCGCTTGTACAAGATTCGAATTCTAGTAGATTCTGTCCGCCTGTATCATCGACAAGGATCTCGTGGAGGTGGAAGCACCAGTGAGTTTGTGGGTTCTGACCAGAGGTCCACAGACCAATTCTCATAACACTGTTTTTTGTAGGTTCACTGCTTCGGACAAGTATCATCAGCAGTGCTCAGGAAGGCGGCTATAATCGACTGGTTCAATCCGTGAGCTTCTCTCTTCACTCACAGTGACTCTAAAGTTTTTCTAACACATATCCATTCTCAGAATTTTGAAAAATGCCAAAGTGTGGTTTTGCAAGCAGAACTCTTGCGAGAGTATACTGTCAACCTCCATAAACATGGCAAATCTATACACACCTTGCTCTCTGATGAGCGCACAGGCAGGCTCTTCCGACACTACACTGTCTCGGATTCGATACCCGACAATAATGTCCCTCATATGGCCATGCGATTCACCGAAGAATCGTATGCTGCAAAACAGGTCATGTTGACACAATTGGTGGCTGATCTATACAAGGCCTCAGTAGAGGGTGTACGTGCCAGGCTTGTCCAAATACTTCCCTTGTACATGTACTCACGTCCAATTTCATAGGCCAAAGACACAAAGAATGATAATTCCAACTTCACGTGCACCAAGGCTGCCCTTAGTCACAGCATTCTCAAGTTTTCCACACACTTGGGTCGCTGGCAGGAGAAACGACGTGGAGAGCATGAAAACTTTCTTGGTACTCTCTATGGTCGATTGCTGGAAATGATTCGCAACGCTGAAAAGGTCATTGAAAATCAGCAACAGGAGAAGCAGGAGATTCTAGATGTACGTATAGTGCCATAGTCAAGTGTAACGCTCCTCAACATTCCATTGTATGCTCATGAAATATACCCTCATCTTAGGAATTCGCGAAGGGTGTCAAGCTTGCTGCCGCGGATTTGTTTGCTGCACATCTGGCAACACATTCAGCAACGACCGTCGAATTGAATGATCTTCGTAAAGCCCGTCGTCTAGATGAAAGGAAACTCCGTAATCGAATAGTTGACGAGTATGATGATCTTATGTCTGAGCTCGTCATGGAAATCAACCTATTACGGCAACGCTTTGCAGAATATCGTGTAGGCACAGTGCAAGAAGTTATGGACATTATGTCTGAAACTAAAAAGGAAGAGTTGGGTGCTTTGGTGACATCCAAAACTGATTTGCCAATGTCCATGAGGAAGAGTGCTGATATAGCCATCCAGCACGAAGAAGCATTGTCTGAGCTTCGTGAAGATAATCACGAGCTCAAGATGACGATTCTCAAGTTTCGATCTATGAATACAATTAAGGAGCAGGCCATCCGTTCTGCATACGAGAAAAGAGTGCGTCTGAGTTGAATTGAGGACTGAAGTTATTCCTGCTTACTTACATGTTAACTATTTAGATTCGAAAGCTGACGGATGAAAACAAAAAGGCAGAGGAAAAATTATGGGATAGTTTCAGGGAGGCTGAAGCTCGAGAGAAGTCTCTTCGTCGACAGCTAGCCAAGACTCAACGAGTGAGATTTCTGGACTCATTACCAGGAAGACAAATTTACTCAACGCATTACATCAATTATAGGGGTTGACTGATACTGAAACTGTTGTAGCTGAGCTTACTGTAAAGTTGAAGGAGGAGAAGGAGTTGCGGGTCGCTGAAAAGCAACGTGATAGGCCTGGACCTGAGTCTCGTGCGCCCAAGAAGACAGAGCATAAAGAGGATGTTGAACGGCTGCTCAAGGACTTGGCTGAAAAATCGAAACTGATTGAGCAACTTGTCTCTGAACGACAAGCCCATCTACAGGAACCGGAAGACATAGATAATAGCAAGGTCGTATCAAGGCCTGCATCTACCCGTTACCCTAGTAGTCAACAACCACGATCGAAATCCCCTCGTCGATCAGTATACTTCCAAGATCGTGTTGGTAAATTAGAAGAAGAGAATGCAGATCTACGAATGCAGCTCTTTAAACTACAGGACTCTTTATCTCCTCCAGCAGACAGGCCTCTTCAAACTGCCATAATAGTAAGCCAGGAAGTTGATACTGCTGTTGCAGCTGAACCAACGGCAAATCGTAAAGTGGTATTCCAGGAAGATCCCGCATCACCATCAGATCGAGAATTGTTTTCAGCTGGTGGTGTCCGATATCCGTATTATGAGCAGCAAAGCAACAGTACAACGTCGCCGCCACGAAGAACAGCTGAACGCGAAAGTGTATCACGACCGTCAAGATCACGGCCGTCAACTACTAGAGCTAGCTCCTCTGCTGATGCTTTGAGTATAACCAACTCTACCAAACCGACTTCTGCTAAACCTGGAACTGGCGGTGGAATCAGATCATTGGTGAATACACCACTTAAAAGCCCGAAAAAGTAGTCCACATTGTAAAATGTATTAAGATGGACATAGTGTATGTAGCATTAACGTGATGTAGATAGTAAATATACTCAGTTTGTTTTCGGAAACGTTCCCGTTGGTAAATTGACATAACTAGTCCCCAATGAGTGTCTTTCCGTGATGTATGTGGCATCGGAAATAGATTGACGTTTATCTTCTCAAACAGTACAAATCTGCAATAGCCGTCCAAGGCTGAACAGTAGAAAATTGGTCTTAGAGCTATCCACATAATAGCGATCTTTAAAATTGTGCAGATTACTTGAGCCTCAGAGCTTGACTGAGCGTGATTGATTGGTTCAAGTGACAGAATGAAGTGAGGGTATACGTAACAGTTCACTCCAACATCTTCACAAAGTGACTACGTAAGCAATGTCGGGGAGCAAAACTATTCGTTTTCTGCATACCAAATTCTCAGTCAATCATATCCATATTGATAAAGAATTCGTGAATTTGCATTCAGTGAATGTTATATCCCTTGGCCCAGTTGCTCGATTTTCGTTCCCAACAATGACACGAGATGCCTCACCACGAGGAGGGCAGTTAGCCGCAATAATCAATAATGTCAGCGTGATTAGTAGCAAAGCACGAAATACAACTGGAAATAGTGGGAAATAGTAGGTGTTTGCCGTTGATTCGTAATTTTTCCCAATCACTCTACCATTTCATTCCAACAAATCTTCTGATAGAGGAGGAGAAACGAAGCTCTCGACGGAAGGCAGACATAGTGGCTATCGTTAGCAACATCTTATAGAAGCAATATCTCTTATCTCCGGGCTCTACCTAGGTTTTTCAAGACCGTGGGAAGTGGACCAACAAAATTTGGGTGGCTGCCGTTTCTAATCAAGGGATTCAGCTTCATTGTTTGAATATAATAAGGAAGAGGAATCTCGTTGTTGACGAAACAATATATAATCATTGACTTGTCGTTTTTGAGGCATACAATCACATTTTTGACGAAGGTTTTAAATTTGTGAACAAACGAGGTGTCAAGCAGTGCTTAATTCGTTGGGAATTCATCTATTACAACCATCGAGTGCCGGTCTTGAAGTCTTATCTTCAATCCATCAATCATCTTCCATCACACATCAGCACACCAAAACCAATCGAACGACCCTTCTTTATGATCAAGGATATTTCATATTCAAGCAGTGCATCCTGGTCATCATCCTATCGTAATCTTCCAGTCAAATCAGGAATGGCCAACAATATTGACGCTAGAGAAGCTGCTCGTCAGGCGTACCAATCATCACTAGTTGACTTGACTCGGAACGATAGGAACTTGATTCTGAGTCTTACTGAGATTGCTAGGGAGAACGAACGTTGGGCTTCTACTATTGTCGATGTCATTGAATCTCAAATCAGAAATGTGCGTCAACCTTGTTTTCCATTCTATAATGTATTGAGTTGAATAAAGCCATATTTCAATTCCTGTCTCTATCTTGAATAATAATCTAATCATTTCTTCTTTTGTTTTACGTCATTTAGGCTCCATCGGCTCAAAAGTTACCCGTACTCTACTTGTTGGACAGTATTGTCAAGAACCTTGGCGGTGTCTTTGTTCTCGAGTTCTCACGCAACATTGTAAAAACGTTTGCTCAAGCTTATGATTCTGTGAGTTGGGAAGATCGTGCTAGAATGGCCAAATTGGTAGAAAGCTGGAAGGTACCACCTCCTCCACATTCTTCATCAATCTTTGCGTCCATATTCTTGTCGCAAATGGAGGACAAGATACGGAGTTCTCAACCTTACGCTGGTCAATCTACATTTGGACTTGGCACGTTGGTATGTATTCATCTGTCACTTTGCTCGGAGGACATGACACATTATACTGACTTTTACCTTATTCATTATATAGCCAATACAGCAAGCACAACAACGACAAACACAGTATGTGCAATTTGAACCCCTAAGATCTTTGGCACTGAACAGCCAATCATCTGATTATCAACACCTACACAGCAACATGTTCCCAATACAAATGCAACCTCCTGCTCCTGGTCTACCACCTATGAGTGGATCCATCTTTGGAGGCTCGCAGCCATCAATGTTACCACAGGTATGTCTTTTACAAATGTCCGAATTTATTTTGATTGTTTCTTTGAAATATTTCATAAACAACACGACTCGTCCTTCTTGGCCTCGTTGTCTTGCCCGATCTCGTGTTCTATCTTTGCAACTCGTCGACTCTATATATCGTTCTTCTTGATCTTGACTGCGATTTTTTCTTTCCCTAACTAGTTGCTGCCACAGCTGCCACACCAGACTGATTTGACTCGACAACTGGTGTTGAATACGTTGGTTTCCGAAGCTCAAACTGTTATTGCTCAAAAGAGATCCAAGTTGATAATGAACCCCATGAATCCAATAGTACCTGGTGAAATAGAACTATTGCAACAGGTGTGCTCTTTTGCAATGTCTAGCATGCCTTTGAAGGGCAATCAATCTCATTCTGATTCTTCTGGTCGACAGGTCTTGACATCAGTGGCTACCCAGCATATTGAATTAACAATGTTGCAACAATTGCTGGACCAAGTTCGACAAATGAAGGAAGCTCCTCCACTCGTCGTTGTTCCACCCCCTTCACTACCACCACCACCTGCACCAGTTGTCGTGCCACCTACATTTACTATGCCACCGTCTCTATCCAGTCTAGGAACTCCTGCTAGTTGGACTAGTATATTGAACAAAACCTCATCAGCTGGATTGGTGCCTCCTCCTCCTACCACTACAGGTGCCTCAACAACTCCAGACAAGAAGATTATGCGTATGCAAGATTTGCCTAGAATATTATTGAACAATGATGACATTAACAGGTATGCGAGGTGAAGGAACACATTTTTTCGGTGTGGTCTACTAACAGATTCTTTTGCCTATTCAGGAGAATTGACGGTGCAGTTGCTTTGCTATATGATGCTATACCTACACAATGCAAACAATGTGGAAGAAGGTTTATGAGCACTGAGGAAGGCAAAGAGCAAAATTCAGCACATTTGGACTGGCATTTCAGAGCATCAAGAAGGCAACGTGAAAAGGCCAGGAAGGCTGTATCGCGAGATTGGTATTTGCCAGAGAATGAGTGGTGTATTGAAAAGGAAGCTGATATCAAAGACAAACAAGGTACGTGCAAAAAAAGTAGAATAGATGGAATCGTTGAATCTGAACCTAACTTTCATCTTTTTAGTCCAATCCTCCTTCTTCAACAGTATGGAAGCTGAGCTGACGCCAGACAAGGAAATGTCTGAAGAAGGTCAAAATGTCCCATTGGAGAATGGTGCGAGTGCTTGTCCTATATGTAATGAGTCCTTTGAAAAGTTCTTTGATCAAGAAAGAGAGGAATGGATGTTTAAGAATGCCATCAAGTTGGAACATAAGGCACGTATTGATTACTCTCGAATGAGATCCATTCGTCCCTTCCGGCTAGTTTTGCCCGTAAATATGCTAACTTGCAAACTCCCTGTCCTTAGATATATCACTTCACATGCTATCGAGATCACACACGGCCACGCGCCAAGATGAGTACACCACCTCGATCGCCTGGAGATACCACTTCGTTGGGTAAACACAGGGAAGGGGAAGATGAATCAGTTGAAAGGAAGCGACTTCGTATATAAAACCTCATTGTAAACCATAGAACATATAGTACATATAACCAAAACAAGGAAATTGCGTGTAACTTCCAATAAGATTGCGAGATTTGCATCAAAAAAACCTGTGCGTTGTTTCCTTGCACGCGCGCCTTTTTTAAACATTCCAAACCAAGGTATTAAGAGCTCGCTCAATAGAGAGTAGAGGTACGTAGAATGGACCTATACATTGTATTTGTAATCAGCGAACCTGCCTAATACGTCTTCTAACCAAGATCTACTCTCTAGCGACCAAGAACGGAACTCTCCCGAAAACACGCACACGATGTCATCGAGAATGTCATCAGGCCCGCCGTCAGCCCCGTCGATCGCCTCATCGACTCCATACTATGCATCAACATTCAGACGCTCAAAGCAAGCTCCCGCTCATCACCCAAATCCATTCCAACTCGGCTCATCAACATCAGACCTAGCACTTGCAGATTCAGCCGCCAGTGACATTCACCATCAATCTCATCATCAGGCTACTACTATGAGTCATCGAGGTGCTTTGAGTTCAATGAGTGGCGATTCGGCAGAACCGGAGTTTCATGTACCGGTTGCCGCTGAAGGTGCTGCAAGTATCGTTAATGATCAAGATGAGAATGATCAGGGTTATGAGAATTATGAGCATGGGGATGAACATCAAGCGTTGGGGGAATACGATGTATGTGTGTTGATGATGAGACCAGGCTGTTTTATTAAGCGAATATGTGCTTGTCGTGATACTCATCTTCATTACCCTTAGAATGCCTTCTCATTGCTTTTGGATCGAGTCAAGGAGAACGCTAACGCATGCAAAGTAAGCATGAGTCTCCACTGTCATGGCGCCGCTTTTTTTGCTCGGTAATCTAAGGCATCTCTGGTCGATAGGAGGTTTCAACGTTTATTAAAAGAAGAGCTGCCATTGAAGCCGAATATGCAAAGTCCATGACTCGACTTGCTCAATCAATGAGTGATTCAATGGAAAAGAATGGTGCCAAGCTTGGGTATGGGCAGCTTCTTGTCTTGTGAGTCCGCAAGTATATGCTGATTTTTTTGGTTGTTGCTCGTCTTTAGATCTTTCCGTGACACTTGGAAGAAGATATGTAGTGTGCATGAACGAGTCGGTGAAGTCAAGCAACGCTTCTCCGAATCATTGGCGGAAATCGCTGGCGATGTCAATGCGGTACATATTGAAGCTGTGACTTCTCGTAAAAATCTCAAAGTTGGTGGTGGAAATCATTGGAAGATGGTAGTGGAAGCTGAAAGCGCTCTAGAAAAGGTAAGGAAGACGCATGTATCCTTTGGAGCAACAAAACTTCGCTCTTGATTCACTGACGCCTCTTTTTTAGGCCAAATCCAAATACGAAGGTGCTTGCACTGAATGGGAAACCTCCATCAATCAACTTGCAGGTGGTGCACAATCGCAGTTAGGACCACCGGGAATGAAAAAGTCTGCATCACATCCATTCACCATGTTCAAGGGAAGTCCTAGTCCTTCCAAGGTATGACTGGCCAGCAATCCATGTTTTTGCATACATCCTCAATCAACTAACCTGCCTACTGTCTAATCAGCTTGCCAAGAATGAGGATGATCTTCGGATGCGAGTGGCTGGTCTCAACGACTCTTTCAAAAGACAGTTGGAAAATGTACAAGGAAAACGAGCCCACTACTTTTCAAAGCTTTTGCCGACTCTCATTGGAGTAAGTTCTGGCACGAAAATTTACAGAACCACCGGCAAAGTTCTCATATGCTTTGTATTAGGTGGTTGCAACAGCCAACAGTGAAGTTGATATGAAACTGCAAAAGAACATGGTCAAGTATGCTCAAATGTATGAGCAAGCATTGATGGAGGAAGGTGTTACGATTGCCCCTATGCCGAAAGACGATGGTGAGATTTCTGCACATGTCATGTTAGGATGTTTCATTGCCTGAAAGACACCTTTTTTTGCGCAGAGGAACCTCAACCCAGTTTGTTGAAGATTATGGAAAGCGTCGATCATGAAGGAGATTTGCATGCCTTTATGAAGACATTTGTACCCAACCCCACTAAAGAAAAGAAAGCAGAACAAAGGTTCGGTGCTTACTTTCCTACAGTAAGTTTTCCAAAAAAACTTGTCATTGTGGCTATGCATGACCGTCAAGCTCGTCCATAGTCCTTTGAAGCCTCAGCCAGACCTGTGTTTGGAGTGGATGTTACCGAATTGATAACTCGTGATGGTGTTCAAATACCAACCATAGTTGAGAAGTGCATTCAAGTCATTGAACGTCATGGTATGCGCACTGCAGGATTGTACAGACAATCAGGCCCTATTCCAGAATTAACATCATTACGTGTCTTGATTGATCGAGGTATATGAGTTGAAGCTTTAGGCAAAAGAAACCAGCATAAAAATTTGACAAATATTCTACTTATAGACCTAAGCAAAGTCGACTTGGAAAAGTTTGCTGCCGACATTACAGTTGTGACTGGTATACTCAAACTATGGTTCAGGTCTCTACCTGATCCGATATTGACATCAGAAAAATACCATGACTTTATGGAAGCTGCTAGTAAGTGTTTATTCAGATATTGGGAGACCCAATGGCACGGCTGGATGTAATTGACTTGTTTTGCCCTTGCAGAAATCGACGATGGCAAAGTTCGATTGATGAACATACATGGAATCGTGAATGAACTTAACGATGCCAACTTTGCAACTCTTCAATGTTTGATGGCTCACCTTCACAGGTATTTACTCTCTTGACAATATACCTTTCTTGCCGCAAATGTAACACCAGCTCTTGTTTACAGGGTCAGGACACGAGAAATTGATACCAAGATGAGCGTACAATCTTTGGCTATCGTATGGGGTTCCGTATTGATGGGACCTCGTGAACCTACGAACGTCATTGACTTGGCTCTTCAATGTCGTGTCATTGAAACCATTTTGGGAGGATATCTGGAGATCTTCCCCGAGGACTAATTTAATTCTAGATAGATATGTACATAAAACATAAAATTAATACTCCTCACTATCGCTATATTTACCTAATGTACATGGGTTCACACGATAGTTGTTACTCGAGCGCAGTAATTTCTCAAATCTCATGCTCAAAAAGTTGACACCAATCTGACGGAAATTTCTTCAAGGACCAGGGAGGTGACGAAGGTGATAACAGACTTGAAAATAGTTATTCTGGCTCATCATCGCTTTCCTCCGAGATGATGCACATGGAGGTTGATGGTCGAAATTCGTCAAATTTCGCACCGACCACGACACTCCCAGAACTAGGTCAATCAACCAAAGGAGGCTCTTCCAGAGATGACGTGCTTCAAAAGCATTACTTGCGCCTGCAAAAGCAACTTGTTGGCATGACTGACAGGAAACTCGTCGAAATGGGACAGGAGCTCAATATTAAAGAAACCAACTTAAAACGTGTGTCTGACGAGAGGCAGAATTTTGCTGTAGAATTGTACAAGTCGAGAGTAGAGGCTACGAAATTGGGTGATACGCTTCAGCATGCGTGAGTGTGCATCTATAAGCTATAGTTGGAAGCTCATTTTGCGTTAGGTGCCGACTTGCTATTATCACAGCTAACCGTGTACCGATCACTTAGCAAAACACAGCTGGAACGTATTGATGGTGATAGACGAGTAGCTGAATTGGATTGTGATGCGCTGGAAAAGGAGGTCTACAAAACTGAACGAGAAAAAAAAGTTCGTATCGATTTATATATTCGTATCGACTATTATTATCAAAAACTGACACCTATCTCGAATTAGGTAAAGGAATTGGAACTAGGAGAAACCAGACAACGAGTCGAAGAACTGACTCAAGTAGCTCGTCAACATGGAGAAATTAGTGCAGCCTTCTCCACAGACCTCAAAATTCAAAAAAGAATGACTGAAAAGACCAAGAAAGAATTAGAGAATTCTGAATTACGGAGGAGGCAGCTCTTATCAGAGTTAGACGACGAACGAAAACGGTCGGAAGCCATCTTGTCGGAGAAGCTTACTTTGGAAGGCCAGTTAAACAACCAGAAGTCTGAGATGGCTATTGCGCAAACTGCCATTGATAAGATGAATCGAGGTACTCCTTTGTCTCTTGTATGGATAACAATACTGCCACCTAAGCTTTTTCTTTTGGTGTCTAGAAATCAATCGACTAATGGATGGAAAGAAGAATGCTGAAAAGGCATGGGAAGAGGCTATTTCAGCCATGGCTAGACGAGATCATACCTTACAAACCGTTCAAGATACAGTTTCGAGAGACAAAGAACGTTTGACTGGTGCTGAAGTTCGTGCTCGCGCTGTTGTGGAGCAACGCGATGAATTGGAAATCAGGCTCAAGGAGAAGGAACGAGGTAGGATGTTCGAATCTAATGTCTCGCGTATGTTGATTTTCGGGAGGAAAAAAATTTCTCATAGACAACAATATGTAGAATGCGCTGCACTATACAAGGACTTTGACTCCCTCAAACATGCCAAAGCAGTCGCCGAATCAAAAGTTCACGAAATCCAAGGCTCTCTCACAGCTGCCGAAGTCGCCGAATCCTTGTACAGACAAGACCTGGAACGAACCAACAAAAAGAACGATACCGTCCAAGAACAACTCAAGACTCGAGAAGCAGCTGTTGCCTTTCTGCGCAAACGAATGGCAACGCTGAAGGACGAGTACGAGCACAAGGGATTCATGGATGCCAATCAGCGAGCTGCTGAACGTGAAGAACAAGCAAGAGCTGAAATGCTGGCTGAGAATGCAGTTTCAAATCGACTTTCGGATGCTCAACAAGTTCGGTTGAGACATCATAATGCTGAGTTGCAGATGGAGATACTGCAGCTGCAGACTGATTTGGTATGTAGAATCGTTTCTCAGCAGATGCATGGCTGTTATTCATGAATGATTTGACCCTTTTTGGCTTTGCTAGACGGCGATCAAAGCAGAACGTGATACCTTACGAGCTCAGGTCGGAGATGTGAATGGACAATTCAATATGGAATACGAAGAATCCAAGAAATTGAGGTTGCTTATGGAAAGAAAGGAGCATGATATGAATATTCTGAAGGCTCAAGTTGCGCAGCTTGGTCAATGTAAGCCATGCAAGAACAAATTCCTTGATCAATTTGACCAGTTCGACTCAAGCTTTTTGTTTTCGTCGTAACTAGGGGACAAAAATCCATTACAACCACTACTAAGTAGTGTCAAGAAAGACTTGGCACAGGTAAAATCAGAGAATGATAGACTCCGAATGATGTGGTTGGAAGCGCAAAAGGAGAACATCAAGGCTAAAGATGTTTCTGCCAAGGCTGTTGATGATTACATGTCGTTGAAGGTATTGTTGGGAAAAAAAAACTGGTGTAATACAACACTATCTCACAATTGAGGTTTCTCAGACACAAATAACAGTCAACGATGTCGTCAAAGTCAAGACTGCAGCTGAAGTTGATGGAGCTCGAAGAGAAGCAGCAGATCATAAAGCTGAAGCTGCAAGATTGCATGCTGAGCTGAAACGGTTACAGCCGGTTATTGAACAGCTCAAGAGGAGAAATGTATGCGGCTATTGAATTCATGGCTTTTTTGTCTCTTCTTTGCTGATTTTGAAATGTTTGTCCCACAAAGGCTGAATTGGAAAGTGCAGTCTCGGAACAACGCATGCAGACAGAGGAAGCCAAGATTGATGGAACGGTAAGCGTAGTGATGTTTCACTGTCCTGATGGAAAGTGATGAAACCTGATACGTCTTTCTTTTTGTTTCTAGACTGGAATAGTCATGCTCAAAGCCGAAGTTCGAAGACTTCAACAATCACGCAAAGAAGTAAACGTTGCCAGACTTGCAGACGAAAAGACCTCCTCCGTGCTGGAGCGAAAACTGATTGTGGCCAGAGAAGCAGCAGAACGACTCAAGACTGAACGTGACCAACTACGAAGATCAGAAGGCGATTTACGTGGTAAATGTGACGTGTTGAAACAAGAATTGGAGAATCTGAGGACCATGTGTGCAAGACAGCAAGAGTGGCTGGGGATTAAGCAAGGTCAAGATAACAAGTCCAAGCGAGATGGTTCTGGGTTTGATGGTTCGAGTGAGGAAAAGATGCCTTGGATGAGTTTTGCTACTACACCGAATGGTAATTCGATTTCTGGTCTTGGAGGTGAGCGTCTATGAAGCTGTTGGATGTTGGTGTCTGTCGCCTGAGCATAATAGAGATACATCGCTCGAGATTTTCTCGCTTCATGCTCACTGCAACTTTTCTTTGATAGATAACGGCCGATCAGAAGCGACGTCAGCAAAGAGCTCATTAATGGACGCAAATGGTAACATACCGGATATAGCTCACATGCAATTGAAACTTTCGACCTTGTCAACAGAAAAGCAGCACTTGTTGACTGAGAATGATATACTCAATCGAAAGCTGGACGAGGTATGCGTACTCCAATAGGAATCTTTTTTGGCTCGACACCAACAACAAAGAATACATTTGTAGACAAGCAAAAGACTGTCCGCAGCCGAAAGGACGCTGTCGGAAGCTTCACAGAGAGTGTCTGGTGTGGAACGAGATCTTGCGCGTAAAGATCGTGAAGTGCGAAGTATCTCACAGAGATGTTTACGTGCTGAGAAGGCTGCTGCATATATTGAAGCCCAATTCAAGGTTGTGATGTGCTCGCTATTGTGTTATTCGCCATAGTCTGTTATTGACTGACTAGTCTCTTTGCTGCATTCAGGAGGCTCGACCAAATACAAAGATCGACTTCCAGATACCTGGGGATGTGAGCCCATCAGCTCAACTGCTTGCAGCTTTAATCGTGCCAGGGGTGAGTAATATAACAGACAGATGTATCTATCGATAATATCTTTGGCTTTTTTTGGGTCATCCTTTCAACTTTCTGACACTGTTTTATCCAGCTATCATCATCTCCTAGCGTTTCAACTTCAGCATCATCACAACGAAAAGACTCAGGTCTACTTTCTGTACGAAGAGATTCAGCTCTTGGAGGCGGAAGACGAGAATCTATATCACTACGAAAGGATTCTGCAGCGTCAATACGGCCAATGATTGAAGAAGAGGGATTACCACCGTTGGCAGCTTCTGAAAGTGGACGTTCAGGTAAAAGAGTTGTAACTTGTGCCAAAGTCTCAAGTATGCCACAATACTTACTGGGAATTTTTTGCTTTCGATTGAAACTTAGGTCGAGCCAGTATGTCCTACTAAAAGTACCAGTAGTCTTCTTGTTGTAATAATAAGACATATAATACAACAACTAGTCAGTCTTAGAAAGAAAATTTGGTGATTCGTTCTGTACACGGAGGTTTTACCATCCCCTAAAAATAAAACACACAGAAAAAGTCAGTTTTAGTGATTTCTTGATACGCGATCGCTTCACCAGATATGGCAGGATCATTTCATAAGATATGGAGTCGAGCAATACCAGAAATAGTGGATGACTATTTCAAGTCAATGAGGTATGTTTCAGCGCATTCTATAAAGACCACAGTCTGACATTTTCTGCACTCACAATCTAGAGAAGCAGAGGAACATCGGGAACAGGAGAGGACTGCTTCTATAGCGATACAGAGAATATGGAGAGGGCATTCAACGCGTCTCTGGATACAAAATCAAACGTATTTGCAGTCACAGATTTTTCAACAAACGTTTGACAAAGCTGACACTGTTGTCCCATAGTGATTGTGCAGTGATAATACAGAAATCATATCGTGGATATAAAGGACGATGTCGATTTGAGCAACGAGTCATGGAGTATTGCAAAGCCAAGAGGATGAAAACGTATAATGCGGCAGCAACGGCATTGCAAAGGATGTAGGTTATTGAGCACTATTACGAACCTCTCAACTTATAACATTGCCTTTGACATCAAGCCTCTGGTTTATGTACTCGCTTCTGATTTGTTTTGTCTTAGATGGAGAGGATACTACACCCGCCAACGCATCTTCGACTTTTACGCACGAAAGGCATATCTAGCACTCATATCCGAACGAGTGGTCGAAATGAGAGCGCTCCTCGCAGAACGTGAAGCATCAGACCAAGCAATACGAACACAAGCACAGCGCAAAGCACATCTCGCCAAGATGGAAGCTTTAGCTGGTCGGCTACATCATCTCGTCGGAACACGAGCTATTCCAGGAGTCTTTTCAACAGGACATGCCAAAGATGGTCGGTCAGAAGATGGATTCGATGACGAGGACAGGGACGATGATGAGGGTGTCTTGTCGGAAGACAAGATTAAGAGCAACAAGGGATTCAAGGACTGGGTGGAGAAGAATGTTACGGCAAAGAGGAATGTCGCATCGCTCAAGCCTCTTGATATGGATAATGTGCCTGTGGAGAAGAAGAGTAAAGTTGCTCAAGGGCCGTTCTTGGTATGTGGTTCAAGCAAAAAAGGAACACTACCAGGTCTATCATAGCTTATATTCAACTTCGATTTTAGCCTCTCTTCCACCTTGAAAAGAAGAAATTCAAGCCGTTTAGGCCTTCCTTACGGGTCCAGACCAACTATTATGACACAGACGAGTATCTGAGAGAGGAGCGGGCTAACGAGATGACACAGAGAAGTAAGTTTTGACGTTCAGTCAATTGATCTCTTTTGCGGGAGGTTTTTTTGGTCTAAAAAATTTCATTCTCGTATAGTGTCGCATACTTTCTATCTGTCGGTTCGACATCCAGTCCTGCCTGTAAAGCCAGAGTTTTGGAGAGCATCTGAACCATACAAGACTCCAATCACCTCATTAGAGTGAGTATTTGTGGTTTAGAAAACCCAATGGGTGAATTGAGGAGAGCTGATGAAAACAATTTCAACCTTGACAGACGATTTGCCGATAAGGAATCTAGGCAAGCTGTGCCTGGAAAGAAGGTATTTCATTATGCATATGGACTGTTCCTTTTTTCGCATGCTGAGTCTGCTCTTGACTTCTGTAGCCATTCAAGAACTTGACCAGACCTGTTCCATTCTTTGAGGATTACGGAAACCAACAGTAGTTAAAATATTTAAGTCAATGATCAGTGTATTATACAGAAAAGGGAGAAAGATGCTTCTCTAAAACCAAAAGTTTGCAAAATTTTGATGCATTTACTATTACTTTTTCCTGTCACCCCTCCACTTGTAAGTTGGCAGTCCCGCTGAATCGACTCCAACCTTCTTACGAGCACCTTTACCCATAAGATTCTTTTGTAAATCCATCTCGAGTTGCATCTTTCGTAGCTGTTCATCACGTTTCTGTCGTGCAGCCAATTCTAGAGACAGCGAGGATGGACGTTTTATCGGTTTGGGTTCCTTTGATGCCATGGAGGATGAGAGAGACTTGGCAACGGATTTGGCTGAAGAGAAAGAGACCGTAAGCTGGAATCCTGATAAACGAAACCTCGGCTCTTTTTCGCCTCACCTTCATCAGCATCTTCAACAAAGATGATGTGATTCTTGTTTGATCTAGTTGGTTTGGGTTCTTGTACTACTTCCTCCTCGTTATCGTCTTCGTCGTCAGTTTCCTCTTCATCCTGCTGCTGCCCTGGTATAGGAGGCAGCAGTGATGCAGCATTTGGTGTTGGAATATGGATGTCTGATTGTAGCTTGTCCATTTTCTAGTAAGCAAACGTTGCGTCAGTACAGGCGTAAGCGAGTGAAAACATGAGATCATACCCTTTGGTTGACCATGCGTTGAAAGTTGACATAGTTCTGATCCTGAGTTTTCAGCAGTTTGAGAAACTCGTGCGAAAACTTTTCATTCCGTTCTGCTATATGTACACCGCCCTAAGTAGTGAACGTGTGAGCTTTCAGATTCTCTCTCGAGAGTAGAGTCCTCTGTTGGATCACCATGTCTACCTTTGTTTTAGTGGACATCATCTTGTAGTAGAATTCATCGGGATTTCTAAAGTAAGCCTTGTCGCGTAGAGCCGCCAGTCTCTTTTGCTTTGAGTTGTAGTCCTTTGCACGGAGGACATAGTCCTTGTGCTTTTCCAATAGGCCGAGTTTGGATCTTGCTCCTGGTTGTGATCGTTCTCGATGAGTTCGTCGATTGACAGAATTCCTGTAAAGAGAGAAAGTCATGAATAGCTGCAAAGATACGTGAAATCATGAACTGGACGTACTGCAACTTACCTCAGAGAGGAAGACATTGCTCGGCCTTAACCGAAACGTTACTGTGATTTGCGAGAAAAAAAGCACGACAATCAGCAAACAGCAACTAGTTCTAATCAGTGGGAACGCGATTCACAACTGAAATCATCAGTTTGACGCGTCATATAGGCGACGAGGCTCCACTCCAACCACCTTGAAAGTGTTTGCCCAAATTGCAACTCGCCCAACGAAAGAACTTGATTTTGCTGTCTGTGAGCACCATGGGAAAGAAGCGGAAGAGAGAGCATTATAAACATAACGAGGAACCTCGTAGATGGACATTGCTTCCGACCACGGACGAGAACGGTGACCCAGAGGCGGAGGACGACCTCTCTGGACCACCTGTTGATGGGTTTGCGTATCTGCGAAGAGTCCAGTCAGTATACCAATTGCCTTGTTTATCTTTGAATTATCTTTATTCATTCGTATTCTTCGTCTCTCTTTAGAAAGGAAGCTGAAGGATATGCCGACATCATGGTTGCTATTAACCTCCCACAGTTACAACATCAAAGCTTGTCTGATTTCTCGTCTAATGCAATGACGCATCCTGGATCTGCACTCAAACCATCTGAAGAATGGATTGACACCTTTGTTTCAAAGTTTCGTGTCCTCAGAATGGTAAAAGGGAGCACAATCGCGTCTTCGCAGCACCTCACTATGCTGAAGCTCATACCCTAACAAATCACATAGGGACTAGCAGGGACTCTACCGTTGCAACAAACCATCGAACTTCCACACATCAATAATGAGAGAGCATGGCGTATCTATTGCTACGGGCCACAAGCAGTTCATCAACGTCGAGAAGAGTCTGATCAAGGCTCTGACAACGAGTCTACATCTTCAGAGGACAACGCTCATGAGAAGTCAAATGGTGCTGAAAAGCAAAATACAGGGACTCCAGCCAATGGAGTGAATGGCAACACGGCCAAACCTCTAGATGAGGCTGAGAAACTAGCTCGTGTTGAAGGCCATCCTCCACTCTTACCGATACTTGCGTCATTCAATCATGCATCCGCATGGGCGCTGCTGGAATATCATATCTCATGGCTAAGTGTAGACTGTGTAGATGGACGACATGTATGCTGAAACATAGTTTGTTTTGGGTTTCCAGACAGTTTGTCGACACTTTACTTGTATAGGGAGCATGGCTGTTCTCTCTTTTGGCACTCTTGGACGACGTAATGGTGGCAGATGAGGTGTCTTTGCTGCGAGACTTGTGTCGAAAATGTCGACAGATTCGAGATCACTTGGCTCGTCAATCCGCAGATGTTACAGATAGACGAGTTGCTGCTGTAAATATGGTGATTGCCATTGTTAGTGGCTTCTTTGGGCAAAAGGATTTAGGGTAAGCTTCAATTTACGAGCGGTGGTGGTTGCAAGCATAGAAGGCTAACATGTGGAGTTTGTAGAGATGCAGCTGGCTTGCTTTGAGTATGCAGTGTATATGGAGATGCTTTTGTAGAAATTCTGTACGCATCATAACAACATATAAAACACAAACATAGACAACCAACATCAGCACCTTCTTTGCATCATGAGTTGTTCTGTATTAAAGGTCTGCAAACATCGGAATACTACACAACAAACGAATCTCAAGCGAAATCCTTCCAATACTGTGCATCATAGTTCTGAATCATATTCGAATGATTCGCGAACTTTTCTTGATATTGAGTGAAACCTCCCTTCAGCACAAGCACTTCTGGCTTGTCTAGAACACTGGTGTCGTTATTCAGTGCAGTTTGAACCTTCATGGCACATTTCGGGCCTCGAACTATGGAAGCATGTTAGTCGATCTTCGTATCGAGCTTTTTCAACATACCTTGAGAGAGCGCACAATGAAAGATGAATTGCTTGGCACCCGTCTGTTTCAACATTTCGGCATACTTTTCAGCATCATCGTATATTTGTGCTGAATCAATGTGAATAGCTCCGGGTATAGATCCTTTCGCAATCTGAAGTTGATGTCCAACATTGATGTTCAAACAAAACGAGTAAGACCAGTAACGAAGGGTGCCAATACAGACAGATAAGCAGCAGAAAATTACCTCTTCCTTGTCTCGAACTGGATCGGAAACGGCATGTTGTCAAGATACAAATTGATCATGATCACCAAAATTGCGACATTGTTACTAACACAAGCTTACCATCAACAATTAGATAGTCTTTACCGGCCTTCTTGGACGAATCCCTTAGGAGATCTCCACATTCGTCAGTGGATATATATGTTGGGATCATTTGCTCTAATAGCTTGAAAAGATGTAAGGTGCTGTGCGGTTGGCATATCGAAGCTCTTGCTGGCACCAGCAAACCGAAGCTCTGATGACACGAGCAATACATACGTACTGATGTCGCGTGAATTGAGTCGAAGATACGTGAATTGGGGTGGTCTTACAACACATCAAAGCTCAAAAAACGAGTGTCATGAAACCGAACATATGCACATTACAAGGTCTACCGCAAAACTAAACCACCTTTTCGGACTCCATATGGACCTCAATCTTTCATTGCTCTGAACAGAGCTTTTCATCAGTTGATACTGTTGCCCTGTGATTGCGTCTCTGGCTTCTGCAATCTGCAATCGCTATTGAAGTTCTTATTCATACAGTTTTTGCTTATTTACCGGTGCGGTTGTTTGCACTTTGCACAGCTATAATGATCACACAATACCGATTACTCAGGTTAGGTCAATTTAGAGCACGTCTTGACCAAATTGCCCATGCATACATTCAGGGTAGCGGTGGAGTGGAGTATAGTCAAAAGACTCATCGTATGGAGCACTCGTCTATTGAGATGAAACTGGCATTGGTAGGAGAGGGCTTCGTTTAGGGTTACGAGATCAAGGTGGTGGAATATCCGAGCATGGCAAGTTGTTGGTTTGGTGTCCATCTTTCAGGAATGATTTGATTCAACGATTCCAATAACTCAAAATAGGATTCTTCAAAGTCTGAGAGTGTTCGTAAGCAGCCATTGTTTTCTGAATCACCAAAATTCGAATACAAAAACTACCACAACACCAAGTTGTTTATAGGTTTACTACTGGTTATAAGCTTCTCCCTCCTTTGACGGAATATCCAATACACGATACGATTGCATTTGAAGTTTATTCGCTCGACCACCACAACTCAAGCACACATCCTTTCCTTAACACTAGTCCTTAGCATCCTGAGACTGAAGCAGATGCTCTGTTGACCATCAAACCAATAAGTATGCTGCACGACACAAGAAGATCGATGGCCGGCCTATGATTTGGCTTGTCAATGTCTCAAATCTAGGGGAGGCGTACTTGCAGTCTGGCACTTTGGCTCAACACTGACCAACACTCAAACTTCAACACCAAACTACATATATAAAGGCTTGCGTCAACGCTCTTGACCGTGTTTCCGATACGAATTGTCGATGTTTGGAAATTGCATAGTACTGCAGTACTGCCCAAAGTTTCGAGTCGATAACCGTCCAATTTGAAGTAAAACGTCGGAATAATAGATCTATAGCTTTCTTCTAATGTAATTCTGTGGTGCTCTACGTGGTTCGCCTTCTTTCGTTACAGTGTGAAGAACCGCTGAGGCAAACAAAGAAAAGCAAAGTGCCAATTATTTCGATTGTAGTAAAACAACCAAAATGGCTTGGAGGGAGGGAGTAGACTCGAGAGACACGGCCCTGTGAGTGATTTTGAGCTGCTGGACGAATCGCAGGAAGCCAAGAAGACCTATGCCTGGCCAAGACTTTGTATTCCTGTGGTTTCCTTAACACTAATTGCCTAGTATCATGAGGCTGAATCGAAGCTCTAGGGACTGTCAGCTAAGTACGCATGCAGCCTTAAATTTCAGGAACGATGGCTGGACCAACATTTGAATTGTCAATGTCTCGAATTCGTAGTAGGCGTAGTTGCCATATGAAGGCAATTTGGCGCAGCAAATCCAGAGGAACGCTCACCTTCTCAAACTAACTCCAATACTTAATGCTAGGCAAATTCATTTGTTGGGGCTCCGGATATCGAGGTGGTTGAGGTACACGGACGTGATTCGTTCAATAAGAAGAGTATACCGAATATCTCTACTCTCCCAGCCACTCTACAAATCTAAAAGTCGTTTGATGTATTCTGCGCTGGCTCTATAAGGCTCACACTAACCGCGCCTGGGCGTGTTCCTTGATTCGTGTTTGGAATGTTTGAAGGTGCGTACTGCACAAAGTTTTGTGCTGATATCCGTACAATGTCGAAGCAACGAGTCGTAACAGTATTCACTTCCTAATTAGAAGCAGAGCAGTGCATCCTCATCAACCTGGCTTCACATAGCAGAATTGCCCTGCCACCAAACCTTTAGAACGACAAGACCATAGTCTAGATATGAACAGGCAGAGAGAGTGTGTGTGAGGGAGCAGACTCGTATGAAAAGGAATCGGTCCCCAAGAGTGATCTTGAGTTGCTAGAGCAATCGCCGGAAGCCCTAACCTTCAAGACTTTGTTCCGGGTGACCTAGCCGCCATCTGGGTTGATTCTTTATTGAATTACCAAACAAGATACATTGCCCTGGCAAGATCGAGTCGCTGATGACAACTTCTTTAAATCGATGCCGCTTGTTTTCGTATAACGGCCACTTTTTTTCGCACTCATCATTCAGAGAGTTGTCATCGGCGAGGAGGCCAAGTAATTTAGAGAAGGAAGGATGGTATTGCGCATCATTCTAATGTCTTCACTTCTTTCCAATTCCGTTGGTGGGAAATATTGGACGTAATTTGTCGTCGTTGGGTCGTTTTGGACTCGCAATGTAAATATATAAACTTCACTGCCTTCGTATTACATGTACACGAATACACTCGCATATTATTAAAGTAATTGTCATGGTGCCCTTGGTGACGTTTTTGTTGGGGCAAACAAATCGAAGAATGGGTTAGCGTAGCGTTTAGGAACCTATATCGGACAAGTCGCACTTCTAGCATCTTCGATAAAAATCACTGGACTATTGATGTCTTGACGTCTGCGTAGAATATTATATCCACTGTAGGCGTCGTGACACACACAAACTTTCGAGCAAAGCCTTTGACTGAGATTAGATTATTCATGTTGTTGTGAAAATGAGTTTAGGAAACAGTACAAGAAAGAAAGTACGACGAGCGCAGAAGAGACTTGAGCAGTCTAAATGCAGCTACAAACCCTACTCCTTTACTGATAAAACTAATCGGTATCATATGCCAAGTTGGTAGCCAACCATCTTTCCACTTGAGTTATATCCATCTTCTTTCTGGCAGCATAATCTGTCACTTGATCTTTAGTTATCTTGCCAACGGCAAAGTATTTCGATTCTGGGTTGGCAAACATTACTGCAGAGACAGAAGCAGCCGGCGTCATGGCCTAAGTTGAAAAGATTGTGAGTCGGATTCACGTCGATATTCCCACTGACCTTCATTTTTCGCTTACCAAAGATTCGGTCAATGTAATTCCAGTTTGCTTCTCGATATCCATCAGCTTCCACATTGTCTCCTTCTCTGTATGATCAGGCTGACTGGGATATCCTGGTGCTGGACGAATACCCTGATACTTGATTTGCAGCAAGTCTTCCGTACTCAAGGCTTCATCACTAGCATATCCCCAATACAATTTACGGACATCTTCGTGCAAAACTTCGGCCAGAGCTTCCGTCTGTGTTGAGTGACAAAAACGATTGAGCCACAAGCCATCAACTACAACGAAGCGGCAATTCTGGCGACAAAGTGAACACTCACCAGACGATCCGCCAAGGCCTTGAGCATGATAATACTATAATCATCATGAGACTTTTCATACTCTGCACACTTTTCATCGACACCAAACCCACAAGACACAGCAAATCCTCCAATATAATCATTAACACCTGAACTCTTTGGTGCCACGAAATCCGACAAGCAGTAATAAGGCTCATTAGATTCATGATCCTTTTCAGCTTGTTGTCGTAATCCATAAAACGTGGCGGTCACTTCACTACGGGTTTCATCAGCATAGACTTCAATATCATCCCCAACACTATTGGCTGGATAGAATCCAACAATGGCTGATGCTTTTAATATATTATGTGCAACAATGTCCTTCAACATAGATTGAGCATCCTCAAACAGCTTCTTGGCTTCCTCGCCAACAGCTTCATCGTTGAATATTTTAGGATACCCACGATTAGGATATTTGCCTCGTAATTGCCAGGTTTGGAAGAATGGATTCCAGTCTATATGCTCGATTACACGCTTGAAGTCCCAATCGGTGATAGTTCGAGTACCAACGAATGTCGGTGGTATGGGTGCTGTTGGGAGATTCTTCCAATTGATTTTGAGTCCACGTTCACGGACTTGAGCTAGCGATAGGTATTTACGATCTCTTAGCCCTTCATAATGCTCCGCTCTTAGATCTTCATATTCATCTGATATGTCCTCGGTGAAGTCGGCCTTATTGGTGGCATCTAACAGATTCGACACAACTACTACAGATCGTGAAGCATCTAATACGTGAATGGCAGGCTGGCTATATCTAGGAGATATCTTGACGGCAGTATGCATCTTTGATGTAGTTGCACCACCAATCAATAGTGGTATATTCATGCCTTTACGTTCCATTTCCTTGGCTACATATACCATCTCATCTAAGCTGGGGGTTATCAATCCAGACAATCCAATTACGTCGGCTTTATGCTGGATGGCTGCGTCCAAAATCTTGTCACAGGGCGTCATGACACCCAAGTCTATGACCTTGTAATTATTACAACCTAAAACGACACCGACAATGTTCTTGCCGATATCGTGGACATCGCCCTTTACTGTGGCTAATACGACTACTCCATTGTAGGCATCATCAGCTGATTCTTCCACCAGGCCACCAGCGGCTAATGCTGCTAATCTCTCTTCTTCCATGAATGGGATGAGCTGTGCTACAGCCGTCTTCATGACCCTATTGACAAAATCGGTTAAATAAAGCCTGCCCCGGGTTTGGGTCCAGCAGCTTCACTTACCGAGCACTTTTGATGACTTGGGGTAAAAACATTTTTCCAGATCCGAACAGTTCGCCTACTCTACTCATTCCACTCATGAGAGGTCCTTCAATAACGTTCAATGGCCGAGGATACTAAAGGATGGTTGACAGTGAGCTGGTATGACGAGTACGATTGTTGAGGGGCGAGCATTCAATACCTTGGTTTTGTTTTGTCGTGCTTCCTCAGTATCTTGAACGATATACTTGCCCAGACCCTTAAAATTGACCAGTTAGCATCCATCAATGAGTAGCAACTGACAATATTCCACATACCTTGACAAGAGCATACTGTAAACGTTTTTCTACATCTTCCTCCCTCCATTCCTCAGTTTCTTCAACCTTACCGCCTGCTTTTCCGTGACTTTCAGCATACTTCAGCAATTTTTCAGTGACTTCTGGATCACGATTCCATACTGCGTCTTCACAAAGTTGCAATAAATCTTTGGGAATATCATCATAAATGGTCAAGAAACCTGCATTGACAATGCCCATGTCCATTCCAGCTTTGATGGCATGGTACTATGGGACCAAAAAAATGAAATTGAGATCGCTGTGCTAGAAGTATCTCAGTCGAAACGCAGGCGTTCCAACTTACGAGAAAGACAGAGTGCATTGCTTCACGGATGATTTCCTTTCCTCGGAACGAAAAGGACAGATTGGAGACACCACCACTAATCCTTGCACCAGGCAAAGTTTGCTTGATGCGTCGGGTGGCTTCAATGAACTCGACAGCATAGTTGTTATGCTCCTCTATCACAAAACGTTTGAGAGTCAATACACATGAACTTTTTTTACACAAGTAGCACCTTATAAACCCACCTAGACCAGTCGCAATGGTCAAAATATTGGGATCAAAGATAATATCCCCAGGAGAAAACCCAACAATCTCGGTCAGTATCTTGTATGAACGTGTACAGATTTCGACTTTACGATCAGCATCTGCTGCTTGACCTTCTTCGTCAAACTAGTGTGTAAAACGGTAAAGTCTCAATGAATCGAGTACTATGTTGTGTTTTACAACTGGACTTTGTTAAACCTGCAATAACCACGACAACTTACAGCCATGCAGACTACAGCAGCTCCAAATCGACGAATAATCTTGGCCTTCTTAATGAAATCAGCTTCACCTTCCTTCAATGAGATGGAGTTTACAATACATTTTCCTTGAGCACATTTCAATCCAGCCAAAATGACTTCAAAGTTTGACGAGTCCACCATGATGGGAACTCGAGCAATATCAGGTTCAGATGCAATGTAATTAAGGAATTTGGTCATGGCAGACTTCCCGTCCAACAGACCTTCGTCCATGTTGATGTCGATAACTTGAGCACCGTTTTCTACTTGTGCTCTAGCAATGGCCAGAGCATCTTCAAATTGACCTTGTAGAATCTTTTTAGCAAAGATTCGAGATCCAGATACGTTACATCTAGATTTCAACAGATCGATTGAGCACAGATTCATCTGAAATCGACAGCTTTCTGATATTCAACGATGGGAGACAAGGGTGGACAGAGCGCAAGAAACACACACCTTTCTCCGATATTAACAAAGCCTAGTTGATCATCAATACGTAATCGTTCTAGACCTGATACTATCATCGTCAACGGCTCTGGCTTTATCGGGACTCGAGGTGCGTACTTGCTACACACGTCGGCGATAGCCTTGATATGGGGAGGAGTAGTTCCACAGCACCCACCGACTATATTCAGCAATCCCAATTTGGCAAACTCTTCTACTTGTTTGGCCATACCCTCTGGCGACTGATCGTATTCACCAAAAGTGTTTGGAAGACCAGCGTTTGGATAACAGATAGTGTAAACTGGATTCGATTTGCAAATATTTTGCAAGAAGGGAAGCATCTGATCAGCTCCCAATGCACAATTTAGACCTACTGCTACAGGATGTGCTTGAGCTACCGCAGACAAGAAGCCTTCGCCAGTTTGACCAGAGAGTGTTCGACCAGACTGATCTACTATAGTTCCTGATATCAGTACGGGAACGCGATCATATCCTCCTTCGTCAAATATGAGATCGATGGCATATAAAGCAGCTTTTGCATTAAGTGTATCAAAGATGGTTTCGACAAGGAGCATATCTGCTCCACCATCTAACAGGCCTCTCGTTTGTTCTGTATATGCTTCCACTAGTTCGTCGAAGGTTACATTACGGAAGGAAGGGTTTTCTACGGAGGGAGATATGGAGCAAGTCCTATTGGTTGGGCCGAGGGCTCCACAAACCCATCTGGGTTTGGAAGGATCTTTAGCAGTGTATTCATCACACGCCTGTCGGGCCAATTCAGCTGAGACCTTGTTGAGTTCATATACAATGTCCTCCATAAAGTAATCGGCTTGGGCGATACTTGTTCCTGAGAAGGTATTTGTTTCGATCATGTCGGAACCAGCCTCAAGGTACTGTCTATGAATATCTAGAATGGCTTTAGGCTGTGTGAGGGTGAGCAAGTCGTTGTTGCCCTTTAAGAAGTCCTTTTTATGAGTGACGAATCGATCTCCTCTAAAGTCTTCCTCTGAGAATCGATACCGCTGTATCATGGTTCCCATGGCACCATCTAGATAGACTATTCTCTTTGGTAGAGTGGCCTTGAGCCACGCATCGGCCTCCTTTCCACGAGAGACGGCCACTGGTGATGTTTCTAGATGTCCATTCATAATGTCGATGTTTATGGTACAAAACGCTGTTGTGAGAGCTCGGGAGTTATGGAGACCACTGCTAATTCAAATCGAATCTCTTTGTTTCAAGTTTGTTTTACTTGTAGCAGTCTATCTTTCAGCAACAAATAAGCGAAAAGTGTGAGTTGAGTTTGAGTGCAATATTTTTTTGGTGGCCATGATTTATTGAAACCAATTACACTCACTTGATACAATGGCCTTCGAAAACAGCGAAAACAGCTAGCTAATCTGCTTGTATGGTATCAAAGACCGTTTGGCAAAATTTTCAGCGATGAGGTCGATAAGTACTGACAAATTCAAGACATACAACCGACATACTGGCCCGCTGGATAGTGACGAAGTACAATTTCGATTCCTTAAACTGCTACGATACTACTCGCTAAGATCTTGGATCCAAATACACGACCAAAGACCGTTTGAAATTTACTGTATGAGTACGCGAGCCGAGCGATTTATGTAGAAAGGAAGTGAGTTCTTATGTAATTATCTTATATTGCGAGTTCGGTCCCTCCATAGCAACGACCACCAGCACATGCTCGCCAACCACCAACTAGACGACAAAGAATGATCGTTCAAGAATAATAACGTTTCACTGTCCTCCCAACTTCCAACTCTTTCGCCTCTTCTCCGTGACAGGTCTCATGAATTCGCAACAGCAGCGTGTTTTCGATGCTTCTTCAAAGGACAGGGAAGCCACTATCCTGTAGTAAACCTGACAGTTGTTTGTGGTGTTGTGCTAGTGTTAGGAATCGAATTACCGTGATGAAGCAAAAGTACACGGTAAGTGCTGCTATGAGATTTACCGAGATTTATTTACTATCGGAATGTGGCGTGTATTTATTATAAAGGTTTATAGAAGAAACTATCGCGCAGTGAATGCATCAATATTCAGAATCTGAATCAAGACACATGTCCAAGCGCGTTGTTTTGCGCATTTATACAGCGAGTATAGAGGTCGTTTTCAGATCTGTAGAGTAGCTGGGAGAGTAGAGATATTCGGTACTCTCATAAATGTATCACAGCCATGTGCTTCAACCACCTTGATATCCAGAGTCCCACCAAAGTATTTGGCTGGTATAGATAGAGTGCGGAGATTAGTTTGGGAGAGCGCGGGGTATTGAGAGTCAAGTGTATGTGGGTGTTGAGCCAAGCGCTAACATCGCTAACTACGCCTACCGTAGATACGAGACATTGGCAATCCAAATCCTAAGCCGGCCATTGGACCTCCCATCCCACGCTGCATACTTATTCGACTGATGGTTGATAATGCATCCGACTCCGTCTCATGATGCTTGGGAACTAGTGTTGAAGTATATGTGATTTTGAGTTTTTCTTTCTTTTGAGTTTGGATAGAGTTCACGCAACAGCAGCGTGTTTTCGATGTTCCTACAAAGGACAGGGAAGCCACTAACCTGTAGTAAACCTAACATTGTTTGTGGTGTTGTGCTAGTGTTAGGATTCGAATTGTGTGATTCAGAAAACTTGGCTGCTTACGAGTACTCCCAGACTTTGGAAAACTCTATTTTGCATGACTAGATATAGTCAGAATTAACCCACTCGTTTATTGTACAACCCAACCAACTACTTGCCATGCTGAGGTATTCCGCCACCTTGGTCTCGTACTCGAAACGAAATTTCTTCAGACCCTCGAGCCAAGGTCACCTCAATAGGAGGATGATCCATTCGATCCGTCTTTTGACTATACTCGACAGTGGCTCTGAATGCATTCTTGAGCAATTCAGTCAAGACGTACTCCAAATGCACCTGAAGGTTATTTATAAAAGTTGTGAGATTGCAACCAGCGGTTTGAAATAGCAAATGTACCGGTATATAAGCAAAGACAGTATCAATATGACCCGTCAATTCGACTTCAGGAGCCGATCCATAATTGATTTCACATAATTCTTGCACTTGTTCGGCAATTTTACGAACTAGAGCTGCTGGAGACAGACGAGTGTTGACTATACCAATCCAGCCTGGATGGTATTCACGTAGGGCCAAGTGATGTTCTGCCAGCACTGAGTTCAGAAAAAAATTGGAATGAAGTTTTCCTATTGAAGACGCCTCTGTTGGTCAAGCGTACCACGTATCCCAATACGAGCGTTAATCATCTTGTCCAGAAAATCGGTACGGTCTTCTTTAGTCATGTATCTTTCACATTCCATAAATCCTAAAAACGCACCTTCAGCTGAAAGCCCAAAAAATACCACGAATGGTTTGAATACCTTTAGCCAGCTTTGGTATGACATCATTATGCTCTTCTACAAGCGCACGCAATACTTGAGAAAAGTGCGCTTCAGAGTCGTCATCCTTGACTGGCGGTATGGCATGCAAAGTGTCAAAAGAGTCCTTATACAGCTTATGGATGTTTGATATGTGTGGGTTGGTTCTTAGTATAAATGGCAGCGACGACATCAAAATACACCACAACATCCCCATCAATACATACCTTATGAACTGAGCGTATCCACGGATTGACTCCGACAATGAATGGTAGGTTCTGCAGAGCTGTTGAGGAACCATTTAATTTCTTTTTTCGTCGCAATTACTGATGTCGCAAGTGGTTTACCTTTGCATCGTCGTGCCATTCGTTTTGGGAGTTCTTCATGCAAGTAGCTTCCCGATTCGATAATGTTTTGCTAAAGATCATGTCAGTTATTGAAATCAAAAGTGATTCAGACGTAGAGCAGACACTTACTTGTTCACCCAAGTGCAAGAGATACCTCAAAGTCTACAAGGCAAAAACACCAGCCGATGGTGTTGGCGATTGCACGCAAATATAAGAACAGATGAGCTGGAACGATTGAGATTACCACAGGAGTGATTTCCTTTCTGGCATAAGCATCCACTGTATTATCATAGAACTCCATATGAGGAGGCACACCAATGTTGCTGGAATTGTAGGTTGATGTCCATCGTTTGCAGCACAATCTTGATGAGGCAAGTGATAAACACCTGGTGGAACGCGACATATTTTCGTTCGAAATAGCCTGGTAACTACGAGAGCTTCCTATTCCTTTTGCCTTTTCAGCTAATTGAGTATGAAACAAGTTAGTTCAGTTGTTTGAAGAAACTTCATAGCAAGGTATTATTGCAAGTGTAAAGAACAAAATACTAGTTATTATACGCGTTCTGGCAAGTAATTCAATTACTCACTTGAAAGTAGCAGTCTTCAATCGCAAAACACCAAAAGTAATATTTTGGAAAACAACAGCGATGAGCGAAGACTTACTAGCTGACTTAGATGGTATGTGTCAGCTCTATTCACGCAACTAGTATATAAACCTAACTTGAAACTCATTCCTCTCAGATTTGGGAGAAGACGACGAGGAATCTCTGCCTCAAACATTGCAGCTCTCGACAAGGAAGAGAGCAGCAAATGAAATGGATCAGGACGATAATGAGGATAACGACGACAATGATGATAGCGACGACCACGATGAAGACATGGAAGGAGGTGCTGACACTGAAACTCCCGAAGTCATTCTTCCAGACATTAAAAACATTGCTGATGTTGCTACAAACTCTAGAATGAGATCCATATTACAAGTAAGCATTGATTTTTCCTGTAATTTGGTGTGACTGGCTTGCAATCCTCTCTCGTTTATTGTCACCGTGCCCTTGAACCATTTGCTGTCGGTGAAGGCCGAATCTCTGACGCTCCTTTCCTTTGTTATTAGAAAATCGATGTCGCAAAAGCAGTGCCAAGACGAGAAGCTATTGAAGGTGGTGCGGTGGAAGATGATCCAGAATATCCATTGATTGTCGCAGCAAACAACTTGACTGCTGATATTGACACTGAGATGATTCGAATCACCAAAGTAAGGCTCTGATCCCGAAACGAGTCGGATTTAAACGTGGATATCCGGTAGGCTCGTTGCCCTACTCATTGTCTTGTCTTCCCCGATATAGTTCATTCGTGACAAGTATGCTCCCAAATTCCCTGAACTGGAAACACTAATTGTCAACCCATTGGATTACGTACGAACTGTCAAGGCTATCGGGAATGAAATGGTACGTTTGCCAAAGTGTTGTTCGGGCACTCTACTTCCTTAAACTCAAAGAATCACTCATCAATAGGATCTGACTCAAGTCGATCTACAATCCTTCTTACCAACAGCTACAGTCATGGTTGTCACAGTCACAGCAACCACTTCAAACGGTAAACCACTCCCAGCTGCTCAATTGGACACGGTCGTGCAAGCTTGTGATATGGTCGCAGAGCTAGACGTCGGGAAGCGGAAGGTTAGTTCGCGATACGACATCTGTAGAGCTGCGTTTTCTCGTCGCTGTTCTTCAACTTATTCGTTTCAAACCCCTTTTGAAAGATCCTGGATTATGTTGAATCTCGTATGGGTTTCGTCGCACCCAACTTGTCTGCTCTAGTAGGAAGTGCGACAGCAGCCAAACTTATGGGAGCAGCTGGTGGTTTGACTGCCCTCTCCAAGATACCTGGTTGTAATATTAAAGTATTGGGTGCTACGAGAAAGGTCAATACTGGATTGTCGATATTGGGACAAGGACGACATGCTGGATTCTTGAGTCAAGCGGATTTCATATTGAGAATACCGTCAGAGTATAGGAATAAAGCGGTCCAATTCGCTGCCGACAAGTATGTTCTGAGTCATGTCAACGAAAAAAAGTCGCAGAGATTCGGTTTGAAAGGCAAATACTCCCACCACCCACTTACAATATCCTTTCCAACGTAGATGTGCATTGATTGCCCGAATAGATTGTGCCAGAGCATGCCCAGATGGATCACAAGGCAAAACCATGCGAGAAGAAGTAGATCGTAAAATAGAACGGCTACAAGAACCACCACCTGGTAAACACACTAAAGCTCTGCCCGTCCCTGCTGAAGGTCCTAAAAAGAGGCGAGGTGGTAGAAGAGCACGCAAGCAAAAAGAAGGAATGCAAATGACTGAACTTCGTAAACAACAAAATCGAATGTCTTTTGGAGTTGCTGAAGAGGAGATTGGTCAACAATTTGGTAGTACGAAAGGAATGGGGTTGGTTGGTGGTGCTCCTGGAAAGATTAGAGCTGCCGTTGCTGATAAGAAGGTTAAAGGTGAGAATCATGGAGTCCCTGGTTGAGACTTGCCACTTGGTTATTTTCTGTTTTGCTGTCTTCTACGCGTCCGTTCACTCTCGCGGACAACCTCAACAATTACATTTCTAACCCTTTCTCCCTCTCCTATTAGTGAGCTTTAACCAAAAAAAGTATGCTAAATTCAATCAGGGATCATCAGGAGCCACATCAGGTCTATCATCATCATTGGCCTTTACGCCTGTACAAGGTTTAGAATTGGAAAATCCTGAAGCTAGAAACGCAGCATCTATCAGTAGTAATAGTAACGCCATCAAGTCGAGCGAAATCACATCAGACTGGTTTGGTAGTGGATTCAATCGACCTAAAAAGTTGTAAATCATCAGCGCAGGTGACTGTGATGTTCGGCCCCATTCTTTGCATAAACAAATATTAAAAAACCATTATGTGACTTTGTATTCTTTTGTTCTAACATAGCTCCCTTGCACATCCAAATATCCTTAAGTACTATATACAAGTTTTCAATCCGTTTTCGATATCTAGATGGCAGACAGCTTGTTTGTCTTATGGGTCTCCGGCAATCGAAGCAAATAGTCTAGATGGACGAAAGGGACTTCATGAGCATGGTGTTTGGCTAAAAAAGAAACAGCAGTGACATCCAGCTGCACTGACCTCCGTTCTGTGTTATGTATCGCACCCAAGGGAATGCTTGATATCCACTTTTATCAACAACCTTCAAGTACCTGACTTGAATTCCAGATGTGGTAAAGTACGGGATTTCAAACTTGACTGAAATTGGAGGTCTCTTATCCGGATCCTCTATGTAGAAGAGAATCACATTGAGTGATTTGATTCTCTTGGCATTGCAAGGAATCGACTGGAGGAACAATAGAAAAGCAGACATGCGCGAAATCTTACCATTCTTGACACTCGGTAAACCAAAGTGTGCTCTCATCATGAACTCTTTGCCACCTTGGAATTGCTTAATCTTCCATATCACAGCATTCTTTTCTGGAGCATATTGTACAACACCAAATGTTGCCTAAAATTTGTAAGATCGTTGGTACCTCCCAACAAAAAAAAAGGAGACAAAGGTTGGTGTACAGGTCATATCCCACCTTGAATTTAGGCGAATCAGCATCTTCGGGCACTGGAATGATGATTTCTACATTGTTAGCAGTGGATCGTCTCTTAAACTGACCCTTGGCCTATATGAAGCGATTTGAAACATGAGATGAAACTCATACGAGACTCTAAATTCAACTGCATAACCCAAAAGACCTTTGCAGTACCTTGATCATATACTCAATTCGAGATCCCGAATGACTTTCAATAACAGCTTCACACCAAATCAATGGCTTGACTTGAGTGTTCAATCGATATGACATGAGTTCGAATTCACCATCAGGTGGTATAAACGAGATAGTGCGATCATTTTCAAATCTAGACAATCGTACACATTGATGGAATTTGACATCTTCCATTTCTATAGCTTTTCCTTTTGATGGTGCTTTGTTGTTGGCAAAAAATGAAAAAATAGGTGAGACACGACGAGCCAAAAAATATACAGAGAAGAACTTGATATTGTAATTTGTAAAACACTTTCGAATTTGACAGGCTCGACCACACATCGGATAATGCATGTACTTACTTCGTCCAGTATTCTCAAAGAGAACTTTATCATTCAATCCCAATCGAACATCAGGCATACCACTCAAGTACGCCTTCATTTTGATGGCACCCAAGATTTCACTTCGTAAGACATTTCCATTAGCATTGACCTACATCAGACAAGACGAGGTTGATGTCGAACTGGGTGTCAAATTCCAGCCAGAAAAAGAAGTTGTGGAAGAGTCTTTTTCGTTTCCAACCATATTCTCACAACTACAGCAGACCAACAACATAACGTACCAACAAATTAACACTTTCGACCACATCCAAAAAGACTTCATTCTTTCTATACTTGATTCCTTCAGATCTCCAAGACACAGCATTTGTGACTGCCATGGGTGGACGTGCTTGTGATTCCAATTTATGTGATTCTTGTGTAATGTACCTGATTTAAAGGAGGGAGTGGCATAAGAAAGCCAAAAAAGTGCTTTGCAAGTCGTTGAACAAAGCTACTTACTCTTGTAATATCTTGGTGTCTGTAGTTTGTGGATATCCGAAATCCATCATTTCATCCAGCAGTTCGTAAATGATGACAAAGTTATCTCTGATTGATTCCTCTTCTAGTTCTTTAAAGTATTCCGTAAAGACCTTTCGGGAGATGTGTGTAAGCAAAAGTTGTTTGACTGAATGAGAGGCTCATAAAGGATGGATCTGAAGCTTTAAGGATCTCTTCCTCTGCTTACTTCACATAGTTTGTGTAGGAATATTAATATGGTAGCAGCATTTGAGTTCTTTTTTGTGATGGCCACGACTACAAGGAGCGAAAAAAAAGCAGTTTTGTAAGACAAGAACTTATAACTCATTCACAAGTAATCATGGTTCATTCGAGAGGCGCAGGCATCGCAAGGACAACTCGGAAAACCCAATCTCGTCTCGGCATCCACGACTACAATCGACACAGGATACTTACGATATAGATTGTTATGACGGATATATAAGAAATTGACACCATCATCAGTGGATATAATTGGCGTTGGAGTCTGTTCGTCCTCTTCAGATTCCAGTAGAAGTGGCATAAACATGTCGATGGCTGCCATAGGGATGTCGCCACGATAATTACGGGATATGAGCACCTTGCCCTAAGAGAGTAACAAATATATGCGCAAAATCGTGAATTTTATTATCCAGTTTCATATCTCGGCCTTCTGCAAATGTTTCCAAACATCACACTTTACCTTGAGGTCGAGGATAAAGACAGCGCTAAGAAGATAGTATCGGGTTAGTATGGTTTCTATACTACGCAGAATGAATTCTTTACCTAGCCACCATGTTTCCTTCTATTCGCTTTGGAACTTTAGTTTCGCTATTGGAAAAAAGGACGATTTGAGGCAGAATGTAATCGTCGATCTACGCGTCAACGAGCACACCCCTGAATTCTACATACATGTGTTTAATATAATTATGTCCAAAATGCGTGAACTGTGATTTACAAATCTATATCGTCCACTGGAGCATTGATGATTCTATACTTTGTCCTGGACGTCTTGGTTACATCCTCATTGGAATGGCATTGGCCCACCTCCTTGTGCTGCTAATGCTTCCCGATTCTCATATTGGAAGAATCTAAAATGTGAGACATGTTGTCAATCTTTGGTAGACATTACGCAAGGTTGAACGACGTATGGTGTCAATTAAACGTTGCTGTCTGATCGACACCAAAATAAGGTTGGGATCGACAGACCACAAGTCGTTCAACTTCAAACACGCTTAACCCTACCCTTTAGCATCAGCCAACAAATTAAAAACAGTCCCAGCTACTCCACAATCAAGCAAATCATTCAACGTGATGATATCCACTTGAGCAGGATTGGCCATATCAAAGATCTCATTCGTCAAATCAGATATCTTGGGAGCTTCATGGCCAAAGGATTCCATCCGATCCACTACAGAAACCAGCAATCTCTGTATATCAACCTGGTTTAAATAACCCCTGTTTTCTACATCTAGTAGTCGGAAACAATACGTGACTGCCTCAGGCGACCCAATATTTTCAATGGCCAATACAAAGTCGAGCCATGATACAAAGTCCAATTCACCATGATATGTTTGACATTCTTCAAAGAGCCGATCAAGAAACGATGATGAGAAGGTACCCTGTGAGTATCTAGACACTTCTTTACGTGATAACATGCCATTATGATCTTGATCTAGATGCAAGTATTGCATATACACTCGATGTGTTGATACACCTGAGAACCAGTTTGTCTTTTCTAAATCCTTGGGTAGGTTTGGTTCTCGTAGTTCGAATAGCTCAGTCAATATCGGTGATAGTAATATAGATTGAATCGATATCTTGTTTCGTCGTTGTGGATCTAGGAAGAAGACAAATTTACGAGATGCCGTTGCTAGATAGTACTTTTTGAATGATTTCGTTATAGCGTGAAGATTTAGGGTCGGCATGAGATCCGAAATATATTTCTGGAGTTCGTCTTCGGTGAGATAACCATCAAAGTCCCCATCATACGCGCTCAAATCGATTCGAGCTTGAAGAAGTGACACTAATGTAATAATTTAAGGGATAAAGTATGTGACGCATTAAGTCGTGGAAAGGAATGAAAGAGGAGATATTAGCCTGGATTACCTTTTCTGAGCACATAGTTGAAGAACTGCTGGACTGATATGTTGCCCATCTCATCCGTAGTAAACCTTAGATAGACGGAAGCTTTGAAAAAGTTGTTGAATTTATCAGGTAGATTCAATCGAGTATTCTGAAAGTCAATGTAGCTGATACTCTAGAAAAGAGCAGAGACATGATGAGAACATGATGTTGGGCACTGTCTCAGCTCTTAAACAGCACAAAAACAAAGTCTATTCGTTTTGACTGGCAAAAGAACCCTGTCAGAAATGCTGAAGATCTACGATTGCTTTCGAAGCTGCGAACTCAACATACCCGTTCATCTTCAGATAAACCAGAGGCTCGATCATTCAGTGAATCCCACAACAAGTCGAAATCATCGTTTGTCAAGAGTGATTCTCGTTGTCTCTCGATAAAAGTGGTTCGAGTAGCAGCATTCAGACATTTCATTATAGCAGAGTTTTTTCCCTTTCTTTTCTAATGCGGCGAATTGAGAATATTCTTGTGAGAAAAGCGTTTAGTAGTCCGAAAGACCGATGATTGATTTACCCTTGACACCAACTTTGGAAGAGTTGAGCCCGTGCTGCTTGTGGTTGTGACAGCAGCAGTAATAGCAGCAGTAGTATGTGATGCCTGGGTAGTAGTATTGCTGCTGTTGAGAGCATTGACGAGGGTGTTTGTCCATGGGTGCCGTGAGGTTAATGTTGCTCTTGCTTCGTCGTCCAATCCTTCATCGTCGTCATCGTCTTCTAGATCATCATCCTCGTCATCATAGAAATCATCTTCGTCTTCATTATTGCTCATGGCTATTCTAAGTCAGATCAAATAAGGTGTCAATGTTTCGACATTCAAAAAGATTCGCACATTACGATCAATACTAACTAATGGGCAAGAAGGGCAAGAAGGACAAGGGCGATAAGGCAGATGCAGCTCCTCCTCCCGCTGTAAAGACTGGTGTAGAGAAGTTGTCAGAAGCGCAACGAGTAAGTTGAAGATATTGTGTACGTTAGTTGAAGAAGAAATCAGCAAAGATCACTCGCGGTTTATAAGAAAACACACTATGAAATAGCACAGATCTACGCGGAACTAACAAGATCTACTATGTTTTAGGACGCCATCATGGCCAGAATCACGAAAGGTACATAAACGACATGCATTCAACCCAAATTTACCTCACGATTTGGCCAACACGCAAGATCATATTACGAGATAGAGACCTATACTTATTGTTTGATCTCAAAATCTGACCAACGTATCCTTCTTATGTAGCATTCAAGACATTCGATTCCCAAAACAACAACACTTGCGACGAGAACGAAATACCGAGGTGGGGACCTTAGCCAAAGAAGCATATATGGATCGTAAAAATGCCGCTGAAATACCTGCATGATTGCAACCCATGACTCAACTGTATGCACAATTTTCGTCTCCCAATAGTATACTTCGAAGTCTAGGACTATGTCCTTCCCAAGCCGAGCTGGCTTTATTAATCAAGGATGTAAGTTTAGGACAACACCGTACTCTACCTCTCAATCAAAGGTGGCAGATCACGGGCTGTCGTTTGGAGAATGCGTCACAACACACACTCTCTCGCACGAACCTGACATGTCCACCTTGTATATTCCTTCCAACAATTGAACCTTCTGATTCGACTCTCCCCTCTACGTCATGCTCGTATACACCTCCAAACCACTGAACGTTTAATTTGACACGTCATTTTTTCTCAACCCAATAGATGGTATCAGATGAACCCACAGCTTTCGTGACTTTTGACAAGTTTTCAACTGTGGCTCTCAAAATCTTGGCTGAACCGCCACCGCGAGACGATGAAGAAACCTTGTACCGAGCCTTTGTCACCTTGGTATGCTTGACGACAAACAAAAAAATCATGCTAATGTTGAAATAACGTCGTTCTAACACCAGCAACTTAAACTGCTATTAGGATGAGCACAAACGGGGGTATCTAACACCCGACGAGTTACGTATTCACTTGTGTGGTAAAGGCGAGGTCTTCGTTGATGAGGAAATGGACGAGATGCTGGCCGTGAGTGATGGAGTGATGGAGTCTCTCAGTTGTTGCATTCTCAGCTCTAACACCTTTTTTTGGCTCTACAGAGTTGCGTGGACGCAGACGGCAAGATCTATTACGAAGACTTTGTGAGATTACTTGCGGCAGCATCATAAAATAGAAACCAAAGTTTAAATGGAAAGAATTATGTATTTGGGGTTTTCGTTCACATCAAACAAATATACGTTGCAGTTCTATCCAAGGCTCTTTCTTAATATACATAGTGTTCTTTGGTGTGTGTATGTGGATAAATGTAAATGGAGTTTGAAGGGAGGGTGATAATTCTTCTTCGTCATCGTGTTGCAGGAAGGTGTCCGGCAATTGTTCCTTTGAAAGAGAAAAGAAGCAACCCCCTTCAATCTGCCACCTTTACCTCATGTCCAGCATCAAAGTCTACTGTTGGGTCCTGAAAAGAGTGACACATGTTAGTGGCAGAGTCGGACTAAATAAAAACGACACGGAATTGCTTCATCAAGATGGCTGCAAACTCACTTTTTCGCACTCTCTCGTGCTGCCTTGATGAGTGGAACAAGATGCTTTAATGGGTCCGCTCGTTGCAAGAAGGGGTGCTACAGAGGAGAAGGCAAAGGGTAAGGAACACGACGAAATCCATGCAATGCGAAAAATAACACCGCGACCGCATTTGCATACCTTGAGTAACTCAGTAGCATTCAGTCTCTTTTCCGCGTCAACTTCTAAGGCAACCTTTAAGAAGTCCTTGAACACCGACGACAGAGCTTCAGGATTCTGTAACTGCGGCGTTCCATTCGTAGCAATCAAATATAGAGCACGGAGTGGATTTTCGTTCAAGTATGGTGGTTCGCCCTCCACCATTTCGATGGCCATGATCCCTAAAGACCATATATCTACTTTAGGGCCATATTCCTTCCTCGTCACGACTTCAGGAGCCATCCAATATGGTGTTCCCACCATTGTTGTTCGTTTCGATTGGGCATCATTAAGTTGTGCACAAAATCCAAAGTCGGCTAACACACGAGATGTGGTTAGACAAATTCTAATCACAACAACAAAAGACCTGTCGCTAAAATGTAACCCAAAGCGTACTCAATTTTATAGATCCATCTAATCCTAATAGTAGATTGTCACTCTTGATATCTCGATGAATGACACCTTTGGAATGTAAATGTTCCAATCCTTCCAGTGTCTATCAATGAATGGAGGGTTAAGATTTCATGCCCAACTTAAAAAACAACGCGCTCTTTTATTTACCTCTCTACAGACAGCAGCGATTTGACCTTCGGTCATGTAATTACTCGTGACGACATCAGTTAATGATCCTCCCTCCATGTATTCCATTACGACCTAAGACGTGATTTTGTTTGTGAGCATCATCAAAAAAAGGAAGTGTGACTCCATATTCACTCGTAGTACGTACCCATAAGTCACCCTTGTACAAGAACGAATCAATGTAATTTACAATATTCTTGTGGTTGGAGCCTCTCATCACCAATATTTCATTGATGATGAGATCTTTCTTAGGTTGTTGCTCCAAGTTCATTTGCTTGATGGCAACCGCTTGATCTGAATTGATTCCATATGCGGTATACACACCCCCTGAAGCACTAAAGAAGTCACATAAAAAGCAATCAGTATTTTGAGACGTCATAAACGTTGGAAATCGAACTTGACATCACAACGGCGACTGGTCCCTTTTTTGGTTAAAATCGAAAGTATCATCTCCTGTACTTACCCTTGACCAATTTTGACGAGACTTCTGTACAGCTTGGTTGGATCTGCTGGGTTACATATAGCCTTCAGCCTATCCACAATATCGTCCGATCCAGTTTGTTTAGGGTTTCTGGCTCGTGGGGTTGCAGAACCACCAAGAGCAGTACCAGTAGCTGCTGCTTCATCTTTACGGGGAGCTGTTGCACTAGGTGCTGGTTGTGCTTTACCATTAGAATTCGCCACGGGCTTAGGAGGTGGACCTGCATTACCATTAATATCTGGCTTCGGAGGTGGTGGTCCCTTCTTTGTGAGAGATGGTGACCCAATGGTATTCGACGACCCTTGTTGTTCGAAGGCTTGAGCACGTGCCGCTATACTTGGTGACGAGTCATCAGGTCTAGAGGGCGTGAGTGGTTTATCGGTTTTCGGTAAATCAGTGGAGTAAACACTCATAGTGTGAGCAGGTCTTGCTGGTACTGGAGGTTTCTTTTTCGACTCTGCTGCTGGCAATTGTGTAGCATTTGTTTGTTGTAGTGTAGACTGCCGTGGTGGTTTAGCTGGCAACCTTGGGCTGGTTTCAGGTGGACTGGTTGAACCAGGTGAACCTGATGGACTTTTATAGCCTGCTTTTGATAATGCTTGCTTGGCATATGGATTGTTCATCTTATTCCATACACCTTCGGATAAATCTACGCCACCATTCGTTTCTTGATAGAATCCAATAATATCAATGACTGCTTTAGGATGTGCTTGCTGTTCCTGTTTGGAGATACCAGCTTGCGTCAAGAGCGCTTGCCACTCTTTAGGCAGTCCCTAAAAACATTAAATTGAAAGGATGTTGTTGGTTTAACATGTTGAAACTCGCGAGACAAGGGACCTTGATTCATATAACACAAACTTACGGTAAACTCTCCCGTATCAACATTATATCCAACATGAGTTAAATGTATTGGATTGTATGGTGATGAGATCTCACGCCTTGAAGACGAGGATGACTTTTCTGCATTAGCATCAAAAATACCTGTAGTTGTGAGAGCAGTCAGTATTGAACACGAGAAGTGAGATACAAATGAGTCTGAGCCGACGGATCATAGGAATCAGGCACTTTACCTTGAACTGAACTCATCAAGTTTCCAAACACGCCCTTCATGCCACCCTTCTCTTCAGTTGCATCTCGTGATCGACTAGGCGATACGTACGTTCCAGCCAAAGTGGCAGCCTGACTTGTTGGAATCAAATTCATATCACCACCATAGCTGACAGCATCCGTTGACCCTGATCTGTTCATTGGAGTAGGGAATTTGGGCATTTGAGCTGCAGCATCTCTTGGTATCGATATATTGGGACCACTAGTTGTAATATTGTTGCTGCTACTATGATTATTATTTGGTGTTGGTCCGGTATTATTAGCAGGCCGTGGTGGAGCCCGTCGTGCTTTGGCTGGTGGTGAGGCAGGGTCTATATTACTTTGTTGAGCGGTCACGGCTTGTCCAGTTCCAGGTTCACGCATGTTGCCTAAAGATTGACTTTTCCCGACGACAGTACCTGGTCTAGGTGGTATTATGGGAGTGTTTGAGGTATTTATAGAAGTGTTGCTATTTCCAAGGCGAGGATCAGACGGTATTGTTGGAGAAGTATTATTTACAGTCGTTGTTGGTCGAGGAGGCACGGCGGTACGAGCAGAGCTCATGAAGCCCTCGACAAAGTGTTCGAGTTGATCAAATCAACGCAAGTGTCTATAAATCTAGTTTGAATTTCTCCAAAAAGAGATTCTAAGTGGTGTGAGGTTTCAGATGTTAGAGGTTGTGATGTTTCGTATCAAGAGACTGGGTATAATAGGATATGGAGGCCATATCCGTCTCCAGGACACGAGAGTCCTCCATTCCGCTTACTTCTATGAGTCTCCTTCAGCTCGAACGAGCACCACGTTAACGACGGTATCGAAACTGTTTTATCGCTGTTTTAAAGGAGCGGTAAGCAAAAAGAAATGTGAATATATTTTCGGGATGATATCAAAATACTTCAGACTTGCCTGATTTTGACTCTTCTGTTTACTCTGTACAAAAACGAGACACACCTTTAGTTGCTTGTTCGAAGCTCAATGAACAACACAAAGTGGAGGAAACTGCTAGCACAGCACGTATGAAGCAAGGTAAGCGTGATTCTGATACGATGAATGCGAGCGCCCTAGTTGTCTATTCACGTCTAACTTCTCAATAATCTTTGAGTTTCGGCCGGGGTCACATAATCTTATTGGCCCACCCGTTTCTCAGCCATTCGCGATGACCACAATGGAGTATTATCGAGCATAAAATGTATTTAAAATTTTCTTAAAAAACGTTTGAACATGTGTCTGTTGTCGGTTTCTTGGTTTGATTCCGTCGCGAGCCGCAACAACAGGCACACTTGTCACAAAGCACAACAATTAAGTGACTTTCCAGAAACTTTCTATATTTGAAGGGATTCAAGTAACATTATAGAGCCATGCTGCGAGTTCAGTCCATTAAAACAACACGAAAAGGTCCAAATGCAATGTCCACCAACTATAGGAGCGAATGAGATGACACAAGAATACGAGAGGAGCTGAATGTGGGTTTACCTATAATGTCGGATTGGTCAATCCATCTTCTCCAAACGCTACATTCAACTGATTCATGTGGCAGGTCTCAATGAGTCGATAAAATGCCGAGACAGCACGAGGCACCTCAAACCGTTGAAGCGGCTCATCGACGCAAAGAGCTGCCATCAGCGACTCGATGTTGCAAGGGTCAAAGATCTAGTTTGGTTAGAAAATAACCAGTTGGCTGCCAGACCACAGGGAAAAATTGTTGACGAACAGAGATTATATAAAGAGTGGCTTCCTGGATTTGTCCAGCAGCTCAAGATCAGTCTCTGTGGGCCCGCCTCCATCAGTAAGAGCTTGCTCCCTCCCCTCTGACACTGTTTGTCCGCGGCCACTATGTAAACGAAGGGAGAGGTTAAAGATAAAGATGCTCAAGATGAAGATGCCGACTTCCGCACCTGTATCCTCCATCCAACGAAAGCAGTCAAACTATTTGGCCTCCTCTCTGTGACAGACCCATTGAAATATCGACGACATGCTAGGATGGCGCAATAGCATCTTAACCGTATACTAAAAACAAGTTCGCCGACTCACTAAGCTGCCGCAGTGACTCAATGGTCCTAGAGCAATTGATTTTGTTTGACAATTCGACAAAGAATCGCCAGATGCGCTGCTGAGCGACCACAGGTATTCAAAGTCCTGGCAATTTATGAGTCTTCTGGGCTCCTGAGTCTCGTCTAGCTGCTCAAGTATCACCCGCGGGGCCGCGGGGCTCTTTCCATCAAGTCTATTCCTCTCTCGGTGCTTGTCTGGATATTGCCATTGTTGTCAAAACACAGAAAGAATCTCACAACCGAGATGTTAAGACGTGATCACGGTTTAGAATGATTTGACAGGTGCAAAATATTTTCAAATTTTCATATGATGCACCTCTGACTGGTTGTAGATAACCACATAGCATTTATAGAGCTGGTCAGGGCTGTGGCGCAATGGCTCATGAATGCAATGAATGAGGAGCTACAGCCTGGACTCCTCTGCACTTCCAAATCAAACAAATTCGTCCGTCTCTCTCAACTGTTTCGAAATGACACTCGAAGCAAGGAACGCGCAGCACAAACTCAAGGCAAACGTTTCTGTGTATGAGGCTCTCTATGAATTAGTGTATAACCAAACTATTTGCAATTAAAACAAGGCGAGAATTCCACCGGGTTGGACTTGAGCATCCGCCACAGCTCCCATTTGAACCAAGCGCCGCCTGAGTTCATTACTCAAGTCAGCAATCTTTAAATCAAACCCACTAGGTCCGTCGAGTTTAGCGAAGTTGAAATACAGGAGCCCAGCTGTAATAATGTCACAGAGTGGAGCCTGTGCCTCGTCAAGTCGTATGGGAACGATTTCCTTCTCATAATTGTTGGCAACCATGATTTCTTTTCTGCAATTTTTGCTACCCTGTGGAGTAAGGTGGCGTTAAATCATCGTGGGGGCAAGTCTCCATTGTGGGATTTTGGTGTCTGCGCGCTTCGAAGAGAAGGACCTGATAAACTGCCTTACCTCGTATTCCAATGAGATGCACGGCACAAACAAACGACTCAAGGCAACGGATCATCCATTCGTAGATGTTTCCACTTATATGCGTCTTGTCTATGCGGACGGTGAAGCCTTTTTCAATCAGTGCATCGTGTATACTGTACACCAGCTGTTGGTGCTTCCATTTAAAATACAAGCGATGTGACTAAGATGAGGCTTAAGTTTTGCAAGTTACGCGGTTTACGAGTTACGAGGCTCCTCACGCACTGATAACTAAGAAACACATCCCATTTCTGCTTTGTTGCGCTTGCGCCTGGTGAAGGGAGCGGTTTCTCAACTTGGGGAATACTAAATGTCAATTTGCGAAGTATTTTGACTAGCTGAGGAGCAATACTGGGATTTTGACGTTAGATTCAATCGTGATGCTGACCTTTTGTGAAGATTGACCCACAGCTTACAGTTCAATTGCAGACGGGTCGGTCAATTTGATTGAGTAAACCTTGTAGATCAGTTGCATTGCGCTCCTGATCGTGAGCGAGCCTGGAGGTTCTCCGTACGGAGCTACGTCTGGAAATCGCTCCGTGGTTCCATGACGAAAAGGTTCCAAAAGGGTCCTTTTTGTCCCAGAAACATCACAACTAACTTGTCTGCCCAGAAAAATTGGCACTACTAGCTGATTCCGACTCTTTCGTTGGATTGCTGTCCACCACTAAATTGAAGCCAATGCCAAAAATGGATTTAAAGGACCACGGAAGACTTCGTCAACCAAACTGTTACTTGCAAACCTCGGAAAACATAGCATCCTGGTGTGTGTCGGCAGTTTCAACGTATTTAACTGCCTCCTCTGAGCACACCAAGACAACTACTTTGGTGCGCTCCAGCGTTCGGTCGTAAACGTTGTCCATGTCGTTCCCTGCTTCGAGACAATTCAGATAAAGAAAAGAATGACAATTTCGACCAGATATGAATTGCTGGTTGAGAATTCTTGCAAGTGCCAGTCCTGTGTGGGAGTCTGTAACTCCGTTATAGCTGGACAAAAGCCGATAGAATCATGTTAGTGATGCAGGCCATGCAAATTGAAGTTTTGAAGTTTTTGATGTTGATTTAGCAGTAACCGCTGAGTTTGTAAACGAGAAAGCAAGGAGAATTTGTCTTGCCTGATGTAGAAGTCGTGCTCATGGAAGCCTTGGGCACACGTCCATGCCCTTTCCGGCATCGCATCGCTGCTCGACATCGTTTGAGACATTTGGGTCAGGAGTTTGATATTTGCGTAGTGTAGAGTACGACAAGTTGTCTCTGCTCAGGCTAAAATAAAGAAAATTTGGTGATAATGCGCTGTTCAACGTATTCCTCCTTCGCAAAAACGAGATGGGAGCGGCTTGGTCGCTCGTCGGAATCACTGAATCCGATGCAAACCAATTTGGGATAGCAATTTCAACCCAAATCAGCATTTAAGTGCCACAAAATCGTTAATAGGTGTAGCAGGCACAATTTGGAGTATTTCTCTCTCCGTGTCAAACACTTCCGTGCTTCAGTTGTTCGTTAGCGTCACTCGGCTATATATAATTCCACAACAAGCAACTAGAATGGCAATGCGTATTTTCAACACTATATTTACAACTTTACAGTGATTACAGATGATTCAACAAAACAAGTAAGTTTTCTAACGTCAAAACGTTATGAGGACTGAAGGAGGAACTGTGTTAAGCAGGTTATCTACGCAGGTGGCGGCACAATCACGATCGACATATTGAGGTCCATCATTATCCTTCGTAATTCCAACATGAACCGATTGGTTCTCGCAACCTTGTTGCTGAAGTTGCTCCAATTCGTCTTGTGCGTTATAGAGACCGACACCGTCATCCTACACAGGTGATATTGATGTTATTAGAGAGCGATACTCAAGTGAGTGGCTGAAGGAGATCGTTGGTTTCGTGAGCACATACTGATTGCTATCGTTCAGTTCCTTGATGTGTGTGGTGACAGAGCTATTGAAGTCCCGACTCGAATGTTGGGCAAAGTCCCCAAGACGTTCTTTTAATTTTTGAAGCTGGGCCTCTGTGGTGTCACCGCTGAGCTTCAATAGAACGGTCTCAACCTGTGGACCGGATCGGCGGATGTTGTCTATTTGAGAGCTTCGGTGTTAGTGAAATCAAAACGACAGACACAACAAAGACACTCACTGATGAATTTAGTTAGCAGGACTGGATTAGGAGCGATGACTTCTTTCCCATCAGGTGTACGAAATACGGTAACGCTCTAAAAGAATTCAAGATGTATTAGTACTGTTTGCGAAAACAAAGCAAGGGTTCATGGATCCGTTCAAATTCTCGGATAACTCAAGACTCACCAAAGCAAATTCTTTAACAATATATGTATTGCCATCAATCTCAACACGATCGCCGACATCTAGTTTGGGTGACAATAAGTAGGATTAACTCTGGAGACCATCAGTTTTTTTTTGCCAGCAAAGCTCGTACCATAAGGATGTGTCAAAAATAGGAATATAACAGATTCAAGCAGATTCTTGATCGTGGCTCCAATAGCAAAAAGGATTCCAAGCCAAAGTGATATCAGCCCAGCAAGGAAATTTGTGATATTCACACCCCAGATTCCCAAGCATATGAAGATAATCAGGGCAAACATAAACACTTTCAAAAGCCCATCAAGTTTATGCATTGCCTGATTGCCGTCTCGTATTGACTTGTCAAGGCTCAGACGTTCTCGATAAATCTCAATGATGGTGGTCCTCATTCTATCATAACAGCGGTTAAAGGAGAAAACAAATATACGTGGGGTGGAAAACTGATTTACTCTTGAGGAGAGATGTCGCCGTTCTCATCTTTATCGAGAAGTTTGAACGCGGCCATAGTCTCGCTAGTGAAAATCTGAGGTTAGAATCTGTTGGCTGAGAAGGATTTCAACATAAAGAGAAACTTACGCTTGAGTGGGAAAGTATGGTCTGAAATCTGCTGGGACTAGTATTCCTGACGAGCCACGTTTCAATGACAAGAACAACCGTTTCGAGAGCATCTTGGCATCATGAAGACTCCTACCAAACATGAGCTTGTCATTGAACAAAATAATTGTTGAAATAAACAAATCATTTCGTACCTCAACAGCACTCCAGCAGTCTCGCCAGTCTCAACGCCAACAACCACACCAGCAACATTCTTGATATTCAATCCCAATCGCACAGCATGCTTCTCAATCCCCTTCTGAAATTTCTCGACTCCTGCGCTGTACGATGATCGATTTCTCAAACCTAACCAATGGTTTTGAGGAGTTGACGATGTTTTTCTTGCTTGCTTCTCAAGTTCTGTTACAGCCGTCTCAAGTTCATCGGAATGTGACGAGTCTGTTGAGATATCCGAGTCTGTGGGTACGTTCAATCCAACGGAATTGTTTGGTCGATAGCGTGCTCGATTCTACGAGTATGTGTTAGCAAATTGGGTTATATGAGACAAGAGTGAGACCATACCAAACAACCCAAGACATGGAAAGCGTATTTTTCTGCTTCTATTCTTTCAGAGTATGCTCCTAGTTGATGAAAGAGGTGACCATGAGGCAAACTGGAATAACGAATTTCGAAGAGCAGGAGGACGCGTACTTTGTGAAAACTGGACAGCAAAGAGCTGAAGCAGAAACCTTTCGGCGACCTGATCAGAAAAACCCTTTAAAGAAGCGTCAATGGTCAACAAAAAGTAAACCCTTCTTACCCAGACAAAACACGACCAAAGCAGTGAACTCCATAGCAAAGTGACGACTTGTTGCCAGTTGTAGTAATTTGTTGTATCGACATTAGAGGTGAAGATTGTTGTGAAGCTTGTCAATCCAACGGCACTCAACTACTGAAAAAGTTTATTGATGGTTCAATAGAGTGGCTTTCCTTGTTCGCTTACGAGCAGAAATTCAATAGCTCTTCTCATATGGCGAAGATAGTCCATTACGTGCTCAACAAAGGCATTAGTTTCACCATCATCAGAGGTTCCCAGGAAAATATCAGAAAGGCGAATCAAGACCTCCGGTAGTATTGTCAGGACGTATCGTTCTCCCCAGAAAACTAGGATTCGAAAAGCGCGTCAGTCATATCGCGACATACACAGAAAGATGACGAGACAGATATGTTTCGCATACAGCAAAGAGCACTGAAAGGACAGGGAAATGACATACATGTCCATAGAATAAGAAAGTATACAGAAAAGACAAAAGTCGGGTAGCCTGCGATGCCCATGCAAGTTGGACGCTGGACAGTCCAGTATACACCACGATCCTGTACGCATAGCAGAAGCGAAATGATCCCAGGAATAGTGATTGCGACGCCACCAAGCAGAATCATCAAGATCGTTTGAGGAAACAGTGGCAGCGACATTATCCAGCGTCGTGACAAATACCCTCCTGTTACATAAATGCAAAAGCGTTGGTATAAGCAAGATGGTTATAAGATGTCTCAATAACTACGACACAATCCCTCAAATATGAGCTAGGCAAGCTTACGTTTTGACTTTGCAATTTTTGACGACTGTGTCGGAGCAACGTCGATTTCGTCATGTTCCCAGTCAAATGTTTTCGCATCATCCACTTTCGGGCTTCCTAAATCCTGATCATCTCCGTGTTGCAGCTCCTGAATAGGACTTTCTACATGAGCAGGAACCAATCCAGCGCTTTTCTTGCGGGATGAAACAGATCGATTCCTCGATGTAGAAGTAATTGCTGCGTTGTTTACTTGGCTCATCAAGAGCAGATCGTAACTGGCCCTACTGATCTGTCCATTGTGCAGTAGCTGTTGTAATATCTCAGAAGCATTGTTGATGATCATATTGTTTGCTGATGAAGATGGCTGCATCGAGTCTACAACCACTTCCGTAGGTTGATCGCTGTTTGATGAGATCTCCTCTTGCCCAGCTTCCATGACTATATATATCCCATGTAGGTTTTTGGTTTGCGACCAGCCCAGCTTGCTTTCCTTTTCTTTGTCCGAGTTTTCCGACGGATCGTGCCGTTTGGAAACTATAAGAATAAGCGATGAATATCAGTTGTCTATATTATTTTTGCGTCCTTGGTGATTGTATAGCACCTTGCAGAGTAGGGTGTCATTTCAGCTAGTGCGTGAGTTGAATATTTGGAGGTGACTTGCTTTCGGCTTTTACAAGCGGACAAGCTGCTAAACCTTGTATCGCGTCTTCATTTGCTTATCGTCGAACCAATAGACTTTGTTTGAGTGAAAGAGTTGTCGAAGTGTAGGAATCCTCATACTTGCGAGACTCAAAGTCCGAAATGGTCAACGAGACTCTGAGGAGTTACCATTCAAGTCTACTTCAATTTGTGCTCGGAAGACTAAATTACGATTCTCGAGATGCTGCCTGGTCTCTGTGGGTGGTTCGATGCTGTGTTTTGGTTTCAAATCTGTCAAACGTGAATGCCGCAAACCAAGATTTTACCTCGCATTTAGCCTCTGGCAGTGAATACAGAGTGGATTTAGAGGTGGATTATGCTCATTCAGTGAAACGCTCCTCAATGTTTGTACAAACGTTATGCAAATGAACTAATCCGTATGTTGTTCGGTGCGTAAAGAAGTGGAGCTCTGCAACTATGACCAACCAGGACAGAGCACTATTGATGCAAACTTTTCATTTTTACAACATTTGTACACATTCGCTTTACTAATTTTATACATTGAATTGGAGGCCAACCTTCATTCTTCACACTCTTCTACCTTCTCTAAAAGACTCTTCAAATTACATAATCATTCTTTTCCTCACCCACAGTAGGTCTGCATCATTCATTCCAACTGCCTTCAGCCAGAAGAACGACGATAGACCCCAAGTGGATCCCCGTGTTGTTGCTGAGTACCAACAATCGAGTCAAAGGAAGGTGTTGTATCCATCTTCACGGTCAATGCAGAAGAGGACATTTCAATCTTGAGATCTTTCAAGATCTTACGTAATTCAATCATGAAGCGATTGGTGCGAACCACCTTGTTGCCAAAGTTGCTCCAGTTTGCCTTATGTGTGATTCCAATTGATATAACAAGTCTAAAGGATAGAGACAAGAGTTGACGCCAAAAAATGCGGTACTTACCATAATGGCACCCATGGTCTGCTGCCTCCTTCAAACTTGATATCTCATCAACAGAAACATTTGAACACAAAGACTTACTCATTGCCAGCATTGATTTGACTGATCGTGGGAATAATATTGCCACTGAAGTCACGACTTGAATTCTGAGCGAAGTCGTTCAAACGATCCTTCAATTCTTGAAGCTGACTTTCAGTGGTATCACCATCAAGGTGTAAAGTCACGGACTCAGACTGTGCACCAGATCGACGAATGTTGTCTAGTTTTGGAATAGAGACGTTGTGAGAGTGGTCATCCGGCAACTTGGTCAACAAGCAACTTGGTCGAACCCCCCCCCCTCTCTGAACCGGCTGCAAAATGTACGAACAAGCACTGAATACTCACATATGAATTTTCCAAGCAAGAGCGGATTTGGAGCAATGACTTCTTTTCCATCAGGTGTTCGAAAGATCGTCACACTCTGCAAAACCAGTACAAATTGGATGAGCGATTCGATTCAGCGACAAAACGACCTCATTTCTGTAGCATGGCTTCAAACACACCGACTCAGACCGACTTCACACTTACCAATGCAAACTCCTTTACAATGAACGCATTGCCATCAATCTCAACACGATCACCAACGTCTATCATCACCAATGAATTAGTGCAACGACAATGCCTTCAACAACAATTAGAAGAGTAGATGTCTTCAACAACTATCTCATACCATAAGGATGCGTCAAAAACAAGAACACGACAGACTCGAGCAAATTCTTGATTGTAGTTCCAATCGCAAACAGAATTCCAACCCAAAGAGATATCAATCCAGCGAGGAAATTGGTGACATTGACACCCCATATGCCCAAGCAGATAAAGAGGATCAGAGCAAACATAAAGACTTTTAGAAGTCCATCCAGTTTGTGCATTGCTTGATTTCCATCTCGGATTGACCTGTCGAGACTGAGACGCTCTCGATAGATTTCAACAACGGTAGCCTTCATTCTGTTTCGAGAACATAAAAGTAAGCAGATATCTATATACGATTATAGATGATGTGTCCCTTTGGATTGACAACGTCCAAACGCTTACTCTTGAGGTGATATATCACCATTGTCGTCCTTGTCAAACAGTTTGAAAGCTGCCAGAGCATCTCTAAGTAACACATGGACACATGTGTTATCCGAAAAAAAACTGGAAAGAATCTATGCAACATACTCTTGAGTTAGGAAGAATGGTCTGAAATCCTCTGGCACCAAAACGCCAGATGAACCACGTTGTAGCGACAAGAAGATTCGTTTGGAGAGCATCTTGGCGTCATGCAAACTCCTAAATTTGTGAATTGTTGGGCATGAGTCATCGAGGACGAAAAAAAACCAGAGCAGTCATTTAGAACGTACCTCAACAGTACTCCAGCAGTCTCACCACTCTCAACCCCAACAACTACACCAGCAACATTCTTCAAATTCAATCCTAATCGTGCAGCGTGCTTTCCAACTCCTTGTTGAAATCTTGAGAAGCCTGATATGGTACAAAAGTTCAATGACATCCAAAACTGAGGGGAGAAAACAGCTGGATGAGACGGTCACATTGCTCAACACAAACCTCCAGCACCAAGCCATGGATCTGGCCTACGAGCACGAGACAAGGTCTTTCTAGCTTGACTCTCTAAGTCCTTGACTGCCAATTCAAGTTCTGAAGAATGATTTGAATCCGAGAGATCAGATTTCATGGGCATGTTTATTCCAATAGCACTATTTGGGCGATAGCGGGCTCGATTCTGTTTAGAAAGGCAACAAAAGGATGGTAAGAGAAACGGGAAATCATTTTAAGAAGGGAAGCCATCGTTTGCTGGTGTAATGGATGCTTACCAAACAACCTAAGACATGGAATGCAAACTTTTCTGCTTCCAGTCGTTCCGAGAATGCTCCTAAAGTGAGGATAAAAAAGCGTCACGCATACATAATGGATGAGCTGCACCCACGTTCCTTACTTTTCGAGAACTGGACAGCAAAGACTTGAAGCAGGAACTTTTCAGACACCTAGAAAAACCATTCAAAAGTTCATGAAAAGCATGTTTAAACATACTAGACACTGAATGAACAAACATACCCAGACGAAACAAGACCAAACCAACGAGCTCCAAATCAAAGTAATGACTTGTTGCCAGTTGTAATAGATCGTGTTATCAGTATGTTCCGTGAATATAGTTGTGAAGGTTGTCAATCCGATCACACTCAACTACAAGAGGCGTAGATGAGCTGTCAATTTCCACCCTAACATGATCCCAGCAGAAAAAGGGTTTTTTTCTGCGCTTACCAAGAGATACGCAATAGCTCTACGCATATGTCTCAAGTAATCCATTAAGTGTTCGACAAACGCGTTGGTTTCACCTTCATCAGAGGTTCCCAAGCAGATATCAGAAAGTCTGATCAAGACTTCTGGCAGGATTCTGAGAACGTAGCGAACGCCCCAGTAGACTACACAAAGAGAGGAAAATGATTTTTAGAAGATCAGTGTTGAATCTGAAAACATCCCAAAGAACACAAGACTTACACGCCCACAGAATAGTGAAATAGGTAGCAAACACAAAGAACGGATAGCCACCGATACCCATGCAATTTGGAGCTGAGACAATGAAAGAGTAAACAAAATAGGATTAATCCTTTCACGGAAGCATGAAATTGTAGGATTTCTTTTTTTTTTGTCCGAAATGACATACTTTGATGTGTCCAGTATTCACCACGATCTTTGACACAGAATATGATTGACAAGGAGCCAGGAATCATAATCAAGATACCGCCAAACAGAACAGTGAGTATAGTCTGTGGAAAGAGAGGCCATGATTTGATCCATTTCCAGAGAGGGGAGCTTCCTTTTCGTGAAAAACGTACGTGTAATCAGCATCATGACATAGAGAAAATACGTCAGCAGAAATAAATACTGAAATCTGACTTTCTTTGTCATGACACCTCAACATCACGTACGTTTCGACTTAGCAATCTTGGAAGGTGTAGGAGCCAGATCCAAATCATCATGAAACCAATCAAAAGTCTCTTGAACCTCAATTTTTGGAGTTGCATCCTCTCCTTCTCCTCCCAGTTCTTGTCTACAACGATCATCATGACTTAATCTAATGACAGTTCGGACTGATGCGATGCTTGCACGAGCAGATGCACTGGCTTTTGATATACTAGCTGGTGCATCAGCTGATTTGGGAATAGTAACTTGATTTGCCATAAGTAATAGTTCATAGGATTTTCGAGAGATCTGTCCATTTTCTAGCAGCTGTTGCAAGATTTCAGCTGAAGAATCCAGCTTTGGTGAGGATGGCGAGAGAGGTGAAATAGCGTTATGTATCATCGTGGAACCCCTTGCAATAGGTTGATCTGGACTCGTTGCATCCATCCTCGGCCTTCCATTCAACATTAAAGTTCCTCTGCCTTTAGCGTTTGGATTACCCCTACTACCCCTCTGTAAATTCCATAAAGGTTGAATAAGAAAAAAAGGAGTTAACTGTTTACATTCGATGCTATTTACAACAATCTGCTTCAGTGTATATTCAGTTATAGGTGCAGTTTACAATCATTTCTATTGTTTTAGTTTGAAGGAAATTCTAATTAAAAGAGTTTGGATCTGGACACAAAAGTCACCTACACCAGCTCAAACGCGACTCCTGGACGCGAACATCTACAACAAACGTATACAATTATACAATTTCTGATATAGCAAAAGGGTGCATGTTTTCTTTTATAAAATTCTATCTTTACAGGTGGGGAAACGAGGGGTGAGATTTTTTATCTTATCGGTTTCTTTCTGGGGTTCTTCCTTCGTGTTTAATAAAAGAGACATCCAACAACATCAAGGTTAAGGGATTGCTTTTCCCCATCTTTCACAACAACAATACAACTACTATATGCCAATACAAGGTGGTGGTTTTTCCAGCGGTCTAAAAAGGGGTTGGTTTTTTTTAACATTTGGGTTCTGCTCACTCTTTTGACGAATGATGGGATGGTGTTTTTGAGATAATTACGGTGAGTGAAGGGTGTTTGGCTGTTTGGGGATTACTGTTGTTGACCACCAAATTGATATCCTTGTTGTGGTACATCCATGCCTTGAGCTGGGAAGGCAAACATTCCAGTTTGATCTGTTTGAGCTTGCATACCAGTATCTTCTTCGTCACTATAATACTTTTCGATAATCGAGTAGGCCTTCTTATAGATTTCCAAGTTGTCATGTGATTGAAGAGCATACACCTTCTCCATTCCTCCTGCATCTTCAATAAACACGGCCATTTGATTCACGTCTCCATTGGCTGCTACTTTGTCAGACTCTCCAACCTTCAAGATGTTTTCAAGACCATCCAATGCTACTTGGATGATCTTGTTATCTTGCCCACTCAACAAGTCGCATAGTGGTTTGATGCAGCCTCGAGATACCAAATATCGGATTTGAGAGGGTTGTGCCAATCCACCTGATGTTGCATTCGAGATGGCCCAGCATGCTTCCTTCTTGGTTTTGAAATCTCCGTGTTGAAGAATTTCAATGAGAGGTGGTATGATATTGGCATCAATTACGGCCTAAATGGTAAGAGAAGCAAAACGTATTTTAAGTACAAAGTAGAAGACGTTTTTCAACAGACATCACGTTTTGTCTGCTCAAGCAACAGGCATCACCATTAAACAATGACTTACCTGGATTTGAGCAGCATTTCCGGCAGTAATATTGGAGATAGTCCAGCATGCTTCTTTTCGAATTGTTTCCTTGGGACTGCCCAACAAGTGCAATAAGGCGACCAGTACATTGCAATTGATAATCACTTGGGTTTGAATATCATCACCAGTGACTATGTTTCCTACTGATCTCAATGCTGGTGTTTGAACCATATATGAAGGATGCCTACAAGTGGTGGCAGAAAATTAAGATGAGGCAAAAAATCTAGTCGTATGATCTGTACTTACATGAGCAATTCTACCAATCGACGACTGACACCAGCTTCAATGACTGCCTGGATCTTCTCGTTAGCACCATCAGATAGGTATGAGATGGCCCAGCAGGCATCAGTCAAGACTTCTTCATCTTGAGCATAGATGAGTTTGGCGAGGACTGGGAGAGCGGGTGCAATCATATTCCAGTCTGGAGGAGGATTCTTTCCACGACAGAACTACAAAGAAAACGATTATTATAATGAGTGCATGTTTCAAAAAATGCACGACTAGTGGCGCAGGAATAGCTTGAAGTCGATTCAAACACTAAACTTACGTTGCTGAGAGTCCAGGTAGCGTTTCGAAGCATCGACAACTTGTTTGTGTTTTCGTTCAAGATGTTCAATATTGGCCTCAATGAGCCTTCTCGAAGTACAAAGTCTCGACAACTTGGACTGTCACCAGCAATGTTTCCCAAAGCCCAGACAGCCTGTACAAACGACACTAAGAATTGTACTATGTTCTGACTTTTCAACATCATGCAGTTTATAGTTACCTGTTCACGAACATCAGCAACAGGAGAACCCAATAATTCAACAAAGATGGGAACAGCTCCACTGTCAATGACGACACGAGTTTGTTCCGATGAGCCGGATGCAATGTTGGTCAATGCCCATGCAGCTTCGAACTAGATAGTGAAAGTAGTGTCAGTATTAGTGTATTCGTCCTTCTAACAATGATTGGATGTAAGTATGAGTCAGAACAAGACATACTTGGAGTAGATTGTTTGGGGACCTGAGGAATTCGACAAACTTTGGAATGACACCACATTGTACAACATCATCGATTGGTGGATTGCGTTCTAATAATAACGAGTTAATGATTGTGTATACTATCCTTTGCTGTATTTCATAAAACAAACTATGCACAATATACCCACACACCTTTTGACAAGAGCTTCCTAAACCTCGCAGTAGCTTGTAGTTGCTCATCTACCGAACCAGAGAATACACCTTGTACCATTTGAGGAAGGTGTTCGGCCAACTAGAAGTGTATAGTGAGTATGTGCATTTTGCGTTATAATCATCAAACACACAACATACTAGCGAGACACCAGTGCCAGCGAGATTCTCATCTTCACTTTCAGAGAGACTACCACCGACGACGGCATTTATGTTTCTACGTTTGGCGACCGAGTCTTCTCTCTTTTGTCTTCGGATTTCGACAGCGACTTCATCTCTTCGACGGCGCAGTTCTTCAGGTTTCAATGATCCCCGGTTCTTGAAGCCAGCAATACGATGTTCCGGGACTTTCGGCTTTGAGTCGCTCATCATTTCTGAATATAGAAAACAGTATAATAAATACTCTCTCTCTCCTTGTTGTTGTTCGTTTAATGCTTGATTTCTAGAGTTTTTTGTGATGAGGAAGAAGAGTTGATTAGTTGTCGAGCGAATAGGATATAGGCAGAAAGAAAATGATAACTATTATAATGTGCATGGCTTGCTACAAAAATACATACATGCCCTTACCTTGGTAGTCTCTCTAATCAATGATTCTCCTAGCTCAAGTTGTGTGCAAGAGTTTTGAAAACGAGCGAAGAATCGTATGAGAGATTGAATGATTGAACCGCAAAATACGAGGAAGCAAGCTTGTATTCTATAATTAAATTGAATATCCAATTGAATTTGACTACGGTGGCGACGCGAAAACTACAAAATGTCACCTCCTCGTCGCGAAAGCGTCATAGAACAACCATTAGATCATTTATGTACTTTCGCAATATACAATATATACTTTTGATCATTTGATCTATCAATCAAAGGCTTTGTTTGGTCTCCACTATTCGTGACGTGACTCTACTCATCCCGTCTTGCTCTCCTTCCAACAAAACCCAACTTTGAGCAGACAAGCAAATACAATATAACTACTATTGGTTGAATATAGGTCAATATCATCGCATTACTAGGAGTTTCATAGTGACCCTATCAAATTATGGACGAAATCGAGGTACTGTTATCACTTTTCTTGTTTGCTCGGACGATGTCAACTCGGCACAGTTATTCGCATGCTATCTGAATACTAATTCCTGTCAATTCTTCGTCATTTTAGCAACTCTTGGAAGCTCCATATATCAAGGAGGTAAGTCTTGCTTGCTCATCTCATCATGCATCAAACATTTCGGAAGAATGCAGGGTGCTTAACATCCAACACATCCTCACATTAGGAAAAACCACGAAGAGAAGTCCCAAAAGAAGGCTCTGAACGAACAATATCAAATGGTGACGATACTCATATGGATGTAGATGCTGCGCCAACTGATGAGCCTCCTTCTGACAGAAAGTCGTAAGTCGATGAAACAATTACTTTCTTTTGTTGTTTAATGGCAGTTGATAGTTGAAAAGCCTTTTATATACTTCATCAGCACCCCTCTGACTTTCCTCTTCTTCATCATAAATAGAAAAGAGAATGGTGATCATGAAGGAAGTGGATCTCACAGGTCCAGATCTGGAGAACGTCGTCGACGACACCGTTCACGTTCCAGATCCAAAGGCCGTTCTCGTCGTTCAAGTCGATCTACCTCGCGTCACCGTCGTGGAAGTCGCTCTCCACGAAGGAGGAGCAGGGACAGACGTGACCGAGACAAAGGTGATCGTGGAGACCGTGGTGACAGAGAACGAGATGGTGGAGGACGAGATAGAGGAGACCGTGATCGTGAAAGAGATCGTGATCGTGCTTCTCGTCGTGATCGTGAAAGAGGTGACCACTATCAACCACATTATAGACGACCTCCATCTCCGGCTCGAAGGGACTCTAGAGACCGTAGGAGAAGTACTTCCCGTGATCGTCGTCGTAGTAAATCTCAAGAAGTTAGTGAATCCGATCGTGATCGTCGTACTATATTTGCTAGGCAACTGGCTGCCCGTCTCAAGGAACGTGAATTGAAGGATTTCTTGAGTGCCGCTGGCAAAGTCAGAGATGTCAAAATCATCGTAGATCGCATATCTGGTCGTTCCAAGGGGTAAGTCGTATGTTCCTTTGTTTTTGGTTTTGTTTTTCGTCCGAGCTGAAGGGTTATTCAAGCTGACGGCTTTAGTTCCTCTATAACTCTTTCCTCTTTGGTTCTGACGTCTTGTTTCTACTCTTTAGTATCGGGTATGTCGAGTTTTATGATGAAGAAAGTGTCGCAAAAGCTATTGAAATGAACGGACAGAAACTATTGGGTCTTCCTATCTTGATCGAGTTGACGGAATCCGAAAAGAATCGTCTTGCTGAACAAGCAGCGTAAGTTATTACTACTCGCATCTTCATCCGTTTGTTTCTTGTCGAACCAGTATTTTATTCATTTTATGCACATGCTAACAAAGCATTTTTACGACAATATAGTGGCAAGGAACCAAGCTTCAATCGCTTATACATTGGGTCATTGCATTTCAATATTACCGAAGAAGACTTGCGAGCTGTTTTTGAACCATTTGGTCCTCTTGATTTAGTGCAAATGCACAAGGATGCTGATACTGGTCGTTCTCGTGGATTTGCATTTGTCCAGTGAGTGCTTTGCTTGTCAAGATGGTTTGCCTGCTTGATCATGACATTTACCTACTCTTACAATAGATATCGTAAATCTGAAGATGCAAATCAAGCACTACAAAAGATGAATGGATTCGAATTGGCTGGTCGTCCAGTAAGTTTGTCAGTGGTTCAAGATCTCCATTCCGTTACCTTTCTCTTAGGACAGTTTTTTTCCATCAACTTAGCTTAAAGTCAACCTTGTCACGCAAGATAAGCAAGCTCTTGGCCTTGCTACTGGCAGTGTTGGAGGCACCAATGCTGCAAATAACGGTCTGAACGCTTTTGCTAACCTGGATGATCATGATGGACCTGGTTTTGCATTGAATTCGCATGCTAGGGCTGAATTGATGGCTAAGCTTGCTCGTGATGATACTATACTTGGGTCACCAGCACCTGTTGCTGCACCTGTCATACCGTGAGTCTTTGATGGGTTTGATTTTTGCAATTTGGGTTACACGTCGTAGTTTGGCTTGTGCTGACTATTTTTCTCTCTGCTGTTGTAATAGAAAGATCACCGTCCCTGTCATTGCGACGAGATGTGTGTTGCTGAAGAACATGTTTGATCCTAACGAGTACGTATGACCTATTCTCGTTTCGCTTTGCGTTTGTTTTACTTCTCTAACTCTATTACATTAGAGAGTCTGAACCTAATTGGGACAAGGAAATCGAAGAGGATGTCAAGGCCGAATGCTCCAAGTTTGGGACAATTTCGCACATCTCATTACAAAAAGAAACTGCTGTAAGTATCGTGACTGTCCTGTTGCTGCTCAACTTGGCCAATTTGACGCTTACTCTATCCTTCTTTCCATTAGGGACATATTTACATCAAATTTTCACTTCCTTCAGAGACTCAGGCATGCTTGTCAACCATGAATGGTCGATACTTTGGTGGCAAACAGGTACGATACAATCGCGGCGTCGCAGCTTCGTCGTTTTGGTCGATTGCTGATCATTATCGTCTTAGATTTCGGCCACCTTTGTGCCAGATCAGATATACAATGCCCAATTTAAACTCTCATAATGAGTGCACTGTTTTTTAAGCTCGTTCTTGTTTATCTGATCATATGCATCAAATTAGGAAATACTGGAAAACAACCTTTGTAATAAGATCCCCGTTTTCGTGTTCGTTGAAAATTAAAAGTAATCGCCATTTGCTAATGAAACTGCGTTTTTGTACGTTTGCGTCAGTCATGCTGTGACTTTGTTTTCGAAATTTGCAAGTTTGGCGAAAAGAGCATTGGCCCAAGTGGGGAGTTCACGATGGAAGATGAAGTAGAGCCTCGTAAGCGGTACTCCCGTGAGCTGCTCTTAAAGCTTCAAGAGTCTCCTCTTGTGACAAAACCAGATAACCTTGTGGAATTCTACATCACGTACGTGTTGAATGCCCGATGCATCGTTGTGTTTTCGTTGATTATGTTTCTTTGAATCGAGCTTGGAATGCAAAAGCCTCTGGCTGTCTTCTTCATTGAATGCGGTTGAACATTGGTCCTGCAAACAATAATGATACACAATCCAACCTTTACTGAAGGCATTCCTTGTTACTGATTTTTCATTAGTGAAAGAACAAATCTAGTTCCCAAAGTAGAAGATAAACGGTCACGGACACCCGATGATGCTCTTGGAAACAATGAACAAAATAGAACAGGAATTCTATCAAGAGAGAGGGGCATTGCCACAAACAGACCAGTTACGACAGACAAGGCGAATATCGTTCTGGGACCTCCTAAAATGAATTTCGCTTCATCTACGAAAAAGGAGCTTGGAGATGTTAAAGATGAAGTGACGCCAGTTGCGAGACTTACAAGGGTAAGAGGCTTCATAAACAGGTTCCGCCTGTCGCCGTTTTCATCCTAACAAGTATGTGTGTGCTGTCTTTAGGTTGGTAGTGGATCAGACGGCCTAGGACTACCACAGCTCAGAAACACACAAAGTGCTGGTCGAGGTCAAAGTCTTCGAGATTCAAGAGATGGTCAAAGAGGACCTATGCGTCGTGAAGATGGTATGTCCTACAAACTTCCCTCGATCATCAACTCATATGTCTTGATCCAGGTCTCATTTTTTACTATACCAACTCAACAGGCAACAATCGATTACCTCCAAGACCCACGAACAGCAGCAACATAGATCCAAAGAGCTCATTCAATCCTCGTAAACCAGAAAACAACAGCTACAATATGAATGTGAGAAATGATCGACCGCAGCAGGGCTCTTCGTATGGAGATCGATCAAATGGAAGGTACAACAATTCAGAGGAACAAGCTCCTGAATGGGCAGAGCCTGAACCTTCTGCTCTTCGTAATACCACTTCGAGCTCTACTACTGCTGCACCTGTAACAACAAAAGCAGCAACAGCGACCGCAGCCTCAGCACCTTCTAGTAAAGATATGTTTAGTTTCCAAGTAAAAGAAGGAATGGATGAATTTGCCAAGTTTAGAGCACGAATGAAGGAACAAGAACGTGTTGCTCGTGGTGATCCACTGCCAGACGAGAAGACTGCGGTAGCTCCAGTGATACAGCCAGCAACAAACCCAGTCGCATTTGGAAACGTAAACCCTATAATGGCCATATCATCAGAAACTGGTGCCGATGCTATACTCAGTAAGAAATTACTGGCAACATCGAGCATAAACAGCAGTAACACTGGTACTGGAGGTAGCGCTGGAAGTGGAGGTCCAAGGTTTAGACGATTCTTTGAATTGGAGGGAGAACAAACAAGTCCCAGTCCATCTCCAGAACCCATATCAAATGTAGTACCCGTCAGAGAGCAACCTGATGTGTTTGCATCGATTAATAGCAATAATAGTAGTAGTAATAATCCTATTGCCATGTTATCGAAACGGTTTCCTGAAGCTGCCATGGCACCATCCATCTCTGCCTCATCCGAATCATCAATACGACAACCTGTAGTATTATCAGAAGCTGATTTATTGGCTAAATTCGGAATGCAGTCGAAACCCAGCTCTGTTAGCCCAATACCACCGCAAGATGATTTCAGTAGAGTTATGAACATGTTTTCCAAGCAGCCTAGTCAGACTGGTAATATTAGTAGTGGTGGTGCAATGAACAATCAACAGCAACAGCAACAGCCGATAAATATGGGTATGTCAAGACCAGCTGAACAATCTGGATTTGCTGGTATGGGTACTATGACATCACTACCACAACAACAGCAGCAACATCAATCACCGATTCTCCAACAACAACAGCTTCAGCAACACCACCAACAACAGCATCATCCAGAACAACGACCATCTCTACTATCTTCCTCTCCTCCTATATTTAGCCATCCACCTGCTCGTCCATCCATGTACAACAGCCCCCAACTACTCAACTCGTCGGGCCCAGCCCAACAACAACAGCGTCCTATGTCTTACAGTGGTGGTGGCGGTGGGACGACTCAATCACAATTAGCTGCAATGGTGCAGAATAGTATCCTGGCTAAAAAGTCTAGCTCGAATTCTGTTGCTGCAGCTTTGGGGATTCGTAGTAGTAGTGGTGGGTTTTCGGGTTTGGGACTTCCATCAAATCAGTCAACAAATTATTTTGTTTTCTCTCTAACAAGTTGTACAAATAGGTGAAGGTGACATCAACAGAACATCTCCATCCTTACTACCAAGCAATCCAATGGGCAGACCACCACCACAGCAACTGCAAGGTGATTTCTTGGCTCACAGACATCCAGAGTCAATGTACAGCCAATATCCAGCTCCAAGAGGTTACGCAACTCAACCTGCAAGACCAATGTTGAATCCCTCATTGCTAATGGAGATGATGAATCAACCTCCGGTAAAGGCTTTTTGTTGAATCTTGGTGCTTTTTTTGTCTGACAGATTGACACCTTTTTTAGGGAGCAATTGCTGAACATTTAGCTCAACAAACTCCACAGAATCAACAACCATTCAACCCACCATACTAAAATCTGCCTGGGAAGGAGGATGCTTGTAAGATATAGTCCTGTTGTAGAGAAATCACCTATACAAAAAATCGCAAACTTTTCGCATGAACAAAAAAAGTCCCCATGAAGTTCGATGCATCGCTATCTTAAATTAGCCAGCGTTTATTTTTCAAATTAACATTACTTCCATGCAAACTGTCCATCTTTATATCCAATTGATCGGATCGGTATCAGGCGACAATCTTCATCTTCATCATCGTTGCTTGCCAGCAGGGTATCATTCAATCCAATGGTTTTCTCATCACATACAAGTGTAGCCATGAATCCGTTCATACCAGTACGATTGGCCATGAGTTCAACCAGTATTGACATGGTTCGTGGCAGCACATGACCAACCAATTCCAATCGATACATGGTTTCGACTTTTTGCATTCCAGATACAGAGTCAAATGAAGAATTGTTGAGGATCTTGCCGTTTTTTACGATCTATGCACAAAAACAAAGAGTAAAAGCATGAAGGTCGTATGTCATAACGGTTTGTGACTGCTTCAACCGCCATCACGATGCTTGTCAACCCTCACCTCCAAAGACTTCAATGTAGCGTGCAAGAATGGCTTGTGAGATAACAAGATTGGCAACTGAGCAGCTCGTCGATTAGCGCGTTCATCCCTCCAATTCAACAAATAATCAAAAACACCGTGGACACCAGGGTGTCCCTTGAAATGCAATGATGGTGATGATTCCTCCTGTTCCTTGTTTGAGACAATGCTGAACAACATTTGGGGTTGCAAACAAATCAGCATATTTGTCCAGTGGGACATTGAGACTCCAACTCACGTTCGACCAGGTTGTTGTTGTTCCATCTCTTCCAACTCTTGCTCTGTATCCTTTGTGACTTCTGGCAATGCTTCAGTTGCCCATTTCTTCTTACGTGTGCACACTTCAAATGCAATACCTAGAAGAGACAGAAAGCGATCAGGTTGACTAGAAATATCAACAATGCGATCAGAGCAAGATACCACTAACCTTCGCCTTCTAAGGACTTGCGTAATCCACGTGTTGCATTTGAAATAACTGCTTCACACTGACCACTCTTGGTTGACTTGCCAGCCCGAAAATGAGCTGAGAATTCCCCATTTATATAGTAGAATTCATCCGTCAAGTTGTTTCGTACAGAATGGTATACGGAGCGAATGGCTTGCTTCCTAGTATTCAATGTCGTCAAAAATATATACGGCTACATGTATCAACTGATACTGAGACGTACCATTGTTCTTCACAAGACTGGAAATGCTGAAGTCCTGCCAATTCTTCGGGCTTCAGCTTTGCTTCTCGAGCTTTCGGCAAGACTTTGGTCATCAATGCCACTTGTTGTGGTGCTGGACGATCAATGTAGGCCCAATAGTATAAACTATGATCAAAAGCTACTTTTGCATCCTGACAACAAAAAGATGTCAAAAAGTTGTTTCAGAGTGTCATCATTTACAGGGGGACCAACCTTCTCCTTCTGATTATCTTGAACAAAGGAAAACAAGTTGATTGAATCTTGGATCGAGTTTTGAGAAGAGCACCAGTCCAAAGATGTACGAGACAGAAAGATGATTGATCGTTTGAGAGTCCAATCCGATGGAAGTGACGAACCAACCTACATTTTGAGAATCGTTCAACATACGCAGAGACAATTCACTCTGATAACCAAGAAAAGCGTACTTTGTAAGCTGAAGATGAGCTGGCCTTGAAAGTGGTTCAAAAGGTAAGCTCTAGCAGCGTAGGTATGCGACAATTGAAGTAGCTTACCGATGTCGTTGATGACTTTGTTCCTGGTGCCATATCTTGATAGAGGGATATTTTCGTTTAGTCCACAGCTGCACCTTCTCTGGCTGAAAATGCGTACTTGCCTCGTTGCAAACTGTCGAATTGATGAAAGTCATGGTTGGACGAATCCTACAAGAAGCAAAGAAGTATTGACTCCTACTCATGTATGTCACGAAACACGAATTAAAGACCTTACGATTGACGGGCGACTGAGAAAGCTGAGAATCGACGAAGGCTCGGCAATAGTTGAAGCTTCCTGGCTCAGACTTGCAATTTGCGCTTCGAGTTTGTCTTTTTCTTCACTGATTTCTGCGAATGCTCGAGCTTCACTAGGCACCGGTGCATGTAATGGTGGTTTCGGGTTGGACAATAAACCTCCAACAGGACATGAGAAAGATCTCTCAAAGGGCTATGAATTGAACGGAATGTTGAGGCAATTACTTTATCAGCTTCGAGGGTTTTTTGTTATTACTTACACGAGCAGCTACTGGTTTTGAGGGTAGCATCTCAACATCAACTTCAGCAGCCACAGCAATACTACCACCTTTGGAGGCATTTTTACGAAACATGACAAACGGTTCATGTAATGATATCGATTCTTCTTCAGCGACCTTCCCACCGATCGCTTCGCCAGGATTTGACAATGTGTCCAATAGCGAGAAGGGATTACGACTTGGTTTCTCAATAATACTGCGTAATGAAGTCGAAGTTGTCGTTACAGCGAATGGTCGTGACGAGTCGGTTGATGCCGTTCTAGTATAATTCGACGATAATGGAGGTGCATGCTGTACTGTAGGTGCTGGTGGTGGAGGCTGTTGTTGTAATGGTGTCAATTCAGAAGGAGAGACGGTGCTTGTTGGTGAGAATGACGAGTATCTCCTGAATGACGATCCTTGTGAGAACAGCAATGAGTTTTGTGCAGTTGTCGGAATTGGTTCTGGTTGACTAGCTGATGGTGGCAATGATGCTCTTCTCTCTTGTTGTTTCTTCTATGATTCGAAAAATTAGAGTTTGATGTTAATGTTTGGCGGCTTTCACATGTTCTAGGTCATAAACTGAGAGATCCTTATGATAGACACTAGTTCCCGCGTAATAATTATTCATATTTACCTTCAGTTCTGCTAGACTTGACGTCCTCCTCTTCTTCTTGGTGTCATCGGACAATGTTGCTGCTTTTCGTTTCGAGTCCATTATAGTGCGATACCAGATCCTTGGATAATGCCAATAACATTAAAATGAGCCAGTAAATCGGGCGATAATGGCCTTCTCACGCTCTGGGGAAGCGATTTTCGGATTGCTGTGCACTTATCAAGTTCGAGGTTCGGAGCGTTGGAAGTGGAAAAGAAACGAGGAAGCAACGACGGACGCGTTTGACACGTAAAAACTGCATTTTACCAATCCCATAACGTTGCTTTAAACGTGTTGCTTAAAAATGTTGAAATAGGCGCAATGCAAAGGCTGGCGAATAGTAGTTCTTGCATTCAAACTGTATATATATATAAATCGAATCGATATGATTCCAGCATATCGTCAATTACTATATCTTCTTTTAATGACGGGTAACGTCCTTTCTCCGAACAAATGTATGAGGGTGCCACAATAACCTTTCTGTACACTACCACCATGATCACACTCCCTATCTTCTATGTCTAGCGACCTAATCTCTGCGACCACCAGTGAGGCAATCGTAGCATGGGTCCCAGCCTATGAAAAACGAATGGAATAAAAGTTAATGACGCATTCGAAGAGATGGGCAAGAAAGCAATTACTTGCCTGGCATGCAACAATGCTTCTCCTCAGAGAAGAACATGTTAACACCATCGGCTCCACAGGAGCCATCAGCAAGCTGTACAACTCCTAATTTATTCCAGCATAATCCTTTGTTACTGTATTGGGCACCACAGGCAGTTGTTCCACCAGTAGCAGCACAACATGATGGGTTTAGTGGTGCACAGCACTGGAATGTAGATGGGTTATAAATCCAGCCCCTGTTGATAGTGAAAGTGTGAGGCACTGCATCAAAAGTCGAATTCTGCAACAACAAAAAAAAAGTACAAGACGATACAATACTCACTGGCAATTGTAAGCATAGTTGTGGCCGCCACTGTTTCTGGTATCAGCTCCACTTTGTTCACAACCGACAGTTACTCCGTTTACGATGATAGCGGGAGCTGCTTCACCACTACATTTGCTGTAGTCGTTTCCAATTACTACTGTTTGTCTCCAGACATATTCTGCTCCGGATGGCAAATAGTTGAGACCGTAGTTTGGATACGATACACCACCAGAACTCGCCTAGAGTCAGGAATGGGGAATGGTCAGATACAAAATAAAGTCCCAGACATTTTTAATGCTACCCTGATGTTCGATACTTACTGAAGATGATGATGACGACGATGATGAGGACGACGACGTTGAAGAAGAACTCGTAACTTTGGTTACACTATTGGTACCACAAGTGCCAAAGCCTGATTGACAACCACTGGAACAATGGGCATCAGTAGCACCACCTAAAAACGAAATAAAATGTTTAGCACCGTGCCAGCGAACTCTAGCGAATTGAATTCCAGCGAGAATACATACACCAGCCGTATTGTGAACAACATGGATCACCGCCGTTCGAATCACAAAGTGTTCCAACTGCAGAACCACAACGTCCATCTGTTGTAATGGAACCAGAGGAGCTTGAAGAGCTCGAGCTGGAGCTTGATGATGACGAAGCCGATGAAGATGATGAAGATGAGGAGGAGGACGATGAAGTTCCATTACAGGTTCCGTAGGTGCTTTGGCATCCTGTACCACACCAATCATCTCCAGAACCACTGAATAAATGGACAGAAGCCAAGGATGAGAAGGGAGTTCAAAGATCAGGAGCATTCAGAGACATACCAGTAACCGTATTGACTACAACATGGGATAGATCCAGCAGTGTCACAGACAGCACTTGCAGTACTACCACACTGACCATCGGATCTTACAGGTAAAGCGGCAACTTGTGCAGCGCTCTTGCCAGCGCTTGAAGTCTAGATAATAAGGTGAACGTGTTGGGCGTGCGCAGAAACGTCGACACATGCAACCTCCCAAAACACACAATACCAAAAACACGTACACTTGCACAGTTTCCATATCCAGGCTGGCAGCCTGTACCACACCACTGGTCCGCACTGGTGAAATCACCATGCTAGGTATGAGAAAAGCATGTAAGAGATTGCACCTCAACGAAATCGGGATGAATTGAGCACTTACACCACACCACCCGTACCTATATTGGAAGAGGTAATTATTAATGATTGGTATAGTAAATTTTTAAAAAACTGGAAAGCTTTTGGCCTGGCTGCGAAGAACCACCCAACTACGCAGCCCACCAAGGTTTTTTGGACGTCCAAAAAGGGCGCTGCGAATCAATTACAGCTCTTCATACGTACATGGAACAACAGTCATAGTCACTGGAGAATGTCGAGCAACTAGCTCCTCCGTTGAGGGCACCGCATCTGTAGAGCGAAAAGTTGTTTTAGCCAGCCACCCAAGACTTTCAAAGTCAGAGAGGCACAATCAGACACTAACTTTTGAGAATAGACATAGTTCACGAGACCTAGCAATGCCAATGACAGGGAGAGCGTCAATCGTGCCATTTTCGCTGGTTACTTTAGCTTGTAAATGTTTTTGGATGTTTGGAAAACTGGTGGTCGCAAAGTGGCTTCGACACCACAACGGCACGCTGGGAAGACGGAAAGAGGAAGAGGGATAAGGTCCTGAACCTATGGGGTCTGAGGCTGTTTAAGAAAGCTCCGTTTTGCGAGCTGGATGTCACGACTGCGGATCCTGTCGAAGCACGTTTTTGAGAAGAACTTTGGCTCCGTTGCACGAATCATGGATGATTTCCACAGCATATGCATGACTACACGGCTCTATGGTCGTTCGGTTAGTGGCCATCTGTGCAGAATCGATGATTGGTTTGATTGCAAGTGTGAGTGCTTCTGGCCCTTGAGCCAATAGCAAAATGCGCTTCCGTACGCATTCCAACATTGAGTTCGATAGTCAAACCTGTCATTCGTCTCGGAATCCGTCTTTGGGACCATGGTTGGTCCACTTGCGTGTTTTTATAACCTGGTTTGTATTAATTGAAGATGCAGAAATCAGAGGAATAGAGAAAGTTAAATAAATCTTTCTGATATGAAACCTAGGATAGATAAGTGAATCTCTTGAGTCTGCGTTTCCTTAATACCACACCACATGGAAACAAACTGAATCAACGCTTAGCGAGCAGTCCTTGCTTGATTTGTCGTCATTAGGGTAGTCCACCTTCGAAGTACTCAGCTGTGCTTGAAAAGAAAGATTGGTTAAGTGCTGCTCCTTTGCCAAATCAAACACAACTCACCGTGCAGCATAGTTATTAACTCCCTGAACTGTGACTTTTCCTGGACCTTTCATTGCTTCAAGTGCGTTCGTAAATGAGAAACATGCGCTGGCTAGAAAACTGGGAGGTTAAGAAATGGAAAACGCTGTCCCATACCTGATGAAGACTCACTTTGTGATCCCAAATTTGCAGCTTCAGTCGTTCCTAAAAGTTGAGGCGAGTAGTATCAGCCACCTCTGTCAGACGACAATGAGATTCTCAACAAGACTTGCCTCGTGCACAGATGACTGTGGTATCAATGCAAGGACCATTTAAAGCGTCGTCTCGTGTCGTGGCAGCAGCCCCAGCTCTTTGTTCCAGCTCATGGGTCGGCAATGCAAACACCGTACTGATCAGGACCAAAGTCACAAGGAGATATGATGATTTAACATATCCATTTTGATCAAGGTGAAAATACAAGGATTTGGTGGAAAAGAATCCCGATTTTGTATAATTAGATGGAGAAAATGAGTAGTTTAGCAGGCTTCTAATCGAAAATAGATTAAAATCTTTTGTTGAGAGAGATGGTGATGGTCCACGAAACGTTACTCGATCAAGGTCTTTGACTCACCAAGTGACCGGTAAGCTTAGACGTGCGGATCCAGTCGATAAAGTTCTTTCCTTTCAATTTAATTTTGTGGAAAATCTGTAGACTAGATATTGTGTGGGCATCATAATGAACCATGCTGATCGGCTACAAATGCTGATTTCAGGTTTCTGAAACAAAAGTCTGCACAAAGGAGAACCTATGCCTCGGAGGCCTACTCATCCACTATAAGGTCTTGCAACTCATTTCAAAACACTTGTGTGGACGAAAGATGCTAGCCATGGGTAGAGCGTAGTTGAAACTGTTTGTTGTATTTTAATCAGCATGAAAACAGTATACAGAATCATGAATTCTAATGACGAATGAGTAAGACATCTCAAACTCCGTTTCTTAGTTGACATGCGACTTTGACCTCCATCAACATTCAATAATCCAGAGTATAATCCACAAAAAACTTACTTTATCATATCTTGGCAGGAGCAACAGGCTGCGCCTTTGCCTGAACCCCATTCATCACAAAAGCAGCTGCTTCTGGAGCATCTTTCGGATACTGTAAGTGGAATTGGGTGACTTGGCCACTTTTGGGAACTAAAACAAGTAAAGACATGATTAATTTGAAATTTGATGGGGGATTTGGTCGGGTCATACCTTCACAGATCTTGTCTCCAGGAGTACACTTTGATAGGACCTAATGTTTATAAGTGAATGAGTAACAATAGATACTAAGACATGGCCAAAAAATCCGGACTGCAATGTCCACAGGCAAACCATTGTCCTCACATTGGCAGTGTCGATCTCTGGTGGCCAAGTAGCAATTCCATCCTTGCCAGTCCCATCGCTGATGAGAACAGAATGAATGCATTGTTTAGGCTTTGAATTGCCAGACAGTGTCAGCAGACGCAGATTCTTTCAAAGAAGGCTTACCCAAATACACTACATTGCGAAAAGGAGATATCAATCGTTGCTCATGTATGCGATAAAAGCGGAACGAACCAAGTAAGCGCTGCACTTACACTACACCAGCAATGTTGGACCTTTCTGCAGATGTCATCATGTCCAAAGCCAGATGAAGCACTTGACCTACGTATGCCGATGGTCAAATCGTTGCTCGAGTACTACAAATTCGTGACGATACCCTACCTCCTTGGGAGTAGCCTGAAATCCAAGTTGAAGTGTTTGGACAATTGGACATTACCATAGCAGCAGTCTGAGCCATGAAGGCAGCGCCAGTTTTCGATCCTCCAGTCAGATACTCCTGTATCGACGCCGCGTAGTTGTTAACACCTTATGATGATGTAGTTATAGCGTAAGTTGTCTGTATGCTCCTGCGCAAAATTTGAGCCAAATCTCAATCATCGTATACATACCTTGAACCCCAACAGTTATGCCTGCTGTCGCAGCAGAGGCTTCAAGAGCAGAGGTAAATGGCAGACAAGCTAAACTTCCCATGTTTGCAGCTTCTGTCGTTCCTCGAGCACAGATTACCATTACATCTTTACAAGTTCCAGCCGCGTTCCTGGCATCGTTGCGAACATTGTTGGCAGCTCGTTTTGTAAACTGAGTTGGAAATCCAAAAGCTGCAGATATAAAAACCAAAACGATCACGAATTGTGCAAGGATCATGGCTTTTGAGTCGATCAAAAGGGGGACAGACAGCGAGGTTCGGATAGGTGCCAGACTAATAAAAAGTAAATAGGAATTAGTTTCTCAAACGAAAAAATTCCAACCGTTGCGTGTTGAGATGATGGTGATGTATGAGGAAAGAGGCTCAAAAAGCAACGTTGGACTCACGGCAGTTGTTGCAAGTATCTCTGTCACAGATCTAGCCGGTGAGCTTCCGCGCCAGTGTATTCAACTCTAGGCGAAGGGAGCAGCAAATGTTTTGGTTTGGAGTGTTTCGAAAACATCCCCGACTTTTTCAGCTACACCCAGGGAAAATTTGTTTCCATGCGAGACCATCATTCATGGAAACGTTCTTCACTTGGCGAAAGCGAAATGCGACATGAGGGCGGTTTCAATCAGATTGCGTAGGTTAAGCGTCAAGAAGATGGCGACCCGAAAGCTTCAGGTTGGCAGCATCGAAAACCGCGTTGCAAGACGTGATCGTGCATTCAAAGTAGTTCCACACACGAATACTGTTCGCATCTTGCTAGTGTCCCGTAGATTGTGCATTAGGTCTTCAACTCAGTCGCAAGTTCTTGATTTCTTGAAGACCACGATGACTGCCAGGAATGCCATATGGATTGCCTTCTCTAGAGCACTAAGAGCACTTCCAAGAATGAATGAACGGCCTCAAAGAGCTCTAGCCCTCCCCCTTCATCCGCCACTCCTTCAAACATCTGTCGTGAATTGTAGGAGCACTATTAGAACATTCAGTACAGACAACAAGGAGTACGTTATGTCTTTGACTTTGAAATATTGAATGCCGCAATTACTCACGCTTTTCGTTCATGCTTTTCTTGCAATAGAGATCGACATTACCATCGTGTTTCTGACGAGTATCTTGACAAACTGGTGGAATACTTTGAAGCTGTTGGAGACGAGACTGAGACAAAAGGATATGATATCGTGTACTCGGTATGTATTGCTGATGTTTGTTCCGTCAAGTGTGCTTCACGACCGGTGATGTGCTCATCGCCTCTTGAACAGGATGGCGTCATGACGCTCAAGCTGGGTTCAGCAGGTACTTATGTGATAAATAAGCAGCCGCCAAATCGACAGATATGGCTGTCATCTCCAAAGAGGTTTGTCATTGATTGTTGTTTTCGTGCAAGCCAGAAGGCATGAACAGACAATTCGAACTAGCACGTTAAATGTCTGAATTTGTAGCGGACCTGCTCGATTTGAGTATTCAGATGCCAAAAAGTTGTGGCTCCATGTACGAACTGGGCAAGTTTTGAATGAAATCCTAGATCGTGAGATACAAGAGCTCATGAAACGAGACATTCAAACACCACTATAAATCATTTGTATGGATCATGATGATGCAAAAACCTCAACTGGTTTGATTTCTATTAAAGTAAAACTATACATTATTCCAACCTGATGCTTCCTGCTTATTCATCATCGACAACAGCGACTTGAATTGGTATTGGAGTTGGAAGTTTGAGCATCATTTGATGTGCTCCTACACTCTTGATTCGTTCTCCATCAACGAGACTTGGGACGACAGTGACTCCCAGAATGTTTCCGAGTTCAGTAGCGACATCGTCTGCTGTAACAGATCCATAAATTTTGCTTTCGTTTGCACTGATCCTAACTCTCTTAAAAGTGACGGTGAGATCCAGCGACTCCCGTTGATTGAGAGCTCCTATTAGAATGTCTGCAGCACTCGGTTGTGATGGTGTTGCCATAGGTCGTCTTCCTGGTCGATCCTGTATTGAGCCGTCGTCCTGTTGTTGTTGTGTTGGCTGTTGCTGCGTTATAATTGGGTCTGTCCATACAGCGGGTGTGATCTAGTTGGAAGGCAGAAGGTGAGCTTGCAACTTCTTGAAAGCAATTCAACCACGGAACTTGGGTCAATTTGACTACAAAGGCACTTTATTTACTTGTTCGGTTGCTGTTTGGACGACAGCCTTTGGCTTCCAATTGGTAGGCAGCAGAGGTTTGTCTCGTAACCTTGGAACATAGTAGGCCAGCTTGAATGGAATCAAATAGTTACGAGCATGTCCCACTAGTGATGAAAAAGAGTTTAATTAACAACAAAACAACAATAACTGGCTAGTGCTGTCCCTAGATGCATACATCCGACTTGAACAATGTCGCCTAAAACGAGTTGATATTAGTTGACATCCAAATGGAATGAAATAGACTGTACACTACCTTTTTCTCCTAGAGTAGCGACAGATTGTAAGAGATATACATGCGTGTCTGGTTTCTGAAACTTGCATCTCTGAATCAAGTGTTGGAAAAAAAGTCAGTCCTTTGAGCATCAAGCACAGGTGCAAGAGAGTTCCTTACGCGCGATTGATATATTGCACCTGAAGCAGCTCTCAGCACTATCCTTCCTGCCGGAAACATTTCTTGTTCTTATAACGCAAGCTGCAGCTCTGATAAGTGTGTTTGGAGCAAAATGTACTGTATGTGGAGCGGCGATTAATAGAATCATTCAAAAGATTCAAAAGTATATTTTAGGCTTTTAATACGTGTCAAACACGAAAATGCCTCTTGTTCGGTTTCCTGGTGCAAGCAAGCTCTGTTCCAACTCCCTTCGCGGATCATACGGCAGTGACTAGAGAACTTTCAAAGGCAAACGAACTATAACGAACGAAGTATAAATCATTTATTTAATTATTTACAGTTATATTCTTGCATGGTAACTCCTTCAATCTGCTTTGTAGACTGCTCAAACATGCCACCAAAAAAGACCAAACCTGCTGCCGCTGTTGAAGGCTTGACTTTTCCCGCAGCTACTCCAGCTAGTCGAGATCCCAATCCAATGATGGTAGGCCATATTGGCATTCCTTGCTCTGATCTCCTTGCTTCCGTCCAGGTATCATTAAACATTTGCATCTTCAACATTTGAACGTTGTACTTCGCATCTTTCCAACCTTGCCAACCCCATCTAGTTCTACGACGCTTGCTTGGCTCCGTTGGGATATACTCGTACCATCACCATGGAGGACAGGAAGGCTTTTGCCTATGGTTGGCGATGCTGGTTTTTCGTTTCCCTTCTGATCCGCTTATCATGTACCAAACTCTAATTCATCATTCTACTTTATTTAAAGGTCCTCCAGGCCAATACATTCTATGGCTTGGTCAAGCAGATGACAAGCATATGAAACAGAAACTACCACCTACCGGAAATCGTTACACTGGGTTACATATTTGTATGTATTGACTTGTGCTATTTTATGAACGAATTATTCATTTCATATGATCGAATTATTGATTTTAATCTCTTCCTGGCTCTTTCATTTCTTAGGCTTGATGGGTGTGGATCGACTGCACCACGTCGACTATACAGCACATGCTTATACTTTTTTTCAACTATAGCTCCTAGCCGAAAGGCAGTCCATGAATTCCATGAAGCTGCTCTGGAAAATGGAGGAAAAGATGAGGGAGCTCCTGGACTCCGACCTTATGTCACCAACTACTATGCCGCCTATGCTATGGATCCAGATGGATGGAAATTGGAAATATGTTTCATGGATGCTCCTACAGTACGGTTTTCTTGATTCCTTCCAAAGAAATCAGTTTCCAATTATCAACTTTTGGCTGTTCAACAGGCTGATGAAGATGAAGGCATTGGAAAGGAAGAGAAGAAGAAGGACTCGACCGATGCTACTGAAGAGACTGGTGAGTTTATGTGAATAGACTGAAAGCAATCTTGCCTTGTACCCTTGCCTTGTACCAAAGTTTGATGATAAACTGCCAGCTCATTATCAAATTGCCACCTGTCCAACCCAAACTTTACCCGTTATAGCTGAAGGTCTCAAAGACGCTGAGGCTGAAGAAGAGGAACATGGATCTGCTCCAGAAGAAAAGGAAGAAAAGAAAACCAAGAAGACCAAGGCTGCTCCCAAAGGTCGAAAGCCAAAGGCAGCTATTGTTGGTAAGTTCAAAAGCGTGCAGTAATTTCGCCTTCTTCAATATTGGATAAATTTGATCAAACCGACGGTCTTGATTAATTTGGTCAGATCTGAAAGTCAAATGTGGACATCTTGTTCTGACTGACATTTACTTTCATTTTCTAGAGGAAGCCGACGAAGATGAACCTGACATTGTACCTGAAAAGGAAGCAGAAAAAGAAGAAGCACCTGCTGGTCGAAGCAAACGCGCACGAGCTCCACCCAAGCCCGTCGTCAAGTCAGAAGACGACGACGACGAAGACGAAGAACCAGCTGGTGATGATGGAGATTCAGATGATGCACCCAAGAAGAGGTCAAAGGCAGCAGTAAGCAAAGGTGGTAAGAAACCTGCTGCTTCTAAAGCTAAAGGTAAAAAGTAGAAACTATGTAAAGGAGAGGGGTTAACCAAAATCGAGAAATGTTGTGATAAAAACAGAGGGCCAAGATTAGAAAGACCTGTTTCTTTTCATTCAAATAAAAGCCATATGAACACCTCTGATTGTCGAACTTGCAATGTTTGCTCGCGACCAGAAAGCGTGTTTTCATTAAGGATGGGTGTCTCATGTAAGAAGCTAATATGAGATCAATTGCTGTCGTATTGCAATACGCGTTTATATGTTGAATTCTAGTTCCATGGCTCCTTTAGTTCAAAGATGCGTCCCCTTCAAATTCGAGCATTTACATTTTGCAACGTCAAAACAAAACTCATTGCTAAAGCTCAAACACTGGTACATGAACATAGCTCTACGAACAAGCGAACGATTACTAGCCACTTTAAAATCACAAACATCCTTTAAAATGACATCCAACATATCGGAAATCGAGACACTGGATTCCTGGCTTCATTCGTATCAGTTTCTTCGACTAATGAAGGCTAATGAAGAACGAGGATTTGGTATACCAACGCCAGAAAAGACATACGAGCCTCGGGATGATTTGAATAAGAGGGTTGCTGTTTGGTCTGGAGACATTACGAGGCTTCCACTTGATGCAATTGTGAATGCTGCGAATAAGAAGTTGTTGGGCGGTGGAGGAGGTAATATGCAGTTTATTTTGAAGCTTGTAGTGAAGATGAACAATATTTGTTGATCATTGAGATGCTGGGTTGAAATGGAATGTTGTCACAAACATGGTTGGCCTGCAACAGCTTTTACGTACCACTTTGAGGCACTTTGATCCTGACTACAACTCTAATCCACTTTACCTTTTTTCATAGTTGACGGAGCAATCCATCAAGTTGCTGGCCCAGGACTGCTAGAAGAATGCAGATTGCTAAATGGATGTGAAACTGGTGATGCGAAAATCACAAAAGGGCATAGACTACCTGCTAAACACGTCATCCATGGTGTTGGTCCTATTGGAGAGAATCCGGATTTGCTTGGTAGTGTGTATACTAGATCTCTGAATCTTTGTATTGAGGTAAATTGAGTGTGTCTTCAACTAGCAAAAAAGAACTGTATGCTGACGATGGATATTTGGTTTAGAATGAACTAAGGACTGTCGCATTTCCGTGTATAAGTACTGGTGTATATGGCTATCCGAATGAGCCTGCTGCTAAAGTGGCGTTAACAGCTGTTCGAGAATGGATGGACCTGAATGAAAATTATACCAAGGTAAACCACATCGTTTTTTTCCTAGATGTCGTTTAGCCTCGGAGTTTTTGCTAACTTTGAACAAATAGATTGACAAGATAGTGTTTTGCGTCTTCTTGGAAAAGGATTTGCATATATACGCTCGCCTCATGGCAAACTATTTCCCACCCGCTCAATCAACAGCACCTGCTCAGCCAACAACACAATGATGATTCTAAAGTAATTTGTGTTAGAGAGATGAGAGATTGAGCTAGAGACAGCAACAACGACAATAATCGTTGACGAAAAAAACTAGTGTTTGTGTGTACATTTGTTCTCTAAGAAACACTGGTTTATTATTTGAAACGACCTGCTCTTTATATCTCTTTAATGATTGCTGTTATATGCTTTTGATATGTATCAAACTAGACTTGATTGGTTTTTAATGATAGTTCTTGTTGCACTGCTTTTGAAATGTATCAAACTAGTAATGGATCTCTAAGAAAACTGTAATGGGACATCTTCCTGTGTAATCTGTTCCAAACTCTCGCACCCCAAAGTAGCATATCTCGAAACCTGCACTTCAAGAGTTATACTATCATCTCTCCAAACATGTCCAACATCTCCAAATCTCAACTGCAAAAACCCATCCCATCGACCTTCACTATTACTAATCGTAGATCCAGTTCTGGTGCTAGAGTTTCGTCTTTGAGCCAGCAGGATCTTGTCAATAGGCGATGTGGCTTCCAAAGCGTGATCCACAGCATCAAGCACAGGCCCCGTGTCAACCTGTAATTCGAAATGGTAGAGTATATCATCATCGTCGTGTCTCTTGTACTTTTTCGGGTTTGGTTTGGGATCGATGAGGAGTCCTACACGTTCATCTGGAGTCAGCGACTTGAGTCGGTCTCGAGCTTCGCCGAGGGTGTGGGGCCGGAAGGTATGGTTGTATGGTAGTGCTAGACGTGGAGCTGGTATCAGTTGCTGGCTGTTCCATCCGTCAAGCGTATATACGACAGGGAGCATTTTAGGCAGATCGGATGCATCAGTTGATCGTGATCTAAATATCCCTTCAATCTTGCCATCGTTTACAGCGACATCTGGAGCATATGGGTCTTCCTCGACAGGTGTATCATGGACACTTAACTGTCGTGTCTTTGCTTGTTCGTCCTTGAAGAAGAATGACATTGTGTAGTGCAGCACTACTGGATTCTTTGCTGCAGCATCACCTGCTCTACCAATAGCTCTACGACATCGCACATGCGACACGATTTCATCCAACTCGTATTGCACAAGCTGTGCATTCTCCTTGAATGACACCGAGTTACGCGACGACATACTTCCAGACCGATCTCTAGAGCTATCCCGTGATGAAAGCGAAGACTTGCGAGGTAAAAACTCGGATTCCAAGGACGATCCATGTTTGAACCCTCCACTTCGATGTGTAGATAAATCCGAGTCTGAGCCCTTGTGATGGATGATGCTGCTGTTGCCACTACCGGTAGACATGGATGCTGGTCTAATATTTCGAGCAATGTTTTCTTCAGAAGAGTCGTCCGCTCGTTGTTTGGATGTTTTTTTGCCACTTCTGCGACCACGATCGACAGAATCATGGCTGGAAGAGTTTGTGGAGGATTGTAGATAGAGTGGGCGTGCTGTTGAGCCATGAGATGCTCTTCTTGTTTCAGATCTTTCTAATTCTTCCTCACTTTCGTTGGATGTTTTAGATGCTATAAAACGTTGGGTTGTAAATGGGTTTAGGTATGTGAAGATTTAAGCTTTAAGCGACTATCGGTCGGTGGCAACCAAATAGACAAGGTAAACATTTATACCGATTTTAACAGGTTTGCTCAGTGCCGATGGCACTGCAAGACTCCTATTTTCTCTCATGTTGACCAATGTTTTCACTAAATTTCTTGCAAACTGAGGGACTGTTGACTACAGATACGCTGATTTCGATCAGAAATCATCCACCAAATGAACGTATTTATGTAGAGAGACTCGCCACATATGGCTGTGAGAGAATGTGATAAAATTCATTAAATTTGACTGCTGAATCATTTTTTGAGGGTGATCCGTAAACGTTCTTTGACATTTCAGGTTTGACCTCGCAATCCAGAACATCGATGAATGATGAACGATCCATCTATGCTTTGTTCTAATTCACACCTTCCATCGACGCTTGACATCGATTTTCGCATAACTTGAGAAATTTTGATTTCAGTTGGTTCACAGTTTTTATATTCGTTCTTTTCGTTTTATACTATAATGCTTACTTTGGAGTTTTTATTTGTTCACTGGCGTCTGACATATTGTGCATTACCAGGTTGCTGCTGCGCGGGAGTTCGATAATCACCTCCACGAGCCGGTGGCTGACCATAACTACTATTGCCATAATCACGATCACGTTGTACTGGCTGCTGTTGTTGCTGTAATTGCATTTGTTGTTGTCGGTATGGATCAGGTCCACTATGACGAACATCTTCATAGTCATTACCAGGTCTGACAGGCCCACCACGATTTTGTGGAATGGGAGCAGCTTCTCGAGTTCTCATATTGGGCGACGGATAGTTACTACTAGTAGCTGAAGCTGGTTGACGACCTGCTCGACCATAATATGCATCTTCAGCAATGGGTTGTTGTTGCTGCTGTTGTTGAGGCTTTCGAGTTCCCATAGTGTTCTGCTGCCCATTATTATACATTCCTTCGTTTCGAGATGATGGACGGCTATTGTCACCGGATGGATACCAAGGCTGTTCAGTAGCTGAAGTCTGTCGAGATCGATAATCTAAATCACCTGCTGAACGTTCATCTAAACGACGGGGATCAACAGCTCGGAAATCATCCCGAGGAGGACCCACCATACCAGGACCTGCACTAGCCATAACAGGAGCACGATAATTCGAAGCAACCATTACTGGATTTGGGCCAGAATTACCCATAACACCACCAACAATAGGGACTAGACCTCCTGCTGGAGCATTCATAGGTATCCCAGCTACAGGAAGACGATTTGCTGTACTGATTTGGGCTGGCACACCTCCCATAGTCGGTAAGCTAGCAGCCATAGCAGGGACAATTAGACCAGTAGTTTCATCAATCAATTCAGCATGACCAGCTTCAATAGCTCTACCATCTTTCACTACGGTGCCTCGGACACGATTCGCAGCATCAACAGCCTCCTGGACAGAAGACGTTTCCAAAAAACAATACTGAGTACCCCTTGACCGAGAAAACCGTACATGCACCTTGTGTACTCGAGTTGGCAATATCAAGCTCTGAATCTCTTGCACTGACATATCAGCTGGAAGATTCGAAAGATAGACAATATGGGTTTCCTTTTCTGTTGGCCAATAATTCAATTGTGGTGCTGCAGCAACGGGTGGTGGCGGTGTTGGTGACTTGGAGCGAGCTCGTTTAGCCTGAGGAACAGGCGAATTACCACGACGGTCTCGACGATCCATATCATAAGTACGTTGGGCCAATGACGGAGACCGGGAACGTTTGTGATTATATCCAATATCATTACGGTCATATTGACTAGAAGCTAGACGAGGGAGTTCACGGTCACGATCTACACGTCCAATATCTCGAGCACGGATATCGTCGGTTCTACTAAAATATGAAGGATTAAGGTCCCTAGTAGGATAGTCACGACTAGAAATACGTTCACGTTCCCAGTCACGAGCTTCACGATCACGAGCTACGCGTTCTCGGTCAAGACGATCAAGCCTTTCAATACGATCACGTTCTTCTAAATCTCGTCTATCACGCTCTCTACGTTCACGGTCTCTTTCCTCCTCTCGTTCACGGTTACGTTCACGTTCTCTCTCACGCTCACGTTCACGTAAACGGCGTTCTCGTTCGTATTCCAAGTCTCGTGCAGTAGGATTACGAGTAGGTACGTATCGGTCAATACCAGGTGGTGGAGGAGATCGAGATGGTGGACTTGCTTCATATCGAGAAGTTATAGGAGCACGACCATCTCGCTCAATACGTGCTGGGGGTGCTAGCCGTGAGTTTATCAGCTCACGATCCAACCGAGATTCTGGAATGTAACGATCAATATCACGATCAGTGGGAAGACCTCGACTATTGGGTGGACCTCCGCGCTCACTAATACGATCCAAAATATTGGAAGGAGGCACTGGACCTCGATGATCACGTCCGTGATCACGTCCATGGTCTGGTGGAGACAATGGCATATTTAGAGCACGTTCCTGAGTTGCAGGTTGACGCCGAGGTGGTGGTGGTTGCTTCGGCGCTTGATGGGAGAGTAAACAGGATTGTTAACAAACTGAGATGAGAGTAGAACAATATTCCGATATTACCACAAGATAAACAACTTACGTGGAATAGTACCAGGGAAGGGATCCAAATCATTGGCCGGTCCTAATTGCATATTAAAAGTATGGTGAATATTCAAAAGTAGAATAGGGTCACTAATGATGTTAATTACCACTGGGAGTTGTAGGTGGAGGAGGACGATCTGTCCTTTTAATATTCAATCTGCACCTTGATACAACACAATTGACATCACGAGCGTTTCGGCCATGCTGAGGATCATAATATGAAACAAACCCAGCCTTTCGATTATCTCTCAACTTGCGCAAGATCTCAACATGGTCAATCTTTCTAAAGATGAAAGTTTGTTTGAGAAAACCGAACAGGTTTTGGTGGAAAATGGGGGGCAGTTGAGGTGTTGGCGTGAAAAAGAAAGAACTTCCACTCGCTCAACTTTCCAAAAAACAGCTTCCATCGCGCTCAACATCCAAAAAAGAAAGCCTTTTCCACTCGGCAACATCCATCTATGCAAAGGGAAAATCCAAGACTGGGGCTTGATTGACACGACCAACTCACCCAATCAAGCCTAAAACTTTACGAAGTTTCACGGCAGTGACTTCCATAGGCATATTTCCCAACCAAGTGAATCGATCAGCAACAGTGACTTCCGAACCAGAAACACCTTCACCAGCAGCATCTGGAACAGCAGCTGCTGCGGTGGTAGATGCGGGACCGTGACGAGAAGGCATTGGAGATTGTACAGCAGAGGAGGCCGTAGAAGTAGAAGGTTCTTCAATTTGAGTAGTAGACATGGCAGAGTCCGTATCAGCGGGAGCAGCAGTAGCATCAGCCTCACGTTTGACACTAGCGCGTTCTCCCTCAACTTTGATAACATCACTAGCAGTTGGTTCAGCAGCTTTTACTACTTCTGGGACTACACCTTGACTAACGGTAGCGGTTGTGTCGACGGCCGTAGTAGAGGCTGGTGGATTTAAAGGAAATTGAGCGGGGCGAGTTTGTGGCAATTCTTCAAGAGGCTCGGGATCTGAATCAAATCGACAAACACGATAAAAGTGGAAGTCGATTCTAACTTCTCCAGCAGTAAGAGCATGTCTCATCGAGTTGAGAGATTTATACTCAAAGACGATGATAGGGGAGTCACGATCTCGAATAATAGGGTTGCGATCTGGAATCATAATGTACCAGTCCATTTCACTAAAAATTGGATGGATGGATGGTTGTTAGTCTTGTGTGGATGGTTTTTGTTGTGGGAGTTGTGGGTGACAACTTGAGGGGCTTTTGACTTACCCAAACCTGGACAAGGCTTCTTCAATCTCGATAGATCGAATATCAGGTAGTACTCCGTCTATAAATTGAGGATATTAGTATGGGTTTATTTAATGGGGATATGAATCGTTTCAAAAAGACAACACTCTTGGGAAAACTCACCAACGCGTAGCCAATTGTCGGTAGGAAGACTGGGATTATCGTAATGAACAGGCTTGCGAGGACGCTTTAAAGTAGTAGAGATGGGGGCAGTGTTGGCGATGTCTGGTGGTGGGACCACAGGAGGAGGTTCCAACCAGATGGATTTCGGATGTTGGACCAAGTCAGATGTTTGAGCTTCCATGCCATCCAGCTGGCCAAGGATGCTTGCGACAGCAGCTTCATTATCGTCTACATCCATGAGACCGTTGCCATTATGTTGGTCGATGGATTGGGGAGGTTGGTTGACTTCGCTTGTAGTCATCACCGTTTGATTTTGAATTTCAGTGTCGTTTACTATAGTTTGCTCCGAGTCTTCCGCCTTGAAAGGATGAGTTGACTTTACTTCTTCGGTAGTGTCTCCAGGCGGCTCAATGCCCATCATTGTTGTCTGGCTGTCTTCGATATCTGGATGAGTAGTGGTCATTGATGTTTCAAAGAAAACCGAACGAAAAGACGTGCGTCTTCCCAACCATAAGTGTCGACTCGGTCAACAGACGAAGCAGACGTGATATAACACGTTATTGTAACATAATATATTTTTATAGTTTCTATCTATATTGACGCAACACCTCATAAAAGAAACCGTCAAGTAGACCGTTTGTTTTCCAGCATAATGAGCTTGTTGAGCACCGTTCATTCATCAGAATTTGATATTCCAGCTGGGTTTCAACCTAAAGTACGTGTCGACGTGTCGTCACGAACGCGAACTGGATTCCTTAAGCCTCATTTGTGTCGTTGAATGTGTGATTGTTTGCATTCCGCACAGCGTGTTCAACAGGCAGTGCTAATTTCTCAAATAGATCTTACAAGCTCGTAATTAATCATTTTTCGTCTCTCGCTCTCGCCGAATTTTGATCAAAATGGCTAGCTCTTCATCGCAATGGGAGGTGCTCAAAAAACAAGCTCGTAGTCTCGAACAAGAGATTGAAAATAAGCTTGTTGGATACTCAAAGCTGGGAAGTGCTGGTGTCGCCTCCTCTTCTGGAGGTGGTAATGGCCAAATGGGTGGGTTTGATGCTGCATTTGCTCTCGAGGAAGAGATTGACGACTTGCTTAAGAGAGTAAGTTAGTTCGTGAACTTGCACACGTACAATTTGTTTTCTTGCTATTGAACCTTTTCAGATCGTGAGAGACCTAATCATCATTTCCACACAGTTGACACAAGTCGTGAATGTTATGAGTTCCGTTTTAGACAATCCACCACCATCCATACCCTCCAATCCTTCAATGATGCACAATTTACAAAGGCATCGAGATATACTCTTCGATTACGGCAAAGAATTCAAAAAGACCAAAGTGAGGGCGTGGTTATCGCGTTGCTCGCGACATTGTCACTGACACCTCAGTCAACATAGTCCAATATTACGTCTGCCAGAGAACACGCAGAGCTTTTGAATTCTGTTCGAGACGATATAAGGTGTTGCATCCGAAAACCAGTATTGACTTTGATTCACAAGAACTCCTCACCAACTTTTGTTCAATTAGTTCCTTCAAGTCATCGCGTTCGCCTGAAGACTTTTTACTATCAGAACGCAACAAAATCGACAACTCTCACAACATGGCTGATATCGTGTTAGAGTAAGTGCTCGTTGAATACCTCGCGTGACGAATTAATCCAATTTTCTTTCTAGGCAAGCATATGAAACGAGGAGCAACCTGTCTAGTCAGAGGGCGAGTTTGCTTGGAACACGTGGGAGAATGGGAGGTGTTTTGTGTAAGTTGAATTGGTTGGTTGTTGAATCCCACTCTTGAGTTGACCTTTTCTCATTCACCCTCAGCTCGGTTTCCAATGATCACGTCGCTGATATCCAAGATTAATACCAGAAAACGACGAGACTCTTTAATAATGGCTGGTGTTGTCGCTGCTTGTATCATCTTCTTGATGATGTATTGGTTGAATAGGTAAAACTTTGCAATGTCGAGTCAAATAGATGTATATAAGGTACTATTGTTGTTTTCATGCGCGAGCTTCACTGATCTGATTGTTCGCATGCAGAAGTCAAAGACAACAGACAGACATCAAGTTGGTTCGTTGCAAAAGTCTTTATGTTTTTATCAGCAGATTCAGGCAAAAATATTAAGATTAAGATTGGATTAGATTATTACCATTACTAGGTCCAAAAAAGGGAGGAAGACTCGGGCTAAGAGACGATACACCCACGAACTGTCGCTCTCCGTTTCGACTCCTTTTTGCCATATCCACGAGCTTTAAGACGGGCTGCTTCTCGACAGAGGTTGAAAACACCATCAGAAGTCAGGCCTGTAATCAAGAAACGGATGTGAGTTGACGGTATTCCGCCCGAAGGCAACAAACCAAACCTCCATTCCGTCGTCTTCGTTACCTGAGACCTCAACATAACCTGCAGCCAGGGATAGTGCAGCTAGGCGACCCTCATCATACGAAACGAGTTCCTTCATCTCCAGGTGCAGGGACTTTGGGTCGTCCCGTATGTCTTTCTTGGTTCCCACGAGTATGATAGGCACGGTCCCCGTTGTATTCTCCTTGATCTCACGGTTCCACTAGATATCAACATCCAGAGTATGAATACACAAATTTCAGATCTCCAAACCAACAAATCGTGGTGCTTACCCTTGTAGTAGCGTTCCTGAGACTTTCACGATCAGACAATGAAAACACCAACAAGACCACTTCCGAGTCTCTGTAAAGAGCGCGACGTTCCGTAGATTGATGAATGCTGTTAGTGCCCGGATCTTGGATGATCACAGTTGTGGAATCAGCTCCAGAGAAGGAGAGTACTCTGCAGTCATTTATCAGCATGTTTACAGACTGGTCGGTGGACATTTCCGTTGGAGACTGGTTGGTACATATCCGATACATGGCATGCTGTAATGTAGTCTTCCCGGACTTGGCATCCCCCGTAATCACAAACCTCTTGATCATATTTTTTGGTGGTTGGAAGAATTGCGCAGGTCTGTAAATGTAACGAAACAGGGCAGGAAGAATAAAATACTTTTATTCAGAATGTTCAGCCGTAAATGCTGCGAAACGTTCGACGAATCGTGCCTCAGCTTGGTTGAAATCGACCTCTCACAATTGTCAAAACGGAGCCTTTCAGAAGATCTTCTTGCAAGATCTCGATTTTGCTGCCAAAATGGTTTGAAGCGTGTATTATTTGCTATTTGTGTTGAACTTGCTATTTGAATATTGTAACTGCCTCGCGATCATCATAACTTTGAAAGTTTGTCGTTAAAATGGAACATCAGTCTCTAGTTTTGATCTTTTGTGGCAAGTTCGTCTGTTCATCTTTGAATTTGGCAAGATCCAACCGGAATCAAATTCTTACTACTTCATTTGCCAATTAGGTCTACCTGCATCAGGCAAAACGACACTGGCACACAATCTTCGTGACCACATCACAAGCACCACCAATAGAAAAGTGAAATTGATTTCATATGATGACGTGATTCCTGAATGGAGGTCTCCGAACGGAGGTGATAGAGCTGAAGACTTCAAGATTTCCAGGTCGAAAGCTCTACAAGTTGTCCAGGATGTTTTGAAGTCAGTATCAGACCAGTACGTGGAACATTGAATTTATTGTACATGGAGGTGCTTGAAGGTCTCAATCATAGCTTTATATTAGGTCAGTTGTGATGGTCGACGACAACAACTACTACATCAGCATGCGATACGAAATCTATCAGATTGCTCGTAACTGTACGTAATAATCGCTGACCAAACCAATTCACAATTGGAATACCGTCCTTCGGGTTTCTTATACGGTTAAGATGTCTCGCTTACCACTCCATTCTTAGATGGTATCCCGTATGTTATCATTCACGCAGATTGCTCAAAAGAAGAGTGTTTGTCACGAAACTCCAAACGAGCAGTGAATGATCGTGTGCCTGATCTCATCATTGAGACCATGTCGGCCAAGTTTCAGAAACCAAACTTGATGTCAAACAGTTGGGAGCAATTCACTGTTATTGCTGATGCTGCAACATCATTGGATCTTGCAGCTCTATGGAGGCAAATTGATGATTCTGGGAGCTCTTCTCTCGTTTGGTTGCAGATCAAAGAAGAACGGGTATGTAAGGATTGTATTGATGCGGCGATTTGATTTTTACGTCTTCCATGCAAACACAGGAGCTCCCGTCCAAGGAAATACATTCTATATCTCTAAAGGAACGTCTAAACCTCGAATTAAGTAAAGCTGTAAATGTAATCATGAAGAGTCTAGCTGGAAAACGTACACCACAGGAACTCGCAATAATGGCCAAAACGATATCGGAAGCTAAACGGAATACCTTCCGAAACGCCATTATCGATAATGAAGATCAGATTGCTGATATAGTGTCTTCTTTTGTCGAGTCTGTCGCCTTGTAGATTTCCCTTTTCGTTTTTCCTCACATCACCGCTCCTGATTTGAGCCTTCGCCACTACAACACTTGGCAAATCCAATCGGTTAGATAGATGATATTGTAGCTGGCCTACGCATCGAGCATCATGCGGTTAGCCGACGTCTGCCTGATACTGGTGCTTTGCACGGCCTGGATAACAAGGAGTAACGCCCTTGCAAAGCTTGAACCTGCAGACGGTCATTTCTAGTACGTTGATGAGTAGGCCTGTTGAATGCTAATATCACCACTGCAGCTGAGGCTGGCATCAGCATTTAATTTGCGGTTATCAGACCATTGCTAACCAGCAAACTTCTTCTTCCTCGCAGTATAACGAGCTGGCTCGAAACACCTACAGACAATTCCTGGCAGGTTAATAGTAGGCTAGGACGAAACTTGTCTGGTGTGCATTATGCTCAGCAGATACCGCACATAGCAAATTCAACAGGTAAGAACACATCCAGAAGTCTCCTTGGGCATCTGTGACTGACAAGGTCGTTTTTCATAGGAAACGATACCAGTTCTTGGGTAGGACCTCAAGTGTTCAAGACTCAATGCAGCAACCTACTGTTCTTGACGCTATATCCAGTGCAAGGGTTGGATAAGATTGTGGATAGCGAGCTACAGTTTCTAGCAAACCAAATGTATGCCTACAACCAAGCTGGCATTAAGGTGCTAATAAGGTTTGCACCAGAGATGAATGGGAATTGGTTTATTTGGGGGCAGCAGGTATGGTGTCTGTTGATGTGATCCAGATTTGGGTCACTCTGACTTACTCTATACTTCATCTCGAATACTCAGCCGGCTGCATACAAGGCTGCATTCAGAGCTATCTATTATGCAGTCAATAATGTCACTTCAGACGTTGCTTTTGTGTGGTCGCCGAACTTGCAAGGTACACAAAAATGCGACAATTTGAACCTGGCCTGAATTGAAAGGACGACAAACAACTGTGGAAGACGCTTTGCTGATTCTGTACGTGACAATATAGGAGGTTATCCGTATCCAGGAGGCACTTATCCTCTGCCGACTGCAGGATCGGCTGATTTCAAAACTCTCGATACGAATAATGACGGCAACATTGTAAGCAAATATCAATTGCAGCAGGCGCTAGGTCTGCATTGGTGCTTGTTTGAGTAGTTTGCCGTTGCATTGGACATTTTTGTCTTTGGATTACGTTGTATCAACATACTCTTATGTTCCTAACAGACTGGACTCGATGACCCTTATACCCCTTACTATCCGGGCGATGACGTTGTTGACTGGGTATGCATGATGAGTCCAAAACCTGCCATGTCATTTACTCTAACAAAGACAAACACCATTTCATCTGCAGGTTGGCATGTCAATTTATTACTTTGGCCATGTTTGGCCATGGACGGTCAATCTGGTACCATATCCAGGCCAGTTTATTGACAATTTGTTATATGGCGGTACGTTTTCAAACGCTTTGACTTTTGAGTTCTTGCGGACAGGAAGGCTTATTAGACTTTTCTAGGCAATCCACCACCACTGGCAGCTGGCATAGGGTCATACAACTTTTACTCAATGTTTGTGACGAGTAACAGATCGAAACCGTTTGCCGTGTCAGAGTTTGGAGCTTCATTTCATGAAAATGGTACATACCCAGCCGGATACGTCAGCGTTGCACCAGGCCCTGGAGAGGTCGCAATAAAACAGAATTGGTGGAGACAAAGTATGCTGAATACGTCGTTTTACGCTCAATTTCCCAAAGTGAAACTGTTTGGATGTAAGGAAGTCAATTTTTGGTCACAAACCTCAGAAACAAGCATTCAATGCTAACAAAACTACCCTCTATTCTAGTATTTGAATTCAGAAAGTTTGAAGAAACAACCTTCCGTGACTTTCAAATAACAAACACGTCAGCTGGCAACAACGTAACGGCAGCATTGCTAGCCGACATGGACCTAATGCCATCCGGTATGATACTGTATGCCACACCGACGAGCTATCCGGCAGTCACTGATACAGGAACGCTAGCTCTGAAATGGTATCCAAGTGCTGCAACCCACACGATTAACAATGGCATCTCCTGGCTGAGTTTGCTACTAATCATTGCCATGATATTGTATATATAAGTTGAAGTACCCCTACACTTTTTTATAGCTGTAATAAATACATTGGACCTCTACAAAGACAACTGGACTCGATTTGGATTCTGTGGTTGTTATTTTTAAAATCTTATGAAATGCCGCTAATGCGGTTCACACCACACCGTACAACAAATTGTTGCGGTCCAATCCGTGGATATATAAGAATTTTAACTGATCTTGTCTCTGCTCTCTAGCTTTTAGCCATCTTAACTGATTTGCGACGAATTGACAGTTTGCAGAACGGCAAGGAGGAATTCTATAGAGACAGTCACCTAGATTATGATAAATCCTTGAATGTGACTGTCTAGAAAATGACTACGAGCTCCCTTAACGATCGGCTTGACTCCTAAACATCAATAGCGGCACCAAATGTAACTTGTGTTGATATATCGATCCAACACTGCTATAGACGTGTTTAAATTTTTAGAGTGGTCCACATTCCACAGAGTAAACGTGAGGATTCGCTTATGACATGCCACGTCTTTGTTGCAAGCTTGTATGGTTACTGCTTCTGTGACGAGCGGAATTTGAATTTTTGACTATTTAAAGCGACATCGTCTCCTACAATTTCTGCAACCAATTTCAACACAACAAGGTTAGACATTGCTAGTTTAGTAACTGAACGATTGCAGTAGTATGATGGCCACTGTGGTACGTTTCTTCACCCTTTCTTCTTATTCTGCTCTGTTCTGCTCGTCTGCAATTTTTAGTTGCATTTTGCACTCAAGACGCCACGCATCAAGTTGATGATGGTGAATTTGCTTACATCCCGTATCCAGTAACTAATTAAATCACTTTACACATATCTAGGCAACTCTTTAGCCAGAGCGGTCTGTCCATTTCCGTCCCATCGTACATCATGACACCCTCGGCGTGGGTGCTCCAATGATCTTCTCAGGTCGGGCGTCAACAGAGTCGGTCCGGTGAGGAATCTGTTGATCAACTGAGAGGTAGGAAACGTGAAGCCCGTTGGGCCTGGACGGGAGGTTGTGTTTGGAAGGGTTTTGTCTCTTCAACTACAGCCGACAAAACCGGGTAGCAAATCAAAGTCTTCAAAGTCTCTTTGCTTTTTCAGAATCCTATTGTAATTTTTTATCTTTTTGTATCGTAGTAAGCATATCTCTGCTAACGCATATACATCAACATGTTGCATGGAATCTTCAAAGCTTGTATTTTCTGAAGTGTTTGGACTAGAGATGGAAGGGAGGAAACAGAGAGTAACCGTCAGCTCAATTCATTCTCTAAGAGCTATTGACTGTGCATACGATGTCGTCGCGACAGTTTTCATATTTGTGTCGTGGGAGCACATTCGATTGTACACTTCAAGCCCAATCTACTTCACTTCAACAACTCAACCATGGCAAATTAGAGTAATCACACACAAGCAGCAGCATTCTTATGGATTTGGCACATATATTAAGACAACTGGAGACAAACAAATACTACAAATTTCGAAAGTATCAGAAATAATTCAAGAAAGAGTCCTTTAACTGTTGGTGTTTTTTAATAGGTTTCGTGTATGTGGGGTTTCCTGTTTTATGATATTATGGTTCCTGCTTCACACACAAGCCCTTTAATTATGTTGGTCTACGTATTATTTCTCATATGAGGTCTCCAAAAGTTTCGTATCCTTAATATACCATGGCTGTTATCTTCACTCGAGTCGTACTCTGATATGGTGGCATGAGACGACTGCTGACGAGGAGCAATCATACTCATAGTCCGTAGAAATCCAATTGTTGAAGTTGATCCAGCTTCAATAAAAGAATTCCGTGTAAATGTATTGCTTCGTCGCAATCCTTCTCCTCGAGTCAATGATGACGCACTACTATTATTATTATTACTACTACTTGTTGAATCGTTTCGGAGTGACATTGTTGATGATTTGGAATGTATTCGTATTGGTTTGGGTGGTGGTACTAGTGGTAGATCGATTTGATCATGAGACGATATTATTGGAGGCTCCACTATTGGTGCTAGAGCTGTTATTGGAAGTAGCTCGGGCAGATCGTCAAATGCCTTCAAATCTGGCATGCTGTGGACATTGATTCTACCAAATGAGCGTGTTCGTGGTATTGGAGTGGGTGGGTATTGGTGTTGCGGACTATTAGGATTACTGTTACTGTTATTATTATTACTGGCAGTCGAATCTGCAGCATAGGTGGTTATGACATCCGACAACTTCAAATCTACCGAAGCTCGACGATTAAATACAGCTAGTTGTTGGGCATCAGCGAGATGAACAGACCCTGTTCTCCAGAAGCGTCTGTTGGGCTCTCTCATAATGGTACTGCCAAATACTCCTCCTGTATCGATTGTTGGATACATGGCTGGAGAGCCTGGCGTTGGTGGTAACGGAGATGACCGTTCCGAAGAGCCATTATTTATAGATGCTAATGACTGTGATGACGGTGTTCGTTCCATAATTACTATACCATCATCTTCATAATCTGTACCTTCTGACGATGGTACTTCTTCAGTTCCATTAGATCGAGTACGACGTCGATAAAATATTGGAGAGTGATGAGTTGCCTTTATACCAAGGTATGATGCACTGCACAAGTTTTGTAAAGTGCTCATCCATGCAGACCGTTCACGTTCCGATGATGCTCCAAAGTCAACTCTCATCGGGAGATCGATATGCTGCAATCGGAAGGAATATGGTACAATGGCTTCTCGATCCGACACTCGCTTCAGCTCATATTGATCCAACCGTAAGAGTGACTTTAGATGATATACGTTGGCCTTCTTTGCCTTCATGATCAGTAAATGTTTTGGAAAGCAAAACACTCCCTGTTTGGATATATGTAATGTTGGTGAATATGATAAAAGCCAAAGTGAAAATACGATGCAGAAAGAAACCTATAGAGAAACTGCACGTACTCTGTACTTGATTTCAGGCACCTCCTTCTCCCAAGTAACAACCCAACATCCACCTCCTTTAGACATGACACCAATATTTTCTCCTGGATATTCTGCTTCTCCAAAGCCAGGTACAAAGAGAGATGCATCAGCTCCAAGACGGCGCAATAACCGTTCAGACCGTTGCGTATTCTCAATCAAGCGCCTCGTAGAGTCTACTTCACCTGCAATAGATTGCATAGTGACTCGAGCCAGAATGAGGGCATTATATTCAGAAGCTGTTGTTGGTGTAAGCCGTATCAGCTCGGATAGGAGAGTTGGGTATTTGCAAATCCTTTGAACAGGCTGCGTGATATTGTAAAAGTATGATTCGGTTATTGAATACTCGACGGCAAGAGCAAAAAACTGCATAACAGCGACTTTGGATTCTTACTTTAATAAGATAATCTCTTAACCCCAACCGTGTCTGAGCCAACATCCGAAAATCTTGCGTAAACGACATCAATTCAACAGAATTGGCATATTTTGATAGTAGCTGCAGGGTGCCATCATACTCTGTACAATATTGCTTATACACACCAAACTGGCCAGCCATGGTGATAAACACATGAGCTATAGCAACTTCACCGGTTTCATTATCTTCTGAATCTTTGAATGCTGTTTCAAGAGTATCCAAAAAGCGTTTTTGCACTTCAAGAAGAGGTCTACCACACTTTACTATGGCAGCCTTGTCCTGCCATGACAACCATGGTGCAAACATCAGCCGTTCAAAGCAGTACTAGAGGGAGAAACAGAGTACTTCAAAATGCCATTCATGCGAAAATCGACTCGGCAAGATCTTTTTTACCTCAACAAGATGCCTCAAATCATGTACATAACCTCTCTCAGTATCCAACAGTTCTCGTCTAGCCATGGCTCTCTTTACAGCCGTATACTCTTCCTCAGACATGTTTTTATTCGTCGAGCTTGAAGACGAGTCCAAATTAGTGCTAGAACCTGTACTGTACATTGTGGGAGACGATCTGGTCCATGTTGCATCACTACCGAATTCCGACGGCAGCGAGTCTGTGGTGAATACTGATGATGGAGGCCTAGGTAGAGGTACTGGTGGTCTAATCGGGAGTGATGTAGACCGACGTGGCATGGTTGGTCGTTTCACCACAGTAGTGGAACTAGATATGGACTGACGATCACCATCATGCGACGACTCGTTATCTGTACGATGCTTTGGTATGAAAGCTGGTGCGATCCTTATATGGGCTTCACCAGGACTATATGTTCGAGCTCTACTAAGTCGTGATGGTGGAATAGGCTCGTGTGTTGATATGGTATGGGGGAAGTCCTCAAACATTAGCGAATAAACTCTTGTTTTCGGACTCGTTTCTCCTCCGCTGTTACTACTAGCATCTAGATCTGGACTAGGGGTTTTACTGACTCGGACATCTTGCAATTGCAAGCGTTTCCGTCTCGTCATGGCATTCTGCCTTCGTAGTAAAGTGTTTGGCGACATGGGTGTTTCTGATGGTGACGGTGTGGTAGAAGGCGATCCTTCGTCCTTGGTATCTATTAGGTTGCGAGTATCCAATGCAAGTGGCCGTATTAATATTGGTGGTCTTTGCCTTGGTGCAAAGGAGAGCGACCTTGAGGGCGAGTCTTTGGGAGGCACATTTGGTGGTTCATTACTATTGACTTCTGGAGGCTCCGTAACGGTTGATGCTACTTCATTTACGATGGAATGCACAGGGACATGATATCTAGCAAACGTCCTATATGAGATTGGCTGATCATCCTCACCATAGTCGATCCCTAGACTCGGTATGGATATAGGTGGTATACTGGGAGCCTCATCATCCGTATTTACACCGGTTGATTCAAAACTTAGCTTCCTAGCATTCGTATTTCGTCCTACATAAGTGCTCTCCGATGTGCGTGGTTCACCCTCCGATGCAGAGCTAATGCTTCTTCTCGTCGGGGATGGATTTACATCGTCAAAGCTAACCGCCAGCTCTCGATCCGATGCTGGATAGGATGAAAGCAAATCATTCATCGTTCCCTCCCCACCAAAGTGTCCCAGAGCGTAGGTTTCCATCTTGGTGTTTGGTGATTCAAGATTGCCACTGCATCTCTAGGGCAAATGCATCCGATGAAGGGCCTACTAGGTAATATGAGGGTTATGAAAGGTAAACCACTTTGACCGAGTTTGTTTTATCGGTCGATGAAAGTGTGGGGTGATTTCGCTGCAAGTTTGGGTAAAGTTCTTGACAATTATGTCGGCAAGTTGTTTGGCTGATGTCGGAGCTTCTCTGAGAACACGAAGCGCGAAAGTCGTGATAACGCAGAGATATGCCTGGATAAATAGAACCGAGTATTCAAGCACTCATCACGATCTCGTATTGTAACATAGTGGTAATTGCACGTGTCTTATGCCTTATTGAAAAAGTTTACGAAAAACACAACAAAATGCTATTACAGATTTCTACGGTTTTATTGTGTGGGAGCACCACCTTGTTGCTGTTGGTAGGCGGCTAGTTGTGCATAATAAGTTTCCCAAGCTGCAACCTGCTGAGGGTCGTACTGTTGCTGCTGTGCTTGTTGCCCATATTGCTGATATTGAGCAGGGTCATATCCATATTGTTGATAAGCACCAGCAGCGTAATCAGTTCCAGGAGCAGCTTGAGCTTGTAGCGGAGGTTGAGCTTGTACTGATGGTGGTGGCTGAGGATTGTCGTAACCAGGAAAACCAGCATTTGTGTTGGTGAATCCTCCTCTTCCTACTCCTTGATATGGTGGTCGATAACCACCTCTATTTTCTTGACCTTGATATGGCGGTCTATATCCTCCTCTTCCAGCTCCGCCACCACCAGCACTGCCACCACCATCTTCTCGCTCTCGTGTTTTCTGCCTTTGATACTCGCTCTTCACAGTTTCAATCAAGTCAGTTGCCAGTTTTTTTGCAGTTTCAACACCAGCTTCGTCTTGGCCACTAAATAAGGATAAGTTTATTAGCTCAACAATTGAGTAAAGAACGAGAGTAACTCGTACCTGATTGCAATGTGTAACTCATCTGTAGCTTCTTGACCAGTAGTTTGATCAATAAATCCAGATCCACGACCCTTCAACTGCACCCGAGTACGAGTCTCTTGCTATAAGGGAATGTGAGATAAAGCAAACTCCTTACACCTAAGGATAAAACATTACCTCAATGTGCTTTACAAATTGACCTCCTGGACCAACAATCTTGGGACGAGTATTGAACGAAGGATCATCAATTCCTACCATGATCTTGGCATCAAAGTACTGTCGAGGTGGCTAAAAGGTTGGCGACTGTTAGACACAACATTCAAATCACAATCCTGTTGCAAACTTACTCTCTGTTGACCAGGCTCAAAGCGAGGACGAAGGAATTCTTGCATGGGAGCGGGAGGTGCTACATTCATCGAATCGTCTATAAGTTCATTAACACGTGCAATGGCCTTGTCCAATGATTCCTTGGTTTGAGCAACAATGTGCAAGAATAGAGGCTAAAAACACCAAGACGTCAATGAGAAATGTGTTTGTTCCACGATGGTGGCTGGAGATCACGTCTTACTGGGTCCTTTTCAGTAGCCAAAGCCTTGTCAGGATAGTATTTTCCACGAGTGATGACACTAGGGGTGTAAATTCAAGTTAGTGATGATATTCTCGTTTATCAAAAGGAACGAACGACCTACTCTGCATCAGTGTCACTCTTTATCTTCTTTTGCGTTTCACCCTTTGTGAGATTGTATCGATTCTTGATGTCATTGATTTCAATATCAGCAGCAAATTCCAATCTACTTCCATCCTTCTGTTTTCAGGAAGCATTTTTCAAAGTTAGCATCATTTTGGGAGGGGGTGAGAATTTAGTCGAGATTCGAGATAATAAGAAGAATGAGAGAAGGGAGGAAGAAGGAAATATGGTCAGTTATTCGTATGTATGTTTGTTTTTGATCCATACCGAACATTGTCGACACAAAATAACCCCTCACAATACAAAGAAATCAACGTTTGAGTCAGCAAGCAAACGGGTTTGTAATGTTTGGTCGTCATGCGTATTCAAAATGTGAAAACAAAAAACAATGTAATGAGACCAACCGTAAGTTGTTGTTTTGGGACATTGAGTCTTCATACTCACCAATTCATGAATCGTAGTCTTGACTCCAGTCTCGGGATTGACATCCACACGAGATGTGGTAACAGCCGTAGCCGACAATGGCGCAGACATTGAAAATGGCGAGTTTGTGGATGCTGACGGAGCACTGGCACCAGCAGGACGTCCTGCCAGAGCATTAATCCTAGCAGCGGCAAGAGCTACTAACTCCAGTGGATCTGGTTTTGGTAGTGTTGGAGCAGGTGTTGATGCTGACTTGGGAGCACTGTCATCAGAATCATATTTCTTGGATGTACTGTCATCACGTCTGCTGCTACGACGGTCACCACCATCATCATCGAATTGCCTGCGTCGTCTGCTTGGTCTAGGTTCATCATCATCCCGTCGTCGTTTATGGTCTCTACTACTGTAATCTTCTCGAGCGTCTCTTTCTCTGCTTCGACTTCTCTCTCTTCGCTGACCAGGCCTGGATTCTCTGTCTCTGTCACTCATCTATGTCTTGCTTCTAGTTATATCACGGATTTCAAGTATGGTCGTTGAAACAAGAAAAAAGTGGAGAAAACGACTAAAAAGACTGTACTTTTATCCTCAAAAGTGCATCCAGCTTGTATATTGAAGACAATAGAATATTGAGAAATCCTTGTAACTCGTTGCCCCTCGCGTTATATTGCGTAAAACGCGTTGGACTTTTGAATTTTGAATTTTGAATCTTTGAATAAGCATACTAGGCAAACCACAAAGCGAACGTTCATTCTGTACTTGCTTCCACGTGAAATTTACATTCCAGAACACGTCGACCCCGGTCTCAAACGCCGAACTGCCGCACATCTTGACATTCTCACACCTAAAAATCAATTGACGATGAATGGAGCTGGAGCGAATGGCGGCATATCTGGCGACACAACGCCAGCAAGCAAGATAACACAGCAGACTGCTCATTATGCTCGAGTACGTATTCTTGTTTCTATGATTCTATCATTCTATCATATTTCCCACTCCGTTTTCAAGAGTACCCAACACCTCCACTTTGGCACTTTAACTATAACATCAATGCTCTACTATCCTTTCTTTGATCAGTACTCTAATATCCTTTATTTTAACTGTATTCCATTCTCCATTACAACAGCTCTTCCAAAAATTCCTCGATGATTCAACACCCTACTACACATACCGATGGGGATTCACTGCCTTTGTATCCCTCATATACTTTATACGTGTCTTCTCCATACAAGGATGGTACATTGTTACGGTAATCGCGCACCTGTCATTCACTTAGCACCAACAATCACCACTACTTGACTTTACACCAACAAATACCACTACCTGAATTCTAACCCTTGCAAATCTCACACTAGTACGCACTGGGAATATATCTATTGAATCTCTTCTTGGCATTCCTACAACCGAAATTCGATCCAGCTATGGATTCAAGTCCCTTGGATGGCGATGATGACGATTCAAAGGAACAGGGAGGGCTACCTACTAAAATGGATGATGAGTTTCGGCCGTTTATTAGGAGATTGCCTGAATTCAAGTTCTGGTACGTGTTGCTGTTGTGGTGTGGAGAGACGCAATGCTTGAACATAGTAGTGTGTTGACCAAGTTTTTGATTCCGTAGGTACGCAGCGACGAGAGCATTTCTCATCGCTTTCTTTTGTACATTTTTCTCCATTCTTGATATACCCGTGTTTTGGCCAATTCTGCTGTAACTATGCCATTGCATCCTATCAGTTAAATGCAAGGTCGCTAACAATCTTGATATATAGTGTGTACTTTTTCATCTTGTTTGGAATCACAATGAGGAGGCAGATAAAACATATGATAAAATATCGATACATACCATTCAACTTGGGCAAAAAGACTTATGCTGGGCCTGGTGGTGGACCTGCAAATCAAAAGAACAACAAGTGAAGAACCACATGTATTTGAGTTTTGCAGAAACCGTGGAGCTTAATCTTGTAACTTTACCCTTTTTAAAATATCAGTTCTTCCTGCTCGACCCAATATAGACTTTGGCAGTTTAAACAAAAAAAAAAGACTTTATATAAGGACTTAGCACGTTTACAGTTTCACATAAACTTATATCATGGTTCTATTTTGCAAGATTCTCAATGGTAAAAACTACTACTGACTACTACTGATCTCAATATACACAATCTAATGCATGCGAACAACCCTCCCGAAAGTTCAATCCGTAATTGCAAGGTACAGCCACGACGTAGCGCCATCAACAAAGCTCTTGACTCGTGTTGTAACGGAAGCAGACCCCTCCCTTCGTCCTCCACGTATCCTCAATGCCTCATCATCACCATGATCTCCTTGTGAACCACCGGCTGCAGCAGCTCTCGCCAAATCCAATCGTACTCCTATCCTAAGCTGTTGACTAACCCTCCTCCATACTTCTCGCTGCCATCGTTCCTGTTCTGCTCTTGCTTCTGTAAATACTCTAGATTGTGGCCCAGGAAGCCATGGTAATGGGAGACGTCCTATCAGTGCTGGATGGAGATACGTGTGAAGCTGCAAATCATCATAATTACGTGGTGATATAGATGGAGTAGGAATGGATGATGGATTAATGTTGTTGTTATTGCTACTGTTATTCGTACTGGCAGTTGGTGTACTACCACCATTGGCTAATATGAGGTCTTGCTCATCGCCTGACGCTAGGAATGGCCAATGAGCTGCGTCTAGTGGCGTATCAAGTACACCCGTAACGTGAGACATTGGCGGTTCGATGTGGAATGAATCATCTGCTGCAGTTGCGGTACTACCATTCTCTGCTATCGTGATATGCAAGTGACTAGCATCATGTTCACTAGTCGTTTGTGAGGTAACACTATCTTGTCGGCTTCGATCGATCCATGATGGTGGATGATATGCGGATACTGGATCATTATCACGACGACCATTTTGAGGCCTTGCGGTGTCCTTTTCATCGTCTGAATCTGACATACCATCACTACTTAATAGCGGTTGTTGTTCGTCAGATGAAGACCTGGCTCGAGTCCTTCGAACACCAGCAATAGCTGCAGCTCTAGATGTCCTCCTTGGTCGTTGTCTCTGGCGAATGGTTTTCGATACTTTTTCGGTGGCGGCTACATCTTCAACTGCGACACTAGATGATGCACCATGGAGATAGCCAGCAGATAGTTGTTTGGGCGTAAGCCAAGGATTTGAGAGATACTCATTATGTGTTATCAAATCATTTGGTGAGACCTCCTTCAACTCTTTACCCATTGAAGACTCAGATCGCTCAGCAACATGTGTGAGCTCTTCAGGTGCGATGCTAGGAGACGTTTGTGTCTGCATGGCTTCTCTCCTTCCTACATGGGTATCTGGGCCTAGTTCTTGGACTATCTGACCAAGAATTTCCATGGGCACATTTCTAGTTTGTTTAAAATATCCTTGCTTCATCCACCTACAAAGTATTTGAGAATTTGATTTTTTCGTTAAGTCTTAAATTGTTACTTTTTGTAACTTACCAATAGACAAAAAAGGTTATAATCAAGAGAGGAATCATGGATAACAGGGTGTAAGCATATGGACCCCAAGTTGCAGCTCTGATAAACACAAAGTCAAACTTTTCAACCTCCGCTCCATCTCTTGGCACCATTTTCAGAGCAAGCACAGCCAACATCACAATCTAAAACATTGTCGGTCAAAAAAAACGCATAAAAAATGTGTGCTATATCTTGGATTACCTGATAGATGACTAGCCCCAGCATAGTTCGATTGACAACAAGAGGCACAAATCCGCCGAGGGTCTCGAACTTTGGTATATGCACATACAATAATTGATACTAAAAGTTGAATATTCAAAAGTTAGCCTTTAAAAACTGGCAAAAACCATTGCAGAGAGTTTACTTTATAGACAACCCATGCAATCCCAAAGCACAATGCACAAAATGGTAGGACGATGGGAAGTATTTGAGAGTATGTTAACCCAACTGCCAATATCAATAATGGCATAGGGAACTACGATAACGACGATGTAAGTATGTTGCTCCTCGCACTTTGCAGCAAATAGAAAGCCATGTAGTCTTTTTGCACTGCTCAGACACTCTTACAGCAATTCCATAATTGATGGAGGTCAGCACAGACGGATAGTAAGCATCTGATACATCTCTGGGACTGTTTCGAGTCCATGGTGCAAGTCGACTGACAAATGTCAAGAAAAGAGGACCCACCAACAGCAATTGCGCTGGAAAGATGGCAAAAGCCTGGACGATAATGTAATTGACCTATTATGGGACCGAGGGAAAATGAGACCGAGACAAAGAAAAAAAGAAGAATCTCTGGATTTGTAAATGCCGCGAAGATCCATACATAGAAGGAGGCCATTCTCGGCATGCTGTCGGCAAGAATATTAAGGAGAAGAGTTGGTTGTTGAATGACATCAAAGATGGAGATGGCATTCCAGACACTTCGAGCGATGGCGAAGACGATTACGATGTTGGTAATGAGATACCAATAGTACCTGTAGGGAAACAATCAATTGAAGCAAAGCAAAGCAAGAAAAGCACTATTAATGCAACAATGATTACTTGGAAAGCACAGACTGTTCCAACCAACTCAACGCTTCCAACCCTTGAGCCTGCGATAGATCTGTTTACGGGTATAGTGAGTTACAAGAGTAGATACAACTGATTTATAAGAACGGCGAACTTACAGAATAGCAAGGAGGGGAGCGTGGCAAGCCACAAGGAAGTCACCAACGCTGGTAATGCACCAGTCAACAAACTTCGGATGAATGGAGTCATGCTTTCAAACAAATCCTTCAGTTGTGGGAATAGCTTTGCCAATCCGGCTGGAGTCGTCCAACCAGCGAGGAATGCAACTAAACATGATAGTCGTGTCAGTGTAGCTTCTGTAACAAGGAATCTTTTGCCAACAGATCGTACTTGGAGTAGCAGTGAAGAAGACCAATACAATAAGCGACATCTGAACACCCAATCCTCTCATAAATTTGATCAGCGGATTGGCTGATGACGACGACAAGTTTGGCCAAAACACATCTCTCGGTTCTGGAGCTGGTCTAGTCATACAAGCTAACGGTCTCTTTCCAAGCAATATTTGAGAAGCCAATGTTGCAGATACGGGAGAATCAAAAGTAACGAATGCTACGGCTGTAGGTGTTGAATGTTCAGGCACTCGTCGTAAACGAGCGACTTCCAAATCCCATTCGATAAACTTGGCTCCATAGTAATCAGCCGAGTCTACTGATGATCCTACTAATCCCATAAATCCAGTACGGTGGCGAGGTCGGAGATGTTTTGGTACAGCGTCTAATTGAGCCTTGATTTCAAATATACAGGCTTCGTTTTTATCCAGCGGTGCTAATCTACGTGGTGATGCTACTGACGAGACTGAGGCTGAATCATTATCCAAATGTGATGCTAAGAGTTGTGACTTGAGATTCCTCCACCATTGACCACGACGTGATTTTACTGCAGCGTACAAACATTCCTAGTTCAACAACTTGTGAGCACATAACGCAAAAACAAGGCCATGTAATCATCTGAATTCTTACTAGCTGTTTCAGATAATACGCCCTCATCGCCACAGCCTCTCTCAGCTTGACCCATCGTCGACATATAACAACATTTTCAACAGTCCCGATACCCAATCCTTCATAGAATGAAGCGAGGTCGACTTCATGTCTCAGTTCTGATGGTATTCCAAACACCATGACAGAGCGCATCTCAATTTTACTCAGTTTCGAGCGTCTCAAGACATATTCCTGTTGCTGCAGTCGTAGGGCGATAAAAGACCTGTAAAATCGAATGACATGATAATATACGATGAATGTGAAGATCCATGTGAATACGATGTGTGTGCTGAGGATTGAGTACGATTGGTTTGGTACGTTCTCGATAGACATGAGAGTGAGCCATTGTTCCTATATTGCGAATGATTTAGTTCTTGGCGAACTGTAGGGGTTGCAAACTCGAGGAATCAACAAGTTACCTCACTGATCTTGGCAGGCAAATCTCCCGAAGCGGTGACATTCAATGGAATCAAGACAAACGCACTATATAAGAATGATATGTTTTGTTGAGTGAAGTGTCTCGAGCTTAAATCAAGACAGTCCGACAGACTCACCCAATGACCGATAGCACTGCGAACAGCTGGCAGCACATCTTCAAGAATCGCAGCAACTAGAAACAAGTGCAAGTTTACACTGTCAGCACGTGAAGCAGATGTGTGCATATATAGTTTAAAGTTTACCATAGCACCGTCGAGCCCAACATTGCTGATCAACTCTGCTTCAGTAACGTAGAATATCGGTACTAGCCAAGACAGACATCCTCTTGGAAGCTTTGGTGGTGCAACTCTAGTAGAAAAACAAAAACCGTCAATGACCAGCACACCTGTTCAACAAATGTCTGAACATCCCGTTCCGTTACCGACCTCTTTAATCGTAATCGAGGCGAATAAGTCAACGGAAAGAATGCTCGAAAGATTGAAAATGCAATGATGAAAGCAAGCCCAAGAGCAAAGTACAGGCCAAGAGCCAGCGAAATGCCGACTAGGAGAAACTTGCAAGATTAGCTTTTTCAATCAGGAAGGATCAAGAACAAGTACGAACGATACCTGGTTTGTACACCTCTGGATCCTTGGCACTCATTCTAATTTCCTTATTCAGTCCATGTAACGAGCTGTAGCATCAAAGTTGGGGTTTTGTCAAAAACCAGCCAAACACGATTATTGAATGGACATACCCAAACTTGCTGGACGCGACCGGAACGTTTTGATGGTTATTATTTACGCGTACCTACCTATCTACCGTTTGAAATTGAATCTCGCCATCGAAACAAGTTGATATCAGTAGCAGAGTCGCTAACGATCTTTAAGTGACTTTCCTGCGACTAGACCGCCTACAGGTACGAAGAGAGACTGGAAAAGGGACGATCCAAATCTTGCTCATAATCCATGATCGTCCATCTCCCAGAAAACTGGCCTCAGAAAGTTTTCATAATGGTCAGGCTTTGCATTGCCATAAAGCTTTCAATAAAACAACAAACCTGAAGCTCCCAACCGCTGAAGCGTGCACTTCATATGAGCTCTCTGGACTCGTCGTAGGCTCCTGGATGTGATGCATCCCCTCATGAATGCCAAATACCTGCGCTCTGTGAGGAGAGCTTGCAAGTCAAACAGGAAATGGTGGATGCATGCAATGATTGCCTATATCATATTGATAACCACGTCCAGGGCCTATAATCACTATCAGGAAACTTCTGTTACCGATGCGGTGGACTCTGAGCTTGTAATGGACCCCAAACTAACACCAACGATAACGATGCTGTATATTGATACCATCCAGGACACGTTTTCAGAGGCAATAATGAGGAATCGTATGGAGTATTGTACGATACATGACATCCACCTCGTAGACTTGAGCGATCGTGTACCTGAATACAATACATCAGCTCAATGGGTGAGTGGCACTGTCGCCAAACGCAAAGACTTGACTACGCTATACATGATTGACAGCTCAGACTCTTTGCATCTGTAGGCAAGGTACTTTGGACTGAAAGAGCTACTGGCTGCAGATCTAGACCCAAACCACTGGCTGATTTGGTTAGATTCTGATGTTTTAATCACGAACATAAACCAACGATTTGACCAATTAATTCATACGTATGGTACCGGAACCACTGATCTCATAATATCAAGAGATCCAAGCTACAAGAAATGGGTTGGAAGGAATACTTCCATAGTAAATTCTGGTGTCTTCTTGCTACTGCACTCGCAGTGGTCTAGAACATTTATAGATAGGATGCTGGACTCGAGACACGCTCGTGATGGAATGACGGGACTCGTAGATCAGCGTATTATGGCAAATATTTTGTTGGAGCATGAGAACCTGAAAGCCAAACCAATACAACCACATGAAACGCACGAAAAGGTGACTGTAGTAGAGAATAGAGAGCTCAACGGCTTTTGCAGACCAAATCAATACTATAGAGGAGACGTAGGACTATTTTCTTGGAAGAAGGGGGACTTTATAGCACATCTGTCTAGTATATCGAGAGCAGATAGAGTGTTGCTGTTGCCAAAGTTGGTGGAATATATGGGCAACGAAAAGGCTACAGCTGATGATAATCCGTGTCTACCGCCAACGATGTCTAGAGTATGGAGAAGAAAGAACGGATCTGGGAGGAGATAGTGTATGTTCGTAGGTGAATATTGCAGATTACAATATTGTATATAACACACGTAGAAGCTAGAAGTATCATATATCATAATAATGACCCCATCATATTCGGCCTTGATCCTGTCTTGTTCCTCTCGTACCTTATGAAACGACTTGCCAATACTACTTCGCACACTTCGCATCTCATAGATCCAAACGACGCAATGTTGATTGCACTCTCCGGACCACCATGCTCAGGAAAGGACTCTCTCATAAGCTACCTAGTATCCCAGCACGATTTCACTCATCTTCGCTTACCACCTCCCCAACATTCCTCAAACCGTCAACTGTATAATGAAACAGACGATACGATAGCAGAACTATGCTTTAGCAGTGCTGAAAAGGCATTAGAATATATATTAAAGAAGGATTGGCGTAAGAACTATGTTCTCTCGCCTATTGAACGGGTCGTTGATGCGCTTGACATCAAGAGGAGGCCATTTGCGCTTTTGGTTTCTGTAGAGGTTTGGTGCCTTGTATTGAGAATAGTTTGAAATATGGAATTTAATATTGATGTTTGATTTACTGTGCTTAGGCTCCTACATCACTTCGCTATAAAAGGTGTCGTGAACGATGTGTGTCAATAGGTATAACTCCTCCTACTCTGGACGAGTTCGTATATGGTGACGATCAGCACATGTATGGAAGTCTATTCATTTCTACCCCATCAAGTGACGGTACCATAACTCCACCAACATCATATGACGACGACGACACCACACTCTCCACAAACCTCGCATCAGCTCTAGCACTATCAGACTCTCCACGTCCAAACCTCCTCACAGACGAAGCCCCACCATACTCAATATACAACGTTTCAAGCACCGCAGACCTCCACATACTAAACCACCACCCAACAATCACCTCCTTCCACCACCATCTCGCGTCTCTAGACCTCCTCTCACCACACCGTCTGCGTCCCACCTGGGACTCGTATTTTATGAAGATGTGCGATCTAGCTGCTCGGCGCTCAAACTGTATGAAACGACGTGTGGGGTGTATTTTGGTAAAGGAGAATCGAGTTGTCGCGACGGGGTACAATGGGACGCCGCGTGGGGTGCTGAATTGTAATCAGGGCGGGTGTCCGAGGTGTAATGATGGTGCTGGAAGGGGGGTTGGGTTGGATGAGTGTTTGTGTTTGCATGCTGAAGAGGTATGTGACATCAAGAAGTTTCTGAGGAAGTCTTTTGTTCGTGCTGATCATCTATAAAACGTTTCCGCGTGCGTTTAGAACGCACTGCTAGAAGCTGGTCGAGCACGTGTCGAACATGGTGGATCTGATTCTGGTGCTATCTTGTACTGCAACACATGCCCTGTAAGTATCCACAGACCAAAAAACAGCAACCGCACAACATCCGATGATGAAAGTCACTCACGAGGCAATTTACTTCCCTTTACAGTGCTTGGGATGTGCCAAAAAGATCATTCAAGTTGGTGTTCGTGAAGTGGTCTTTTCGCAATCGTACGGAATGGACGAATTGACTGAAAAACTCTTGTCACAAGCGGGAGTGAAACTGCGACAGTTTGCTCATGAAGATTATATATAAGATCGTCATATTGTTTGATAGAGCCTGTGACAAGAAATGTGATATAAAACATTTGCCAAATGTGCCAGCTTTTTGCCCGTGCATGGAAGTTGTTATGTAAGCCCGTAACGGGAACGTGACATATAGGAACAATGAGACCACATCAGCCTTTATCTTTTTTGTGTGCATGAAAATGGTGTTCTATTAAACTACGATTTTTTGGCAAACCCAAAAGGAACAAAATATATAAAAAAAGAATCGCTAATCTCTACTTAATACTTCCAAATTTCCCTTCAATCTCCTCCCCATCCTTACGGAAGTTGTTCCCCCTTAATGAGAAACCCACTCCCCTCACCTCTCTCCTTGCCAAACTTTGTCAACAGACTCTGCTGATGCTGATTCCTCATGTTATCCATAATCCCCTTTCCAAAAGTTTTTACACTACTTCCTATGTTGTTGCCACTGTTGCCATTCCTCTTCTTTCCACCACGACGAGACTCGTTATCAGTGCCAACTTCAGCACCTGAATCATTTGGTCGATCAGTCCATGGATTAACTGGCGGTGACCTCATTTCGATTTCTTCTGGTTCGTCGTCTTCTTCAGATGATGGTGCAAAGTTCCGTTCAATGTCTGCGTTACTTGGCTGCTTAAATGTGGTTGACTTGTATGATAAGGTGCCGTTAGAAGTCACTTTTTTACCACCATTACTATTACTACTATTATTATTACGTCCAGTGTATGACCGAGATCGAGACGTCGTCGTGTTTTCAAATGGATCTACAATCGGATCTCCCTCGACAATAACTCTTACTGGCATACCAGGAGCAGCAGTAGATACCGAATCATCCCATGGCGAGGCATCAAATATAGTCGTCTTGTCTTCAGGCATCTTGTTCCATCGTCCAGCACCGCCAGTAAGCACAGGGAAATTACCACGCGAGCTAGGTCCAAAGAATGACTTGTTTCTACTACCATCACCATCTCTGTCTGGTCGTTTACCCTTCAAGTGACGACGCACAGCTCGTGGCATTTTAACTTGGAAGTTGTGCTTTTCGCCAGTGTTTCTGCCACGTCTGTAGCACCACCATGCGAGACCGAATAGCACCAGGAGGAAGATGAAGAGACCTACTACTACTGCAGCAATCAGTTCTGCGTATTTGGAACCATTGTTTGGTGCTGCAGGTGTTTCGGCGCCTGGCAGTGGTACGAATATGGATTGTGCGTCTGGTACCCATCCGAATTGTGGTGGTTGGACCGTGTCGCCGTCTGCTAGTGCGATGGCACAGGATGTGGTGGGGAGATCTGGGATCTTATATAGAGGTACGTCACATGTTGGGTTCAGGAATTCATATGCTTGGGTATCTACGAAAGAGTCATTAATACTAAGCGTCAAGCCGCTTTATGTGCAAAGAACATCTGCTTGGCATCATCACTTACTACTGGAAATGTTTCTGAAGTAGGTTGGGAAGGTCAAGTTGGTATATGGACCATGAATCATTTCCACAACGTCTATAAAAAAGAACTCAAAATATAAGTCGTGATGATTTGACAAAAATAAAAAAAAATTAAAACGGTTCGCAACTAGGGGAGGTATACCTAAAAGGCTCGATATAGGTTGTGCAGGGTACCACAATGGCCAAGCTACAAGAAATACAGTAGTCAGAATACGAATCCACGCAGCATAAAAAAAAGAAGGCATCTGTTTTACCATCATAAGCTTTGGGAGTCCGGGTTCTATCTGCTCTATATACAGCTCGATTATTATAAAACTTGTATGGGACGGAGATTCCAGCCTGGTAGGTCATTCCATAGTTGGTTTGGAAGGACTCAAACGTATATACACCGTCCTGAATAGGCACACTAGAATCATCATTGGTTCCACCGACAGCCGTGTTGTCCAACAGATAATCAGCAGCTAATACACCCACTAGCATGTTAGTCTGATCTACAAAGTATCCCGAGTCCGGCATTGCGATAGGTATACCAGCAGCATCTTTTATCAGTTGCTGAGAGTATGCTTCATCAGGAGATACATATCTCCCATTCTCGAGCTTGAGCCATGCGACAATGGGCAGATTGGTTTGACCTACAAATCCACTGACTCCGGATACTATGCAAGTGTATTCACCAGCGACACGACTGAATAGACGACCAGTCCAATCATCGAGATTGTAGAATGCAGCGAATAGTTTGATCCATTCGAATCTAGCCATTGGTGTGATTTCGCTTTGGTAGAGTGTTGGGACTTGTGGGGGCAATGCGCTGGATCCTGCAAAGAGCGTTCCGGCAAAGAGGATATCTGCTGAGACTGGTGGGACACCACTGCTTGGTAATGCCTGGATACTGCCGTTGGTTACGGCTGTCTGCATACAAGGTGAGATGATGTCGTCCAAGTTGGTTGCAGAGGTTACTGAGCCTCCTTGACCAAATCGCTAAAGTGGGAAAAAAAGTCAGGGTATTGATTCTGAACATACAATATGCATTTGTGGTAGTTACCTCAATGTAACGTATACTGGGCATGTCAGCAAACGCAGCACTTCTGACTGGGATTGACACGTAGTTGGTAGCTGGTATACCAGTTACATTTGGTTGAGGGTTGTTGCACAAGTCTACATAGTAGTTAGTGAGGTGTAAGCAGCCAAGATATTAAAGTAATATGAAACAGGGTAGCAAGCAAACTTACACAATACAAAGACTGTTGGTGGACTAGTGGCAGTAATATTGACAATCTTGTATGTGTTTGTGTATGTAATCGTAAAGTACTTGGCATAACCTAAAGAAGAATTCATACATGAAAAGGGTAAGTATAAACGATCTGTTGTATAATTTGCGTGGTTTGCCTCAAAACCACCACAAGGTGTTTCCGTGGTCTCATTCCAGCTGGAAGGGGTAACGTTGCGACAGCTGGCGGTAGAAAAATGCCTCGAAAATATAGAGCGACTTGTTCCCTTGTCTTATACAGGTTGTTCATCCAATACACTGCCGCGGTCAGTGTATGGGCAATTCGGACAACGAGCAAAAAAAAGCAGCAATAACACAGAGACCATAGTAGTGACTTACTGACTGTAGCCTGATTGTTTGCAAAGTAGTTTACGTTGGCATCGTAGCTGTTTGGTCTAATGGGACATGGGTCTTGCGGAAAAGCTCTGACTATCGAGCACCATGCCAGGAGTGCTATGCACAGAGAGGTGCTTCGAGGGAGCATTCTGGAGGTGTCTACAATAATGTAATAATATAGCCAAACTAGCGATATATCTGAGCCTCTGTCTCTCTCCACTTGGTTGTTTTTCGTCAATGTTTGCAATTTAGTTGGGAAGGGAGGAAGGCAAGTCTGCTTATATTGATTGATGCGAGCAAAGACAAGGAGGAGAGAAGAACTGATAGGACTCCAAAGTTGCTGCTTGAGACCGTAATCCGACACTAGTACCAGTTCTGATCATGAACAAGTATTGGATCAAACTGTCTTGCTACTTGCGGTGTGATGAATATGGATCAAACCGTGTTTTCTCGCAGCTCTGTAGTGTATTTCGACGTGGTTTACACATAGAATGAGTAAAACTACGTTTCGTTACTATTCCCTGGCCCAGTACTTGTTGATCGTGTTCGCAGTCGCCAACAAACATCCTACCCAATTACTACTGTATGGAATGCTGGCAGCTCTACCCGATCAGACCGTCCTATCACCTGCAAAGGCATCCAATGCCAACACAGCTCCAGGCACGAACGATGAAGAGGCCCAGTACCTGTCCCTACTAAACCGTATTCTACAGGAAGGAGAAACACGTCAAGATCGCACTGGAACTGGAACAAAATCCCTCTTTGCTCCTCCTCAATGCAGATTCAACCTAAAAGACAACATATTTCCCCTCCTAACCACAAAACGGGTCGCATTCCGTGCCATATTCGAGGAATTGATGTGGTTTATTCGGGGATGTACTGATGGTAAACTGCTCGCTGCTAAAGGTGTAAAGATATGGGAGGGTAATGGTAGTAGGGCTTATCTGGATTCTATTGGTCTGAGTCATCGTAGAGAGGGAGATCTGGGTCCTGTCTATGGGTTTCAGTGGAGACACTTTGGTGCTCAGTATGTTGATGCTGATGCTGACTATACTGGCAAAGGAGTAGATCAGTTGAAACAGGTATTGCACAAGATTGTACATAAACCACAGGATAGGCGTATTGTCCTTAGTGCTTGGAATCCGGCTGGTAAGTCACTGCTGCTGCTGCTGCTGTGCTTTCATCACTATTAGGTTTGATGGAACAAATCATAGTAACGTGTCATAAACCATGTTTGCTCCATGTTCATTAGACTTGGCAGTAATGGCCCTGCCACCATGCCACATGTTTGTCCAATTCTACGTATCACTCCCAACATCGCCAGGCACCAAACCAGTCCTCTCATGCCAACTATACCAACGATCTTGCGACATGGGACTAGGGATTCCATTCAATATCGCTTCATACTCGCTATTCTTGATCTTGGTCGCTCACGTCACTGGATGCACGCCTGGAGAATTCGTGCATTGTATGGGCGATACTCATATATACTTGGATCATGTCGATGCGCTTAAAGAGCAAATCACTAGAACTCCGAGGGCATTCCCGACTATAAAGATTAAGAGGGCTAGACCCGAGGGGGTATTGTCTGATGAGGAGATGGTTAGGGCGCTGGAGGCGTTTCAGTTTGAGGATATTGAAATCATTGGGTGCGAGGATGGTTTTTCTTTGCTCCTTGTAATTGGACACTTGCTTTTACTGAATTTGAATCTTCTATAGATACAATCCACATCCAACCATCAAAATGGCCATGTCTGTATAGTCAATAACTGAACGAAAGGGTCCGTATGTGTATAATTAGAAAGCCTGTCTTGTAAGAAGTCTGTATGTATGTCTAGAAGAAAAATATTCTGCAAATCACACCACAAAACACCATCTGTTTTGATACCCTCATCTATCTTTTTACATGATTTCACATTTGATAACTATAACTACTTAATTACTTTTCTCATTTGATACACTATGTTGTATGAAGATTCTGTTTGGATCCCGGTCTTTTGAATGACAGTGCTCTGAACAATCCAGTCTTGGGAGATGGTTCAGTCTCTCGTACTTCTTGTATAAGTTTGTCAGGAAGTGACGGCAATGATCTTTTCAACTGACTTGCTGGACTTGGCGATGCTGGAGATGGATTTGGTCGACCATTAGGTTGTTGCATGATAATGGCAAAGACGTCTTGCGGTGTTGGTGCAGTGGGTTGTTGAGTAGCAGCTGCTGATGTTGATCCTGCTGTTGGTGGATTGCCTGCCTTTACTGGCGGCGTACTAGCAACAAGACGTTTACCACTTGGCTTGGTAGCTGCATTAGGCACAGGTGGTGGTGGACCAGCTACAGATGAAGCCGACGAAGTCACTGTACTACGACTAGCAATAGTAGCTGCTCGTCGCAACGGAGCTGGAAATCCACTCTTCTTTGAAACCGGTGATGCTTCTGATGGTTGCTTGTTCAATTTAGCTGGCAATCCATTTGCTGATACTCCACTACCCTCCCGTGAATGCACTTGTCCCAGTGTGTCTGCGATTGCGGAAGACCGGTCCTTGAGTTTTGTGATTCCACTTAGCGCCTCGTAACTCTTTGTCTTTGGTTCATCTTCTCCATCCTTGGGACTCATTAGCAGGGAGATGCGATCTGAGAGGTGGCCACCACCACCAGCTTGTATTATTTCTGCAGGTGATCTCGTGTCCTTTTCGGCGGTTGATGCGTCAATCTTGAGTGGTTGGCTAGAGGGACGTCCAAATGTCGTTACACGTGGTGCCGTTACTTCTGGGTCGACAGGTAGGGTTTCTGGTCTGCTGCTACCCGAGTGTCGTTCAGCTTGTGACGGTCTTCCAGCAGATACAGATGAATCCCTTGGCATGGAAGATACGTCTTCGATTCGGCTTGTTCGTACATCGGATTCATCGTCGTGTACAGAATCCGTGGCTGTTGAGTTTCTAGCTTCCTCCGATACATGACTGCCTTCTGATGGACCATCAAATAAGCCAGTGAGAGCTCCATGAGCGCCTTTAGCCCCAGCTGCCTTGTTTGGAACTCTGATTGACTTTTGTTGTCGAATAGACTTGCTGCGAATAATTGGATCCAATACAGGTGCAGGTGCTAGACTAGGAGGTAGAGGACCAGTCAAAGTTCCATAACTGTTTGGTATGATTGGTAATGGTCGGTTTGGTGGTCCTGAAACTGGTCGACTAGATGCTACAGAGCTCGGAGCAGTGGAGGCTGATTCAGCTTGCGTAGTAGCGGTCATGGGTTCAGTCTCTGTAATCTGAACTTCTGGCACCACTGCAATCGATTCTCGTTGTTGTTGTTCCTCAACGACAGGTTTGGTGACATCTTTTGCCAATGCTTGCAGCAAGTTTGGATGTGCTTCTAGCACTGGTGTTGAAACAAGCGAGTTTTGAGACCATTGACCTTCAGATGCTGTTGGACTGTTTGCGATTACACTCATGGCTGGACTCATAGCTGGTGTAGGTGATGCGAGTTGACTGCCGGGTCGTTCGAGTCTTGGAGCCTTCATGACGGGTTTGGAAAGCATCATTGGCTGAGAGCTCATCACGACAATAGTAGATGATTCAACTACTGCTTGGGAGGGCCCGGTATTGATTTGCATGGTATCCGACATGACTATAGACAATGGTCGTGAAGCAGCAGGTACTACACCCTTCGTTGGTGCTTGTGCTGATCCAGTATCACTCAACGTGGTAGGTGCAGTGACTGGTTTTGCTGCTGCTGAAGCGATCTGGTCATTGAATTTAGCAGAGGCTTGTCTAGCTGCAATAAACATGTCTCGAGCAGCTTGTAAATCGACTGGGCTTTCAGGTGATAGAGCAGATCCCATAGTATTTGCTCTTCGTTCTCGACGAACGACGCGTTTGGCGACTTCCATTTGTACAGGGTTGCGGTGTACGAGGATTGGTGTTTCACCCGAACTGGAGGTAATTGATTGACGTGCCTCAGAGATGATAACTGAGTTATCGCGTGTTGTTGGGACGATTGTGGCGACGGATGTACGCTAATTGGAGGTCGGCTTCGTTAATTTTTTGCCTTTAAAAATGACCATAAGTAAGCACTTACATCACTACGTTCCGCAGGAGTATTCACTTCATTCCTGTCATAAGGCGAAGTAGCATACAATGCCAATAAATCATCAGAAGAATCTGCAGTAGTTTGAGTAGGTATAGTTATAGCAGCAATGGCAGGATTTCTTGGCTTTCCAGCCTCTCGAAGCTCATCAATGGCCTTCATCATCATTTCTTCAGCACTGGTATCTCCAACCCTGGACAATGAATCAGTGCTTTGAGTTTTGACGATTGATTCTTGTGCTGGTTCTTGCACTGGCTCTTGAGCTAGTCCTTGTACAGCGTCCTGTGAAGCTGTTTCAGAAAGCACAGCTATCTGATTGGAAGTGACATCAACCATAGATCGTTGAGGCGTAGGCACGGCCAACTGATTCAAACTAGACCTCGAAGCAGACAAGGTCAAATTTTCTCGTGACGATGACTTCATTTCCTCTCTCGAAGACTTGACATCTTCTCTTGAATTGGACCTTTCGCCCATACTTCTTTGAGGAACAAACCCACGTTGAACTATACTGGGTCGTTGTGCTACACTAGCTCGTTGAACAACAGATGGTGCAGCTTGAACGACACTGATTCTGGCTGCACTGTCTCCAGTCATTCCAGCCGAATCTGGTGTCATTGATGCTGAAGTGACGCTGAGTCGATTGGTACTGGTTTGCTCGATAAATGATGCTGGTCGTTGACGTGGTTGTGAAAGAGCAAGGATTGTCTCTTCTGGTATTTGAGCAACAACGCTGGCTCTTTCTTGACATATATCACCGGCAACTGAGTCTCGTGTAATCGAGGAGGGAGATGTTGGTTCTGTTGTGCTGAGTCTCTTCTTGTTGACAAATTTGATTTTCTTCTTGCCCTAAGCAAAACACTTCTTGTAAGACGCGCAACTGCGGCACAATTTCAAGTATGAATCTCTTACATCGCTTGATTGTGTTACTACACTAGTTCGTGTAGATTCGACTTGCACTACTTCGATATCACCTTCGTTTACTTTGTCAGAGCCCTGTTTGAGAGAGAGAGAGAGAAAAACCTTCAGTTTTGGAATTCTAATAATTTTCAGCTCACAAAAGCCTTACAGCTGACGAAGCAGTAAATCCCTAAAAACATTGAATGGTCAAAAAAAAACACATTTCAGACGGAAATACGTTCAAACACTTACGTCTTGAACCACACTAGCTCGCGCATTATCACTAACAGGCACGCTTATTCTACCAGCTCCTATCTCAGATGAAGCGTCCCTCTGAATCTTGGTCGTATCTTCCATCTTATAGAGCTGTTCATCCAATCTCGAATCCGAAGTTTGACTTTCAACAGGCGATACACCTGTAATCAGCATCGCTCTAGCAGACCACGGTTTCATCGACTCTGGCAATGATGGAGTATGAGCAGCAGGTGTAGAAGCCAAGCCATTTAAAGCAGGTGACAGCAAACTGATGTCTCCAACAGGATTGATGTTGGCTTTATTCACCACAATGGGGGATGGGAGTGGTTGCTGTGGCATTAACGGACGGTTCTTGGCTATGGATATATGTCGTTCGAGTAGTACAGGTGCAGCTGGTAATGGCGTTGATGTTGTTTGTGGTTCATCGGCACGTACACCGAATTCTTCCAATGACGTTTGGCGATCTAGCCTGGTAGGGACAATAGTAGCTTGCGAGTCTGTAACGTTGGACGAGACGCCTTCGTCTCCAACTCGACGGATAGATATAGCACGAGCTGGTCGACGTGGAGGGGCAAGCGATTCGTGGGATCGAACCACACCAGCGGCCTGTATAGTATTGTTTCGTCTCAAAGCACTGTTGCCACCTCTCAATACACTAGTAGCCGATGCATGACGTGTAAGCGACTCCATTGAATGTGCTGCGGCATCGAGGGCTTCCAAGCTTCCTCCTGGTGATCGTTGAGCAGCGGCTGGTGATGCAGGACCAAGAGGTCGTCCAGCCTGTCCAGAAGCAGCTACACTTTGCATTTTGGTTTCGAAATGCGACAGTTTAGACCAAACGGATTGCAAGGCTGGATCATTCTCTTCCACCATAACCACGGAAATGGGGGCCTTGTCACGTGAATTTCCTGATTCCATAGCTGGTGCACGACTCATTGATGAAGCTGTGACTGTCTTGTGGCGAGACAGTCCGGTTATGGGTGGTTTTTTAATTGAAGAGGCGATTTCTTCAACCTTTTGTTGAAACACTTTAGCCTTGGACGTAACATCCCGTTGCGATGGATCATCATCCTCCAGCGGCATGACGGGCACGGTTCCTAGATTTTTGGTGTCGTTTACTTTTTGACAGTTCGACGTGTGAACCACTTCAACAAACACAAGTTGGGTTGGGTTGACTTTGACGAATCAGAGGGTTTTTCCTCGGACCGCTGGAGAGAGAGAGAGGCCATCCAAGAGCGCGATCTTTAATCGTTAAAAACGCGTTATTTACACTGTATATCAACTTTATGAGAGCAAGATGCAAGGAAAACAGATTTACAAATGATACCGCCGCAAACAAATATTTTAGAGCATTTTTGACATGTATGGCCCATCAATCTCATACCCCAGTTTTCTATAATAATGTCGTGTTCCGACACCTATTAAAGTTGGGTTCCATACAATGAAATTTGATGAGCACGATAATAAAGTTGCAATTCAGCAAAATTCGATACAAAAAAAATTTGAGATCCACTCAAAAACTTACCTGAAATGACTGACATTTTCACAGAGCCATGCTCCTCTCTTGCAATCCTCTCTGCTTCTTCCATCAACAATGTTCCATACCCTTGATGTTGGAATTTTGTAGGATCACGATTATGCACAGGCACAGCTGTACCATATACATGCAATTCACGAACCAAAGAGGTTTGACCAGCAACTAGAAGCTCTGGACGGAATGTGGCAGCAGAGCATTTACGTAGCCGTAGTAATCCAATCAAAATATCTTGTTTGGGGTCTTCATATGATAAGAATGTTTCCCAGCCAGCATTAGCAACGTAATCACGACGTATAAGTTCGACTTGATCTGGTAGGACCTTGAAGTGGATGTCCTGGATCCCGACTTCACGGGTTCGGACATCCCGACATGGAGTGCCTAGGTCCTGTAGTCGATTCAACGAGAGTTCCCGTAAATTACCATATTCGACACCAGATGTGACAAGTGGCATCGGAATATCCCTGTTTCAGAAAAAGGAACAATTGGCTTAGTTTCATAAATGCCCTTTTTTGCGGTTGGGAAAGAGTCGAATCCGACCTTTGCACTCGATAAACACGGGTCCATGGAGGAACTAGAGCAAGAACCCTGGCTACCAAATCTACCAATGCCTCTGGCGTATAGTTACGATATCGGCCAGTCCTCCACAACTCATACAAGCCTAGAAAAAGACGGTTGTAACAGTGTTAATTGAGCCCTCAAACGTCCAAAAGCAGCCCAATAGTCTCATTCTCACCTGTTCCTCGAATAACTAGTGTTGGATAAATCTTGAGTCCATCCGGTCTAAATACTGGGTTCTCAAAAAACTCTTTAAATTGATCAATATCACGTTCCATGCCGACATTCGGTAAGTCAGGCATCATGTGTGTGACAATCTTGTAGCCAGCGTCTTTGCCAAGATGGAAGGATTCACAGACCGCTTTAACTGTGTGTCCTCTAATAGAGCATAAATGTGTTGAGGAATCAGAAATTATGGTCAACCATTACACTGCAATATTACCGGTTGGTATCTCTAGCAACGTCTTCATAAACACTTTGTACACCAATTTCCAAACGAGTGCATCCATATCTCAACATTTGACTAGAAAACAAAATTGTCAGAATGGGAAACGTGGACAAAACGAGGAAAGAAAATGGCCGTACCTCAGATGCGGCTTAAGACAATAATCAGGCCGGGTCTCAATCGTTATACCAATGCACTTGTTGATAGCCTGCTCACCAAACCTGCAATGGAAACAGAAATGATGAGGCATCGTCCAAAATGTGCCCACAAGTCAAGTCGACGCCAAGGGAAAAAAACGTGATTATAGTTATGATGAATTGACGGCAAACAGCAGCAAATCGATTCTCTTCGGCCCCAATTGACCCTCACCTGACTGCCTCATCAACATTAGCACTAGTATGTCCCGACAATGCATCATGCAAACTAGAGATAAACCACTCCCGATAGTCTTCCGCAAGAGACATGAATGTACCTCCCATAATAATATATTCGACTTTGTCAACCGAATGGCCTAGATATTTCAACTGGTCCACTCGTCCACGAGCTTGTTCGTATGGATCATATCGTGCTCGAATGGCTCGCATAGATGTCGGTTCGTATCCTGTATACGATTGTGTCGAGTATTCAAAGTCTGAGTCTGGTCCTCCAGGACAGTATCTAAAACACTTAAGCGAGTCAGAAACTGTGTCGTTCAAAGAAATGCGCTTCTTACACGCAAATATTTCCAGTCACAGCGATATGAGGACAGCGATGTGGTTTGCACATGACTGCCACCACTGCAATCTATAGTGTAGAGTGAGATCTTAGTTGGCCTCAAAGTGTACAGGTTCTTCACTTGAACAAAATACAGAGAGAGCGTTTCTATCCATTTCAACAATGATGAATTCAAGCGAAATACATACACCAGAAGCAGTTCTGACAGGTTTTGCGCGCAGCTTTGGCACCAGAATAGCCTTGTACTCTTCCGGAATGGCAGAGAGTATGTCTGTCAATTTTGGAGCACTTGACAACTTGTATTGCTTGGAAATCTTGGCACGTAACGTCTGAATGTCTTTTGGGAGCTCACGGCCCTCTTTAACTGCCTGCACGAGTGCTATTGAGTGAAAATGGTTGGCTTCTTAACTTGCAAAAAAAGGACTTTGACGTTGAAACAATCAATCAAGGCTGTAAGGATCATACCATTGGCGATATCTATTGACGCTTTAAGCAGCGATGAGCTTGAATCAACCGCCGCTGAAGTAAAGATGGGCATCTTCTGTTGTTTTTAAGTTGGATAGGCTTACGTAGAAGTAGAGACTGAACAGACACGTAACGACGCGATCAGTGCGAATACGATTGAGTCACGTCTATATTTACACGTACATTACACGTAGCAGAATATTAAAAATGTCCATCGCGACACATCACAAAGTCACTTCTTCACCATCCGTGTCTTTGCAAATCTAACAGGCGCAGAAGCTCTAGCTGCTATCAGTAATCCAGAATATGCCAAAATCATACCACCAGAAGTCTACGCGATGAGCGATCGGATAAGCAAATCTCAAACAAATCAAAGCGTTTCAGCTGAGTTAACTTACCAACACGACCAAAATCCACCCACACTCTACAATAGAATACAGTAGAGGGATTCCTTGCTCAATACATTGAATGCCAGGTAATAGGACACCGTTTTCTAAACAATCGACATCAACACCGCTAGCAAAACGAGAGTTCGATGGTGTTCAGTATGGTCTTGGACGCTATAAAATTACGCTCTTACCCGAATTCATTGATGAGAAGAGCCAGAAATGCCTATGTGTTTCATATTTAAATTGAATGAATAAGAGCGTGATTTCACCAAAACACATTTTACCAAACAATAACCTACGAATCTGAATGGGTTTGGATACTGCAACCACGAGACGAATTTTGGAATATAATCAATAGAGACCAACACACCGCAAAATCCCACTATTGGCACCGCAATAACTGCAAACAGATTGAGCAACACTGGCAGCGACGGGATGAGTGCAGACAAGAAGGTTCCAAAGAGCCAAGATGAGGTTGTAACGAGAATGTTAAATAAAATGCTAATGAGCCATTTGGTAAACACAGGTTGGAAACCGGCCATGAAGTAGTAAATGGTGGAACGAATTGATGTGAAGATTAGAATTTGCGGTAGTTCGCTAAGGACTTTGGCAGCAAAGTAGGAAATCACATTATAGAATCCTAGAGTGTTTTATGGTTAATACTTAGTTGAGGAACAAAAGCAAAGATAGTGTTACGACATTCTTCATACCTGTAGATTGTTCACGTAGAAACAATGGCCTTTCCACAGAAAACATGCCAAAGGATGTCAGCAAGGTGTACTAGTGAAATGCGAAGAATCTGCCATTAGTGCCTAAAGAAGGTAAAGTTGTTGGACGGTCTACATACCAACGCCGATTGATACACCAGTTGAAAGATCGCATAAATCCGTCCTCTGATACTCAGATAATCATAATAAACTCCAACATGATAATATAATCCTCCTTCTAGAAGACCTATTAGCACCGCTTGTACCAATCGAACTCTGACAAGTAGAGGATCTCTCAATGCATGGCTCCATTCTCGACCAAGCAAGATGAATATCTGTCTGAATGTCGAAACACTGTCCTTGAATGCTGACGGCAGTACTCCGTCATTCAAAGCCTCTGAATACTTTTCACTCTCCAGATGCGGTTGAAGAGCAGATAATGGAACTTCTTCTTCAATCACGGTAAGATGACGGCCATCATCATCGTCTCGCAATCCAACGGTATCAATATCTTCAACATTGTGGAGAATTTTTAAAAAGACATAGTCTGCTGGGTTGGTAAACATGCTTCCCATGTCGTTGGAGTCTGGAGAGAGGTTTGATATCATTTGGGTTGCTGGTCCTGAATAGTACATTCTGCCTTTGGAGATGACGCAGACGTCGTCAAATAGTTTGCTTAATTAAGTTTGTAAAAGATGAAGTTGATGAGTTCAAGTGTCGAACGATAACACATCGCGCCTAGATATTTCCTTCACAAAAACTTACAACGTCTCAAAGGATGGCTGATGAATCGTAAATACAACCAGATGGCCGAGCTGAGTGAGTGATTTCAGTGTTCGCACCATACTGTAAGCTCTAAGGAGACCCATTTTGCATGTTAAGACAACATGCAAAAAAACCAATAAGTTCAGAGAATCTTGATTTCAAGATTACCTATACGAATCCAGACCAGAAGTAGGCTAAGCAACGCATGTGATTAGCGCATCAGGTCACGGCGAAATGGTGCAAGAAATCACTTACCTCGTCCAGAAATATAATTTGATGATTGACGACCAACTCAATCCCAACAGACACTCGCTTTCTCTCACCACCACTAATCCCACGTTCCAACGAATCGCCAATCCTGGTATGTTGAGCAGACGTCAAACGAAGAACTTCTATAACTTCATCAACACGTGCTCGTCGTTGCGAGACTGTCATATTAGCGAGTCTCAAGTCTGCTGAAAACTGTAACGCTTCTCGCACAGTCATGGTCGGTTGGAGAACATCCTCTTGGTACCCGAATCCAGCGATTCGTCTCATGTGATGAAGCTTCAGTCTTTGTCCGTTGCAAGTAATGGAGCCAGAAAGGCGACCGTTACGTTGAACACCAGCGACGCATTCCAAAAGACTGCTTTTACCAGCTCCAGATGGTCCCATTAAAGCACAAAGTCGTCCAGAATGAAACGTACCTGATGAGTTAAACGATTTTAGTTAGCCGACAACTTTTCATAAACCGGTTCACAACTTTTATGTTTCTACCAGAACAATCCTGCAATATCTCTTTCGTCACTCGTCGTTTCACCAGTCCAATACCAGTTTCCGGCGATGGAATACTGACTGTCAAGGATACGTTTTCAAAACTCACTAAAGATGACGAGAATTTTCAGAGACGACAAAAATAAGGACGGCATGAAATCAACTCACACTGAATCTTGCCAGTCATATCCTTGAAAGTCGTATTTAGACCTGCACCTGGCAAAGATCTCGTATTCCCGACAGTTGGCGCAGCGTCTACGACATCAGAATCTGAGAACACTCGTCTCATATCGTCCCCAATATTCGTAGAAGAGCGATACACGGCTCTTTGAGAACTTCTGACCATATTCCATAGAGACATGTATGCTCCGACGAAAAAAAGAATCGCCTAGAGAGCGCGATCGGTGTGAGAAGAACACAATAACATTGGCGTATCTGAAAAAGGACTTACACATCCAGCAAGACAAAGACAATCATCCCTTATTTGCAGATTGTCGGTAAAGAATGGGCTTATACAGTCGATTCCATTCGTTAAGTTGGCATCGCCGTAACGGCAAGTAACTTCGAGGCCACTAACACAAACAAAAGAGTTGAAGCACCCGTTATTCCTGACAGGTTTTGAAACTTACTCGAATTCATTCAAAAGAGCAGCTTGGACCTTTGGTAGAAAGTTGTTTGGGATGTGAGACATACGATTAATGCTGATAAAACCGAGCGTCAGACTGGAGGCATACCACCTAAAATATTAGCCATCGGTTAGTCGGCACCAACTGAAAAGGAAAAAAGAACAACAACTTGGGCCACATACGTATTTAGAAACCGACAGATATTGAACCCATCTTAGAGCAGGGGAAACCTTGCTCATATTAACCACGACTCCAGCAACCAAATTCGGTGTTCCTATGAGGACTACCGCTATAGCAACAAAAGCTGGCAAATAAGGCAGTGACGCAGCAACAGCGAGTCCTTGTGCTGATGCTGCTGCCGTAGCCAAAACGTGAATGAAGGCATAAATAAAGAGTTTTGAAGTCGACGCTTGAAGGCCTATGATGTAGTAGGCAGCGATGCATTGGAAGAAGGATATGACCTAAAGAGCAACGGAAAAAACAGGGAAGTAAGTGCTATTAATCATCGAATCGAAAAGCACGATGCAGTTTTCTTCGACTCCTCGTCAAAATGACAAAGACACATATTGTTTACCATCATTTGAGGTGTATCAAGCAACACCTTCGACATGAAATACACAAAAACAGTGTATATGCCAGACGACCGTTCACGTATAAATATCGAAACATCATCTGCAAAAGCAGTGATTGCCAATATTGTAGGCACTGAAGCAATTCCAATTGCAAAGTAGTATATTCCGCCAATTCGACCAGATACGCTTCCAGAATCATTTCCAACTCCTACTCAGAAACTGAAATGAGCGAGAGAAAAAAGCCAATATCCATTTCAAATTACGAGAACACACCTGATCTCCACACTTCCAATCCCACAGCCAGTACGTAAAATATCCCAACTATAATCCTAGCAGGTAATATAATCTTATTCCGTATCATAGTCTTGAAATCTCTGGCCAACAAGATGGTCAACTGTCTTCCAAACGATGCAGGCTTCTTGTAAGCAGACAATGGAATATCATTCGATGTCGTGTCACTAACATCCATATTCATATTCTGTGCATCTTCAGCAATCGACATCAACTTTTGCCCATTATGATCAATCTTCTCAGGGCTCAAAATGACTGAAAAGACAAACTCCGCAGGGTTGACTTCAGGTGGAATGGTGTATCCATGCTTGGAAAAGAAGGTGGCCATTTCGGATGTTGGACCGTGATAGATTATGCCAGCCGTCTTGGATAGGATTAGGATGTCGTCGAATAAGTCAAACATTTGTCTGTTGGGCTAGCAAAATAAACCATCAGATGGAAGGGTAATATTGCAGGAAAAGAAAGGAACCTCAACTGTGACGGGTCATTTACTTGATGGATTGTGGCAACGATGGTTCGTCCCGTAAGAGACAATCCTTTCAACAGGCGAACAAAGAAGTAGGCAGTATAAACATCAAGTCCCGTAGTAGGCTAAAGATATTGCTTCAGCATCCAAAAGTTTGTCAAAGTTGGATTCAAAACTCGTTACCTCATCCAAGAAACACAATGAAGGAGAAACAACAAGTTCTTGAGCAACAGAAACACGCCGCAGTTGTCCACCTGATATTCCTTTCACCTATACATAACAATAACGATCAAAATGTGGTGCAAAGAAAGGATCCGGAAGGGTTTTCCCATACCTCAGAGTTACCACACCAAGTATCAGCGACACTACTTAACCCCAACACGTCGATAATCTCATCAACTCGCGCTGTACGTTCATGTACACTCATATCAGAAAGCCGTAGTTCAGCAGACATTGTAATAGCTTCTTTAACCGTCATAGTAGCTCGGATCTCATCACTTTGAAAAACAAACCCCACCAAAGACGACATTTGTCTCGGTGTCATTATTCTGTTGTTGATCATGATCTGAATACATAGGAACGTTAGATCACGAATCCGCAAAAAAGCAATGGATACAGCTCAACAAGATTGCTTTGATCAGCATCGTCAACCGTACGTACGTGACCATCAATGATCCCGGTCCGTGAAATACCAGCAACAGCTTCGAGCAACGTAGTTTTGCCAGATCCAGAGTCTCCAAGTATCGCAGTAAGCTTTCCTGCTCGAAAGCGTCCGTTGCATTTTTGGAGCAACTTTTGCTTATTGATTTCCACGCTCAAGTTACAAAAGCTCACTAATCGTAGCGATGCATGAGAGAATATCACTAGGCTACACGTACAGAATTGAAGGGGCAACCTTACCTTCTAGTCTTTCATTAACTGGTATTTCTGTTCGGCCAACCAACGCACTTCCGACTTGATGATTTTCGGCAGCTGGAGCATGCATCGCCGAAATGGAAGCCTGCATACGATATATGTCTCCTGTTAGAAGCGAGGCTCGTCGACGCGATTCGTTTTCATGTTGTAGTTGGAAGCTCTTCTGCGTCGTTGAACAAGTTTCTTGAACACCAATTTACGCAAAGCCTTTGGCACAAAAGTTTGAATTCGATCTACGCATGTTTCAAGGTTTGCTTTAGATTGAACGAAAACGATATCACACACTCTCGTACTCTTCAATAGTCACATAGTCACAAATTATCTTCAGGTAAATGTCACTTCTGGTCCATCATCAACGTGAGAATGTGGACGACCTAAAACGACAAAAATCAGAGGAAATCAGCAAATGCCAAGAAAATGCAAGTACTTTAATGAAGAATTACTCGGCATCATGGCAGCTCACCGTGGCATCATCGTGCTGTGATGCCACCGCATCCGCATCTTCTGAATTCGCATTAAACCCCTCATCGATTTGGTGCCTAAAGTTGAGGAGAAGGCAACCGATGACGCGTCACACCTGATGAAATGTAGCAGCTATCGCTCGTCGAGTCAACGGCACTCCTCTGACTAGTTCCACAAAGCAGTGAGCAGTACAAACATCAAGTCCCGTAGTTGGCTAAAAAAAGAATGATGAGGCACACGCTATGCAAAATCTGCTCAAAATCTATCTTACCTCTTATTCCAGAATACGATGAAAGAGGAACAAGTGCTGTGCCACAGACGCACGCCGTAGTTGTCCTCCTGCGATGCCCTTGACCTGAACAGAGAAGTCAAGAACAAAAGCTGCGCAAAAAAGGTATTCAACGTGAATCATACCTCAGAGTTACCACATCAGGTATCAGCGATACTTCTCACCACCAATAGATTGGTAGTTTTATAAACTCCTTTCAGACAGTCGTGGTTCCGCAACCATGGTAGTGGCCTCTGGTGGCCTCTTTAATGTTCATCGTAGCTCGAACCTCATCCTTTCGAAAGGCAAACTCGACAAAGGACGATGTTTGAGATGGTGCCATGATTTTGTTGTTGACTGAGATTTGAGGACGAGACTCGTTAGAATTTGCTAAAAAAAGGGTAGCAGCAGCCAGATCAATATCTTTTGTTGATCTTCAAACGTACTTGACTATGGAGGATCCCGCTTCGTGGAATACCAGCAACAGCTTCTAGCAATGTAGTTTTGCCAGATCCAAAACCTCGTAGTATAGCTGTGAGGTTTCCTGCTCGAAAGCGTCCACTTTGACGAAGCTTGTTCGTGTTGATTTCCACACTAGAGTCACGAAAGCTAACGAATTGGAACAATGCTTTAGAGAACATTTCTAAAAGTCACGTAAAAAGTGGCAGCCAACCTTACCTTCACGAAGCTCGGTAACTTGCATTTCTGTTCTTCCAAACAACGTACTTGCCAGGAGGATGCATCGCTGAAAGGAAGGCTGTTTGCGACTGGTGCCTCCCATTGGATGTGACGGTAATTGACGCGACTCAATGTAATGCTGCCGTGGAGGCGTAAGCTCCTCTGGGTAGTTGAACAAGTTTTGAAAACATCACTAGGCAAAGCCTTTTGACCACACAGAAGCACAGATGCTTGAAATAATCTTCTATGTTTTTCTTGCTTTAACAAAATGACCCTATCATACAATCTTGTATTCTTCAGTAGTCACGGATATATCTCTGGTGAAAGTAAGTTCTGATCCATCATCGACGTGAGAAATGTTGACGACCTAAACGGATAAAGTCCAAAGAAATTAGCGAAGCCGAAAAAGGGTAACCCAAAGACGACGCATTTCACGACAACTCACAGTGACATCACAAAACGTCCTACTAGCACGGAAATTGACCATAATAGGATAAAATCCATTCACATCTTCTGAATTCACACTGAACTCCAATACACCAGATCGATTTGATGTATCAATCACTGGTAGTTGCCATTCAATCACTCTCTTTTGGCGATCTACACGATACGATCCTTCCAAATCACCAATAGTTGGAGGTGTTGAGCCACTAATGAAATATTAGAGAGGGTCAAACAAAAGGAATGTCATATTCAGAATCAAGCTGCGGTAGCTTTTGAATCTGCACTGCACTGAGCCTCGACGGTTACTTACGGGTAAGGTATAGCAATAACAACATCACGTAATTCAAGGTTTTTGGGTTGTAGTTCGTATTCAATAGTAACGTCACAAGATCCAGTGCCAGATGGTGATGGCCAGCAATTGACTAATGGGTAGGCAAAAAATGCTCAGTATGGTCAAACACAACAATCTTGATTTGTTGACATTCACTGCAACGCACCTGATAATGGCATAGCTGAATCTTCCTTGGTTTGCATTCTCCACTTCAAGAAGGCAGCTTGTTGGTTTAATGGGAATGCTTTGCCTGGTAGAGTTGTGATTGCGTTTTCTGAAGTAAATAACTTCTTGTCGACACTAGGATGTGTCTAAACAAACAAAGTTGATTGATCAGTACAAGGAGACACAGCTGCACACTTCGCACGAGCCTCTTCGAGTCTTTCTGTCTCCCAATGGCCAAAACACACCATGGTGACAGTAGAATTACACACCTTGAATTGTGCTTCCCCATCATGATTGACATTCATATTCAACCTCAAATGCTGTTTAGCCTCATCAGCAATCAAAACCAGCATTTCACCTTTAACTTCCATGGATTGCAAACCACCATCTCGATTCGCAGTGACTACCAATTTCTCTTCAATGGTGATGTGTATACCTTCCGATGATACAGGGACTGAGGTTGCTGTTCTAGACGATGCTCCGACAGCACCACGGACAGGTGTGTCTTCAATTCCTTCGTCGGCCTTGATGTTGTCTAGTATAGATGCTGAATTGTTTTTTCGACCTAGTTGCATTCCGCGTCCTCCACCAGCACGTGATGCTGCCGAGCTATGTAGGAAGAACGCGTCAGCGAGAGTCCAAATGCAACAAGCTTGACCAAGGTATTCGAATTCTTTTTTTGGCACTGACCTTGCCGAGTATGATGGATCAGGAGTATTGTCAACAGCGACAGGAGACCTCTGTGAGTTTCCACCACCCATTCCCATACTATTACCAGTACTGTTTCCGAACGAGCTTCCAAATCCAGACATTGAAGGTGGACCACCAGTATAACCCTTCTTTGCCATTTCACGTTTTTGCATTTCCAGTGCTCTAGCTTTACGATTACGTTCTTCTCTAGCTTCCTTTTCCTTATTCTGCATTGGGTTATGTTTGAGAGTCTAAACAAAATGACAAAAAACCAATACACGACAAAACGTATAACACACCCGTTCAATTTCAGCCTGCACACGCTCCTCATGACTCTCCATCTCCATTATCGTTCGTATCTGCGGCATGGACACCATCTCACGATACCCCAGCGCAATAATCTCATCAAACACCATAATCAGATCAAATGCCTTGCTTGCGACCTCGCGTTCATCGAGTGTTCGACAATAGTCAGACACCCCTCTCGCAAACAAGTGCAGGGTATCGATATCTTGGAGGATGTTTGACTGTTTGTTTGTGACAAGGACCATGTACATTGTTTCTTCCAGTGGCTGGTAGACGTATCTGACCGAGTCCGTTTCGACGAATGTATGTTGGTCTGCACTTCCAATGAGTTTGGGGAATGAGGCGAGGAGTCCTTCTATTCTGGATTGCTGCATCTCGACGAATTGACGTGATAGGACAGCTAGATAAATGGAATATATTAGTTATGGTGATTAATGTTGATGTAAATCAGAGATTGTCAATAATCACACTCGCTTCACCTTTTCCTGTCTTTGTACATATTGACGCTGCCAACACAACCTAGAGCAAGTAAATAATATTAGTATTGTGCTGTACATATCAATACACACCTAGACACGACTTGCCATGATTTGCCTGTCTCTGTTGGAAGTGTTGTTGAACTTGTGTTTTGGACGACGAGGGGGTAGGGAGAGCTAAGTCATAAACAAACACGACACTTCAATGAGGCTATGAACAGTCCCGGCGCGTCATCACCTTCTACCACTCAATTGCCTCCACAAAAAGGTATACCGAGCTCAAAGTTTACGTGTTTTACGAAGACACTAATTATTTAACATATAGTCGTGGTACGGTTCAAAGCTGCTGGCAATGCGCCCATATTGAAGCAACCATTCTTCAAAATATCACCCACTCAAAAGTTTGAGTTCGTAATTGGATTCTTGAGAAAGCAATTGGGATTTCAACCAAATGAACCTCTGGTAGGTGTCGTGTTTGGAGGTGTTATAGTTGGGAGATTCATTGTTTTGTGAGCAAATATTCATGATTAATCATGGTATTGGTGTCTGTTGGAAGGAAGGTGGACGTGTGATAGAGTAAACGCTCGTCAAATAAGCACTGATATACCGTTTGTTTCCACTGTTCTTTGTCTAGTTCCTGTACGTGAATAGTGCATTTGCACCTGCTCCAGACGAGCTCGTATCGAATCTATACAAGGTACATATCTCTTCCGTCACCACACATTCCAAACCTCAATCACACCCATTCAACATCTAGTGCTTTGGAATTGATCAAAACCTCATTGTAAATTACTCAACCACCCCTGTATGGGGCTGATGCTGTTTGTTGATTATGAAAATATGTACACAAACTTCCCAACCCAATTATATACATAGACTTGTATTGCATATTCTACTATGTTGGTGGACCTTGTCTGAGTGAAGGCTTGACGACATTAGATTCCAGATAGTGTTGGTTCTTGGCCAGTTTGAAGAATGGGTGATCCAGCAATGTTGCAGCTGACGGCCTACGGGGGTTGGATTCTCTGTTTCTTAGAAGGCCAAAAATTGAGCGCAATAAGCGCCAAAATCTACCTCGAAGTAGGATCTCGTTGAGAACACTGATACACTAGATCGTAAAAATGTCTAGACATCGGCTTGTTGGACAAAATTGTAGCAGGCACATCGTATTCCATCTTTGCCAGTAGAACCTACGATCACCAATAGGCTTACTCTGAATCGCGCAGAACAACGAACACGCATAAGAGGGTCATACCTTCAGCGGTGGCCAATCCGTAAACGGTGTAGTATTAAAAGCCAGTTCCAATGCAGTTATACCCAATCCATAGATATCGGCCTTGTCAGTGTAATTCGAATTCTAAGACGAGGACGAAAGGTTAAGAGGACAAGACTGCATCAGAATTGACATCATAACTTAAAAGCTTTACCTGCGCCATAACTTCAGGAGCAGCCCACTCAATATTATCTCCAACCAATGAAAACACTGTCTTGACATATCCACCATGCTGAGCTCTCGACACCATAGATCGGAATCCAGTTAGTCTGATTTCACCAGTTTCAGACATGAGGATGTTGTCTGCCCGAATATCGCTGAGTGAAAAATACGAGATTATTGGCCCTTACAAACGGATTTTGTTTTGGCAGTGAGTGATTCTTACTTGTGTATAAAGTAATTCTCGTGTAGATACGACAGCGCTCTCAGGACTTCCTTTAATATGGTCGCTACTACTGGTTCCGCAAACCCAGTTGGGAAACTCTTTTTCATTAGGCCTCGACATGATCCTAGTTGAAGGTTCGAAATTAAGGGCTGCCGAAAGAAGTGCACAAGAGAAAGAAGAAGATACAATTGAACACCCAGCTGATCAAACAGGGAATACCTAGTTTCATTGGATACGTCACTGTCCATAACCTCTCACTCTCCACAAACGAAATGTGATACGGCAGTATATTAGCATGCCGACAAAGCGCTGTGTTATGCGACGTTCTCTACATGGTGAAAAAAAGATGAGATAGATTGTCGTAATGGTATTTTATCTAACTCACAACCAGTTCATCAATCAATTCGAAGTCAGGCGACAGAGTCAAATCCGTATATTTCAGCATCACAGGTTCCTGCGTCGGTATAAACTTGGCAAGATACAGGAATGAAATGTCGTCCACACCGCCTGCCCAAAAAAAAAACGTGTGGGTCGATCTTTGTCATTGATCTAATGCCAAATACAAGATGCAGTCAGACACACGTACCAACATCATGCAATAACTCATAATCTGTAATATCACTTGTATATTGCGGATGTCCGCGTGGTCTTCCAAACTAGCAGTTGTCAACGATGGTGGATTTGGTTAGTTTGATTGTAGGGAACAGTACGGTTGATCTAGACCACGAGAGGAGGAGACTTACTACCCGTAACGTATTGGTCCGACTCCGACTTGCTGATCCGGTGCTGTGAGCCTCCACGGGACTAGTGTTCATCGTCGTTTGAGGCGATATTGTGTTTCAAAAGTTTTTGAGGTGGGAGTGTATAAAGTAACGTCAACATTCAACCAGCGTTTCGGGAGAATTACTCTGTATCCAGCTATATAACACGTGTCGACACGCTAAGTTACCTGAAATAATCGAAAATCACAATGTAAGTCCAAAACCCTTCAACCGCAAGATTCTAAAGATGATTTTTGAGCCCGACCTGCAAAAATCAGGTAAATCTTATCTATAAATCTATTCATGCAACATGCAACTCTAAATAAACATTTATCCCAAGCGCCATCTACACAAACGGGTTCAAAATCACATCAGGCTTCAGATCAAACTCGTCATGAGGCACAGCATCAACATATTGAGCAGACAGAGCCAATGCAACCGATAAAGGCTTCTTGCTGCTATCTGCGGACACACTCTTCCCAAGATACCGATCATAATACCCTTTCCCATGACCCATCCGATACCCCTTGCGATCAAACGCTAGGCCTGGCATCACGATAAGGTCTAGATCTGTTGCTGCGACTATGGTAAAAGTAAAGGTTGGTATTTGGTTGTATAGGCAAGTAAGCTATGTTCCCAAACCTTTATCACGATGCGAATCATGTGGTGGTTCAGGTATATTCCACTTGTTCAGCGGCAGATTCTGGTAGTCCTCCCAGCTGTTGACGCGTACCATTTCCATTTCATCGGATGTCCATTGTGGGACGTAACAGTTCTTGCCTAATCAAAGATGTTACAAGACCTTCAAGCTGCTTTAGATTGTTTACATACCTTTCTGAAATAGATCTTGAATAATTCCAGCTGTTGAAGCTTCCGTTGGCATGGAGACATACACAGATACATTGTGAGCGGTAATGTATTGAGGCAGATTCAAGAGCTTTTGGGTTATGATGTTTGCTATCAGATGTTGGCGAATATGTCAACATCGCAGGGCATAAAGCAAAGAAGTATGGATAACTTGCATTCATGTTCAATTGTTTCCTTGGATATGGTTGTAAGCTTTGCCTTGACTTCTTTTCTTAACAGCCTTTTAGCTGAATTGATGACACCGTCTCTCATTTGTAGAATATAGCAGCAGTATAGGAAGAAAGTAGGTATTTCAACGTCTTATGAGATTGAAAGGTAAACGATGCTACAGTTCCTGACGCCGTTCTCGTATTTAGAAAGCCTGAAGGTGCCCAATTTCGTAAAACCTCAACAGCGAGAGAAATCAGCAGGGAGTTTTCGTGCCAAAGGGTGTGTTGACCCTCGCCTCGCGTAGATTTCGTTCTGATACGCGACGAAAGTATCCTCTATGAGCACTGTTCTCGAAATCTTGGACGAGAGGTTTCGTTTGCGTCGGTCTGCCACGTCCATTCTAATGACAAAGCAGAAGAGAGTAACCGGATACACTTCAAGATTTCTACTAGTATTTACTACTTTATGCTCATAATATTGACTGTAAAATGTAGTTGCAGGCAAGATCCTCTTAAATTTAAAGTGAAAAAATGTGTGCCAAAAAACATAAACGCTCAAGTCGTTAGCCATTCGTTAACTACCAACCACAGCCAACAATGCCAGCTCATATAGGGTTCTGCGAAGACCCGTACCCAACAGGCTATTTGCGGCTGACGTGCGTTCCTCAACTCGAGCATACAAGCTTCTTCTATACCGGGCAGCGTAAGCGCCCTTGACTTGAGCCATATTGTCTCGATGTCTGACCAGTAATCGCATCTAACAACGCGGTTTTGTCAAACGTCAAACTCACGAATAAAACTGATATGGGTGGAGTATAATACCAGTCGATCCTCATTCACAGTGTACCCATCTAGACAGTCCTCGAATGCCACAGCTACAAAATCCCACGGGTCCTTCGCGACGTGACCTGTAAAAAACCATTATCCAATTTGTTCACGCAACTAATCCAGTACCTCGTAACAGTCGTTTTTTGTGACAATGCTTACCAAGCGACAACAGTATCTTCCTCTGATCTCCAGAAAACGCATGCGACACAGCATCAACCCACTGCTGCCGATATTTGGTCTCATATATCTGAAACACCGTCCTCAACTGATGTGCAGAGCGACGTCGTAATATATGCACCATTTCAAGCACATCCACCCGATGTTGATTCCTGCAGGCTTTGTATAGCACCTCTGTGTCCATTTCACTGGGATGTAAATCATGAGCCTGGAGCGGTGATATCAGGACATCAATCATATCGCGAGCTACACCGAAAAATTCCTCGCGGACGAGCTTTTCCATGTTCTAAAGTAAGAAATGCGTTAGTTTACTGAATTCCACAACAGGACTTGTATAATTTAAACCAACCTTTCCATAAATATCAGAAAACGATGCACTGATCTGATTCACTTCCTGTTGGTTCTTGACCATCAGGATATCTAATAAATAATGCAGCCTCTTTCCTGGACCTCTCTAATGGAAGAACAACAATCAAGTCAATACAACCGGTAGTAGATGTGATTAAAGCATCGTGTTCACACTCACGATCGCATTCCAAACTCCAACAGCATCTATAACGTCCGGCGAAGATATAAGTCCCACCAAGAACGCAGCAAGTTTCGGCTGATGCCTTCCGACAAATTGTCCCATAAGCGTCTTCAAATCATACGTATGTCTAGCATCATAACATGCAGCAAGATGGAGAATCTCCTTTGTATGCGGTCCGACACAAAAGATTGCTATTAGAGACTCATAGTCTGGTTCTGGCTTCAATAAGATGGCCTGGTGTATGAAATCAATTGTCTGTACATCTGCAGTTATGGTGGTAGTAGTGTTCATGGCGGCGGGAGCAGGTGAAGTAGCAATTTGAGGCAAACCGACGCCAAAAGCAATTGTGACTTTTTGATTGAATGGATGTTGTCGTCGAGATACCTCCATGGGCTTTCTGATGTTCTTGACAATCACTCCTCTTGTTAGCTCGGCATTACTCCTTTGTTCGTTTGTCTTTCAGAATTGGTCTCGTGCATAACGTGGCTGTACAATAAGTCATAAGCATGTGCGTTTGGATTTAAGGAGGTAGACGCTCGATCAACACATGGAGAATATCAAAAATTTGAAAGAGATTTCGATTTATTCAATTTCCGCGAGCTATTTACTAAGTTTTCAAGTTTTTCACTGATAAAAGGTATGATCTGTGTTTTCCTTCTTAACATTCGATTTATATCCTGACTCGAGGTCCTTGTTGAGTATGACATATCGATTCTATCAAAAAATTCAGTTAGAACATACTATCGGCCTTGCTGTAGTTTTCGCTATCAATTTGATGAACGATTCAAGACGTCATCAGAAAACTCACCTTTCGGACGGCGTGCATTCCAGCTTCTTGACAGATAGCAGCAATTTCAGCACCAGAGAGCTTGTCTGGACGTGATACAACTAGAGGTAAAAAAAGGAATTAGTTTATCGCAAACCACTTTTTTAGAAACATTCTAGGACAACGTTTCAAAACGACAGCAACTTCTAGCGAAATCTTCGAAACTTACAGTCCTCCAAGTCCACTTCTTCAGAAAGATTCATCTTTGATGTTATAGTTGTAAAGATCAATCGTTTTTGACGACGGTCTGGAGTTGGGAATTCAATCTTTCGATCAAGACGACCAGGTCTCAATAAAGCAGGGTCAAGAGTATCTGCTCTGTTTGTAGCCATAATGACCTAGCATTAAAAAAGGTTGGAATGTTGGTAAAAAGCGAGGAAAAAAAAGAGAAGATAATGAATGGATAATGCTGACACTACACTACCTTAACAGTCGAATTCTGATCAAACCCATCCATCTGATTCAACAATTCCAACAAAATACGTTGCACTTCACGATCAGCGCCCGTCTGGGCATCAAATCGCTTTGTAGCAATGGCATCAATTTCATCAATAAATATAATCGCAGGTGAATTCTCTCTGGCCAATCTAAATACATCACGAACCATACGTGGCCCTTCGCCCAAATACTTTTGTACAAATTCCGATCCAACAACCCTGATGAATGATGCCGTAGTATGATGCGCCACCGCTTTAACAAGCATTGTCTTTCCTGTTCCCGGAGGGCCGTATAGCAATACACCACGAGGAGGATCAATACCGATTTGACGATACAAGTCTACATGCGTCAAGGGCAATTCAACCGCTTCACGGATTTCCTGCTTTTGCATGTCGAGACCTCCGATATCGGCGTATGATACATCTGGTTTCTCGTCAGCACCCAACATGGCGATAGACGAGTCAGCTTCTGGAGGTAATACATCTACTAGTGCGTTCGAATGTCGATGAAGGGCGACGGATGATGAGGGTTTGAGTAATTCACGGTCAATGGTACTTAGAATTCGAACTAGGTAGTTGGATCCCGTGGTAGAGCCGACAATACCAGTATGTTGATCAATGGGTTCCAAGAATTGGCCAATTACTAGTGGTACGGATTGGATTCGTTTGACTTCTTCCTGTGCTCGAATGAGTTCCCGTTTGAGGTTTTTCTGTTCGTCTTTAATGTACTCTTCCTGTAATTCAAGAAATTCCAATTGGCGTTGTAATTTCTTTAATCTGGTATATAAATCAGTGGATTCTTCGTCTTCCTTCTTCTAGAGTAAACGATATTGACGGGTGAGTTTCGTACTTGACTGCTCGAATTATATTGTTTGGATTATTGCAACGGGCGTTTGAAGACAAAACAAGAGATGAAGAGCACTACTCACTAGTTTTGGCAAGCCTCCTATTTCACTCATCTTCATTACAGCAACCTCGGCCATGATTGTATCTCAAACTTTAGTTTGATTGCAAAAGTCTGTGACGCGTCATAGACAAGAACGAGTGCATAAGTTACTAACTTTTATGATTGTAACGTGTAAATACGTAAATATCTACATTCTAAATGTAAACTTCATAATAAATTTAATCGTCTCCCTGCAGAGCTTTGGCACCTTTAACAAAATGCGCTTTGATCCTCGCCAACAAGTCCTGATACACCTTCTTGTTTGACGACGCGTCCTTGGTAAACACGTCATGATAGATCTGATCTAGCAGAGCCTTGTACTCGTCAAAATCATACTTGGATCCATTGCATTCCATAAATTTGACCATTCCCTGCGACATCATTATTGTGAGACAATACATTCACCTCCATTTAGTGCCAAATTGTTTTATAATCTCACCTCGCCACCAAGATTCAGTAAATCATAATATTGTCGAGCATGATCTAGTGCCTTTTCATGTATCGATGCTATGTTGGTCAGATTCTGTTGCAAGGACTGAACATTTCTAATCATTTTGGCAATCCCATTGCGATTAAGTCGTTTGATGTGACGAAGATTCGAGCATAATATTCTGGTCATGAGACTCGCCAGACCATCAAACAAGAACCTACAGAAGGAGCAAAAAATCAGGCTACTAGTTTGACGAAGGACAACAGACTCTGAGGCCGCAAACCTGATACGGGGTATAGGCAAGACCGTACTCATGGCTTCCTCGCACATGGTCAAGTCTTGATTTAGAGCATTGATATACGGATCTGGCTCCACTGGTTCATCGTCCAACCAATAATTACCCTGTTATGAAAGAAACGATGGTCAGTACAACAAAAGTTACGTTGAGTCGAAGAATCCATCAGATTACCTCTCTGATGGCAAGATCTAGATAATACATAACATGACAACGTGCTTCAAGTCGTAGCGTAATCAGCGCTCGATCTGACAACGACTTGCAATTTGACAGTAAAACATCAAATTTCCTGAGATAAAATGAATGATTCAGTTCGTGTGTTTCAGGGAAAAATACAAGACTTGAGAACGACTACTGGTCAGCAAAACTTACTTGATCATTTCAGAATCCAGCTCCAATTCAACCACATCATCAGGTTCAATGGCCAGTCCAGGTAAGCTGTCCGAAGACCATTTCACATACATTTCCTTTATCAGGCGGATTGATCAAAAAACTAGACAGTCACAATCTTGATTGCAACAGTCTCTTACCGAAACAGACATATCCGCGAGAGCTCTCACAGGCGATGTCGAAACGGCCTCAACTGGAGGAGCCTCTGATGTCGTCAACATGGCTAATTGCGATACAAACCATTGCTAGTGATTTTAAATTGACTTGGAAGTCAGCAAAAAAAAGGAAAATCGATGGCGACATGTCACATACCGATGTGTAATGCAACGTCGCTAACCCTTGCAGCTTCTTATAATCAAACACCATCTCTCCACGATGGAACGACCTCTCATTCTTGAGTCTCATTTCAACATATGTTTCCTATCAACAAGTTATGTAAAAAAAACCATCACGAGAAACGCCAGTACAGTTTCAAAGCTTACTCTCTCACTAAGATGACGATTAACTTCCAAATCAACATCTCTTTGCGTATCAAAGAATGTATTCTGGACAACCAATTTGAGCAGATCTGGGTCATGTGCCCAGACACAACTGATAATATTACGATCTGCTTCTCCTGCAGTGTCTGAACTGTCTGCGGACATGAGTGCTAGTTGAAATACGAGTATTGGTAATGCGAACTGCAATTTTTTGCGGAATGTGAAAGAAATCGTCTCTCACCCCAATATCTCGCACTCAATTTCTCATGAAATTTAACCAATAACGTCTCAATCAATTGAATGAATTCCGTCTTGTGTACTGGCATCACAGGCAAGATACGACACATGCCTTGAATCAAAACCGTGAGCCCAACAGCACTCTAACAAGAAAAGGCAAAAGTGCGAAAAAGGAGTCAGCTGCTGCGTTACAGTGATTGAGTTTTCTTTCCAGAACACACCTTAAACAACGGAAATTCAATAATATGATCCATTTGAAAAGCCTCATCACCATTGACAAATTCATGAAAGAGTTCCATCACTCTTGTTTCCAATTGCGGTAAAAAGACGCTCAACACAAAGTCATCCAAGAACTTTTTGAATGTTCCAGTTGGTCTAAGATTAAAAGTTGAAAAGGAAAATTCAGTCAGTGTGCAACATAAATAAAGGAAGACAAATGACAACAACACTACGCGCTAGAAAAAGTTCTAGAAAGCGAGAAATGCTACTTACGCAATACCACCTGTAGACTCTGACTTTTCAATAAACTTCATAGTCATGTCAAAGATCATCAAGATATTAGCAGGATCAGGTGCAATCAACAATCGATGCCCTGTTGAAGTGGCTGTAGCATACTTGTCAACAACATGAACAGATCCACTAGTATCATCTGATCCAAGAAGGCTGGACGCGTTCGCACTGACAGTTGCAGCACGAGAGACTGGTGCAATCGCATGATATAATCTGGCTACTGGATCGTTGGAAACATTGCCAGCCGTTATTCTGAACACCTAATACCAAGGGGAAGAAAGATAGGAACGAAAGAAAAAAAAAACTACGATATAAGGCACGTACCTTTGATCGAGGCTGAGGTGACTTCCGCTCAAACATTTCATTCAAAGATGCAATCGGATTGTTGATACCAATCTGCCGCTGCGACGCTGACAGGTAATCATACAAGAGTGCCTTGACCTGATCATAACGAATGAGTTAGACCAAAACAACCACGCAGCTGGCTTCTATATTACACACTTCACTCTGAATCACATTCCAAACATCTCGAATATTGTAAGCAGGAGTTCCTAAAAGTTTGCGGTTGGTGAACGGCATACCGAAAAAAAATATGGCAACAAAAGATTGTATTATCACCTGTATTGATATTGCGCTATATAAAAGACAATGTTACTGACCATGATCTTCGCAAGAAAAAGGTACGTTTGAATACCTGAGCAAGAACAGGAATCAAGGATAGGATGTAAAAATGACCATGCAAGACAGTCTTGAGTCGAACATACAGAGTCGTCAACAACTCTGTCAGAATGTAACCTTGATTCTCTTTTGATTTCCATACAATGGATGCAAAAGCTTTCAAGGCAGGCGGTCTAGGAACATCACCTCGACTCTCTCTATAATATGACGGAAAATTGGTCATTCGAAACGATGTATGAGCCATTGAAACACCCGTACCTGTCAGAAATCTCCTGTATCGTTCTCTCAATCACATAAAAGATTTCCAGGTTCAACCTTTGCTTGATCACCTATCAAGGGTTTATGTGATGAGGCTAAGTTGCACACCAATAGAGATCTGCCAACGCTTCTCACTTCAGTGGCATTCGGCAGAGCGCCGAGAAGAGCCAGTCCTTCAACGACCCAGCTCATATATTGCAAAGAATCAGCTTCAGGGTTGGTGTCGTAATCTTCAGTGACCTACGTGAAAGGAAAGTCAAAAAAAAAGACAAAAAAGGAAATTCATAAAGAAGACATGTCTCACATCATTCGACTTGGTCTTAGATGACTTGCCACCTATGAATCAATTCAATTAGTCTGTTGGAAAGGAGCATTCGTCGTAACGTCCAAAATGAGCTTTTACCCTTGTTATAAACAGACTGCCTCCTATTCGGACTTTCAATCGTCACCACCCGAGCTTCCGTCTCATCACCAACTCCACCAAACCGTTCCACTCGTTCCTGACTGAATGGGCTCTTCAAATACAAGTGATTGTGTAACTCTTCAATCAATGTCTCATTCAAAACCCCCTTCATCTGCTCCAAATCTTGTCGAATGTTGGCTACAGCTCCAATATCCATGAATTCGCGGGTTTTCAATGTTTTGGTGGCGTTAAGGAGTGTTTTGACTGCAGAGAGGAAGAATTTTCCTTGCATTAGGGACTCTAATTTTTCTGGTGTTCTTCTAATGTCCTCACTAGTTTGAAAACGCGTGTGAATGATGATACCAAGCAGAAAAAGGAAACTTAAGGGATATAATGACTTGCATGGTGTCTAGTATTCTCATCATTTCCTTGTATTGAATGCTCTTGACCCAAAGATGCAGTAAGTCAAACTTCTTGCATTCCAGGAGACCTTTACACCGATCTAGATTATCTCGTAATGCTCTAGTCCTCATTTGAGAATCTACAGATGTATTTTTTGTAAGAGAATCGAATCTGGAGCCCCAGATTGAAAGAGAGCTCGAGTACCAGATATTGCGTCAACTACACTGCTGAAGGTATGTATGGATGTGTTGAAAGCCTGATGATATTCTATAATCCGGAAAGGTATTAGGAACAGATAAACGAGGGGCACCGTGTAATTCATGTGCTTTACCGTCAATAATGATATCCATAGCCTTTTCCAACTCACTATACATTGTGCAAAAGGCCGGATAGTCTCGACTCAGCGTACTCGTTTCCAGTAACGATAATGCCACAGGTACTGGATTATACTAAAGATCGAGTACAAATGCTATCAGTCCTTGGCTGTCACAAGTAATAAACGATGATCACTTCCAGCAAAAGTCATACATCATCATAAGTAAGATCGACCCATTCAGCCCGTATGGCTTCTAGGCATTGTACGACTGGTTCCGGCAGAGTACTTGGTTCATCGAAGGCCCAGTCGACGCCAGTCTTTTGTTGCGAAGATGCTAAATTACCAGTTGTCGCTGTGCTGGCAGCGGCCGGCCTGGTGGGAGCTGAAGATTTGGGCTTTTTAGAAAACATTATGACCGAATATGGCCAAATCTGTTGTCTTTTAAACAGTTCCTCTTCGTTCTCCCTGCTTTCTGGTGTTGTGATTTCGTTGGATGACGAGTGTTTCGCGACGCGATGAACACGAGGACTGGTGCTGGAAGACAGATTTCTTACTGCTTACCTGTACTTATTTCATCGAATCGGACGCGAAAATCGCGTAGTAACATCACAGCAGAAGTCGCTTGGAAAGGTTCCATAAATAGGAAATATCAATAACTGAATAACACATTGCACGAGGATTCTGAAAGGACAATACTAATTTATGATGTTCCAAGAATGGGATTTGACAAAAACAACAACCTGTTTATGATGTTTCTCGTATGTGCAAACTTGAAGAGGATCTACTGTGGCTGAATCTGATGTGGGCATTACCACAATCAAGCTGGAATAACTGCTAGAGTCCTTCTACATGAAGGGCATGTATGGACCTAAGATGATTGTTGAAACATGAGCATGGCCAAACAAGTCAAAACATTCAAACTATGTCAGAGATTACCTTGTCAAGCATGGAAGGGAAGCAGCAAGGTAACAAACAGCATAACGGTCCACAGCACTATAAGCAATGAAAAGACATACTGTCAGATTTAATCGGGGCTTGGCGTTGAAAACGTCCAACGGCCTCACCAAGCACAATAGACCTCCAGTGACGAGAGCGAGACCACCTGCAAAGATTGATGCAAACGTTGTAGCTGAGCGTCGCCTCACGCAAAATGAACAAATGTTATCACGTACCAGGTTGTTCTGAAACGATTGTAGTCACTTCCTTGTTCTCAAACGGACACATCATACGCACTGGGCCAGAGCATGGAACCTACGTTGAAGGCAAAATATGCGTTAGTAATGCGTATTCATTCACAATAAAGGCTTTAGCAGCCCCAACTGCGACGCGCACGATATGGCAAATGAGTCATTTGCGATGCTAATGTATGCATGTGATTTTTGATTCCCTTTACCTACCAGAACGTAGCCATCTTTCATGGAGTATGGAATGGTATCCGTAGTATTTGGATTTGGATAGATTGGTCGTTGTTCAGCAGCATAGTACTTGTAAACGGTTTCGTCCACTTTTCCAGAAGCACCAGATCCAGTGGCAACATTTACGTCCACGGGAGCAGCGCTATATGCTGGGGGAGCTGTAACGTTTGGGTATATCTGGTCGGTCATTGCTGATTTCTTGTAAAGTGTCGTTTGTAGTCGTGATAAGCAGCTGGAAAGCTCACACAGCCAAAGCGTACACAAAACGTCGACCAATTAGATTTAAGACCTAAGATGTTGGACGTTTTGCGTGTTTCGCGTATCGAAATATCCATCATATTCAAAAACGATCTAGAATAGTATATGTTATAATACAATAGCGTTGATGACTGTTGCTGCGATCATCGCCAATTCAATTGGTTGGTGACCATATTGTTGATTATTGTTGATTGGCAACAACAGCGTAATCAGTTCCAGGAGCAGCTTCAGACGGTGGCGGAGGTTGAGCTTGTGCTGGTGGCGGCGGCTGAATATTGTCATTACTATGATAATCAACATTCGTGTTGTTGAATCCAATTCTTCCTAATCCTTGATATGGTGGTCGATATTCGCCTCTGTTTCCTTGATCTTGATATGGCGGTCGATAACCTGCTTTTCCAGGTCTACTGCTACCACCACCTTCGCGCTTTCGAGTATTCTGTCTCCGATTCCTGCTCTTGCTTCACAGTTTCTATCAAATCTGTGGCCAATTCTTGTTGACGCGGTTGCCTTCGTCCGTGGCATCTGCAGGCCTCTTGTGCCTCTTGGGCCCAGCCATCGTTGTATGATCGTGAGGGGGATTGTGTGTATTTTGCAGAGAGGCGCAACGGGTTCAGTTGTGTATACGAATATATCGAAATATTAAAGGTAAAATATTACCGTGACGGGCCCGCGATATTGAACGTGGTATTGCGACGTGTAGCTCTAAGTTGAACGTGCTGGCCACCCTGAAACCATCGTGCTGCGACCACCAAACATCAAACTGTAGACTACCTAGACGATGCTGACTTAAAAAAAGACCGTGTATATATGTTGTAAAAGCATCAGAACATGGATAACGTCAAGCTAAAGCGAATACCACTATAGATGAGTTCAGACTCATGCGGGGATGACGGCCAGAACTCCTTTGCATGAAGGACATTCATGTACTTGATCAAGACAAGAGTTGCAGCAGCATGGCAAGCACCAGCAAGGCCAGCAGACCTATAAATGTTGTTTTCGAATATGTGAGCGGATGAATTGGAAGTACAAGACGTAAAACACAACGCCTACCATGCACATGAAAGCAGTAGAGCAAAGCGCCAGAAGTCCCACTTGGCGCTTTACAACCGTGACGACTTGCTTGCCTTCGTATGGGCACCTAAAGAATTTGATGGTTAATGTGAGACAACGACGAGGGTTCAGTAGAGGTCACTGGATGTTGCTGCAACATGTTTTCAAGTTTGATCCTTACCACATTCGAACAGGACCGCGGGTTGGCAGCATGATAACATTGTTTTCGATAGTGTATGCGACTGGAACGTTGCTTTCTTCAACAACAATGACTCGGGGATTGGCTATTGTGGTCAGTGGATATCAGTTGGTTGATGTGAATGTGGTAATCAGGCAAAGATGGAAAATCTTCCAAGTAGTTGCTCACAGCAACTACCGGCTGTAGGAAAGTAAAACGCATACCTTGGTAGTATACAGCAGCTGGAGTTTCGCTTGATATAGTGTTGGATATGGGCGCTTCTTCAGGCAATCCAAGTGTATAAGCAGGAGGAGGTGTGGCATCTGGGTAGACGGAACCAGTGCCAGTTGAAGATTCAGGCTGCTTGCTCAATAGAGGTTTGCGTTCGTCGGTCATATCTAGGTAGAAAAATGTTGGTCAGTCACAATGCCACAATGACTGTTGATGTCCACGGCAAGGCTCTCTGGTTCTAAAGACAGAGACAGCCGCGGAAGCGATCTGACTACCAAACAATCAGATATATCAAATGTAACCGAGCTTTGACGGCCTCAGTTGTTCAAAGTGTGTGTCATTTGAGCACACCGTTGAAAGATGATAAGCTTCAAGAACAAGAAGCACCATATGGAAAACGATCAGCAGAGGCGCCGCGCTTACTTGTAAAGTTTCTTGTTTCAGTAGATCAGCTTGGAAAATGGGGTTTCAATAATGTTTGTTGAATTGACAAGTGGCAAGAAATTTTAAACTTTCGAAATCCCATTAACGAACCGAGTGCTGGCGAGACTTCTAAAACTAGTCAATTCAGCCATGTCATCTGTCAAGATCAGCGACAAATTAGGCCTGAACGATGTTAACGTGACGGGAAAACGTGTCCTTATTCGGCAAGTAATTGCCCTTGAATGTCTTCAACTTTAAAGCTTTACTTTGGACTAATTACTACATTCTATTTGCATCTAGTGTGGACTACAACGTACCATTTTTGGATGGAAAAATATCAAACAACCAGAGAATCGTCGCTTCTCTACCCACCATCAACTATGTACTCAAGAACGGTATGACTCAATCCAGCTTGCTGTTAGAACCTATGCAAGCGACAACAGAAGCCAATTCCTATCATTCAACAGGTGCAAAATCTGTCGTGTTGATGAGCCACTTGGGTCGTCCTGATGGAAAAGTCGTCCCAAAGTACTCGCTCAAACCTGTTGCTACTGAAGTTTCGACCTTATTGGGCAAACCAGTCACCTTCTTGGAAGACTGTGTTGGAAGTGCTGTCGAGGAAGCCTGTGCCAAACCTACTGATGGTGCGTGTCGAGTTGCTAGTCAAACTATGCACACGTCAATCTGTTGACTGCTCGTCACTTTCACAGGTCAAATCATCCTATTGGAAAACTTGCGATTCCATATTGAAGAAGAAGGTTCTGTCAAGGATGAAGCTGGTAATAAGGTAAAAGAAACAAAGAAATTTTTATGCTTGGTCATTTGAGCTGTTGAACTCAACTTTGACGTTAGATCAAGGCAAGCAAAGAAGACATTGCTGCATTCCGAGCCTCATTGACCAAATTGGGTGATATCTACGTTAATGATGCCTTTGGAACTGCTCACAGAGCTCACAGGTATTGTCTGCATCTATGAGGCAAAAAGCACATGTATGTCGATTTCTGATGACATTGATGCTCTGTTGTAACTTGCAGTTCCATGGTTGGTGTTGAATTGCCTATTCGAGCAGCTGGATTCTTGATGAAGAAGGAATTGGACTACTTTTCAAAAGTCCTTGAACATCCTGAACGACCCTTCTTGGCTATATTGGGAGGGTACGTGTGCTAGTCTGATCCTTATGAGGCTCTCGACTAACAACAGTATGCTTGATTTTATGTAGTGCCAAAGTATCTGACAAGATCCAACTCATCAACAATCTGCTTGACAAGGTGAAGCCACAAAATAACATACCTATATCCAACATATAGCCTTAACTTGAAGCTTCTCTAACCAATTTCATCTCTCAAATAGACTGACAAGATCATTGTCGGTGGTGGTATGGCCTTCACATTCAAAAAGGTCATCAACAACATGAATGTGAGTGATTGGTCGCGTCGTGATATATGTCCAGAAATGATGATTGACGTTTTGTGCTCTTGGTTCCACAGATTGGAGGCTCGCTATATGATGCAGAAGGTGCCAAGATTGTTCATGATTTGGTTGAAAAGGCCAAGAAGAACAGTGTGGAATTGATCTTCCCAGTTGACTTTGTCACTGCTGACAAATTCTCCAAAGATGCTAACGTGAGTTCACGCGTATCGCATTTATTAAACCCATAATCATCACTCAACAACCACAAACTACTATAGGCTGGATACGCAACAGAAGAAGAAGGCATCCCAGATGGTTTAATGGGTCTAGACTGTGGTGAAAAATCAAACGAAATCAACCGCAAAGTAGTCCTATCATCCAAAACCATCTTATGGAATGGTCCAGCAGGTGTATTTGAATTCGAAAAATTCGAAAAAGGCACCAAAGTCATCTTGGATGCCTTGATTGAAGCCACGAAAAACGGTGCTACTACTATCGTTGGTGGTGGTGATACCGCTACTGCTGCTGCCAAATGGGATGCAGAAGATAAATTGTCGCATGTCAGTACTGGTGGTGGAGCTTCGTTGGAGTTGTTGGAGGGTAAAGTTTTGCCTGGTGTTGATGCTCTTTCGTCAAAGTCCTCGTGAATGCGTCTATAAGAAGAGAGTACACGCAACAAAGCAAATGTATTGTTAGAATATAACTTGATCATCAAAAAAGAACGTCTTTTTCAAGGTTTGGAACGTGGTTGAATCCGACCATCGCTACAAAACTTGAAAAATCGCGAGAAAGCCGCAAGAAACACCAGGAAGAGCAGGAAATCAACCCAACTGTTCCAATTTTGATTCAATTTGCTTCAGAAATATGGCCTCATCAGAGCCGGTTTGGGTAAGATCTTCCACTTCGATTTGTTTGCAAGCTTTTAACAGGCTTTTTGAAGTGAAGCTACAAATACATCACCACAGATCATCGTTCAATCAGCTTTCTTGTCGAGTTATTTATAGTAATATCTGTATTCTTTGTCTAGGTACGCTGTACAGGTACACTTTGACCTCAACATCAACGAAACCTGCGACAACATAAGCTTTGACCGAGATCTTTGTTTGAACCTCCATGAACGACTGAAACCCTGCTCTTACAATATATTATCCACAAAAGGAAACTCGGTCTCTCCTGTAAATACTGTCATTGGTGGATTCGAAAAGGACGGCAGCGAACTATATATCGCTCGATCGTTACTTGGTGGAGGAGTTCACGTCGGTATGTGGAACTTGCTGATTTCCCTTAACGACACGCTCCCTTTCCTTCTCTCTGCTTCCAAACGCATGTTGCTGAATATCGAAAATGAATGACTCTGTTTTCCAATCTTGTAGGAAAAGCTGGAAGACATCTGAGACCTGAAGGCTGTCATATCGCATATGGAGGCAAAGAATGCGTGGAACGAGAATATGAAGTGTTGACTGTCACAGATCCTAATGCTTTCGTTTGGGTATCCTTGTTTCATTTGAGCATTTTTTGTCTTCTGTATACCTCACACCCTGACTTGAATTTTCATATCCCGCTTCACAGGTCGACGATGCAGGAAAATGTACAGCTCAAGGATACACACCCGTCTCTGCCGGTCGCGAAAAGGACGGTCGAGAACTCTATGTCGCTCAAGTGCTCTACGAGGGTTCAGTACAAGTTGGGAAGACAGGGAAACATATGGATGGTGCTCATATTGCATATTCTGGGCGTGAAAAGAATGTATTGTGTTATAGAGTTTTGTGTCATAAGCCTTGACAAACCACAAGCTGCAACAAAGATATTTTGTTTATTATGACTACTCTTCTACATTTTTGGTTTAAGAGCTTTCAGGCCGGCTGCGAAACCTTGTACCCACCAGTTTCCCATTGTGCCGTCCGAGATTTGCGAGATAATTGAGACTACTTGGTCCGCTGTTCCCCAACCTGTTATATAGAGACAAGGCGTCAGCGGAGAGATCAGCCCGAGTACTTGCGAAGACGAAACTTACTGGATTGGTAGCCGTACCCGCCATGGCCGTAATCTAAACAATATTAGGTCTGATTAGCCAAAAGAACTGGTGACGAGGACTTCAAACATAGCTTACTGTGTACTAGTAGAACGCATCGTCCAGAACTCGTTTTCACCATCTCAGGCTCCACACGTACGTCCCCCTTCCTAGTGGGCCTCAGACCAACCTGTAGTTCCAAGTGCAAGGAGTAAGAGCTAGAATCCGGCATGTATCATTCACAACAAGAAGTCATATTCTTACCTTATGCTCAACAACCTCCACCTTACCATCCGGTCCAGCAAGTTCAGGACAAACTGCAACACATCGCTGTATTATACGTTCTGCAATACCCCAATCAGGCTCCAAATTTCCATTGTTTTGTTGATAAGTGCCTCCCAATATAACCGTCCCGTCATTCCTGGAGATGATATATGTTGTCTCTGGCTGCAAACGTCCAGCACCAACAGCCATAATCGTCAATAGCACTGGACTTTTAACGATAACGATCTGTCCACGTGTTGGATATACATCGCTATCTTCTACACCTCCCAGTGTCTTGGCTCCAATTCCAGAGCAGTTTACGACTACATCACAGTCATCGCCGTTGTACAGGTCTTGAATGTGCTCAACGGTACCATGTTTGAGAGTTCCACCCAAGTTGGTGTACATGGTCAACAAGAACTTTAAATATACAGGGACTGTTATGCCAACAGTCATATACCGGTACCCGTATGAGAAGCCATCTGGTATTTCGTTGGCCTCCAGGACTCTAAAGCCTGGTATAAACCGTGCAAACCACGGATTGGGTCTCTGTTGCTTGTAGTATTCAAATGAAGGGTATCTAACGATTCCAGCGGCAGGTATTTCGGCTAGTGACCAGAGGACTTTGAAGGCAGCCTATTGTTGCTGAGTCAGTAGAGTCAAGTTAAGAGGTAAAGCGGGTGATGTACCTCATCATAAGCTTGCAAACGTTCATCTCCATTCTCGACGAATGATCTCCAGTTCGCACCGGCTTTAGGACTCGTGTAGAGAGGATCTGCATCGAATGCAAGTGGTGATGACTTTGAGATTATGGTGGTGGAGCATCCTTGAGCTTGCAGTAATCTATGTTTTGGGAATCGATATACGGTTTAGTGAAAAGAGTATACTTCGATAAACCATGAAACCTGAATAATCACGATATCACGTTTGTCAAATCGACGCAAATTCAAGAATCTGAGCGTTTGCACTTACACGCCGACAGTTAGGCCTGAGACTCCAGCTCCAAGGATCCGTACGCGAGGCTTCGAACCCATTGTAATATTACTATTGTTCGTGCTGATTGTGTCGAATGATGTCAGCATTTCAGCCAGATACCTAGATTGTGCAAACCGAGTGACATATTCAACCGTGAAGGTGAACAATATACGGAATATATCTACATGAAAACTTTCGTGTTTCACACGTTCATTGCCTCGAAAAAGAGCTAAATCACGTCGGAATTGTGAAAAGTTTAATATTCGTCGCCGTTTTTGACCAGAAACTCGTGATTTCCTGCCAGAGACGTGACGTTTTAACGTTTTAGTGACATAATCCTGGAATAACTTGGAATAAGTTGGAATATTGCTTGTCGTTATTCCATGAGTAAGCCCTTCCCCTCTGCTTACTTCACACTTCGACACTACAACAACAGGCTCCGTTGACAGGTAAGAGAAGACGAGACATTATATCTGCCATTGCTTATTTACGTTATATTTGAATGCTCGTCGTTGCAAAAGACGTGTGCATCCGTTGGATGGATGGGATGGGATTCGTTGTTACTGTCACGCTTCCCCCAAGTTTTTGCATTTTATCCAAGTGGAGGAAGAAGGAAGTGGAATCAAACGATATTAGGATTTAATCTTTCATTGCTGTGATGATGCTCAGAGCCTGAAGCCGTGTCATCATGGAGCTGCCTACACATCAACATTTGGGTTTGGAGCATTTGGTGAAGTCAAAGTTTTGCATTGAATTGAATTGCAAAGGAGAATAAGGTGGCTGTAGATTACACTGGAACGTTATCGTTATGAAGAGAGCTTGCAATCGTCTCGTTGCACATACATTCACCACCATCAGAAAACACGTCAACACATGTCATGTACACCAATACTAACAAAGCATTTCCAACTCTTGATTCTAGATTTTAAATCAGTCATGAGAGCGAAGTGGAGGAAGAAGCGACAAAGGAGACTCAAGCGTAAGGTAAGAACATACGACCTCATTGCTTCACCCATACAAATTGTGCGCACATGTATGGAGATGCGGCTCTTAATACATACCTTCCATCCTTTCTAGAGGAGAAAAATGCGAGCTAGATCCAAGTGATCTACCAACTAGTGCTATCTACAAAACGAAGATATGCCAAATGCCCAAAATTGGGTAACACAAAATGTATTGTAAACAAAACAACACCACAAAATCAACTCGAGATATTTACGCAAGTCGCTCTCCTTGCCATAGAATATATATTGTAAAGCAGAATCACACAAATATATAGTCTAGTAAGATCTTGAATTTTGGAATGTTGGGCTTAAGCAAATGTTCGTTGTTCTTCTGTGTGGATTTCAATGGTATTGATGGCGATTCGCGTTATATTGCTGCATATCGGTGCTATCGGTGCTCTCATTGCATCGACTCGCAAACATGTTTCGTTGAAACCGCAACATTAACTCGGATATGTGTTTCTTGTTTTGCACATCTATTACAATACACCCCAAAACACCTCTCTTACAATGATCTCACACGTGCTTGACGCGTAGCCTCGTACTCTTCTCTCAGCATTGCCATAACCTTCTCCAACCCAGGATTTGGTCCCAACTTGCTCATTTCTTCTGAAATCTTGGCATCAAGAGAGTCAATTACACTCTCAGTGTAGTCTAATGACTTGCTGGCATTGATCAAATCCATAGCACGTTGTTTTGCTGGAATGTCTGTTGGTCTTGCACGGAGGATGTCTATGGGTGAAAAAAGGGTTTGTCAGTGACCTGAATACTAGATATGAGGTTAAGGTACGGTTTGCTTACTTATCAATTCGTGACCAGCAAGGTTTTGAATGGAGTGGATTACTGGGTATGAGAACTTTCCTTCACTCAAGTCTTCACAGAATCCTTTTGCGTCAGTGTACTATTTGAGTGAAATTGTGTCAGCGTATGAAACTTCTTGAAGGGAAAAACACAAGATGATGTCATCTTGTATGCCTTGGTAGAAGCAAGATTGAGGTAATCGTCACGGATTTGGAAGTGGACACCTATCAAGTCAACAAGTGGTACCAAGTCCCTGAAACGCAAATTGTGGTTGGTTAGCTTGAGAATCAACAATTGAGCTGTACGAAGTCTGTATTTTTTCAACTACTTGTTGGTTTCGGTATAGAGCTGCATCATCTTGACTCCAAGTCTCATCAAACCTCCAGTCTCTAAAGTGATTCAAAAGATGCAAGTTGAGTTCAAGCACAAAAAATCCGTGTTGCCATTCAGGAAATGCAACAAACTTACTGTTTGAAACCATATCAACATACTCCTCCACACTCGGACACGCAACACTCCCATTATCCCTCCAATACAACTCAAACCCTTGTCCACGATGCAACTGAATCATCTCACACACAAAGATCTTCGTCATGGCCGCATCTTCCATCACACATTCCAGCGCATCAAAGTAGCACAAATTGGCAGTGTTGATTGTTGATGGTACTCCATGTACCATATGAGCACTTGGTTTGCCACGACGCATGGGCGAGTTGTCTTCGATATCGTCGACGAGGAGAGATGCATTGTGGAGCTTTTCGACGACGGATTTGATGGTGACGAGCTTGTCCTTTGGGACGTGGAGCCAGTGGTCAAAAGCGTCCATTAGTTTGGAACGGATGCCTTTGCCTCCAAGGGTTAGGAGATAGTCGTATGGGAGGTAGAGGACCTGGAATGAATCATAAGGTGTAATTAAATCGGGCTTTTTGCTCGATCGCATATTGGTTTGTTTTTGAAATTATACACAGACCTTGTCACGGCCTTCGACTTGAGTCTTTGGCACAACTTGAGAATTGACCGGCATCGTTGTATACTCTGTCTGAGATGTGATGGAGTTTGATGAATCTGAGATGTGAGACACGGAATCAACAATTAAAAACAAAACTTCAAGATTAGAAGTTATGACGATGAAGTGCACTTTTGCAAAGTCGCGTCTCTACGTGAGATATTCTTCCGATGATTAAGCACATGTATGCGATTTTGGTGTCCAGTGCCGTCTTTTGGATGATTGTCCTGAAAAGCATTATTTTCCAAGATGCATTCATTTTTTAAAAACCACAGTACCAGTGTCGTATCTTTCTCGAGAAGTTTAGAAAGAGATAATCAGTACTTTGATATTAAAGAAAGGCATCGAGCTGATACCACGGAGCTCACCGATCGATACGAACTTTGTGCTCTGAAATTCAAATTGAAAGACCCCCTCCAGTTTTTGTCATGTTTGAAGCTTTGAATTTCATTGCGTTGAGAAGAGGTGTAGTAGGCGCATGGAGCAAACTAAAATACTATACTGATTACAAGAGTCCAATACACTGTCGTCAAAGCCTGTGTTTGAAAACATTAGGACACACAATTTTCATCAAACCACATTCTGCTGAGTTTCGATTCCTCCCAGGCTATGTGACCTGGTAATAAGCGAAAGCGGAGCTCAATAATCAGGAATCATGAAGCCTGAAATTTGCCTTGACTTGCAATCACTCTCAGTATGCCCATGGTCTGACGAACCGAATTGTCGTATGATGCGCCAAAAAAAATTTGTGTTTTCAAGCGCACTCTGGTTATATATAATACAAGTTAAACCTATGAAATGTATGTGTTTTTTAATAGTCCTGACGACGCCGAGAATTATACTGCTGCATCTCGACATTCTCTCTGTCCATAGGTCCACGTTCTCTCGACCGCTCCGACCGTTCCCTAGAAGGTGTTCTACCACCACCAGCCTGTGGTGGAGGCCCTCTCCTCCTATTCTGGGATCCATAGCCGGCACCATCGTCAGGCCCACGCCTAGTATCGGGCCCACGTCTGGCATCAGGGGGAGATTGCCCACGCTGCTGCTGTGGCGGCCTTCGTTGCGAATTATACGGGCTTTCACCGCCACGGTTGTTTGATGGTCGACCTGGAGATTCACCACGTCTGCTATATGTTCCGTCTGTTGGCGGCCGTCTCTCACTGCCCTGTCCAGACGACTGTGTTTCTGATCGTCCACGACCACCGGTTGGCATACGTTGTGATTGAGACATTCCATCGTCCGTGGTGGGTGTTCTGCCGTTATTTCGTCTATTGTCGGTCCCAACGCCCATCCCCATACCAATACGTCCATCCAAACGCGAGTCAGGAGAAGCAAAACCACCTTGATTGTTCATCGCTCGTTGTCTGGTATCACTATAGTTATTGTTGTTCATGGCTGCTTTTGCAGACGGTTGGTATTTATCTTCAATCCATCGATCATCGTCGTAATCACGGTTGTACTTGTTATTGTTGCCGGGTCTTGTTTTACTATAAGCTAATGGCGGTGGTGGTATAGGCGATCCAGCATCAGTTTCAGATCCGTATTCGGAATTACGGTATGCAAATCCACCGGGCGATGAGATATCCAGGATTTTATCATTGTTGCCTTCACGTTTACGACGGTTGCGTCTCCTAACCAGTATTACTATCACACCTACCAGAATCAGTGCTAGAAGCGCACCACCACCAATTCCTATATACATTATCGTCTGCGTTGAGAAGACGGCAGTTCCAGCTGTCGTCCCTGTTGTAGCTGCTGCTGGGGATGCTGAAGGTATCACAATACCGACTTCAGCTTGTGTTAAATTCGTACCAATATTTATATACGTCCCGACAGCAGCCAAGTTTGTGCAGCAAGTATCGGCCGGTGTGCCTAAACAGTAGGTCGCAGCTGCGACTAGGTCTGGCTGTGAAGGCCCAAATCCACATGATTGAGAATCTACTGGGACTGAGAGCACACATGTTCCAGTATTTGTTTCGAGAGCTGTACATGCCGTTGTCCAGCCTGCAACGTATGTGGTGATATTGGTTGCAGTAATGTTGGGACATATGGCAGTGTTTTTCAAGACGGATGTGAGGCTACTCAAAAACTGATTACATGTGCTGGCACAAATCGGCGGTGGTAGAGTCTGTGTTTCGGAGAGGACTTTAGCTTGGTGACTATGATCAAGATCTGCACCAGAGCAACCAATGGAGGAACAGACACAAACATACCTTTACATTCTCAGTGCAGTTCTGGCTGACTGTGATCACATCATAAGCGCAGGCCAATGTGTATCCAAAGCGTAAATATCCATCCTTATTGACGAGGATCACAAGTTAGCTCTTCCACAGTTATTGGCAAACATCGGAGCTAGCTTTTCCACCTTGCACCGGAACTCAAATTTCGAAACCGACAGAAGATATACCACAAAGGAACTTACAGGCAATGTGCATCCAAACTTGGCCAGCTGTTTAGCAAAACCACTAGACTGATACGCCCACTTGTGCGTATACAAATCAAAGCTCGTCATATCCGTCATGTTGGGGCTTCCAGTACCCCCAGCTGCCACAGCAGTAAGCGATATAGCATTGGCATTCCAGTTCGGGCAGACTTTAGACGTGAAGTTGGTGCAGTTTTGGGCGTTCGTCATTACCAAAAGCGAGGAAAGAAGCAGACACAAACTTGTACGGTGTGATAGTGCCATTGTTCCAGCAAGTGGCAACCGTTAAAGGGCTCTTCCTGTCTCCAAACTGAAACGGTTTTCCAAAAAAATGTTTTGTGAACGAACGGTGGTTCATCTTGCCGTTCTTTCCTCTATCGGGCTTTGGTGAGAGGAAGTGTGATGGTCTGGACAACGAGGTGACGGGGGGACCGGAACCTGGCATATACGCGATATTTCTTACTCAATAGATCTTCTGAGGCGTTTCGTCGATCTCCGAGGTACCTTTTCAGGCTTGTTTGTCTAAGAGATCTCTGAAATTTCTCAACTTTTGACGACAAACTTGTAGCGGTCGCTCACAAGAGCTTATTAGAGAGTTCTTAATGGTATTATGACCACATTTACAAGTTGTGACATTATTGATCGTACCGATGCAATGTGAAGAATATCATCTAGTTTCCAATGGAGCTTGCTTTTACGAATTCGCAAAGGCTGTGAGCTTTTCACCAGTCAATCTAATGAAAATGATAGTTAGTATCTTTTGTTAATTCATCTGTTCTGACGACAGGTTGCTTGCCTGAAAACAGTCCATTCGTTTTTCTCAACGGCACCCATAGCCTTATAAAAGTTGATTGCAGGAGTATTCCAGTCCAAAGCAACCCACTCCATTCTGGCACAGTCTTCCTTTTCAGCGATCTGCGCCAACTCTTTCAGCAACGCCTTTCCTACCCCTTTACTCCTGAATTCGGGAAGGATGAATAGGTCCTCAAGGTAGAGACCCCGTTTGCCTGTGAAAGTGCTAGTAATGAGGTGATCAGTTACTTCTGAACTCCATACTTGTTGCGATATTCCAAACCAGGCTGATCAGCAACGTTGGAATGCAAGCGTGTTATGAATCTTCCAATACCAAGTTCCAAGTTTCAACAAAGCAGTACCTGAAGTTGTAAAAGTAGAGTGCGAATCCAGCAGCGTTGTCATCGTATGAAGCGATGATGACCTTTTTTCAAACACAATGGTGAAGATTAGTATAGAGGAGTGAATCGATCAACGTGTGAATCAAATGCTTCAAAGAAACAAAAACGATGCAAGCTCACAAGCAACGGAGTTCAAACTTTCTGCAACTAAATGCAACCTACTGACCTTTGCAGCGTTTTTAGTGAACAAGGAATCGCTAAGAATGGCTTCAGTGGCATAGACCTCATCCGAGAGCTTTTCGTATTCGGCAAGTCCCTTAATGAAGTTGAAAATAAGAGGCACATCTGCCTCAACAGCCTCTCGGAGTTGCAGTCCACTCATTTTGGCTCCGCTGGTTCAAATTGTTGAACTTCGATTTTTTTGTTTGGTTGAAACGTTCTTCACATGTCTATGAGCGTGTCGATCGCGTTTTTTCACGGTGAGGATGCCAAAGAATTCGTGGAGATCCATGGATATCTTTTAGTTTGCGCCCACGCCACCGTTCAATTTGCATTGACAGCTATCAAATATCTTCTTTGTGCTGAGCAATCAATTCAACACTTCAGAACGAGACAGTGAGGGAGAGTGCAGGGATGGCAGCCTCATCGCACATCGAGTATCAGGACAACAGTTATATATCAGATAGTTGCCGTCTCCCATCATCAACCAGCAATTTCAAGCCAAAGCGAAAAGGTGGACCCATTTCATTACAGCCCCCAAAGACAACGATATTGGCCACCTCCTCTGGTGAATTTACCTTCCAATATTCGATACATGATCCAGGAAGACACATGCTGCGGGAAATGAGACTAGTCTTTCCACATTTAAAGGAATCTGATCGACTACTTGTTGTACCCACATTCCAGAAGGCTGCTCACGATCTAGTCGCTGTTACCGCTGAGACTAATAGAGAAAGGAATCTGTTGCTGGAAAATGTGAGTCTCGTCTTGATGCCATCCCCTCTCTTTGCCAAACTTGTGCACATGTTTTTTCTGTTGGTGCAACAAAATTTTCATACCTCTTTGTTCTTCTAGTTTTATGAGTGGGCACGTCGAGTATGTGAATATCTAGTGGAACGTGGCCATTGGGCGGACTTCACCGATCCCGCTTCTGGCTATCCTGTATGTTATTTGCAACGGTGTTGGCATGTGCGGTTTCCACCATCTTCGACAAGTCTGAACTGACACGTTACCACATAGATGTACAGCCCTCGTGGAGCCTCTTTATATCCAGATGTCGATGGAACTGTCCACCTGCTGAATTACGCGTCGGATCAAGCTGGATGTTGTCGGATATTACTTCACCCAAACTGGGGAACTAGGAACTATCCAGCTACTCTCTTCTCAACAGCAGATCTGGCAACGCTTTCTGAAGCGTTATATGTGTGCACTTCATAATTCATAATAACTTATACCCTGATCATAATACCCGGACGTTTTGTAGACAAATACATAGATGTATAAATGTACCACCATTCGAATCGAAGGTCGAATTATAGCAATCACGATCAGGTTTATTACGCGAAAAGGGTATGGTACTTGTTCGCAAACACCGGTCGAACGAAATCTGTGACAAGAGCGAATCTGAGTTTGAAATTCGAGTTTTGGCCAATGTTTTTTGATTGTTTTACGAGCTGAAGGCAATGACAGCTCCCAAAGCGAAATTGGTGCATATTCTCTATGCATCGCAAACAGGCAACGCTGAATGGATAAGCCATCATATTCATGAAGATGCAATTCGACAAGGTTTTACTGCAACTTGCACAGTGCTTGATGAATGGGCCACGGCAAGTTGGTGCAAACTCGGGATTTATTTTGATCTTGGATCCGTTACTGATTGTCTTTGGAGAATAGGTGGACTTGAAGGGTGATTCTGTTGTAATCTTCGTTGCATCAACTACTGGGGATGGTGATCCTCCAGACAATGCTACTAAGTTCTGGAGACATCTTAGAAGAGCTAAAGGTGCTGAGTTGGATGTGTTTAAGGGGAAGCGGTATACTATGCTAGGTATGTTTTATGTTATGTGATTGATCCAAGCTTTGCCAAAAGTGCAAACCAATGTTGTTGACATCTTTTTTTTTTGTCTAGGTTTGGGAGATACGAACTATGACAACTTTTGTAATACGGCCAAGAGATTGGATCGCCGAATGAATGAACTTGGTGCTATACTCTTTTATGAACGAGGATTTGCTGATGACGGTGTTGGGTACATCTGCTCAGCAAAAAAAGGGTCGTGTATATAACGTTAACACGCGTTTTCGTTTAGATTGGAACTAGTAGTTGACCCATGGATGGAAAAGTTATGGCCTGCTCTTGAACAACATGTCGAAGTAGATCCAGTGAAGGCTGCCGAATTCGCCACTGCTAAAACGACCTCAAAGTTCAGTGTGCTCAGTCTCAAAAAGCCTGATACGGTTGACGATAAGGCTACTGAAAAGATCGCTAATGGCACTACTAAAGTAAAGGATGACAAGAGTGCACTGCCACTAGGAAATGGTCTGGTTAAACCGGCTCTGACTAGTGCCAATATAGTTACCGCTGCACCTGTTAAATCAACTAGCACTGGAACCCCTACTCTCAATACTGGCACTGTCGTGAATGTAGATACGTCAAAGTTGGCCAAATCTGATGCCGTAACTTTGACCAACGTACCGAAACTAGTCCCCTTTACACTCACTCTGAAACCTACAGGAACGGCTAGACCCTCTCTAATGTCTTCTGATCAATTCTATTCTCAAACCATAAAAGTCGCTGCAACCAACACTTCGGAATACTCACCCACAATCCCATTCCTGGCTCCAATCCAGTCAGCACGATGTCTAACAGGTCCCAAAACTTCTAAACGAGTTATAGAACTGACGCTGGATATCAAGGCTTTGAATTGGAAGTATCAAGCGGGAGACTCGTTTGGTATTGTATGTCCGAATGCGGACGAGTTGGTAGAAGGTTTGCTGGCTCAACTCAATCTGAATCGAGACGAGACGTTTGAGCTGTCGTCGGCCTCGTTAATGTTACCGTATACCAGTAAAATGCCACTGACGTATTATGAAGCTCTCAAGTATCACGTAGATTTGCTCTCGTTTCCTCGAAAGACAGTGTTTCGCATACTGGCTGAATCCACTACGAATGACGCTGAAAAGAACACGTTGCTGTTTTTGTCTTCTGCTCAAGGTGAGCATTTGATTTTGTATCACTTAAAATGCAAAAAAAGGAAACTGACGATCCCCATAATTCCTTTAGGTGGAGAAGCTTTCAAGCAACTTCGCAAACAGCAACCAACGCTACTAGATCTCCTTCGTACATTCGCATCGTGCCAGCCTCCATTCACTCACATATTAGAACATTTACCAAAACTACAGCCACGATACTATTCAGTGGCATCTCTAGATCCAGAATCAGTCTCTTTTGCATTCAACATTGTAGAATACGATACTCTCAACCCTATAAGATCAGTACGAGGCCTTTGTAGTGGTTGGCTAGACGATATAACAGGCCATATATTAACAGGGAAAACACCATCAACCGCCACACTTCCATCAATACCTATATTCCCGCGCCCATCAAACAACTTTCATCCACCATCCGATCTAAATACACCGATTATATGTATTGCAGCTGGAACGGGCATCACGCCGTTTATGGGCTTCTTGCAACACTGGAAAGCACATTCTGCGAAGGGGCTTGTATGGATGTTTCATGGATTTAGACGTGAGGGACAAGATGAATTGTATGGTAGTGAGTTGCAAGGGTTTGTTGATGGTGGCGTCTTGTCTACTTGGACGAAATGTGTATCGCAGCCTGATAATGGGGGTGTGAAGCAGCATGTGCAGGATCGTATCAAGGTTGATGCTGACGGTGTTTGGATGTGGATTTCGCAGCAAAATGCACGTGTATATCTGTGCGGGTAAGTGCGTGTACATGTGTAATGAGTACTTGGTGGTTATAGCCTCGTTCAGAGCATGAGAGTGACTTTCTTGTTATCTGGTTTAGGTCTGTGGCTATGGCTAAAGATGTGCATGCATGCTTTTTGGAAATCACAGCACCGCATGTAGGTGGTGTAGTTGAAGCTCAGGCGTACTGGATGCGTATGACTGAAGAGGAGCGTTATGTTCGTGATATATGGACGTGACGTGTCGGATGAAGAAGAAGGATAAAAAGGTAGCCTCATTTAGTTGGTTTAGGAAGGTGGTAGCTGCGACATTTTCGCGCTCCCTGTTTATACTTTGAATATATTATTCATTCGATATTTCTGGTCGTGAAATGGTAAAGAGCGCGTCACTACACGATCAAATCATCAAATCGATTGCTAGATTTAGTAAATTTGCTAAACCGCGAAAGAAATTGACGCTATCTTTTGTCGTTTGCTTCTCACGCCTGTTTGCTCCCGGATTCATTTGCGTTACAAATTGTCACTGGAACCCAAAAACTGAGCTTCAGCTTAAGCTGCACGAAGAAATCCAGCTTCTTTGGATAAGGGTTGGCCTGGTCTCCATATTCTCTCATCATCCCGAAAGAGCTCGTTTGAGTAAGAAACCAACCAAAACATCAACCCACACATGCAGTAGAGCCTCGCTAACAACTTCGCATTCGTTAGGTCACTAATTTCCAATTTTCAAATCATGGTATCTACACCCGTAAAATCCTCTACCGATGGTCTCAAGACCAGGTCGTCGGCGCGCAAGAAGACTACATCATCAACATCAGCAACCGAACTTGCATCGCATTTGGCCGACGAGTATTCCGCAACGAGTACTCCAACTCGAAGAAGTGCAAGATTAAATCCTAGCTCGAAAATATTCACACCTAATGGTCATTCGCCTGCTGCTACCGACAAGCATGAAGTCGAGAGTAGCAATGACATGAGTGGCAGTAACAATCACGTCTCAGATGCAGTATTAACAAACAGGAAGAAGGATAGTGCATTTGATCAAAAGATTATTGTAGAGGTGAGTTAAAGTGATTTCGGCTCTCGCTTCTTGATGTTTTAAACCACGCGAAAAAATGGACCTAAACAATAATGTATCAAATACTAGTTTGGAGGCACACCAGGCGTGATAGGCATCATGCTAGGCTTTACAGCCCTAATGTACTATTTCTGGATTTGTCTAGAGTATTATAACGGAGCCATGGCACATCCATCTTCACTCGATGACATTGTGCCGTTCCTACAACGTATGGGACACCATGTCGTAAAGGGCGCTCCACCTACTGTATTCTCAGTCAGTGTCTATGTCGGGTATATCTTGTTCTCGGCCTTCTTGTCAATGACGATGCCGGGTCCGATTGTGAAGGGGTTGCCGGTACCGTCGTTGGGTTATAAGCAGTTGGATTATCTGTGTAATGGGGTTAGTTCGTTTTATGTTACGCTAGTTACGAGGTAAAAGGAATGCATATCAGATTGTGCTGATGAAAGCCAAATTTGCTTGGTTTTTTTGGCTCAAACTTTGCATGCTACTCACGCCAACGTCTATTCTCTCAGTGCCGTGCTTCATTACTACAGAATCCTGCCCCTCGGCTCAATCATAGACAACATTGGATCCATCATGACAGTCGCGATCATATCAGGCTGGACTGCATCTCTCCTAATCTACATTTCAGCATTCGTAACAAAAACCACTCATCGAATGTCTGGCAACCCATTCTACGATTTTTTCATGGGCGCTGTGTTAAACCCCCGTATTGGAAATTTGGATTTGAAAATGTGGGCTGAAATACGCGTGCCCTGGATTATACTGTTTTATGTGTCGGTGTCGGCTGCTGTCAAGCACTATGAAGAGACGGGTGTTGTGGGTCCGAATCTGTGGTTTATGGTATTGGCACACTTTTTGTATGTGAATGCGTGTATGAAGGGGGAGGAGTGTATTCCGACTACCTGGGATATCTTTTATGAAAAGTAAGAAACCTTGCTGTATATTCAATGCCTTATTTTGTTGAGAGGAATATCTGACATTTGTATTCTTTCGTTCAGGTTTGGATTCATGCTGTGAGTTCCCGTGTGGCGACAAAAGCATTTACAGTTGATCTACTGTCGACCCAGACTCAACACTGCCCTCATAGGTGCTTTTGGAATTTGGCTGGTGTCCCATTCTCATACTGCTACTCAACCATGTACTTGTTAAAAACTACACCTGGACAAAATCTTAGCTGGTCGACACCATATCTGATCTTTGTCTACACCCTCCTTGTTTCTGGGTAATTGAACCCTGCTTTTCGTGTACATTTCCGTCCGAAAATACTTACGGTATTGCTTCTTTTAGTTATTACATGTGGGATACTGGTATGTGAAATGATGCAGTTTTCCTTCTGAGGAACGACTGAGGTTTTTTTTGCCAAAAACAGCAAACTCTCAAAAGAACCGATTCCGAATGCAAATTGCTGGTACATACATCCCACGATGGACGTTTCCTCAGTTGCCATGGGGTACTTTGGTTAACCCAACATATATCAAGACGAAACATGGATCGTTGCTTTTGACTTCAGGTATGCTAAAAAATCCCTTTTGCTAGATGGATCATCAGGTAACTGAGTCTTCTGGACTTTCCTGACAGGTTGGTATGGCATCGCACGAAAGATTCACTACACTGCTGATTTGATGATGGCTCTATCTTGGGGGCTGATTACTGGTTTTGGGTAGGAGCAAGAAAGTCGTTGACATAGTAGATAAATGAACTGAAGCACACAACACTCCACCCATAGCTCCTTCTTACCATACTTTTATGTCTGCTTCTTTACAACCGTGCTCGTCCATCGAGTGACACGAGACATGGAACGATGTGCTAAAAAGTATGGTCAGGACTGGGAAGACTACACTACTCTGGTTCCATGGATTTTCATTCCTGGTATATTCTGATTTGGTATTTTGACGATGACTTTAAGTGTGGACTTGTGCATACTGTATAGTTTGCTCCTTTTTGGATATTTTAATCTACCACATCGACCAAGTTTTTGGCACAAAACACACACAAGTTGTAGTTAACGGACGAGAAATAAATCAAGTCTACATCACATGGATGGATGAGGCGGCCGTCGTAGTGAGCATATGATCTGCTCTTGGTGTCTCCTTCTAGCATCGTTTTTAAGTTATGTCTTGCACAATTCATATCCAACCAAGTTATCATTTCGGCAGATACCAACTTCAAGTCGATTGCAAATCAATAATCTGATTCATTTTCTGTCCTCGGCTAATGCAGTGGATAGCATGAAGATGAGAAGTTCAGACACAGCAACAATCACATTGCAGATCCCCAATATGGAGCAGGAAGACGGAATTTGCTTTTATTGGACAAGTGGTGTAGAGGTGAGCTTGCACCTTTTGAAATTCCATTTCAAAGTTGTTTGCAACGACATGCAAGAAAAGACTAAAGACTTGTCTCGCTTAATCACACAGTTGTTCGCGGTTAAATCCATTGTACTAAGCGTACTGGCAGATGTCCCAGCCCTAATGTACCCACCTGGTATGGATTCGACTCGAATGTTGTAACGGAGCCATGGCACGCCCACCTTATATCGATGAAAATCAACCAAATTTGCAAGGTATGAGACATCGTGTCGTGATGAGTGCTCCTCCTGCTATGTTGACAACCAGTGTGTATGTTGGATATATCTTCTTCTCGGTCTTTTGGTCAATGACGATCGCCAGTCCTGGCGTGGAAGGTTCGTCATTGACCAGGGGTATTCACAGTCGCATCACTTAAGTAACGGTATGTGTACGTCACCCTAATTATGAGGTAGCCCGAAAGGCCATGACTGTTGTAGAACGATCTTGTCGTTGAATTTTTTGTGGTTTTTTGTGCTTTCCACAACCAAACCAGGTCAATCTTGGATTTTACAACACACAGTGCTGTGCTTCGCATTTTTGGAATCCGCCTCTTCGACTTCTCAAGAGAAAACATGGGATCCATCTTGGTAGTCGCAATCGTTTCATGCTGGACTGCACCCTTCCTACGATACATTTCTGCCTTCAGCACCAAAACCGGTAACACATGGTAGCCATTTCTGTACGGAAGCAATGCCTAAATCTCACGACGAGAGTGTTCTGACTGTGTGAGATATCTTTGATGAAAAGTAAGCATCTTCGATCTGCGATATGGTGCGCTTGTTTGATAGAAATGTCACTATAACATAGATGCATTTGGAATCTGTTTGGTGCCATATTCTCGTACTTTTGGTACACACGCTCCACAATGGACATTCCGACAATTTCTGATGGGACACTTTGGCGAATCCAGCATATATCAAGACTTGACAAGGATGCTTGCTTTCTGTTGGTAATGGCCAAAAATACCCCTTCTGTCGTGAGCACATAACAAGCAAACTGTCTCACACCACCTTGTTTCGTAGAGCGGTATCCTTCTATACGAAAGATTCACTACACTGCTGATTCGATGGTGGATCTATCGTAAGGTTTATTGTGGGTTTCGGGTAAGTGCAATAAAACCAGCCCTCAGTGTACTTGTTCATCGAGTGGCACTAGACAATCGAACGATGTGGCTGACGATTACACTATTGAATGCACTATTTATTGCGACGTTCCAAGTGTCTACCAAATTGACTCAAGTGTAGTTAAAAGCCGGAATATATCATAATGAAGATCAGATCTTGGATTCAGTTTTCCCGAAAAAATGGTGACTCTTGCGGGTACCTCTTATTGCGCAAGTCCATTGACCTCGAGACACCTCTGTCAATCAACGTGGTCGAATCACCAATCCACGATGGTCCGCATAGAAAAGGCAGTGACACATAAATGCGAACAAAGTCCTTTTTACAATTAAAGCTAAGAATTTATTGAATCGAAAACAAATTACATATAAGGTCGTTTAACCAAAGTCCATAAAGCAATCAAGTGCAAGAGAGAGAGAGCATAGTTTGTCCCTTCCTTGTTAAGCCATTGTGTGAGTGCTCCTATACATTATAAGACAAGCCTTTTATATTACAACCAACCCTTTCATAAGGCTTTGCGGTTTGCTTTAGCAGCCTCGTCCAAACAACGAGTACACAACACATCTGGTGTTCGTATTGTGTTTGGCGGATAATCAATCGCGGGCTTCCTCAAGTTACATCCAGTACAGATCAAGTTAAGAGGTGGCATTTGCGGAATGACACAATCTTTGCATGTTGGGATGTACACTACATTGGCACCCTTTGTGGGCTTCAATGTAGGAGTACTACCAGTAGATCCACCACCACTTGCACCACCACCACCGACAACACCACCAGAAGTATTCCCAACGACAGTCCAAGCCAACGAAGCCTGTACCTTTTTCAACTGAGTACGAGAGTAGAAGTTTTCCGACAAGACCGTGCCGCATTCTTTACATTTGAAGAATTCTTCTTCCTTTTCGGGAGCTGGGATGCTCAATGCCATTATACCATCGGTTGATGATGATGGTGGAGTGATTTTGGATGCAATCATGGCGTATGATTGTGTGCTGTTGCCTAGAGCACTGCTTGGTCGTTTCGTATCAATGTTTATATTGTTGTTGTTGATGTTGTTGTAGTCCATTGCACTGCTTGGTCGTTTCATATCACTATTGTTATTATCGGGTGATGACGATGATGATATTGGTGTGAGGGATGGTTCGGGAGTTGGAGCTGGCGAAGTGGTGGTTGAGTAACTAGCATTATTATTATATAGTAATCGAGATGGTGAAGTATTTGTTGTTGATATGGACGTGGCACGTGCTCGAGTAGGCGACGAGGAAGCTGAAGATGCAGTGTATGATGATTCTGGTATTCCATAACCTATAGGACGAGGCGTACCTAGTAGACCAGGAGGTAGAGCCCATTTTGATTTCTGTTGTTGTAAGAGTATGTGATCGTCGTTGAGAGTGTTGCGACTGGATATGAGACCGGGAGGCAATGGAAGCGGCGATGCAGGAGGATCCGTTCCGTCAGCACTGTATATGCTACTAGTATCAAAGCTGGAAGCTGTGTCGATAGATTTAAGAGATAATGAGGATCCATAGTGGTGTTCTAGTGGTGGGAGACCAAGCTCTCCATCTTCGTCCTGAGAGAGAGAGAAGAGAAGATGCAGATTAGATCAAGCCGTGCAGTAGATTGTATAAATTTAATAATAAATATCAGAAATTAATGGTGTTCTGTGCAAGTTGGTCAGAGTGTACTGGGTTGTTGCATCAACATGTGAAACACCAAATATTTCAAGTTAAGCTCGTTATCTGATGATCCTATCAGCTATGCAGCATACCTCGAAGCCAAAGGAGAGTAGCTTTTCCAGTAGAGCAGAAGAAGAATTATCATCACTGAATAGCCAGCTTCTTAGATCATAGCCATCCGTTGTCCCAGGAAGGGCAGTGTTGAGCGAAGTTGGTTTGTCCAGAGGTTTTGGCAAGTCCTCGAATAGCAGGAAGTTCTCTGGATGTATTCTGGTCATGGATTTCAACCGGTCTGGATTGATATTGCTTGCTTCCAACGTTGAATGAAAGTGTGTGTGAGATTGTTGTTTCTTTGGATTGTGTGAAGAGATATCTTTCATTTATATGGCGCGACGGCGAGGTGTACCGTGAGGTGTGCACAGATTTACCATTACTTGTAGTGCGTCTAATGATTTTGACACATCTCGAGCTGGAACATCAAGCTTGCTTGGCCGCTGACAAGCTGTTAAATTCTTTGCTCGTGCTGCTGCTGCGCCTTTTCGTCACAGAGTGGCGACGGTGACATGAGAGCTAAAGAGGATCTCTATAATCTGTATAGCTGGATCCATGTAAATTATGTAAAGAATATTAAATACAATGACACCGAACGTGACGATTGGAGTGGCATTGCAAGTGTCAGTCATGTAATCTAGATAACATTTGGTCTCATCTACGTGCATCTCAACGGTTATAGGGTGGATTTCATTGCTCGAGCTATTGCTTTACAGTGTATACAAAGTAATAACTATCTCGCTGCAGTCTGTAAAGATCCGGATCAAGCGAACCGGCAGCGAACGTTGCTGATCTTAACCAATTTTCAGAACAAGGAGGTGACAAATGGCCCTGACAACGGTGAAGAGAACGTCCAATATGCATGCAAAGTCCTCAAGAAATAAATCAACACGTCAACACTCCCATGAACAATACAAACTGCCAACCCAAAAAGAAAACCATTACCAATCACCGGCGTCTTTCCTCCTCGTGACGTTCATGCAAGTTAGTCACGTCCAACTGCACGAAACGTAAATTTCAGCACAGATTCCATTTCCGCAAATGATTGTTTGTCGCTAGCCATTTCCTTGAACCATTCCAGTTTATTGGTGCTTAAACTCTCATCGTCAAACAAACAAAAAAGATAAGATTACGGAAAGACGACGACCATGTACCCGGATGGCATTGCAGCCACTCTAAAGCTGCTAAATACTCGTAATATAGCAGTGACATTCCTGATCTCTACCCTCATACTCGCCAATCCAATCTCGACATCAAATCCACAACCTCAGCATCTTTCTGCTCAATTGAGACAATCACCACACTCATATACCAATAGTCCACCACTACCAAATGCAAACTCGAATCGTGATCAACTCGTATTGGGTGCACAACAACAACTACCACTACAAGAACCTGTATTTTCATGGCCATCAAGTCCTAATAAACCAACTGAAATCACCACCATTGCGGGTGTAGATACTGATACTCATTCGTTTATTGATGTAAAGGGACGTACAAGGCTGTTTCGGGGTGTAAATGTCGTATACAAGGGTATGTACAGATACTTAAACTTTATTCGCGAGGAGTAACATGTGATTTTCGAGTTATTGGTTTACACTGGTTTATGATCCTGAGGAAAAGAGAGAATGTGGGGGTCGAGTCTGATTAGTTGTCAGATCCATTGTTTGGAATCGACTTGGTAGTTGCGTCAGGAAGAAAGCAGTCATCATTGTTGCTCTCATTGCGCCTTTTTTTTTGGCTTAAACAGTTCAACAAGTCTAACGATGTCTTTCCAACACTCTAGTTCACCCTTGGCATCCATTGACTGCAAACTGGGACCCACAATTCTCATTCAGTCATGAGGACATTCAACTCTTGTCGGATCTCAACATCAACGTCATTCGTTTGGGAATCCAATGGCCTGGTGTAGAGCCGGTCCGTGGTGAATACAATCAAACCTACTTGGATGTAATCAAGGGTATCATTCAAGCTTGCTCCAACAAGGTATGGTATTCCCTCGTCAGAGACTCTTTACGGCCAAGAGTGTGGATACATGATATATTGTACTTTCCCCTTTTTCGCTTCATCTTTGTTCATCATACTGACAGCAAGAAACAGTTTCGCTACATTTACTAAACTTTATTTTCGCATCGCAACAGGGTATCTATATTCTAGCAGACTTCCATCAAGACTCTTTATCAGAAAAGTTCTGCGGTGAAGGACTGCCACTATGGGCTGCAGACCCATCCTATAAAGATACAGACAAGTCAGGCTTCCCATTCCCACTCGAGAATCGACCATGGAAGACAGACGAGAATGGCATCCCATCAACTGAAGATTGTGCCAAACACAACTGGCCCGATTATCAAACGACAGTCTCTGGCTCACAAGCATATCAGAATCTCTATGATGACAAGGACGGTATACGAACAGCTTTTGGTCTCTTTTGGCGAAAAGTAGCCTCGGAACTATTAGAATTCGACAACATACTAGGATATGATCTCATAAACGAACCATTTGCCGGTGCTATATACAAGAATCCAGCTTTATTAGTACCCGGTGCAGCAGACCGTATAAATCTGCAACCATTCTACAACTCTATAAGTGATGCCATCCGTACCGTCGACGATAAGGGAATAATCTTTTTCGAGTCAGTCACTTGGGATAATGTCCGTGTAGGGTTTAGCGATGTGCCTGGTGGAGAAGCATATCGTAACCGTACTGCACTCTCATATCACCATTACTATCCAGTACCAAACCTCCAGAAACTTGAACCGACTATCCGGGAACGACTGAGGGATGTAGATCGTTTAAAGACTGGAATGATGTTGACCGAGTTTGATATCGCTTATACGAATAATGGTGTTGAACGAGTTGATACGCTCGTGGAAGCATTGGATGTGGCAGACAAGTATTTCCAGTCATGGACTGGTTGGGAGCTCAAGCCTTTCTATCCTATGAGTAAGTTGTTTATATCGTGTGTTGTGAGTGATGTGTTTCAGATTGCAAAGGATCTTACGTTTTATTGGCGATTCTTTTTAGCCGGATTTGGCGACTCTCTTATTGACCCTGTAACAGGTGAGATTCGATGGCCGATGGTACGAGTATATTCTCGTACTTTTGCTCATGCTGTGGCTGGTAAACTGGTCTTGCACAAATTTGACATGAAGACTGCCAAGTTTGAGCTCAAGTATGAGATTACTGCTCTTGATGCTAGTACTGAAATTCGTCTTGAAAAGAGGTGAGTGTTATGTTACAATGTGTATTGGATTGATTGATTTTAGTGGTGTGGAGGAACTTCGACGCTGTTCATGATTGAATCGACCGGTGTCTTTTTCTTTCGCTTCCCTCCAAGCTAACAGTTTTCGCTTTCCTTCTGTAGAGTACATTATCCAAATGGCTATGCAGTCCGCGTCTCTCCTGCTTCAAAGGCTACTTGGTCTGTTAGGCCTGGAAACTACAATTTGATTGAAGTCAAGCACACACCTCGTGCTCAAGTTGGAGATACCATTGAGGTGGCGATTGTTGCTCTTTGATTGAAATAGGGAGGGAACTGGATGAGGGATCGCTGGAATTGCTGCAGCACAAACAAACATGTAAAATAGTATTTTCAGCTTCTGTTACGTTATTCACACCCTGCAAAACAAGTTTATAAAAAACAACTGATTCTTTCTATGTATAAACACGACCCCAAAAGTATTTAGAGATAGTTTATCAATCTGTTACGACGCTCAATACTTTTGATACGTGTGTGTTGTGAATTGTTTCAGTTTCTTTTGTACAGACAGATTTTCTAGAGACCGTCTAAAGACCATCTAGAAGCCTTTTTTCATAACTTTACGTGGATACAGAGTGGTTGAGGTTGTTGTGCTTTGGTTGTGTGTTTTGGTGAGATGTTGGTGTTTCGGTTGGATCCTTCTACTACTACTAATTATACTATACTGCTTCTAGCTAACTCTCTACTTTCCATTCTCTACAAATCCATCTCAATCTGAAACCTCCCCGCGAGACTCTCGAGTTCCTTATTCGGCAGCGTCGAAATAATATACCTAACAATCTGCTGGATGGTTGTATGATACAGCATGTTTGCAGATTTTGACATGTTGGTTCGGAATGCGTCTGCCATGGGACCGTCTAATCCGTTTGAGAGTGTTTGTTGGTCCTTCCAGAATCCTGTATAAGTGATGTGTGAGTTTGACAAATGGGAGGCGGGGTGTTATGGTGGTGGCGTGGGGGGTTTTTACCAGTCATGTTGATTATTTCGTGCCATTCATTTTGGAGGTCTGTGATAAAGTGGAGATCGTTGACTGCCCACATGAGGTTGCCAACAACATCACCTCCTGTTTCCTTTGAGATTGCTATTGCGTAGGGAGATGCATGGTAAGATATTGGTTTTGTGTACATCTTTAAACGATATTCATAGAAATTGGGTCCGTAGCTGCACAATGTCAGACGCAATCCCTCTTGACGTGTTCAAAAGTGACTCCACTGACCCCATCGAGTGGCCTCCGCAACTTCATTACAGATACGTTGTCCGAAAGATGACCTGTATAAAACAATACAATGAGCGTTTCGTCCCGTTCCGATGCCTGGCGAATCCCTTACATCAAAGCGTGAGATTCAGCAGGCAGAGTCAACAGCGATAACGCCAGCATCTTTTCCCGATCGTCGGGACCGAGGATGCTTTCCTGCTTGCGCACAATGGTTTCTAGGACATACGATACAAGCTGCAGCGGTTGATTGACAGACGGGCGTTGGATTTGGTGGTGAAGGAATTGATGTTGGCCATTCAATGTATCGGTGGTTCTGGTTCGTTTCGAGTCGATGAATGCGTGATCGTGAGGATGGTAGTCGATGATTGGGTCGTCGTCTTCTAGAGGTCGCTTGCGGGTTAGTGTGTCTACTTCCATGGTCAACTGGTTTAGGTCAAATTGAAAGAGAGTTGCTGCTCATTCTACTGCACACACATTCCCACGCAAACCCTGAAGGGATAAAAGGAAAAAGAGCCTTATATCTATATTCAGATCTAGGAATTCTATAAGGTACGCGTATTGCGATTAGAGTACGGTGCTCGGTAAAGCTTTGTTGCTGATTTCCACGTTACACTCATATCACTTGAGATCTAGACATAGTAACTCGTTGTTCTTACACTCTTAAATCTTTATACGGGCAAGAACTCGTCATGCAACAGGAATCTAAAGCCATTGGACTCGCTATCCTCGAGAAAATCGGATATGACGCAAAAGATGTCGCAGACATTGTCAATGTGCGTATACTCGCTTACATACGATACTATACATGAATGATGACGCTTTCATTGTAGGACGTCGACATAACTGGAACCAACACTCCCTTCATACCATCTCCCTTCAAAGTCGCTGAATTGATCACTGGTAACAGTTCGCGGACGCTCTTTTTTCAACCATACACAACCGTTCATGTTGCACCTTGTTAACTTGCTCTGTATCGTAATTGCAGGACTGGACGTTGCTATCTCAGCCCTCGCCAACCTGATTTCAAAAGATCGCCTGGGACATACCCAGAAAACTGCAATCAATATTGATCATGCTGCATTGTCGATTACGAATCATTTCATAAACAATGCTGATGATGAGAGGTTTGAGACACTGTTGCCAAAGTTGCAGGCTGCTAGTGCTGCTGATCCAGGTAAAAGACAATGGTCGCGTCTTAAATGGCCGACTTTTGGAACAGCTAATATTAGTATACAAACGTGTCACTCGCTCCTTACGTACCTTGCATATGACTCCTCACTGTTTTACTTACAGTCACCCTATTATCTACGTAGCCTTGGTAATTAGAGGCCGTTGGGCCAACCACTGGAACACGTGCTTCCGATGTAGCGACAGATGGATTCAACTCGCTGCCCGAATCACAGATACACCCGAAGTAAACCTCGCTGCAATTGGATTCACACAACCGGAAATCGCTCAGCTTCTCGAATGGTGTTTAAATGCTGACGAGAGATATTTACGAACAGTTGAGGCCAAGTTCCTTGAATGGAAGGCATACGAACTTGAAGCAGTCTTGTCGAAACTGAATGCATGTTGTGCTATTGTGCCTCGCTCGTATGATGAGTTTATGCAGGTAGCTGTGATTGTGAATTGGAAATTTAGTGCCAAAACCTGACAGTTTCGTTCTAATAGTCTGAACATGGCAAACTAAGTAGTACCTGGGCTCCCGTCCAATTAGTGCCTCAACAGCCGTCTGTGAATGGTGCGTGGCAACCTGTGCCATGGCAGACCTTAACGAATCCTGCCAAACAAGGACTGCTGCATGGGATTAAAATTGTTGAGTTGACTAGGATGGTTATGGGGTGAGTGTACCGCAGTTGCAGTGTGGCTATTCTTGATGGCGACTAAGTCGTTCGTTTTTTGGAGTGGGACGACTAACACACTCAAGTATTTAGACCGGTTGCTGGATATATGAGCCATACTATGGGTGCTAATGTGATCAAAGTGTCCTTGCCGGCTCTTGATGAGTGAGCAAACAACTTCGATGTGACAATGTACTTCAGATTCTTTTTAATGACTTTTTCGCTTCTTGTTTTATAGAGGCTTCTACGGTTGGGCACAAAATCAAGGCAAGAGACGTGAACCAGCATTGTTTTGAATTGCTCATATTTACTTTTCATTTCAGGCAAAAGATGTGTCTTCGTTGATCTTCGCTCCAAAGAAGGGCGTGTAAGTTCATAACTTTGGTCTGTTCTTTGGTCAACTGCCCTTCGTTGATTCTCTTTTCGCTCCCCTGCAGGATACAATTCGAAAACTAATCCAAGAGGCTGACGTGTTTTTGGAAAACAATGCTTTTGGAGCCATGGATCGATCTGGTCTTGGTCCCAAAGACGTATTCGATATGGTCAAGGATCGTAAAAAGGGATTGATTTACGTACGAGGCAATGCAGCGGGCTTTGAAGGGCCTTACAAGACAGCTCCCGGATTTGACCACCTAGCTCAATCTCTCTGCGGAATGATGACTGCACATGGGGCTTATGTGAGTTTGGTTTTTTTCTTTCTTCGATATTTACTCATTTTTTTGTATACACAGCACAAATTCACTGGATCGTCAACCGAGCATCGACCACAATACATTCCCTTCCAAATCCTCGACAACACCACTGGCCATCTCCTCTATCTTGGCATGCTGGACGCCCTCAGAGCACGAGCTACGAAGGGTGGATCCTACATAGTGCAATCCTCTCTGCTACAAGGTGGTCTCCTCCTCCAATCATTCGGACAACACGACGCAGCAACCATCGAACGTGCATGGTCCAAGTACGAACCACAGGCATCCGAATCCTCATTCAGTGAAATCTATGGAGCCGGATCATTCAGCTACTCGATCAAGTTCCAGGACAAGCTGTTCAGGGAGGGGCACCCAGCTTCGTTTAACCCGGCCTTCTTTTATAAAATTAAGAATTGTTATTGGCCTAGTATCAAGTATCCTAATGGAGGGTGTACGATGTTGATGGGAAGTCCGGTTATTAAGATGGATGAAACGCCATTGTATTATCGGCTTGGGACTAGGCCGTTTGGGTATGATACCGTGACCGAGTTTTTGCCGATGGACCTTGTTGGTGTATGTGAATGTTGGCTTGTTAAGACTGTTGTATAGGTGCTCACTTTGCTTTGAAACTAGGATATGGTATCACTTGGTCTGGATTCAGATGGTGTGGCTCTATACACGATGGACCGATCTAAGTTAGATGGTGGCCAACACCCATCGCACCAACAGAGCCTCGTAGCCAGCAAGTTATAATTTTGTAGTTGTTGTATTAGTGTTGGTATGAGGTTTGAAAAAAATGAGTACAAATTTGCAATACTGCTTGTGACGCAAATTGCTATATGACGAAATTACATTCACTCCAACGGCGTCATATGAATCTGAGTGCATCCTTTGCTCGCCAGTAGATCATTCGGACTTGATTGATTATTCATTTCATATGACGTCGAAAGTCAAGTACAAAGGCTCGGCAATCCAAAATATAAAACTCGACCGACCTTATGACACTCTCGACCATTCCAGCGCAGAGTCAGTCTAAACCATGCAAGAGAACGAGACAATACCCATTGAAGAGTCGACAGGCACACCTACAGCGAGTGATCAGAATCTGTTGGCGTCTCCTGCAGGAAACGACAATTTGGTGGGCAATCGAAGCTCTTTTGACGGACAGCCTAAATCCAAACTAGTTGAAGCAACATACGAGCAGATCGAGCTTACTGAGGATGATCAGATACCAAAGTTTGCGCATCTAGAGTATCCGGAAGGGTGAGTTTGTGCAAATGTCATGGGAATTTGTGCTTTGTTAGCTTGGTTTTTTAGGATCTGGATTGGCTGGAAAGGTGTGCTGAAAAGTACGCCGAACGTTTAATCATAACAGATCTTTTCATGTTATAGAGGGTACGGCTGGGTGGTCGTCTTTGCATCATTCATAACGCAGTTCTTTTGCATCGGATTGCAATACTGTGAGGGACTATTCCAGAGAGAGTACTATGCTCAAGGTCTAGGAACGAATTTTCAACTCGCCTTCATTGGAGGACTTGCAAATGCTCTGGCGCTGGGATTGGGAGTCTTTGTGAGTGACGTTATGAACCACGTCACATCTGTGTTTGAGCGAATTGTCGATCGGATTACTCATACTGTTTAATGTGTAGACTGGTGCATTAGCTCAGAGAGTAGGATTCAGACCGGTCATATTTGCTGGTGCAATTCTGTCTGGTGCTGGATTTTTCTTGGCGGGATTCGCTACGTCGACGTGGCAGCTGTTTCTCACTCAAGGTGTAATAACGGGTCTTGGCTGGTCATGTGCATTCACTCCCGTGGCTACTGTTGTGTCTCAATGGTTCTCGAGGCTCAGAGGGACTGCAACTGGTTTAGGTAACCAACAACAAGCAAACACAATCAAACAACAACTGACAAACTATCTCTTAAATTTCTCAGCTGTTGCTGGCGGTGGACTTGGTGGGTTTCTGAACGCCATCATAATCCAAAAGCTCATAGAGACACAGGGTGTGCCATGGACATTACGAATTCTAGGAATCGCACAATTCGTCTCGCTTTCGTTAGCGGCCTTCTTGGTCAAGACTCGTGTTCCGCCCACCAAAAAGATTAATATTGAATTGGATTTGTTTAAGAATCTCAAGTTTGTTTTTTTGTTTATGTCTGGTTTGCTAGTTACTTTTGGCTGGATGGTAAGTTAAATGAATATGCCAGAATAGTGGTTATCAATTTACTGATATGAATTTCGATATAGACACCGGCCATTTATATACCGCAATATGCCACGCAGATCGGATTAGATGCTGGGCAAGGAGCTTTGGTGATTGCGATTTACAATATATCGAGTTTCTTTGGGCGTATAATACAGGTATTAACCCTCTTCATATACAATTGTTACCTGAACATAATTGTCACTATATATTCTTAGGGCGTTCTGGCAGATCAACTCGTCGGAAGAGTCAATTCTCTCGTAATAGCGGGAGCCATTTCCTCACTGTCTATTCTCTTTATATGGCCCTTTGCATACAATTTTGGAACGCTTAGCGTGTTTATGGCCGTAAACGGATTCGCCGCAGGTGGATACATTGCTTTACTACCAGTTGTTGCTGCTCAGATGTTTGGTGCAGAGAAACTTGCTGCTACAGCTGGAATGCTGTACTCGTCGTTCGCACCTGGATTCTTGAGTAAGTGTGATGTGTGAAAGTCACACACCAGAGCCATTTCTCATCTCTTTTTCTTTCGCAGCTGGTACTTCTATAAGTGGACTCATACTGGATCACGGACGAGGAGCTAATGGAGATACGGACTACAAACCAGGAATAATATATGCTGGTGTTGTCATTGCTGCTGCTACTCTATGTGCTCTGATTGCACGATTACTGGCACAACCAAAGATATTTGCTAAATTCTGAACTGGCGATTACTGGTGAAACCAACGATACTGGTTACATTTCTGGATTACTGGCACACCTAGAGATATTTACTGAATTCCCGGCTGAATTCTGAAACCTGTATACCCCCTCATATGCTGTACATACACGTAAAAATACAAAATAATTAACGATCCGCCGCAAAGGACGACGCCTTGAAGTTTGTACAAGAAATAGTTTGCGCGAAAGGTCTACCCGAATATTCGTCCTAAACTGAAATTTATATTGGGACTACTTTCCACCAGTTGTAAGTTTGTGTACTGAAGTTTTCGAAATCGTCGATGTCAACAACGTCGTTGTCAACAACGTCGCCACTAAACTACAAACAATAGAAAAGCTTTCGAAGCCTTTGAAACCATTCCAGCTAGCATGCCAAAGATTTTGTGTTATGGTTCTATCAACATCGGTGAGAACCTCAATGACATCAAAATGGTACAATTTGTTTCGCATCTTACGTTGAACAACTCGAAGATGCGTACATATTATATCATTTTAGTTGTAGTTAATGGATATTCTGCTTCAAGCTCGTTTCGTCTAACACTCTTCATGTCTAGATGACATCTTCCAAGTCAACGACATCGTGAAGCCTGGTGAAACGATCTCTTCATCAAACTACATCGTGCTTCCGGGAGGCAAAGGAGCCAATCAATCTGTAGCTCTCGCCAAAAATGCGAGGCCTCAAGTATCGCATGCTGGGAAAATCGGTCAAGATGGTCGTTGGGTTTTGGATGAAATGGAGAGAGATGGTGTAGATACGTCGCTGGTTTATATTGATCCTGTTCAGGTTAGTAATAGTTCTTTGTGAAGAAATGGACTCTTACTGATTTGTGGAAACAGCATACAGGTCGCGCCATAATCCAAGTCAGTGAATCAACAAAAGATAATGCCATAGTACTATCAGCTGGTGCCAACAAGGCTATAACTCTAGCCGAGGCTGAACGGATCTTAAAAGAGCGTTATGAGAAAGGATCATGGCTCGTCTTACAGAATGAGATCTCGTCACTACCCGAGATAATCACGACTGCTCACAGCATTGGATGGAATATCGCCTTCAATCCGGCCCCATGCCCAAAAGATCTAGTCTCTTCAGGATTCCCACTCAACCTATGTACATTGCTGACATTGAACGAATCTGAGGCTTCGTCACTGTCAAATCAGCTGCTTGGATCGACGTATGTGGATAAAAAAATCACCGTGGCTGACGCCGAATCAATAAGTAAAAGATTCTTTGGATCTCTCGGCAATCTTAGAGTGGTAGTCATAACACTGGGACTCAATGGAGCAGTGGCATCCTTCACATTGCAACCTGGAGAAGTGAAGACCGTGTTTCAACCTGCCTTAAAAGTAAAGTCGGTAGATACTACAGGAGCTGGTGATACTTTTACGGGATACTTTATAACTGAATTGGTCAAGTCTTATGATGGAGGTGTGACTGAAGAGGTTATGCAGAGGGCGTTGATATACGGTGTTGTTGCTGCTGCCATCAGTACACAATCACCAGGTGCGATGAGGAGTATACCAGAACGAGATGTAGTTATAGAGCAGATTCGAGATGCTGGCTGGACGGCATAAGGTCGTTACGTTGTGGAGTCGATGAATGTGATTTGCCTAATTTGCATAACAGTACACGTGTATTAGGAATCAATAGTAGAAAATTGCAATAAATTAATAGTTCTTTGCTCGTTCTTAGCTAGTCCCACGGTTGTTGCTAACCTTTGATCTTCTCACAAGCTTCAACATCTTTGAATATACCAAAGTTTGACAATTGCCCTTCATGAGTTGGTAAGTTCCATTGCGAGACACGCCATGAAAGGCACTCGATGATTCTCCTCTATGGATCCGTTTCAACATAATCACATCTCGCTAAAAAAGCGCGCACATGTCAATTCTAGGTCTGGCTTCAAGAAGGCAGTCAATCGAGCAACGACTTCGGTAAGTCATTCCAATCTATTCATAATCAATTTACCTACAGAACCCCCTATCTACTTATGTCGTTGATGATATGTTGAGTCTCGTATCTCACCAACATTAAAAAACTTAGGTCGCTCAAAATCTGGGAGCTATGGAAAAGACTGTGGATAGAGAGTATGAGGAAGAGGAGAGGAGGTATAAAGTGTAAGTAGAATTTGATCTGAAACTGCCGGTAGTATCCAGTTTGGAACAACAGGAACTCATAATTCACACACCATGTTTTCGGTAGGCTTGAAACCAAGGTGGAGAAGCTTCATAAGGAGGCTAAAGGATATCTTGATTCAGTTCGTGGTATGTCTCGTCAGCAGAAGTAGAAGACCTTGGCAAAAACAAGCATGCAACTGATGTCTAACCTCAAATCCACAGCCATGACACTCGCCCAAACACGTATTGCCGACACCGTCGACCGCTTCTATGAAGGCGTGAATGGAGGAATGGGGTATGGAGCTCTCAAATATCGTGAGACTATATCTAAAATGGATGAAGAAGCTCGTACCTTGCTGGTAATCCCATATGACAAGTGTCCATTTTTTGCCGATTTTGAACGCGGAAATCTAACTAATTTTGAATATCTAGGACTCGAATTACAGAGCAGCAGTGCTGGACCCGCTGGGTAGATTTGTCGGTGTGTTTCCAGAAGTGAATGAAGCAGTTAAGAGGCGACAGAAAAAGCTATTGGATTATGATCGTCTCAGGTCTGGTGTCAGGAAACTTATTGAAAAGCCTTCTGATGATGCTTCGAAATTACCTCGAGTAAGCTCGTCATGCCTTGAATCGTTGGGCAAAAACAAGCTCACCTTGATTCATATCATAGGCCGAAGCGGAAGCCAACCAAGCACGCGAAGTATACGAGCGCCTGAATGGACAACTCATGGAAGAGTTACCGAAACTGGTTGATTTACGAGTGCCGTATTTGGATCCATGCTTTGAAGCTTTGGTCAAGTCTCAATTGGCATTCAGTCAAGATGCGCACGAACGATTGTCTGCGCTGCAACAGCATATGGGGCAAGGACAGAATGTCGAAGGTGCTGTAGAGGGTGTGTTGCAACAGATGAGGGATTTGAGCATATGTGGAGGTGCTGTGTAGTGGATAAGCTTGATTCTTTTTTCCCATACATCTCAAAATCTCATATAATGCATATTCCATAATCAAGAACCCTTTGTAAGATGCCAATTACTGTAGCAAATTTTTAGAATCCTCAATATCTCGACTTTATATAATTATGAAAATTATTGCTTGCTAACTACACTGTGCCTGGGTTCTATTTTACTCAACCGTTATACCTATTTGCCTACATTCATTACTCCTCAGCCTCAAACTCATCTGCCTCTTCATCAAACCCTTCTTCAGACTCTAGAGCAAGTCGCTCATACGCTTCCAGATTCCATCCCAAATCACCCTTTTCAATTTGTATCGACCCAAGTTTACTTGCCAGACTAGCCAAAACATGGTCACTACAACTCTGCACCCATACAGCATAATCATCAACCCACAGACGACAGAGCATGTATGCTCGATCATCGTGATCCATCATTAATTTTAGAGATATGAGGACCTTGAGAATCGCTCGTTTTCCAATGTTTAATAGGATGGTAACGTCTCGATGGGCGGCGACAGAGAGTGCGAAATTACGGTGTAAGGGGAAGATTAGGGATCTGCGGTAGCATGCCGTTAGGACTTCTTGGGCGGTTGTGAATACCTAAAGAGTGACACAAGTGTTGAAAGCATGTTAACAACCAGTTACGTCTGATTCTTTTGGTGCTCGTCACCTCAAAACATGAAAACGAGCTGGACAATTTGCCGATGAGAATGGCGGATTCACGAGTATGTTCTCCTTCAGTGATGCGAGAATCGAGACAGTATGCATACAGTATATCCACTAGTCCAAGATACAGTTGTTTCGAGTCCTCAATCAAATCTTATGAAATCCAATAAATCAGAGCATGCGCAAACCGAATGATCATCAGTGATGCCAAGGTCCACTTACATGGCTTCTTTGGTAGGTTTCTCATAACTTCTTGCTCTGACGGTGTAAATACTATACTGGATTCTACCGGGTCTACTTTCTTCACATCGCGGTCAGGTGAAGGAGCAGGAGTCGGTAACGATGCAGTAGGATGTTCTCGCAATGACGTTGATGCCATCATGTTCACTAGCGTACCATCTGCATTCGAGTCAGTGCTCAATGTCGGTGACGTGGACTGGTCGAGTTCCAATCGTTGTAGCTCATCCACCAAGTTTGTGTTGGCATATCTCATTTGTTTCCAGATCTTGGAGTACTCTGATTCTCTAGATACTAGGTGACATATGATTTGATCGTCCATGTAATCGGCACTAGATTGTTGAAGGTGTGGAGTTAGAACAAAAAAAGCTCGACTGATTGTCCACCAACAACACTTGCATGTAATAATCTTCGTCAAATCTAGAATCTTCTACTTCCAATCGAGAATTACGTCTCGATGAGGGCGTCGAAGTATCAATGTCCTTCACATCGAGTATGTCTGAAAGGAGTGAGCGAACGTGTGAACCGTCACCACTGTATTGATTGTTAAAGCCGTAATGCGATCCAGTGAGTGATGGTTGCTAGATAGAGAAGAAGAATAAGCATAATGGACCTGATTCCTCTTACCCACTTTGTGGCTTACATCGAGCAGTTGCGTTGGTTCGTCCCAGTCCGGTACTAGTTTTGTGAAATTGAAGTTAGACATGAAAGGCAATGACATTCCATGGAATAACAGTCTCATACCAAGATCGGAATCCATTTCTTCATCAGACTCGTCATCACTGTCTTCGAGCATCTGTATTCCAACTTTTTTCGGAGCTTGCAACTGTTGTGGTTGTCGAGCAGAGACCAGAGTACTTAACAAGTCTAGATCAGGAAAGTGCTCTCCGGCATTCATCTTTGGAAGCTTGATAGTCATCTCTCCAGCTCCGATATCGTAAGAAGCGGTTTCTCTACCATCTTCGATGATCGCACAAGGGAATGTCAGCCTGTGAAAAAAGGTTGAATGTGAGAGTTAGACCAGGAGATGAGTAGTAGACTAGGAGATCCAAGCTTACTTGAGATAGTATGGCCGTATCGCAAACTTGAATTCGGTCTGATCAATGAAGAATTCCACATCCTGCGACTTTTTTTTTGAAAGTTGATCTGTGATTCCAACATTGGATTTCCAAGGCTAAACGAGAGTACTTACACGAACGTATGGACACTTGAGTACCACGATGATGTAGTCCTCGTCTTGACTAACAGTAAACGCTGGAGTCAACATTTTGCATCATCAAATTATATTTTTTTCAGAAAGTGAAGGGAAAGGCGCTATAGACAGGTACAATGCAGACTGCCAGAAAGCCAGAGACGCGTTATTCGAGTATTGCAATTGCAAACACTTCAATGTGAAATACTGAACCGGTCGAGGCGAAATTGAAATTTCCTGAAGTGTCCACACGTTAGCACTATGAACCTAAGGGCTAGAAGTAGAATTGTGCTCCTTTCTGTGCACCCGTTCAAGTTTTCGTAGCTTGAAATCATTTCGAAGCTGATGGAAACTTAATTTTGCCTCGAAGCTGGGCTTGGTCAACAAACTACAGGGCCCAGGAAAAACCTCACCCCAATCGGTTTCAAATCAAAGCACGCAAGCGCCATATCTATTGATCACAGCAGGCATCACCAGTTGTAGTAGAAGCTGTAGCTGATCTCACTATTATCTTATCTGTTCGCTCGTTGCTCAACACACAACGTGGTTTGTTGTTTTTCCCTCTCTGTCAACAGTAACAGCTTTTGGGAGCTCCGAAACAGCAACTAGTTTGGACGATATATCGCTGATCATCTAGAACTCCATCCTCCTGGCCATTGGGTCTGAACTTTTCGCTATGTTGTCCGCTCAGAATTTATCGCCACATATCACAAAGGAACAGCGACTGCTTCCAAATCATGCCTCTCTCAACAAGTATGAGATCATACGTATCATGGGAGAGTAAGTATCAACGACCGTCGCAGTTCCTCCTCTTGCTTGCCCAAAAGCCCTCAAAACTCGTGACATTTGAATGCATTAATGACACATTTTGATGTAGGGGTTCAAACACTATGGTCTATGAAGCATTTGATAAGGTCGCGCAGGAATCCGTCGCAATAAAAATAGTCGCCAGAGACGGCCTTCATCACAGTCAAGTACGTCCTCCTGCCTCCTGTTTTCCCTATGGTTTTTTATGTGGCTTGTGGCACTGGCGACTTGGACCAGCATGCATAAGTGATGAACAAACACACTCATTACCTCTCTAAACTTAATAGGAGGAACAGGTCTTGAGAGAGATTGCATTGCTACGCCGATTCTCTCATCCTCATATCGTACGCTTCTTGACCTTTGTCGACACTCCAACACACATATGTATAGTTTTGGAGCTACTCTCCTCGGGTGAGCTTTTTGGCAAGCTACGTGATATGAGATGCGGTCTACCAGAGTCCGCTGCTCGTCACGTCATCAAACAGATTGCTTGTGCTGTCAAGTATCTGCACGACCGCGGAACAGTTCATCGAGACATCAAGCTCGAAAACATATTATACCAACCATCTACAGAATCTGTAAACTCGATTGCATATAGTGATGCTAGAGATGCGGCAGTTCTCGGGATTGGAATGGTGAAATTGTGTGATTTTGGTCTGTCAAAGGAAATCTTTGATGCCACTACACAAACCCCTTGTGGGACTATTGGCTATACAGCTCCAGAGATACTACAGGACCAACAATATCATTTTGAAGTAGATATCTGGGCATTAGGCTGTGTAATGTATACAGTATTGTGTGGCTTCCTACCATTCTCTGACGGAGACTCTGGACGATTGACGGACAAGATTACACGATGTGAATATACATTTATACAGCCATTTTGGGAACATGTCTCGCCTCAAGCCAAGGATTTGATCTCTCAATGTCTCAAAGTACCATCATCCGCTCGACCCACCATTGATCAATTCATGGCTCATCCTTGGTTTTCCATCGATGCTGCTAGAACAGGAGGTACATTGCACAACCCTCTAGCTATAAATGATAATAGGTCTACCGACATCCGAGCTCTTCCACCGACTTCACGGCCACTACCGCAGCCCTTGACGAGACAAATCTCACCGCTCAATCAAATATATCCTCGTACCGATATTCGTAGTATACCAGCTCTAGCCAGAGTAGCTGGACTCGGTGCTTCAAAGCCGCCGCCGCATCGTACAGTCCGTCGTGTACCAATGAAGGCAGCCCAAATAGGTGGTCAATGGCCAACGTTACCTGACGTATTGAGAACGCCAATTACAGAAGACTTGCCTATACTCCTCAACACTCCTGATGTCATCTGTCCAGAAGTCGTCAATGGTGGTATGGTTGGTATTCTAAATCAAGATACGTCCGATAATACCAGCAGCTCCGAATCACGAGAACGAGAAGGATCTCCTGTATCTCCATCTGTTGAATTGTCACGACTATCTCTCGATACTACCCCACGACCACCTGCAGCTAGACCACCCGTGGCTCCTGTATCATCTGGTTTAGTAGGAGCGACGCCAGCAAATCCACGTCGACTAGCTCAGGTCGTATATGAACCATTAGCACCTGTAAGACTGTCCAAGAGGTCTGCATCTGATTTGAGTGCGTCCTCGAGCCAAGACGATGAAGTCACCAGCAATGATAGTATCAATATGAATATAAGTATGGACGACAACTACAATATGGATAGTGAAAGTGATAGCAGTGATTCTGACGATGATCAAAATGCTCGTCGTGTACGTGCTCGAGCTTCATGGACTATTGCTCCTATAGTAGATGCTCCAGCCAGTGTCAACGCCTCTGCTGCTGATACTGTAGCTCAAGCCATGTTTGGTCAAAATCAAGTATCAAATGCATTGATATCTGCATTTCCTCCAAGGAGGGCACGTGCTCGAACTGCATCGTCACATAAAGTATTATTCAATGAACCCCAATCATCAGCTGTTGGTAATAGTGGCATGAGTGTAGGTAGTGACTGGTCTCGGTTGAGGACAACGAGTGTCCCATCGTTGATTACTGCTCAAGAACTGCCACCTGTCGATCTGCAAAATCGCGAAGCTTGGGCTGCTATTCAACGGCGTATGAATAATGCTCCAAAGGCACCCACCATGGCTGTATCGCTTGACGATATTGGTGAAGACTTTGTATCCGCTCCACGTAAGTTGACACGTGCTAGCAGCAATGTAGCAAAAGAAATTTGACACTGTCGTTTGTATCAACTCTATCACATTTTCTCAATGTAGCACCTGTCGTGGATACGGAAGAAGATGCATCACAAACGCCAAGGCCTCATCTTCCATCTGTAAAATGGAACGAAACTGTATCTGTACTAGGTTCAACTCCATCAGACTGGGATGCTTCACGACGTCGACGTCATACAGTACAGCATCCATGGGCACCTCCTCGTGTTATGTCCGATATATCTCGAGAAGTTGGCGGTGATGATTATGATCTCGACGAATCATCCATGACATCTATGCCACCAATGCCAATAATGCCACCTTTGGAATGGCTGCCACGACGAAACAGTTCAAACAGTGGCAAATCGTTTACCGCAGCTACTACTACCGCACCAGCACCAATAGCAGCAGCGGCAGGACCTTCTGAATCAATGAATCCAGCAAACGTCATTCCAACTCATTTACGTCAACCACGAGCACGAGCTCGAACAACTTCAGTCAATCGAGTACTCTTCCGAAACAATCCGATGTCGGCATTATGGAAGGATCCCGTTACTGGCAATGCGGAAATGAATGGTGGGACTAGTCCTGGTCTCAATAGTAGTGGTTTTAGTAGTAGCAGTAGTAGTGCCCGATCTCGAGCTAAAAGTTATGGAGTACCATCGTTGATTCCAGTTGAAGAGGAAGAACAGCCAGTGATGTCTTTGGATGATGTAGATGGATGGGCAGCAATGCAAGCTCGATTGAATGCTGGGCGTAACAGAGGTGATGCTAACAACAACCGCAACAATATCAACATCAACAATAATCTCAACATCATCAGTCTCAATAGTAACTGGGACAGGAAGATCAGCGTGAACAACAATAGCAATGACAATAACATTAAGGATGCCAGCAATCACGTCGGTGGCGCTACTGTAATGGCAAACGCAAACTCACCACCGCCAGTCCACAAATCATCACCACCATCCGTCGACTCTATAGTCAAGAATAATAACAACAAACCCGGTATCCATCCTGCACCATTGGCTAGTCCTCCATCTGTAAAACTTGAGGTTGCTAGTGAAGGTCGTTTCGCACTACAACTTGGGAACTCGACCATTCTAAGTCGTCGACGACGTGAAACTCACGACTAGATACCCATAGAGTCAAATTCATTCATTCATCATCAATCCATTACTGTACCATTTTATTAGCATTGTTGTTTTGTATAGAAATTTACAAGATTTAGGGATTGGGAGAGAGAGATAACCAGTGTAATAGAAATTCAGGGGTGTGGCATTTTCAAAAAGTTATTTGTAACAGTAGTGTAAAAATCCATAAGAGTGTAGATAAGTACGATTGGCGAGAATTATATAGAAGCATTTTATTTGCTAAGAGCAGCAAGCCCCTTGTTTGTTTTTGCTACTTGCGCTTGCTATCATCCGGATCGATGGACTATAAAACGAGTGTCTTGAAGCAGGTTTGGTTATCTTCATGCAACAAAAGCGAGATTCTACTCAATTCTTAAGTACGTCACTTACATCGGTTATAAGCTATTCGAATTCCTCTAGCCACGCTGGCGCTGGAGCCGAATATGCAGGCCAAGAAGAAACTCACTGTCATCCACCAGCTCGAATCCCCAACCACCATCCAACCTTAGCCCTTCTGAAAAGTCCTCAAAACGGCGGTGAAGTATGTCATTCATGACAAATACGACACCTCGCAAGATACGACCACCCTTCCAAAAGATGATTTTAGTTCGCCAGTGCGAATCCGACATGGCATGGATCTTGTATGTGCCTTGCGCATGATGGCAGCTGCTTCCAATAGACAATCTCCAGATATGCAATCACCATTTACACGGCCTTCCGTTTTGAAATACAGTCTGACGAGCTGTTTTACCAGTCAGGAGGTCAAATACTGGGTAGCTGTTGTACTGCAAGATTGTTTGGTATATCCTCAATCCTCAAAGCTCAGTTGTCGACCGTGCTGTGGAATCCAAGTAGCGAGTCCAGCCAACGTCAACTGGTTGATCTCTTGAGTGAATGTGTCGTATACCAATGTCAAATTCCGTAGTTTGACTAGACCCAGATTCAAGGGCAAGGAGTCTACATTCACTGGCGCCCAACTAACATTCAGGGGTCCTAAACAACGAGTTTTACATCGTGTCGGTCGAAGCGTCCAAGGCATAGACTCAGACTCTTTATAATGGTTTCGTTGGCAAATTTCAATGGGTGTTCACCGTATGCGCAGCGACATTCTCAGGTGAGTGTGCGACATGAAGAGCTTGAGTACACCAAACAATTCATAGCAAGTAGTGTCAGTCATGACACAAGTTTCAAGCTCTAGTTTACGTAAAGTCTTCGACGATCCATGGATCCAATCATTCCAAAAGCCCATCGGGATGCGAAGATAATAACCTCTTGCATCACTTCCGCTAAAGCCGTCAGAGGTCTTTCCCTTAAAGCCATCCCGAGATTCAGAAGCCATGTATTTGTCCTTGCTATTCTCATCTATGTCTCTATCGAGTCAAGACTTTCCTTCCTTAGACTCAGGCTTTCCAGAAGCGGATGGTCTCTGAAGAATAGAGACCATTGATCTGTATTAATTATAGGTTTGCCTTTTCCGATATTCAAGATCTTTAGATGCTTACTACTTATTTTTAGCTACATACTACTACAGGGCTTTCTCCGTTTGTTACGGGTAATGATGCTCTATTAGATACTCCTGGTAGTGCTGCTATTCGAGCGGCTGCTCGTAAAATTGACAAACACGATCAGCCCTGTATTGATGCCGGTCTAGCCTTTATACCATTTGCTTTCGACACGTTTGGGTCGTTAGCTCTGGATGCTGTGAAGCTGCTCAGTCGTCTTGAAAAGTATTGGGAGAAGTCGCAACTAGATAGGGAACATGTTGCTTCGTCGTTTGCTTTCCGACGTATTGGTTTCGCGATTATGAAGGGAGTGGCCTTACGGCTTACGGGTCGTATGCGGGTGGGCGACGTCTTTTAGAGAGCGTCGCATAGTTGTAATGTAGTTTTGCCTTTTCTACATAAAAAACTTATGAAAATTTGAACTTGAACCTTGAACCAACTTTTCTCTGTAAAAGCTCCACTTCCCTGGGTCGACGTGGTAAGTACAGTCCGTCTATTTAATCTTGGATTCGGCTCTCACATATGCTCACCCGTTCTACCTGTTGAACTAGTGCCACCAAAAAATACTACTCAATTGACACCCTCCAAACCGCATCCAAAACTAGTGCCATAAGGCCTAAATTCTGTGCCAGAGGCCAGTGCCATCCCTAGCTGTAGCAGATTGGTACCATAAGGTCCAAAAATCTGGTGCTATACACACATTGACGCAAGCTCAACCTGCATGAAGTCACAGCTGTGGTGATAAGGACTACATCGATCAAAAGTACATTTATATATTAAAATGAGGACAGTAGCTATTTCCTACACGCATGAGCCTCCATATGTGCGTGAATTCGGCAACAACATTAAACTGCACACACAGTTTCAGTCGGACCAAGTAAGCCGCTTCAGGAGAAGCGAACATGCCAGCAACACGACGCTGTTGATAGATTACATTGACATGGTAGATGAAAGGAACGAGCCTTCCGTTGACAGGATGAGGGTGATATACGCAAAAGCAAGTGGCGTACTTATAGTGCTGAACGAATTTGATAGTTTGACGTTCAAGCATATCTTGCGCTTGAAACTGGTCTTCACGACAATATGTGGAGATATACTCAAAGATCTGCTGAATGAGTTCAGACGCATTCCCAGTAGTGACATGAACGTTTTTCGACAAAGGTTTTGGGAGTGGTACAGAGCAGCTGTCGATAATGTGACAACACATTTATTAAACTCAAACGATCTCGAGATTAAAACAGTAGCGCTGCAAGTATCATCCGCCATAAAGTTTGTACGGTACTTGCGTCGTGTATGGACTTTGCAGGAGATACTATTGGCAAGCAGGAGATTTGTAGTATTGGGTGACAAGGTAGTAGACATCGAAGAGCTGCTACTACTGGGGAAACTACTCGAAGTGTCTAATGAATCAACAAACATGCAACACAACGGACGAAGCACGCTTCAAGTGATTAGTGATTTCATGCAAGAAGTGATTGATATCATGTTGATAGTAACGTGCTATAAGACTGCCGGCAGTAGCGTCAATGACTACGTACTAAACGGGATTGGACTGGACGACATTATTAGAATGGTATCCCTGAGGTTGTGTTCGAATGATGAAGATCGAATCAAAGCAATAAGCCTACTTGCAGAAAAGGGAACAAGTCAAGAGATATTGACGAGACGCAGTAACGACGTAATGCCATTTAGTGCCAATCCTAGCTGCAACGAGGTAATGTGTTGGCGAGGAAGGACACTAAAATGTGCATTGCCCATGAGTCAAGTGTCTGAATGCATGTTGGCAGCAATCATTTCCCGGGATTACAACATCGGTGATCAAGAAAGGAGAGATTACACAGCCCATAAGATGATTTCAAGGATTATGGATTTTGAGTACGACGTGGTCAGGAACGGGGATGGTGTTCGTGTCGAAATAGTTAGGTTAATCGAGTTTAGCTATGCCAATATCACTGAAGTGCTCAACACGCTGGTCGATGAGTATGGACACATAGTAGCCTTTCGTAGGTTTACGACGAGGGACATCCGTGCCATATTAGACGAAGAAGTGGAGGGCGAATACCTCACATCTGTAAGAGGCTCATTGTGCGTATTAAGATACGACGGTGGAGAGATAGAAGATGGGGTGACTGTGCACATAGAGAAAATCATTGATATAAGTAGACTAATTAATTTGGTATCCACAGCAATAGAAGGGTTTGCGATGGGATTGGAAGAAGGAGATAGAGCTATCGATGATGTACCCATAGCTCAGTATCTGGGAGAGAAGGGGTGCATGTTTGACTTGAGCAACATTACAATGGGTTAACTAATAGTAATTAATCAAAGAGGGGTAATTAATCACCTTCAGTAAGCCTTGGGGCGTGATAATTCTAAGAAACAAAATAATTGATTCAAAATCCAGGTAAAAATAGCAGTGATATATTGTGAGTTTTATTACAACAGCTTCTACTCAGCGATAAAATAAGAAAAGACGCAAAGACGTTTGCAGCGAGTAATACGGGGAGATATGATTTGATCCTTACAATAGTCGTCCACGTGCTGCATGATGCATCCATTCACTGTTGCCAAGGAAACCCCTTAATCAACCTTCAATCACAAACGCCTTCCAAATCAAATTCATTGTTGCATTCGTTTTTCAAACACCAAGTGAAATAACCGAAAAACTAGTAACAAAATGAATGACTTCTTGCATTCACCCATACCCGTCCGTTTGCCAGGTGCAAAGATATCACCCCCTTAGTACCAAGGCTGCCCGATTCAGAGAAATTCAACGTGACGCTGCCGATCTTTTGAACGTAAACAAATTACCACCATTCTAGAGGTACACGAAAAATCTGTCGAAATTAGATATTTCATGGGGATTTTATTTACTTGTACACACGTGTTTCTAACTCGCTTTACTACTACTATGCAATCACAACCGGCATCTCATTCGCAAATCCGGAAGCCCAAATGCCATCAGTAGAACAGTCACATTCACCTTTTGAAGAAACAGACGGTACAGGTATCGGTCTAGAATCACTACCACCAGTAGCATTAACACTTGGTTTGCTTTTGTTACTTCCCATCGCAACTTCAACGATTCGGTTTGTGATGTTGTTGTACGATCTATTGCAAGAGTGCGCTTTCTTAGCGCAAACTATGATAATGCAAGAAGTAATACGACACCGAACTCTCAGCAGTTCCACTTCTTTATTGAGTCCTCTGATCGAAGGGTTCTTTCAAATAGAACAGTAACGTGAGACATTTTCAAAGCAATTCACTTGAGAATGAAGAGCGGTAAACCGTCTAGCCTTATTAGAGGCATACATCATCCTCTCCTCCCGACATGTCTATTGCAGAACCTTAAATAGCACGCTTGCAAAGTCTACAAGAATGGCATCAAAGCCTCAACCTCTTCTATTGTTAATAGAAGGCATACATTCTCAGGTTGAAGTGGAAACTCTGAGTTCAAAAAAACAAAAAAACTTGCCAGTTTTCATATTCGGGTCGAGTCAG